AGCGCCGCGCGCCGATCTTGGTCAACGGTGTCAGGGTCGCCCTGCCAAGCAAGTGCTTCCTGATGCTCAAGGCCGAGAGCGATGCGGAGCGGGGGGACGCGGATGAGGTTGGGTTGGATGTGTTTGAGGATGACGGCGACCTCTTCGGCGAGGAGGCGAGCAGCGTAGACGCGGAAGATACGGATGGCAGCGACGAGGACGCAGACGAAATTCCGGCCGTCATCGACGACGTCTTGGCCTGGTGGCCGACCGTCGAGCCGCTGCTCTTCGGATCGCACGCGGAAGCCAGGAAGGAGATCGCGCGCTATAAAATCCTGAAGAAGGTCTCCGTCGTAGCTTTCTGGCCAGACCTCTACCGGGCCTGGGGGTTGCATGAAGTCGGAAACGGGGCGCCGGTGTGTCTGTCGCATTGCCGGGCATTCGCGTTGCACACGACGTGCCGCTGTGTTTTCCGTGCTCTGCACAAAACGGACCCTGCGAAGTACGGGCCGATCTTCGTCCACAAAAAGAAGGGCCGCCCGAGCAAGAAGACACTGGAGGCGCGGAGGAGGTTGGAGGAGGGGCATGCTGCGAAAAGGCAGAAAGTTGGGTAGAGCACTCCTTCCGTGGTGCGTGGTTTCCAGCGAGATGCTGTGTCCACCTGTTCCTCACAGCTGTTCTTCCTTCTGACTTCCGACAGTTTACTAGACACACCAGGGGCCACCTTCCGAATCTGGTGCGCGCAGAAATCAACTGACGTCGAAGAGCAATCTAGCGCCCCGGCATTGCCCGTGTGTCACATACATTGCCGCGCGGGGCTGAGCAGTAGCCTTTCCCGGGGTTCCCTCTCTCGTTTCCTCCGCGTAGTTTCTAACTTCATGTTCGAAGTTTCACTCTCTTGCCCTTTGGCATTGGCATCGGTAGTTCGTCGGCCTCGCTCGGTGTCCATGCCCCTACCCGGCATCGGTCTTGATGTAATTCGTTGCTTCTTCGTCTTCCTACGAAGTGTTTCGCAATAGGCCGGGCCCAAGAAGCGCAGTCAGACAGTCCGCGCATTCGGTTTGGTTTCGCTTTCCGCACCTACATCCGTCATCATGTGTCAAAAAGAGCCGTCCCCGTTTTTTTTTTATTTTCCGAATCCCGATGACACTACGGCCGATCCGGCCGACCATGTGTCAAAAAGAGCCGAACATGTGTCAAAAAAAGCCGCATCCAAATAGAAACATAAACCAAAGTCCGATTTGTGCGTTTTGCAATCACAAAAACTTTGTCCGAGTTTTATTTCCCCTCGTACTCTCCGAGTCTCTCGTATCAATCAAATCTCTCCGACACTGCGAACAACATCTAAAGACGATATTCACAATAATATAAAGGTTTATAGGTTTCTGCTGGATGAGCGTACATTACAGCGGTTTTTGTTTTTCACGGACACGGAGGTCAACGACCTGCGCCGAAAATAAAAACGCCACTAGAGACAGAAACTTCCTATGCCGATTGACGTTAGCTGCACCAGGGCGGCCTCACAAGGAGAGGACGCAGTTGCCAGGTCGACGTAGCTCTAGCTACAGGTAGCATTTCAACTAATTATTTTACAGCAAGTATAAGAATACGTGTACATTTTTCGCAGCCCGATGTCGCGCTGATTAGTCACAGATCATTTAGCGGACACACTTGAAGTTGTTTATTATAAAAAATCAAAAAAAATAAGGTATTTCAAAGTGCATTCACTGCTAGAACTCATGCTCTAGGAAGTAGTACAACGTCAAAAGATGTTCTTCAAAACGATGCAACAACGTTCGCAGTGGGCCTCTTGTTGGCTCTTCTGCTGGACGCCGTTCGTCACGATCATACTGGTGCTGCACTAGTATTTGCGTCCGCGTTGATGGAAGCTGCTTCGCACTCCTCTGCTTGTCGAAGGGTAGTAGTTTTTGTTTGCAACACTTTCCGCAGCAGCGCCCACCCAACTGAGGATGGTACCTTCACTACTTGTTCTTCGTCAACACCGGGCCTCCCTTCATCGCGCGGCACGTTTTCGGTGGAATTTGAATTGAAAACCGAGGGACAGCTCGACAGTGGCCGAGACCACTGGTCCTCGGAAATCAAAGGCGTCGAGAACCTGGAAAAATTTAAGGAGCCCGTCAGCGACACCTCGCTCGAGACATCGTCTCCTGCACTGTTCGTCCATTTCGTTTGTCGCGCCTGTTCATAGGACGTTTCGTCCTGGTCCGGCGGCAGAAGCCGCAACTGTTCATCGAGAAGTCTCGCCAGTAACGCGACCTCTTCTCCAACTTCCCAAGGCGCTGGTTGATGTTGGTGCTCCTCCTGCGTCTTCAACTTCCACCTTTGGGGGGAGGATGGTAGTTGTGGAGAAAATTCTTGAGGGTGTAGTAGTAGTGCCTCATCCCGCGAAGATGTCGTCAGATGGGAATGATCTTCTTCTTGTTCTGCCACAGTAATTGCAGCTTGAGCCGGCGGAGGCGGACAGTCTTGTTGAGCAGTAGTCGTGTGGACGATATCCCGCAGTGTCTGTGCCGCAGATAATACAACAGCTGCGGTGCTCGAATGCACGAGAGTTGAGTTCTGAAGCACCGCTCTTTCGCCCGCCGCTTCCCGCTGGACGACCTCATCTGTTGACAAGGCTAGGCAAAGCTGGGCCGCCAGCAGGTCTTGCTGGAAAGTCGGAAGCTCGGAAAGGTGTTCCGTGACCGGATCCAGTTCAACATCTTCATGCGGTGCTACATTTCGCGGTTCTTGCTTGAGCGGCAAAACGGAGCGCAGCAATGCCTCCGCCTTTTCGACGCGCTCCAGGGTAGTAGTTTCTTCGTCAACGGGCACTTCAGTCAACGGACTGGCGGACACTCCCTGCCCGCGGCCACGGTGCCGGTCCAGCTTTTTCGCCGCGTGCGCGTCTAGTTGCAGGGTCGCTACGGCAGCGGGTCGTGCGACATCAGTTTCAGTGTCCGCCTCCAACCGAGAGCGGTGGACGAGATTGCCGTCCTTGGCCCGGTGGTGGTCTTCGAGCTTCTGCATGAATCGCTTGTACCCGGCTTCGCCCTGCCCCGCTTGCCACGTTTCCTGCTCCATCTGGTCGAGTACCTGCTGCCGGGTCGCGATGAGCCCGGACGAGGACGAGCTGCCGGCGGGGTCTTTGTCTTGCGCGTGTAGTACCGAAGCTGTGGTCCCGCCAACGAAGTTGTTCCGGATCACTTTCATCTCGTCTAGTGCTCCTGGTGCAGCAGAGGAGGACGAGCCCGCGGTACTTGTCGTCGTCCTCTCCGCCGGTAGGGCGGGTGAGAGGAGCACCCCTCGCTTCATTTCTTGCGTGATCCTCCGCCCACGATTCGGGTGGTCGTCCGGGGCAGGAGAAGCTTTCAGCGGGTCCAAACCACGGCTACTTCGATGAGCAGAGGGCTGCTTCCCCCGCACATGGCCGCTGTCCTCCGAACGTGACGCATCATCTCGATGTTGGGGGCCACCAGGTGTAGTCGGCACGATTGGATCGAAGGGACGCGAGGTCGAGGTCGGCAGATGAAGGGGAGACCCAGCAGGCAGCAGCTCCCGCGCACCTTCTACGGTGGGCAGGGGGACAACCCTGGGCGAGGATCTAGACGAGGATCCAGATCGAAACGATGGAGACAGGGAGCGAATGATGCGAGCCCCGGTCGCGATCGACGAGACTGCCCGAGCTAGAACTCCACCTCTTCCGGTCCAGGAATTTGATCTACTTACAAACTGGGGTAGCGTTGCTCCGTTGCTGTCGTCAGCGTTGGTTCCAGCTGGAGTGCCGGCCACAATCGAAGAACCTGCAATACCATTCTCCGCGCGCACCAACAGAAAAAAGACCACTCGGAGTAGAGCCCGTGCCCGCATCATGTAGTTTTTTATGCAAACAAGAGAAGTACAAAAATAAGGAGCATAGCAAAGTAGACATAGACTAACCTGAAGCTACCAAATATAGCCGCCGGGGCGGGGGTAGTGAGCGAGGTCGTGGGTGTTTTTTTGCCGAGCGCCGCCTTGGCCGCGGCTTTGCTTTTTATGGGCTCGCCATACCACCGTGAGTAACGTTATGCCGCACGGTATGGCGGCCACTTGGGAAACATCGCAAATTTTGGCACATTTCCAAAATTCCTTTCCGAAAGCCAGCCCCGATGCTATGGGGCCGATCTGGGTGCCACGGGGGGCGCCCAAAAAGCGAAGAAAAACCGGGCCCATAGCATGCGGATTGGCTTTGCGCGTCTGGCGCGCTTTTTATTTTTCGCGTTTTTATTTTTCACGCCGGCGCTTTTTGCAAAGCTTCCCAGGCTCTAAAACCGGCGAAAAGGCGGCCGCTTTCGCGGCCGCCCAAAATGCTCCGAAATCGCGGCCGTGCCATGCTGTTTCGCTGTTCTGATTTTGGGCGCGTTTTCTGCGCGCCCCTTTTTGGGCGCCCCAAATCGCCAGAAATCAAGGCGGCGGGCGCCTCAGAAGGGCGCCCCTTTTGCCGGCTCCCCGGCGTCGTTTTATCAAGTGCGATTCGATAGTTTTCGACCGGGCTTGTTTGACAGCAAAGCCCCGGCCGCTTGATAATTGCAAATTTTTTATGTCCAAAAACGCTTCCGCCCGCTTTGAAACTGCCGGCCGTTTTTCACGGGACATGGCAAAAAAACTCCCCGGTTAGAACCGTTCGGTGACCTCACTACATATAAATTGAATTTGATGAAAACAAGCAGAAAATTAATTTGATGATTTGGACTTCTTACAGATGAAAGCACAACCAAGTCAAAGATCACTGATGAGTTTCAAGGCATGAAAAAATCCCGATTGCGGTGCCATTTTTTTCATTGCAGTAAAGACCACCAATATTTCGACGTTTTGCGAGGCCGATGGAGAGATGCACTGGGGAAAAAAACCGCAAACCTTCAAGCAAAAAAACATCGAGATCATACACCACAAAGACATAAAATCACTTTATGATAAAGTGCGTGAACATCGAGGATGAACAATATTAAACACAACAGCACTGCTGGACAGAGCAGACAAATATGAACGTCAGGTGTCATTTTTGGGATAATCATAGTGATACCGTCGTGGAGAATTGTGATATGCATACTTCGGGCGGAAGCTGCAGAATTTTCTCTTCCACCTTTTCGTTTTGTTTTTGCTCCTCCAAGATTTGAGCATCTTGATAAAAATTATCGCCATGAAAGGGTTTCATTTTCTTTGGTCATGCACCATCACTTTAAAACTGAAGATAGTGCTAGGTTCTTGTTCTTTTTGGTGGAATAAGTAGATGGAAAAAGATGTTGACGCCGAAAGTCCTATTTTGACCTGCGTGTGAATGTTGAACGTACGTCGAAGACTGATATGCGTTAATATCGCTTTCATTTGATACCGTTTTCAAGATTCGTTTGCTGGTACTAGATGTCCAGATTTTCGTTAACGTTCATTGCATATAGTTACCTAATAAGCTGCAAATACCCATCGCTCCCATGTAATTGGCCTCTGGTGAGGATATTTCTATGCGCAAAAAAAGATGCGTTTGCCGCACGACAAGAGCAACTGCCTGTTGTATACGTGTGTGCTCAACATCTTTCGTTTCTGGTTGCCTAGCGCCCCCACTACGTGAGCTTCGTTCTAGCCCTACAAAACCTAGATCTACAAACTGTGAAATAATGTCGAAAACTGTACGTAAACATATGCGCTCTTGTCCTCGTAGAAGCAGGATCGCTATAATCTTACGAGCCAAGAAACTGCACAAAAATACGAGGCTCGTCATCGTCGACCCTAGGCAAGACAGAGTTTGAACGGAACCCCAATAAATATGGCGCCCACGCTTCGGAAGATTCTGTTTCTAATCGGAAATTAATGAGTCAATGTGATTTATTTTTCGAATCATTTTCGTGCAGTGTAGCCATGGGCTTTCTCTTTATTCTCTGCTTCTATCCACAGAAAATTTCTCCTCCTCCTCCAAAATGCCATTTTTTTCCATGCAAAAAAACAAAAAAAACAAAATGAATTGCAAAAAATTTTGTACTCTTCCTGCAATATGCATAGCAAAATCATGTAGCTATCATCACCATGTTACAAAAGCCTATGTACTTAGTGTCCCTTCTCTATGTTAACTAAGCTAGAGTTTCTGGTAGGATTTGCACACAGGAACCCAGCGCCACCATCGGAGGCAGCTATTCCCGGCGGAGCAACGTCGCTGGCCCCAAGCCATGTCGCAACGCTTGATGCGAGAGTGCGAGAAAGCGCTTTTTCATTTAGAAGAAACACGCAGAGCAGCTGGCTCGGCGTCGACCCTCGAGGCGCTGCAGGCGAGTCTTGGAGTTGATTCACTATTGGGCCCCTAGGCTGTTCCATGTCCAACCCCAGAGCTTTGCCACTTATATGACTGCACGCACAACAGTAAATATGTGCTGTGCGGGTCCGCTACCGCGCATCTGCAGGCGCCGTGCCTCGCCTGCGATTGCTCGCTGACGAGGACGGACACGAAACAACTTCAAGAAAAAAAGGGCTCGGGGTTGGTCGAAAAAGTTGCTTCAACTTTTTTTTTTTGATTTTTCGAGTTGAAAACGAGCTCGCTTTTGGACTGGAGGATAAATTTAGCACGACCTGACGGCCTTCAAAAAATTTCTCCTCCACTTGTTTTTCTCGATTTTCTTTTAGAGAAAGCGTGGAGGAGAAATTTTTTGAAGGCCGTTAGCTCGTGCTAAATTTATCCTCCAGCTGAAAAGTGAACTCGTTTTCAACTGCGAATTTACCATGAAAAAAAAAGCTGGCTCCGCCTTCACCAACCACCCCTGCAGAGATAAGGCCACGGCTAAAAGTAGCGACGTTGCGGCACCGCATCAATTTTTCCCAATCAATTCCCAGGCCCTTCCCTCTCTTCCAAAGTCGCCACAAGATGGCAGGGCGACATGGAGACCGCTCTGTGGAGCGTAAAGCACAAGCCGGTCGCTTTGGTGGCACTCCGGCACCTGCGGGCAAGACCATACCAGGCCCAGCTGCAAGTCCTGAAATCCGAGATCGGATCTCGGATTTCAGGACTTGCAGCTTGGACGCCCATTAGATATAGGGGCGGTGAATTTCTAGTGATTTTAGAAGGGGAGTAGAATCGTGGGGCTGGCGCTTCGGGGGGTTATGGTTCGCGAGGCAAGGGCTAGCACAAATAGAGGTAGCGGCGGCATTGTGCTCGTCGCCAAGGCTCCCCCACATTGAAGGCAATCCCCCTCGCAACCTTGCCCAACCTAGCACACTGCTCCGCGTCTTTTTTCGCGAAGTAGACCTTTTGGCTTCTTCATGATCTTCTCCATTCCTTGTTAACACTTCAACTTCCGTGTTCAAATTTTGGGCAACGAAAATCGCAAAGAAAAGGCACTGCCATCGGGAAAAGCTTCCATTTAAACATCATTCCCCATGGTATGATGAGGATGGTTTTTTTCCTAAAAATCATCGACGCGGAGTGCCGTGCTGTTTGGCGCCAAAAAGCGGCTTAAAAGTACCCCGTTTACCGATGGTATGCTGCGATCGGTGAATTTAGTGGTGAATTTAGAAACGGCAGGCCGGTGAATTTAGTAAATTTCGGCAATTTCCTAAATTCACCCGGAGCTGATTCTGGATTCCAGACCATCATCAAACCGGTACCCATTTTGCCTTCGTTTCTAAATTCACCGGAGCCGAAAAACCAAATCCAAAACGATCGTCCCAAATTTGCTTCAAAAAATGCGAAGCCTTTGGCGCATGCACGCACAAATACGAAAGCAACAAAATGCAAGCACGCCACAAGGTCGCGCAAGACATTAAATTGTTTTGATTTACCGAAGCAGAGAGCATCTGGCAGACCCAGACGCCCGAGCCCGGCAAACCATCCGCAGCACCCACAAAACGAAAAGCAACGACGCGAAGCTACTTCGTGACTCATCAGCCTAGGGCGTTGACAATGCAGCTGGACATTGCGTCGCCCCATCCCGCTTCTTTTTTGCTTGACAAATTCTGCCACAACCGGAAGCCTGTTGGAACTTATGTCGCTCCGGCTTTTCCGTCGGGTGGATGTCGATATTTCCGGGAAGAAATATCCGCAGAACCACTTGACTTGCCAAATTCTTGCAGACCGCTAAAATCACTTGAAATTCACCGCGCAGAAATCTAACGGCCGTCCAAGCTGTAATCTCCGAGATCCCCGAGGACGAAATGGACCACCAGACTCTGGCTTCCAGGCCGGTGCTTTTTGAAGACGAGATGGCAAGCGAGCCGCTTGTCGCGACGCTTGATGGGGCCAGAGGGCATCAACAGACCCAGTCGCAGATGTACAGTCTCGAAGCGGCGTCGTCCACCTACACCTACCAGAAACTGTAGCTAGTTAAGATGATAGCTAGGGGCACAACTAAACACAGACAGCAGATAAACTCACACGCATGAGATCAGCATGCGCTTCGTGGTCATGCCTGAGTTTTTTTTTTTCGATACCCGAACTTTTAATATTTTTCAATACAAAAAAAATGCGTTTTGGAGGAGGAGGAGAAATTTTCTGTGAATAGCTTCGGGGCGTATCAAATGTAAATGCGTGAGCGTAATCTATCTTTATTATGATTACCGATTATCGATCGATTTCTGTCTTGGACATGGCCAGGTGATGTCACCCCATGCAGCACGTGTCGTTGCAATAGCGATGGCACACGCGCCGCTTTCACTTGCGAGGGATGCACCTCGTCGGGAGCCCCACCTGCAACCGCATTTCCATTTCTTCATCTGAAAATTGAAAAAAAGATAACGATAAACAAGATAAACCTCCATAACACGACAGTGGGAAAATTATACGCTCTGACATATGTACTTACACGTAGTTTGCCATCCTCGCGGAGAAGCTTTTTTTTCTTCGTACCGCACGAGAAATTTGAATTTCGTTATCTGTGAGTGGTGAAGTAGCTCGGACGTCGGAACAGATTTGCTTTGTTTTGAAAGGTAGAAAAGCAACGACATGAATAAAAATTTGTGAGAACCAAAAAGCAAAGCGTAGTTGCGGAAAGGCGATCGCGAAAAATCGCGGCCGTCGACTTTTATTCGCGATTCGGATTCAATTTCGTTTCTCCCGTGGAAGCTGGGAGGATGAGCAACAGGAAGATACAGTGAAAGTGATTGATCATATTCCTATGTTGTATAATTCACTAGCTTACACGTAACCGACCATGCTATTTGGTAGGAGCATTTCGGTACCGAGCAGGTACGCCATGAAGTAGAAGCCGGTTTGGAGGTCAACGGCAGAGAGCACGCAACCGAGGTACATGCGCGCAAGGGTGCCAACAGACTTGTTCATCCCCGTACCGATAAACGGCCGGTGGTCGCCGCAGTACCGCTTTTCCGGCACACCCGTCGTGGCCGCGAGAAAGGACCAAAAGAGTCCCGATGCGGTAGTAGTTTTTGTCGCCGATAATTGCTGGTTCTGCGACGATGGCTGCGGCTGTTGCCCGGAACAGGAAGAGCTGGATTTTATTGTTGTAGTAGAAGTCGCCGTTGTCGTAGTCGTTGTCGTTCTTGCCGTTGGTGCAACAGGAGGTGGTCCTTGTTTTCTGCAGCTTTTGCTTGATGATGACCTGCTCCTCGCTGTTGTTGAGCATGTCGCGCTGGAATCGAAGGTACTGCACTTCGTGCTGCCAGGCGACCCGAAGTCCTGGAGGAGTGTCGGTCCGTACCGGGTTGTGGTCGTCCCCGCAGGAGTAGAAGATGATCTGTTATTTGTGTTCGCCCGGCACCGCAGCTCCTGCTGGTGCTGCAACTCGCTCTCTAGGGTTCTCTCGGGCATCAAGCTTCGTGCGCTAGCGCTCGCACCGGGGATGAGGAGGTTGGAGGCGGAGGTCTCACCGACGTTCGATACCGTGCGATTCACTACAATTTCTTGTTTCCCAACTTTGTTACTGTTTCTCGTAGATGTTTTGTCGTTCGCAACAGCATTTATTTCACGGGACGACAACAGCATTAAGTCCTGCTCTACTTCCGTCTCGTCGTCGGAGGAGGGACAGGTCGAGCCCGCAGTTGTTGTGCTACCGGTCTCGTACTCATCGGGCCGCACAGAGATGTACTGCGCGAGCACGCTGGGGAGGAACATGCTGCACACGGTGACCATGACGCTGGTGTAGAACAAAACGGTCCGGGACGCCGTCCACCACGCTTGTTCATCCTGCAACCCCCGCGATAAACTACTAGTTTTTTGTTCATCCGAGAGGTAGAAGAGAAACACCCTTTGGAAGCTTTGTTTCAAACTGCTCGTGTGTCCGAAAAGCACGGCGAACCAGCAGATGAAGAAACAGGGCGCAAACTCCCACAAAATTTTCGCCGGGGTGGCCTGCCGCAGCGTGCTGCAAATCGAAATGTGCGAGTCAATCAGGCTAGGCTCGGGAGCGAACTGGAAGCCCAGCATGTAGCGCTTACTACTCGGGTCGTCGTTCCGGGGCACACGATGCAGCGTGGACGTGCCCTTGAAGATCCAACCGTCACTGACTTCTTGATGGTACGTTTGCAGCTCCTGGTTGCTGTCATAATACTGCAGCGGCGAGATATTACCTGAAATGTCGTGGGGTCGTGTGGTTTCATCCAGTAAGAATTTTCTGTGTCATGTTCTTGCTTCATGGACTAGAACTTGAGTCGAAAATTCTCAACCGGGGTTGGAAAATTGAATACTCTGCCTAAATTTCAACCTGGGGTGGAAAGTTTCAACCCGGGTTGAAAAGTTGACTTCATCGGTAGCATTCGCAAGTCGTGCGCGTGCCAACATCTCAAGTGCTCTACTCAAAAAAGCTTTTCTTTTGATGAGTACTGGAGCTACTGATGCTGGTGCAATGGCGAGATTGAAAACACAACAAATTGCTGCTCACCCTCTTTGTGAAAGAGAAACAAAGCGCGGTAGCACGACGGATGCTCGGTGTCGTAGTGCCACGGAAATTCCGACGCCTCTCCTTCGTATCGCAAAATGCAGGCACGGAAGCTAGATGTCTTGGGCGACAGAAAAATTTTCTCCCCGATGTGGTTCTCCAGCTCGTGAGCGACTTCGGCACCTGTAGTAAGAACATTTTTTTTTCATTATTGACCGGGGGCACAACAAGGCATTGGCGTCCACGTCACGTTTCTATAGTTCAAGAAGATCATCGCCAACACTGCCAATATAGTGTATGATTCAAGACTTCCGAACTAGAAATACTAGAGCAAACAAAATTTAAATTATGAGGTAGTACCGATTGCGTCCACAAGCTCCTTTGTCTCGACATTCATCGCATCGTAGTAGATGGTCGCTCTTGGGCTGTACTGGGCTACCGACAAGCGCGATATGATGCTCCAGCGGTTCCCGCCCCCTGCCGCGCGGTCGCCGTAGCTCAAGTCCAGTTTTTGCAGAGCGGCTAGGTACTTCTGGACCTGATATTTTTACGTTTCAGTTCTTTTACGCTTTGTCGTGCAGATGGGCAAGATCGCGACTCATCTGTCGAAGCAACACGACATTTTTCACATCATCATGACATCCTCCTTGCAATCAATTTATTTGTACCGGCTGGAACTGGCGCAGCTTCCGGAGAAAGGGCTGCCGGGAAGGGTTCAGCACGTTTTTCTCTACGTGGTGGAGGCATCGGCGGTGCACGCGCTCTCCCCAAAGCCGGTTCATCCCCAACGCGTCAATGATGCACAACAGAAACAACCGGAACCACATGCTCGACTGCCAATCCGCATCCGCGACGTGGTCCGCCGATAAAGGATCATTGGGAACAAGCGAAAAGCTGTCCAAAGGAAGAAACGCTGCGAGAAAAAGGGACCCACCATGTACTAGCCAGTGCGGAAGGGTACCAAGCAACCCGCACAACATCTTCTTGATCGCGGTTCTTGGTGGGAACTCCTCGGAAGCACGAGCACAACCGCGGTTTCAATTGAAAAATCTCTTCAAAGTTATACAACTAAAACGTAGATGTTGACTGATGGTGGAATAATGATTGCTAGATGGGCGGTTGCTGCTTGGCCATACATTAGCATTACTCTCAACGGCCTGCACGACAATAAAGCTGCAAGTAAGAGTCCAACCACAAGTACGTAGAAATTCAATCGTCAAGAAGGCTTGATTTATTTTGAACAACTCTGGGCGTGACAAAAACATCAACATTTTGATTTTGAAGTGTGCACTCAAAAAATTCCATTTCCTTGCTAGTACTGCTTACTTTGCGTCTCTCAACATCTGTTTTACTTTTAGCACTGAGTCAACAAGTAGGCAAGAACCAGTGGCTGCGCTGTGAAGATGTTTGCTTTTTTACAGCAAGCAGAGGTACTAGACTGATGCGCTGCACCTCCAGCATGCAACACCAGGCTCCTCACGGAACAGGCCAACGATGCGGAAAATGGGTTTGCCGTACTTGCACGACTTTGAAGTGGCACATGAAGGTCATCTGCGTCGAATAAGACACAGCTTCACGTTTGGCGAAAATGTGCCCGTCATATTGTACTATGCTGCAGCCTCGCTCTACTGGCTGCAAACAAGTACAATTACCGGGACACGGCCTGTAGTTTTCCGTCCTCACAGATTCGTTTGCGACATGGACTGCGCTCTTCGAAACACCGGCGTTTTCGTGAACTCGTACGGTTGACGAATGCGGAAGTCGGTCTGCTCGCCGCCGGCGTCTTCGTGCAGCAGTTCCATGTCCAGTTTACTCTTCCCCGGCAAGGGCATCATCAGCTTGTTCATGCAGTGGTCAATGCGCTGCGTAACCTGCTGGAAATTCCGGTCCTCTGGGGAGCTGTGCATGGCGACAAATTTTATCAGCGCCAGGAAGAACGCGATGCCGAAGATGGCGGCCGTGTCCTTGTTGCCCACGATGTCCTGCAGCGTTTCGTCCTTGGTGTGAATTTGGGCCGTGACGACCAACAGGCACGCGTTCGTGGGGACGCTGGCCCAGACCACCGCCCGCAGAATGGAGATCCAGACCCCGACTCCCTGGACGGCTTGCGCGGGAAACGGCCGGCGAATCACGCGCGTGAATTTGAAGCTGTCCACGGCGACTTCCATGACGCAGGCCAGGTAAATGAGCATCGAGACCATGGGCAGCGCGATGGAAAACAACATCAGAAAGCCAAACATCACACACAGCTCACTATAGTCATCAATCGTGCCGTCGAACGCGAAGGTCGGTGTGCCGTAAGCTGAGCGGTACCGCTGCTCCTGCACCTGCGCGCCCAAGCTGTTCTCCAGCAGCTTCGCATCGGTAAGCAGTCCGGTTTGGGTCACGGGCAGCGGCAGGGGGCGCGAAATTGTGGATGACCCGGAGTCGTGCGAAGCTTTCGAATCGTGTAACCGGCTGTGGTCCTCGGCCACTTCCGCCGTAGGGCCGTCACGACTTTTTGGCTCATCTACTTCATCTCGTTCGCCACCTCTTCCGTCCGCGATTTTTACCTTCGCTGGAGGACGTGTACCAGCAGCAGGATACCGCTCATCGTCCACTGCACTCGTTTCTACTTTCGGAGAAGGCGCAACCGGAACTACCGCAAGACCAACCATATTCGTCGGTGGAGCAGGCACGACGATGCCGGACGTTTCTCGGCGTAAACCGCTGGGGCCGTCTTCGTCTTCCTCGAAGTCGCGCTTCTTCGGTGGCCGCACGGACTCTTTCGACGAGGCATTCGAGGAGCTGCGGTCGATGGGCAAGTCGGCGCCGCCGCTCTTCTCGGTGAACGAGCCCGCGTGGCGCGCTGCCCGGACGGCTTTCGCGTCGTACTCCGCAGTGTCGTCGTAAAAGTAGTCCGGCAATTCCGGTTCCTCCCCCACGTAGATAGCCTGTAGGGCGGCATTCTCGCGGTCGTACTTTTGCACAAGCTCTTCCAGCGGAGTCAGCCGGGGGGCGTCGTCGCGTTTATTCGGATCGGCAGCTAGTACTGTTGACGTTGCGTTTCCAAATGCCTCCTCAAGGGACATCTTCTTCGCTGTTGTCCCGCCTCCAACTGGACCGCTACGGTCGTTATCCTGCTCGTCCGCAGCATTATGCGACCCCTCGATCTGCTGGGAAGTAATGTCACCAGGAGCATCGAACACGGCAAGAACAGGTGCACCTCTAGCCCGCGGCTTCGACGGGTGGCTGCCTCCCCCTCCGCGCTCGTTGGGCTTCGGGAGCTTGTGCGAGGAAGCGAGCTGGAGTGTAGTGCGGGCATTCGCATTGGCTGCGTATGCATCTTCCCTGCTCGTAGGTGCAGTGTTGAACGTAATGTCGTCTAACTGGATTTCATTTTCCGCCTGTACTACGGTGTTCAACGTGCTCGAGGATCGATCTTGTTCGAGTCCCGCCTTGAAAACCGCATTAGCGAAGACAGGCCCTGCGGAGGAGGAGGGCGGCTTCGACGTCATCGTGCTGCTCCTCTCCAGGGTACTAGATTGGCGGTGCTCTTGTTGCGCAATTTTACCAGAAGCGTCTATCTGAACTGTAGCCGCAGGAGGTCCAGCTACCGGGGTTTTGCTCGCCTGGACCACTCCAGTTGTAGCGTCGTCGACATTTCTTTTACCATCGGCCGCGGGGCGCTCCATCTTTACGCTTGAGGTGGCAGCTGTATCGCCTGCTCCCGCGGTGGTGATGCCTCCGCCTTGGCCTGGCAAAGCTACGGTGGTGGATATTCGGAGCAAGGCCCGGCCGAGCATGCTTTTTTCGCCCTGTTTTGTAAACGCCCAGCGCTGCGCGTCCATCGCGCGCAGGTTGGTCTTCCGCTTCCACTCCGCCCACCAATGCGCCAAAATCGGCAGCCCCAGCTCCGTGACGTTGCGCGCCATGAAAACCAGAACTAATGATACCAGGGTGCGGTTTGTCGTCCCCATCTCGCAGGTGCTCCCGAAGAGAATCGACTCCTTCGGGCAGATGGCGTCGTACTGCATGTCGTACCATTCATCGCTCTTGTCGTTCCCGAGGCCCTTCGCAATCCGCCGCAGCAAAAATTTCTGCGCGAACGCCTGGTAAAACAGCGCGGAGTAACTGTTTAAAAACTGAAACACACAGCTTTTGATGGCAAAGGACTCCAAAAAACCTTCGTAGGTCGCGTGGTTCTCGTAGTGCGTGAGCCACAGCCCGACGTAAGAATAGATGGCGTTGAAGATCAAGACCACGACCGCATTCATCACGCCGATCAGCTCCAGCGAGTAGTTGTACGAGAGACTGTCACTGAACGAGATCATGGTGTGCTCGTAGATGACAAACTGAATACCAGAAACGCCGACCACGATGCACAACACCAGCGTGCAGAACAGCATGGAGCACAGGTTCGAATACATCGCGCGCGCGCGCGCCTCGCGAACCGGAAAGACCACCTCGTACTCGCCGGTGATTGCGGATTTCTGCTTCAGCCCGTGGAAGCGTTTCCGTGGTTGGTGTTTGCTGGCGTGCTTGTAGTTCTTCCCCGGAACCACCCCAAAAAGCTGCAGCATTTTCCTTTTCTGCACGCGCTCCCAGCTGGCAATGTAGGACGGGCCCCACCACGCCAAAAACGCAGCGTTCAAAAGCGGGACGCCGTGGCTGGCGGTCCACTTCAGACCGCTCTGTGTCGGGTCCGTCGTGTCCAGGTCCAGGTAGGAAATGATCGCCTGAAACAGCGTGACGAGTAGCCCGAACTCCGCGGGCGTCCGCAGCGCGCTCGCGAAGTGCCGCACAAACACGCAGTAGATGCCGAGCTTTTGCCCAAAGTACGCGTGCTCCGACCGCAGCGCCAGGTACTTCTCCAGCGTGTTCGGCAGCTTGGGCCTAGGCATGCCCTCGACGGACAACTTCTGAAACATCTTCTCGTAGTCGTACCTTTTCGCGATCCGGTCACTTTTACTCCCCCGCTTCTTCTGGAAACTGGTGGTGATGCGCTTGTTGGATGAATTTCTCTTGTTCGGGGACAACGAGTCATCAGAAATCCCAAAGGGATCACTGTTCTCCCTGTCCATTTCTTCCTGGATCTTTCGCAGCTCCTCCGCTTCCGCCAGGATGTGCTCCTTTTGATCGTCAATGTCGCCGAAAATCTCCAGTTTGCCCGCCACGTCGCAGATGCAGCCGTCGCTGTTAAGCACACGGTACGGATTGTCGTCCGTCATGTGCATGGCTTTTCGCACTATGCATTGCAAAGTATCCTAATCGCACTAGTACAAATCGCATGACTTCTCAGAAAACTTGTTATGCAGATTCAGATAAAAAAAACCGGATCTCTCATGCCAGACTGCAAGAATCTCGTACGAGTACTACGATACTTGTTTTGCAAGTCATACGCAGTGTCGGGCAACAAAAGCAGCAGAACTTCCGGAGCGTCTTCCTGGCGGACGTGCGCTTCTGCTTTTCCTCGTCCCGGTACTTCAAAACCGCGTGTCTGGCGCGCAAATACTCCTCGTCCGGTTTCGTAACAAAGTACCTCGAACCCACGGGAAACATCCCGCGTTTCAGCGTGATATCGTCGCCGCGGAGGAGATATTCCTCCATAGGCACGGTGGCTAGGGCTTTCAAACGCAAATCCTCCAGGGGGAAATAATCCCGCAGAAACACCCCGCCCCGGTACAGCAGCAAGTCCGCCAAGTCCAAGTGCGCCTCGATCGTGTTGTTGATCAGTTCCAACCGGTCGGCCGGACTGAAGTTCACGGCTACCTTTTTTCCCAATAAGTTGCGGACCTGGTGCTTGGCCCAGGGCACGTGTGATTTTCCGACCGAGTAGGGGTAGACCACCCAGAGGGGGCCGCACTCGCACCCCATCCGGTCCCAGATGCTCTGGAGCTTTTTCAGGGGCTTCTTGCGCAGCTTATACTCCCGATTCACCTCGAACATGGCGCGAAACGAGGTCAGTCCCTGCGTGCGCTTTTCCAGGTACCGGATGTACAGCGCCCGCTGCACTTGCGCCTTTTTCTCCTCTTTTGGGGTCAGTTTTTCTTCCTTCGCCGCTTGTTTTGGACTCTTCAGCTGCCGCTTACTAGAACCGCGTTGGAGCTGTACTACTTTGTTTCCGCCGGGAGCTGCCGCTCCGTGATTGTTCAACATCTTCACGGCGCTCGCCGCGGAAAACTTGCTGGTGGGCGTGCCACCGTCCGCAGCCAGCTCGTCTTCCTGTCGGCGGACCGTTTCGAACGAGTACAGCTCCACCAGTTTGTTGTAGTGGTACCGCCGGACCTCCCGCGGCATGGTGGCCTTGTGTCTCTCGAACACCTCCACCATTTTCTTGTACCTTTCGTACACGAAGCGGTCACCCAGGTAGTTATCCACCAACAGGTTGTTGCGGTCGTCGTGGGGTTCGAAGCCCTCCGTGTCCACGCGGTCCCAGCGCACTTTGGTCAGAAACCGCGAGTTCGCGGCCGCGCGCTCGATGTCGTGCTTGTCGGCGACGATGAGCAGGTAGATGTTGCGGTAGGACGGCGCAAACATCAAGTCCACGGTCAGGTCGCACTCGTACACCAGAATGTACACGATGGTGTTCCGCACGAGCGTGAGCAGGTCGCGGCAGTTCCAGTCCAGGGGTTCGTCCTCTGCGGTGTTTTGCTCGTCGCGCAGCGAGTCATGTCGGATGGTAGTGCTCGCGTGGCGGTAGCTGCCGTCGTCCATTTGCACGAGTGTTCCGCCCCGGGAAAAATTCTTGGGCGGCTCCGTCTGCTGCGTTTGCTTCTTCCGCTTTCCGAGCGAGGAAAGCTTCGTGAAGTCGATCGAACTAGGAAGCGCAAGCTTGAGAAACCGGCCCCTACTGCTGCCACCACCGTGGTCCCGGCTGCTCGCCGGCCTGCTCATTGAGGCATCCGTGCTGTCACTATCAATAAGACCACGGCTTTTTACATTTTGTACTTCGTCTGCTCCGGTATTATTCTCACTCTCGCCACCGCTACGTAACGCACCGGGGCCATTGGCATCGCCATCGGGGTTCGCAAGGGTCACGATTACGCTTGCATCGCTACTGCCCGACCACCGTGCGTGCTGCAAATGCTCAACATCGTCTTCGCAGTCAGCTCCGGATGGACGGAAAAACGCCCCCGGGCGTCGTACCGGCGGTGTCGTACCAGCGGGCGGGGCCGGAACGGGTGCGCCACGCTGCGGAAACTGGGCGTGGGGTAATACTTGCTGCAGGTTCTGGGGCGAATCCACAGCCTCGGACACGAAACCAATACCCTCCTCCGAAGCCGCTGACGGTGATATCATGGGGTCAGGGAGTCTCTGATGATGTGTTGAATAAACGAAAATTCTATCCGGAGTGGGATCACCAGTGCTGAGCGAGCAGTAGAAACTCTAAAAGGCGAAAAAAAGACAATTGCTCTTGGTCTTGTCCAAAGAATAGCGATGAGACCTTGATTTCCTATTTCGGCCCCGAAGTACCTCAACTTCCTGTTCGTCATCTGTTCGGATGATGGGCAGCATGAGATGGTGCCCTTCAAGTTCTATTTGTGCTCCATGGGAGAGATCGTCGCCAAGTAGTCCGTGCTCTTCGTCGAGAATCTCGTCTCGGGCAGTGTCCTCTCCCTCGCTCTTGCTTTTCTGCTTTGCTCCTGAGCCTGAAGGTGGTGCCGCAGCTCCATGAAGATCCGCAGTAGAACCACCGCGGCCCTCCGTTTTTGCCACACGGGAGCCAATGTTCCCGATTCCAGCGCTAGTCGTAGTATTTTCTGAAGGACCTCCAGCACGACCGGCAGCGGTACCTCCTCCTGCGAACAAGCCACCTCCCGCGTCCACCTCGCCTCCAACATCTTCCGGCGCGGCTACCACTACCTCGGGGGAATAGTTCAAATACCCGTACTTGAGCTTTTCGAAGGTGCTCAGCGCCGTCAAATCGAAGGAACTCAGCTCCGACCAGGCTTGCATAAACGCCGCCTCCAGGGCCCGATTTTGGATGGGAAAGATGTTTTCGTAGATGTCCTTTGCGTCGTCGTAGTCCACGGGATAGTTCGCGGGACCTTCGGGGTGATCCGGGTTCGGGACGATCAAAACCATGCTGTAGTCCAGCAGGTCGGGCGACCGCTTCATCTCAGTGAACGCCGGCACGCGGGCTTGCAGCAGCTTCTGCATCGTAGCCGACTTATCCCGCGGCGCTTTGGCATGGTGCGGTATTGCGGTTGCCGCGCTTGTTCCACTTGTTGCGGCAGATGTTGACACCCCAAGACGTTGAGCAGCCGCGGCGCTGACAGGTGGAGGTGCAGCCCCGGTCTGCTTGTTGCCTTTCGCGGTATTGAAAACATCGTTCAACAGCTGTGCCTGGGGCTGCTCCGCAACTGGGTCCGCATCCGAGACTACCTTAGCCAGCCGCGTCACTGTCTTTCCGGCCAAGAGATCCGCCACAGTGGCTGCCTCGAAGGTAGAAGTTGTACCTCCGCCTTGCGGTAGATCTTGGCCCGCTGCTCCTGCTGTATCGAGATCGACTTCGACGCCGGTGGAGGCGGCGGTTTTATCAGCTTGAGTAGTTTCGGGTCCGGCCTCGAGGTCTGGCGGCGCGGTAGGAGGCGCCGTTGTTTCTCCACCACCAAAGAAAGACCCGAACATCTTTGAAACAGGGGCAGCCCTGCTCTTAGGGCGGCCGATCTTTCCCTACTTTCGCCAAAATCTCTGACGACTTTACGACCCAACAAAAGCAACCGGCTCGTCCTCGTCCCAGCTCGAGCTCTCAACACCGTTATACACTCATACAACACCAACAACAACTCCGAGTCGTGTATTTGCTCCCTCTTGGTGCTGACCACTAGTAGTACCGCCCTGATCTTCAAGACCCCTCCTCGGGGCAACCGAAATTCAAATTCGGAGGAGCTGATGTCCCTCGCTCAAGATAGACCACCCACAAGCAGTGCCTCCTTACCAAAACCAGCACCTAAAGAACGGTGAAACGACAACGAGGCACTTTAAAGAAGAAGGCTGAAATGATCCGGAGGGAGCCGCCGAGGGAGAACGCGGCGACGTGGAAAGATTTACCACGTAGTCGCATCATCCTCCTGTGCCTGCAAAAAATTGATGTTGGTCTTATCTTCAAATATCTTCGCCTCTCGTCCATAGTCTTTGTTTACATTTTTGTGTCAGTACATTTCGCTGCAGAAGCACGTCGTGCCCCCTGAAATCGAAATTCCTTGTCGTGGCAGTATCTATAATTTCTCAGTACTAGAGTCATTTCCAGCCGGTGAAAAGTTGAAGTTCTTGTTACAGGCCGCCCAGCAATAAACGTCGTGTGGCTTTTTGTCTCGTTATATGTTTTGGTTACGAAAACGAATAGATACGAGCAGCGTCATTAGGTTTCGTATCTATAGCCAGTACAACACCGCCCAGATGAAGCAGCAGGTTATATGCACGGACCTACAAGACCGACCAGAACATTTTGACAACGTAAGCTTTTTGTTTTTCGCTAGAGAACGAACTATATTACACGTACACGGTCGTGTACCGCACCGCGACGAAATAAACATTTTTCTTATCTGTAGCCATCAAGTCGCTTGAGCTTGTCGACACGGCAACAATTATTTTTGCTTCTCCTTCTTCTCTGTTCTTCTACAGAGGCGAAAACGAAATATCAAAACAAAAATTACGACGTATCATATAAACGCGATACTAGGCCTTGGTCTTCAAGTGGCAGACTCAGTCATCATCGTCGCTTTCCTCGTCGGCGACGTCCCCATCCGGCGATTCACCGGTAGAGCAGCAGATTGCGCACTTTTTCTCCTCCCTCGTGGCGCCGGTTCCTCCACATTCGTCACGGCCGTCATCCTGATAGTAGTTGTCCTGCGGCCAACGACCAGTTTCCACCCAATCCCAGTCCTCCTCCGCCCACATCCATGCTCCTTCCGCATCCTCCATTTCGCGTCGCACAGTTTCCATATACAACGCAGAGTAGTGAGCGATCCGGGCCCACTCCGCCTCCGTGGGAGGACCGCGGTTGCGCCGACGTGGCATTCTTTTGCTGTTTTTGGTGTTAGTTCGAGCACAAAGTCTGGCAAGCTCTGGCTGGGGCTTGGTGCTCGTGCTGCTCTTGCCGGCAGAAATATCAATTATCAAACTACGCGAGCGAGTTCTTTTGTACAAGGTGGATCGCGATTTTGAAACTAGGTGAACAAGAAACACCGAGGATGATCAACATTTTGCGATCGATCATTTGAAGGTGACGATCTCCTGTGAAAAATGTTGCGCAACAAGACGCAAGCGCGAGCGCCACATCGGACGCAATGGCAACATTGCATTCCTCGTCGTAGACAACCACTTCATTCTAAAGCGGCAACAAGAAACAATTGGGATCACAGAAAACTAAAGCAGCAACAGAGAAGATCGAATTTGAGGTTGAGGCGACAAGCGCGAGATGTTGAAAGAAGAGGAAAACACCAGCATGATCGCTGCAACATTTTCTGTGCAGACTCTTTCAAAGCACGCTAGGCAAGCAAAGAGCCGTTCCAAAGTTGGTTCTTCGAAGTCGTGGTACAGTACTTAGAATAAGCAGCAAAAATAAATCGGGTCTTGTTGCATGATGCAGCACCAGTGTGAGAGCAGTCAATGTTGTCTCCCTTGATCTTCTCGTCCGGTGAAAGACGAAAAAGTGTTCGACGTCATGACCATATTGAAAAGCGACTACTAGTACACAGCTATCACTTTTCTTTACCTGCTGTCATTCGTCCTCATCCTCATCCTGCTCTTCTTCTTCAGAATATTAGTCAAAAATCTATAAGTCAACCGGGTAGCGCCATCCCACGACTCAGCATGGTTTCGCCTGACGGACTCGGCATCTACGCTCGGATAGCGAAAGACCGGCGGTTTGTAGCTGCTGTGTTGGTCCTGTGCAAAAGTATCGCACTCGTAGTAATTGCAGTCATGCATTACAAATCTCCTTTCCAACAAGGCAAAACAGCATGACAAATTTCATTTCTCATGCTGAGCAAACTTGTCATGCGATTTATACTAGTACGATACTTTTGCAATGCATAGTGTCGGCTCGAAGATGTTTTTTTCCGCGATCGCGCAGCTGCTGTGTCCTGCATTGCCTGTCTGCGAAATGCTTTCAGCGCGTCGACATTCACCCGCGAACCGTCGTCCTCCGCGATTTTTCCGCATGCGTCTTTCGTCGAAATTTCTGTTTCGTTTTGTTCCGAAGTAGAATTGGAATTCATCCACGACCAGTCACGGTCCAGACGGAGGTGCTTCTCTGTTGAGCAGTTTTCAACGCTTTGTTGCTCGTGGTCTTCAGTGGTTTCGTTCGTTTCGACGTTTTGCTCGTGGTCGGTGGTCTCAACACACCGCTCAGCCTCATCACCCAGCTCAGCCGCTCTGTCGCGGTCCTCATCCTCATCAACATGGCTCAACAAAATAGAAGTAGCCTTCATCTGGTCAACTACGACGTCCTCCTCGGGGCCTACCTGTCCTTGTCCTGCTGCTTCGTCGCCAATAGAAGTACCGAGCGGACTAGTATTATTTTCCTTCTCGTCGCGAGCACTACAACGTTCTTGTTGTTTGTTGAACCTTACGATTTCATGATCGTCGCAAGTAAAATCGAAACCTTGATCAAGCCGGATGTTCAACTGGTCCACCCGTGCCCAAAAGTCTAGCCGATGAAAACCTGGGATCGCTTGTTGCACCGCGAGGGCAGGAGCCAAGGAGCCGAACGAGAGAGCTTCGGCACGGCGGCGTCGGGAAATATTCTTGTGCTTTCGCCATACGAAAAACACGGACGCTACTAGTTTGTTCGCCTTGACAACGAAGAACTTCTCCACCAGAAGCTGCAGCTTCTCGTCATGGTCATCATCCACTGCGTCGTACTTCATCCCGTGATGATCATCCTTGAGCTGGTGCCCGATGAAGATGTTGTCCTCGTCGTGGCACAAGTCAGGCTTCAACATGATCTCCACACAGTCTTCGTGCTTTTGCTCGCTGGTATTAATGGAGGTGTTCTTCTTCTTGCTATCGTTGATTTTTACGTTGTCGTCCTCCACAACCTGTTCGTGTAGTTCCACTTGCTCGTGGTGAGCGCTGTTCTTCTCGCAGAGTTGCTTTTCCTGCAGCACAACTTGTTCGTCTTCCACTTGCTCGTGAGCGCTGTTCTCCTCGTAGAGTTGTACAACTTGTGCACGACCTTCATGCTCAACATCACTGCCAGTGCCAGCATTTCCGGGAAGAATCAAGGTCGGGCTAGTCGATTCTGATGCAATCGAAGATTCGTTCATCTTATCCTTCTTCCCGGATGCCGGTTGATGCCCTTGTGCTCCTTCTCCGAACTCCTGCGAAGGCGTGCGAGTACTCGAGTGGTCGTCCGCTTCTTCTTCCTGTTCGTCCTCGCTGCTGCTGCTCATCGGTACTAGTACCGCAGACGTCTTCCTCCTGTAGTTCCTCCATTTCGTTTGATATTTTTCAGGTTGAGGTTGTGGTTGAGCGTACACTCGCAATAAACGGCCAGGTCTTTTGTGGGCTTTAATCAACAGAAATGCGAAGAAATCCATATATTTTCAGGTTGATCTACTTCCTTTTCCTGCTGCTGGTACTTGACATTTATTGAATTTGAAAACCAGTCCCAAAACGAAAAGCGTATGCTAATACTATTACTAGAGTTGTTGTTGTACTTGTACTGAGATAAAATTAAAAAAGACTGACCAGGTGGGGGTAGCAGGGTCGTTTTCGATCGCACTCGGTGTACTCGCTGTGTCATGTTCGGTCTGGGTCGGGCTCCCTTGAGCCACGTTGCTCGTCACGTCCTCTTGCTGCGCTTGAGCGGCTTCCGTTCCTGGCACTGCTGCTGCTCCCGTCAGACCTACACCTATGTTTTGCTCGGTGTTGGTCAGTGCAGTACCATTTGCATTTTCATGTAGTTTGCTTGTGTCCTCGACGTCGTGGGTGGATTTTGTACTTGTACTTGCACTTGAGGAAGAGGATCCTGCTTGTGCTGCGTCCCCACCTGCCCCCACTTCTGTTGCCTGTTCTCCTACTACTTGTACTTCTTGACCTCGTAATTTCATCCTGGCCTCTTTCAATTTCGCACGGCGCTCCGCTGCACTCGCTTGTAAGATTGGTGCCTCCTGTGCCAACTTCCAGTTTCGGGCGGCACGCTGCAACTCTGCTCTTGTTGCAGGCCCACGCTCGACCTTCTGGTTGGATAAATAAACGTGCGGCATTCTTGGGCTGTCTAGATTAATCAACGTCGAGGATGATCTTCGGGGCGCGCCAAACTGAGCAGTAATGGGAATCGCTCCGCACGATCTTCACTGAATTGTCTTGCTCTTTGCAGCTTTGACTACTACTTATTGCAAAACAACAACGCCTAGTTATCGTCCACCGAAATAGGGCTTGGGATCGTCTGGTAGGGATCATGGACTACATCAAGCAAGTGATGCAAAATATCAAAAAAAAAAAAGAAAAACACCGCCACCGGCCAAGAAAGCCACCATAAACACACGGATCCAACACACTACGTGATGTTGAGTGTGAAATTATACGAAGCGAGGAAATAAACAGGAAACAAGGAGCCAACAAGCTGCGCAACATCTTCGTCCAGATCTTGATCTAGATGTTCAACTTCAAAGAAGATCAAAATCAACATCAAGATGTTGACATGATTCGAAAAAGTGCAAAAGTATGGACCTCTCTTCCGGCGAAAAGTCAGTGAGTATCAAGCATGATACATACACACACGATCCACGCAATGATGATGATGATGATGATGATGAGGTGGCACGCCCCGGCCCTCGTAGTTCGCACTTCTGATGGTGAGACACCACAAAGGCCGGCCAGTTCCGCACTTCTGATGGTGCGCGTAAGGTCGGCCGCCAATGCAGCCAGGCTTATGTTCTTATGTTATTATATATACTCCCAACGGTGAACGCAGCACCAGGAGCCCAAGCCAGACGAAAGGCACTGAAGCCTGGTAACGAACCTTCTCTCACTCCGGGGAGGTGCGAGCCACCTCGTGACAACCACAAACGGCGCCACCTAAATACTGGGATAACTATTAGACGGACTACCGTCGGCCAGACCGAAGTTTGCAAATTGGGCCGCATGATTTCATTCGAGCAGAACCTTCTTCACCTTTTTCTAGGATCAGCAGTTCTAGGTGTTGACCTCGTGCTTTCGTAGTGGCGACCCGCAACACGACACAAGCACCAACTACAACTAGTACATCAAAACAGCCTACAACTTACACACGACATCGAAATCGATGGCTTTGGTTTTCTTTGGTTCAATATCAGTTGCGTGAGCGCGGCAGAGGACGGTAAGTAACTTCATCACAACAAATCGAAGTGTCTCGTTCGTCGGCACAACATGATCATGTTCTTTCACTTAGTGGTTTTGCCGCACGATCTCGAGGATGAGTTCCTTACTGAGGCAACTAAAGTCGTCGGACTGTGTCACCTCGGCAAACACCTCTCGGTCTTCGTTGATGAAGAGGATGCAGTATGCATTGCAAACAAGTCTGGAGGGTCAGGAAAGATTGGACTTGTATTGCGTGTCTCGCATTCTTGAAAAATCTGTATAATTGCATAAGCACAAAAGCGCCACCACATTTTCATCGTAAATGCATAGTCGCAGGTTGTAGTATTAGCGCGTACTACTGCGTATTAGAGAGCTGCAATTGAAACATTTGCCATTCTTCGCTGCACTTACAGGCGCACTCAGTCATGATGACCATTCGGCATCACAAGTTTCCAGACCTGGATGACATATTTGCGATGCATATGCAGCGCTGTTTCAACCGGGGCGCGTTGTATCGATCCGAAAGGGACAGGACGTCCACGACGTTCTCCGCGTTTAGCATGTTCATCAGCGCCAGCTCGCAGAGCCTCTTCAGGCTGAGCACCTGGAAGAAATCCGCCACGGGGAGCATGGAGTACGTGTAGTCGTAGTGCTTTTCCAGCCAGTAAACCTGGTACTGAAAACGAACGCCTTCAAACGCGGAGGAGCTGGATGTTCCCAACGCGCCACAAGTAGAACTTGTGCTACGCAGAGGTCTGGTCGTCCTGCCGGTGGATGAGGTTGCTGCACTGGTGTGACCAGAACGATGATGTTGACCGACACCACTAGCACCGACTCCGCTCGACGAGGATGAGGCAGCCGCAGCTCCTGCGCCGCTGGCCCCTGCTCCTGCTGCGGACGGCGTAGGCGGAAGCTGCACGGGGGCGGCGAAATTGGTATGGGTGGCTGTGGTCCGTTCTTGCTGGCCGACAAGATGTTGATCCTCGTCAACTAGATTCGTTTGCTGGTATAATTCCAGCTCCTCAACAAACGCCGCGGGCAGGTACCTCGTGATGGTCGTGGTTGCCACGATGGGAAGTAGATCAAGGGGACTGTCTGGCTCCTGGTCAACACAACTTGGGGAGCCGCCGCGGGAAGATGAGCTACAGGACGATGAGCCAGCTATGTTCTTGTTCGTCCCCACAAGTGCTGCCGCGCCCGCGGCCTCCTCGGTCATGATCTCCGGGCTGGATCTCCAGCACGCTTCAGGGAAACGCGATTTCCGGACTTGCTTAGCAGGACCAAGAGGAAGAGCAGTAGAGGACGAGGATGAACTTCTTGCCTCGTTGATGTCCTGTGGCGGTGTGGGTGCAGCCGAGAGGGCGGCAGCAGCTCCTTCTTCGCTCAACAGAATAGGCTCAATCTTGATGTCGCTTGTAGTGCCACTTGCTGACGATGAGGAGGCATCGTCAAGTTGTAGTGGCTGGCCTTCATCTGCGCCGTTGCAGCTCTCATGAGTTCCTTCATCCTTGTGCTGCAATGGAGATGACGTCGCAGCCCTGGCCGCAGAAGATCCGGATTGCTGTGGCGAGTCGGATGAAGCAGCTGCAGCTGCCGGATCCCGTACTGATCTTGCTCCTTCCAATTCCAACGCTGTCACTGGCCGATCGCCAGTGCACGCATCGTGTCCATTTTGATCTTGAACTTCAAGATTGGCGTGTAATGTTGGAGTCGAACTGTTTACCAGTTCTGTTTCCTCGTCCTCATCGTCTTCCTCTTGTTCTTCATGCGTAGTTCCATTTGTAACATTGTTGATCCTGCTCCCCAAATCCGCTTCGTCTTGTTCAGAGATGACTCTGTCCACCCCCTCCCCGTCTACAACACCTATTGCTTGTGGTTCTGCTCGTCCCCGAAAAGGGAAATTAACATTGTACCATGCTCCAGAAGATCTAGCATTAGCAAGAGCTCCTGCAGTTGTTTGGTCATGTTCCGGATCCTCATAACTTGCGGCACCACGACCAGGACCCCCATCATCAACAACGCCACCCCTCGTTCTGTTCAATCGACCGCGCCTTGTATTTTCGAGCGGTGCGTAGTGATCAAGAGGCGACCAGAAGTTGTCTTCCTCATAACCCAGGTACCGGCCGCAGCGACCGAAATACAGAAACTCCAACAATTTCGAAAACAAATCCGCCTCGTGCTCGAAATCGATAACGATGTTTAGTGGCTGCTCACAGGAGGTGGAGTTAGTAGTAGAGCTACCTCCAGTTGTTCTGTAGTTCATCCTCGTCCCCCGTGCCTCCTCAAACTCACCACCCAGCAGCGACTCGAAATATGCGGAATCGCGAGCTATCCACAGTAAATTTCCCATACACGTACAAATGCGGTCGCTGCATGACAAAACTTGGCTTTGCTTCTAGTTTAGCATGACAAGTTTTACGCTCCAAATTGGCGACATTCGTGATGCATCTTGTACATGCACGGGAAATTTGTATTGCATACGAGCCAGGAAAATGCGATGGCCGTGGAATACGATGACGCCATCCAGTGTGTGCAGCTGCAATTGCACGTCCGAGCACGAAGAATCTAGTACTTCACGAGCAGGATCATCATCCTGCAGTGTAATTATCTTCTTCCGATCAAAGTCGACCCAGCAATGCTGTTCATGCTCTTCTTCAAGTAGGCGGCACCCTGCTTGTTGTTGACTACTCGTTGTAGTTATATCGGCGCTGTGGTCCATCAGGTTCCTCTCGTAGTTCCTCGACAAGAGTGGACTTGTCGCTTTTGTTGGAGATTGAGATTCTTCGTTGCAGTTAAACGCAACTTTCTTGTTGCTTTCTGCTTCCGCGGAAGAGGATGCGGGCGTCGACGGCCCGGTGGAGGTGACAGCGTGCATTCCACTATCGTCGAAGAGACTAATTACGCAACCCTTCTCAAGGGTTTCGCGGAAGGTTTTGCGATCGAGCAGCAAGGCCTGGGAAAACCCCGGCAGCAGAAAGAATCCCCAGTCGACGTCCGGCGCAGATGACGTGTTAAGACCGGGTGCACTAGGCCGCCCGGTCGTAGTACTGAACGTAGCAGCCTTGTGAGATTCGTCCGCTTCGCTCCTGGACGTTTCGATATCACTAGGGGCAGCACCAACATCAGGCGCCGCAATCGCGCGTTCAATGTCTAACGCCCATGGGAGGGATGAACAAGCCGGGACGAAACGCGGCCAGATGACCTGCTCCCCTGCTCGTCCCGTGGTGGTACAACTAAATGCGCCACCTCTACTGTTGGAGTGCTCCTTCGCCCTAGCTTCTATGGTCTGCCGGAGACCTCGCAGGCACTGCTCGAATCGCTCCAAAGACGCACCATCCAGAAAGCCCACATCAAGGTTAGTAGCATCGAACCAGCTACTGGGTACCTCTATTGGCCCCCTTTCGCCTGCTTGCATCCCAGGACCACCTGCTCCTCCGCGTGAGGTACGAGATGGATGATCGCTGGGTGGCTGCATTTGGCTGTGACTTTGCTGAAACAAGTTGGAAGTGCCTGTGGTTAATCGAGACGACCCAGAGGAAGTCGCGTGCTGCCTTGGTGGAAGAAACTGCAGGCGTCCTCCGCCTGCACCCCCTGGTCCTGTGGTACCCCCGAAATCAAAAGCCGATCCGTGGCTTGGTGGGTGCAAAATATTCTGAATTGTCTCCACGATCCCCAAATTTTCTTGAATTCCGGTAGGGTTGATGTTCTGCGCGTCTTCAAAATTTGAAGCTGCAGCCCCACCTCCACCGTTAAAAGAGGAGGAGCCATTGCGCAGTGGTCGCGTGGAGGTTGTAAAACTGTGAATGCGCGCGCCGCTCGCGCTCGCGATGTGCGGAAACTGAGAGTGGTTCTGTTGATTCAATGGAAAGAGGTTCCGATTTCTACTGGGCGAGTGGTCCTGCTCCGGTATGCTGGCATGCACTCGTCGCAGAGCATCCTCGAGCAACATTGTGGCCCCGGCGAGCGCTTGCAGCCCGCCTGCGGAGCTGCTATCACCACAGAAAAGCCTCGCAGCAACTTCGAGCAGCGACGACGCGGCTTTTTGTCGCGCATTTCGGTCAGCACTTCTTTCCTCGACAGTCTCAAATGATTGCGTCCTCTGCAACATCGCAGATGAAGGCCCGATGCCCGGGACGACGACCGGGTTTAGGTTTACTGGTAGAGGCGCCCACTCATCGTGACGTCGGAAGAGGTACTGTGCCCGAAAGCATTCGTCACACTCCGCACGCAACCTGTGAAGCCCGTACATCGACGCAAAACGCGCCATTTCGAGCAGGACTTGGAAAGGAACTTTCAGTAAATTTGAACCAGAGCAGGGAGAAGTCCCGGAAGTCGTGTTTCCACCATCGTAGCAATTCCTTGCCCTTCCAGCTGTATCATCATCGAGTGCAGCCACGCAAGAAGAAACTTTTTCGCCGACAAAAGACGGTGACGTTTGCTCGGAGTAAAGAAACCGCAGCACCTCCAACAAAGCAAATGCGCTTATGTTCGATAAGCGCACTGTGCGCCGCGTTCCTCCTCGGGTGCTCGTGGTACAAGCGTTCTTAACCCCCGCATCCGTTGTGTGCCCGATTTGCGATTGTTCAGACGAATTTTGATTTTCTGTAGGAGCACGAAGCAGCATTTCAGCGAACTTTGGAGCTCGCTTTCGCAGTAGACACGAGTGCGCAAACAAGGCTGTAGGAGAAGTACCCGCGTCCATACCGCCTGCAGCGTCTTCAGTCCTCGTGTCGCTCTTTTCATTTGGGCTCGCTGCGTTCGTCCTGCGGTCGTTGTTCGTTTTCCTGCCCTCCTCGATAACCACGAGCTCTAGATCTGCAAAACGCGAGTTGTTTAGTAGCTCCTCGAAGGAGCGCGCCTCGTGTGCTGTCCTGCTCATGACGCTTTCGCACGCAGCTAGGTTGTGCACGCCCCCGCAGGCAATCACGGTCACAGTGTGTCCGAAGAAGCCATCCCGCACCAGCACCGGACGCCACGGGACGCCGGTTGCAACTCCGGCTGCTGTCGCGCCGGACGAAGTTCCTGCGCCACCAATGGTCGGGGAAGATGCGAGACTGGACGAGGTGGGCGAGCAGCTTGCGGACGAAGGATTGTTCAGCCCGTTGATGTTCCTACTACTTCCATTGGTGGTGGTTGCTGCCAGGTGATCCAGGGTCGCAGAAATCGAGAGGTGATTATACAGGGAAGACGAGGTGGTCGTGTGCTGTTGCTGCTGCCGTCCCGTTCCTCCGATTGATGTCCCTCCCCGGGGTCCTGCTCCACCTCCGGCGGGATTGCCATTACCAGCAGTGACTACACCTCCTGCATTGCCCGTATTGTTCACCAGTGGTCCCCCGCCAGCGCTTCCTCTTCCCGGTGGAAGGTAGTGTGAAGAGGATGAAGCAGCTCCTCCACCTCCTGCTGCGATACCACCACTATGTCCCTGATTCCCTATCATCCCTCCGTTGGCAGCAGGGCAAGGAGTGAGAGCTGTTATACTACTCCCGTTTGCACCAAAGCTATACGCGTCGCCGCTTTGCGTCAACACCAGGGAATGCTGCTCTCCTCCACAGGCCTGAACGATTACCTCGCGCTGTAGTGCCTGGATTTGCGCGGGAGCAAACAGAAGGTGCTTGCTATTCGAGGCTGATGCACTTCTGGATGAAGAAGCTCCTGCATTTGGAGCCAGCACGAGCTGCAAACGATTGTCGTTTGAATTAGAATTGCCTGCTCCTCGTCCGAGAGCGCTCGAGGCGGTTCTTGATGATGAGATTCTTTTTTCATCGGATGCCGTGCCTGTTCCACCGCGCAACGGGCCGCCACTTCTGCGCCCCCCACCGCGCCCGAGCGCTGATGGCGGCGGATTTGGATTGATTCCGCACTGGCCACACTGGTTCGCACCGCACGCGAAAACGTCTCCCTGTGGAGTCACAAAAAGCGTGTGGGAGTCGCCACACGACACAGCGCAAATTCGTGGCATGTGCAGCTCCTCCGCGGTTGACGAAGCATTCAAATTCGACCTCCCGGAAGCTACTCCGTGGCCGTGCTTATGCTTGTTATCGGAAAACAGCACAGGCGGTGGCTTACAACCAAATGCGGAAGTAGAAGAAGATAATGGCGCCTTGGTTGATACTGAATCACCACTGGATGAGGAGAAAGTTCGGCTTTGGACAGGCATATTGCGCTGCCGTGGCTTCTTGTTTCCCTGCTGCTCCCCGACGGAGGAACAGCTGTAGACTGGCGAACAAGATGAACTAGACGTGAGGTTGTCGAATTTCACTAGCTGCGGTACCGCGGTGAACAAAATGCCGTCGGAGTCCGTCTCTGCAGTGAAAAAGTATCGTACTAGTATAAATTGCATTACAAGGTGAAATTTTTCGAAAAGAAAATAATGGATTTTGTAATGCTGACTTTCTCACCTGTAAATATGCATGACTGGAATTACTACGAGTACGATACTTTTGCACAGGATACCGTCTGAAACTCGTTCTCTAAGCGGTCTTCACTCAGTTGATCCAGGGGACCAATTCCGAGCTGACCATAGCTGGCAGCGCCGAACGCGTATACCAAACCGCTCTCCGTCAATACGACCGTGTGTGTGTCACCCGCGGCGATGTCACAGGCATCCTTTACGACACCGATATTTCTTTCGCAGCACTTATCTCCAGTTTGCTCCTCATGATCGCCTCCGCGGCTACGCTCCGCTAGTAGTACATCAGACGATGAAGCATTCGCTGATGCTGGTCGAACAGCTGTTCCGTCAAAGAAATCTAGCTTCACCGGCAGCGGCTGGTAGGGATAGCCATCGTCATCGTGGGGATAGGAAGTCAGGTTTTCCACCCCCAACTGCCCGCAGGCCCCAGCCCCGAATGCGTACACCTCGTGGGACGCCGAGACACACACGGTGTGGGCCTTTCCGCAAGCCACGGCAACGATTCTGATTGGCGCGTTGGTGCGGTGGTCGTGGTTTGCTGCTCGAAACGTTGATGACGAAGAAGATCCTACATCTTCAGAAGTACCTATTGACTGATGTGCAGCATTGTAGTTCATCTCGTCGTTGACGTTGACTACACCATCACCACCAGCGCCAGTACTAGTTCCCCCAGAAATAACGGCAGAGCCATCGAAATCTACGCGGCGGGGGATAGGCTGGTAGGCACAGCCGTCCTCGTCCTTGCTCAATCCCCCAGTTTTTAGTCCGAGTTGCCCGCAGCCGCCGCCGCCCCATGTGAAAAGCTCTCCCGCGTCGCTGATCGCGCAACTGTGGGCGTCCCCGCACGCAATCTTCACGATCCGCAGGTCTGCTCTGGACGACGTCGGCATGGGAATCCGGCAGGGAAGAGGCAGGAACGGGTAATCTTCCAGGTCCTTGGGCAGGGCGGAGAGATCCGGCAGTCCCAGCTGGCCGCAGGCACAGGCACCCCAGCTGTACATCTCGCCCTGGGTGGTCAGCAGAAGGCTGTGTCCGTCGCCGCCCGCGAGCTGCTTCACGGTGGGGTGCGCGGGGGAATAAGCGTGCCGGTGTTGATTTCGGAGCACCTTGATGTTGGCGTTGGGGTGAGCAGGATGTTCAGCGCTAGTACTACCGTCTGCTCGTCCAACGTCTCGTGCATAGTCATCCTGCCTCCACCACACACGCGTCGGGAACGGCTCGAAAGGCGGGTGGGAGGGATGCGACGACCCTGTAGAAGTTTCAGGGCGGGGAACACCCAACTGTCCCATCTCGCCGCTGCCCCATGCAAACAACAACGACATGTTGATGGGTCAGTATTTATTTTTTCGGTTTGTCTTTTGATTTGCTTGTTCCTTCAAGTAGCGTACAACTGATGCGCCGCCATAATGTACTAGCTCATCTCAAAGAATGTTGTAATAATTCGCTGCGGAGGAGGTACAAAAATCGTATATCGTATAAACAAAACGCAACTGCACCAGCCTAAATTCGCGGCATGAATTATCAGGAGCAGTGATGGCCAAGACGCTCCTCACACAATGACATTCTCCTTCCTTTTTCCAAAACAAACAACGGAAGCAGGTAGATCGGTATTTTTACGAAAACAGGACAATGTCACGACCAGCACGAACATCAATACAAAGTGATCAACTATAATCGGTGATGAAGAAGATAGCATTGAAGACAATCTTCATGAACACGATATCGCTCGGCTTGTGTTCATCGAGTGAAATAAAAGAGAACCTTTGCAAACGACGAGATCTTCAGGCTGATCTTGATCCTGCCTGCGTCTTGGCTCATGAAGATGAGATCTGTCTGAAATAAGTAGAGACAACACGTGCCGACGCCAAACTCTTGCTTCAACGATCGAAATCTGAACGAGTCCGATACCAACATGTGTTGCTGCCATTGACAATCTGAGTCTCCATTGCGCCCTGGTCAGGTTGAATCTATTCAAAAACTTCTTTATAGCGGTAGAGCAAATGCAACAAGAAAAGCATGCTGCAAAAGTTATCCATCGTCATTTTTACATCGTTCCGTGCTTTTCTCAACATCCTTTCTCGTAGCGGTGTTCTTGATGGTGTGATAATTACAGAAAATCATCGACTCAGTTTTTTTTTCATCATGATGTGAGCAAAAGAAGCCTCAGGTGGAGGTCGTGGTGGCGCCGAGAGACTTCAGATGAAGAGCAGCACCTCCACGACCGGAGCCAATGCTACTGCGATATTCGTTGGCGGCCGTGTCGATTTGCGATCGCATCGTACTGTGCCTGAAACCACTGCTTTCCGTCATGCAGAATCGTCTTTCGACCGCCGTCTTCCTGTAATGCAAGAAAAAAACTGTATAAGTGTAACTTTGTAATGCAGAACATGCAACACAGTGACACCTGCCATGCCAGACAACCATGAAGTCCTCTTTTCGCGTGTGTTTTCCCTTACAAGCCACGCATGACAGATTTTCGCTGTCATGTAGAGCAAATTTGTGATGCTGTCGACCAAGAAAAGTTACACTAACACAGTTTTTTTCTTGTATACCGGTGCTTCGTACACTACTATCATCGGCATCTGGCCCCGGAAGTTGTTGTTTCCGAACTTCGCTCCGAAGCACATGCTTTTATTTGCGAATATTTTATTTCCGGGCTCGAGCCACCGCTGCAAGATAGAAGATATCCGAAAAATCCGGCTGTTGTAGTCGTGGTACTAAATAAAGTTGTCCAGGAGGTCCTCGCTGTCTTCATCAAACAAGACCGGCGTCGTGGTGGTCATCTCTATTTGTATTCGCGTTCCGTCTCGGCAAACAACAAGCGCTGGATGTTCGACAGAAACAGGACAGAAGAGGCGCCATCTTTAGTCTCTCTCTCTGAGGCCGATCAGAACCACGCGCTAGAATACTTTTTCAAGGTGGTCCTGCTCCCACTCATCCCGAATATCAATCGACTTCTGGGACTCACGCTACTACATAGCATTTTTTGTCGATATTTTCTCACGACGGAAAGACAACTACGCGCATGTGCAACTACAAACCAACGGGAACAATCAATATTAAGCCAAGTTAGATTTTTTCGCAGCCCCCAGCGCATGCTCCTAAGTTCTCGACTTCAATATCTTTTTCAGTCCTGAAGAGTACTACAACAATGGACGCTATCAACAAGACCGATCGAAATGATTGATTCTAGTTGTTGAGAACCACATTCAGGCTCAACACCTGGCTTCACGACGACCCATTGTTCCACATAATTGCGAAGGAGCCCCCTAGCACCGACAGTACGAATGCGTATTCATCTTCACAACACATTGCTTCGCAAAAATCTATTTGCGTATCTGCCTTCATCACGATCTTCTGAAATAATAGGAGCCGCGTAAACCTAAACCTACGATAATTGCGTCCCCTTGGCCAAGACATTCTTCTTCTTGAAATTGACTATACAATACGCGACGACACACGAGATACCACACCCACACAGCACGTGCATCGTTTCCCCCGGATTTTGATATCACCGCACGAAATTGACACGTGAGTGCGACTGCTCTTCCCTGCTCACATCAATCCAACGATGAGGAGCAGCTTATCCTACGACCCTCACATTTTCGTTTGTAGTTTGCTGAACAGCGATCAGGATCAGTAAAACCCGGGTTTACTGATCACACTTTCGTCAGTTGAACCAGAAACATATTTTTTCTCGCGACAAGAAAGAGAAACGCAATTATGAAATCTTGTTCTCATGATGAATGGAATAAGCTGGCACGGTCCTCGTGCTTATCAATGACTCTACCACGTTAGTGGCTCTTCCACTTCGTGCTCGTTATTAACGTGATCGATGATAAGGAAACTTTTTTATGTGAATAAGAATGTCATGCGAAACTACAGGAAATAACCATATAACAAATGCTAAGTCAGGAATGGGTGTTGACTCGGGCGGCTTCTGCTGTGCCTGTCAGTAACTGTGACAGTGACTGCAACAAAGAAAGCTAAAGCATGGGTTCATTGATTTGACACAAAACTACAACTCATCTGTGCTGGTTATGGTTTCGGACTCGAAAAGGCTCTGCGTGCCGTAATTCCGCACCTCTCGGTATAGATCGCTCCGGTAGTAGAAGAATTGCAACATTCGTCGCTCTTTCGGCGTTTCGTTGGCAAGGCCGCGGTGGAGGAGCCTGTAATCGTAGAGGACACAGTCTTATCCAAGAAAAAAACACCATCACAATCACACTTAGGAGGTTTTGCATCAGAAATTTGTCTCGCGTGACAAATTTTTGTATTGCAAAAACACAAAAGGGAAATCGCCTACAAGTCTTGTTGAGCTTGACTGTGATGCATTTTTGCGCATGACAAAAATTTTTGTATTGCAAAAATGTGCAAAAGTGATTGTGATGGTGTTTTTTTCTTGAATAAGTCGCCCCGCCGAGCATTTTTCGTCGTAACAGTGGCTTCCACGAGCGGCCCCAAGGGTCCCAAGCCTAGCAGCCCTGGGTGCTTGTGCGACCCGGGCCAAAATTCCGTTCCTCCCATCCCCGGCTCGTTGTCGGTGAGTGCCAGAAACACGCAGAGGCCATACGCGGGGCTATGGTCGTCATTCTCGCGAAACAGCGGCGAGCTGGTCCGTAATATGTCGTGTTGTTGAGGTTCTTTCTCTTCATGATTCCGACTCAGAGGGAGATTCTGGTCTAGTTCCGGGTCCTGCTCCTGGGTATCGCTGTCGTACTCGTGGTGGTCGTCTTCAGCAATAGGAACAACTTGCTCGTTCTGGTCGTGCACATCACCATTTATTCCATGATCATGATGTGGCTTTTCTACCGCTGAGTGGTCAGCGACAGCACTACAGGTACAGCTGCGACCGATATGCGGGCCATCTGCGTGCCATGCCTGGTCGCCGCAATTAGCCATGTACAATACCGAAACGTCACAAGAAACTCGACCGCTGAACAAAGAACCTGCAGTTTGTACAGTGGATGAGCCCGCCGCAAACTGCGACGTACCACACCCGTCATAACTAGTCGGCATCAGTAACTGATTCACCACCGTGCCAACCCAAGGCCCGGCCTGTGCGGCTTGTCGCACAGCGGAGAACTGGACGTGTTCCTGGTTTGCAGCAGCACTGGAGCCTGCACTTTCTGGGTCTGGCCCTGCTACTGGTGCCTCTGGCCCTCGCTCTGGCAGTTGAACAAAATCTGCCTTGATCATTTGTCGCGTATCAATCGGAATTCCGGTGATTAATCGGGCATCAAACCTGTTGCTTTCTCGTGATGCCACCTCTGCAAAGTAAATACCGCTGTTCGAAGTAGTAATTATAGTGTGACTTGCCGTGGCCGCGGCGCGCTGTCGCAGCGCGCTTTTGATGCGATTCACTTGTCCCAGAGCCTCGTTGTCCAGGGTATCGATGTGCAGCCGACTTGATTGATTTCCTAGGTTGAGAAAGCCCACACGGTGAAGGAAAATGTGTGCTGGTGGTAGTAGGAGATCATCGCGGTAGAAGTCGTTGTACTGCAGATAATTACGCAGCTGCAAGCGGGGATCATCAGGTGCTGGCCCGAACGACGAGGAACGGTAGTGGTCCTGGTCCTTGGAAATCGAGGCGCTTGTCTTATCTTCGTGAACAACCTCCAAGAGTGGTATCGGGCACGGGACGTCTGCGAACACCTCGACTACTCTCTCGTCCTCGTTCGCCTCGCCTCCTGCTCGCATAATAATTCCACCTTCTTCCTCCTCGGAACAAGTTCGCATGGGAAAGTCTTCCTCGGGCAACGGTTTCGAAACAGCACAAACACGTAATGTGCGTCCATCACTCAGTTTTTTCGTCGCTCCGTCTACCCATCCCAAAAAACCACTGTGCTCCTCGACGAGTTGCGTCGTGTCGCCACGATCGTTGTTCCTATCGAGTGCCACACAGGAATATAGGCGCGGAGGCAACACACTACGTGATAAGGTCGTCATTTTTGTAGATAATGGCGAACCTCCTCGTCCTCCTGCTGCAAACGATCCATTATACAAGAACGTCGTACAAGTAGAGAATGTTTATTTTCGCGAGCTGGACTTGAAACTCCAAGCGCAAGCCTTGGTAGTAATTACGACAGCTCCGCATCAGCATCTGGCATCGGAAACTAAGACAAAAACTACAGGGTGTACGTGGGCACTGAGCCTCAAGGTCAAGATTTAGCTTCACTTTCGAACGACCGCTGCTGGAAAAGTCAGAATACACTTTTTTATTGCATATTCTTTCATAGGCGTAGTCGTAGAAACCAGTACGGCAAAAGTGCGACGGCCGCCTACAACTACTCTATGCTAATGACTAGTATTATGTGAAGAATGCTGCATAAGCATACAATGTTGATGAGCATAGTTGTGTCTCCCCACGTCAAAAGGAGGCGTCGGCCTTCCGCCTTGTAGCCAGCGCTTTGTTGTTCGTCTTTTGGTTTTAATACCGAAGTCCTCGACGAACTCCCTTATTGTCATAACTATCATCCTTGTTCCTGAGGTAATGCGACTTGCGCAGCGCATTAGATGGATACCGACAATGATCTTCATCGTCCACCAGAACCGACAGATGTATAATTGCCCCGATTGAATAATTCTGCGACAAGATGAGCAACAAGTTGCAGTTGCACCAACGCCATCATTTGAACGAAGATTGATGTGTAACCGAAACCGATAGTACGTCATGGCGTGGAATACAACAACCTAAGAAGTTGAGCTATCCTATGGTGCTGATCATCTCATCTGATTAGCGATGTTTATGCTGATCATCATCCAGGCGTCGGGCCGCGACCCGCCTGGACATCCGCGTTTATGTGCATCGCAAGATAACATCCTTGCGTCACGAATTTCCCGAGGGTGAGGGACCGTCGGGGCTCCGCTTCAGGTGGTCGCTAGCCACACCCACAGCACCGCCCTGGTGAGGCTCCTGTATCAATCTGTTTTGCGGCAGGCCTGAGTCATTGATCAGAAGTTTGTTTTTTTTTTCTTCTGCCGGGGTGGGGCAGCAATGAAAAACAGCGCTAGCTCCTTCTCGTTCATTTTCAGCCGCCTTCTTGTTTTTGTTTACTTCCTCGTGCACATGGTCGTGATCTCCACTCGTCTTCGGGGCTGTGCTATTTTCGAGGGCCGCGGGAGCCCCGCCCTGTTGTGGAGAATCAGAGTGGTCCTCCAGCTGCTCAGATGGGGGCGCATGGGTAAAGCGAGGGGCAGCTGCGTCGCGCTCTCGAGCATCGTCGTTGTCGGGAGGGTGCTCTCCGTGATGTACATCGAGCCGTGCAGCCTGTTCCGCAGGGCGCACCAGCGTCGTTAACGCGCCCGCGTCTACATCGAAATCTCCCACGCCGACCTGTGCCGACGCGCTCGACGTCGTCGATTGAGACTCTTGACGCTCTTGGTCCTCGCGACGCACCACTCGACGGCTGCTGGTCCAGAACGGCAACGGTGCCAGTAAAGCAAAAAAAACAAATAAACGAGCACGGCACAAACAAAGGAGCCGACTCCTCCGGCCGCCCAGGACGCGGCCACACCGAAACATCCTCACCTTTGTGGTCCGTAAATGCAACCGAAACCGATAGCGCCACAGGGCTTTGATTTCTTCATACCTCCAATGCGATGAACCATGGTCGTGATCATTTCTGATTAGGGCGTGCAGCTCACGAAGATGACGATGCTCATACTGATCATCATTACAGATGCGCATTCCGTATTTTGCCGAGAAATCGAGTGAAGCTGAAGCACGAGCTCAGACATCATCTTCATACATCAAACATGATTGATAGCTCAATAAACACAGAGACACGACATCAGCTACTGCCGCAAAACTTCTGCTGCCACTGACGCTGTCGTGCCTGCGACAACGACAGGAAATACAATTCATAACATATCTTCTAGATGTAGCACATGTTGCCACGTGCCTGATTGCTAATGCTATGAGTTGCGCGCCTTCTACTCCTAGCGATTTTGAGCTAGTGGAAGATTGGAATCGGATCAGTCTCAAGTTCCAATTTCTTGTGGCGCACCACCAGCATCGCGCGTTGTCGCACAGAGTCTTATGCCATGCCCATGCAACTATATCCACCACTATATTTTAGCTAGGACCCCATCACAAAGTAAGAACTCAGTTATACCTATGCGCCATCACATTCAAGTGTAAATGGCAGTTAGCTATAACAAATAAGATCATGAACATGCCTTATTGGTAATCTTCATGGGCGATTCTCTCATTTTCGCCATCGCCTTTAAACTCTATATTAAATTTCCATTAATTTTTGCCGGCACACGAATAGAAGAAGATGAATGTCGATGATCAGTATGCCTATGCTCGTAGAAGTTGGAAGCCACAAAACCAATATGGACTTGGACACCCGTCAGAAACATGGGTAGAGACTTTCTGGTGACACGCGAGCAGTTTGCCGCAGAAAGGATCGCCAATAGAGAGGCTTCGGGTGGAGGGATTGGCGTCGTTTTCTTTTCGGCCGGTTGCCCGGCGCAGGGGGGCCAAACGCGGCGCCAGACAGCTCACACATTTGGGCAGATTTAAACAGTCTACAGTGTGTTTGTGCCCTAGGCACGCCCACAGCCACCACCCTATCAAGTCCACCACCTTGACAATTTCCTGCTTTTTTGGAATCCGGGAAAAAGCTGACTTTTTGGCAAAAAATTCGCCAAAGTGTCAGAATTTCCGAGATTCCAATAATTTCGGCCAAGTTTGAGAGCTAAACACGGCGGCACTCTTGGTGTCACCGGGCTCAAAATCGAGCCCGGTGACACGGAGCACAAGTCGGCTGTCACCGAGACGATTTCTGGAGTCGCCATCGGCTGTCACAGGTCGTGGTGACACCAAATTGGCGATTTTTTTGGCTCCGTGTCACCGGCCCGCGTCACCACTCGTGTCACCAACCCAAAAAGTTGCCTCGATTCCCCCCCACCCCCGCTTGATATCTGTCCAAATGGCCCGGAAATAGGCTTGGTAGCTGCCACAGTGGACCCCTGATTGCACGCGCAACAGCCTGGAGCCAGCATCTTTGTGACGACTCCAGGCTTCATAACTGCATCCATTGAGGCTGTGGCAGAGGCTTTGCCTCTACATCAAAAGGTCAGGGCTAGCCGGCCCATCCTCCTCGCGACTCTGACTACTTACAGTCAGAGCAGCGACCTTCACTGGCTGAGAAAGGACGGGCGAAAGAAGCATCGACGCAGGCGCTGAGACCTAGCACAAAGGTCGGCGCTGGGGGGGGTGCCAGAAATTCATATTGCTCGGCAGTCACCTGAAAGTCACCGACTGAATTCCTAACGTCCGTCCAAGCTGTAAAAAATCAACCGTTATAAAGATAAAGTTAAAAGGCGAATCCTCGCAAATTTAAACTTCCTGAACCTCAAGACGCAACAGCATCTAAAACCTTAGTGGCACTGTTGTCTTCCAGAATCAGAGTCAGAGTGTCGTGGCCTGGCTTGGCTGCGGGGTGGCGTTCCAGAACTTTAGGAGTGGAGCTGGAGCTATTCATGAGCTAAAACTTGACCACGCATACCATTGTCAGTGTGAAAAATATTGTTTTAGTCACAGAAACAGTTGGAGATAAATGACCACGACGGCCCCCTCCACGTGCCTCTGATGCTGTTGCCGAAATGATAGAATTTATGGAAGCGTCAGGATCGAAATTTTCAAAATCGAAAAAAAAAACTAGGTAGGGTGTTTTATATAGAAGATGCATCTCACAATTGACATATCTATTTAGCGCGGATGCGGACGCATCCGCGGGCGCAGTTTTGAGCTAGCTAGTTAAACACCCAAGATACACTATTTGCATGCAAGCTATTTGTGGTATGTAATTAAGGCACCTCAATTTTTTTTTTCGATTTTGAAAATTTCGATCCTGACACTCCAATAGAATTTTTTACAAGGATATTAATATTAGGTCCTTCAAATAAACTAAAACTAGTGCCTACAGGTCAACCTCCTTGGAGGTTTTCACCTTGGCGTGTTTTGGGCGGCTGACCTCATGCCACAGACACAATCCCGTAGTGAACAGGAAAAAGTATCCGCTGCAGAGCAACGGCGCGACGGATTCCTGCGCACAGAGCGTTGTTATCAGTGGGTGGAGGCTTGTCGTGCCACCGGAAGTAGGCTGCAGCTCTGACAGGTGCGCGATCTGGCTTTGGTTGACAGATGTTGTGCCGTCTTCTCCGAATGACGATGTAAAGACTCTTGGTTGTATCGTTTCTACACCAGCTGCAGTTTGCACCGCCACAAGGTCCTCTACTCCAGCCCTTCTACCTGGAGCTGTACTTTGTCCCATGTTGATGTTCTTGACCGCTCCTTCTGGCGGGCAGAGCGACTGAAGCAGGAAGCCTGGAATCAGCGGCCCGATGGAGGCGCCAACCATGAAGCTCACGGTCGCCAACGAGTTACCAAACGTGCGGAGTTCGGGGTAGGGAATGGCACTGATGGCGATGCCCTGCAGGGGACCCACGCTCGCGGCGCCGACGGCAAACACGATCCACAAAAAACACGCGGCGGGTGCGTACTCCGCTTCCCCGTGCATCCAGTTACCGACCGTCCCCGCGATCGTGCTCAAGAAGGAAAAGCCGAGGAGAATCTTGTAGGTGCGGATTCTTCCGGCTCGACCGTGGTAGCCACCTGCAATGTTGAGTTCGAATTTCTTCAACTACGTGCGTTCTATGTACTAAAGCGTATGCGTATAGAAGGAGGTTCAAAAGATCTTAGTAGAGGACGACCCCATACTTGTTTCTCATTCTCTCGCGGTTTTTAGAGGTCATGCATTGAATAGCCGTAGCTAGTGGGTGGTTGCATGACGCCCTGCTAAGTGGAACCCTGTAACAGAGTAGCGAGCCAATATTTTTGAGTTTTTCGTTCGTGGTCCACGTTGTAAAAACAATTCCGATTCCGTGCCACGAAACTATACTCTTACCGCACATGTCGATAAATTTCCCACCCAGAAAGATTCCCGCGGCTGGTCCGGTGAGGAGTAGCACGATGGTGGAGCCGACGATGACGCCCTCGGAAATGGGGTGGAAAACCAACCGCAGATATTGTGGACTCCAAAATTGCACGCCTTGGGCGACCAGGAAGACGCAGGAGAGGTTCAAAACCGGAATCGCGTAGTTCAAGTTCGTCGCGAGCACACGGAGACTTTCCATTACCGTAAAGTCTCGGACGGTGTAGTCCACATCGCTTGCTGTTCCGGAGTCCTTATCCTGCTGATCTTGATCTTTTGCTTCAGCGATTGTAGCAGCAGTTATTACGGTGGTGCGCTCGTGATCTACTCGTGTCTTATCTTCGCTTGCAGTTGCGAATGGTCGCGAGGCAGAAGCAACAACACCTACTGGGGGTCCTGCACCACCTACTTCGGTTGCCGTGCTTTGCACGCCGATGCCGAGGCTTTCGTACGCCTGCCCATTGCCTCCTCTTTTTGTAGTCGTACTATCAATACGGATTCTTGCGTTCCCCGAAATGCCGGCGGGACCTGCTGGATTGGGAGAGGACGCCACGACCTCCGCTTCTAACGGTTGTGCGCCGGTCGCGGGATTGTTCTCCTCTCCTCGTAGTCGCATGACCGCCGGGTCTACCAGGATGAAAAGCAGCGCCGCAGCGACGAACGAAGCGATGCCCTCGACGGCCAACGCTAACCGCCAGGTGTAGTGAAATTTCTCGTCGTGCGTCATCGTCGCGGTTGTACTACCACCACTCTCCACCTGCTTGGACGACGAGGACACGAGAGCGCCCCCGACGATGTAACCCAAAATCACGCCGCACAGAATGCAGACGAAGCGAGACGCCTGCCAGACGGTACGGGAGCACGGCGGGGCGCGTTCTTCAATCCAAACTGGGTAGTAGACGTCGACGGCGCCCTGAAAGGTCCCAAGCAGAAATCGTCCTACCAGCATCATCCGGATGTCTGTCGCTAGACACATGGGCAGCAAAACGGCTAGGCCCAACAGCGTCCAGTCCAGGATGAAAAAGAGCCACTGGCCCCGCGCAACCACCGAATCGAGGAAGGACCAGGCAATAATATCAAGCTCTGGTTCGCTCCTGCTGCTTTTGCTCGCACTGGCATTATTTTTCGGGTTGTTCTTGTTCGCTTGTTGAGAGATCTCCAAGAGCGGTGCTGTGAGCGTCGTCGCCGTCGCGCCGCCGTGCGGAGAGACGGCTGATGAAGACGTCGTCGTCGTCGCCCTCCTGTAGGCGGCATGCAGCGAGAGCCGGAGTTTCCCCTGCCTCGCCTGCATTTTCGAGAAGATCACGCCGAAGAACGGCATGGTCATGAACATGCCGTAGTAGCCGACGCTGCCCAGAACGCCTGCCAGCGTGAGATTGTCCACGTGCAGGTCTTGCAAAATGTCGGACAAGGTAGCAGTCACCGCACCCAGGTCGTAACTGCCCGCCACCCCGTAGTAGAAAGAGAACACGCAAAAGATGCGCCACACCTGCGCCTGTTCCTCCGCGGTTGTCGTCTTCGCAGATGAACTTGCAGAGGAAAAGGCATCCTCATTAGAATCTTCTTCACGCGAGGTGGTCGTGCTGTGCCTGGAATAATCTCTTCCCGCTGTAGTACCCGCATCGCTGCTGAATCGGTTTACCGATGAAGAGCAATCTTGTTCGCCACCGGTAGCGGTTGTCGCAGCGCTAGCCGTGCTGGCAAACTCGGTCTTTCTAGAGACCGCCGATCTAGATCCAGTTACATTGTTCTCGTCGACGGCAGTGGTCCTCACGCCCTGAGGTCTGTTGTCACCCTTGACTGACATGGTCGTGCTGCGTAGTCGTAGGCCTCCACTGCGCTCCCGAAGACGGTAAAACGGACTTTCCGCACTGCACGTGAAACACGTAGCCCGACGAGGGAGCGATAATTTACAATATTGTTACACAGAAGATGAAATCTTCATCTTGGAGATCGGTATTGTTACACATGATCGTGATCGTGATCACATTTGACAATTTCTATGAGCCACACTTCGACAGCTTTGGAAATTTCATTATTTATCCATTTGTGCCTACCACAGCAAAGCGACTGGTGCAGTAAAAATGTCAACATCGATCTGTGGTCATGTTGATGACCTTGCAATCGAAGAAGATCGCGGCCCGCCGCTCTGTTTCGCAAGCGTAACCACCATAAAAGCAAATCCACAATCTATATCGTCTTAAGGCCGACGTCGTGGAGTTGTATCCGAGTATTAAATATAAATAATCGCTCGTCCCCGTCTTCAAAATCAAAATAAAAAAATCATCCCTCAACATACCCTCTATACTAGCAGTCGTCGCACAGAAAACCAGAACATTCAGCGCCTGTGATCAACAACGCATCAAGCAGGCATGTTGTGGTCTACCATCATTCGAGAAGCAATGTAGCTCGATTTGTGCTAATTCTATCAAATCAAAGAGTTTAGTTCGCGACTAGAAAGCCCCGCCGAAGCGATAAGTGGACAAGGCTACTGCAACGGCATGCGGAGACTTCGATGACCTAGAAAGAAACGGGACTCCGCCCGTCACCGATCTGATGGAACAGGCAATCTCGCTGCAAAAAAGGCGAGCAAAGGAGATGAAGAACAGCGCGTCGAACGCAGACCACAACTACACGACCTACACGTATTTGGCTTTGTGTATCAACCAGAGCAGAACTGTATGAACTGCAAAAGTATCGTACTAGTATAAATTGCATGACAAATTCCCTCAGCATGACAAATGCAATTTGTCATGCTGATTTGCCTTGGGAACGAGATTTGCATTTGTAATGCATGCCTGCAATTACTACGAGTACGATACTTTTGCACAGGATAAACCGAGCCGCCGGAGGAGGTGGTTGCGGGCAGAATTTCGAAGTCGAATATGCGCTCCGGATCGCGCCCCCAGCCCATCTCCGCGACGAAGGTGAGCACGTCGTTCTTCACCCCCGGCCAACTGAAATCGTCCCCGAACAAAATGCCGCCCGGCGCCAGCACCTCGTAGTACAATTTTAGCTCGAGTAAGGTCTCGTGCGCCTCGTGACTGCTGTCGAGGAAGATCACGTCCGGGTGCCACTTCATCGCCTTCAGGAACCGCCCGCCGACCATGCTCGTGGCGTGGAAGGGCAGGATGTGCAGCGGGGAGAGGTGGCGGGAGATCTTGAACTGCACGTTCGTCATAAAATGGTCGAACAGGAGAAACTATCCTGTGCAAAAGTATCGCATTCGTATAAAAATAATGCAAGTCTTGCATTACTAATCCTTTTCTTAAGATCAATCCGCATTACAAATTTCATTTCTCATGCTGAGGAAATTTGTAATGCATTCATACGAGTACGATACTTTTGCAGTGCATAGAAACCGCCCGTCCCGGACGGGAGACATCCAGTGCTGCACCTCCACATCGTGGTCCTTGTTGGCCTATCAAATGTAAAAGTGTCTGGGTCTGGAAGATTGCAACTTGTCATGCTAAATCTGCAGCATGTAAAAATCTGTGTTGCATGATTACCAAAAGTCGTCCAGTTTTGACCAAGTCGAGAGGGAGTTTCTCATGCAGGATAGGCATGAGAAAGGTCTCGCAGAATCTGTCATGCTAGATCCTGCATTCCAGTCCTCATGGGTCATGGAAAAGGAGCATGACAAGTCGCGCACTCTTCCAGACCCAGACATTTTTGCATTTGATATGGCCCACGTATTTAGGTCTCCCGTCCACGGGTCGATACACAGAATGGGCACCTCCGCGAGCCCGATCGCATCCAAGATCGACCCCATCAAAACAGCACTGTGGCCCTGGAAAGAACCAACCTGAGCAGGAGAAGCGAGGTTTTGTGTAAAATATCCGCAAGAGAGGAAGTAGAACAGTTCGATTTTTTTGCTTGTAGATGCGGATTTCACGCATAGATTAAGATTCATTGACATGGGAACAACAGGATAAATTATTTTTTGTTTCACATTCACCTCAACAATGAATTTGGGCTCCCTGGGGTGCAGCCGGTCCAGGATCTTGCTGATGAAGAAATCCGGCTGCAGGTTGCTGTGCGGAAACTTCCCAAAGGTCGGAGACATGTTGTACGGGTTCGAGTACTCCACCACGACGTGTTTCTCCTTGTGGCTTACGCCGTACAGCTTGCGATGAATGGTGGCAAAGTCCGGGAACGTCCAGCCGTCCAGGTGGTCGTCCCTTTCGTAATAGATCGGCTGAACGTGGTACAACGAGTTCTCCGGGCCAATCCCCTCAATCACCTTGCGTGTCAGGTCGGGGTCTTGCGAGGACAAAACCTTTCGCTTGCTTTCGGACACTATACCAGAGTTCGGCGCGATAGTACCAGAAGCTGACGATGTCGCATTGATGTCAACAGCACCAGTACCAGTACCAGTACTTCTCTCCATCGTACCATCGGAGGCAACCGCGGTTGATGTTACCCCAGTAGAAGTAGCGCCTTGTTGGGCCACTGCCGTCCTGTTGATGCGTCGCTTGCGGTGCGGGGTCGGTTTTCCATCATCCGGATATGGATCGTCCCTCTCGCGGCCTTCGTCCCTGTCTATTCTGCCGGAAGATGCAGCTGCTGGGACAGAAGTCCCAGCAGCATCGGTCCCGGCTCCTATCGCGGTTGCGGGTGTCGGTGCCTTTTGACTTGGTGTGGCGGCAGTTTTGATTTTCCCGTCGAGTAGAGGATCGAATGCATGGCACGGCGGGCAAAAAGTAAAAGACCGACTATGGAAGAGCAGCGCAACGACAAAAAAGTCGTCGAAGCGCATCATATCTAATGATCTTCTTCAGTATCAGTGCCGCGAGGTCGCGCCGCGTGTATCAGGATCTTTATTCTCTGCGAAGAAACCGCGGTTTCATCATCATTCTCTTCACCTTCGCCGTTTGGCGTTGACGACCTTAGCTGCTATACACCCTATGTAGTGTCGCGAGAACAAGTTTTGGATCTTCAAAATGCAAAGCCTCAGAACGGCACATCGTTGGTAACAACAGAGAGCTCTTGTAACTGGCAGTTAGTACAACATTCCGGTGCTGGTAGCAGGAATCAAACTATTTATTTTAGAGCGGATGCGGAGGGAACAATGGGCAACGAAAAATTACGAGTGCATGATGTGCCGTCATCGCGGCAAAGGTGTTTCTCCTTTTTCAAATTCGAAGCCAAAAAAGAATGATTGCAAAAATCTCCGTGCTCATGAACTCAACAACAACAGTTGTCAACCTGAAGAACAAAGAGCTTTCACTTTTATTTCGTTTTGTTCTGGTGGAAGCGCGCTCGCAGAGATAAGTCTCGCCATGCACATACACAAACCGGGTTCGGGTACCACATCACAAGTTCTGAAGATTCAAGATTCCTCAGCCCCAGTAGCCCTCCATGACGTCTCGCAGCTCCGTCTGGTATTTCCGCTGCTGCGCCAGCGACTCCGCTTGCTGCTTCTTCTTCTGTCCACCCGCCTGCTCTTTCCTGTGCAAAAGTATCGCACTCGTACTAATTGCGTTTATGCATCTACAAATCTTTTTATCGAGGCAGATCCGCATTACAAATTCAATTTGTAATGCTAAGTGAATTTGTAATGCAATTCATACTAGTACGATACTTTTGCAATGCATATGCTCAACCGGCGCGGCAACTACCGTCGAAACTACTTGCCTCTCGACGAGTTCACAGCGCAGGTTCTTCCACTGCACGCCGCAGCAGTGTATGGGAGTGTCAGAATCGACATCGTCAAAGTTGAGATAGTTTGCCATGCATAAAACCGATACCAGTCGAAAGCCCACTTATCAGGGGGCGCATGACAAATTTTCCGAGCACCGGAATCCAATTTGTCATGCTGTTTGGGCACAGAAGACTGCTTTTGTCATGCTACTTTAACAGCTCTATCTCAAACCCTAAACAGGCTCACAATCGGCCTTGCTTGCCATCCCGGCAAGACAGGCACTTCATGCCTTGCATCTTATGCATGACAGTTTCAATAATTTTGTCGATTTCAAACCTGACGCTTCCATACAGTGCAGGCCGAGAATGTGTTTCGGCCGCTGTTCCCGCTTCCACTTGTAGTACTCCTGTTTCAAGCAGCGCAACGCGGCGTCGGTAAACACCCGGCGGTCCAGGCAAGAAGTGTTGTAGGTGTCCGAGTAAATCCCCATGCCCATGTAGGTCTCGATTGCCGTAAGCACTTCTTCGTCGTACTTTGCCACGGAGCGCGACTCCGCCTCGATCGATTTCAGTTCAAACTGGTACCACTTGTGGACCCGCTTATGTAAAAATCTCCTACTTGCTCCTGGGCGTCGTGTGGTGGATGTTTGGCGTTCAGTAGTTGGAGAGTCATCTGCGTCGGCGCCGGCCGCAGCTGCTGCATTTATTTTGCGTTCTTCACCTGTTCTTTTTACTGGTGATGAAGATGCAACTTCTACTTCAACTGCTTCGTCTTCTTCTTGTTGATCATGCCCAAAACGAGCATTGCTCTTGCCATTCGCGGCGCCACCGGTAGAAGTCCTTGTACCCACGACCTCGTCGCACCACTGCCCCGTCTCGAGGACGTCCTCTGTGACAGTGGTGACACGCATCGTCGCTTCCCTGATTTTCATCTGAAATAACGCACAAATGCTCTGCCAGAGATCGAACCCCCGTGGTGGGAAGAGGTTCAGAACGGCGCTGGCGGCTACGCGCGTGTCGCTTCGGGCGTCCAGACCGTCGGCGTTTTCCCGTCGCGCAGCTGCGTTGTAACTGAAGGAGGACCGCGATTGAATCCCGAAGCCGCGATCTAAGGCGTAGGAAAGTGCCTTCTCGTACACTTATCAAATGCAAATCTGTCTGGGTCTGAAACATTCTGAGACTTGTCACGCACGTTTTGCATGAGCCATGATGTCCGTGATGCACGCCCTAGCATCACAGATTTTTTGAGGGCTTCTTGATGCCTATTCCGCATGACAAATGCCCTCTGGGCGTAGCAAAAAACGCGCTCCCTTTGCTACTCATGCAATACAGATTTTCTTGGAATCCAAATGCAGCATCACAAGTTGCATTCTTCCAGACCCAGACGTATTTGCATTTGATAACACGGAGCTGGTAATCAGCGCGGAGTTCAGGTCCGGCCGGGCCAGCTATCAACTGCAAATATGTCTGGGTCTGGAAGACTGTAAACTTGTCATGCAGGATTTCCCTGACCCCTGCGGTTTGGAATGCGGGACCTAGTATGAAAGACTCTGTGAGGTCTCTGTCATGCCTATCCTGCGTGAGAAACTCCCTCCCAACTTGGTCGAAAGTGGATAGCTTTTGGCACTCATGCAACACAGATTTTTCTTTTTGCATGATTCGGATTTAGCATGACAAGTTGCAATCTTCCAGACCCAGACACATTTGCAATCCATACCAGCAGCGCCAAGACAACATTCACTCGGAGCTCGCTCATGGCCATTTCCAGCATGGAGCACTCCTTGGAATCCGTGTAGAAACTGCGGTCGGTGAACGGGTCCGCCAGCGTGTCCGTGCTGTTTACCACGTCGGAGCCGATCACGTACTCGGACGAGGCCCTTGGATCCCCGAGAAAATTCTCGGTAAACCACTCCGAACAACTACCCGGAGCTTCGCCGAACCGCTTGGTGGCGAGTGACGCATTGACGGTCCGTAATTGGTTGTTCAACCCGTTTGTAGTAGCTTCGCAGGCCTTCGCGAAGACAGATTCATTGTCTCCTGACGTAGTTTTTACGTCCCCATTTTTCCCGCCAGTAACTGTTTTTCCTGCTTCTAAAAAGTCTCCGGGCATGATTTCCCGGTGCACCCAGGCGGTCTGAAGTTCCAGAAGTGCGGCGTCGTGAAAGAGCACGGGCACGCCGACTTCGCGAACGAACTGCTGGATCACGGTGTCCTGCTTCAAAATGACAATTCCCGACGCGCGCTCTGGGTAGAGCACGTCCTCCGCGGACCGCAAATCGTCGTGGACAAATCCGTACGAAGCAGACGGTGGGTGGTCTACAACTTCTGTGCCGTCGTAATTGACGGCTGCTGCTGCAGCTGCACCGGCAGTGCTTGTTAAAGCCATTGCTTGCAACGCTTCTCTGCGACGACCGGGGCTGCTGCCCGTAGAAGCTCCTGCAGAGGAGGACGATGCTGGCACAGAGGATGTGCGTCGTGCCTTGCTCAAGACCGCACCCGCAGGAATTCCAGTTGCATTTTTATCTGTTGTTGTTCCGTGATTTATTGATGACAACTTGTCGACGTCCTGACGTTCTGCTCCCGGTGCGCTCGACGTGCGAGACAGGGGGCTGCTCGCAACTGCAAGCCGCTCTTTCTGCAGCTGCTCGAAGTCATACCTTGCTTGAATTTCGATCAGTAAGCGTTTGAACTGTATCAGCAGTGTTCGCAACCGTGTCGCCACCAGTTCTTCATTCGCCGCGTTGGCGCTGTTTGCGTCGGGCGTACAGTAGTCGCATTGCTTTTTCGCCAGCAACTCTAAGACCAACTCGTCGCTGCCGCACAGGTAGGCAGCACCCAGCGGACTGCTCACAAACTCCGGACAGTAGTTCTTCAAGGTACCGAAGTAGATCTCGTCATTCAGATCGACGACCAACTTTTCGAAAGCGGGGAGCTGCGCCAAATCGAACGTCAACAGCGCGGGGTCCGTTTTCGGGTGTCGTACCAACGCGAGGGCCAGATCGCGAAAGTACTTGAGGCACAGAAAGTTGAAGAAGCTCGACTCGAAATCCTTATGGTCACGGTAGTGGGCCAGGGCGACCCACTCTTCGCAGACCACCGGCCCCAGGCGCTCGATGTCCTGGAGTTCCTGCAATGGACCGGTAAAGTGGGCGGGCGACACGATCCCGTACTGAAACGTGCACGTCCACACACGGATTTTCACCTTCAAGTCCACAACGATGCTGTCCAGTGTGGGTTGTTCATCGTCACCGGCTGGTGCCGCAGCGGATGAAGGTGTGGAAGCAGTGCGCGGTAGGAGTCGTACTGTTTCTCCTGTTGAAGATGTTCTTGCGACATCGGGATCATCAGGTTGAGCATCTCCTCTTGTTGTTCCGTTAATATGATCGTTGGCATTTATTTTAGAAGTCTCCCTCTTCTCCTCATTCTCCACGACACCCTGTACCGCCAAAAGGATCTTTCTGATGACTTCAGATTGCAGCCTGTCGCACTTGGCTTGGTCTGCGATCGTCCGCGGTAATGACGGGACGGTGCAATAAACGTCACAGAAGGTCACCCCTTCAATTTGGTCGAGCGCGCTCGCGTTGTTTTCCACCACGACAGAGCTGCTGCCCAGGTGTGCTGCGTTGTTCTCCGTCACCTGCCTGGAAACGGCGGGCGAGACGTCCTCGTCGAAGTCCGGAACTTCTTCATCTGGGGGTAAAAGGAAGCTAGTATCACCATCATCGTCATGTTGATTGTTGGACCCGCCCAGCAAGAAACTCTCATCCTCTTTTGGTATGACACGCAGCTGGATGACCGACGGAGGGTAGCCGAGCTCTTGGCCAATCACTCGCTTCAGCGCGCCCGCGGTCCCGTCGAAGCAGTTGTCGAAAAACGCAGTCTCGGCCGCCAAAAGCGCTCGCTCCTTGAAGTCTTGTCTCTGCGCGACATCACCGGGGATGTCGTGGATGTTGCCGGAGCCAAGCGCAGGCGGCTCAGCATCTTCATCGTCTTCATCAGCAACATGATGTTCCAAATGTGGATTTTTATCTGTTGCCTTAGCCACCAGTTGGTCCACCTCTGGCGGCGGCAGAAGTACACGCTCTTCATTTCGCCCCGGAGGAGAGTTTTTTTTCGATGACGTTGCGGTTGAATCACTCGCTGCTGCCGCTGCTGCACCCACCTGAGCATGTTCCTCTAATCGCGACGCGGGAGTGAACGGCGCCGGCGTTGATGGTTCGAACCCCGGGCTTTTCGACGCAATTTTCCTCTCCACGAGGGAGTCAGAGCTACTAGAAGCTCCACGATGTCGCGGCCCTCCTACTCCGCGTATTGTACCTTCATTCGCACTGCCTGCTATATTCCGGCCCGCAGCGGCCTCCGCTCCTGGCGGATCGTAAACAACAGAAGAACTGAGGCGAGCAGCGGTGAGCAACGAAGCATCATCACCGGAGCCGTTCTGAAGAGAGAAAAAGTGAACCAAGGGATAGTTTCCCGCCATGCTGCTTTATATCTCGCTGGCAGGCAGACACAAGCTCGTTTTCGGTACTTATGTCAGAAGCTCCAATCTCCAATCGAGCAGGAGCAAATCAACGCAAAGAATCAAAAATGCGAATATGGATAACAGAAAAAAACAAACCGACTTCTTCTACACAAGAATGTGCCCGGAGCCACGACCGCATCAAAAGGTGCAAGAAACCCAGTAGGTACGATTCATTTTCTGCTCTGCCCTAATAGAGAGACCACAAGCGAAAGATTTTATTGCTATTCGTTGCAGCATCCAGGGGTCGAAGGGGTTGCAATCGCTGTGGAAGTTTCTGGTCCAACTAGAACCTTGGGCAACTACGAAGAACGAAGCAAGCTGACGCTGTCTGAATCGAAAATCAGCATCAGATGAGCATGAGCCGTTTATTTCATCTCCTTTAAAAGAACAAAACAAGTGCATCCTTCCGATTTGTTCGTACAATTCCACACATTGCCTACCCCGGACACATAGCTACAGCGTCCCTCATGCTGGCATCTGAAACACATCATTCATGACCATCGCAAAATCGCGAGGCAACAAAATCATCGAAAAAGATCTGCAAATAAAACCAAATCATTTTCTCAACTGGCTTCCAAGACACGTGAAAGGGCGATCAAGGTTCCAGTTCGTCCAACACGATATAAGTGTTTCAATTTCAATCATCAAAACCAATGCGCAGTTCTTATTCCGGCAGTTTGAAATTCCGGCATTACGTTGGAATGCACCTGAAGCGGGGCAGCCTGTCCGAACGTTTGCAAAGACGACGCTGCACTTCCTGTTAACATTTCGCGCTCTGGTGGGCCGAACTCCTGGTCGAAGGTTTCCAGCGCCTTTCTCGCGTACTGCTTGACCATGCCTGAACGATCCCTCGACCACTGCGCGTATCGGTACGCCTCCCGTACGGCGTTGTCGGCGATCCGTGCGGCGTATGAAGTCCTCAGGTTGGAAATCCTCAAAGTGGAAATAATTTGTGATGCATGAAATAAAAAGCAAAAAAGACTGTATTGCGGAGGACACGATGGAGACCGACTATTGATATTGTCCTGCTAGGGGTGAAGAATTGGAGTGTTGCTTAGCACGAGAAAAGGGCACCCCTTTGCCTTAACCTGCATGACAGACATGCTTTAAGGGCCCAGGAAATTTGTCATGCGCCGACCACAAATGGCGCTTCAACTGGAGTCGTTTTTTTGCATTACAAATTATTTCCACTTTGAGGATTTCCAACCTGAGGCTGTCATACGGCATTCAAGGCTTTCCGCATGGAGTGCCACTCGCGCTCGTTCCAATATGACAGTGCACAACCCCTCCTCCACCTCATTTGTATAGCATGAACGGCAATACAAGCATCAGCAAGAATGCCGGTTTTGCATGACAGATTTGCACTGGAGTATAGTGCTATTTGGGCTAGTGCCAGAACTTGTCATGCACACAGTGCCAAGAGGCAAACAAAGGGTGGATTGGGTATTTTGCATGACAAATGAGGGGGAGGGGGAGTTGTGCACCGTCATATCCAAGCGTCCTTCGCGAAAAGCGGGTTCCGGATGGGATGCTTGTTCCCTTTTCCCCCGGTCGGTATGTCCGCGGGGTTGGTGATGATGTTCGGGATAGCCGGGGTGCAGTGGAGATTGTCCTCCGTACAATTGTTGCGCAAAAGCGAGGTGGACATTTTGCTGTGTTACTCTTCTACAGCTGGTGCTTCGGGTCTTGTTTCGGTTTCCTTTCGAGCCTCCTACCTCTTGATACACAACGATGTCGCGTCGGCTGCTCCATTGTAGAAGATAAAGTCGTGTGTGCTCTCGTCATCTTTTTATTCTGTACTTTTTCTTACAAAGACGAAAATCTAGTCTGTCCCACAGAAAGAAAGACTGAAAACAAAGGCAAAGCACGTTAAAAAATCATGAACTCGCGACCTTCTTGTTCCTTGTTCTACTAAAGGAACGCAGCTTGCTCCTTCGAGGTTTGAAACCTGGACAGATTCTTCATCATCTTCTTCTTCGACCCCCTATGTCTGGGGGACTGTCCAACAACCGGAACGACCATAAAATGACACTGCAGCTCCACAACCAGCAGCACCTTCCATGCTATGCGGAAAACAGCACGACAACTGCTCCATCCGCCGACTCCTCCTAGCCGGAGCCACGAAGCAAGCTCAACCCGAAGAAAGTGGCCAGATGAAAGCCCCTAAATCCTCATGGGAAAAAATCGCTCGGACAACTGTTGTCCGAGCGATTTTTACTCAGTGGGATTAGCGATTTTTTACAGGGTCGCTTTTATTCCCGCAAATTGCTTCACCCCTCCCCACATCCAAGCCTTGAACAAGGTGGAGCATGTGCCTCGCAAGCTTTCTTCTCGGCTGTCGCGACAACACACGCAACTAGGAGGCCAACATGAAGTGAAATGGTAATTGGGAATTGAAATTTCAAATTTTTATTTTTATTGAAGTACGAAATCCGCGAAATTTCAAAATTTTACTTTTATCGAATACACCCCAAGATATTTGCTGCAAGTTGAGTTTATAGTGGTCGCGATGAAAACAGTGCGAGCAATGGTTTTCCTACGACTCCCCCTAGCCGTGAGGCATGAACCTCGCTCCAAAGTGACCAGATGAAAATTCGTAATCCCGATAAAGAAAAATCGCTCGGACAACTGTTGTCCGAGCCGTTTTTTCTTATGGGGATTAGCGATTTTTTACTGGGTCAATTTCCTTCCGGCTGCCCAAGTCGGCATTTCTGGATGCTGACAGAGGCAGCTTCCGGTGGGATGCACCGCCAATGCTCCCACCGACGACTCTTCGCAGCCGGGGTTACGAGGCACGCCACAGAGTGACCATATGAAAATCTTAATCCCCATGAGGAAAAATCGCTCGGACAACAGTTGTCCGAGCGATTTTTACTCAGTGGGACTAGCGGTTTTTTACTAGGTTCTTTTGCTTCCGGTTTTCCAAGGCATCTTCATTTCTCTATGCTGACCACAGTGGCATGCTTTGATGCGGAAAACAGCACGACAACTGCTCCATCCGCCGACTCCTCCTAGCCGGAGCCACGAAGCAAGCTCAACCCGAAGTGGCCAGATGAAAGCCTCTAAACTCTCATGAGAAAAAATCGCTCGGACAACTGTTGTCCGAGCGATTTTTACTCAGTGGGATTAGCGATTTTTTACAGGGTCGCTTGCTTTCCCGCAAATAGCTTCACCCCTCCCCACACCCAAGCCCTGAACAAGGTGGAGCATGTGCCTCGCAAGCTGTCTTCTCGGCTGTCGCGAGAACACACGCAACTAAGAAACCAACATGAAGTGAAATAGTAATTGTGAATTTTGAAATTTCAAATTTTTATTGAAGTACGAAATCCGCGAAATTTCAAAATTTTACTTTTATTAAATACACCGCAAGGTATTCGCTGCAAATTGCAGTTTACAATAGTGGTCGCGAAAACAGTGCGAGCAATGGTCTTTCTACGACTCCTCCTAGCCGGGTGAGGCATGAAAAAACCTCGCTCCACAGTGACCAGATGAAAATTCCTAATTCCTATGAAGAAAAATCGCTCGGACAGCCGTTGTCCGAGCGATTTTTACTCAGTGGGACTAGCGGTTTTCTACTAGATCACTTTCTTTCCGGTTTTCCGAAGGCATCTTTATTTCTGGATGCTGACAACAGTCGTGGCAGCTTTTGAAAAGTGGCATCATAATCGAACGACACTTTTTACCGCCACACGATCACGAATCATGATCGAGACCGACATCGAGACGAAACACGGAATCAATATACCACGGCGTCTCATGTTTTGGCGTTATCGACCATGTCTCGAAATTAGCAGGACGAAAACCACGGAAGCGATTGCGATCGACCAATCATGCAGCTTCGAGTCTCAGACGAGGAGTCAAAAATTGCGACAGATTTTTTAGACGATAGTCAACAAATGAGCCAAAATCTTTTCTCGGTCTCGAAGCCGAGGAAATAGCTGAGGATTGATCGACGTGGCGTAAGTACCTAGCACTACACGATCTGCATCATTGCGGGGAGGACAAAGATGACATCTTCATAGCATGCGCGTTTTGGTTCCATGGGTAACTTTAATCGGACATTAAGCGAGTGCGTGTGTGTCGTCGAACTTGAAATGTTGAGTGTACATAATTGAGAGCCGGCGCATGGTCCGCATGCAAGAGCAACGGGAACGGCCATTATGATGGGGGCAGCCACTTTATAATTTTCGAATACCTGCTCTAGTACGTTGACGAAAAGTTCAAATGACTCAGCCACTCAGTCGTGTCCTAGCGGTCAGAAATCAAGAAGATCAACAACTCTCATGTGGGTTTTGAGTTTCAACTTCATCTTCAGCCACATACTTTCACCACTACGAACCTGCTTGAACAGTAAACGCGTTTCTTGCAGGTAAACTGACACACAGACAACCATAATCTCTGTTGACTTAATTCTATCCGACGACGAGGAACTACTACAGGAGCAGTTTCTCATTTCACCTCCTGAGCATGAGCAAGCAGCTTTCTACTCCTCCGTCGGATCGTCGCGTTGCATGGAGCCCAGTTCAACGGCGAGCCGCTGGAGTTCGGAGCACACATTCGCCACCAGACTCTGGTTCACGTTGATGTGCAAAGGTGCGCTCACGGTCACGGGACAGTCGCCGCCGAGGCGCTCTGTGTAGAACGAAATCGCGTGGTGGTCCAGCATTCCCCGCTCCTGTACGTTCGCGCTTCCGACTTTGCTCTCGGAAATGCTGCGTTGCTCCATCTTGGTCGCGGAAGATGGAGGTAGATGTTGATCTCCAGGCTGGTGCCGAGTTTGATGCACCGTCGCACCGTGCGCCGCCGTGTTATTTGCAGCTGCTGTGGTGCTAAAAGATGAAACCGGACTCTGGAGGTGCTCCACATTGATCACGTCGTTGTTCGTGAACGCAACTAGGCGAATCGCGCACTTGGCCGCCCGTCCTGACCGCTTCAACGAGGCCAGGTAGCGATAGGAGCAATTGGAAGCGCTCGCTTTTTGAATCTTTTCTTCCAGAATTAACACCGCGGCAGCGATCTGTTCATCCGTGCCGTGGGCGGGCAGGAACGGCTCGCAGATCACGTCCTCTTGGGACGTGGCCCCGATGCGGCGCGCGAGCGTGACTAATCGAGAAACCGCGACCTCGCCACTCAATTCCGCGGCGAAGGTGCGGACGAGTTGAATGGTCGAAGCCGAAACCTTTTCCAATGCGTTGACCTGCTGCTGGTGCGGAGAGGTGTTGATTTCTTGACCTCCCTTCATACTCCGACCCGGATTTTTACCTTCTGGAAGATTCACCGGGGACACGTCGGCAGTCGATGGTGTGGGATGTGCGACTTGCAAAGGTGTCTGCTGCACCAAGGTGCTCGCTGTGCTGGCGTCAACATCCTTGTTGTGATCTGCAGTATTTCCTCCATCTTGCCCACTCTGCACCTGATCCACGGGTGTTTTTTCTACTCCGTTTTTAGCAGTTTCGTTGCCTTTACCTGCTTTTGCTTCATTTCCAAGTGCGTGTTGCACAAGGTCCTCATGTTCCTGTTGCGATGCCCCGCCCGCGCAACTATTGTCTTTTGTTTTCAAAAACTGATCATGGTTGTACTGGCGCCACTCTGCGTAGGTGTTCGGCGAGCCGTAGCCCGCGACATCCGACGTGACGGATCGCTGCGTCACTAGATTTTGATGCGCATGCTGCGCGCCTCCACCGAGTTGTAGGGCCTTGTTGATTCCACCCCCTGGTGAGCAAGTCGTCGAAGACATGACATTCTCGTCGTCGCCTTTGCTGCAGTTCTTCATGAACTCCTCGACGAAAAGTCGGGAGCGGGACGCCCTGGAGGGAAGATGCTCAACGACAATCTTGTCGCCGGAAGTAGTTGTGCAGCTTCCATACGGGGAGGAGACCGGCGAGGAATTGCAGGAGCTATTATTCGTCGTCAGCGTCTTAGTCGCGCCCCCGCCGGAGGAGGGCGGAGTAAGCAGACCCGCGGCGACCGCCTTCAGCAAGGCGTCCTCCAACCGGCCGCTCGTCCGCGTCATCTCCTTCAAAATGAAGGAGCACGCGGGGGTCAGACACGTGCCCTATCAAATGCAAAAATGTCTGGGGCTGGAAGGTTGCCAGGTTTGTCATGCATATTTTGCATGACTCAGGATGTCTGTAATGCATGATCTAGCATCTCATATTTCTAGCCCGCATTACATATTTCCTGATGCCTATCCCGCATGACAAATGCCCTCCCCCGTAGCACAAACTGGGCGCCTCGTGCTAGTCATGCAATACAGATTTTTTTAGAGTCCACAGTTGGCATCACGAGTTTCAACCTTCCAGACCCAGAAATATTTGCAATGCATATTCCCTCCACACGGACAATGCGGTCGCCGGAGTTCTGCAGGTGGGCGAGTGTGGATTCCAGCGGGACATATCCTGTGCAAAAGTATCGTACTCGTAGTAATTGCAGTACAGCATGGCAGATTTGGCGTCTTAGCTAATTCAGCATCACAAATTTCACTTTTCCTTCTGGAAAAATTTGTAAATGCTATTTCTACTAGTACGATAGTTTTGCAATGCATAGGACCCGCGTTAAGCCTAAACTTCCCCCGTACGCGTACAACGTAGTGGACACGGGGGGCGGCGCGTTCGGGTCCAGGGCCCGATTGTGCTTCTGGACCACTTGGAACTTATGGAACTGTCAGGATCGAAATCGTCAGAGTTGAAATAATTTGTGATGCATATATAAAACGGGTACCAGTTGGCGCCTAGTTTTCAAGTGGCGCATGACAAATTGTCCGAGCACCGGAATCCAATTTGTCATGCTGTTTGGGCACAGAAGACTGCTTTTGTCATGCTACTTCAGCAGCTCAGTTTCTACCCCTCAACAGGCTTACAATCTGCCTCACTTGCCTACTCTGCAAGACAGGCACTTTGTGGGCTACATTTTATGCATCACAAACTATTTCAACTTTGTCGATTTCAACTCTGACACATCCATAGAACTCCAAGTTTTTGTAGGAATTCACTTTCGTCTTTAGAGCTTGGGCCCCCATTAGAAAGAGCAGGTGCGAATTTCGAGCGAATTTCAGCAAAAACCCAAAAGCCAACGTCTGGCGGCCAATCACCTGGCCACCCTTTTCCCGGTCCCATGCCCTTCCGAGGGACGCAAGGAAATTTGCTGCGTTTCCCGTGCCTCACCATCGAGGGAAGTCTTTGACTTCGACGCGACAGGCGCCGTTTTGGAAACTGCCACGGCGTCCCAAAACTCGGGCAGCATTAGTGCAGCGTATTAGTGCAGGTAGGGCGCATTAGTGCAGCCACTGGGCCCAAAACTCGGGCATAGATGAAGGCGCCCGGCGTGGGAAGATTTTGCTGGCTTTGCCCCTCCTCGTCGGGACACCAATAAAAAGCCGCGGAATACGAGCGGGGCGTCGTAGATGCGTTTGCAACGCAGAATCCCAAGTCCGACCCCAATGCCAAGGCCGCGTCGCGGTCGCGGGTCTTCGCCCTACAAATTCGCACGAAATTCGTCACAATGATTTCTAACGACCGTCCAAGCTGTAATTTCGTCTGCTCCTCCAAAGAACTGCCGCTTTGCATTTGGTCCAGAGCCCGATTGTGCTTCTGGACCACCTGGAACTCCAAGTTTTATCAAAATGAAAAATCCCCCCACCCCATATCAAAACGGAAATTTGTGATGCTGATTTGGGGCCACAAATCAGCTTTGTATTGCAGAGAGGCATTGCGGCCAGATCCCCAGGCTAGGTAGAGGCGCATGCGTCTAGCTGTTCAGCATGGCAAACGATTCCCCTTTAGGCCCAACAGCATGAGAAATCGCTTCCATAATGGGGCGGAAGCTTCTGCCCTTGTCTTCTTGCAAGACAGATGTGATTTGTGACCTCAAATCCGCAACGCAAATTTTTCTAAACTTGCCTTTTCAATATGGGGAGGGGGGATTTTTCCTCTCAATAAGTTTTTGTAGGAATTCACTTTCGTCTGCTCCTCCAAACTTCCGCTTTGCTCCAGCTGGTGCAGTTTCTCCTTGCGCAGCGCCGCGGCGGAGAGCTTCCGGCGGAGGTGCGACGTGGTCTTCGCGGCGCCCTCGTCCAGGAACCGGGTGTTGGCGTGCAGAATTTCCCGGTACAAAGTGGGAGCGCCACCCAAACTCCTTGCGTTCATCGAGACGACGTGAAAATTGTGGCGGAGCAACTGCGGGTGCAGCGTGGCTGTGAAGTCGTTCGCAATCGTCGTGTCGACCACGATATCCTGTGCAAAAGTATCGTACTCTTAGCAATTGCATTTGTGCATGACAAATCTCTTTCTCAAGGTAAATCAGCATTACAAATTTAATTTATATATGCTGGGCTAATTTGTAATGCCATTTATACTAGTACGTTGCTTTTGCATTGCATACACGATCACCTGGTGCGCGAACATGGAAATGCGGTCGGCTAGGTCCGCGAGCTGCTCGTTCATGTCAAACGCATTTTTCAAAATTTCAGGGTCGAGATTGCGGTGCTGGCTGTTGTTTCCGGTCGCGCCAGGAGATGAACCGCGATTGTTGTTCACCGGCGTCTTTGATGTCTGGTGTTGATCTCGGTGAGCACTAGTAGCTGTCAAATTGGCACTGTTCTGCAGCGTAACCTGTTGCAACTCCGCATACTCCGACGATGCCGCCCAGGTGACCAGGCCCTTGTTATGGTCCTCTCGCTGCAAAGCTTCGAGATCCGGTTCACTGCCGCCGGTGGGCGGAGTTAAATACCGCAAGGCCCCAAGAACGCGGAACTCGCAGAGCATTGAATTGCTCTCCGCGTGCTGCAGTCCCGCCGCACCGAGAAGGTTTTCTTGCGCGTTCGGCCCCAGGGCCGCCTCCAACTTCTTGACCATGCTGACCGACGAACTTGTGGACGAGGTGGTCGAAATGTTATTCGATGAAGACGTTCCGCCCGAAGTAGATGACGTCAGGGTGGAGGCCTCGAGAACAATGACGCCAATGTTCATTTTGGTCAAAAACTCGGAATGGACCGCACGCAGGGCACGCGCAGCGTGCTCACTTGGAACGACCGCGGAAATGTTTCGCTCGCTGCTCCCTTGAGCAATCGCCAGCACGTTGACGGACGACTTGCCCAGAGCGTGAAAAAACTTACCGGCGATGCCGCGCCGCATCCGCATGCCATCTCCTACGGCAGCCACCACAGAGCAAGGCTCTGTCACCTGGTTGTCGTAATTTCGTGTGTATCATGATGTGGTTAGATTTTCAAGCAATTTAAAAATCTTCGCGCAGTATGTCGCAGTGGGCGTCCACATTTTGATCATTTTAGGCGAACAAGAGATAAAAAGGACATGCTCTGTTGCATGAACAAGCACATGCACATAGTTGTACCTGGATGCTCTGCAGATCCCCGCGGCGCAGCTCTTCCGCGAAACACGCCTGGACACTCTTCACTGCTTGAGCGCTATCTACCGACTTTACGCCGAAGCACACACTCTGCTGCGTCGCCGCCTGGCTGATGAGTTGAATAGCGACGCTATCGGCGGTGAGACGTGTGAACAAGCGTGCAAAAATATCGGGCACCTCTATCATACCTGCACACTCCACGTTCAGAAGCGAAATTCCGTCTGCGACGTTGAACCTGTTTATACGTGTAGTTCAAGCTTTGGAATGTGATAGTGATTGTGAATCAAAAGTAGATATATGAGTACGAAACTACCAGAATTATAAACCACGCAACCAAGTTGTACTAAAAATCTTGATCTGCAGGAGCTTACCCACACACCGGTCTTGCGAGAGTTTTCGCCGAGGTCTGGAAGATGCGGGTACCGTCATCCCTGGGTCGGAAGGTGTTCTTCAAGAAGATCGGAATCCCGGACTCCTGCGCGGGTCGCATGGTTTTCGGATGGATCACCTTGGCCCCGAAGTAGGCCAATTCCGTTGCCTCGTGGTAGCTGACGTCCGGCAGCACGTACGCGTCGGGGACGCGGCGCGGGTCCGCGCTGAAAACGCCGGAAACATTATGACAGTGCACAGCTCCCCCTCCCCCTCATTTTTACACGCATGAACGGCAATACAAGCATCAGCAAGAATGCCGGTTTTGCATGACAAATTTGCACTGGTGGAGTGTAGTGCTATTTGGGCTACGACCAGAACTTGTCATGCACACAGTGACAAGAGGCAAAGGGAAGTGGATTGGGTATTTTGCATGACAAATGAGGGGGAGGGAGAGTTGTGCACTCTCATAAACATCCGTCCAGATGCACACCGAGTTCGCCTGCAGCAGCCGCGCAAAAATCGAGGCCGAGTAGTCCGAGCCGTCGCGCCCCAAAGTGGTCGCACCCCCCGTGTCGTAAGAAGCGATAAAACCGGTTACCACGATGTTTGGTGGATGCAGAGTCGCTGCTGGATTACCAGATCTACTTTCTCGGTGGTTCTTTATTCTGTGTCGATCCAACATGTTCCTAAGCTTCAGTTCACTCTCTGGCCACATCACGTGGTCGCTATCATCGACCGTGATCACTTCGCGAGCGTCGACAAAAAGCCAGGCACTTTTACTGGACGTCTCAGATGAACTACTGCAACCGCCGGCGGAAGTTGTCGATGTCGTGATCAAACTGCTGTTGCCTGCACCTCCAGCGGTCCCCGAGTGCGACGAGAACGACTTAAGGGCCGCACCTCCGTCAAAGCTCTCTACTTCTTCTTCCTCTTCTTGCATTTGGAGCAGCCTGGTAAGGATGCGAGCGGACCAGAGTTCTCCGTAGCCGGCGATCAGGCCCTGGATCTTCTTGTCCTCCATGCGTAAGATCTGGATGGCATGCAACAAAGTTTCGATCTCCTTCAGCTCGTGCTTGATTTGTTTCGCCAACGCATCCTGCTCCACAAACTCCCGATACCGCCGCCACTCTTCGTGGTAGTTTATATTCACGTCGCGGCTCGCGGAAGAGACTCCGCCCACGCTGTTGCTGTCACCTGCGTCCGTCGTGGCGCTTGAAGAGGAGTTGTTGCTGCGGTAGGAGTGGGTAAACTCCATTTTCGGACTTGACTTATTCCTCCGACTGTTGTTCGTACTAGTCGTCCCGAACAATTCCCAGAGGCAGTCCAGGTGCTTCTGCTCAATCTGCTGCAAAACCTCGGAATAGGCTTCATTGCGGCTGGCCCTCTTCACTAACTCGAGCAATAAGTTGGTCGTTTTGGGCGTGCCCCCCATCGCGCTAACGACGACACACAGCCGAGGTGGATCATTTGCAGGCTGGGGTAGTTGCCCGCCAGGTGGAGTAGAAGATGAATCTCCACCGTGCCCAGCAGGATTGAGGTCGTCTTCGTCAACATCCCTGACGTTGTCCCGTCGTTGTGCTCTCAAAATATCCACCACGCTTAACATACAGGGTGCATCTTGGACCGAGGTCCCCCCAAACTTGTGCACGTCCCACATGGTAATGGTTCTTACGCTACTAGTACTAAGAGAAACAAGCCTCGTCTACGCAGTTTCCGGCTGTGTTGAAGATGTGTGTTACGCAATAGACACTGGTGACTTCAGCAAGCTGTTGGCGTTTCTCTTCACCGAGGACAACACAGGTCTCTTTCGTGTCAACTACTACAAGTGTTTTTACTTTTAGTTTTAGATGAATTATCATATTCAATCACCTTCGCAAGCGAAGCCATCAAGACAGCTACATGATCGCCGGTAGCGCTTTGCGCTTCTTCTATACATACTTTGACTTTGTATCTTCATCGAGGCCATCGCCATTGCCAACGCTACGGCTTAAGTGATCCAGAAGTGCCTAGGGCTTTTGTTTTTGACGATTTTACTGCGAAGACAAGGACTAGTGACTTCACAGGTTCAGATGTCGCTTTATCTAGCTTTACTGGCTTCAAAGGCCTCCAAAAGCCACGGATCAAAATCTGGGTTGAAAGAACCAAAAACCAATCACGCTTCTTGTTCTTTCTGTGGAGCAACCAGAACCAAGTGAGGATTCATATAGTAGAGTGAGAATTGCCTGACAAACTCCATAAAGCAAATTTTCGAGTTTTGTGTGACTCAATAAGAAGATTATCATCTCACCAAACTATACCGAGATTGAGAACAAATAGTTCTCATGTTTGGCTAGCATGCCAGCTATTGCCGATAGGTGCTGCAAGAACTCAAGGAGTTCACTCACCACGATACACATACAATAAACCTGAAATACGTACAAGGTTTCTTTTGATCTTTCGGCGCTTCAGCTCGTCTGGCTGCTCTAGCTCTAGCACAGGAGCCGAGATACACAAAATAAAAGTAGATGTCGAACCGAATAATGTAGGGCCCTGCTGGTGGTCCGGATTGGATTTGGAATTTCGTGGGATATCGCATTTGCGACAACGACATAAGTAGCAAGCAACCGATCTCAACCTGATCTGATTCTGGTGTGCGATGATGCCGACGTCTCTTCATATTTCGTGCCCTACTCGTTTTATTGGCGTTGTTGACATGATACATTCATACTTTCTTAAAACTTCCACCAACTTCAATGGGAACCGAACACACCACACGACAAACAGAAATAGAAATAGTAATAGAGAATGTCCCCTCAGAAAACGTTGAGAAACGATGTCTGGGTCTGCACGGGGACAGCTTAGTCTTTCTATACATACCTGGCAACGGCTGCTTTCCCTGGGCCATCTCCATAATTTTTTAAGAACTCGCGATGGGCCTAGTAGAATTGACTGAGTTTGTTGCTGACTTACATCCTTGAGATGAGACGAGCAGCAGGTAGTGGGCAACACACAAACAGAGCCAAGTAGAACGCTGCAGCGACTACTCCACCTGCAACACCATACGCCACACGGGCCTGGGCGCGCAGTCCGTCGGGATGGGTTCGTGGCTGAGGACTGGGCCCCCCGAAAAATAGCCGGCTGCATTGCGTGCGCCCAGGCTGGCGCCTCCCTTCGCAGGCATGCGAAACCAAGCGCACCGGTCGCCCGCCCGGCCCAAAATAAGAAAGCGCAGCCCATGCGGCCAGCACTTGCGGCGAGAACCGGCCCCCCCGCATAGTTAGAGACACACAACGAGCAAGAGCGCAGCCGAGCCAATTGCTCACCCCGGGGCGGGCGACGCTGCTGCCCTTCGGCGCCGTTATGTATTCACTGTGGCGCAGCTCTTGCAGCTTCGGCTCGATTTTCTTCCTTCTCGGCGGCGGCCCGGTTGCTGGGGGCGCCCCGCCCGAGGGGCGCGCGCTCGCCGTTGCTCCCGGGGCCCTCCCCTGCCCGGGGGGCGCACAACTGGCCGCACCGAGAAACAAAAGGCACACAGACACCGACGAGGGGGCGGCCAGAAAGATGCGCCCGGGCACCGCGGGGGGCCGGCGCGCCCCCCTCGCGGCGTTGCGCCTGCCCGCCTACCCGCCGCGCGCGCCGGCCGGCGCGGGCCGTCTTTGCTGACTATTGATCCGCGCGCGGGGGCCAGATCTGCGCGCGGGGGCCAGCAGCTGGCGGGCCCGGAGCCGGGCCGGGCGGCCGCTTCCGTCCGTGGCGCGAGCCACATGCTCGCCACCCACTCGCCAACAACAAGGGCCAGCCGGTCGGCTCGCCGCTTGGGCTCGGTGTTGCAGCGCCGGCGCCCACCGGGCTCCCCAATGAATCCCCCGGCGCGCCTGCTTCTGCGCAGACACTCGGGCGCCATTTCGTCAGGCAGCCAACTCGCTCCGACGGCACGCCGGAAAGCCTGCACAACATAACAAGCCGCGACGAAAAAACACGCGCGCGCGCCCTCCACTGGGGCGCGCCCGGCGGGTTTGCTCCCGTACGCCAGGCGGAGGGCGGCAGTAGCGGCGGCGACACGCGGCGGCCCGCCGGGTTGCGCGCTGCTATTCCGAGGGCCACCCTGTCCGCCACACGTCCCGCCTGTTACGGAATCGAAAAGAAGAAGAACTCACACAACGCCGCAGATTGTCGTGCCGAGAAACTCGACAGAGCGAAAGAGAACAAGTAGAAAGTTTTTTCTTTAGCGCCACACAAGTAGCGTCTTCACTGCGCTTTTATGTTCATCGCCATCACGCGATGCCACGACGTGTTTGTCCCTCTATAATTTCTTCATATTGCTTGTTGATCGGTCGTCGCTATTTTCTGTATCTTGTGGGGGTGTAGCAGTAGAAGAACCAACATCACCTCAAATTGGAGGAATTCATTTCATTTTTCTTCTTCATCTTCGTTCAGCACACGCACACAAGAACATGTACGATTTCGCTTGAAATTGATAATATGGTATGGTTACAGTTACTTATCTATCATCATTAGTCGTTCATCAACATGGAGCGCGAGATGACGTAGACGTCGAAGCAGCAAGCACGAGACGCGCAGTCCTCCCCGACATTTTGTTCTTCTTCTTGGAAAAGCCAGACCAAAGGACGGCCCAAGGAGCGACAAGTCGGCGACATCAAGTTGCCTTGGGCAGATGCTTCGACCACATAAGTCTGTCCTGTTTCTCCGCCGTAATAAAATGAATCGTACATAGTACGATCACAGTTGTTCATCTATCCTCTCCGATGCACGACCACCCCCATTGACGATTTCCTACGCTCGCAAAAACTGCGTGTCGCGGTCCACCTCAGCCTCGGGGAATCGCAAGCATAGAAAGAGACGGATCTCCGAGTTTTTCAGCTCCCATTTTTGCTGGCTGAAGAAGTCCTTGAGTTCGCGGGCGTTTTCTAACGACAGCAGGGACGAGATTTGCGTCAGCCGTTTGAATTTCTTCCGCACGTTGGGCGCCTTGATGCTGAGGAAATAGTTCATCAGCGCCCGCACGTCCTGGTCGAACTGCAGGCCGCCGTAGAGGGAAATCCGGTCCTTCCGCGCGACATTGGTGGCCAGGCGGTTGCAGGTTTGGTCAATCAGCTGGTCCAGAATCGCGTCCACCACCTCGGGGAGGTAGCACTTGGTGAGATGCAGATGCAGGGTGGAGATGTTCAGGATGAAGCCCTGCACGAACAGGTCGTTCACCTGCCAGTCCTGAAACTCCTGCTCCGAAATGTTGAAGGAATTCTCCTCGAAGGGCTGCAGCGAGGGGATCAAATGGTGCTTCAGCGCATTAACCGTGTTCCGCGGAATGCCGGGAATCGACCGCCTGTCGTGCGCAAAAGGTTGTTGATTTTCTTTTGCCCGAGGAGCCCGCGTCAGCGGCACCGGCAATAGGCATAGTCAACCACAACACCGAAAATAAACAAAAAAAGCACGACCAAAGGCAAGACAGTAGCCAAAAGAAAGCCACCCGCCTAATGTACGAGTTCGATCTCGATGGACGTGGAGTTGCTGACCAACATGATGAACAATAAAGCCATTTATTTACCTCTCCTGCCCTCTGTTTGTGACGATTGCTGGACCCGCGGCTATTGGAATGTGGACGCAGAGGGCCTGGAAATCACCTTTCACCAGCTGCAAGTTCTGCAAACAGTGGTCAAACATGACTTTCTTCTCCGGCTCCAGGTCTTCCGGAAACAGCAACTCTCCCTGCTCATCGGTCTTCGAGGTGAAGTCGTGTCTGGCCGATTCTATCAGCCGCTCCAGGTATTCCTGGCACTTGTAGGCGTTGTTTGCCGCGTGCGGCCACGAATCGCTACTGGTCACCGTCTTCTTCCCCTCACCGCCCTGCTGGAGCAAGTGCTCGTAGAACTTTGCCAACGCGTGCTCCTCGTCGTTCTCGTTCCCGTCCGTAAGGTGCTTCAAGTCACTCACGAAGGCTCGGTAGGGTGGTAACGCTTCACGGACCGACTTTTCGATACTTTGATACACCGGACCCTCCTTGGACAACGTCGCGCCCACCTCGTTAATCAGACAGCAAACGGCAACAAGATTGCAGCTGTGAGTGTGTGTAATTTATTTTCCAATATCACGAAAACGAAATTGTGCAGACGCAGACCTCCAGGTGGAACTGTTTACTCAAATCGTTGGTGCGTCTTGGTCTTCGTCCGAATGCAAGCCTGCCAAAAGACAATTCGAATTCTATGATAGGTGAAGAATTCCAAAAAGTATACGTTTCCATGGAGCTTTCGATGCTTGTTTTCAGGACGAAAAAGACATCGTCGACGAGACTGCTGGGCCCAGGATCCGTATCTTCGGTGTCGATTTCATCCGATTCGACGGCGGTCTGGATCTCCGTGAGCAGGAGCTCTTTTTGCAACAACACGTAGTGCGCTACCAGGTCCTGCGCCGCCTTCGTCGCTTCCGCTTCGCCCACGATGGAGTGCGTAATGGCTTCAATGTCCTTTTCGCTGGACAAAAAGCTACTGTGCGCGTCGGCGATGAGACGGCGGATGAAGCAATCAAAAGTCTCGGATTTTTGCAGCAAGTACTGCATTTGCACCAGAATCGTCCTAATTTTGTCCTTCTGTGTTTTTATTGCAGAAGACGAGGAGCTACTACTGCCCCCACCGACACCTCCCGATAAGGAGCTGGCACTAGTACTCATCATCGTGGGCATCCGGATACCGCCCGGCATCAGCTTCGTTGTTGGCTGCGACGCTGCGGAGGTGCCGCCACCCGCAGAACCTCCGCCGGACGTAGATGGCAAGAATTTCAGGTATTCCTGTTCCTTGAACAGATTCAGAATCTTCGTCTGTTGCACACTGACTTCGGCATAAATGCCCTTCAAGAACTGCACGTAATTTTCGACCCCAAACTCGGTTTCCAGGTTCTCCTTGTTGTGTTGGAGGATGTCCGAGATGTGGGCAAAAATGGACCACAAAGCGTCCGCGTACGCGGGCATTGCTTGGTCCTTGCTCGCAACGGCCTATTACAATGAAAAATGCCCCCACCCCCGAACTTGAAAGCATTTGCATTGCAAACCTTTCCAAATGAAACATTCGCCCTCTTGCATGTATCAGCATCACAGATTTCCGATTGTGAATAGCAAAAATTTGTATTGCAAAAGATCCCAGCAAGAGCGGTGCTCGTCATGCACGCGATGCGAAACAACACTAGAATCTGCATCAGAAAGATTCATATTCCTTTCATGCATGACAAAAAGGTTTCATTTGGAAACCTCGCATCACAAATTTTTGCAACTTTGGGGGTGGGGGGCACCTTTCACTGTAATACGGCCTTCGAGAAATTCATGCGGCGAAGCTTCTGGATCGAGGTATGGGGTTCTCAAACGTTACATTCTCAACTGTTACATGATTTGTCATGCAAAATGACCACAAGCTCAAGCCGCCACACGATCAAGGTGCTTCGCATGACAAATTCTCGAAGGGCTAAACACCACCTGGATCTGCTCCAAATTTGTAATGCAAAGCGCGCAATCTTCCCGCGTTCACTTTTGCTGTTCTTGCATGACAAATTCATGTAACAGTTGAGAATGTAACATTTGAGAATCCCATACGAGGCCTGCGCAGTCTCCCTGATGCGCTCGCGAATGAATTGGATATACGTCACCACCGCGGACTCCGCGAGGCCCAGCGGGTAAAAGAGTTTTGCAAACCGCGCGACGCTCTGCTGGTCCTTATTCTTGATCGCGTTCTCGAACTCCTGGTTGACAATGGCCGACAGCTTTTTCCGCGCGTCCTCCAGTTTGGAAATACTGGATTCGTCGAGCAGCGTCGCGATGCTGTCCGGCTGGTCCGCCTGCTTGTTCAGCACGGCCTGCTTGTACTTCGCCACGCTTTTCGCGGCCGCCTCGAAATCCCGGCGCTGGATCGCGCCGTGAACCGTCTCCGCGCACTCGCGGACCTGCAACAATTCGGACACCAGTTCGAGCGTCTTCTGTATCCGTGCGCTCATGACGTCCATCTGGCGCACCTTGCTGCACAGCACCTCGGCGCTGTCGCTTGTCTCCGCAATCGTCTTGATCAGATTCTCGACAATACCCTCGTCAATAAAACTAATACGACCGGACGAGGAGCTGTGGTGCTCGTCGTGAAACCTGGACGAGAAGAGATTTTGCGATGGGGACGCGTGAAATTTTTGCGATTTATTTCATACGCAATAAAAAGGAAACTTTGTTTGGGGATCCGACAACTACACTGTGCTTGTTTTATTCTTATATCAGACAAACTTTAAATGTATTTTTTCTGCCCACACTGCGAGGACGTCTTCCGTGTTACTAACACAGCAGACGAACTACCGCAACTAGGGTCGTGAGAAGTGTCATCATGATCACGAGAGCGACGGGTTTTATCGGAACCACAGAAAAACATCATTTTCGCTCATATTTCAAACTTTGGATCATGGTTCTGTTGCATGTTGAAAAAAGATAGAATACGAACTACGTCATCGATGTCTTTGATTCGCCACCAGGTGTGTTCGGAATTACGCCGGCGATATTCGGTTGATTGCTCTTCGAAGCCATGAGAATGTTGACGATATTTTGGCTGAAGTCGCTGTTTTCGCCGCTCATGCCCAGGAGCTCTAACGCTTCAGCGTAGTGCTCCGCCAATTCCTTCTCTACTCGAGCATCTTCACGGTTGCTGAGCAGTTTTTATGAATTGCAATTTGAATTTTTGTTTTTTCGTCATTCGGTTCGAACTTCATTTTGGTTCCATCCACATCCTTCCGCACCGTTCTGAAATAATGAGTCTCGTCGCGTACGTGTGCAACGGACCTGCATCATCATTCAAATTGAAACAACAGTTGTCTAACATACTCAACAACTCGAGTAGAAATCAATGAATTACAGCTCCTTCATGTATTTGCCCAGCCGGTCCGTTGTGGAAGTTTCTGCAGCGGAGGTGACGGAGAACCGTCCCGAGCCGCCAGGGTCTGGCGCAGTTGCAACCATAGCGCCACCCAGAAAGCGGGCACAACAACTACCCGCTGCGCCGCCTCAAGTAGGGCACGACCTGTTCTTGCCAGCAGCAGCCCGTTCGCAGCTGGGGCGTCGCGTCACGTGACGCAGCGAAGTACAGCTTTTAATGGCAGCATTGTGACCTCCGCAGCAACCGTCGCCCGTATCATGGCGCGGTCAGGAGGACAGCTGCCCCAGCAGTGACTAGAAGTGTGACCTTCGTGGAGCAGCAGAGTCTTTTTCTATCTGGAAAGGATAAGGAATTGACCACTTGGCTTGTAAGTATGTAACTGGCCTTCGCTACTTTGTTCTGGTCGTTATACTATCGTATATTCAAGCAAGAAGAAGAACTTCTTCTGGTGTTGTTGGTGGCCTGGCTGGGCCTTGGAATCTTGTTCTTCGCAACATCCAACAATGAATAATCTATCAAAAAAGGTCCGCCTCGGCGCAGAAAAAACTCGGTAAGCCGCGACAAAAAAGACGTGAGTTGTTCGCGTTCCGTTTCGCTTTCCTGTGATAGTACACGGAAGTGATGACATTGAAGTTGAGTAAACCGAAGATTAGATCTTCAGTGGCGCTGATCGCAGCGCACAACAGACATTGCTCATGATCGTCAAGAAGCAGGTGATCAGGTAGACTCGAGTCGGTGGTTGTACAGATCAACATTGAGATCATCATCATGATACTTAGAAGGAACATGCACCTGCTCATCCTGCTGTTCCGGAACAAACCACAGTGGAGCTAGCTCCTCATCTTTTCATTGTTACCATTCTGCTGTTGTTCATTTCCATCGGCGAAACAGAATTGATTACTACAACATCGGGTCTCTCTCAGGCAAATCCCCTCTGTCTGTCTCTGCGCATGTTCTTGTGGCCACAGCATCTGACCCGACGATAAAGGCAAAGTGTCATGACCCGACGATAAAGGCAAAGCGGAACTACGTAGTAGCTGCAGAAAATAAAAAGTCGGCGGACGCGGACCGCTCTACGAAGAAAGTTCCGGTTCTTCTACCCATTACGTATCTACAGAAGTCCGCTCTCTACGAAGAGCCGCTCGGTCGCCGACACTACGACGGCGGCGCAATAGAGATTCGTTGTGAACGACTGCTGTGTAGAGCGAGTAATCGAAAAGAAGGAGCAGATCGTCGAAGAAATAAATTTGGTGCGCACGTACATCAAGGTTGCACAAATTCCCCAGTCACGCCAAAGCCACCTGCGCGCGCTGTTGGTTCCCTTGTTGCGCAGCAGCAGCTTCCTCGGCATCCAGCTTCGCTCGAAGATTTATCATCTTCTGTCGCAACCTCTTGTACTGCTGCAGGCAGTACATTTCGTAAGCACCACCCATCATACCGCACCCGAAGACGATGAAGTTTATATGCTGTGTGGGCATCATAATTTCGTATTTTTTGTTTGGTATGTCGTTTCATCTTTTTCATCTTTCTAATAAATACGCTATCAAAATAAGAACATCACGACTTAAAAAAAAGCAAATCACGATTGTGAAAATCACAACTGTACTACCTCCATGACGTAGTTGATCGTTTCGAACCACCAATTTTGGTCGAACACATTGAATTCCATGACTTTCTTCAGATCTTCTTTTCCCTTCGCCTCCTCGTCACCGTCCTTCTCGGTCTTCGTCTTCCCGTGAGGACCTGCATCATGATCCTCAACATCCTTATCCTTTCCAGAGTCGCTTCCCTGTTCCTCAAAGCTGCTCCTGCTCGTCGTGGTTTTTTTATTTCCAGCACTGGCGTCTAGAAAGCAACTCCTTGCTGAGGACGAGACGCGAGGACCACCACACGACCTTATGACTGACGATGTAGTTCTTGACGAAGATGAAGAACACGACAACTTCATCGTCGGCGGTTTGTCACAGAGGACGCTCGTCGCATGCTCGCGGCTGGCTGTCGCAGGCTTCGACGTGATTGTTCCTTCGGGTTGGGTCGCATCGTTGAGAAACGAAATGAAGGAAGAACGCGAGGACGACAGCGGCTGACTGCTCCGGCTGCTAGTGCTACCTTGCGCACCAGAGTGTGACGAGACCCTTGGCAGATCAAAAATTGCCGGCGTTATGCCCGGTGAAGGTTTCGGAGGAGTGCAGCCCTGGAATGTTGTGACACGAGATGGGACCCAACTACCAATCAAAGCTGAACCAGATGAACGCGTTTCCCCTTGGAGGTGTTCACCATCCACCGCTGAGAACATATTTGCGAAGATACCCATCGATCTCAATCTCGTTTTGTCAAGCTCCAATAAATTGCTTCTGAGTACTTCCAAATTGCGGGCGCTTGTGATGAAATACAGATTCGGTTTTCCACTTTGGGTTTCAATTCAACCGAAAAACGAAAAGCGAGAAGACTAGACTACACAAACGAAAATGGACATAATAACTAGCCCCGAATCAAGGCTCGCGCTCATTCATCTGGAGAGCCAACTACTTAGACGGAGGACGAGCCGCGAGATTGATAGTAAAGTAATTTCGGGCAGCGCGTCACGACTTCGAGTTTCATATACGAATGTTGGACGACTTTTTCGATCCTGTCGACTAAGAAGCGAAAGCGATGGCGTCGAGGTAAGTACTTGATTGGTTTTTTCATCTTGGATCATCTCGATCATTTATTATTCTGTTTCCGCCTGGTGCTGCTCTCCGTTGTACTTGTTGTAGGGCATGCAGTTTTTTTTTCCTTGCACTTAATAGTGTGATAGTGCTTTTGCTTTCGTCATCCACCTACCAGCGATAGGACCGACTTGCTTCGCGAAGAAGCCCGATTCCGAAGACTCATTCAGATCTGCGTTTAAATTTCAATCGCAAACGAACAGGAGGGAGAGCAAAGAAGTCGAACAGAACTTAAATCGATATTAGACGGAGGTACTCAAGCGTGTAGCTTGGTTACCCTGTGGAGCGCAACTCTGAAAAACCTACTTTTTTCCGGGTCCTAGCAGCCGGAATTGAGGTTCCGGAACAGGTGGAGTTGCATTTTCATTTTGTGGGTCCAAAATGCAACTTTTTCACCCGCGGACACCAGGAAAAGTTGCATTTTGGACCCACAAAATGCAAATCCACCTGTCCCAGCTTCACCAGCTCCACCTGTACCAGATCGGCGCCCCAGCTTCACCTGCTTCCCGCCGGCGGGAAGCAGGTGGAGACGAGATCGGCGCCCCAGCTTCACCTGCTCCCCGCCGGCGGGGAGCAGGTGGAGACGGCGATCCGCGAAATTTTCAAATTTTATTTTTATCGAGCAGCGAGCCGGACCCTAGCCAACAGAAAAACCACGAAAAATTAAAATTTTATTTTTATCGAGCAGCAAAACAACAACACTTTCCAAAATTCAAGCTTTATTTTTATTGAGCAGCAAAGCAGCATATTTCAAACTGCTTTGTCGCTCGCCGCCGGCGGGAAGGAGGTGGAGACGAGATCGGCGCCCCAGCTTCACCTGCTTCCCGCCGGCGGGAAGCAGGTGGAGACGAGATTGGCGCCCCCGCTCTCCACCTGCTTCCCGCCGGCGGGAAGCAGGTGGGCGGGGAGCAGGTGGAGTGAGAGCTGGGATTCCTAGCATTCCGCAAGATTTCAAAAAAGTGACAAACCGCGAAACTTCAAAATTTTATTTTTATTGGTTTCGCAAATCCGCGAAATTACGGAAATTTTATTTTTATTGCATGCAACTAGCATTGACACACCAGCTAGTTCTACCGATATCAAATTGCTTGATCATAGACAGTGATTCTGGTTGTTGTTGTACAATGTCCATGTGCAACATTTGAAAACTTTTTATTGTCGCAATCCGCGAAATTTTAAAATTTTATTTTTATTAGCCTCAAAACTCAGATGAGAACTCATCAACCGCGAGTGCCCAATGACAATTTCGCACTGAAAACGTGTCTCAGAGGGCCGCTCCGGTAATAATGCCGCGGGAGCGGCCGGACAGTGGTTCCTGCATCTGTTTTGTTTTGTTTTGCGGCTCCAAAGAACGAAGCCACGGGCGCGTGGCCGAGACAGCGGCTAAAAAGTGCCCGGAGCTCTCTTCAGATCACGACCTGTAGTCGCCGTTTTTGCGGCTCCAAAGAAGCCACGGGCGCGTGGCCCCGGGAGCGGCCAAAAAGTGCCCCCGGCTCTCTTCAGATCACGACCTGTACACGCCGTTTTCGCGGCTCCAAAGGGGTCCAGAGAGCGGCCAAGAAGTGCCCCCGGCTCTCTTCAAGTCACGACCTGTAGTCACCGCTTTTGCGGGTCCAAAGAGGCCACGGGACAGTGGCCCAGAGAGCGGGCAAAAAGTGCCCCTGGCTCTCTTCAGATCACGACCTGTAGACGCCGTTTTTGCGGCTCCAAAGAAGCAACGGGAGCGTGGCCCAGAGAGCGGCCAAAAAGTGCCCCTGGCTCTCTTCAAGTCACGACCTGTAGTCACTGCTTTTGCGGCTCCAAAGAAGCCACGGGACCGTGGCCCAGAGAGCGGCCAAAACATGTCCCCGGCTCTCTTCAGATCACGACCTGTACACGCCGTTTTTGCGGCTCCAAAGAAGCAACGGGCGCGTGGCCCAGAGAGCGGCCAAAAAGTGCCCCCGGCTCTCTTCAAATCACGACCTGTACACGCCGTTTTTGCGGCTCCAAAGAAGCCACGGGACAGTGGCCCAGAGAGCGGCCAAAAAGTGCCCCTGGCTCTCTTCACATCACGACCTGTACACGCCGTTTTTGCGGCTCCAAAGAAGCCACGGGACAGTGGCCCAGAGAGCGGCCAAAAAGTGCCACCGGCTCTCTTCAAATCACGACCTGTAGTCACCGCTTTTGCGGCTCCAAAGAAGCCGCGACGGGACAGTGGCCCAGAGAGCGGCCAAAAAGTGCCCCCGGCTCTCTTCAGATCACGACCCGTACACGCCGTTTTTGCGGCTCCAAAGAAGCCACGGGCGCGTGGCCAAGAGAGCGGCCAAAAAGTGCCCCCGGCTCTCTTCAGATCACGACCTGTAGTCGCCGCTTTTGCGGCTCCAAAGAAGAGACGGGACAGTGGCGCAGAGAGCTACCAAAAAGTGTCCGTCTGTTTACCCTCGAACACCCAGGCGCTTGGAAAACCGCGAATTTTCAAATTTTTATTTTTATCAAGTTTGAAAATCTGCGAAATTTTTAATTTTCATTTTTTTTTTATCGAGACCAAAAAGACCAACTCCCCCCAGAAGACAAACCGCCCGGACGATGGAACCGCCCTCTCTCTCTCTCTGTTGGCGACTGCTGCACCTGCACTTGCATCAAGTACGTGGTGCATCAACATCTTCATCTATCGACGTCCACAAGAACGACCTAATCAGTTCTTCACGCTTCCGTTGCTGCTCATCGTCGATGTGATACCGACAACTACTTCTAGATTAGCGAGACCACGAAATTCACATTTATTACATCATCAACATCATCATGAAGCGCCCCTGCTTATAATTCCTCCTCGTCGTAGACGTAGGCTTTCCTGATTTTGTTTGCTGCGGTCTCGTGCGGCAGCATCCGGTCCACGGCCTCCGAGAGATGCTGGTCCCGTGCCGCGATGGTCTGATCGCCTTGCCGGGCGAGCGTCACCGCCTGGTAGAGTCGGATGCGATCGCGCAGGTTCTTCCAGCGGAAAAACGAGTACAGAAAGTACGAGCCGCCGCCCACCGCCAGCACGAAGCCACTGAAGTTGATCGCCTCCAGCACGGCGTTGATGTGCTCCAGCACAAAAGACTCCGCCTCGTCGGCCTCGCCCTCCAGAGTGCCCAGTGCCTCCTTCGCACCGGTGGCCCGGGAAATCACGTGACCGCCCTTCACGTCTTGGATGGTACCCCCGTGGTGGTCGTGTTCGTGCTGGTGGTCGTGGTGATGATCTTGATCGTCATCGTGGTGGTTGTGGTAAGCTTCGTGTTCCTCGCCATAGTTGTTGTCGTGTTCTTCGTCTTCGTGGTCATGATGCTCGTTCGCATCAACAGAAGAACCCCGGTGTTCGTCCTGATCATGGTCCTTGTTACCTCCGTGTTGGTGCTCATTTTCATCACTCGCGTTCGCACCATCTTCGTGCGAAGAGGCCGCTCCCCCGTCGACGTCCTTTCCTGACGTACTTTCATGTCCGTCGTTCGCAGCCCCCGCCTCCTGGTTGTCCGTCGACGGCGGGGCCCCTGCACCACCTGCACCTTCGCCTTCTGCTACTCCGCTGTCATCTCCTTCTGTAGTTTCCCCTGTATTTCCAGGAGCACCATTGTCGGGAGCTGCAGTGCCAGAAGATGCATCGTCTTCAGCTTGATGCGCTTCTTGTTCACCCTCGCCGAAAGAGGTTTTCAGAAAAGAGGTGCCGCTTGATGCCGAGGATTTCGTACAACGCAGCATGCGGATGCGCTTTCCTTCCCCAGATCCGAAAGGCATGTCGTGTTGATACATTGGTATCGCATTTATTTTCGTGCGAGAGATGAGGAAATCCGACAAGGGTGAGGACGAGAAAGTTCCAATCGATATAGAACCGTCGGGGCGGCCACCATCTCCATCGTGGTCACACATGAGGGGGAACCTTCCGCCACCATGCTGCAGAAAGTGAGTCAGAACTCCCATTTTAGAAGTGTACTTAGACGTCAATAGAAAGGAAAAGAAACGGTATTGTCATTCTGATTTTTTCTCGACGTCGCGTTATAATTCCGATTTTCTCCGGTACTATGAAGATGAACCCTCACTGCCCCCGTCACGTTGTCACAAAGGTTGTCTTCACAACAATCATGCTGCTCATGAAGATGCGTGAACAAGTAACCACTGCCCTAGAGCAGTTTTTTTGTTTTGGACAAAAATAGGAAACTCAAGTACTTTTCGAACGAATAGCGATGAACCCGAGTGAGGTTAACGAATATAATTTTTAACGGCCACTATCACATACAGACGAGGGCGCGAAGTCGAAAACGAGGAAAGAGAAAGAACAAGCAACGACTTGATGCTACAAACATCTCGATTAGACGACGCGAATGCTCCACGAAAAATATCACTCGCCAGAAACAAGAAACCAAGGCATCATCCAACGAGGAGAAATATTCGTACGCCAGCGAGGAGGATCTACTTCAACACAACGATAATGGACCGTTCGAATTACACATCTCGAACAAATATTGCATTTCCGAGCATAAGCACACCAGATCCGGCCTTGGAAAAAAATCCGGCATTGCAATGAAATTCAGACTGCGAATGGAGCACTGAAAATTAAATTGGTCGCCCGGGGCGCGAAGGCGAACGATGTTCCTGGAAGTCGTAGCGCTGCGCTTATCGTAAATCGCGAAGTCGATCTTGTCGCCAACTACTTTGCTTTTAGTTTTATCGTAAATAATAACTCTCCTTCTCGCTCTTCTCTACCTCTGCTTGCACAAGAGTAGAAATTTTTGCCTGAACAGTAATCCTTTTTTGCGACGATCAGCAGTTTTATTTTATGTTCTTCATCAAAAAAAAGATGCTACAAGGGTTGCGATGAAGCTGCTGGAATTCATTTATTATTATTCGTCTTTGTAATAAATATTGTTCATGCGCAGAGCCGTTTCTTGTTTTACCCAGAAGATCCTTATGCGGCACCAGCACCACGGTTGAGCAGGTCGGCCGCACCAGTCTCCTCGATTGTGTTCAAGCAAGACTTGGGTGCCCAAGCAGCGGCGCGCAGGATCTGCAGAAACGCTTTCAGTACCGGGATGAAGTCGCCGTAGGAGAGGTACAGGCTGCACAGGTCTTCGCAAACTTGCTGCAGCAGGTCTGCCACGCTGTTATCAGGCGTCTTCGTCCACGACGTGCCGAGGAGCAGCCGCGCGTGCACTTTTAGCAACAGCTGTGGCAGGTCAGTCGGCGAGGACATCAATGGGGCAGTGCTTGTCGCTTGTTCTACTGCTGTTGATGATCCCGACGTTGGCTCAGCCCGCTCCTCCGTGGATGAACTTGAACAAAGTGCGGCTTGAAGATGACGATGAGCGACGTGGGTACTAATATCAGCAGGGACATTCAACCTCGAATCGAAGTGACGACACAGGGCCATGGCAAGGCACGCAAATCGAAACGCGACCGACACCGTTTTCGTAGCTGTCCACCTCGTGGACTCCAGGGAAAGCACACAGCTAGTAGCGCAAGAGCCGTCATTTCTCCTCGTCTTCGGGCTGCAATCGTCGGTAGGTGCGACGCCCGGTGGGGGCGGCCACCATTGCAGCAGCAAGCGTGCCACGACGACGGGATCGTCACAGCTGGCGATCATTTCGAAAATCCCGGCGGCGCCGCTGCGGAGCTGACCGTTGGAGCTCCGAACGAGGTCGAGAACGAGACTTTCTGGCTGGTCGCTATCAAATTCGATCTGCGCCACAGAGATAGTGTGGTCAGAAAGTAGACCCCCTCCAACGCAGCCCTCGTTCTCCCGCACAGGATCCTTGCTTCCAGCATGCGTGCGTACAAAGTGTCGCAAGTGCATGATCGGTAGATGGTCCTGGGCGACAGAGGGACTTGGCGAAGTTGGTGTCCTAGCACTTTCTCGTCCACCTGGTGGTGTCGTAAAGAAGCTTTTCCGCAGGGGCCGCGCCGGGCATGACGATGACCCATCTACATCTTGTGAAGACGTGGATGATAATTGCGCCGTCGACCCTCCTGCCAGGTGGAAGTAGCCAAGAACCGCATCTTCTGGCACGATCGTGAAAGGGAGCTCCTGCTTTTTTTGCTCGCACTCTGGCGGCAGCCTACACTGGTCCACAGGCGGATAGCAGGCGACCACCGACGGCACCGTGCGCATCTTCCACGGGTAGTCGTTTCTAGCGTTTTCTCTGGACGTTTGGTACCGCATCGAACTGGTCCAAACTTGTCCCTTCACCAGAGACTCCAGCGTTTTCTGCACGCCGGAGTTCCAGACTGGAAAAAAAAGTGTCGGAAAAGCCGTATTGACGATGCGGCTGACACAGAAGTAGCCGGTATTGTGCGCGGTTTCCAAAGCGGTAACAACGTGCGGGTCCACCGGTCCTCGCAGGGAAAGCCGTGACAAGGCTGCTCTGAGGTCAAAGCCACCTTTTGATGTTCCTTCTCCGCTTGAAGATTTTTTGGTGGACGAGGTTTTTACTATCCTGCGCACCAAACTCTGGGCAGCCGGCAGGGGGTCGCTGGTGGGAACGTCGGGAAACTGCTCTCGCATCTCTCGTTGCAATGCCTGCAGCTGGTAAAAAATGACGGGGTCGACCTGGTCTCCCGTGCGGAAGAGGGTCGAAAAGTTGAAGAAATCGGGGCATGCGAAAAACCAGTGCCCGCCGCCACGGACGAGCGACGAAAGTTCGTAGTCGTAAAGCTCCTCTGCTTCCTCGCGTTGCTTCGCGGCCGTTGCTGCATCGGGGGACGGCTTTTCGTGCATTTCATCGCCTCCCAGTTTCCCACGTTGCACAAGGAGCTCCGTCAAAAAGCGGAGAACGAGGGCACAAAGCCCCTGCTGCAGCAGCACCCACTTTTGCGTGCGCTTGTTTTTGGCCACGTCAAATGATTCGGCGGCTTGCTCCTCAATAGGGGCACCAGTTGCAGCGTTGTTGTCAGAAAAATCCGGGTCGTCGTCGTCGTTGGTACTATTATGCTGGAACCCACGAACGAGCATTTCTCGGAGGTAGACCGAAAAAACCGCCATGTCCTGATCTACCCCTAGGCCATGCCGCACCCACAGCGTCCAGAGGCGCACTCCTTCGATGCAACCCTCAATCAAGAAGCAAGGATCCTCGTCGATCCTCGTTTTTTCGGCACCAGAAACAGCGGAGTGGTCCATCTTGGGTGTCAAATACCGCAGGACTGCCGCCCGCGCGGCAAGCGTGATCCGTCCGGCGTACATCTGAAACCAAAAACGCGTAACCAGAGGACCACCAATCTGCGAGCTAACACGGATCAATCGCAGAATAGCCGCACGAAGACCCTGCAGCTGAAGAGTCTCGTCCACGACCTGTCGGTGGTGGTTCTTGAAGTTGGCTCCTGCGTAGTTGTTGTTCTCATCAGGATCATTTTCACCGGTTGTAGTACTTCTTCTCCCTTGTTGCGCAGCTTGTTGGGACGATTCGAAAAGAAGCGACATCCAATGATTGAGTCCGGACAGACTTGCCAGATGCGCGATGATTTGGAGACTGATGTGACCCTCGGAAGACCCGCCCTCGCCTCTCTCCAAACAATCGTCCACACGCAGGTATGGCATCAATGCAGTTAGCAGCTTGACCACCAACAAACGTTCACTAACCGGTTGCTGGAACACCAGCTGGTCAGTCGAGGGAATGAAATCGTCGTCTACACGGTGACTGACATACTTCTGCGAAGAGCTCTTATTAACACCGTCCTCTCGTTCGTAGTTTTCCGCGTCGTGCTCCTGCTGTAGCGGAGCGAACTTGAGGCACATCTCACGTATTTGGCTAAGGATACCGATCACGTCCAGTGAAAGGTCGATTTTCTTCTTCATATCCAGGCTAGTAGCTGCAGTCGACTTCGTGTTCTCATCGTCCTCCCTGTCATCCGCGGCCTGTGTACTAGCGCTAGCCGCAGCAGCTTTATTGCTGGGTTGTTCTACTTCGTCCAATCCACCACCCAAGTCGACGTCGCCTTGTTTTGCCGCCACATGAATCTTGCGGGTACTGACGCGCTTTTGTTGCTCCAGAAGCCCGTGCAGGACATCTGCCGGACCTTGTGGTCGCGGTCGAAACGCCGCGGGTCCCGGCACCGCGTCGACACCCAACAACTCTTCGCAAATATCCAACCACGTGACGCACTTCGGGTTGGCGTAGAAGAATGACGCGGTGGCACCGTCAACGTCTTGGGAAAAATCTGTGTTTGGTTTTAGGGAGGATGTCGCGCTGTTCATCTCGTCTACTTGCACTGTTCTTTGGCACTTCAAAAATTCTACGTAAAAATGAAAAGATGAGAGCGCAACGACCTATTCGCGATTCTTGCCATCAGGTCAATTTTTCTCTGTCATACTTATTTTTGTATTTTTCAGACTGGTGGTACATGAGTAGAATTCTCGTCACTGGATTGAAGATAGTCAGTGCAAGTATTCTATAATGGTTCAGTTATGTCATCATTTTCATTGCAACTTCTTTGAACGGAAACTTCGAAAGGGAACTGCAAACCAATGTAAAAATGATAGCTGATTGATTTCAAATCAATCACGACATGAAAAAACACACGCAGAAGTCTCAAACTAAAAAAAATATTAGTATTACCTGTGCGATCATAACCCCCGGCGACGAAGTTTTTCAAAACCAGAAGCGCGTGCCAGCGCACGTTCGCGTCAGGGTCGAGCAGGTGTGGCAACATCAACGAGGGTACGTCCTGTAGTTGGTCGAATACCTCCGCGAGCGACTCGTCTGCAGAACTACAAGGGTAAAAATTCTTCGCCTGCGGTTGTTCCACTCCTGCTAACCTCCCTTCGAGCAGCCAAATCTGGTCCACTGCCGCGGCGAGGATAGCGAGGGCCATGGTCTTTTGCGGTGTGCTGCCGCTCTGCGCCAAACGCAACAATTCCTCAAAGGTGTATCCCGCCCGGTGCGGCTCTTTGCCATGATGGTACAGGTGCGGCTGGTAGGTGTCCCCGAGCTGGCTTTCCTCGACGACTTTGCCCTCCGTATCGAACCGAAAGTTATCCAGAATCAGTCCACCCCGAGGACGTGGTCCTGAGGACCTCACATCATCCCTCGCGTTTGTTTTCATCTTGGACATATCCTCCAGCGGCGCCGGGTCCACAACGGGCTCGGTCCACTCCAACTTCTTAAACTCGTTTTTCGAGAAACGCAGAGGCGGCAGCGGATGTTGCTCCTGCAGCTGAGGCGTTCTTGCAGGCCGATTTTCCGATGAATCTTCTAGAGTGTTCTTGTCGTTGTGGTCGACCTTGCTCACAAGAGCTTTGTGTTTCGCTTTCGCCAATCGCTGCATGCAGTCTTCCACGTCGACGACCAATTGCGTTTCGCCAGCCGGCTCCTTCTCCACGATGTTAGGCGCGTGGTCAAAAAACGCGCCAAAACCTCGTTTTTCCACATCCTCTTGGGCCGGTGCGGATGGTCGCGTGGTCGTGAGGTGTGGTGTGGCGGCATCTTCGTCGGCGCTTTGTGCAGCAGCGGATGTAGTTATCACGTTGCGCTGCTTTTTGAAAATCGAGGTCCGACCGCGCTTAGAAGAGGATAGACTGCGACTGCCCCCGTCCTGGTTCGTAACCTTTCCCTCCTGTACTGCTCGGTTTAAATCTACACGGCCTCGTCCTGCGCTCCCACCATTCTCAGCATTGTCAACACCTTGATTTTTTTCATCCTGCAACTTCTTGGCTTTACCGCGCTTTCTGAGGAATTCGACTTGCGACTGCGAAAGGGTGCTGTTGATTTCGGCCACAGAAGCAATAATTTCCTCGTGCGACATCCCATCCAACCTCTTCGAGGCTTCCGCTGCAATTTTTTCCAGGTGCTCGGCCTCGTTTTTTTCTAATGCGGACGAAACAGCGCCTGCTGGATCTTTATCTAGCTCAGAATTTTCGTCAATGGGACTCAAGCGCGACTTACTCATTAGCGAAGGTGGAGGTGGTTTAGAACAACTTGGCTGCGACGTCGACGACATTTTTGACGGTAACTCAGTAGTCGCGCCTGTGTCTGTGTTCGTGGTGGAGGAAGTTGTAGCAACACACGAAACTACTGTGTCAACATCCTCTTCAGCCTGCGTGTTTATTTGTCGCATCTGCGCAAAAAGGCTTCCTCTTTTCATTTTGGTACGTAGTGGTCCGGCCGCGCGGCTGGTGACAGATGACAAGAAGTTATTCATCGCGTCGAGCGTTCCCGAGCCACAGCCTCCAAAACGAGTACTCTTTTCCGGGCTCCTTTCCGCGTCCAGGACTCGCTCGACGATCTCGCCGAGAACTGTTCCAGTCTCCGGCAGCGGGGTTTTATTCCCGCGACTCGTTGATGTACTCGCCGATTTACAACTAGGTCCGTCATCGTCCGTGGTCCTGGCGGTTTTTATTCCAACATCTTCTACGTAGTTCTTCTTTTGTAATTCAACCGTTCGACCACGCGTGCCCGTCTCTACTCCTGCGTCAGAATCTTTACTCGCATCATGAGCCAATTCAACCCCGTCGTGAACACCTGCTCGTCCTCGCCCAGTGTCGTGACGATTGCTGTCAACGACGTGCCTCGACGTTCTCGAGGACGATAAAACGCGGGGAAACTGATCGCCTGTTCCCACACGGAAATTTTGCTCGTGCACCCGGCGAGCATCGTCAATGCGTTGCAATTCCGGATCCGCACGCTTGATGGCTTCAGAAACCGTCCTCGTGCTACCTTTCTTTTCAATTTTGCCCGAGGACGCGACGGCAAGAGTACCCTCTTTCTTCATCTGTTGGTCATTGCTTCCAGATCCAGATACGCCTCCATCCTGGTCGACATCGTCACTCTGTCGACGTCCCCTTGCAGAAGCTATAGGATTGCGCTGACCCTGGGCCTGGCCGGGTCGCACCAACCTGACTCCGCTTGGTAAGCGCTGGTCGTTCGAGCTGGAACTGCTGGATAAAGCACCACCTGGGCGGGACTGGTTGTATGTCCGCAGAAATTCTTCCTGCTCACGCAGGAGATCGTCGTCCATTTTCGTATCTGACTCTGTTTCCTTTCAAGGGTAAAGACCGGGGGTTTCAAGAATGAAAATTAAATTTTGTCAAACACAATCCTAATTGTAATTCGTACTAAAACGATAACATTCCTCCACACATTCTCATTGACATCCATATCCCATAATATTTCTTCGACGTCTAAGAAATCTTGAATCCATCACGTGTCCTATGGCTATGTTGATGATGCTTTGAATGTCTACTTAAGAACCATGTATATGAACATCAATGTGCTTATTTGTCACCTGAGAAAGGCATTGAGGAAAAGGGAGTACAACTATGTTGGACGAGACGAGGCAACATTTTTTTATATTGCGATCAACATTCTTCGGCGTTTGCGTTTCCGATTGAGATTGATCTATATCAAGTTAATCCATGGCCAGGCACGATTTTTGACGAATTGAGCAACGCAAATCCGAGAATTGAAAACCGGGAACCGATAATTGAAAACCGAGAGCCGAGAATTGAAAACCGAGAATTGAAAACCGAGAACCGAGAATTGAAAACCGAGAATTGAAAACCGAGAATTGAAAACCGAGAACCGAGAACCGAGAACCGAGAACCGAGAACCGAGAACCGAGAACCGGAAACCGGAAACCGGGAATCTCGGTCTTCTCGGTTTCTCCTTCTCTTTTTCGGTTTCTCTTTTCCCGGTTTCTCTTTTCTCGGTTTCTCTTTTCTCGGTTTCTCTTTTCTCGGTTTCTCTTTTCTCGGTTTCTCTTTTCTCGGTTTCTCTTTTCGCGGTTTCTCTTTTTCCGGTTTCTCTTTTCTTGGTTTCTCTTTTCCCGGTTTCTCTTACTCTTTTCCCGGTTTTTCTTTTCCTGGCTTCCCTTTTGCCGGGTTCCCTTTTCTGCTCCGTTTCTCTTTCTCGGGTTCCCTTTTCCCGGTTTCCCTTTTTCCGGCTTCTCTTTTCTCGGTTCGTCTTTTCTCGGTTTTTCTTGGCCCGGTTTTTTTTTGTTTTCCCGGGCTCTTTTTTCCCGGTTTGTCTTTTCCTGTTTTGCCTCTTCCCGGTTTCTCTTTTGCCGGTTTGCCTTTTCCCCGTTCCTCTTCTTCCGGTTTACGTTTACCTTTTCCCGGCTCCCCTCATTTCCCGGCCTCTGATTGGCAGAACACGGAGCGGCCTTCCCGGACTTCCGGCTGGGAATCCTATGCCCGGAGACACATACAAGACGAACGGACTCGAGCAGCACCTGGCTGGCTTTTTTCTTGCGCGGATCAATTGCGTGCAATTTCTCAGATGCCTGTGGTTTTTCGAGGTCTTGCGTCTGTTCATTCGTTCCTGGAGCCGCGTACTTCCAAGAGCCGCGCCCCAAGGGCAGGGAGATAATTCCTCTCAGGTATCGACAAGCGGTAGACGTTAGCAATGGGATCGGTAGCGCTGCCCATCTAGGTATCGACAAAGAAACGGCAGAAGTCTGCAAGTGGGTGGCTTTTCTCAAGTATCGACAAACGGCAGAAGTTAGCTTTGAACAAGAAGGACAAAATAAGTGAAAGGCTCTACGTGTATCGACAAAGGGGCAGGGTGACTGGACAACGAGAAGTCTAAAACGTGGGAAAATACGAAGGGCAATTTGCCTAGAGTGGGCGCGCTTCCTTCAAGAGGACGCGAGCCAATCACGGAAACCAATATGTTCCCGAATCGGGTAGACCAAAAGTAGCAAGATCGACAAGGTTCTCAAGTGTGGCGACTGCGTTCTCGCGGTAGATCGCTATCTGCTCCCGCTGCCGGGGACGGCTGAACAAGGCGAACGCAACCCCATGCAGAATCCAAATCGTGGCGATGGAGATCACATACAGGACGCCGACCGGCACGGTGCGCCCTTGGAAGCTGTGGATCGTGCTGGCCAGGCTCGGCCGGACACCGATCGCAAGCACCAGCCACCGCGCGCCGGGGTCACCGTCCACGTCCTCCTCATAGGTCGAGTTCAGCGGGACTGATTCTTCGTGTCCCGTTTTGTCAAACTGGACGTCTACGAACGTGCGCCCGAAGCCGGTCACGACGCCGCGGGAGTTGGTGGCGTAGGTTCTGTCCAGCAGACGCAGGGGACCAGTCAAGGCAACGCGTTCGCCCTTGAAGAGTTCCAACTTCTCCGCGCGCGTGGATTCTTCGTCGTCAAAGCCTTCCAGCAGGGGATTTTGCATATTGAGGAGCAGCGGCGAGTACGAGCGGCCACGCAGGTGGAGCGTGTGCAAAGCCCGAGCACGAACGGCAAGGATGCGCCGGCGCTCTTTGTGGGTGCCGCAAACGATCTCGACTCTGTTCATCGCCTCCACCCCGAGCCCGATGCGGATCCGTTCGGCCAGCCATTGATAGGAATACTCCACATCCTCTGCGCCGATCCGCCCGAAAGTAGTCAGGTCGATCGCCTCGGTCTCCCCGGTGCGGATGGGGTCAAGTTCGTTGCTCCACGCCTGCGCCAGGTAGCGCGGACTGTGCCCGCCGTTGTTGATCTTCAGGTAGCGAAACTGCTCCAACCCCTCTAAATATTTGCGAAACGGCTGCGAGGTTGTCCCTATGAGCGCGTCGGTGGTTTTTGTAAGTCGCAGAACGCTGGGGAGTTGGTAGATATCACCAAAATGCCCGACCTTCTTGCCCCTGCCGCCCCAAAGCTCCGGCGTTGCCGATAGAGACGCCTCCCCCCGTAGCTGCTTATACCGTAGGACCTCCCGCCCTACCCGCCTGCCCCCGTTGGTGTTCCATTCTTCGTTTGACATTCCAAACTCATCCAGGAGATAGACGTCCGCCGCACCGACGAGCGCTTGGGTACGTTCGCCCCAGGCTTTGTTGTCCTCGAGGTCGATCGTCATACCGAGGCCGTCGTGCATCGTAAGGCCGTCAATGATGCTCGCCGCCTGGCCTGTTGACGCCAGCAACATGACAACTGTCTCGGTCAGGTAGCACGTTAGCTCAATCGCGCGGATCAGTATAGCCTTTCCCGCGCCTGCGGTCTCATTGCACACGACGACGTCGAGGATGCCGATGTCGGTGCCGTCATCTCCATCCATGAAGTCATAGTAGGCCTCCTTTTGGCCGGTGGTCATCTCGATGGCATTCGGGTCCGTGCCATGGAGGAGGTTATCAAGCTCGCGGGCGTGTTCCTGCTGACGCAGTCGGATCTTGGCGCGGTACTCCTCGACATAGAACTCCCGGCGACTCAGCTCATCGCTGAAGCTGTGGATGTGCTCGCCGGCCTTCGGTTGCGTCTGGCGAATGGTAAGCCGGTCGTAGCCGGCTGCTTCGAGCCTTTTCGCGATGACTTTGGTCGTGAATTTGTGCTCATCTTCCAACCACTGCCAGGCCACGCGCCGGGCCTCGGCGTCGAAGTTCGCGAAATACTTCACGAACGTGGGTAGGAGCCCACTCTGCGGCCGTAGCTCGCTCAACTCCTCCAGGAAATTTTGGAAGACGAACTGCTTGAGATGGGCGGGGTAGTTCCAGCGCTTCATACTTGCGTTTGGGTCGGTGAAATACTCAACCACGTCCGCGCGGTCAACGAGGTGCAGGGCGCACAACCATAGCAAGTAGGTGTCTTCGTGGGTCTTCCCCTTGATGTGGCAGATCTCAAGCCTGGGGCGGTGCTCTGCAAGGATTTTCTCGGCCTTGCGTGAAATCTGGGCAGCCATAAGGATGGTCTTCGAGTTGTCCCGCACAAAGTCCGCGAACTCGCGCAGCTGCCCAAGTTCCAGCACGACGCCCAAGCGGTTTGCCGCCTGAAACTCTTCGCCGTTGATGTCTGGATGCCAACGCGCATACCGTTCCACGAGCACCCGGTCGGACCGCGTGACCGTTCCAAGGGTAAAACGTTCCAAGGACCAAGAAAAATACTTCTCGGGGCGGTCCAGCCAGTTGTTGACGAACTCCGTAGACAGGGCAGGCCCGTGAAACAACTGGGCGCGCTCGATTTGCCACCGACTGACAACAACCACGCGGATCGTGCCTTCTGGCACATGGGTGCCGAACCTCTTAAAGCCATAGAGATCGGCCGCGGCCTCTGACGCAGTAAGGACCTGCGCCGCATGCAGCGCCTCGACCTCATTGAAAACCTCCTCGGCTTGCTCGAACATCTGCCACGACCCGCTTGCTTGATTGTTTTTCTTCACGGCCGGCGTAAGCTTCGACGGATACTTTAAGACGTAGCGCACCCTGTTCGCGCCGCCGACGCCTGTCGCGTGGCAATGGGCTCGGAACCTGCAGAAGGTCTTCTTATCGATCCCGACATAGCAGACATCTTCCTCAAGCGTCTCGATCTGGAGGAAACCGCGTTCGTCCAGGAACGTCTCTGACACAAGGATGGCGGGAATCCAAGCGCGACACTGTGTGTGGCCGGGCCGCAGGCAAGATTTCGCGTGATGGTGGTAGAAGACCCGGTCGCCCGTTTCCTTCCAACCCGGGAACTCGGCCGGGATCCAGTCGCGGCTTCGCGTGATGAATTCATCGAAACCCGTCGCGGTCAGCAGCGGCGAAGCAAACCAGGTCAGCATGTGCTGATGCGGCCGTCCGGATGTTGGCTGCGGCTCCTTTCCCCATGAAACGACCGCGCATTCGCCGTAAATCTGCGTCACACTTTCCGCGTGCAATTGCATCTTGGCCTGGAAGGCGCGAACACTCGGGCAAGGCTCATCGAGGACGGCACACGTGCCCCAGGGCCGCCGCGCTGCCTCGGCCTGCAGCTCACGAGTGTCGTCGGCCTGGGTTGCGGTGGTCATCAAATCGCACGCGCCTAGCTTCCGCATTATGGCGAAGGCCTTGCCACGCTGCTGGGATATCTCCTCCATTGATCCGGGAATGTTTGCCGGTAGGCGTCGCGGAATCTTCCCCGGGTTGTTTTTTTGAAAAGCGGCCTGGAACATGAGGATCTGGCGCTGCCGTTGGTTCAGAGAAAATCTCAGGAGAAGCGTCTGATGGAGATCATACAGAACCGGGCACGTCATCTCCGGCCGGGCGAAATATTGCCGCAGGAAGAACTTCGTCGTCACGTGCGGCGGAAGGTTGAGGCCATTGACAAAGAGACCGGGGAACTCCACGCCCAGCAACTTCTCCCAGAGCTGCGTCAGGATTTTGTGCTTTTGAAGAAGTTTTTTCGCATCAAGGTCGTGGGCGCTAGACGTCGGAAAAAAGACCTCGCTGCCCTCTTGCAGGTGTGCGGGGCCGGTGCGGTACGTCACGCCACAGATACCTCCACCATCGAGCTCAAGGCCGATGCCCGCGACTGGCCCGGGGTCGTGCAGATACTCCTGAAACGTTGGGGAGCTATAGACTGGATGTCCGCCAAGAGGTCGCGCCAGCAGTTGGAACATGTCCAGCGCCGCCTTTTTTTCTTGCGCTTTCGGAACCCGTCCGCCGCCCGCGACTGCCAGGGCCACCTGGATGCCCAGGCTCTTCGTTAGGTATTGCGGGCACCACAACCCAGTCCCATACGAGTAAATTTGCGAACCGAGTGGGAAGGAGTCCGCTGGCCTTCCCATATACTTGCGCGGCTGTCCCGTTTGCGCCCGCACCTTCGCCGGCTCGAATTGGTAACGCATCAGCGCCACCGCCTCGCTGGCACGCGCGTAGCGGGCGGAGGCCTTCGGGACCCCCTCCCATTCGTTCACATACTCTTCGCGGCCGGCGATCAAGTCCGCCCAAAAATCCGCAGCGAGAGCCTCGGCGCCATCGTTGCACAGGCTGCAGGATTTCTGCGCATTCGTTTGCGGGCACCAGGCTGCCTCGGTTCCTTCATAAACGTGCGCGCCACACCACCGACATGGGGCCCACTCGGGGACCATTTCGCCGAAGACTTCCGCGGGGCGGGCGTCCTGATACTCCGCGGCGCCGAAAACATTCGCACGGATCGCACAGGGCCGACAGAGGTTGTCCAGCTGCGACACTTCAGGGCCGCCGGCAAGGCTTTCGAAGACTTCCAAAACCGGGAAGAAACCGCGATGGCTGACGGGTGGCGCGGCGCTTGGCCACTTCTGGGCCTCGGCGAGTTTTGCGCAATCCTTGGCATTTATTCGGTCGGGGAAGTTGAAGTACCCGGCCGGGTAACGGGTTTGGCATTTGTCGCAGGCGGTGCTGAACCCGTTGCATACCCTGCAGATGTCAGAACCCGTCTCCGTTTCCCGTCTGCGAAACTGACAGACGACGCACCTGTCCGGCCAGAGAATGCGCCCACTTAGTTCCCCCATAGTTCTGCGAGTTCTGTTAGCGTGGTCGGCTGGACAATTGTCCGTCTAGGGGGGCGATGTCCATAGGATTGGGGGTTGGCGAAGTCAATCACGAAAACAAGGGCAAAACGGCTTCACGCACTGAAATACGAAGAGGCAGGGGGGGGCTGGCAAATAAGCAAAAGGGTCGGGCTATGAACTGGGAAAGGGTGAAGGCGAAGAAATAACTCTCGGGGGTGGGGCTTATCACGGCCAAACTGATTCACACTTCTCGCGTTTCATTAGTGTCACTGTGTGAAAACCAAAAAAAAAAGGAAAAACTGGCGCACTTTCGAAATGTATACAGCCGGCCGGCTCGGTTTTTTCTAAATTACTCGAGTCGCACTCGGTGGCCGATTTTGATCAGTGAACCTAGCCCCTGGCTGTGCGAGGTTCTGATCTTTTGCACCTGTTGCAGCGGGTGCGTGTATCAATCTGGAAGAAGTTCTTCTCCCCAGGCCTATAAAGGTGGCCGGAGAGTCTTCTTTCCTCGGATTCAATTCTTTTGCGTTGCTCCTCGTTGATCGCTAACCTGTGGCGACATGACCTGCCAACTTGTATAATTCATCATCGTGATCGTGAAGTTTGAATCGGGACTTCATTTTCATCCGATCGAAAGCGATGAAAGAACCTTCGTTTGCAGGTTAGATTTTGTTTTCAAGATCAAGAGGAGATCAAGATCACGTCAGCCCTGAAATAAAGTCTCGGGCATTTTTGCAGCAGGAGCGGATCCTGGTGATTTATCCTACAGGCCGGTAAAACTTGGATCAACAAGATCCCGCCAATTTTTTGTCATTATATGGCCCTTCTACAGTTTGTGAGGCTCAGCCGAGTTTGATCCTGTCCCCGAGAAAGCGATTCACTCAGCGATGTACGGACGAGCAAGAGAGCCGTGGGAGAACGCTCTGTATTCGTGATTTGGACGAACATCTCAAGAGGAGGTGGTCGAGGTTCCTGGAGTTGCCCGGGCCACCCGTGCAGCAGCGGGGGGCGACTTGTTTGAGCGCGCCGGCGGGCTCTTCCGCTTGTCGAGCCGAGCCAAGCGCATAGACGTTCTGTATGTTTTCTTCTTTGTGTTCAAAAACACAGAGAAATTTTGCAGACCACAGACAGATCATCACTTTCCCCGTGGCGGTGAACAGACAGCCACGAGAAAGCCACATGATATCAAAAATCTTCTAGATCTACTAACCTTCATAAACGAACAAGGGAGTGGTCGTGGAGTAAATATTAAGATTTGTTTTTCTCTTTGTACGAAAAGGACGGGCATGACGGCAACAGATTTCAGTCCGTGTGTGCATACCCGCATAAGCATAAGTCTTTGTATATGTAGATGTAGAAGATGTAGTCAAGTCGGAACAGAAAAGAACATTTAGGTACAAATAGTGGTAGCAGGCTTCACTTTCCAACAAATCAAGTTCTTGTCGATGCAGGACCTTGCAAAATAAATATTTTTTCCAAAACCAGCTATACAGACAACAATTCTTGACCACTTTTCTATATTCTTTAGGTGTTTTCTTTTGTCGTGAACGAGCTTCCACATGTTGAAGGCATATTAGGACATTTCTGAAGAACAAGGAGCGAGCGTAGCAAACCCGTCGTGGCGGCACCTGAATGAGCTCAAGTCTGATGAGAGGCAGCAACTACTAGCTGTTCTTTTCCTTTTCATCATTGCTCTGATGTTCGCGTTGCTCGATTACTCCAACACGATTCGGCTCAAGAACGACAGCTCTTCACCAATAGCAATGCTTACGCTTGCTGCTGGAATCGCTGGCGCTGGGCCATTTGTTGTTTTTGTCGAGACGCGAGCAATTCGATCCACAACTCGCGATAGAACGTGCTCAAGTCGAACCGTTGCGGATCCGCCGGGGATGTTTTGATTTGGTCCTCCGGGCTCTCAGCCTGCAGCTTTTGGAAGAACGGCTCGTGGAGCTCCGGATTTTGCAGGAACTGAAGTGGAATGGTGAAGTTCGTGAATGTTATGAGTGACATCAATCAAAAACTAAAACACAATGAAGACAAAATCGAGGCGTCGAATTGTAGTACGGTCGTGGTTTGCTAATCCTGATGCAAAAACAATACATCCTTCTTGTCCTTGTGCTACTATGGTACCAAGAGCATGAAAGATTTGTCGACGACTGTGCGGTGGGCCAGTGCGTACTTCCCAAACCGGGCGATGCAATTTTGTGTGACGGGGTCGCTCATCGCATTGTGGTACGAGACATTCTGCCGCGAAGACCCAGCAGAGGCACGCCGCGCTTTGCTTCCTCCAGATCTGGTGCTACCTGCTCCAGTTGATGTACCCACCATGTTTCTACTCTGTCCGCTGGTACTGCTTGCCGCCTGCGGCGCGCAACGAGAAGTGCTACTTGCTGAGTTTGCAGAGCGCTCGTGCATGGTCGGAGGACCATTGGAGGTCGTCCATTGCGCATGAGCTGGCTCTGTGTTACAGAAGGAGTTTGCAGATGAGATGTCAATGGACGCAAAAAAATGACAACGAGTAAACGTAAAGTGTAAGTAAGTACAAGAGAACCGATCATTCGCAAAATGTGTATGTGTATGTGATTCATTTGTCATTTTGCTCAAGAAGCGAACGCTGCAGTTATTCGTAAGGTGGAATATTGTTCTTGCGAGGCTTACTTGTTGTTAAACTTGGTATCGTATTAGATGGGTAGAAAAACTAGTACGCTGCGTCGTTTGATGAATTGCGGCGGTAGAAGAGGCTCCAGGAGCACCCGGTGGGCCACCAGGGGCAGCATGTCCCGTCGTTACTAAGAAGCTCGCTGGTGCACCACCCGCCGAGTCGCTCTGTGATTGCTGCAGAGCGGGAGGTGCCGACACAGGTTGTACAGGCAGTGCGTAGTGAACACCTCCACTTTGCGCGGCTGCTGCCGCCGCGTTAGCTGCTGGAGCAGGTACCAAAACCTGCATAAGATAGTGGGGCTGAGGCTGCTGGTGCAGAAAATGCGGCTGCTGCGAGTTTGGCAGTAAGTGCTGCTGTTGCAGCGGCCCGGTCATCTCCTCTTGTTCTTTCACCGCAACGCCACTTCTCGCTGCCTTCGGCTCCGCCTGCTGCCCGACTGCACCTATTTGAGCGTGTAGTCGTGCTCGTGGAGTCAATCGTCACAATATCATACATGCGGCCGCTTCATCAGATCATAGAGAGAGAGACAAAAGATACGCTACGATAAAGCAAAATGTAAATGAAAATTTTCGAATTTATTTGAAGGCGATCAAAAAACTCCAACTCGAGCGTATGCGCCGGTATAGCATTTTTACCTTTGCTTCCTTTTTGCTTTCTAGATCTAGACCGCGATTGGTTACTCTTACTACTCTCCTTGGCGATATTAACAGGCTGTTCCTCAACAACCTTTTTTTTGCGCGTCTGCGGCGCCTTGGGTGGGCGCTCGTCTTCGGATGATGAGGAACGCGAACCCTGGCAGCTGCCACTGCTGCTGCTGTCGTCCCCGCCACTGGAGGACGACGAGGAGGAGCTGGCGGAGGGCCGCTGCGGAGCTCGTGTAGGAGCCTTGTTCTTCTTAAGCGGCAAAGAAGCCCCCTGCTTGCCGGGAGATTTACTTCTGTCGTCGCCAGACTCGGCCAGTCGCTGCCGCTTGTTCCCCCCGAGCCCGACAAGTGCACCTATTCATAAATATCTTGATGATGGCCATCAAAATGGAACAAGTCTTTCTCTTTTTCGTCAATTTTCTCTTTATCGTGCATAAAGAAACCCAAAGGCTGATCAAGTTGTGGTAGTTGCAAATCCCTTGGGGTCCCGTCATCATCTTCATGATCTTCTGAAATCTGCAAGCAAAAATGTTTCGAAACGCAGGAAGTAAATCAGCTGAGTACCTCCTTTTTTTCCAGCGGTGTCGATTTCGCTGTGGGGGTTCTTTTCCTTTTCCCTGCGTGGAGAAACATCATCCCCCACAATCGTGGCTTTGTTTTCCGCGTCCTTGATGTGATCTTGCGACTGCCTGCTGCGCGCTCGTTTTCTGGATCGAGGCGTTGACGCGTCGTATGCGGACACCTCCACTTGCTTGCCTCTTCCTATACTACGGCCGCGGCCGAGCGATAAGTCCGCGTCCCGCGGCTTTCGTTCCTCTGGCGGATCGCTTTCTTGCAGCTCTTGGTCAAGTTCGAACCTTCTGATTGGGCCCATGGGTGCACCGCCCCGTGTGGCCCTCCGGCGTGGTCCGCCTTTGCCTTTCGCCGGGGCACGAGACGGCGCACGACTCTGTCGAGAACCATGGTTAAGATGAACAGAATTCCGTTTTCTTTCTTGTTCATCGGCACCGGCATGAGGATCTTCCCTCCTGCTACTACCCTCCCGACCTCGGGATCGACCGCGACTGAGGGAAACTAGCTTGCGGCGCAGAAGTCCAGGCGTCTGGTGTCTCGGGGAGGCAGGACAACCACGACCCCCTCGTTGTAGAAGCCCTCCTCGGGACCGTGACCGCCCACGACGAACAGACTGTAGACGGCGGACCAGCACTCCAGGCGTCTGGTGTCTCGGAGAGGCAGGGCTCACTTTTTCGTATGGAAGCGGGCGGTCGCGTTGGCCACCTAGTTTGCTTATTCCAACTCGCCCCCCGCCGCCGCCACCAGCAAGATACTCCGCTGGTGCTTTCGAATAGTTTGTTCTCACACGACTGGGGCTTCTAATATTCCGGTCGTTCTGACGGCAACTACCACGCAGAGGCGATTTTTTTTGCGCATGATCTTCGCGTGGAGGTCCCTTATTTTGTTGATAGACCACGCCTTGGTCGTTTGTAGTTATCCTGGAACTTGGTGCTGCGTTTGTTCTCAACGTTGACTGTCGCGGCTCACGGCGCTGGCGTGGTTCTACAACTCTGTCATGCGCCGTGCCTGCGACTCTGCTCGGCAATGAAGTGCCAAACACATCAGAAGCATGTGGCGTAGGAGATGCCTTCTCCAGAAAATTTTTTCCTTGCGCAGTACTTTCACCACGACGAGCAGCACGAGCCGGACTTGGTGCAGCACGACCGTCCCCGCGTTGCAGTAGACCACCAGCGACACCACGACGCTGGGCGTTGCGCGTTTCTCGAGACCTGCCGAGGTTGTCTCTGAGGCGCACGGGCACCGTCTTCTCTTTTTTGTTTTCATGGTCCTCGTCCTCCGACGACGAGGAAGAAGACGACGACGACGAGGACCCTTCTTCATCTGCTCCGTTATTTGCGTTCCAGTGTATTTTGAATTTCTCTGCCGCGGAGGTGGTGCTGGCAGCAGGCCCCTGTAGGTTGATGTTCGTCTCGACGACGAACAACTGCGGGGTACTAGTTTTGCCATGTCGCGCAGCTGATGTTGAACCTAGTGGGCGACGAGCCTCGACGCCACCATCTACTGGACCGCTTGCCGTTGCAACAACGGCCTCTCCGGTACCGTGGTCATCGCCCGTGACAGTTATTCCTGCTGCTGTTCTCGGTTCTGCCGCAGTTGTACTTGTATTTCCAGGACCTTCGTGGTCATGTTTTTGTTCATTTGCAAAGTGCTGCTCATCTTGATCCTTTAGATATGTTGCGGGAGGTCGTTTCATTTTAGAATGAACAGAACTCGTCGCTTGTTGAGCTTGTCTAGCAATCATACGACTTTTGCTCCGGCGGGATTCGTTTATTTCTCCTGGTTCATCCAGCTTCCGTTCTTCCGCTTCCGCAACAGGATGCGCCGCACTCGGCTCCTTCATCTTCGCGCGGCCTCTAGAAGAGTTGCGGTTCTTATTCTGGCTGTGCGGTGCTGCCCGGACGCTGCCAGGTTGCTCTCTGCAGCGCGGGGGCGACCGTGATCGACGAGCATCCACATACTGTCTGCAGGACCTGTCACGAGGAGGGCGCGACATGTTCATACCGTGCAAAATTTTACCTTGTTCCCTCCGCAAATCATGATGACTCTGCTTGGTGTTCTTTGAAGAAATAGACGCGGCCCTCCTTTGGGTCGGGTACCCCGTAGTACGCATGCTCCTCCGTCCATCCTTACCTCCTGCACCGGCAAGCGCCGCTCCGGCTCCGTAAACGGAGGCGTGGCAGTTGTCCCTGTGTGGTCTGGAACCACGACTGTGGCGGTTTTGATTTGTTCGTCTACTGCCCGACTGAGGAGCCACGCTGGCGCTTCTTGTATTGCAAAAACTCGTCGCGTGTGACTGCGCGCGATTTCGAAAGTAGTTCTGGCCGCTGCGAAAGTAGTTGCAACTCCTTGACACCGATGCTGCCGCTGCTCGAGGCCCTTCTCCTCTACTTCTTTGGCTCTGGTAGCCGTTACGATTGGAAGTCGAAACATGACCAGTCATCCTCCTATCATCGTGTTTCGCGCCGAGTCTACTTCTGCTGTCACGCCGGAAGCCGTAGTTGCCTTGCCGACAATTCGACCTGCTGTACCTGCTCAGCCGACTTCGCACCTCGCTCCGCGCTGGAGCGCCACGCGAGGGCCGGTAGTCACGGCCGCGGTGGTGCTCACGACTCCGGCTTCGCAATCGGCGGGACGATATTGAAGGCGCTGCACAGGAATAATTGCGATGGTTTTGTTGATGTTCATTTCGTCCACGGTGTTGCTGGAATCCAGTAGTAGTGTATTTTTTGTTCCTCGCATTGGCGGCCGCACCTGGTACAACTTCTGCAGCTGCCTTATTTCTACTGCAAGTAGTAGTAGATTCCGCGGTTTGATTGGTCGTCTTCACCAGGTTGCCCGCCTTGTGGTCATGATTCGAAGTAGTAGTAGGGAAGAAAGCGCCACTATTTTGCCTTCCATCTCCTCTTCTGGAAGTCACGCACGGCGTAGCGGGGATGGTGCCGCCACAGAAAAACTGTCCATTTCTCGTTACTCCACCTCTTCTCGCTGGCGTGCGATCCTGTTTCCTGCTATTTCTCACCGACGTTGCTTGGGATTGGTCAACATTCTTGTAGCTGTCGCCTTTAGGAGATGAAGTAGAAGACGCTGCTGCTGCTGGATTTTTAGTCTTCGGCGGACCATCAACATGCGAATATCCGTGTGTGCGGGTTGATGACATATCGAGAAGCAAATGATCGACGCTATACTTTTTCCGCTCTTCGGCGCTCTTGCAGCTTCCACGCGGAGTCGTAGTTGCGCCTGCTGCATTTGTGGTCGTGTGTAGTTTATTTCCAACTGTTGTGCAGACAGCACCCGCTGCTACGGGAGTATTAACTACAGAGAAACTGCTGGCAGCACCTCCAGCGTCTTCTAAGCGTGCTATTTTTTCGCTGTCCTGTTGCAGGAGCTTCGGTCCCGTTTGTTCACCCCGCCCTGGCATCATCCTTCGTCCTCCAGTCTCTTTAACGATCTCGATCTCGCCGCCAGTGTGAAGACCATCTACATTTTGTTCTTTTTCAGTAGATTCCTTTTCGTCCATCTTCGCCTTCTTCAGCCGCAGAACTGAAGACGCATGATCAAGTGCGCGAAACGGGGACTCCTCCGACTTCGAAGTCGGTCGTAGTTCACCTTCGCACTGTTTGTAGTTACTAATTCGAGGAGTCTCTTTGCCGGCGACGAAGCTTGCTCGATCCAGTGGCTTCAGCTTGATCGACTTTGTCAACAGTGAACTGCCACGACCCCTTGTGCCACCATCTACTTCCACCAACGCAGGCTGCACTTCACCCTGCTTGAAACGCTGCTTTTCCTTGTGCAGGAACAGGGAAGTTGTATTTTTCCGGTCCTGAGCCACCTGCTCTCGCGTCGCATTCTCGGCGTCTTCGACATGATTAGGGCTGTGAATGCTCGCGGCCGCCGGAATCGACGTTCCGACGTCCTTGTCGTCTGCCTGTGCTTTCTTCAGCTCCCCTGCCGCCACCGCCGGTGGTGGTTGCTTTACGGCAGAAAGCGGTGAGGAAGAAATGCTGCTGTCGAGTTGTAGCAACGTGACTGTACAAGAAGTATTTGGAAGCGGCAGTTCTTGTTGCGGCTCCTGGGGTGCTGTCGGTGTAGGGTCTGTCGCCAGGGGCGTAGAACAAATTTCCGTGTCCTTTTTTTCTGTTACGGACCTGCTGGTGCCCACAGCCTCCGCTTTGGTGACCATAGCGACGCTAGAACCTGCTTGTAGTTTAATGAGAGATAATTCGTATAAAATGATGTTGACAGGACCCTACGTACTATATTCCAATCGATCTCTCCGGATCGATTTTGTTCCACAGAGAAAAAATTGCTGGTCGTTCATCGTCTTCGCCTCGATCATTAGCTCCATCTTGTTCAAAATCTTGATCTTCTATATATTACCTGCGTCTCGACGTCCTGTCGATGTCGGGTCATCCAACGTCCTGTGTCGTGCGCCAAACGCTGCACAACGCTCGTCAGCAGTCTCCTGGCGCTTGAGGTCATCTGCTCTACTAGTACCTTCATTCAATTCCGTCGATTTGTCAATTTTCCCTGCTGCGGTGAGGTTTTTTTTTTCTCCGCCCTTGTTTATGTCTTTTATCTGCTCGTCCTCGTCCGAGTAAAAATCTTTTTCTGCAGCTCTTGCTGTTCCGTCCTTTTTCCAGTCGATACCTTCGAAGGGCTTTTCCACGGCGATTGGTGACCACGACGTCCTCCTTGTTTCTTCAGTTTTCAAACTTTGAAAACGAAACGCAGCTGGGGGTAGCGGGTGCATCTTTGGACGAAATCGAAAATCCTTGTCATTCCCGCGGTTTATTGTTCCACCGCCATCCTCTGGAACTTTGTCTCTCGGATGATGTTGACGGCAGCGCGAAGCGGACCGACTTACAACGGTCTGCGTTTGATGAAGGCGATCTCCTCGGTGGTCTCGACGTGTGGACGCCCGCTGTTGCCCTTGCTGTTGAAAGGAATCATGCAGTGCGAGCACGTCGTGAGTGAGTGGCACAACCTGGACTTGTGATTTTTGTGTCACTCCCTGCTGCGGGGTTGTTGTAGTTGACCTTGACTCCTCGCCTACTACTTTCGTCTTGCTTATCGCGTTTTGCTTTTGCTTTTCCAAAGCTTCCTGCGCGTCCTTCGCCACGCGCTCCATTTCAAGTAACTGTTGTAGTGCATCAAGTACTAGTACGGATCATCTTCTACCACTACATCTACTACATAAAAAAAGAGCAATAAAGCCAGCAGCTTTTCGTGAGTCAGAGAAAAAATTGAAGTTTTTTTGTAGATGGACGAAGATTTTTACTGCTGAAAACTGACATCTAGTTGCGTCCTCTATCTCTATCAAAGAAAATTCTACCTTGCGCTCGAGTTCCCGACATCGTTCCTCCTCCTGTCTTCGTTTTTCTTCGGCCTCTTTGACTTTCGCGTCCGTTTCCAGCCTTAGTGCTTCTTCTCCTTTTTGCTTTTGATCCAGTTCGCTGCGCAGCGTCTCCTCGTACTTCTTCTTCCAATTCAGTTCGAGTCGCAGAGCCTCCTCGTGCTTGGTCTTTTCCTCCAACTCGCATCGCAACTTCTCCTCGTGCTTCTTTTGCACTTCGAGCTCCGATCGCAGCGCCTCGGTGTCTTTGCGCTTTTCTTCCGCCGCATTCTCCAGAATTTTTGCCTGCTGACGCCGGTACTCCTCTTCCATCTCCTTACGTCTGCTTTCCTCCTCCAGACGCCTGGCCTCTTCCTGCCTCTGCAAGAATTTCTCGTGGTCTTTCCGTTTCTGCTCCTCCGCTTGTTCCCGTCTTTGCTTTTCTTCTTCTCTCCGCCGAAGTTCTTCCTCCTTGCGCTTTTGCTCCTCTACGTGTTTTTTTTCCTCCTCGGCTTTGCGTTTTTCCTGCTCGCGCTTCCGCTTCTGCTCCTCGCGCTCGAAGACGGTCTTGGCTATCGTATACTTCTTCTGCCAATACGTGTTTTCGTGCACCAAGTGCTTCACAAAATTGTCCTCGACGTCCGACCCAATTTCGCCCGACAGCGACGGCGCTGCCTCGTCTTCCGAACTACGGGCAGGACCGGGGGCGGCGTGGTTGTCTTGCAGTTCCTCTGAAGTAGGTTGTACCGCTCCTATTTCGTCGTGTAGTGCACCTCCACAACCACGCGGTTCTTTTTTCCGAATGGGAAAAGAGGAGGACGCCACGGGTCGTTTACGTGTTGCGTCAAAAACTTCGTTCTTCGCGAGCTTGTGCTGTCGTCCGGACTTCTCGTCCTCGCGCCCCACGTCTGCTGCAGAGGCTTCAAGAGCGTCGTCCAGCTCGTTTTGGTTCTCGTCGTGCACTAGCGCAGCTACTTCCTGACCCGAGATATTTGTAGCGGGTCCCGAATAAATATTGACAGGTTGAAGCCCCGCCTCGTCCATGTAGTTGTTCTGGTTGTCACGACCAGTACTTGTAGTTGCTTTTTCCTGATGATCTTGCTTTTCGCAGTCTTGCTGCAGCTCCATCCCCTTTCGTTGCCAAAATGACGACTGCGAGAACACGGGCAGAAACATTCAAATCAAACTTTTATTTGTCCGATTTTTGGGGTCAAGAGATGAATATGACCCAAAGCCAAACACAACTTTCAATTCCTTCAAAGTATGAAAAGGTTGAACCTAAAACATCTACATCATCCGAGAAGATTTTTCCCTCTCTATACACGAGAGACATTCCAATCAAGAAACTAGAGTGAGACCACCACGGTATTGAAGGGCACGGAGCCAGAGTCAGAATTTCGCCAAGTACGGAGTCTATGCAAGAAAAACCGCGATGCGGCACTTAGTCACGAGAGTCCATGAACTTAATGTATGAAAACTCAAAAAAATAGAACACAATAGACGACCATAGGAAAGCAAAGGGAATTCTTGGATCCACCGAAAAGGAAAAGGAAAAAAGTTCTACGAAGATGAAGATTGTAACGGAACAACTTGCTTCGATTGTAACGGAATACTAGCTTGATGCTAAAGAACGGAGAAAGAAGTAGAAGATCACAAATAGAGATCTATCGGCGCCGAAAATAAAGGGATCTATATTTATAATAGGCAGGTGGAGTGAGAGCCGAGCACAATGTCGATTGAGAAAATTACGAACACGAATGCAGCATGACGTATTGTTCACCGAATCTTGTCATATTGTTCCAGAGTCGTTGACTTCGTGTTCTTCTTCTTCGACTTTTCTCACAGAAAACAGTGCCATGATAATGATTTGGCGCAATACCGCAAATGCCTCACGTATTGATAGGCCCACCAGGGGAGCCGGAACTGTCTCGGACGGGTTGAGGGGATAAAGGTGGTCAAAGGGGAAGAATTCATAATTGTTCACTTGACAGACTTAGGACGCAAAAGGGGAAGCAATCGCTTTACTAGTGCCAAAAAACAATCATACAGAATGAAAGGAAAGCTCCTATTCGTGTAGGGGTATTCGTCGCGAAGCAGGGAAATCATGCAAATGCTTCTCTGTTCACGTTCAGGGCCTGTCATAACAATCTGCCGGCCGGGAATCTGTCTGTTCGGGGTACGCATTATACGTTGGTTTTGTTAGATGTGATTTTAAGAGGAAACAGGAAAGAGAAACTTGACCTCGTCAGATACCCAAAAGTAAATACGGAAACGAGCGTGATCGTCATCAACGCACCATCGATTTCGATTTTATCCCAGCATACAACATTGCTGATAAGCAATTCCGATCGAAGATGAAACAAAAATTTGTACATGGACATGGCGGAAGAGAAGGAGGTGAAGATCGTGATCACACTAAAATAAACAAGACGCGACAAAAGACAAGGTTGACTCACAGTTGATATTTCGAACTCGAAGCGCAGCAGGGAAGTAGAAGTTCTTGAAGCAGCAACATGAAGGTCGTCCCTAGGCTGCGCGTCGAAGAAGTCAGACCATATTCACGCCGGCCCATGAAGTTGTAGATGCGCCACCGACATCACGCGCGCCTTGATTTTGTGCCGCGCTTCCAAACATAGCCTCAACTTCCGCCGCTTCGATTGCGGCCAAAAATTCTTCGGCCAACACCCGCCGGATCCGGAAGGACGGCGACTCCACGCGCACCGACCACCGTCGCTGCATTGTGTACTGCACGGAGATTTTGGTTCCCGGGGGAATCACGTCAACCGGGGGCAGCAACGCGTCTACCGCCTCTCGGGTGAGGCCCAACACCGCACTTAGCAGCTTCTGCGTGTTCCTCAGTGGGGCGGTTACCAGCGGGTACCGCGTCGCGTCCTCGGAGGCAATCTCGGGCGGAGCCAGCCGCCAGAGCAACAAACTACCGGTAACGTGCAGCGGGAACTGCACGCAGGGAAGGAAAACTGTGTAGTTGATTTGGGAACATGTCTATAACTATAGTATATTTCGGATTTTTCATGAAAAACGTAGCAATTATCACCAGTTAAAACCACTAAATCTTTATATTCGACTGACTGGCTCCGGTCCGGATTTGAATCTTGCTGAGCTTAGATCATATTCATCGACACCTACCAAAGGACTATATGCGAGAACACCTTAAAACTGTACCTCTCCGGAACATCATTTCCGCTGTTTGCACGGCCGTCCATCCCATGTTGACCGCACGTCCACACAGACTTTTGACCGCGTCGGCGCAGTAAGCGCTGAAGTTGACACTCGTGCTGAGGGTGTGCAACATGGCGAGCGCCAGGCCAGTAGCAACGGCCTCACTGGCCTGAAAAAGCGGAAAGTGTCGCAGTCGATGCAAAACGTACTGCAACGCCGGGTTCTTGTCGAGCACGGAAACGCGCATCAAGGGCCACAACACATGCGAAGCGATCGACCTGGTCGGCGTGTAAAAAATGGCCTTCTGCAGCTTCAGCGAGGCGCGCGCAGCCCTCCGGGTAGCGCGATAGGGTAGCGTAGCTAAGTGCTTGGTTGTCGCGAAGCTGCCTTGCTTCTGCCTTTTCCTGCGCTCAAACGCGGCTGGCGTAAGCTGCAGCTGGGTGGAAAATAAGACCTGGCTCGACGACGCGGGATCGTGAAGAACCAGTGCGCTAGTGCTACAACCGGAGAGGACGCCCTTAGTGTTAAAAATTGCCGGCGCCGCCGTGCAAAAACCCTCCTGCTCAAAAGCCTGAATTGCGGTGCTGTCTTCCGGGCGTGTCTCTTCCAGCAGCGCCAGAACAGTGTCATCATCGTCGGTCTGGTCGTAGCGGTGGTCGTACTGGGTGGAATAGCTGGTCATCGGCAGATGGGAGTGCGTTTGCAGCGCCGCAGGTTTTTTCTGGTTTGCTTGCGTACCGCGGATTCTGGACGAAGACGAGTTTTTCGCCATGAATTTCATTTTCACGTTGCCCTCCTTAATCCGCATCTTTTCCAATCTGCGCAGCGACTTCTCGATGGTGCTCTGGCACAGCTGGTCAAACGTCGCCCTCAGAAATTCCTTGTCCACGATCCCCCGACTTTTCAGTGCCTGATCCAGGTCGTGACTCAGACCGCCAGGTTTTGAGAGAGTGACGCGCCACCGGGCGTGCGATGATGAACTTGATGCGACGTGAGCAGCAGACTCATCCGGGCGTGGTGAAGAGGACGCGGCGGAATGGAAGGAACCATAGGGCGTGACAAAGCTGCTGTAGTCCTGCAACTTGTTCATCTCCAGTGAGCAGTCTTGATGCTTGTTCTTTCCCTTCATGCTACTGGGAGCAGCTGTCGGTGGGTTTTTTTCAAACTTAACACAGAAACCTAGTGGAATGGCATCCCGCGGGGCCAGCGGCTCTGCCACAATTTGTGCCACTTCGGCAGCTTTGCCAACCGTCAAGGCGGTGGCGCGAAGCGGCAGCGTCACCAGTGAGACGATGATATTGGCGGCTGACGATGCGGTTGTGTGTTCATCATTCCTGTCGGTTTTGTTGGCCGCTGCGTGATCTCCAAATGACCCGCCGAGTTCGTGGTTCAATTGCGTCGAGGCTGCGGTGCTGGTCATATCTTGCATCGAAGGGTGATGGGAACAAGTGCTGGGCATCACTCCGTACTGCTGGTGGGCAGCAACACCACCTCCACCTCGTTGCACCGACTGCGGGGGCTTCATCGTGGCTACACTTTCCCCGGACACCGATCCCAACGTCGTCACGGTGCTCGGACTCCGCGACGTTGGCAACGGTTCGCCTTCGGGACTCCGGCTCCTTGCTGCGAACATGTTGCCACCTCGTGGTCCACGGCTCCGGCTGTACTGAACGTTCTGCCTTGATGTACTAGTATTTCCTGACGAGGACAGCGGTTGGGAAGCTGACGCGCGAAAGACTTGCGTATCTGTATCTTGCTTTGCTGAGCTGTATGCTGCTACGTACTGGCACCGCTCAACTTCCTGCTCTTGCCACGTGACAGTCTGCTGAAACTGCAACTCCGTTTCCAGGTGGTGTCGTGCCGTCGACGTGCAACAGCCAAATGCAGGCCCAGAGGTCGTTGCGCTGCTTGAGGCAGGAGTTCTGCTATCGTTACTACCAGTATTATCTTCCAATCTTCCAACTCCTCTGGTGGGGTTCATGGGACGTTGCGCTTGCGGCTAAAAGAAACGTGACAACTGAGGCTGAGCAGAATAAAACGATGAAAAGGGCAAGAAATTATTGCTACGCGACGAAATAAGACCAACAGGGGGAAGCAAAACAAGTAAAATAACTCAAAAGTTGTCAATGTCCTATATCGCGAGCTAAATTGAGCAAGGGCAAAGACCTACTTCTGTGCTGGTGTGCCTTAATCTGCCTTGATAACGTAGTTGTGATTTGCCATGATCGAAATAACCTATTTCGCCAACTTAACTCCATAGAAAGAAGCACAGACGCAACGGCAAAACACGCCACACATTTCACATCAAAACTTGAACGATTTGGATTTTTAAGAAAGCAAACGTCGAAGAGGACGATGGCGCCTTTCTGCCGTTGCGTGATACATTCTGAAGAACGATCATGCGGCAAGCGATGGAACTTGTACGACGGTGGAACTTCTAGTACGACGACGACAAGGAGGACGAGAAGGAAATAAATGTGAGTTTTCACTTTCTAGTGAGAGACCGTACGAAAAGTATGGACTAAGGCAAAACTATGCCATCGACAAAACGTAAGGACTAGGACCAGGCAATTCTTCGTCTGGATTTTCTTCTTGTTTTACTAAACAATACAGGATCGATACGCCTACCCTACAACTATGTTTGTACAGGAGGTGATCATGTAGACAGAGATTATAGTAAGCGCTTTCTGTGGGCCAAACAAAAAGTGTGCCGTGTCGCTTTCAAAAAATGGATACGCCTCGACGTCGATTGTCGACGTATGAGCCGCACTAGTCAGTAGCTCATGACAATCTTCGAGTTCGAAGTGCAAACACTACCGAATACTACTGCAGGAACGTTTACAACTTTTTCCTCGTCACGTTGATGCATTTCATCAAAGACAAGCTCGTGTCCGCAATCCCTCCAAAAACCAAGCTCATGAAAATGCATTTAGGTAATATGCGTAAAGGTAAAACGGATTCACGACGAGGCTGATGTCTTCTTGAGAAGCTGTAGAGTATTCATTTTTCTTTTCAGGTGTCTTTTTTCGTCGCGCGGTCCGGGCTCTTCGCTGCCATCTTCGCTCGAGCCGTGGCAACGGAGTAAATGAACCCGCCGGCGGAGTTCAAAGCAAAACCAGCCCAGCCCAGCGGAGACAGATTTGCGGAAAAGAGCAGCACCCCAATCGCGCTCGTGAGAAGGGCCTTGATGTTGCCACAGACGCCTGTGGTCACCGGGGATGTCACCGAGGTGCACCAGAACGTGACGTAGTTCAGGAGCGTACCCTGTAATAGATCATGACATTAGCAAAAAATAAATTTATCGAAGTTGCAGGGTTCCACACCGAAGGGGCAACAATGTTGTCTCCTGCTGTTGTTTCCACAACCGCACCAAAGGACTTCTCGATCTCACCAAACTCTTGTTGTGGTTGCAGTGTCATGATGAAGAACAATCCAAAAGGACTAATAAAAATGACGAAAAGAAATAATGAAAAGTACGCCGCTAGTACGACCGCAGCCACACCAACTTCAAAATGAAACCATAGAAAACCAAAAAACTATACCTGAAAGATGTAAAGCGCGAAGACGAACGCGAGCCACATGAGGGGTATGTCGGTCGCTTGCCAGAATTTTCCGATGTCGCTGACCTCCGTGAGCATGAGGGGAAAGAACAGAAACATGTTGTAAAACCCGGTGTAGAAGAGCACGTCCACGTGGCTGAGCCCCGGGAGGTTGTCCAAAGCCCGCGCGCACAGCACCAAGTAGGAGCTCTGTCCGGCCACCGCGCAAAGCGCACACGCGTACCCGACCATGTCAAAGTCCAGATCGCCCTGCGAGGTGGTTATGGCGCCCGCCAGGATGCACAGCATCCCCACCTTCGCCAGGGCGGGGTAGGTTTTCTTGCGCAGGAAGTAGTCCAGCCCGAGCGCCACCAGGGGGGACATCCTCTTCAGCACGTTGTACACCGGGAGACTGGTGTGCTTCATGCTCAAAAAGGAAAAGTACATGTTGCCCGCCTTCGCCGCGGTGCATAGGAAAAGATATTGTAGGTTCTGCAAGTTGAACACCTGGGGCTTCTTGGCAAGGGTCGGATAAACCAGCAGCGTTGCGATCAGGCACTCGCAGAAAAGCAGAAAGTTAGTGCCGGGAAACTTCACCTGAGAAAACAAAGCTCGCGCACATCAGATGTTTAAAGTGCTGTGTGAAAGTGAAAAGAAATTTTCCCAAGTGAAAGTTTATAATTAAATGAGAATCAGAAAGGCATCTTCAAATAAGCACATCGAGGGAGGTGCACCAGCTTAGACTTTGACTTACTGGATCTGGATGAGCTTGATCTGTTTGTAAAAAAAATGCAAGCATCAACAGTTTATCTAGTTACAGCACAAGAGACCAAAAACCATCTGCACCTTCGATATGATCTGTTTGTTCAAAAGCGTCATCAACATCGAAACGCCCACGTAAGAGGCAGCAGCCGCCAGAGATTCGAGGGGCTTAGCTGAGGAGCCGGTTTTGTCTTCGACGTGTGGACCGGCATTCGATGGTCCACCGGTTACGCCAGCGGCGACCGCAGAATTTGTAGTCCTTCCCTTTGGCGATTTTCCATTGCTGCTTGCGCCTCGTTTCTTATTCGGAGAACGAGAAGAGGAACGGCCCCGGCTCGGTCTCCGTGCCTTGGCCGAGGTCGACGTCATAATGTGCGAAGGACGTCGCGCTGGTGCCTTCTAGTACGGTTCGAGTTCGGGGGAGGCGAACTAAGTTAATTCATAGATACTTACAGTTACAGGCAACGAACAAATAACGACAACGAGTTTGCACAACGGGTACGGGGAGCAAGCAAACGAAGGCGGGGCATGAAATATGTATCGAAGAAAAGAAGGCCAACAAGGTAAAGTTGGACCACCACACGACACACACAAAAAAATTCAAGAGGGGAGAACGAGATGCGTATTTATATTTAAGCGATGACGATTTAGATTTTCTTGGAAAAATATGGAATAACCATTGAAGCGACTCAGGGTCTTTTTGCAGATGTGTTCTTTTGGACTCATGATCTCAAGAAAACATACAAACCTGGATCTTTTTGGCCATGCGTCTGCAAGATATCTTCATGACATCTCCGAACCAACGAAGGGCGTAGAAATCACTACGCCCCATCTAGCCCAGCGACCACGGCAAAGCATAGAACACACGAAAAAGTTGGAGAGAGAAGGCTCAGGCAAAGTAATGACCTGCTGACCGAGTTGTATTGAACTCCCACCACCACGCTATCATGATTAAGGGCCTCAGGCTGATGCCTGGCCTTCGCCTGCCCGTCTGCATGGGCAAGCGTGGGTGGCTCACTCGTCCAGCTCCAGTGGTGCTGGTGGCCAGCTCCATTTTCATGTTATGAAAAGACCGCGGCTCCACGGATTCGCTCGCACCACATTGCCCATATTCGGGTAAGGGCTGCAACCACATAAACAATGCGGGCGCTGCGCCGCCACCGCCCTCAGGCCGGGCATATGAATGCTTACGCGCTTGCGGTCAACTCGTTGGCAATTACGGGCAGACCCCCCACGAGCCCAGGCTTCAGGATCGAAGGAAGAAACTAACCGGGCCTCGGCTACCGGGGGGGCTCGACAATCCCTGGCCGCTTCGAGGCCCTTCAACAAAGCCTGCCGGCAAAATAAGCAAGGAAGGGCCGGCTGCCTGGCTGGCACCGCCCGGCGCGGCCATCAGCGAGCGAGACGGAGGGCGCGCGGGCGCGTCACGGAGGCGGCGGCAATGCCCAAGCTGCTTCGTCTTTTCCGTCTGGTGTTTCGTTGCGATGTGTATCCCCGAGCCCTCCAAGAAAGGGCGCCGGGCCCCACCAGTCGGGGCAGGGGCCGGAGACATGGGCCGGGCCCGCTGCGCGATTCGCTCCCAGAAGTCCGCTAGGCGGTGACGGCTCGCAGCCCAGGGCACTACCCAACCGAACGAAATCGCTACCGGGCGAACGATAGCCATCGGGCCGCGGCCGGCCCTTGCAGCAAAAGCCCGAGGCCTTCACTAGGGCACCGCACCCGCACGCCCTTCCCCCCCAAGCCCGGAGGCAACGCCATGCCGCATCTCGCGCCCTGCCATCGCTGCCGAAATCTGTGGAAGCTGCCCATACCCGGCGCCTGTGCGTCAGCTGCAGGTAAGGACGCCTGCGCCTTGGTGCGGAGCACGGCGCGGTAGAGCGGATCCCCGGGAATCTCCGCGAATGTGTTGGATTGCGCGACGCTAGCAAGAATAGGCACAAGAATCGACCACGTTGCACTCCGCAAAGCCGGTGGGGCTTGCGGACTTCGGCAGGCGCCCCCTCTAACAACGACGGGCGCGCAACACCGGGCAGGAACGAACGAGCACAACGCAGGCCCGCCGATGCGCGTGACGCCGCCCCCCGGGCGGCCGCGGCCGGCCCCCAACCCCGGAGGGCGCCCGCGCGCGCCGAAACTACGCACAAACACCAGGGCCGGGCGGGGCAGGGCACGCCGAAACGCGCGGCCGGCACAGCGGGGGGGCCGGCGTCCGGTTGCCATGTTCCCCGGGCCCGGGCTCATTGATTCGCATCGCAAGGAAAACGAGCGGCGCGGGCGGGCGAGTGGCCTGAGTTCGGCGGGCTTTCCACTGCACGCCCTAGACTGCTCGCCCCCCAAGCTTGCAATCTCCCGGGGGCAAACCCGTTGGCGAGCGCCCCCTTGCTTACTTCTCGCGGCCTCCTGGCCCTAGCAGAGCCGCTGCATACAAGAGCCGCGCCGGCAGCTGTGGCAACTGGATCCACTTGAACAAGGTGCGTCGTTGGACCTTGAGGCTTCTGCCTTGCCGCGACTGCGACATGGTCGGGAAATTCTTATGAAGAACACCAACACGACGAACACACTTTGTCTGACATATGAAGTCCCCACTTGGAGCACGTTTCATCAGATGAGCAGGAGCCCATCTTCATTTCATTACGAATGATATATGTCGCGCTGTGTGCTTTATTACATTCTTTTCTTCACAACAATCTCCATCACGATGAACCTCCACTGAGTGTTCTGATGTCGCTTAAGTATCAGTTTTCCTTTTTGTTTCTTGCGGTTGCGGTTCGGCTGGACAATCAATACGCACAACAGGAGTCCAACAGCAGATCCACTTCTGCCTAGGTTGTTGCTGTACGCAAGCCTACATACATGCACTGTGACAACAGAAATGATATATGATGCTGAAACACGTGCTTCTTCACTCTTCAGGTGGGCGGGCTCATCTTCAGTAGAGGTAGGTTGAAGTTCAAGTTATACGGGCACAGTCGCTTTTTTAGGTATTTAAGCATCAGCTACATCCTCCACAATTTTTCTTTGTCGTTTCGCTTCGGGTGCATTTGGGTTCCCGCGTTCGTAGAAGGATCGCAGGAGTTCGATCGCTTCCTCTTCAAATTGTTTCGCTTGCACAGCTTCAAGACGCTGGAGGGTTCGATCTACGCGGGGACATGGGGGTCCGGTGTTCGTGCTATGATCCTTGTCGCCGTGAGTAGTACTTCTTGTGGAACTGGAAACTACGGGCATCGTCAACGTCTCCTGAGCTTGAGCACCAGCAGCTTCGGCTTCCTGCACCACCACGACCGCAGGATTTAATGTGGTGCCACTTGCCCTCGTCGTGCTCGTGTCAGCAAAGCCAGCACCAGCAGCTGTTCGCTCACCCTCCTCCATCCTCGTTGCTGAATCTCCTGTCGGAGGTGGCTCGACGGTGACGACGCCACCGCAGCCGCCAAACCGGGGATTGAAGCAGCCGAAGACCACTTTCTTGACGCCCGCGAGCACCAATGCGCCCGCGCACATAATGCAAGGCTCCACGGTTACGTACAGGGTGGTTTTCTGCATCACATCCCGGAACGAGGTTTCTTCCTATCAAATGTGAAAACGTCTGGGTCTGGAAACCTGTGATGCTGGGTGGCGTCTCATGATGAGGCCACAAATGCTGGCTCAGCATGACAAGTTTCTGAGCTTCTAGGTGTTGCCTATTCTGCATGACAAACTGCGTTTCTGCATCACAGAAAAGCGGAGCTCTTGGGTAACGTGCATGACAGATTTCAGAGTTATGCCAGACAAGCATGCCAAACATGCTTTCTTCCAGACCCAGACATTTTTACATTTGATACCTCCGGCAAGTCCGCAATCATGGCGTCCATGCAGACCAGCTCGCAGTGCCGCGTTCCGTTGTGGTCGCGATTGGTGTGGTTGAAGGCCTTGGCCAGCGGCTTCTCCGGCTCCTCCTCGTGCACGAAAACACACCCGACGGGAACCTCGCCGGACTGCTTTCCCAACCGCGCCTGCTCGCACGCCACTCGCATCCACCGGTCGGTGGTGCTGGAGGAGGAGGCCGCGGAATCTATCATTGTTCTTGGGTCGCTGTGAGAAGTACTTGTCATGAAGAAGACCAGCAGGAGGCCATTGAATCTCTAGCAGGAGGTTCTGGGGTCGACAAAGACAAGAAGAACGGGTTCGAAAATCTGCTTGTGCTTGTTTGATACGTAGTGGAAGACTAAGGACTAGCGAGAACGACGTTGACAGTTGACTACTCAATAAAACATGAAGCTCTTTCTGTTTCTTTCTAAGGTGAAAAAGTCCTGTCGGTTTGATGAAAATGCAGATACAGCAATCATAGAAGAGTGGTAGAGGTGTTTCTAGACGTCCTTGCCAGGAAACAAACTACGGAGCAGCGCCAGAAGGGTGTTTGTCGTCGTCGTGCCACTCTAGTGGTCATGAATATCGGCTAGATTCATCGTTGTATCTTCAAAATATTACACTTCTTCGGATCCGTGTGCAAGCACAAGTGCTAATTGCAACAGCCTCTGGACAACTTTGCGGAAGTACTCTGCGCATAGATCAAGAACAAGATCTGCGGTAACTTCGTCCTCGTGGTTTTCTCTTCGCAGTGATCATGTGGGGAACAGTTTGCAGCTGATGCTGATCCAGACGTGCTAATTGATCTTTTTCTTCGTCGCGATCTCAGCATCTTGATGATCCTCTTGTGTTTCTCGATCTTCGGTGATTCGAGGCGACCAGCTTTCATCAAGATCCGCTTTCGCGTTCTGCTAGATCTGGATCATGATGATCTACGCTGCGTATAATTGCGTATGGCGATGATCGTCATGACCTTTTGATTTTTGAACCGGTTACTCTTTTCAATTTTTGGAACATCAGTGGCCTCCTTCCTGCGTGGCGACCCACTTTCGTGGCTCTGATTGCCTTCCGTTTTTTGCTTCTACGTGACATCGCTTTTCCTTTTTACCATGGGCCTACTATATAAAAATGCGTCAAAAAACAATTTCGTTGTCCTCTTCATTGGGTTTCCGTCGCTTGGGTGACCCCCGGCCGCCATACTTGGAAGCCAAAGCGTCTTGTCGCTGCTGGCGCTTCTCGCGCTCCTGTCGTGCTATTTCGATTTCCAGCTTGCGCTTCTCCGCAGCCTGTTCCTCCTCCTCAAGGTGCTTGCGGTGGTACTTATTGGAGGCCGCGTACGCGAGGGAGGGCCCCTTGTGGTCTTTTCGCCTATGACTGCTGATGTTCACCGTGGCGCCCCGTCGAATTCCCTGCTTGGAGTCCGCCACGGCACTCTGCCGCAGCAGGTACCCGGCTTTCCGCCGAAGGTCTTCGGCACCGTAGCCGCGGTTGCGACTCCAGTCGTAGATGTACCGTCCCGTGTCCTCCTCGTCCTCCGAAAGGAAGTCGTGCTCCGCCACGCTGCCCTTCTGCAGCAACACAAGCAGCCCCAGGAAGATCGAGTAGTCGATGCTCTCCGGAAGATTCTTGGATTTGTGATCCTGTTTCTCGTTCTTCCCGCCTGCGGGAAGATTGTCATCATTGTGCTCAAATACCGCAAAAGGGTTGCTCTCAAGTGCCGCCGTCGTGTGCTGTCGCACCACGAGTTTTTGCCGTAGCGGAGCACTAGCAGAGGACGCCGAATCGGGATTTGGCTTTGATGAGGACGCAGGATCTCGATCTCCTGCTGATGCTGGTGCACCTCCTCCATTAGCGAAGTTTTTGTCGCGCTGGTGGCCACCTTGACCTTGTTGCAGCAGAAGCTCCTGCTCCGCAGCGGCAATTTCCTCGGCTCGTTTTTCAAACTGAGCCAGCTGCTTCTCGAGCGCCTCGCTCCACGGGAACCGGACCTGCGCGAACCCGGTTTCTTCGCTGATGCTTCGGATCTCGAAGTCGGCGGTGCTGAACCAGCAAGCATTGTCCGCCGTGTGCAGATCTGACCAATGCAAGGACACACCCAGACAGAACTCCATCGTAGGGGCTCTGTTCGACAGCTTCTGATCATCTAAAAAGTCCTGCAGCAACTGCTCGCGTCGTCCGTGGTCTTTTTCATCCTGACGCCCCACATGATCGCCTTCCGACTTGTTCGACGAGATAGAAGACACGGAGGACGGCGAAGAGCTCCTGAGGGTTGCTTTTTCCCTTTCTTTCTTCAAATCACTGATGGATTTGCTGGTCGCCAGAAACTCGTCGCTGATCTGTGCGTTCATGTACAGCCGCCGGCGTATGTGCTTCATGTCGATCAATTTTGGCAGCATTTTCCGGCGCAGCGGAGCCGGGTAGCGGGGGAGCACGCGCGCGTACTCGTCGTCGTCCCCCGTGACGACGCAGCTCTGAAACAAGATTTCCTCGAGGAACTCCCCGACGGTTAGCGCCGAGTCCTCGCCATCCTCGTCCGAGTCGTCCGAGGAGTCGTCCGAGGACGCGTCCGAGTCCTCATCGGACAGCACGACGGCGCGGTGGTGCTTCTTGTGGCTTTTCAGAGACGTGGTCGCGGCTGCGGTCGTCTTGAAAGTCGCAGCAGGCTTACTTGTCGTGTTATTTCTGTTACTCGAACCTCCTCCCGACATCTTGTTGAAGCTTTTCTTTGGCGCCGCCGCGGTGGCGCCGTTTGTATTCACGTGATCCCCTTCGCTGGCAGAAGAGGAGGAAGAGTTGACTTGGTGAAGCGGCGTACTATCGTCGTCGTCAATTTTTTCGTCTACTCCCTGATCATCCTCTCCTCCGCCCTTGCCAAAGTCCTTATCGTTTTGTGCACCTGTAGTTGCACCAGCATGTTCTAGTCCGGTGACCTGCTTCTCTACTAAATCTAGGTCGAACAGCAGACTCGGGGCTGTGAGCGCGTAAAAGTCCTCGGGCGGAAAGACCAACCGGGCGTACAGTATCCCCGCGGCCTTCGCCATCCCGCTGCTGTGGTGCAAGAGGAGGTCCAGCTGCTCCCGGTTCAGCGGCAGCAGCGAAAAGCGGAGTAATACACACCACAACCGGCTTGGGTTGGTGTCGCTGTCTGCGTACAGATAGGGGAGCGTGCTGTCAATCCGCCCGGATTCGACGATCTCCGAAAGCAGGTCCGCAAAATCCATTTTTTTCAACTCGGCCATGTACTCGTCCTGGTAGGTCAGGATGTCACTCTGGAGCTTCGTTGGAAAGGGAAAGGCGGGCACGATCAAGTTCGCCTCCGCCTGTGCGTGCCAGTTGTGCTCAAGATCATGTGCTGTGCCGCCGGCGCTCCCCGACGAAGTATGACCCCCTGCTCCATAAAAATAACCGTATCCTGATGATGAACTGCTTCCGAAACCATCAAGGCCACTCGCGAAAGCTGCTTGCGCAAGTGCGAGGTCATCTGGTGCGAGAACACCGGTGCCACTTGCCTGTTGCTCCGAGGGGTCGTCCAGTTTGACTTGCGTCAGCGCACCCTCGTAGCGGAGCTCCTTGTTCTCTCCAAAGCTGCCTGACATGATGTTTTGTGCTACAGAGCTACGTCGTCCTTATCAAGAAGCGTCGAACTGAACATCGAAGTCAAACGGAAGACAATGCCACAAAATTTTTACGTAGCCATGCGGCCTCGAGTTGAGTCTATCCTTGAGAATCATGATGATGAAGCCCAACCTTCACACCTTGATGTATGAATTTTTCGCTACACCACTGCTGATAAACAGGTTTCGCTTATCTGAAGGAATGTAAAACGTTAACGTTTCTGTTTGCCGATCGATTGGTGTTTCGAAAAAATCCAAAATACACTTGAAGACAGTGCAAGTAAAAGGGACTGAAGATCAAGATCATCTGCCTTGGTGGAAGAATGCATCTGATTTGACCAAATTTGAAAAGGATCAAGACGCGTATGCGATCCTTCTTCGACGAATAATTTTGCTTTTCCTCGTGAGGTCGTCCTCGATGTGCGACTAATTTGCAGCCAGCAGATGTTTCCATGCTCCCCGAAGGACTGGCACTTGTTTGCACCTTGCGGGAGGTTGGCGTAAAAGCAAATCATCAACGAACTACAAGTGGCTTTTGAATACTTAATTATTAGCTTTCATGATGAACATGAACTCCATTTCCGTACGTGTACTTCGGCTCTCATCGGAGACCACAAGTGGATCTAGATCATCATGAGAACTTGTGCTGGGTTCCATACATGCATCGAAGCTGAACCTGAGGAAGAACAAAATGAGACGCAGACAGATGGTAGCCGTGCGGGGGCCGCGTCGTCAAAGAACCCGATGCGCATGCAAATTGATGTAGTAACGCGCTGCACTCTACTGATCGTGTCCATGCGTCGTTGCAATCAAAGAAATCGTGAAAAAATCGTGCTGCTTATATATAATCAAGAACACGAGCAACACTTCTACCGGTTGTTTTTCAGCGAGGTTGTCATTTGTCGAATCAAGGTCAACGAGAGAAGCTTGATGTTAGGGTAGCGGTGGCAAAGTGGTCCCAGTTGCAGGGTCAAATCGCCATGGCTTTCGCTGCCCCGCCGTGAGGTCCGTGCAGTTCAGCGGCATTCCATCCAAAACGCCCTGAGCCTTGGGTATTACCTTGTGAGATTAACAGCATCGAGTGCCGGCCCGCGGGTTTTGTTTTCGGATACTTAAGAAGAAGAGGGTTGCTCCTTCAGATAACTGGTGCGTCGCAGAGGATCATACAAGAAGAGAATCGAATGCAAAACAGTTCTAACAAACTACAACAGTAACACTAACAGAGCAGACAGAATACAAAACAACAGAAGAGACAAGAACCACGACAAATTGTACCGTGCCATAATCGAGGCTTTCTCCGGCGCGCAGCGTTACCATGTCCGACTTGTCAAAGGTCGACCCATCTGGCTTCGATCCAAGCGGCAACACCGAGACTGACGGAACGTCAACCACCTCGCAATCATAGGCCACCTGAAACAAGAAAGTAGAACATGCAGACCAATATGATCACATGAGCATCTACATATCCCCACCGCGCTGAACCCTCTCCTCTCCTGAATCATCGCCATATTCACGGTCGGCAAAAGAAACCAAAGCTAAATGTAATATCAGAATCATGATAATCAATTTTAATACCGTCGGCGCTGCGTCTATGTCGCAGGTGAAAAAGGTGTAGTCGCTGTTCTTGCCTGCCATTTCGGCAAAGGATTTCTCGTATATTTTCGATGGCGTGCTGAAACCCGCACTAAAATAGCCAACCAAGGCTCTTGAGCTCATCTTTAGCGCTTCATACTGGGACGCGCTTGTTATTACCTGATTTTATTTTCATTGCATGTTTAGAGTAAAAAAAAACAGCCGGGATTGGTTTGGCGTATCTAGGCCGAGCGACAAATGAACGATCTCTACATGATGCAAAAGAAAAAGATAACTTGAACTACTTCCGAAACTCATACTTAGGAAATCATCATGAACTTCAGGTTCTGGTGGTACGTGCAGGTTGCTTGGCTTTGCCGACGACAGCAACCTTTTTCCGGCGGAAAACATGCTTCTCCACCAAGCGTGTGTGGTTTTAGACCGATCCTCCGTGCTTGTTGGGGCTCTTCTTCAGGCTGCAGTTCGGTTTCCGAGAGGGTGCGGCGGTTCAGAGTTTTGCTACATGTGCGACATTCGGCAATGTCAATTTTGCAGTACCCAAAGCAACTTCGAAACCTGCGCTCTGAAGCAGCACGTTGCACGAGGACACTCGATACGACGATTTTCACGGGTGCTAGGGCCGGATATCGAATAAAGAAATCTACTTCTACGTAGTTTGAAACTGAATTTTTATGTACCGGCTGCAATGGTATTTGATATGAGAATTGCAACTGATTCTGACAAGGATGACAAGCAAGCGAAAAAACCAACTTCGGCGAACTCGAACACATCGATCTGCATCACCGGAAAGAACAAATGCTCTTATTCGTATTCCGTGAATTGCAGAAGGGACGCAGTCTAGACTGTGCTGCTGCCCTGTGCAAAAATTTTCTTCTAGCCGGTGCCGGTGCTACTGATCGTGTACCGTTGTTCGTTAAGTTTGAGAAGAAAAAGAAATTGATAGAAGAAAAGAAAACCGTTTCAACATCTATGGAGACACTCAACACGGTAGTTGTTGTCACTAGGCTTTGCTCTAACCAACGCTCTTCCACCCCGACTACCGTCAAGACGCGCCGATGTCTTCGAGCAAGCAGAGCAACTGAAACAGCGGAAACAGTTGCCCGAGCCGCTTCTTGCCAAGAATCGGCAGCATGCGTTTCTGCAGACTCGCCCCGAGCTCCTCCGTGCTGCCGGACTCTCGGACCATCGCGTAGGCCTCTCGAAACGCCTCCTCCTCGACTTGTGAGATCAAATACTCTCGTAAACTCGCCGCTTTTCCCCCGTAAGTAGAAGTGGAGCTCGAGGAACTACTACTTTGCGTCAACATGATCTCGCCGGCAGGGGTGGAGGTTTTCTGATCGTCACGGGACGATGACGAAACTCCTCCACTGCGAGCGGTATCTGTCTGCGGCAACTCTGGTGGAGCTTCTTCATCAACTCCTGATGAACGTGATTGTCGAGCACGAGGAGCATTTATTCCAGCGTCGTGATGTCGTGCGATATCCACTATATCATCAGCGTTCTTCGCAGAGGCGCCGGATGGATGCTGTGTACTACTACTACCCGTCAAGAAATGTGTACCACCATCTCCCGGGCCAGAGGATGGCCGGTTGCATGATGCCGCGGAATTATCCACGTCAAGGCGCTCGTCCACCTGCCTGCTCTCCGATCTCGTCGGTGCTGCACCCGTAGCTTTCGGCGTGCAGGTGCTACTCAATCGAACCACCACGTTGTCGTCCTCGCTGTCCTCATCGGATTCCTCTTCAAAATCTGGCTCGTACTCCTCGAAATCAGCTTCGTAAGACTCGTCCTCCTCCTCTTCGCTACTTCTCTGTTCTTCATCAACATCTTGAACTTGTTCTCGAAGAACTTCGCTGGTTGTAGGACTTCTATCGTGTCTTGCGGGAACAATCTGGTTTTGTACAAGATCTGCGTGTTGTTCACCCTTTGTCGACCGAATACGAAGATCTTCGCCAGCGGAACTAGTACCGTGGAGGTGTTGAGCAGGATGCCCCACGACTTCTACATTTTTCGACGGGTCATTCCAGACGACGCGTTGCGAGGATCCACCAACGACGACATCTTCGGGAGGACCACGAGGACCCGTTGTACTACTACCTGGTGAAGAATTCTGCACGAGCTTGAGTTCTTTGGCTTGCTGTGCTCGGTGGAGCAGAGTTTTCGAAACCGTGGTTGGTGCGTTGGTGTGGATCATGTCTTCGGGCACGAGTCCATTTCCGTCGTTCACTTCTTGCACACCATTATTTCCTCGGTAGTCCTCGTGCGGTGCAAACATGCGCGGCGAGCTCTTCGTCGGAATTACTTCCAGAACCAAAGGTGATGTTGAAGATGATACGGACGGCGATTTTTGAGGTTGTGATGTCGCTGCTGGTTTATTTGGCTCTCCTGGTTTGACCGTCTTGCTCCTGCTGGACGACGAGCAGGAGGGTGATAAACATGGTGATGAAGCGCAAGAACGACCCGTACTGGAAGATGAAGGTCGCTTGCGACGGTCTTCGCATGATCCCTTTGCGGAGCATCCGGCCACGCTCGCGTCCTCGACTCCAATTTTGATGCTCTCGCCCCGCGGCGGAAAAAAAGAAGCAGAAGACACAGACTCATTGGCAGCAGCAGCTGTGCAGCCTGAATCTCCTGGTCTTGGCGGACGGGGAGGTAAAAGCGGCACAACTCCAGCACCACCGGTGGTCGTAGATTTTGTTGAGACCACGCCAGATTTTTGAATACGCGAGGTGGACGCGGTCGCGGGCTGCTGAGCAGTTGTGGTTGCTGATTCTTTTGACGCAGGTCCATCTGCGTTTTTTCGTCGTCGTTGGTCATGCTGGAGGTCCAGCCCGGGATCTCCATCCTCCTGCACCGCTCCGCTTCGAATGTTTGAGAGAAGGCGCTGCGTGCCGGTTCTCACGCGGTCGGCCAACTCAAACCCGGGTTGCTGAACAACTTCTGCGCCGCTGCTCCCACGACAACCCACGCCGCTGGTTTGGTCATCAGCTGCACATGATCCTTCTACGTCGTCCTCCGCCCGGACATCTAGTATTCCAAGTGTAGTTTTTTTTGTTCGTGTCGCCGTCGCGGTCGCGCGGCTGCGATCTTCATCGAAAACCGGGGCAGCTCTGGAACCGTGTCGAGCTTCTGTAGCTGCGTCTGCTGGAGGTGGTCGCAAGGACGATGATGAGGATCTGTCAACACCACCACAGGTGTCCTCTCCGCGTCGTGCGGAAGTAGTTGTTCCGGCTGAAGAACGACGTTGAGGTTGTTGTTCTCGCGGTAGTTGTTTTACCGTGTCGTCGTCCCCGACTACATCATCGTCGAGGCCGGTCACATCAGCGCATGTTCCACCTCCAGGCGAATCCTCTTCGAGGATTGTAGCACAAGAACTGGTGCCACGTGACGGAGCCGTGACCGCGGGGGCTGTAAGCAGGCTGAGGTCCCACCCCAACCGATACCGCTCGTTCACCTTTTGTTTTTGTGGAACTTCCTTCATCAGGATGAAAAAGGTTTCTTGTCATCTTCATTTTTCATCTTCATTCTCATGATATCGCAAAAGCATAAGCAAACACATGAATCATATGCAAACAGCATCCCGCAGCTGCACTATCCGTACGTCCTCTACTGCAACACAAAATACAAATTGCAGAATGAAAATTCATTTTTATTACCGCGTGGATCGACGTCTTCAGCGCGGGACTGCGAATCGTTTCCAGCAACGAGGGCCGGTTCGCGGGTTCCTTCGACAGCATGGCCTGAATCAACCGGCCTAATTCCGGGCAGTAGCGGGCGTCCGGCGGTGGATATTTTCCATTCAGGATTTTCACGGCCAAGAAATGCAGCGACTCGGCGTCAAAGGGGTGCTTCAATGTGGTCATCTCGTACAAAACCACACCGAGGGACCAGACGTCCGACTGAAAGTTGTAGGGCTGGTCCTCGATTATCTCAGGAGACAGGTAGTACGGCGTACCCACCATCGTTTTGGCGTAGTCCTTGGTGGCGTCCAGGACCCGGGAGATCCCGAAGTCCCCCAGCTTCACGTGTTGGTTGGCGTGGAGAAAAATGTTCTGCGTCTTCAGGTCTCGGTGCAGCACCTTGCGCGAGTGCACATGCCGCAACGCAAAGCATACCTGGAGAATTTTACAACCATGAAGAAAATCATAAACTAAGCTCGATCTTTCGGTGTAGTTTCCTTATGAACTACCGCGTGTAGGAGAATCAAAATCAATGTACTTACGACCCTACAAGAACGGTTGTAGTTCTAGAACCGCCCAGCATGCAACTAGAACTACAGATGGTTGAGGGTGAGGTTGTGGCTCTCGTTGTACTGATAGATTGTGATTCAACAGCGTGTACTTGGAAAAAAAATGTCGCAAGGCAATGAAAATCGATTATCTACTATATCACTCCTCTACCTGACAAAACCAGTCGGTGATTTGCTGTTCCGGTAGCAGCACGCCGTTCTGCTGCTTGATTTTCTGGTGCACGTCCCCCCCGTCGCAATAGTCCATAACGATGCACAGGCGGCCCTTCCGTGTGAGAAAAACCTCGCGGAACGCCACGATGTTTGGATGACCTGTCATGCGCTTCAACACCGCAGCCTCCTTCACCGCCTCGTCCCGCTGCTTAGGCGTCATCTGCAGGGTCTCCATTATGCAATACAAATTTCCCATCGATTTACAAAAAGCATCACAAATTTCACCAAGACCGCCCACTTCCTATCATGTATAGAATACGCAACTTGTCACGCTCATGCTGCAGAGGTTTGGACGAAGAGTTTGTCGTGCGAAAGCCACATTTGTACGTCGTCTACGGGAAATTTACTGTGGATATCCATCTGCTTCACCACACAGAGCTCGATGTCCTCCTCCCGGAGCTCCTCGACCGGAACATCTCCGTCACCGCGGTATCACAGGAAAAAGTGTTTTTAACGTTAAGTAACGGAATTTGTGATGCAGTACAGCATCACAAAACGTGTGGTCCGAATTTGTCATGCATAACATGCACGCTGGGCAAAATTTCTCATGCATATTTGCAATCCATGAAAACTGTTAACATTAACACTTTTTTGATTGTTACGCGGGCCTTTCGCGCCGCGGTGTTTTCGACCAGAAACGCTTTCCCGAAGCTCCCCTTCCCGAGAACCCGGATGCGCCGGTACTTCTCCATCACGTGAAGATACAGTATGTGGTCTAAGCCTAAAAGATAAAAGCTAGCAGCGGTCACATCACGAAGTGTCTGCTTTCACTTTCAACTTCTGATTTAGAAGTGACCCCAACGACCGCGCAAATAAACTCAAACTTGCTACTACCAGCAACGTGAATGTAGATGGTGCACCTAAGCTTCTACTGCAAGTATCGTGGTTGCCGCGACCACGTTTCTGGCGAGATATAGGGTTTTCGTGAGAAACAGAAATGGAAATCGTCTAGAAGCTCTCTTCTGGTTTTGCCGCCGCACGAGTCTCGTCGTCCCCTGCCCTTTTGCTTCTTAGTATAAGCTTCCGTTGACTCTCTCTCTCGTACTTATCGTTATCTCCACTTCTTTACGTATGTTTTGCTAAAATTGTTGTAGTTCACGTACTCGCCAATGCCATTTTTATTTTCCCTCCGCTCGCGGCACGTCGACTCGTCGAATGGTATCTTACTCCTAGAAGACGTGCTGCGACGTGTTCGCGCGTGCTGCAGCTGCAGACCAATTTCATATTTCAACTGAACATGAAGAATAAAGGCTAACTCCAACTACAACGGGTACGAGTGAACAAAACAACGCCATATATCATACGGGTAATGGTCGGTAATTTCTTCGCAGCTTTGATTTCGCTTTCGGGCGGGTCAACAATAAAGCGAGAAATCGCTGATATGGTCCTCGCCTACGTCCTCCAGCACTGCACTTTTCGCACATCTTCGAGATCATCCTTTCACGAGGCTTCTACTTGCGCATTATACCCGTCGCGGAGAGCAGCTGCACCTGGAACAATTGGCTGCAATGTTGTAGTTGTACTGCTCCCCGAGTCGTCGTCGCTTGTTCCCCAGTAGAGAAAGCTGGCTGGTGGTTGCGCGGAAAAAGTCCAAATTCCAAGCAGGATGCAAATGCTCAGATACATAGTCATGGTGACGCCCGCGTGCCACCGGTAGAGCTTGACTTTTGCTGCGGAGCCGCAAATAACCGGGAAAACCGTCAAGACGACGACGACACCGACGGCGCACGCCACACAGCCCAGACACGACACAATCCCTGCCAACTCCGGGTTCACCGGCGGTAAAATCCTGCCCTGCTGCAGCTCATCATCTTCTTCAAGAACAAACCCGTGATCTAGATCAACTTCAGTGTAGCTCCCGCCCCCAGTTGTAATGAGCTTGATGGGCTTGCCGGCCAGTGCCACCATCGCCCACGGCAGGCCCAAGCCGATGCAGATGTTGAGCGTCTGCGCGCCGAGGCAGGAGGCAATCGCCATGGAGCCCAAACCCCGGCGTGCCGCTTGCACAGACTGGACGCAGTCCGGCACCTCCGCTCCAAAGGCCACCAGCACCATGCCCAGGTAGGACAGGGTGCGTTCGTCCCCGTGCAACAGTGTGACCCACCGGCCAACGACGTTCGTCACCACCGCCGACCAGATTGCGATGAGCACGAGGGCGGAGAGAAACGTCACGGGCCACAGGTGCTCCGCCGGCTCGAGAATGCGGCAGTCCGGGCACATCGCGTCGGACAGCTTCGTATGGATTGTAAAAATGTCTGGGTCTGGAAACTTGTGATGCTAAAATGTGCATGATGAAAACACTTCCGAACGCAGTCCGGCATGACAACTTCCCAAAACGCTTTCTCATAGGCAATCCGCATGAGAAACTGCGTTTTTGCATGACAAAAGAGGCTGCGACTTTTGTTGGTTATGCGATACAGATTTTCTAGGTATGGAAAGCTAGCATTACAAGTTCTAACTTTCCAGGCCCAGACACTTTTACAATCCATACTTCGCGACCGGCGCCCACAGAACCTCACCCCAGTCGGACGGCGAGAAACAGTTGCAGGAGGTTAAAAGGATGGTCGTTCGCCGGTACAGGCTGAGTGGCCGGGTTGCAAGCGTTGAATCGGTGGAATGAAGATCGCCAGCATCACCGCTGGGGCGCCGGCGCTCAGAATCAGCATCGATGCCGGCAGTAGTACCTCCGACCGCGGTCGTGACCGGTAGAGTAGAACCTGCTCTTGCACGTGCTCCCGCCGTGGTGGATGAACCACCTCCGTCGACGTGCACGAGAACGTCGACTTGATCGCTTGTCTTGACTGGTAGCGCACCGACTAGAAAGCCTCGTGCAGAAGTTGCTTTCGAGGGGGATTCCGCGGCAAGACTCGTCCGTTGCACTTGCTCTCCCGACTCTTCTGACGATTTCGAAGTCGCGCCACTGCTCGTGATGGACTCCTGATCGGTAGTCGTGGGTTCAGACGTAGGTGGATCAGGAACAGCAAGCACGCCCTGTGTTTCTTGTTCTCCCTCTGTGCTTCTATGCTGCGCCACGGCTGTAGTTGCTCGTGTTTTTGCCCCCGTTTCGTCAACGATGAGCATGCTAGCGGTTGACGTTGCAGTGCTAGCAACCGCTCCCCGGAACGTCAATCCAATTATTTCATCACTTGCTGACGCTGAATCTCTACTTCTGCCCGCAACTACAGAAGGCGAGCCGTTGCCTGTTACGTTTGACATTGCAATGGTCTTTCTATAGTCCGCTATCACCCCCTGGTCGTTCGGCGGGGAGGCCGGAGCACTAACCACATCCGTCTTCCGCGGACTACTGTCAAACGTGAGCCGCGCACGAGATGCGTCAATTGACGTGGAAGACAAATTCCGCGTCTCGCGACCACCACCTCGTCCCAGAGCTTTCAGCCCCGAAGGCGACGAGGACCCGGGTGGCGACGCATCTTCCGCGTCCCCGTAGGTACTCACTTGTGCTTGCTGCGTAGTTTCTCGTTTTTTTGCACTGCTAGTGGCAGCGCTTGCTTCCTCTTCTTCCGAAAGCGGGCCCTCGTGGAACGTGACACGTGCGGGGCTGCCGGTGGGCAACTTCCGTCGTTTATTGTTTGACGGAGAGGAGGAGATGTTGGCGTTCATCGGCGACGAGGATGCCCCGTCTATCTGTATGCCCGCTCCTGCTCCGACCGTGCCAGCGTTTTCATCTTCTGGCGACGGTGTTTCACCTTGCAGACACGGGTGCTCTGCGCGAGAGGCCGAACTGGGGTCGCTCAGCTGCATGTTCTATTGAGAGGAAACGCCCCCCCTCCCCATATTGAAAAGGTATGTTTCCAAAAATTTGCGTTGCGGATTTGAGCCTTAGTTCCACCTAATATCCGTAGGCCCCGTTGGGGGTCCCTCACCCCCAACACGTCGGTCACAAATCACGTCTGTCTTGCAAGAAGACAAGGGCAGAAGCTTCCGCCTCATTATGGAAGCGATTTGTCATGCTGTTGAGCCTCAAGGGGAGCCGTTTGCCATGCTGAACAACTAGACCCATACGCCCCTACCTAGCCTGGGGATCTGGCCGCCATGCCTCTCTGCAATACAAAGCTGATCTGTGGCCACAAATCAGCATCACAAATTTCCGTTTTGATATGGGGACGAGGGGGGATTTTTCATTTTGATATGTTCGACCGCGACTCGATGGCTCGCTCGCGGAACTGCGAGATGTCCCGCTCAATCAGGGGTCGCCGGCCTCGCAGGGAACGCAGCTGGCCCCGCGCGTTGCGACCGAAGACGACGGCAATGAAGTACACGAAATACCAACCGAGAAACAGACACGCGGCACCAGTCGTGATTTCGCCTTTTTCACCGATGAAGAGTTCACTCGCTATCATCAGGAACAGTGCTGCTGGGCCTTTCAACGGCGACAAAATGCTGCTGCTGCTCGTGCTCGCTGCATCCTCGTCATTTACAAAGATCTTCGCCCCGTCTGGTCTACGAGAGTTGTCTTGTCCTTCCAAGCCAGCGTTCGTTCCGGTTGTATTGATTTCGCCGGGTAGAGGTAGTTGTACGTGTACTTCTCCTGCTGCCGAGGCAAGCTGATCCAGTATCTCCGAATTATCGACGGGAACGGATGCGAGTAGCCAATACAAGATTCCGAGAGAAACCAGGTACGCGCTGACGTCCCGCAGGAAGGGCCGCCGGTTCAGCGACAGAGACTTCGTCTCACTACTGCTGAAAAGCACGCAGCAGGCCGGAATGATGCAGAAGGCAATCAACCCGGAACCCAGTATGGCGCCGATACCCAAAGCCACCTGGTTCGGTCGGTGTGCTGCGAGGACCTCCCAGGAGTTGTTCTGGTGCGAAGGTTTGGTAGAGGTTGTGGTGTGGTGATGTGCCACTGCTGCCTTCACAGAGACGATCACATTGATCTGTATTAATTTTGGTTTGCGTATAACGTTTGGACTTGGAGGTAGGTAGGTAGGTTTACTCAACTACGGAGTTATAAGAGTCTATATAACTAATTTTTTGTTTTATAGACTGCGCTCTGACTATTCAGCCAGATCATCCGCATCTGCCTGCTCCGGTGGCATTGCGGCTTTTTTCCCTTTGCAGCTCGCCTCGTGCTTCTGCATGTCGTCCACCTGCTTCATCATCGAGCGGGTGAATTCGGTCATAGCGTCCTGGTCGTCCTCTTGTAGCTGCTTCTTGAACGCGCCACATTTCCGGCATTTGATTCCGAACTTGCCGCCCCGCGTCGTGTAGCATGCATCTTCAGGAACGTGGCACCGCGTTACGTAGGCGTTGGAGCCCATGAAGTATCGCCCCTGGTTGCTGTCCCATATGTGCTCGCTCGGTACGAACTCGCTTGTTTTGATACGTTCCCCATTTTGATCATATCGCCAAATTTGACCATACTTGACATAGTCCCCCCGAGCGTGTGCCATAGCATGAAGCTCCATCGCGCCGGCGCTTGATGTAAAGTGCTCGCGACAAATTTCACAGGTTATTTGCGGCACCGGCCCTGCACGCCTCCGCCCTGCCGGTGGTCGACCTTTTCTTGCTTTCTCCTTGAGAATACCAGGGTGCCGCGCGATGATATCTGCCCGGATGGTTTTGGCTCGCTCCTCATCGTCCTCTTCGTTTCTCTCGATCAGCGCTGCCTTGCACTGGAGGTCGGGCGCTGGCATCGAGTGGCTGTTTCTACAGTGGGCCGCGAGTGCTTCTGGGAGGCGAAGGCTCTCCAAGTCAACTGTAATGTCACTGGGCTCCTCAAAACAAGGGGCGTCCGCAGGGCACCATAGACATCGTTTCTGCGTAAATACTTCGGGCATCAGCTCGGTCGGTGGCCTCTTGTAGTCGTCTAGTGCCGCTATGGTGTCCACCGCTGGATCCAGCCCGCTTGCTACCGCGTCCCGCTTGATCTGCGCCCTTGTTCTTTTTTCTCCGCTACTTGAGCCAAAGTATTTAATTGCTAGCTTGTCCAGGTACTCCTCCCGCAGCTCCTCTCTCCGCTCCTGATTCTTTTCCGAGTGTGTCCAGTCGTCAACACACTCACGAACGAATGCAGCACGGGTTAACACGTAAAAAATTCTCTTGTTTTTGTGATACAAGGAATTTGTGCCCTGCAGGTCTGGGCGTAGGGCAGCGCATTCTTCTGGAGACATCACCAGCTTGTCTAGTGCTTCACCACCAACTCCACACTCCTTGCGCAAATACTCCACGCAATCTTCGACAAAAGACGGAATTTGCCTGGTCTTCGGATCCAACTCCTTGATGTTTCCATCGCTGCGAAGATAGTGCCGGGGGCGGAAGTCCGGCTGTTGTTGGCTTGGTTGCATGCGTAGCGTGGGTAGAAACTGGCCCACTAAAGTTCTGCGCGTCAGATCATTTTTCGGCTTCCGCATGACATGGCCAAAATAACGCAGCTGCAGGAATCGGAGGTGAGTGGCTAGTGGTGGTATTTGTAATCTTCGCCGAACTTCAGCGTTACTGATCCGCTCCGCCTTCTTCGTCCACCACGGGAGGCCCAACAGCCGGCAGCAAAACTTTATTTCCTCCGTTTCCAACTTTTTCAGCTCAGCCACAGTCACAGCTCTGCACTGAAGTCCGTAGCACAAGATCGTCCGAAGGAGTGTCAGCACCAGTTCCCCCCGCCGTGCGTTGCTCAGCCCGCCGACCCCCGCAAGTTTCGCCGAAAGCGCGAAATATGCCGCCCACGCCTTCTTTATTTTCTCGCTAATGTCACGCTCCGGGCAGGTCCATACACCCAAATTTTTTGCCACCAACCTCGTGACGTCGCCCTGTATGCGTTTCGACTTGTTCTCCCGCATCCCAGTCTCCGCAAGCGCCTGTGCGAATGTCTCCATTATTTCCATGTCGACGGGCGGCAACGGTGAATCTTGCTCGCGATTGTGTTTGTCCTTTTGCTCTAGTGCTCGGGCGTCCTGCTTTGCCATCTCCGCCATAAACGTCGTGTCATCAGCAAAAAGCAACGACGTCAGGTTCGTCCGGGTTAGCTGCGCATGCTGATGTGCGCCGCCCGCAGCCTGCCCCCCTGTGCGATACGTCGTGACCAAGTCCAGCACTCTGTGTCTGTCTGTTGGAGAAGAAAATGAAAATGGAAATGCACAGCACTTGTTGTTAAGTGCGCTGCGGAAGCCAAAAGAATACAAATACTCGAAGACAAAAACATCAAAAAATTTGATCTTCCAAAAATAGGATGAAGGAGTCCGAAGGAAGCACAGCAAGCTCGTCTGGTATTAGTAACGCTAACGCCCATCAGTACAAAATGTACTCTCAATAACTCAATAAATGCACAAGAAGTAGTTAGTACGCGTCTTACACAAATCTCCGGGATGCTCCCACCCAAAGCCATGAACGTCGCTCCCGCGACGTCTTCACGCACTTTTAGGTGGTCGCAGAGTGTTTCCATGGCATTGCACAAGTGGTCGGCGGCGATGGCCAAGCCACCAAAGGCGTAGAGAAACAAGCACAGTTCGAAGGCCAAGCCCCAAGGGTTGTGGTCGATGTTGGAAAGACACAGTTCGTCCAAAAACTTTCCAAAAGTACAGGCCGTCGGACTTCCTGCGAGATCGCTGGGGGAGGGGGTGCTCATCCCGTCCTCGTCAGAGAAAACGCGCGCCCACGAACCAAAAAGTTGTAGGCCCTCCATCGTTATTCTGCGGACTAGGAAGATGAACCAAAATCAAAATGTAGCTGTAGCAGGTGATCACACATTATGCAAACTTACACTTCTCATTCTTAATGCCAAAAACTTAAGTACGACAAATGCAGCAGGGCGCGGTGCACACGAACAGTGGAGCAATGCACTTCTGAGGCAAACAGAAGAGAAATCAAATGAAACACTCGTCGTGTCCTCCCGCATTCTACCACTCACTTCAACAACCAACAAACGTATTTGATTCTGCCACTCTCTCTCACTTTGATTTTTTATCGGCACGGAGCACGGACCCGTCACAGAGGCCCTACGTCGCGTGAACGACGGAGGGTAATGTTGAAAGAGAAAGCCGCAACAGAATTATGTGCAGCTTTGTTCTACTTCTTTTTCTTCCGCGAAAAATCAGCCTTGGGCTCCGTGCTGTAGATGTAGTGCCGTACGGCTACAGTAGCTTCTTTTTACCAATGAAAAACAGGCGTCTCGTCGGTCACTTTCGAGAATCTGGGATGAAGTTTGAATGTCCATGATCGCAACTACAAGGCCCCACTACTTTTTGTCGTGTTTTTTATCCCCCTCCTTCGTTTCCACCTCCCACGTTGCTATCGGCGAAAGGTGCAAGCCAGAACCGCGCCCAGCCAAGGGTGGGGTCGTCTTCTATGTCGTAATGGTAGCATGCTGGGTGTTGATGAACTGTAGTAATTTTTTGACGTAGCAGGTTCGTTTGGCGTTCAAGAATGAACAACAGATGAATGCAGTATACAACATTTCGGCGCTTTCATCACATCAAACACAAGCGGCGGTTCGATGCAGAAAACACAAAAATAAAAACTTAAACTAGAGTCAAACGAATGCAACAGGTAAAAATACAGAGCCATATCTTGATTTTCCCGGCCAAGGAGCTTCCCCGGGAAAAGATGTCCAAATGCTTGAGACCAAAGGTTTTCTTCCAGCCCCTGAGCTCGTCGTTCTCCCCAAGTGAGATCATCACACGACTACCTTCTGGGTCCTGCCGGGAGTCGTGCCAGTAGTCAATCACGCGCTTGCCGGGCTCGGTGACGTGCCAGGTTAGGTGCGAAGGATTCAGGCACACTTCCAGGTTGTCCCCCATCGCCTTGAACTCAGACATCAGCTCCTTGAAACGCCAACTTGCCATCACCACAGACGGCTCGCCGGCGCACAGTTCCTGTGATCATGTGTAAGTAGTTTTATGCACGCAAAATCAATAGCAAGGTGCTCCTTTCGTGAGCACGCACTTCTCCGTGGGGCTGATGTACTTAACAACTTGCAACCGGTCGCGTTCCTAAAAAGTGGAGCAACCACCTGGAAGCTTGCATCTTCAGCGAAGAACATGAAAAACCGAATTGTTCGTTATTTCAGAACGACGCAATGGCAAGTCAGACTCAGAGTCAGCGAACAGAAACATCACGTGACCCAAATAAAACGTAAAAAGTAGAAGTACACTTGGGGCCTCGATGTTTTCCATGTCAATATCCATGGATTTCCATTGAAAGTCGAGCTTCGCCATACTGTTTCTCCTAGAAAAAATTTGCATGTGAATGTATTCGTCGTCGGGATACTGGTACATGCGCCAGAAGTCGTCGCTTTGCCCTGAAGAGTTGTTCATCTTTCGAAAAAATCGTGAACGCGATCGGTAAAGAAACAGGACAAGACACTTAAACTTAAGCAGTACAAATAGACAGACTTACTACTTCTCCGCTGCTCCGACTGATGCAAGTGGAGCAGGTCAAGGTGAGCAAAATCCTCCAACAAAAATATCCACACTGGATTCATCTTCCTGCAACGAAATCCAATAGGGAGTGTCTGTACCTGACTTGAGCATGTCCCGCATGACCTGCAGGTTGACGCCAACTGACACGGGGCGATTTACGTTCCATGTGACGAAGTTTCGCTTCGACAGATTCACATCAATCAACGCAATCTGACTTGATTCCATACCTGCAAGTTTTTTCATCGGGTGCAGCTCTCCGCTTGCTGCAAATACAAGAAAACGCGGCCAACAATGGAAAATTTCACTTCCTCTCCGACTGGCAGCCTATGGATGCCAGGAAAAGGAAAAGCCCTCCCCCCTCGATGCTGCTGGGACCAAAGTAGGACGCGGAATCGTGGCATTCAGTTTCAGATCCATCAAGGTATATTATAATGTGGTGTCATGGAGGTCCTCATACCTCACAGCCGATGTGTATTACGCAACCTCAACTACATCATCAACGACTCAAGAAAACGTAAAAAATGCATCAACACACCTCTGATGCTGATTCCCTCCTCCGGATTGACTTCCATATTGATCTCGTTCACCTGGAGCAGAAGGACTTCCACGACACGCTTCATGAGACTTGGCGAGTCCGCCTCGATGAAGAATAACGTGTCATCGGGTTTCAAGTCCTTCTGGTACCGCCCTGTGGTTGTATATTTTTGATGCGTCGGAAGTAGATCGGATCCCTTTTTGGACATGATGTTCAGAGGAAAAAAAAAGGCATCAAGGTCTATCTTGCAGCTGGAAAAACACTGTACAATTGATTTCGATACTTGTTATTCACAGAATCATATTTATAGATACTTTGTAGTTTGGTTCCCGGGATACTGCCAAAAGAAGGCTCCGAGATTTTCGGCACCTTCTTCGGCCTCTCGACTTCTTCGTCCATTGCGGGGGCCGCGCCACCACCGTCTGGCATAATTTCGAGCGCGGTGTTTAAAAACCAACGGGTGCTTCTTGGTGAAAATCGCCAAACAGGTAGATGAAGTACTCTAGTAGAGTTCCACGAAGATGACTACACGCAGGGAGGAAGGAGGGGCAAGGCTGGTGCTTTCAGGGGACTATTTGCATACTTCCGACTGCAAGACCGGGACTGAGCCTTTGTCCTACAAAGTACTTTTTTGGGTTTCGTTTCAGGCGACGAAGTTCACTGGGTTGTAGTTGGAGGTTTAGCCGTACTACCTACGCAGACCACTGGTACACCGTTCCGGTTCCATCTCAAGCGGTCCAAGCCGCGTTGCCGTAGTTTCCGGAGAATCACGGAACGGGATACTGGTAGAGTAGCAGCCGTACGGTTTTGTTCTTCCGGGGGGCCGACCACAAATCGAATGTCCAAAACTGTTTTGGCCGGGTATCAAAGAGGAGTCGCGTAGGTCCTATCCCCAGAGAGTTCTTCTCTGGTTTTCTACTACACCATGCACAACAGCCTTATGATATACAGTGCAAAATCAAAAACAGTGAGCCACATTATATGTGGATCGCTGACCTACACCTACTTTGTGTTTGTATTTTCCCACGACGAGAACGTAGTACAGAAAGTCGCTCTAATCTGTCATATTCCCGGCACAGTCCTGTCCACTTACGCCTTGCTTGACGGACATATTTAGCATACCACCTCTTCTACTTCGTCTTCGTGCGACTTCTAATTGAAGACTTCTTCGAAGCCGACTCATAATTGTGTACATACTTGAATGTTATCGTTGCCCTGCTAGAGTGCAAATAACCAGAGTACAAAATCAAAAATGATGAAACAAATTAAAACCGGACGCCATAAAAAAATACAGCCAAAGAAAGTTGTGATCAAAGGTGGAAAAGGCAGCTGCTGATCTGTGTCTTGTTCTACTCCGGCTGGCGCAACTGAGTCAAAAACTTTGCGACCACCTTCAGCACCCACGTCGTGCGGATGCTTTTCCTTTTCCTCTTGTTGACTGTTCAGAAACAAAGACGCATGACGTTGTGCAAAAAGTTGGTCGATCAAATGTAATGAGACATCGCAGCTTCCTCGAAGCGCTTCTATGTTTTTCATCTTTCATCAATTTTAGTAGACACTTTATCCCTCTGCTTCTGCTTCTTTTGCGAGTTCTTCACAAGTTGAAGATGCTCCGTTCGTACAGGTGCACGCGCAAATGCCTTGATGGCGCGAGGCTGAACTGTAGTGAAGATATTGATCTTTTCATTCTGTTTCGTGGTGGTACAGCCCTAGCGTTGACGTTGGCGGACCCCGAGAGAGATGAAGCGCTCAGCAAAGGCACAAACCCCTGTCTGATAGCAGACACAAGATTCATCACCAGAACACACCGCTGTGGCCTGACTTCGGCTCCTTATCCGGAGAGATTTTTCTCTGCAAAAAGCATCCGAAGATGACAGATAGAGACTGACTGTCGCCACACCTCGTCGTGGACGGCGCGGTGGCGGCACCAATAAGCAAGTCGTCTTCCAACGATGGAGAGATGAATTCTTCTGCTGTACTAGACTACCTGCGACGTGCTTCATTCTCCTGTCTCCTTGATCATCAGCATGATGCACCGTTCTCACTCGTCTGGATGTATCCATAAGTACTTCGCTACTCCAAGTCCTTCCAGCGTGCTGGTGTTCTGTCTTTGTTGTGCATCCTCAGTTTTTGTCTTCATGTTGCGAAAAAAAATATAGAAATACACAATGGGCTTTCTCTTGGAAGTCATTGATCGCACCTTGTCACGGTTTCTTACGGTCATGCATGACCATGTCATATCTAAAGAAGGAGTGATAGCGATTGCTGATAAAGAGCAGAGAGGGAGCAGCATGAGCATGTAGAAGCTTGAAAAAATCTATGTCGAATAAAAGATGCTCAGGTTGAAGATTTATTCGATGTGAATCATCATCTTTTCCTAAGTAAATTGTTTTCAAACCACTCTAGTTCTGTGCAGGTTGCGGGCCAATACAGTCGAGACTCTGATGGGGATGAGGCACAAAGTGCGCAGAAACAGTTTCAGTTGAAGGAGGTGATGGCCCTGCATTGTTGATTTTGATTGAACGTTTCAAACGGAGGAAGGGGAAGGCCGATTCGCAACAGTAAAAAAAACCAACAAGATCTATATGGTACTTGTGATTCTCGGACTCCAGTGAGTGTCGGTACACTACAGGCGCATCTTCGACTGCTTCACCTATACGTCACGTGTCGCTAGTGGAGGTGGAAGGCAATGATCTGACCGGCGTCGCCGTTGCGAAAATTATGCGCGCCGCAACTTGATGAAATTGTTCATTCTATGCGGAGGTTAAGAAGTGAACATCGAGTTGATGTATTCCTCACCGCGCTCTTTTCGAAACGCGTCCAGCAGCTCCGTCCAGTACTTTTCTTCTTCCCCCGCTGGCGGCGCGCCCGGGAGTCGTGGGTCTATTGGCGTGTAGGTCTTGGCTGCGGGGTCCCAGATGCGGAGCGCGGCCACGGGGTGGGGCAGGTGCAAGGTCTTGCCGTTCCGCTCGTCCACCACCTCGTACTTTTCCTTCAGTGCGTCCGGGGTTTTGAACAGCATCCGGTCGTACATCGTGGTCACCAGCCCGTTCTGCAGCATGCGCCGGAATTCCGCCTCACAGGTGGGGTTGTGCAGCTGCTTGTGCCACGCGCCAAACTTGCTCTGCAGGTACATGTCGATCCCGTCTTTCGAGCTCACAGACACGTTCCACTCGTCGCACGGCTTTTCAAACTGGTACTCGACCAGTTCGCTGGGACACACGTCCATGGCGGTGATGCCGCACTCGTGGGTGAGAATTTCCGGATCTGCCCCCGCGCCCGGTCTGCAGAGGACGAAGAATTCGCGGATGGTCCCGTCTTCGCCTTTAGCAGTGACGGAGTAGATCGGGTCGCCACCGGCAAATGGGTCGGGCTTCAGGCGTGCGTACAGGTTTCTCCTCGTGTCCGGAAGCGCCTCATGGCTCTCGTATTGGAAAACGCCGTCGTCGTTTTCGTACTTCAGGCTCGCCAGTAGATCCACAGGGTCGCTCATTTTCTGTCGTTTGCAGGTCGTGTAAATAATTTCGCGATCTGGTGACAAAGAAGTTGTCCTCCTCTTGATGCTAGTACCAATAGAAGTGGTCGTCATTTTTACTCAAGCATGATATGAACTGTGATATTTTTACTTGCTGAGGCGCGAAAGCCCGACCTGTTGTTGTTTTTCTGTGGCATGTAGTGGTAGAACTAGAAAGTGTGACTGAGTGTTTGAATTTGAAAACAGAAACTGCCTTCTACTGAATTTGAAAAATAGAAAAAGCGTAAAGGATGGCTAAGTAGAACGTAGAGTGTCTATGTGTGAATGTAGTTTAACGCTTTGCATTATGTTGTTTGTTTTTTTCGTGCAATCGCTGAGTTGAAATTGAACGCAGTTCACGTACAAGTAAAAAGCGCTTTTTGGTATCCAAATTCATATTCTAGCCATCATGTGGTCTATGACAACGCAAAAAAATAAATTGCTTCTGATTCGTGTTCGTCCTACGACGAGCGCACACGCAGTGCTGCTTTATGATCATGCATAGTTTTGGTAGAAATTTGAAGCCCAATCTTTGGTGATCTCTCAGTGGTGCCAAGTAGTGGTCTAGCGCAACGAACACCGTCGTCATGTCATTCTTCCTCTTGTCGGAGATGGAAGTCATTTCCTAGTAGTGTGCCTCGTTGTATCGCCGGCCCCGGTCGCAGCCGCTACAGTTTTACTTCGCTAAACTGCTAGTGCATCCACTCAACGAACATCTCCAATTCGCTCGAAGAGGAAGAGAATCATTCAGTTTCACCGGAAACAACGACAACATAAAATCAGCCGGGAAGATGAACGCGTCGAAACTTTGCTGCTTCACGCGCTTCCACGAGGGAAGCCGTGCTCAAATCGAAGATAGAGATCTTCGCATTCGTTCAACTTATTGTACCTATGAATCGCCGTCTGGCTATTTCGAGGTCGTAAAAATATTTCGACCGATAGAGCACGGTCGCCTGAAGTCGATGGGTTCACGCGGAGATTTTTGAGTTTGCAATAATTGTTTGATTCGCATTTTAAAACATTCGTTTCCGTTGCTGGGCGGAGTTCTTGTCGCAGCGAGTGGTAAAAAATCGCCATCATGAGGACTTTACACGTTGACATCATGCAAGAAATGCTCAACCAAAAAAAGTGCACTGCAATGTCATGACTTAGATTCAAACATCTAGGTAGGGTAGTACGCGATGGCGATGTTCACGTTCGACATGATCATGGAAGAAATACTAGATTCATGGAACTACTATTTGCAGCGGAAGAACGCAGATTATATGAAAAGAAAAGACATCTTCTGTTTTTTGTGTGGCAAAAAAAAACAAAAAAATCCATCTCGCGAAAAACGGGTAGACAGCACTTTCTTGAGTAGTGGTAAGAAGTAACATGAATACACTCACACATTGCTCATTTCTTTATACTCGCTTTATTTTCATCATTTTTGACACCAAAAGGATGCGTGCATGACTCAGGCTCCGTGCGCGCGCAAGGCGCCGGCTACCGCGGCTTCGAGCTCGGTGCCCTTCATCTTTTTCAGTGCCGGTCCGCTGTGCCCGCCCTGGTGTTCCTCCAGGTTTCCTGACTCGCGCTTGGCCCAGTGCGTGCTCAGGTGGTCGCAGCCAATACCGGTCATCGGCGTGCCCAGCCCCTCGGAAACCTTGGCTAACACTTTGGGGTCCTTGTAGTGCGTGACCGCCTCCACGATTGCGCGCGCCCGGGGCGCCGGATCGGTAGACTTGAAAATGCCGGACCCGACGAAGACGCCGTCCACCCCCAGTTGCATGCACAGCGCCGCGTCGGCCGGGGTCGCGACACCTCCCGCCGCGAAATTCACCACCGGTAATCTGCCGAGCTTGCGCACCTTTATTCATCGGGTTCAATTAGGCACTTCATTCGTTGTTCCGAACAGGAGACGAGGCATCAAGTATACAACGAAAGGCAGAACTTCTTCAAAAGCTCGGATGACGAAAATGCAAGCGAACAACACTGCATTGAGAGCGCCAGACTCAGTGGCGTCAAAACGCCGGGTGGAACGCGACACTTACTTCTACCTTACTGAAAGTACTACGAGCCTCGGACTCGGCTTCTGCTCAAAATCAGGGCGTGGGCGATGACGTCTGCTACAATTAATTTTCACTTGGCAGAATTCAACAAAGTAAAGCTTAAGCTTAATAAGCTTCGGTAGTACCTGCTTCAGGAGGGACACGTCTGCGCCGTGCGTCTTGCCAAAATGGTACACCTCATCGTCATTAAGGGCCTGCAACTGCCGAATTTCTCGGTGCAGCGTCCGGATGTGCCGCACCGCTTCCACCACGTCGCCAGTGCCGGCCTCGCCCTTGGTCCGAATCATGGAGGCGCCCTCTGAGATGCGTCGCAGCGCTTCGCCCAGATTGCGACACCCGCATACGAAGGGGGTAGTGAACCTGTAGTTGTAACAAGGAACGCATGATGAAGATGAGCTGAGATAATTCTTGCTTCACGAATCGAATCGAAATACTTATCATCACATAATGCTTTTAAAACTAAAGTGAGTAGACCACAGAGGTCGTCCGATGTGGTCGCAGCAACAAAAAAAAAATCGTGACCAGACCAAGACAATGTTAAGGTGGAAGAAACAAGAGGAAAACGACAGCTGCACAACTAACAGATTTTGAAAAACAAGTAGCCGCCAGATAACTTCTCTGTACTTGGTCTTATCGATGTGGTGGTCGACGTCGGCAATGGTTAAGACTTCCGATTCGTCGACGTAGTCCACTCCGATGGCTTCCAAAACCTGTGCCTCCACGAAGTGGCCGATGCGCACCTTGGCCATGACGGGAATGCTGACCGCCGCTATGATATCCTTGATCATCTTCGGATCTGACGCTCGGGCCACCCCCTGGTCCTTGCGAATATCCGCCGGAATCCGCTCCAACGCCATCACCGCGCAGGCACCGTATCAAATGCAAAAGTGTCTGGGTCTGAAAGATTCTGAGACCAGACTTGTCATGCACGGTTTGCATGAGCCATGATGTCTGTGATGCATGCCCTAGCGTCACAGGTTTTTTCTTTTTGAGGGATTCTTAAGTAATGACTATTCCGCCTGACAAATGCCCTCTCCGCGTAGCAAAAATTAGAAGTCTTTTGCTGCTCATGCAACATAAATTTTTTAGACATCCAAATGCAGCATCACAAGTTGCATTTGTCCAGACCCAGACATTTTTGCATTTGATACACCGGCGGCCTCGGCAATCTTGGCCTGCTCCACGTTCATCACGTCCATGATCACGCTATCCTGTGCAAAAATCTCGTATTCGTATACATGCAAGTCTTGCATTACAAATATTTTTCTTAAGGTAAATCCGCACTACATGTTTTGCTTCTCATGCTAAGAAAATTTGTAATGCCTTTATACGAGTACGATACTTTTGCAATTCATACACGCCCCCCTTTAGCATCTCCGCCAAACCCGTCTTCAACTTGTCCGTCCCTCTCAGAAAGGTGACGACTTGCTGCTGGTGCTGCTGGTGGTGCGCACCACTTTCGGAGCCACTGGAGGTGGACCCGTTGCTGGCCGCAGCCTGCTGCTGTGCAGTAGAGGACGCCGTCATGATTTTTGGTCCTATGGCTATGCAGGAGGCTCGACAATAATGTACTTACAATTTTATTGCCGTGGTCGAAGCAATATCAAGAGGTAGATCTAGATTTTTCTTGTAGCAAACTTACTACGACGAGGACAATCGGGTCTTGACCTTGAGAAACCTAATTGAGTGTAAATGGGGTAAAATAAAAAGGGTGCAAATGAGGTGGGGGAAAGAAGTGGAGTCGTAGGAAACAAAATGAAAAAGAACAACTCCTATTCAGTTGTAGATTTGCCCGTTGGTTGTACTAGGCTGTATCGCGAAGCTCGACTTCTTCTGGGCCCTGTTTTATTTCCTTTCATCATCTCTCTTTTAGTTTTAGATCATGATCATCCGCATTTACAATACAGTACTTGATGCGGCTGGTGCCGCCTGCAAAGACATCCATCAAGTGAACGGGTACGGAAGGTCACCTGAATCTGAAACGAATAAACAATAACGCCTCGTGCTCGTGTACTACAGCTGGTAGTGTCATTTTTCTCAATGCGACATCCTAGACAAGAAAGGGTAGTGGACCGAAGCTTCGTTATGTCAACACTGCAATATTTTGAGATTTGTTTATTTCTCGCTTTTTTCTGTTGCACTTCAGTGCGCGGTCGTGCTTCTCTTCCTCGTGGTATTGTAGTGACACCTCTTGTTCTCTGTTTCAACAGCCACAACAACAATGTGTTTCTTTGTGTTTCTGATACAACTATTAGCATCAGCATGTTCATTTCTCAGAATGTCCTCCAGGAAAAGCAAAAGGTAGAAAATGGTGAACTCCTCACTGCGGGGCCGCGAAGAGTATGTGTTTCTGCAAAATCTTCGACCGACTAGATCTAGTTCTAGAAGTTTTTTTTTAGTACATTACTATTCACGCCAGCTCCTGCTTCGTCTAGCAGCAGGTTTACCACTAAGCAGTTGCGTCAGGCATTTAAGAACTGGAACACCACAACCACTCGCATCTGTGATGGTGCTATATCAAATGCGACTTTTGTCCAGAATGAAACGTTTAGGCTTAGCGTCAGTTATCTCCGACCTATCGATCGTACTTTACCTAAAAAATCAGGTGTACTTGGAAACTATCCACTTTTACCCCTCCTGCCGCGGCGACACGGGTATTGTTTCCGGATGCTGAACGACGGGCGTTTCTACCGGCAGGGCCTCTCCTTGTTCCACCTCTTCGTCCGCGCCTCCTTCAGGTAGTTCATATCCTGTGAAAAAGTATCGTACTCGTCTCGTAGTAATCGCAGTCATGCATTACAAATCTAGCAATCAAGGCGAATCCGGATCCGCATTACAAATTTACCTTTGTAATGCCGAGGACATTTGTAATGCATTTATACGAGTACGATACTTTTGCAATGCATAGTTCAGTGTCCTTGTCCCACAGGACTTGAGAGAACGGCGATTGTGTTCCCACATTGAGTCTGTGAAGAAACAAGTTCTGTCATAAACCTTTTTTTCGTGAAAACGTTTTTTCTTGTTTTTTACGCAATGAGTTTCTCATGCGAGGAAAAGGAAATCTGCGACGCAAGAAATGAAAATGAACAACTTCTGTACATCTCAAATTGACAGTCTTTTGTGGGTATATCAATCAATGAACGCGGTCCGTTTATGAACTCCTTCGCGTGTTCCTAGAGTCGGTCCAACATTGGTGGAGAGCCTGAATTTCTTAAAGTTAAATCCCTATTCCCGTAAATGACTACCCACCCCGTCGGAAACAGTAACACTATCTACTTCGTCTTGACTCGGTTTCGTAAAAGTAGATGAGCGGATGCAGAAGCTGGATTCCTACTGGGCCGAGCTGACCGAGTGGGAACTGCCCGACACATTGTTGGGGTTCTTGTACTTGAAGTCGTCGGGGATGGACGAGAACAACGAGCGACAGCTCGTGGACCGGCTTGCGAGCGAAACCCACGGGAAAAAGTCGGGCTTCGCGGCCGACAATGTGAAGGCGCATTTAGAGCGGTTCTACAAACAGTCCACCGCCAATCCCGACGGCACTAAGGCCACCAGTAAGGATGACCAGGTGGTTGCGTTTTGGAACGGTGTCGATTCCGCTTCGAACAAGTGGGGCAGAAACAACTTCAACAACAAAAACAACGGCAAAAACAAGGGCGGTAAGAAGAACAAAGGCAGCGGTAAAAAGGGTAAGAACAACAATCAGCAAGGGGGGAAGGGCAACAAGTATTGCGCCTTCCACGGCTACAACAACACCCACACTACCGCGGAATGCAGAGCTTTGGGCAGCGATCCCGCCAAGGCGATCAACAAACTCGTGCAGCAGCAGAGCGACAAGCGCTACAATTCTCTGATCGCCAAACAGTCCGCAAAAACCGGTGCCGACAGTGAGAACAAAAATGCCGACCCTTCATCCAGTTCCAACACCAACAACAATAATACCATCGGTTCAGTGTCATTGTCCCACAGGTTCAGTGTCCTTGTCCCACAGAACTTGAGAGAGAGAGAGAGATAACCTACATAGTTGAACTAGGCAGGACAGTATACGACGAACATCACACAGAAGAACGCTGGCCTTGCTCCCGTCCAACTGCTAGCGTGATGCCTCTCCGCCCACCTCGCAGCGCCTTCAGAAATGGCCCGGCTGACTACTCTCGGTTCGGATGCTGCTCGCGGATGCTGCTTGATGTGATCTTGTTGCCCTAGCCGAAGTTCTGCTTTCAGGTAGTACAGGCCTGGTAGAGGGCGACGAACTAGACCGAAGACTAGAACGCCCCCCAGCTACCGCGAGGTTTTTAGTAGTCAGATTGTCCCACAGAACTTGAGAGAACGGCGATGGCTTATGAACGGACAAAATACAATTTGACCCCAGAAAGAGCATTTAGTGCCACGAGAATGAAACTAGCGACCTACGAGAATGAGGAAGCAAATGGGGCTCCACCCGCTTACAACTTTTCCCGCTCCGGACGGGGTAGAAGCTGCGCTTTTCATAGGGCTTGTGCCCGTTTTTTCGCGCGCAAAGCTACTTGTTTTGCGCGCGGTTTTTCTCCGCTCGAGCGGTCGGGTGGAGAAAAACTGCATTACAAAATTGGAAAACCAGCCGGATGCAGATGCAGCTTTTCTCCCCGCAGGAGAAAAGCCGCGCCACAAATTCGCAAACTCCGCTTCCTCCGGTTGGAGAAAGTGAAAGACCGCGCCTCCGGTTCTCCGCATTACAAATGCGGAAAGGTGGCCTTTCCGCATTACAAGTGCGGAAAGGTGCCCATAGCCATTGCGTTTGTAATGCGGAGAGCCCGACCTTTCAAAGGTCGGGCTCTCCGCATTACAAATGCAATGGGCGGAAGAAAGGTCGGGCTCTCCGCATTACACATGCGGAGTGCGGGGCTCCCCAGAGCTCGGGGTTCGGGTTGTGGGTAAAATGGGGAGAGGGGAAAGCCCGGACCCTCGGGTTCTCCGCAACCCGGGCTCTTCTCCGCATTACAAATCCCCCCGTTCGCCACAAGCGGCTGCCACAGCCGCTGCACACCGTCGGGCGTAACCTTTTGCGCGATGCTATCCCCAAGCAGCAATATTCGCACTCCCGATAGCATCGGGCGTGAGGTTATGCTGCATGGTATCGCTGCGTGCGAATTTTCCTCGCAGCCATACCATGCTGCATTAGGTTACGCACGACCTGTGGCTGTCTTTTTCTGCCCCCCTTGGGCGTTGTGCAGCTTCTTTTTACCCTCAAACACGACCGGACTCCGGGAAAAGTTGTGGCTTAGGGAGGAAGCACAACTTTTCCGCGGACCATCCACGCACCCCAAGCCGGCCCCGCCCCAAGGGGCGCCCGCGAGACACGCCGGGGCCGCGCGCAAAATTGTGGCGGTTGTCTTTGTTTCGCAAGCACGCACGCCCATGAGAGTGGCCTCTCTATTTTGCGCGCCGGCTGCATCTACTCCGGGCCCGGGCCGGGGTTCTGATTGATGGGAGGCCGTCGGCCGTTCATTCTCTTCGCTACCTAGGCTACCCAAAAGGCCGCGGCGCGCCCGGCGCTTTTATTTTGAGGGCCAACGCCCCCTCGTGCACATTTGACCCGGGGATGTCGTGCGAAAAAAACGCGGGAAACCAGGGCGGGCCAACACAAAGAAGGCCAGCAACCGCCCCCGCAAATCGGGGCGGAAGACTAACAGACACCAGGCGGGCCCGGCAACGCAATATACGGGGCGCGCCCCGCCTGTTTCTTTTCTGCAATAGAATCACCGGGCGGGGCCCGCTTTTGCGCGCCGCCTGCCTTTATTTTCGCTCCCTGCTCGTTGCCCCGGCCCCGGCAGACTTGGGCGCATTGCGCGAAGCCCTTGGCTTGGTGGGGCTTGCACGGAGCGGGACAATTGCCGCCGCGCGCCCAAAGCTGTGTGTGCGCGGCCGGCGGGTTCTGTCTTCTCTGTGGACCGAAGGGCAGGCGCATGCAACGGAGGGCGAAGGCCCCGGGCCCCGGTGCCGCCGGCACTAGATGCATTGGTGGCCACATCATGCAATAGCCTCAGGTTCAGTGTCCTTGTCCCACAGAACTTGAGAGAACGGCGATGGCTCGTGCGTGGAAGTGGTAGATGGGGTTGTCTGCGTCAGCGTTATTTGTCCGCTTTTGTGCTGATGCACGTCGCCGGACTTGGTTGTTGGAATAATGATCGCTGGGGTGTTCGTGTTGCTGCTGGGATTTTTATCATTATCAGCGTCGTCAAAATGTAAATTACCAGCAGCATCAAGGTCTTCGTCTTTCTTTCGCTGCACAGAGAGATGGTACACCTCGTAGATGAAATTTTTCATCAGGTGATCGCCAACGGCCATACCCGCCTCGATCGTGGTCATCTTCGTGTCTACGCGCCCGAAAAATTTGTTTAAAACCTCAGGCTTCAGATCCAGTAGACGGAAGTTGTTGCTTCGGTTGATGAGCAGGGCGGAATTTGCAGCAGGTTTGGCTTCCTCCTCGGCGGCGCCGATCTGCGCAGTAGATGCTCCTGCTGAGACCGCTGGCACACCAGCTTCACCTCCTCCTGTCGGATCGTTGTAGTACCGATCTGGCACTAGCCACAAGTAGGAGCCCAGCTTCGTATACATCAACACATCGGCAGACACAGAGAGGTGCCCCAACCGGTGCACGGGATCAAAACCCACCACGAGATTGTGCGCGTTCTTGAAGTGCGTGGGCTCCGGAACGTGCTCGTACTGTAGTCCATCGTATCTTCCGTGGTCTACGCCTGAATCACCGTTCATCTCGACCTTCACGGGAGGAGCTGGAGCTCCTGCAGCCCCCTCCGATGAAATCTCAGACTCGTCTGTGACGTAGAGCCACTTCTGTGTTTTTTCCTCGTCATTCCGCGGCGCAGCTAGAAAAGGTGGCGCAGAATACGCGATTGTCGTAACTCGGGCCTCCTCCACATCCCCCGCGGGACCTCCTGCGACAACAACGTTTGCGAAGAGAATCCGCAGCACCGGGTGGCTTTTCCAAATTCGGTGCAAAATGAGTGCACTCGCTCCGCCAAGACTATGCCCCGTGATCTGCAGACTTGAAATGCCTTCGGAAAGGTGGTTTAGGTACTCCACGAACCGCGCGCCGTCAATACTACTCTTCCGTGGTCCATCTTTGGTTTCTTCTTCACCTCCGCTCTCTTCGGTTGTCAGTATGCGTTGGAGCGAAACATCGAGCAAGGGGTCGTCTAATTCAAATTCGAATCCTTGATGCAATGCGTGAAATATTCCGCGGTCCCTCGTTGCGGAAGAGGCTGGTGGTCCCGCCGATCTTCGCGCTCCAGGAGCTTGTGGTGCTTGAATAGCTGCAAGAGCACCATCTTCTTCGCGTTCAGCAGGTGCAGACTTCCCGTGCTCGCACGCTCCTGCAGGAGACAAACTTGGCGCCTCTACAGCTTGCGCATGAAGTCCATGCCCAGTTTCTGGTGGTAGTTGTGTGGCATTACTTCTCTTATTTGCCGCGGCTGCGTAGTTGGTCTTCACTTGCTTCTCGCGGGCAAGCGGCCGCACGATGCGAAAGTCGTCGTTCCTCTCCCCAACAACCACGTCAATGCGCTCCGACAGCGGCAAAAACGACTGCTCCTCCATCAAGTGCTGAAGTTTTGTTTTCTTATTGTTGAAAGCGTCCCAGACACGAGTATCGACATTTTGATTTTTGCCTTTCCCCGGATCATCTTGAGGTTCAGGGGCATGGGCAAGGCCACAGCCGCGCTCGATCTCCGCTTGATCGTGTTGTACCCGTACCGAAAGTGCATCATCAACATCATCTGTCGATGCAGGAGGAGTTCCAACGCCCTCGCTCTTCCCTGTCGCAGTTGCATCTTGATCTTCTGACTCTGCGACAGCGTCCCGCCCCCGCGAGGATGTCGGCGAATCATGGTAGAAACTTGCTGGGGTAGATGAAGTTTTCGCGCTCCAGTAGTACGTGACGCATTCCTTTCTGAGCTGCAATTCGAAGTCTGCGAGCGATTCGCGCACCCGTTGATAAAAACCGCCATGCAGTTTGAGCTCACCCGGCGGTGTTGACAAACGGCCTGGCTGCACAGCGGTTGGTTGGGTCGACGGGTTTTGGCTTTCATTCTCTTCTCCTCCACTTGTTATTTGCTCCTGTGGCTCAGGTTCGACTTCGAGCTGCACAGGCGGGGAACCTGCAAGAAACTTGTTTTTTTCCGGGGCGACATCGTGGTGTTCTTGGCCTTCGCTCTTGATACCATTTTCCTCGGAGAAGGTCGCGTCGGGTGTTGTAGTACTCGTGTCCAGTGAAGATTTTCTTCTCTCTGCTTGGCCTTGTTGGGTCCTCTCCGGGGATACTTCCGCAACCGTCTGGTGCCTCTTGTAGGCTCTTCTGACGGGCGAGGTTTCGTCACCCGTGACTTTGAGGTTCGTGTTCCAATCCGCCAACGTCATGGTTCCGCGGAACACAAAGTGCGCCTGCTTGGTGTTTGCGTCCACGAAAAACATCCAGCGGGGTAACTCAGAAATAACGTCGAAGCTGTTCTCCGTTTGCTCTGGCGTCGGGCCATCATCGCCTCCTGGCTTCGCCGGCTGCGGCGTGTGTTCGTGGTGCGCTGGATGGTGTGGTAATGTTTCGCTTGTGGTGCCAGAAGATGAAGTCGAATTTATTTTCGCATTACTCCATTCGTGCCACGGCCGCCAGCCTTTTGCCAGGGAGAAGCCGAGCAGGCGCATCAGCGGCTGCGCAGCCTCGAAGCCGATGCTAGTGGTTTTCGTCACGAGCCAGCTGAACAAGTCTCCGGCCACGGCCGCGCCCGACTTCTCCATCTTGTGGCCATGGGGAACGCCAATGAACAGGTTTTGGATGTCCATACTAGCACCAGGAGATGAAGTTTCAGTGTCTGTTTTACCTTCGACTTTCGTCGCGTTGGTTATCGTTATCTTCCTTCCCGGCAACATCGGCTCCAGACCGTCCTGTACTAAAAAATTCGTACCGTCTCGCAGAAACCCTTCCATCCAGGCTCGGGCACTGTCTCTGCTTTCCTGCGTATCGTCCTTCCCCTCCAGGGGAATCTGGTAAATGGCGGCGGACAGCTGGAACGCCTTCCAAGCGTCTTGCGGCGAGTAGGGCAGCTTCCCGGTCAGCTGCGCTTCGGTAAAAAACGTCTTTCCGCCCGGGACAGCACCGATGGTCCCGGTGGAGACGGTCGGATCGGTGGCCGCGTCCCCACTGGCCGCCGCTTTACCCCTGAATACCATCGCCTTCACGTTCTCGTAAAACCGCTTTGCCTGCTTGTGGTGTCGCTGCTCCATCAGGTCCGCCCGACCCGTCGGGTTATCCACGACGTTTTTCACCCCGAAGGCGAGAAGCTTCACGATCATCTTCAGTTCCGCCGCGGTGGTGGCCTGGCCCCCCGTGACCAGCTGACTGTAGATCGTCCACGCGAGGCTGTCGCCCGGCGGACCACCCGCGGCGCCCTTCAAGCGTTTATTTCTGCCTGCGGCCCCCGGAACTCCGTGCTTCAGCAAGAGCTGCGCGTTTCCCTCGTGGTGTTCGCTGTCGATGATCCTACCCACCTCTTGAAGCGCTTCGACGAACTCCCTGACCGCGGGGTCATCCGCGTGGTCTGAGGTGTCAAGGCTCTTCAAAAGGCCCTCGAAATCCACATCCGTCGCTGACGATGATCCGGCAGCTGCGCCGGGGGCAGCCCCGCCGGAAAAGAGATGATCGGCAACAGAACGTGTCGTGGTAGCAGATCCACCTCCCGTTGGTTTCAGAGCGGCCCCACCTCCTGTGCCGGGAGGTGTCTGCCTCGGCTGTTGATTCGTAGTTCCAGTGTCCCCCGTACTATCAGCAGGCGACGTGTGCAGTACGACCCCACTGTACGCGACTCCGATCCACACACCAACCATCGCGAACACGAGCAGGCCTGCAACGATGGAGGCAAGATGCAGTACGGTGCATGATGCGAGGCCAAATGAAGTTGTACTCGAGCTCGTCGCGGCCTTCGCGGACGAATTTCTCGTTGATGTCCCACGACCTCCGAGCAAAGACCGCTCGTCAGGCGCTGCTACGACATCCAGAACCGACTGAGACCGCGAAGTTCCCGCCTTGTTTATTCCTCGTCTCGACGATTTTTTCCTTTGCTGGTGAAGATGTTCCTTCTGCAATACAAACTTCTGCGTCTGCCGGGGTGAAGGACTGTCATCCGCGAGAGCAGCCTCCGCGGGCATCGTTTTGGAAAGATCCGACATACTCATGTTGTTCCAAACGATCGGGAAGATTGCGAAGATAGTGCCTGGGGCAGTGGAGGCAGTTGTTGTCCGTACAACGCTGTGGCTTCTCGTAGGCAAGGCAAAAGTTGAAAGATAGCTGAAACACGTCTCAACGATCTAGAACCAAAAACAAAACAGAGCTTTAGTGCCACGGACGACTAGAACAACGAGGCAAGGGTAGTTGCAGTGTAGAGGGATCGTGTCTCCGCACCCGCATCCAGCCACTAGGCCGTCTTCTAGATGTAGTTGCACAACCACAAAAATGTAGTTCATCCTGAAAGTACAAAAAACAAAAAGCATTTTCATTTGATATTGATTTCCATTCCATAAGGAACAGCCATAGCTGTATTCTGCAAGAGACCGATGCAGTTACAGGGGGGGTGGACCACTCATAAAAATAAATTCCGATGCATCTTCTAAGTCGATATAGCCAGAATGCTGTCGCGTTCAAGTTCATTATTAACCTGCTTCGTGCAAAATCCTCCACATGTGGTTTTGAGAGTACTTAAGTGTAAGTGCTTTTATTGCGCGGTGGCGGCTTCTTGCATCAGATGTCACTCTTGAGTAGAGTTTTTTGGAACAAATGTGAGTCTCGGTTTCCTGAGGAGCACAGTTGTTCTCCTTCTAAGTCTACCTTCTCCACACACCCGTCTTCATATTTTGTCATTATATTTCGCTTTCGTTACCTTGATGTCACACCTTCCTGCTCACTGGCCCGTCCGTTCCTGCGGGAGCCGCGCCTTTTTCATGCTCCTCCCGAGGCGGGTGCGCGGCGCTCGTCGGGGGCGAGATTGTGACTCTTACGGAGCGTGAGCCCCTGATGAATTATACCCGTGGCACTGCCAGCAACCGCGATGCTTGTGTCCTCTGGAATGAGTGCTGTCCTCGTTTCCATCCCAGAGGAGGAGGTCGCATGACCTCTAGTTGCAGTGTCGCTGTTTGTTCTGTTGCGCAATTCGGCCTTGTCGATCGGTCCCCTATCTTCGTCCTCCACCTGCTTCATCGAGATGTAATTATCTGTGTGGTCCACGGTATGGCTTTGGACCCAGGTTTTTTCGAATCCTCCTGGCACGTGCCGCAGTTGCCACACCTGGAGGCGACCGGAACCCGGCGCCAGGGTAAACGCCGTACCGGAAACATTCCACGAGCAGCGCCAAATCGTTGTATCATCCAAGTATGGATCAGGAAGACCAAATAAATTGCGCGACGGGTTCGTAACGATGTCTCGCTCTGTGCTTAGCACCTTCAAGAGGGACAACTTCGTGTCAAACTCGTAATAGTCTGCAAATCGGTCTCTGTCCTCGGTCGTGTTGGTAGGGCTCGGGTTGCAGGAGCTGTTGAACCCGCTGTCAGGACGACCTCCCGCAGAGGAAGAAGGTGCATCTCTGGGGACAGTAGGGACCGGGATCCGGCAAGGAACCCTAACCGGAGCTATATCGAAGCGCCAGAGCTTCGCACTGAAATTGGTTCCACACGTGACTAGGAGCTCGAACGGTCTGCACAGGTTAGGCGCGAATGCCACGTCCTTCACGTCCGTGTTCTTCGGTTTTATTTCTTCGTCCTGCCTTTCGCGGTGCAGCTGAATCCAAGTCCGGCGCTTATGTGCCAGAAATCTACTGTCTTCGGGAAAGCCAAACGGTGTCCGGTCATCATCAGATGTCGGTGGCCTACCGTGGATGTAGAAATGCCCATCGACATTTACCTGTAGGGAAAATTAAGTGAAGAACTACCGGATCTTCATCTCAAAAAAAAAAATCGTATTCCGTGGTAATTGGTAGGTCGTGCTATTTTTCGACAGTAAAAATGAAATTCCCAAAAACAAGTCATGATCATTTTCTTTTTGTCGTTATCATACCGAAGCAATGTATTCCTGATGTCTGTATGGACACCAGGCAAGCGCGATCGTTCCCGCGTTCTTTTTCGGTGGAGCCTCGTTTTTTGGTGTCAGTGTGGCGTACCGGTTTGTCGTTTTGGCAGCATTTCTGCGAATCGCCATCAATGATCCTGAAAGATGTTGTTGACCTTGTTGCCGGGACGAGGACACGACCGCGTCCTGCTGCTCTTCATCGTTCTTAGGCACATTTTCATTTCCTGGGCAGTCCCCGCTAGTACTTGATATTCCACCTGGTGCCCCGGCTTCATCCCCATCACGTAGTTCTCCTTCGGCATGAAACTCCTCAAACTCCATCCAATAGATCTTCACCTTGGGCTCGCGTTCCGCAGCCGACAGAACTGCTGGCGCGCCCCGTCCCACCAGCAGAGACTGCTGCGGCTTGACCTCTTCGGAAGCTAGACAGTAGATGGTCACCGCCCCGTTCCAGCTGGCCGCGGCGAACTTCAGTCCGAAGTGATGCGGCGCGAATTTCACGTCGGAAACTTGCTTATGCGTGTGTCAGGATTGAAATTATCGTCAAAGTTGAAATGATTTGTCATGCATAAAATGCAGCCCAAAGAGTGCCTGTCTTGCAGAGTAGGCAAGTGAGGCAGATTGTAAGCCTGTTGAGGGATAGAAACTGAGCTGCTAAAATAACATGACAGGAGCATTCTTCTTTGCCTAAACAGCATGACAGACTGGATTTCGGCTCTACCCAACTTTGTCATGCGCCACTTGGAAACTGGGGCACAACTGGCCTCCATTTTATGCATGACAAACTATTTCAACTTTGACGATTTCAATCCTGACACTTCTATATTGCTCGGCAGGGTCGTAATCCAAAAACTGATCGCCGTCAACTCCAAGGCCGCTCTTCGCGATGGGGCCCGGTGTCTCGTTATCAAATGTAAAAATGTCTGGGTCTGAAAACTTGTAATGCTGGGTGGCGTCTCATGATGAGGCTACAAATGCTGGCTCAGCATGACAAGTTTCTGAGCTCCTAGGTGTTGCGAATTCTGCATGACAAACTGCGCTTCTGCATCACAGAAAAGCGTAGCTCTTGGGTAACGTGCATGACAGATTTAAGAGTCATGCCAGACAAGCATGACAAACATGAATTCTTCCAGACCCAGACATTTTTACACTTGATACTCGTAGATCTTTCGCCATAGTACTTTCTCGTTTGTACTATCGTCTTGCTGCTCCTCCCACACCTTGATATTCCGTTCCAGACCCCCACAGGTGATTATCATGTTACTCCCATACTCCGGGTGGACCCAGTCTATGCGCCAGATCGGACCCTCGTGTGCATTCACGATGGAACTGCATTCCTGCCACAAAGACTTCGGAGGCTCATGATCAGTTGCAGACGATTCAAATCGTGGCTTGTTGTTTTTCCCAAACATCATCATCCTCGAACTAGCGGCCGCGGTCGTCGTGTTTTCGGTGGTGCTTGTGGTACCGGAAAGAAAATCCTGCTCCTCAAAGAGTGCGGTAGTATTATCCATCGGCTCCTGGGATGGATGGCTCGTTCTGGATGGAGTAGTAGATGAAGCGGAAGTCGCTTGTTTCTTTGTCCAAAACGAAAGCGTGCCTCGGATTGTGGCGTAAACCATTTGGTCCCCATAGTAGTTAAACACCATATCCGTGACGCAATCATCTTCGCCTTGGAGCTGCGCCTCAAAAACCTCACTGCCGGCAATCATTGCGACTTTTTCTTGTCCCACAAGCTGCAACCAAGGTGAACGAAGGAGCCTCTATCTCTATGTACTCCTGAGAATCTTCTACACAAGAAAGGCTCTGAAATTAATCCACAGAGGTGAAAATCCTTGATCTATCATGGTCTGTGAGAGGAGGAGCACGCAGTGGGAGTGGCTTACAGGTTGCATGCTCGTGGACATGTTGCGTATAAAATGAAATTTTCGGGTAACTACACTGTTCTCGTAGAGGAGCAGTTCTGCTCCGAGCAGAGCAGCGTAAGAAAACAAAAAGCAGATCATCCTCGACTACATCTGCAGAGAAAACTTAAGACCGTTGAGAGCCGGACTTGAAGAAGAGGATCCGAATCTGACGCGGAGCAAAGAATCTCAATCTTTTGAACTTAATTCTACAGCAACGCGACAAGGCAGAAGACTACACACGACAAGCAGCACAAACACGACGACATAGACATGTAGAAGTCCGAGTCGTATGATCAAAAACTTCTTCAACCCTGCTTCCGGGCAGATACTGCCGATAGCATTCGGCGCTATTTTGACGCAGTTGGTTTGATGTCGCGCAACGAACGCAGGGTACTTGACCTGCTGCTTTCCCGGGGTTGAAAGAAAAATTTTTAGTCAGATAACTCAGACGAGTCAGGAACAATCCACCAGCATTCCAGAGTAACAGTGTGAACCTCAGACCCTGCGAGAATAGCGCCGTAAAAGTTCTGTTTCAAGCTGTGTATAGCCGCGGACCATCTCCGCGTAGGTACCCGCCAGTGCCGGGTCAGGCTCGACGCTGCTGGTCGTATGGCAGCTCGTGGACGTGGTCGCAGCTGCTCCTGTAGCGGACCGTGTGAGGCTCTGGCCGCCATCTAAAGCTATACAGCCTCTGTACACGGAGCCCATGGCGCACAGATTCGCTGCGTTTGGATTCAGAACTATCCTGCACTGGAAAACGTTCGCAAGTATTTGCAGAAATTTTTCGTTTCGCGCGCCCCCGCCTGCGACCGTAATACACTTGAAAAGTGGTGAGCGCTGCTCTTCGCCATGACCAGCTGCTGGTGCAGACGACGGGCTTGATGAGGACCCAGCTGCAGCTGTGGCGCTGCAGGCCCTGGCGTGCGCTGCCATCGCAATGGCCCGCGCCTCCAACACACCGCGGCAAAAAACACCGGGGGAGACCCCATCGAAGGGATTTTCCTCTTCCTCGATCTCCCAATTTTTATCGCTGTCAGTTCCACCACTCCCGGAAGATTTTCGAGCAAAGACCGCTGGCACTTGCTGTCGAAACCTCGAAGATGGTGTGGTCTGCACACCTGCACCAGCACGCGTGCTCGAGAAAGTCTTCACGGGTGGGCAAATTTCGTCCACGTGCAGAAACCCGGCGACGTACAGTGACTCCGGAGATGAGGACGCATCTGCGGCAGCCGGAGCCGCTCCACCTCCGGGCCCTGTGCTGGCCACCAAGTGATCGAATTTTTCCCAGGACTGAACCTGCTTCTGCGCGGGGGTCAAAGCTTCGTCCCACTCGTCGGAGTGGCCCATGCTGGGACTGGACACCGCAACGACCTCCACCAACCCGCTCCGAGAGCGCTTACTGGAAGAGTTGGAAGTGGAGCGGTGCTCCGTCACGACGGCCGCGGGGGGATTCCTGCTCGCATCTACTTCAAGAGCCGCAGGAGCAGCGCTGAGAGGGTGGTCTTCTTCTACGGGTGACGCTTCGTTGCCCACTGCGCAGCCTTGGGTTGTCGTGCTCGACGAAACAGGTCGTGGTGGCCCTGGTGCCTCTGTTGGTGCGCCATCCACTGCGCCTACTGGGTCATGATCTCGCCTCAGCTTGTTTTCCTTTTCAGCTGGAAAAAACTGGAACTCCGCGTTGTTCAGAAGATCCACCACGCCATTTTTATCTTCTCGCACGACTCCGGCACAGGCGTCTCGGACGGCCTTGCGGCACACGTCCCCGTTGCTGTAGCACAGCATGAAGAAGTACCGATCGGTCAAAACCGGGTGCGGAAAAATGTGGCCATAGGGGAGAATCCTCGCAAACTTCTTTTCCGACAAATTTACGCAGCCTTTCGGAAGGAGAAACAGAAGCGTATCCGACGTGCCCAGGCTGACGATGGCGTGGTCGTCGTGGAAAAGTTGCGCGCCCACAATCGCACTGCAGTTGTCCCCGGTCCACGGTTGGACTTTACAGGCAGGGTTTGAAAAACCATATTTGGTCGCGAGGTACTTGGACACAGGGTAGGTAGCCTCACCGGGCGCAATGTCGTGGTCTTCGCTTTTACTGTCTTTACTTTCCTCGTCCGATTCCACCGTCAACAAAGATTTCGGCACTTCAAAGTGTTCCAGAATTTCCGAATCGTATTTCCGTGTGTGCAAATTCAGCAAGTTCATGCCTGCTGCGTCTGAGAGTTCCGTCTTTATTCTCCAATGTCCTGTGCACAGACTGCACATAAAATTGGAAATCAGCTGCACCTTCGCGAGACGACCCGAAGTTGTGGGTCGATTTTGATGACCGTCTCCGTTTTCATCCCCCGTCGAAGCACCAGCAGTAAGAACTCGGCCTTGTCGCACGTACTTCGCGATTTGTAGCCCCGAAAAGCGCTCGTAGGCTCGGGAACCGGTAGTATGCGTCAGGTGCTCCCACCCGAACCGGTTTTCCAGGCTGGTCACTTCCTTGGTGGTTGACATGTCCATCCAGATCGGGCTCTCCGTCTTGTACAGGTAGGGCGCCACCAACTCTTTCAAGGACGGTGTGGAAGATGTTGCCGCACGAGGACCTTTTGCGCTACTAGACGAGTCAAGGTCAACACCTCCACCTGCGAAATAAGCATCGTCCAGGCCGGACTCCTCCGCCGACGCATTGAGGTACACGGTTCCGTGCTGTTGCGCGGCGCCGGTTATTCTCACGATCTCTGCAAAGGAAAACAAAGCGTGGTCGTCGTGCTGCTTTTTCATCAGCTGTTTTAGGCACGTTTCAAACGCCTCCACCCACATCAGCACTGGGGATTGCACCACTTCGTTGCCCTCAATGTCCACGGACTTCTGGAAACCGCTGGTGGTCGCGTACTCGGGGAGATCCGTCTCGAAGTTGACCGAAACCTCGGCCAGGACGGTGCCGGGATCAGCGGCATCTGCAACAACCGCTTTGCACGACTGCGTGCTCAGATCGAATCCCAGGACCAGCTGGCGCGTTGGCGTCGTCATTTTGATGTGGTTGGTAACGACAAAAACAAAAAAGAACCCGACCTCCACATGAAATAATAAATGATAATGAGTATTATGACTTCATACATAATCTCGATTTTCAACTGGCTCTGCACACGAGAAAAAAAAAACCCATCTCGTCGGGGGCTCGAGCATACACCTAATGCCGTCGCTCACCCTTCGTTCCCAAGTTGATCGGCCTCTCATTCAGCAAAGCTGCGTCATCGCTCTGTGATTTCCGGTTGCACTTCTCAAAAATCCAGCCCTCTTCTAGCTCAAGCCGCGAGTCGGGCTTTCAGCCGCAACCGGCGTTGAAAGTAACAATCACGGCGCTGCCATGCAATGTTACGTAGTCAATGTTCATCTCGGAGCTCGGAGAGTGGTACCTTCTCCATCTATCGGAGAATGAAAACCTTGCCCGTGGTGGTACGAGAAGGACGAAAGACCAACGAACAGACACAAAAATCGGCACCGGCAGCTACCTACAAACACACAACCCTCGGACGTCGGGGTCGGCATGGGTCGGCATCCTGTTGATGTGGTTGCCCCGGAAATTTGCATGCTATTCAGCACGCTATGGCGACGGTTTTTGGCTCATTTACTGCCGCCCCGGAGCCCGGCCGCGCGCCCGGGCCGAAAAAAGCCCAGAAATTTGCGTGCTATTCAGCACGCTATGGCGACGGTTTTTGGCTCATCTACTGCCGCCCCGGAACCCGGCCGCGCGCCCGGGCCGAAAAAAGCCCGGAACTTTGCGTGCTATTCAGCACGCTAGGGTGACGGTTTTTGGCTCATTTACTGCCGGCCCGGAACCCGGCCGCGCGCCCGGGCCGAAAAAAGCCCGGAAATTTGCGTGCTATTCAACACGCTATGGTGACGGTTGACGGCTCATTTACTGCCGCCCCGGAACCCGGCCGCGCGCCCGGGCCGAAAGCCAGGAAATTTGCGTGCTATTGATTTAGCACGCTATGGCGAAGGTTTTTGGCTCATTTACTGCCGCCCCGGAACCCGGCCGCGCGCCCGGGCCGAAAAAAGCCCGGGACTTTGCGTGCTATTCAGCACGCTATGGCGACGGTTTTTGGCTCATTTACTGCCGCCCCGGAACCCGGCCGCGCGCCCGGGCCGAAAAAAGCCCGGGACTTTGCGTGTGATTCAGCACGCTATGGCGACGGTTTTTGGCTCATTTACTGCCGCCCCGGAACCCGGCCGCGCGCCCGGGCCGAAAAAAGCCCGGAAATTTGCGTGCTATTCAACACGCTATGGCGACGGTTTTTGGCTCATTTACTGCCGCCCCGGAACCCGGCCGCGCGCCTGGGCCGAAAAAAGCCCGGAAATTTGCGTGCTATTCAGCACGCTATGGTCACGGTTTTTGGCTCATTTACTGTCTGCCGCCCGGGAACCCGGCCGCGCGCCCGGGCCGAAAAAAGCCCGGAAATTTGCGTGCTATTCAGCACGCTATGGCGACGATTTTTGGCTCATTTACTGCCGCCCCGGGACCCGGCCGCGCGCCCGGGCCGAAAAAAACCCGGAAATTTGCGTGCTATCCAGCACGCTAAGGCGACGGCTTTTGGCTCATTTACTGCCGCCCCGGGGCCCGGCCGCGCGCCCGGGCCGAAAAAACCCCGGAAATTTGCGTGCTACCCAGCACGCTATGGCGACGGTTTTTGGCTCATTTACTGCCGCCCCGGAACCTGGCCGCGCGCCCGGGCCGGAAAAAGCCCGGGAATTTGCATGCCATTCTGCACGCTATGGCGACGGTTCTTGGCACTTCTATTGCCGGGCCCACCGGCCCGGATGAACCCGGCCGCGCGCCCGGGCCGAAAAAAGCCCGGAAATTTGCATGCCATTCTGCACGCTACGGCGACGGTTTTTGGCACTTCTATTGCCGGGCCCACCGGCCCGGATGAACCCGGTTTCGCGCCCGGGCCGAAAAAAGCCCGGCAATTTGCATGCCATTCTGCACGCTATGGCGACGGTTTTTGGCACTTCTATTGCCGGGCCCACCGGCCCGGATGAACCCGGTTTCGCGCCCGGGCCGAAAAAAGCCCGGAAATTTGCATGCCATTCTGCACGCTATGGCGACGGTTTTTGGCACTTCTATTGCCGGGCCCACCGGCCCGGATGAACCCGGTTTCGCGCCCGGGCCGAAAAAAGCCCGGAAATTTGCATGCCATTCTGCACGCTATGGCGACGGTTTTTGGCACTTCTATTGCCGGGCCCACCGGCCCGGATGAACCCGGTTTCGCGCCCGGGCCGAAAAAAGCCCGGAAATTTGCATGCCATTCTGCACGCTATGGCGACGGTTTTTGGCACTTCTATTGCCGGGCCCACCGGCCCGGATGAACCCGGTTTCGCGCCCGGGCCGAAAAAAGCCCGGAAATTTGCATGCCATTCTGCACGCTATGGCGACGGTTTTTGGCACTTCTATTGCCGGGCCCACCGGCCCGGATGAACCCGGTTTCGCGCCCGGGCCGAAAAAAGCCCGGAAATTTGCATGCCATTCTGCACGCTATGGCGACGGTTTTTGGCACTTCTATTGCCGGGCCCACCGGCCCGGATGAACCCGGTTTCGCGCCCGGGCCGAAAAAAGCCCGGAAATTTGCATGCCATTCTGCACGCTATGGCGACGGTTTTTGGCACTTCTATTGCCGGGCCCACCGGCCCGGATGAACCCGGTTTCGCGCCCGGGCCGAAAAAAGCCCGGAAATTTGCATGCCATTCTGCACGCTATGGCGACGGTTTTTGGCACTTCTATTGCCGGGCCCACCGGCCCGGATGAACCCGGTTTCGCGCCCGGGCCGAAAAAAGCCCGGAAATTTGCATGCCATTCTGCACGCTATGGCGACGGTTTTTGGCACTTCTATTGCCGGGCCCACCGGCCCGGATGAACCCGGTTTCGCGCCCGGGCCGAAAAAAGCCCGGAAATTTGCATGCCATTCTGCACGCTATGGCGACGGTTTTTGGCACTTCTATTGCCGGGCCCACCGGCCCGGATGAACCCGGTTTCGCGCCCGGGCCGAAAAAAGCCCGGAAATTTGCATGCCATTCTGCACGCTATGGCGACGGTTTTTGGCACTTCTATTGCCGGGCCCACCGGCGGGCCCGGATGAACCCGGCCGCGCGCCCGGGCCGAAAAAAGCCCGGAAATTTGCATGCCATTCTGCACGCCATGGCGACGGTTTTTGGCACTTCTATTGCCGGGCCCACCGCCGGCCCGGATGGACCCGGCCGCGCGCCCGGGGGGCCGAAAAAAGCCCGGGAATTTGAGTGCTATTCTGCACGCTATGGCAACGGTTTTTGGCTCATCTATTGCCGCCCCGGAACCCGGCCGCGCGCCCGGGCCGAAAAAAGCCCGGGAACTTGCATGCTATTCTGCCGAAAAAGAGCCGGGAACTCGCATGCCAGCCGGCTCGCCGGCCGCGCCCGCCCAACCGACGTTCCTACTATGCGGATCGCAGCAGCCGCCGGCGCAATCTACAGGGGCTGCGGGACCCACAAACGGGCTGCAATAGGGTGAAACCTCCAAAAAGCAACCGTCTTTTTTGCGTGTTCGGGTCGGGCCGCAATTTTGATGATACTACTGCGTATTTCTCCGCTAACCTCGGCCGCCTTTCCTCATCTGTGAAGCCCCTAAATGAGCGCTCTGTGAAGTGCCCCTAAAAAAGGCAATAGCTCCTGTCGGTTCACGATGCAGCAGGAAGTTCGCGCACACAATGAACCGCGGCGGGCCGCCCTAGCATCTTCCCGGCGGGTGCAGCGGTGGAATCAGACGAACACACGGCCAGAAAAAATCCAAACCATTGCTCGTAAAAGCAAATGGGTTGATAAGTACGCAAAAATGGAGACTTGACTCGTCAACTTCTTGATTTACCCGCACTGCCCCGCACAGCTGCCGTAGAGCCACCCACCTACCGCAAACGCCACCCACGCCAGCACCTGGCTTAGCACTTTCGAGCGAAAAAACGGGATCAATGTCGCTGTTTTGGCCTCGTAGTCTGGCCACTCGCGCCAATATCGCTGCGCCAGGTACGCGTCCGAATTCGGGCACACGAAGACCAGGAAGCTCCAGACCATGAAGATCGGCGTGGTAATGGCGCAGGTGGTTCCCGCCGCCAGACCCCAGCCCGTGTACGTGAACAGGTCGCCAAGGTAGTTGGGGTGAATGCAGTACTGCGCCAGACCGATCGTGTGTAGCTTTCCCTTGTTCGCCGGGTCCTGCTTCCAGCGGAACCGGCCCACCTCGTAACTCAACGCGTAGCACGATCCCCCGAAGAACAGCAAGCCGCCGAGGACGGAGTGGTAGGGGAACGTGATGTCCTGGTTCTTGGTACACACGCCGTTGGGGTACAATAACAGACCGGGAATGATGACCACGTAGATGAACAAAAACATGCCGATTCCGCCCGGGCAAACCCAGGTCGGCGTGTCCTGCCCCCATGTCTCCACGAGAAACTTGGCAAGGGAAAAAAGGGCAAACACGACGAGGAGCGGGAAATGTTCGTAAACGAGGTAGATGTAGTACCCAATCTCCGCCACGAGCACGAAGCTGCAGATGCTCTTCCAGAGAACGCGGCTGCTCCCGTCGCCGCGCCAGATCAGCAACTTTTCGCAGGGGATGCATCCGTACGCTAAGGAGGTACCACCTGGTGCCTTCGGGGGCGGAGCATCCGTGTCATTTCCGGCGCCCCTCGCCGCGCCGGTGGTGCTGAGAAGTGGTTCCTGCATTACGGAGGTTTTTGCGTGCTAGTACCGTGTTGACCTCCGGTGTTCGTGTTCCTCCTCTAGTATGCCTTGTTCCGCGTCCACGTCCTGCTCGTGCTCCTCGGGTTCCTTTTACTTTTGCATCTTGTGTTGCACAGAATTCAAAGGAACCTACACTCCTGAGAGCTGTCAATATACCAATACCAAATGAAATACGCCTTACCCTGCTGAGAGAGAGGCACAGGCAGCTCCTTCCCGTCCTCTCTCGCTCGCAATAATCAGGCAGGTGATCATCATGTTCATGCTCCCAACCTGCCCCAGCAACACTTTTCCCTCGACCTCATCCTCATCGACTCAGCAATATCAACCGTCCATCCACAAGGACTAGTAGATGCGCGCCTGCGCTTTATTCTTTTTCCTCCTACTCCTGTTTCTTATAAAGAAATACTGCTCATGGTCATGCGCACAGGACCTCCGACCCCCGCAAATAAGTCGGGATGGTCAACACTCGATGAAAGAACAACGTGCGCGAAGGAGATGCCTGATCGGTACAAATACCCATACTTCACTGGGCCAACGAGCGAAGGGCGGGCCAGGCGACTGCTGGCCACGCGTGAGCGGCGCGCCAGCTGGAGCTCCCTTCGGGGCGCGCAAGTGGCCTCAAAGAGGGCAATCGCCCAGAGCAACATTCATCTGGGCAAAACAATCAAGGTCAAGGACCGCCCAGGCGGGGCGCGCCCCATCCACTTCTACAGGCAGGCGACCCGAACAAAGGGCCGCCCGTCTAAGTACAGGCCGGGCACAAGCCCAATGAGGCGCCGGGCCCCGAGCGAGGGGTCTGAGATGATTAAAAAAACATCCCAGGGGGGTCTGGGATAATCGACGCAGGGGGTTCTATGTGAAGGTCTGAGCTGCTACGCGTGCACATAAGTATTTCTCGACGCCAGCCGGCCTCTCTTCCGCGCGTTCCGCCCGCCTACGCCAAGTTCCCGCCGGAGGCCTGCCATCCGGCAGGACGGCCACGAGCAAGGCACGCGCGCGCGCGGGGCTATCGCTTCTGGCGCGCGCGCCCCAGGCAGGGGCGCCGCCCATCCAATCGCCCGCCAGATACGGCCCCCCTTTCTTCAGGGCTGGGGGGCTTCCCCTGTCGCATCGTCGACCCCTCTCTGTTTTTTCGTGTCCTCCTTCAAGTCGCTCGCCGCCCGGATTTCCGATCTGGACGTCCTTCGCGCTTCCCGTACTTGCGCCCGGGCTGGCATTGTGGCAATGGCGCCACTGCTTTCGGCGACGGCAACGCCGACGCTCGCCCCCGGAACTCTCGGCCGCCCTGGGAATGGCCGGCGAAGCGGCGCTGGCTCGGATGGCTGAGGCTGTGGGCATTCTGATTTATATGAACGCCAAACAACAGACGCACACCACGAAATACCTTGAATTTCATACGAAAGCCAACCAAAAGCTGCACTTCCGCAAAATTTTATAGGAATAGGAAATCAAAAAAAAAACACGTCGACAAAAAACGTCACTCATCGGAATCAAAGAACAAATTCCGCGTTAGTTGGTCCATGTTAGTTGGTCCATTTGCATTTGTTACCTCGCTCTGGTAAGAAACAATCAACGTGCTATTCTTCAGCTTTTCGCTTACGCTCCCAGCACCCTCGACATCTGTTGCACACCCAGTTTCGTGGTTGCGCGGCGCCGCTGGCGGGCTCAGTCTCAGATCTGTTTCGCCCGTATAAGTGAACAATTTTTGCAGAATATCAAGTAATTCTGCAAACGGCACGCGTTTCTGTGCAACCAAATCTCTTTCTACGGTGAATGTATGATAGCGTTTCCGCTCGTTGAACATTTTTGTGCAACAGCTTACTATGGACAGTACTCGAGAGTCTTGCGAGCGTTCAGACGACTGTCGCGCAGTCGAGGTAGCGCAGTGCAGAAAGCAGCTAAGTACTCATTACTTCTCAACACCTCTGACCGGCGAGGGCAGAATTTGCGGCAACCCAAAAAGTTGTTTTTATGTACATCTAGCTACATCCTCAGCAGAATCGGACACACCAACGCCTCCGCCAATCGTGCAGCGTTCATCCCGTCCTCCGACGCACGCGCGGACGAAAGCTTGCGTAAAGTGCGTGCTGGTACTAGACGCGTTCGTAGTCCTCTTGGCGGAATTTTTGCCGAGCGCAAAAACGACGACCTCAGCTGGGCGGAAGGACCCGCACTCCAACCTTCTTTTCCCCCGGGGAAAATCAACAGTCGCGGCTGTTTCAGCCCCTCCCGCCGGCTGGTCCATCGTCGTGGTCTGGGGACGCAAGATGTTGTTTGACCCGCATACTAAGCGACTCGGCCTCTTTTTCGAGCTGTTCCTGCTGCGTCACCACCTGGGAGACCGTGCGTGGCTGCGCGTATTGGTTCTTGATCGTCGACTGCAGCCTTTCCAGCTCGTCCTCTTTGAGCTCAGTTATCTTGCGGATTTCCTCATCCCGATCCGCAACCAGCTGCCGGTTCTCGCGTTGGATCTGAGTGCAGTTTCTTCACAAGCTGACCGATGAACAAAGCATCTACCTTTACTGGCCGTCGAGAAGAGAAAGAGCCACAGAATCAGAAACTACAAAGGAAAACTTTATCAATACCTCCTCTGCAAGCCGTGTTTTGAGATCGAGCGCTTCTTGCATGGTGCGGTGCTGTCGCGAGCTGGCCTCTTGCACGTTTTTCATCTCTCGCCGCACCTGTTCGCACTCGTGCTCCGCACGCTTCTGCGCGGTCGCCGCGCGATCGATCTCGCTCATCATGGAGCTTTGCCGCAGGGTCACTTCGTGCTTCGCCTTCGCAACCTCGGCCACCAGCTCCTGTTCGCGCTCCCGACCGCGCTCGAGTTCCCGCTCGAGTTTGGCGTTTGCCGCCTGGTACTCCTTCTCCCGCTGCCCGAGCAGCTGGTTGGAATCCTGCCGGATCTGTTCGACCATGCTCTCCCACTGCTGGTCCCGGTCGTGCAGGTCTTTCGCAAACCGGTTCTGCAGGCGTTCCGCCTCCTGGAACACCTCCCGCATCTTATTGTGAGGAAAAATCCCCCCTCCCCATATCGAAAGCGGAATTTGTGTTGCTGTATTTGAGTACACAAATCACATCTGTCCTGCTAGAGAGGACTGCAGACCCATATCAAGCCTGAGCAGAGATGCTTTGACTTAGGCGCTTAGCATGAGAAGCGTCCGTGATGTTGGCGCAACAGCATGACAAACCGCCTCCAGAATGGGACGGAAGCTGCTGCCCTTGTCTTCTTGCAACACAAACGCGATTTGTGACCTCAAATCAGCAACACAAATTTTCGAAAACCTACCTCTTCAATATGGGGAGGGGGGATTTTTCCTTGCGATACATCTGCTCCTTCACCGGCTGCACCGCTTCCGTCTTGGCAAGCTCCACTATGAGAGTGCACAACTCCCCCTCGCCCTCATTTGTGTTGCATGAACGGCAATACAAGCGTCACCTAGAGCACAGGTTTTGCATGACAAATTTGGACAGGAGTGTAGTGCTATTTGGGCTGCCAGAACTTGTCATGCTAACAGTGCCCAGAGGCAAGGTGTAAATTAGACATTTTGCATCACAAATGAGGGGGAGGGGGAGTTGTGCACTCTCATATCCACCAGCAGCTCCGTTTCCCGGGTGGTCTCGTCCTCGCGCTCCCTCCTTCTCTCCAGCTCTTCGCTCTGCTCCTCGCAACGCGAGGCGTAGAACCTAGTAGCGATAGAGCATTTTACATGTACAGGGAATATGTATGTGATGAATAGCTGGTTAGAAAACGTTACTCGATCATCTTTCAGTAAGTACGTATCAACTAGGAGCGCTGGAGACAACGTTGCCCCTGCAGGACGTCATCATCATCTCGAGTTGAGTTTTGCAGTGCAGAGGCCTAACAAGATACAAAGCCTCCATGAAGCCTAGGTAAGTAAGTACTTGAGATCCGTCTCGGCCTCCTTTAGCTCCGCTTCGAGTGAGTTGTTTTTCGCGACGATTTCCCGGTGACGGTCTTCGAGGGTCGCGACGGTCCCCCGCATTTCGGCCATTTGCAGTGCGTATTCCGCGAGCTGCCTCTCGTGGTCCGTCTTCGCTTTCATCTCGCTTTCTTTCTGGAATCCGAGCTCGTGCGCCAGCTTTTCCTCCATGGCCTTCAGTTTAAAATTCGTCGTTTTCTCGTGGTCCTGCAACGCTCCCTTGCGGATGTCGTCAATCGTGGCCGCGATTTTCGCGCGAAACGACTTGATCTGCTCCGAAACTTCCGTCTTGCTCGTGCCGCTCGTCGAGGCCAGCAGCAACGCCTCCTTGTTCTGGTCGAGCGCTGGAAGGGGAGCGACAACAGCGCTGTGGATGGTAGTTGTTCGAATTGTTCTCATTGGTTGCGTCTTGTTAGACTTGTAATATTGTACTATGTCGATGTGGAGCTTCCATGATTTTGAAGAAAGATTCATCTTCAGCTCGTCTTTACTTACCTTGCATTTCATATCATACTGATCGTGTGACGTGGTGGCGCGGCGTTCGAGATACAAAGACCGTGGCCCGATTTGATGAAACAAAACACACGTTGTACCTGAGTATCCTTTCCAGCAACAATTCCTGCTCTTGGTGTTTGTCCTTTGCAGCGTCCAGTTTCCGCTTGAATTCGTCTCGTTCTTTTGTGACGAACTCGAACTGCTTGTTGACAGCGCGCTGCTGCGCCAGAATGTCCTGGTACTGCTGCTTTTGCGACAGCGTTTTCTCAGACTGGTCTGCGATCTCCCGTTTCAGGCTGAGTCGCGTTTTCTCCGACTGCCGGTCCTGCTGCTTCAGCATCTGCTGCAGCGACGCGCACCGTGTGGACAGGACGTCATGGAAGACCGTCTGCACCTCCTCCTGTACGGACTTCTTCAGAAAGGCCAGTTCTCTCCTCGCCGCGTCGCAGAACAACTTCGTGGTTTGCTGGCAGTTCACAAGCAGCTCCACTGCCTTCCTTCCCACCGCCTGGTCGCGCGCGAACTTGCGCTCCAAATCCGACCGGTCGTCCAGCATCTGGATGATCTTCGCGTCCTTCGCGGCCAGCGCCGCGCGGAGACGGTCCGTCTCCTGGTCCGCGGACTGCGTTTTGGACAGCAGGCGCTCCGTTTCGTCCTCGGCCCACCGCAGTTTGCTCCCGATGGTCCGCTCCAGGTCCTCCATCAAGACGCCCCGCTCCTTCTTCAAAAATTCGTCCTTCACGGCGAGCTTGCGCTTCAACTCCGTGTTCGTTTTCTCCGCGCTCAACCGGTTCGACTTCTCCTCCTCCCACATCTGCCGGAGCCGGACCAGATTGCTGTTCGCCTCCTCCAGGTTCTGCGCAAACAGCTTCTTGCTCTCCTCCAGGTCCTTGGCCTCCGTGGTGACCCGGCGGAGCTGCTGCCGCAAGCTCACGCTTTCTTCGTCGCTGGTCTTGGCCTTCCGCGAGGCGTCGTCCCGCTGCGCTTCGAGCTTCTTCAGGCCGTATGACAGTGCACAACTGCTCCCCCTCTCCCTCATTTGTAATGCAAAGTCCCCATCAATTGATTTGGTGCCTTGTGGCAAAACCGTTTGCATGACAAATTTCGGAAGCCCAAACCGTACTAAATTCGGCCCTTGAACAACTTGTCATGCACAGGCTCCACGTGTAAAATTGGTGTTTGTCTTGCTGCTCGTGCCATGCAATTGACAATTGAGGGGGACGGGGTGTAGTTCTAGTTGTGCACTCTCATAGCCCGGTGCGGACGTGCAGGAGGGTGTCTTGGAACTCCTTCTGCTTTCTCTCCTCCTGCTCGCTCTGCTCGGAGAGCTGCTTCTGGTACTGTATGGCGTTCTCAACTGTTACATTCTCAACTGTTACATGAATTTGTAATGCAAGACTAGCACCGGTGAGAGGGAGAACCTTGCGCGTCTTGCATTACAGGTTTCGTGCAGAGTTTCGTGCTGCTTAGCCCTCCAAGAATTTGTCATGCCCAGCAGCTCGATCGTCTGGCGGGTCATGGTCATTCTGCATGACAAATCACGTAACAGTTGAAAATGTAACGTTTGAGAACGCCATATACTGCCCGCGCAGGTTCTGCTCCAGTTCCAGCATCCCAGCGTGGTGGTGGCGCCGCGTTTCCTCCAAGATCTGCTGGTGACTCGCGATGGGCATCATTTCGGACAGCTTCGCGAGGCCCAGGTTGTGCTCGTGCAGGGTTTTGCGCTGCGTTTCCAGGAGGGTCTGCTCGCTCTCCTGGTGCCGGGACCGCTCCTCGTCCACAAGGGCTTGGAGCCGGTCACACTCTGAACAATTTCATGGTTTTATTTCAACTCGAGGAACTACAGGAGTGCGAATTCGGATACTGAAATTTGAAGGCGTGACCTTCACATGAAGATGGAGATGCAGACAAAAAGAATAACAAACGGCTTTCAAAATACAAGGACATAAAAACTGCAAAGTTACGTTGTAATATAAAGAATCCTTCTTTCGTTATACCGACTTCCTTTGTCTTCAGCGCTTCTTCCAGATCCACAATTATCCTGTCGGTCTTTTTCTTGTGCTTTTCCTTCTCGGTCTTCAAGCCCTTGAGCCGCACATTGAGCTCCCGCAGGGTGTCGCCGTTTTCCTTTTCCTCCAGGTCCATAAGACGCTCGAATTTTTCACCGACATGCACGTACTGGTCGCGTAAACTCGCCCGCTCGAGCTCCGACTGGCGCAACAGCTCCTGGCTCTGCTTCAGCTCCTCCTGAATGGAATCCTGCTGCTTCGTAACTGTTAGAAAAGTGTTTCTGATTCTACTTGTAGGCGATGAAAGTAGCGCATGCCAACGGCATGATCTCTAATGTGTCGAACCCGCATCTTCAACATAGAAAGCGAACAGATGGAGGGCGGACAGAAAGGGCCAAGAACCAGTACTGAATGATAGTACAGCTGATGACTTCTTGCTGGATGTTTTGCCGCTCATCATACAGCGCCTCGAGCCTCTTTTCGAATTCCGCATTTTCCTCGCGAAGGGTTTTGTTTTCTGCTTCCAAAGAATGGCACCGCTGCCGGAACCCTGTTACACAGTTTCAGGTACGTACTGGAAAAAGAAACTAACAGAAGCATAAAAGTAGACCATGATCATGATAGATCATCTGTTAACAGCAGACTAGTCCACCTCTCAATCACATGTAGCGATGGTCGACTGCTTGCTGAGCAAAAAACTGACAGTCAGGAAGGAACAAGAAGTACTCTCCAGCTCCTTTTGCTCCTCTGCCCGCGTAGTTTCGAAATAGTCCCGGTCCGCCCGCGAGGTGCGCTCCATGTCTGCCAGCTGGGCCTGCAGCTTCTGTTGCTCCTTGCGCTTCTCCTCCAGCGTCTGGCTGGTTTTGTCCAGCTGCGTCTTCAGTTCCACGTTGCTTCGACTCGTGTCGCGCTCTCGTGTGGACAGGGCACTCATTTTCTCGACCTGGTCATATTAAGTAAAATTTCTATGTATTTCACTTGTCTCATCAGGTGGTTCAGCTTCAGCTTCAGGCTGGATCGATTCATTTATCATTCTCGTACTTGAATTATGAAATCGCTTGTTCTACTCCTCGACGCACTAGATTACAACTCTACCAGAGTGTCAATCTGTTCCTCGCGCACTTTGTCGAAGTCCGAAGCGGAGGGCGGATGTGCGGTCGAGACGGTGGACCCCGGCGCCATCCGAATATCGTGATCCATGCTTTCCTATGGAATACAAATATGTCTGGGTCTGGAAGAATGCATTTTTGTCATGCTTGTCTGACATGACTCTTAAATCTGTCATGCATCTTACCCAAGAGCCCCATTTTTCTATCATGCAGGTACGCAGTTTGTCATGCAGAATAGGCAACACCTAGAAGCTCAGAAACTTGTCATGCTGAGCCACCACTTGTGGCCTCCTCATGAACATGGTACGCCACCTAGCATCACAAGTTTCCAGTAGACCCAGACATATTTGCACTTGATATTTCGCTTTCGTCTCCGGGCGAACTGGATATCATCGTGTTGCTCTCCGCCGAAACTACAACCCCCGCCGCAGTTCCCCCAGCCGAACCTCCGCGCAACTTTCTTGACAAGCTCTTCACTCGCTCGTCGTACGCGCGTCGTAACGCCTCGTAGTGCGCGTCCGACCGGGCCACCGCGAGTTCACTCATGGTCACGATGGATTTACGTACTTAGATGACCGAGAAGTTCACCAGGAAAGCCAATCGCAAGACAACCTCCAAGGTTGTCTACATTTCACAGAAAAAAAAATGCGGTCGCCGCGGCTGCCCGCCGGGTTTTTTGCTCACACCGTTGCCGAAAAAAAAACCTGGCCGTTGAAGTTGTGTGACTTGGCGCGGAAGGGGTCGCAGTAGTTTGCGGTCAATCAGACACCAGCAGTCCGTCCAGGTTTGTTGTACGAAAAAACACAGGGGGTCCGGATAGCCGCCGCCGTGGCGGGCATCGGAGTCTGGCAATAACCGTCACTCGATGCTAATATTGTCATCTTTTCCCCATGTTGTACCATTATGAAAGTTGCTGTCGATGCCCCGTAGCCGAGCTTGCTGGCACACCGAAACTGCGGAGCGACTATACTTGGCAGTGAGTCAGAGTCGCAGCTTGTTGTAGTTCCGCGGTGAAGCCATAGTAGAACTGCAAGCGGACGAATTTATTGTGTGTATTTCATTTCAAGGCGACAGATAGGCGCGTTTTTGTGTTTTCTAACTTTGCTCTTGTTCTTGTGAGCAGCTTGTTGTTTTTTTTTGCTCTCAATGTCATCAATTCTCCGTGTCGTTATGTACAACCATTTTCGCCGCAAAAACAACTCACCCCAACCAGTTTTTCATTCCCACGGGGAAAAAAATCCCCTAGCTACCAAACTAACGAAGTAGAACAGCCGGATTCGCCACGACGTTCCTTCTGCTCGAAGGTTGCGCTTTGCCCTCGTTGTTTGAAAAGTTTTGTTGTCTTCGTAGCCGTTCGTCGAATCTGCAATACTTTTACGGTGTTGGTAATGGACCCTCTTCTGCTCAAATCATCACAGAGCTTCTGAATGATGTGTGATCGATCCAATATCTGAGCAGAAACAAATCCACACCGTTGACCCAGAATCTGAATCTCCGTCAGTGTCTGTTTTCTTGTGTTGTTGTCTTGTTGAAATCGTAGTTCTGGTTCTAGGTTTGCTATCGTACTGACAAAATAGGTCGAGTGGCACGCACCTCCTAATAGTGGCGGTGGCACTCACGGCGGTGTCTTAAGCTTAACTCGAGCGGCACAGCAAGTTTTTCTTCGTTGCTGGCACGACGCGAGCAAAAACAAACACCAACCGAGGAGCGCAGGACTACCTCCACAATGTCTTGTTTATCACAGAAGACCAATAGAAGTTGTGTCAACAAAAGTTGTACATGAGTGTCTAGTTGCCGCAAAAATTCCTGATCAACATCAGATTCCTTCTGCCCTAGTGGAGGTCCTCAAAAAGGCTGATTGCGATTTGGTAAAAAATAAAATTTTTTAACTTCTACCTCAACTATACAATATACAACTTCGACAACAGCCGTTAACAATTATCGGGGCTCCTTCTACTTTGTGAGTACATGGCTGGGTGGGATACATCAAATAGTTAAGCACTGCTTCGTGCTGATATTGAAAAAGAAAATCTGTCGACGGGAAATACAGCTCCTCTTGCCTTGCCAACACGCCTTTTTCTACGGATGGTGTTCATAATCTACGTAGCCGGACGATGAGGGTCATACTCCTGTTGTCCTGGTAGTAGACTACGTACGATCTAATATTCCACGTTGGCCGCTAGAGGGTACCCGCTTGGAAAGACTATTAAGTATGTCCCCGCACCTGCCGGTGTATCAACCTGATACTCATAATGTAGTGGCTGGTAGTGGCAGTGGTACTATTTGTTTTTAACAAAACCAGCAAGATAGCGGTCAGGAAAAAGAAAGCTATCAAAGCTCTCTCTTGATGGTGGAGCGTCCTGGTACAACCTACATAGTCGCAGGACATCCATGTAGTTACTTTCAACACCATATCGCAACACACAAAGATAATTCGATGCACGTGCTTGCATCACGCTAGTTTCCGGCACTAGGAAGCTGCGTTTCATACTTGTTGTCAGTCTTGTATCTGTAAGATTTAGAATAATCGATTGTCAGAAATGTATAGAGTCGCTTGCAGAAGTTCTAGCTCTAGTGTGATGAATAGTTGTATGCTTGTAAGCAAAAGCTTTTTTGTTTTCGCCTGCAGATGTAAAGATGCTTTTATTTTTGTTTTCTTGTCACGGTCACGGTTGATCAAATTACAATCGGAATTAGAGGGGGTGTGATAATGCCACTTACCTCACGGGAAATGAAAAATGAGGCGGAGCAGTTGTAGATGAAAGTTCCAAGATGTGCCTTTGTCGCGGTGTGTTCCTTTCTTCGTCTCCAAGACATTATTCGCCGTGGATTGAATTTCTTGGAAAGCTAGCATCAATTGTTCGGTCTTGAAAGCAAAGCCCAGTCTTCGAAATTGAAAAGGTCCACACGCGCGGCCTTCATCGTAGTAGCGGTATTTTTACTTATCTTGTTTTAGTACGCTTTCTTACCGGGTGAATGAAGTTCTCATAGTCATACGGAAACTGGTACACGCCCTGTTGGCGGTGTGTCCGCGGTGGTTGAGCCACAACAATATCTCGATCGCAAAGATACCGTACTGCTGAAACATCATCACCGTACAGACGTCGTGGATTAGCGTGTGTGCAATCGTGGTGGCAACAAGGGCAGCGATCGATGCCTCTCGACCTGGTCGACTACAACGAGCTACTGAGCCAGAGTAAAGCGTATAGCTCCACCATAGGTGGACGCTGGTCTCTTCCAAAACCAACAGGATGGGGATGACGTTGGGACTCCTGAATTCCTCAAATCATTTGTCGGTGAACTACTTTACTAGTATTGGACAGCTGTGCCTGTCTATTTGTCTTTATTGAGTAACAGTTCTAAACACCTCGTCGTAGCTAAAAAGTAATACAGATGGTCACGTGCTTCTTGTAAATGAGGGATATTCCGCTGCTTTTATTTTAGCAATCACAAATTCTAAATTCAAATCTATTTTTGTGTTATTTCTGGGTATGTCTTTTAGTTCGTTCGAGGGTCACGACATTATTTGCCTTCTTGAGTGATGTATATGTCTTTCGATCTTGATGCTGGTTTGAAAAAACTTCTCAAGCACAACAACTACGAGCGTTGGGACCATGGCGATCAGTTGCATACGCAGTGTGCTTCTGCCCGTCCCTATGATGAAAAGCAAATGCAAAGGCCGTTCTACTTCTCCTCTGCCGACGAAGCAGCAGGAATCGCGGGGGAAGGAGTAGAAGTAGCTGCACTGCTAGAGACCGGAGGGGCTGTGCTTGACGCCGCGGCCTGGCCGCCGGAGAGTTGTCCTTTTGGCTTCTTCCATTTGTCCTTCCCCTTGGGGCTGTTGCTGAAGGTGGAGAATTTTCGGCTGCCCGGCGATCCCGGCCGCCCTTTTCCCCCCGTGGCCGTGGCACTGTCGGTTCCGCTGGACACCCCTCCTTGATCCGAATCCGACGGCACGGATCCCGAGGCCGTGCTGGACACGTTCTTCTTGTTTCCAGAGCCGGCGCCCGCCGGCGTCCCGGGTTGGGCGCCCGTCAGCGAGATCGCGCCCGTGTTCAGCACGGTGCCCGTCCCCGCGACACTCCAGCCCGCGAGCGGCAGCTTCTTGCGCGTGTCGCCCGCAAAAGCCGCATAGATGTCGCCGCCCCCGCCGTCCTGGCTTTTCGCCGCGGAATTGGTGCGGCTCGGCGAATCCATTGCGCTACTGCGGCTCGCAGGGGTACTGGGGGGTTGGGGATGTGGTGGGTGGTCATCTTGCCCCGTCGATATTTCAAGGGCAGAGGATGAGTTGTTGTGTTCGCCCTCTCCTTGTTGCGCGGATTGTTGCATGTTGGCTCCACTGTCTTTCCTTTTCTTGCCGCCAGTGTTGCTCGTGTTGGGAACAAACGCAGCTGCCTCTCCGCCAGCGGAGGCCTGCGGAGTCTGGCTTTTCTTGTTACCGCCCGCGGTCTCGAGTAGATTCTGCTGCGAGTCGGTTGCACCTTGGCCGTTGTAGTTGCTTTGGTTATTGTTCAACATCGGCCCACCTTTCTTCATGGCTCCGACCTGTATGATGTTGCTGGCGGATGCAGACGAAGCTGAGGAAGCCGATCCCGAGGAGGAGTTTGAGCTTGTACTGCTCCAGTTTCTCTGCTTACCGTTGTAACTGTTCCCCTGGCTATTGTAGCTGCTCAAATTTATCGCCATGGTGTTGTTTTTTCCACCAGCAGCATTCGCGTTGCCAGGAGCTGCACCGCCTGCCGCATGTATCGAATTTCCCGCGCCGCCGGCGTTTCGACTGTTCGCACTGCTTTGGCCGCCCCCATTTCCTGTCCATGAAGACCACGACTGATTGTTTCCGGCGCCCCACTGTTGATTATTCGACGTTGCACTGCCCGCCCACGACATCTGCTGATGTTGACCGTGCTGCTGCTGTTGTCCTTGTTGACCGGACGCATGGTTACCTGCGCCCGCTCCTTGCATGCTGTTGCTGCCTGCTCCTCCAGCAGCCGCAGTATGCATAGCACCCATCGTTCCGCCCAAGCCGGGATTCATCGCGCCGTAAGGTGCGGGGGACTGATGCGCCGGCGCCGCACCACCAGCGGTCGTCGCCATGCCGTTGCTCATGTTGTTGCCGGTTGTACTCGCAGCGCTGTACTGCGTCATGGTCCCGTAGCCGCCTTGTTGCGCCGCGGCTGCACCCGTCGGCAGCATGCTCTGCATGTTTTGCTGCTGCGCTTGGGCGCTGCCCAGGTTGCTGCTCCCCATCGTTCCGCCATTTTTGATCACAGACGAGGGCTGTTGACCACTACTGACTGGACCGCCATAATTGGCACCACCGGCGGGGTTCATACTTCCGCCGGAGGTGTTGTAGCCACCAGTCTGCTGCTGATTCATGTTCATTTGCTGCATCCCCATCACAGTGCCTTGCTGCTGTTGCTGGCCGGCGTTGTTCAAATTTGGGGAAACAAAACTACTCATATTATTTTGCGCCATCATTGACTGTTGGTCGACAAATTGCTGCTGCTGCATCTGCTGCTGCATCATGTATTGCTGCTGCTGCTGCTGAGTTGCGAAAGCCATATTTTGACCCTGGCTAGCGCCAGTCGCGTCGTACATCATTCCCGACGTCCCGATGGAGCTACCAGCACCAAGGTCCTGCTGCTGATGCCCCACGTAATTATTGGCTCCACTCATCATCCCTTGTTGTTGCTGGAGCTGATTTGTTTGGCCTCCCATGGTCCCACTCGAAGCCATCATCATATTGTACTGCTGCTGCTGTTGTTCCATTGACGTAGCGCCAGCACCAGCAGCTCCGGTAGTGCCGGTCTGCATCATTTGCTGCTGCTGCTGCTGCATCATTTGCTGCTGCTGCTGATTCATCAGCATCTGTTGCTGGTCAGCAGTAGAAAACCCCGAGCCGCTGGAACTACCGTATTGCTGTTGTTGCATAAGAAGCACCTGCTGCTGCTGCTGTTGTTGCTGGGCCTGGTGCTGGTTTTGCTGGGCCAGCAACTGCTGATGGCTCGGTTGCAGTTGCTGGGCCTGTTGCAGCTGTTGCGCCGTCAGCGCTCCGCCTTGACTCGGGACACGCTGCACGCTGTAAGGCGCTGCTGTGCCCGCCATCTGCAACTGCGTGCCAGCGTTATTTTGCTGCATCGCCTGTTGCTGCTGCGGAGTCATGTTTGTGAGCGTGCCTGGAGGTCCTGCCGCCCCAGTAGTCGTCATGGTACTTCCTCCACCACCTGGTGGACCCACTACTTGCTGCTGCACCATTCCCATCTGCTGACCACCTCCCGTGGCGTTCAGCGCACCCCCGGCGTTGACTGGTTGTTGGTTGCCTATGCCTGCGTTGGTTGAGGTCGTACTGGAAACCGTCGCACTGAAGCTGCTTTTCTTCAGACCGAGAAAGTCGAACGTTGGTGAGGAGCTAGAACTGGTGCTGGGATTCTGTTGCATCTGCGGTTGGCCTGCTTGGGCTTGGGCCTCCGCGAGCATAGGTGGTGGGCTCTCCTTCCGGGGCTGCTCCTCGCCTTCCGGTCTTGCAGTCGCGACACCACTGTTATTTTTCGAATTTCTGGGCATATGAAAAATCATATATCTAGAGCGAGCCTCTGGGGGTACAACCACGATCGTCTGCTACGCCTTCATCAACACGATCATTTAGTCTTTTACTCGTCCAAGCAATAGACGAAAACTAGACCACGTGCCTCGACAACAGAAGTACTAGAAGAAACTGAAACTACAAGCAAAACAGAAGAAGCTCCAAGCAGTTGAAATACTTTATTGCTGCATTCGTCTTGCTGCTGCTGTTCGCGGTAGCAGGCGTGGGGCGGAACCGAAACCCGGACTGCAATAACGACGCGTATGGCCCCACCTTGTTCGGGTCAGGATGCACGGGCACCATCCCCGATTTCAGTGTGTAATGCGCCATCCAGTCTTTGTGCAAAAGCCAATCAGTTCGCTGCACGACGCGGACGTGCTCCAACAACTGTTCCTGGTTCATCTTGGCAAGCACGGTCTTTGCGGGTGGTGCCTGGAACCGGAGTGGGGTCGTCAGGGTCGGCTGCGGCACTTGCGGTGCTACCTGCTGTTGCTGCGGCGGGCTATTAATAACCTGTTGCTGCAACATCGCGTTTTGGTTGTTCACGAGCAGCAGCTGCGCCACTTGCTGCTGCTGCTGCTGCTGCGCGTTCAGAAACTGCTGCTGGTCCTGGGGTTGCTGCTGTCCGCCCATGGTGCCTAATTTTTCAAATTAGGACGAAATCACGACGAACACGAGCTCAATATCAACCGAATATCAAAAATGAATCTCAATCTGTGCGGAAATCGAAATGAAGATCAATTTTTCAGTAAACAGTACCTGTCGAATAATTCGCGAAATTTGTTCCGGCGGCATTGTTTATTCCCTGTGCCTGCCCACTCGCATTGTTCATCATCATTAGCTGCTGCTGCTGATTGATATTCATTTGCGCATCTCCGGCCATATTCATTCCCCCGGGTGCGCCGGCTGCACCCATCATCATTCCGGGGTTGTTGCCCGCTCCTGCTGCTCCAGCCATTGCGCTCATGCTCATGGTCCCAACTGCGGACGAGCTGCTCGCGCTGGTAGCGGCGCCAGAACTCGTATTGTATGCGTTTGCCCCAAGATGCTGTGGCTGCTTTTGCGCGAGAGACATCGCGTTTCCCGCAGCATTGTGCTGCGCTGCACCGGGCACAAACGGCACAACTCCGCTAGTCGCACTGAAAAACGAAGAGCTTGTGCTTGTCCCAGACTGCTGCAGAGACGAGTTCGTTGACGAAGTTCCGTAGCCCTGCTGCTGTTGCATGTTGTTGCCTGTATTTTGCCCGGTGGCCATTCCATTCATGACTGCGGAAGACCCCTGGTGCTGCGAAAGTGGACCACCTCCAGTCGCGGCAGACATTTGCATTTGGTGCATCTGCATGTTGTTTGCCCCCGACTGCATCTGCATTTGCTGGATGCCGGAGGTCCCCAATGTGCCGATCTGCTGCTGCGGCTGCGACATTTGCTGCATGTTGTTGCCACCATTCATACTTCCGCCCATAGTAACGCCCATGGTCCCCCCGGCAGCATTCGCCATGTTATTGTTCCCTAGCTGCTGGTGGTGCTGCTGGACTTGAGGACCATTACTCGGCATGCTCATCAGGTTTATCTGCGGATTGTTGTTGACGCCATTGTTGTTCGCCGTGGTGAACTGAGGCTGCTGCTGCGCCAGCCCGCCCACAAGACCTGCTGTGCCCGGCGCCCCCGTATTGTTTCCATTGGCGGACCCACGCTGATTGTTGTTGGAAAAGTTCGCCAGTTGCATGGCGGCGCTCTCCATTTGCGGAATTTTGTTTCCGCGAGTCCACTTCGGGTTGTTGTTGTTTGGCTGCTGCCCGCCCGCGGCTGCCATGTTGTTCATAGAGTATTGGTTGTTTCCCATGTTGTACGCCCCGTTGGGATTTTCACTGCCACTTGCACTTATCACTGTGGCACCGTCTTGCCCTGGTGTAGGATATTCGTTTTTCATCTACATCAGGTATTCATAATGCGGCGGAGCGTATACTTGTTGTAGTTGCGATTTCAGCCATCCTTTTTTTCTGAAGAAAAACTATGACGAGCAATGCCGTTTGACTTGCACTACCGTAAAGTAAAAAAAAGACAGAGAGTGTTGAAAGTGACTGTTCGCTCGCAGTGGCGAATTACATACGAATTGCAATTACTCGTATACCGTCGTTGAAGCCCCCGCCTCCATGCGCTAGGTTCATCCCCTGCGGTCCACCACGGTTATTGTTGTTGGCCCAAGACGAGGCTGCGTGGTAGGGCTTGCTTCCACCGCGCATATTATTGCCCGCGTCGGAGTGCTCGGACATAGCCATCTTGCTGTTGGTGCTCGTGAATTCGTTTTTTTTCTTGTTCCAGGACATCATGTTCATGTCGCCGCCCCTTTGAGAACCTCCTCCAGCGGCGTGGTAGAACGGATTCTGACCTCCTCCAGCGGCGTGCTGCGGCCCATGTCCTTGTTTTTGGATCTGCAAATTGTTGTAATTAAAGTAGCTACTGACGACGTCGACATTTTTGTTCTGTTCACCTGCAGCTCCTCCGCTCGATGGATCTTGCTGCTCTCCACCCGGAAGAACCATGGTCGTGCCGGCGTTGTTCTGCGAGTCCACGTATCAAATGTAAAAATGTCTGGGTCTGGAAGATTACTAGGTTTTTCATGCATATTTTGCATAACCCATGATGCCTGTAATGCATGGCCGAGCATCACAGATTTTTAAAGGGCCTTCTGATGCGTATTCCGCATGAGAAACGCCCCCTCCGCGTAGCACAAACTGAACTCCTCTTGCTGGTCATGCAATACAGATTTTTTTTACCTTCCAAAGACAGCATCACAAGTTGCAACCTTCCAGACCCAGACATTTTTACATTTGATACCACGCCCGCGCCGAGGGAGATATGCGTCATCTTGCTGTCGTTAGCGGTTTTGCTGTTCATTGCGGTGGCTCCGGAGGCCCCGGAGGCCGCGGGGAACTGCGTGGACTGCCCACCCACGCTGCCCTGTTTCGACAGGCTCGTAGTCTGCACGTTTTGTTCCATGCCCTTCCAGTGCTGAGCCCAATTATTGTCCCAGCTCTTCGCCGATCCGTTGAACCAAGATCCCCAATTCGACGACGAACCGTAGTTGTTGTGCTGTATAAATGATTGTCGTGATCAGAAATTGAAATTGTACGCGAAAAAAAAAATTGGGCAAGCAAATTTTTATATGCGGAAAAAACAACTGTTCCAGTTTCACTTTCATGATCACCACGACCACTTATAATGAATGCGACGTTTGCGTCACTGTATAAATCATTGGGCACCACTAGCAGTTGTACCATGTTCTGCTGCGAGCCACCTTGTTGTCCGTTGTGCTGGCTAAGTTTCGACGTCGAGGCGCCCTGCAGCTGACTCTGCGGGCCCCCCCAGCTTTGCGTGCTGTTTAGCATGCCGCCCGTGCTATTGTGCTGTTTCAGCTGCTTTGATGTGTTGCCGCGGCTGGCCGTCCGAGGTAGTGCACTTCCGTCTACTCCGTGTTGGCCCTGCTGCCCCTGCTTGTTCTGGTTTTGCCACCAGTTTGTCGCATTATTTGTCGCGGCCCCGCTGTACATCTTGCCGTTCCCCCCGTTTGATGCGTTATTTTGATTTGCTGTGGAGGTCGCGGCTACGGCGCCAGTATTAAATGCCGTTGCAGAAGCTGCACCTCCGCTATTTCCGCCTGTCGCCGAGGTGGTCGGGTCCTCGGCTGAAGCAGAAACAGCTCTCGCTTTCGCACCACCAGGTGCCGTACTCGCGGAGGAGCTGGCGGCTGAACCAGATGAAGCTGAGCCAGAAGATTTGCTACCTGGGAATTTTCATAAAACAAGACGCTGCGCTATCTGATGCACAAGGGAACAAAAATATGAGACTGCGACCCGTGCGATTAAATTCGTACTTCTTCTTGTCTTTCTCCTTGTAGAAGCCAGGACGAACAGTAGCACATCATGATCTACATCTCGATTTTTAACTCTTCACTGTTAGGTAGGTAAGTCCTAATTTTTGCTGTTGCTACGGGAAACTGAATCTTAATTTTTTGCTTTAGATACCTCCTGCATTGTCGCCACTGTCCGTATCTGCGCCGGAGGACGCGAGAATATCACAACTTGGCGTGTTACCCGTGCTGGGAGCGCCGCCCGCCCCCTCTTCGGCGGTAGCACTGACGGCAGGAGCTGCCTCCGCGTTGTCTTCTACCATCTTGGTCTTGCTTATGTAGTGTTATTCTATTACGATTTCCACCGAAGAAGTCTCCTCGCAAAGCTAGGTGCAGGAGGTGGCTCTTCAATAGGCTATTGGCTAACGCTGAGATCAAGTAAAAGTCCGCTACGAAGTGACGGCTCACTCGAGAATGAGAATGGCGCGGTGGTTTCTTTATTTCAGTGCTTGGCCCTTGTGGCTGGTAGGCCTCTCCTGCTCGTCTGTTGTATCTTTCTGACCCGAGGACGAAAGAGGAGGCGACGAAAGGTCTTCTTCCGTCTTCTGCGTGTTGTACCTGTTCACTGACGCAACCTCAACCGGTGGTCCAGGGACGTTCCTCTTCGGCAAGAGCGAGATGGTCTCTCCTCACACTCGTCGCGGCATGCCGAATTCCCAACACGTCCGGCGTTTGCTTCCAGAGGACGTTGAGGAGGCAATGGCAAAGTCAAATTCGCTGCAGAACTAGGAAGGCGTCGACAAACCGGTTGTACCGTAAAAACCGTGCACAAACAAGAATAGCACGACAAAATACGAACGCAACTTTGATATTCTGTAACACAGCATCCACACGGCCTGAAAATAAGACCGCTCAATGGAATACGCACAACGACAAAGCACTGCTTTCCACAACTAGTGCCAGTGATAGTGAAATGCCGCCAGTCGCTGTCACAGTTCGTTGTCTACCTAGACTAAAATTCGAATATTGATATTTGAATGTTAATATTTTGAAAAATTCTTCTCCAAGGCGAAAAGATCTTCGCTTTCTGAGTGAATACTGACGCGGTGCGACGTAACTGGCTGTGGTTGTCTTTATTCACGGAGACCGACCGAAACCAAGTAAAAGATCGTTTCGTATATTCGCTTCTATCGCTTCTACTGCTCGTTACTTAGCCACGTTGTAGACACACTGAGAGTAAAGGAAAAGCTCTACAACTACGCCAATTATGCTACAATAAGTGTTGGTGACGAAGCTACCAACAGAACAAGCACTTCTACTAACAGCAAAATCAAAATTGTCAAAATGGAATACAGTCGTGAAAGATGTAGGTGCAACGAAATGCAAAAAACATCTACAGGTTCAATGAGGCAAGCATAGACCACAGACGGAAAGCCAAGCATTTTTTTACAAAAAAGTCAAAAGAGGCGATGGAAGTCGTGTTTCCTGTCGTAGCAACGAAATCTGTCGAGCTCGAGCACCAAAAAATTGTCGCCTACAACTCAGTCTACGTTCTTTGACTCGGATCCCACACACGCGACGCAAGAAAGCTCATACACTACTTTCGCCAACTCAAAATATTACGAACAACTCTACGAGGACCTCAAGCAAGCAAAAGCACAGCACAAGCGACACTGATGTGAAGATCTTGGTCCTCGACTCGATCGAGCTCTCGACTGATTCTTCAGCACGACGACGTGACGGAAAGTCAAACAAGTCCTTCTTGACAAAGACAACTAGAACTACCTATCCTAGTGATTGAGATTGATTGTCGTTGTAAGTACGTATTTGCATATAGTGCAAAACTACCAAAAAGTCATTGTCTTTGAACACCGGCATCACCGGACGAGGCTTGCCCGTCCTGCAGTGCCTTTGCAAACAAGCTTGCTAGCAACCGCAACGCCATTTCATCGTATTTGTTGGCTGTTGCCGTCAATATTTTTGTTGCGCGCAAACAACAAGAATTTCATGGCTGTCATCTTTTCGTTTGAACTCTTTACGAGAGGACGTCGTCCCCATCTTCGCATTTTCTAGAAAGAAAGATGAATATGGACCACGGAACAAGAGGGTGCGTCGTAGTACTTAAAGCGCTGGAATACTAACTATGCATGTGCTGTGCAGCTGCAGCGTCTCCGTCATTAAAAAGCATGAACTATAATCAGAGACGCAGCCCGAAAGCTCACAAGCTCGAGCTGCGTCTCGACCCGGACCGTGCTGTTCACTTTTACATGATTTGCTTGAGCTCGACGTCGAAAACCAGGGCCGCGTTCCGCGGGATCTGCGGCGGGCTTCCACGGGCGCCGTAACCCAGGTGGGCCGGGATGAGTAATTTACGCTTCTCGCCGACTTTCATGTCCTTGACGCCCTGGTCCCAGCCGGAGATGACCTCTCCCATGCCAAGCTTGAACGTAATCACGCCCTTGTCGAACCTGTAGGTGATACGCGAAAGCGAGATGAAAGCTATTAATAGGTTTCCGTTTCCGAACGAGTAGTCAAGTGTAGCCTTGTCATTTACATAAAATATGAGGACGTCAACAGCTTCATTGAAACTATATACCGTTTTCCGTTGCTCGCAAGGCGCCCGTCGTAGGCAACTCTAACTTTGCGTCCCGGCTTGGCTTGTGCTCCGTTCCCTTGCTTGTAGATCTCGACCTTGAGACCGCCAGCCAACTGCTTCTTGATCGGAGCCTGTTAGATAGAGGAATCCAGCAACTACATCATGCATGATGCAATACACGCTCTAAATTCAGTTTCGGTTTTATGCTTTAGCTTCAGTTTCTTTTTGTTTTTGATGCAGTGCGAGAAATGGAAGATTTAGCCATTGTGGAACAACTACTCGTGATGCTGCAGTGCACGTTCTTGTTCGTCAACTCGTAAATGTCAACGGTTTTTAAGGTTATGTACTTGACGCAATCATAGGCACATTACCATCAAGCCTCCTTGGTTCTTCTCTTCCTGCTGCTTCTTCTGCTCCTGTAATCGTTTGATTTCCGCCTGTTTCTTTTGCTGGGCCGCCTCTTGCTCAGCCCGAAGCTGCTTTACTTTCTCCTCCTGCTGCTTGATTTTCTCCATTTCCTGCTTTGCCTGCTCCTGCAACTTCAGCGACGACTGTTTTCGCTCCTCCTCCCGCTTCTTCATCTTTTTCTCCAAGATTTCGGTTTGTCGCTTCTCTTGGATCAGCTTCGTACGGACGTCCAAGTCGTCCTTCTGCTCCTTCACGGTTTTGGCAGCTTGCTGCACGGCCTCGGTCGACTTCGAAATGGTGGACTTCTCTAACGCTTTCTTGTCATCAATCGGGTCAATTTTCTGCTTCTTCGCGGCTGGAGCGCCGACGTCCTCCATTTCCGGGCATGAGGAGTCAATGCTGCACTCCTCTTCCTCCTCCTCGTCCCAGTATCTTACGAACTCTCGTAAAGCAGCCTGGTCTGCATCTGGGAAAGCTTTGGCCAGTGAATCAGGATCTTGGCCAGGGAAATAACCCTTCTTGGCCAGTGAAGAAGTAGCGGTTGTTGGCGCAGCCGCATCAGCTCTTGTGGCTTGTTCAATTGCTTGTTCTGAGTCCGAGTCGGCCCCCAGGAAGCTTTGCTTCTGACCGATCAGGCTGACCTTTCCATCGCCTTCGCACGTGAACTTCACGCATTCCGAATCGAATTTCAGGTCCAAGCTGGATTCCGGGTTTCTGTTTTCGGTGAGCACTGCGATGCAGAATTTTTCCCCAAATTCGCCGTTTCCTTCCTTGTCACACGAAACGAACCTGTGAGTTTTTCAAAATTCGATACGATTTCTTCAGCGAGTCCTTATACGTTAACGTTCTTTTGGTTTTCTTGCTTTTGGTCCGAAAAGAAAAGAAGATCCAACTACAACTCGGATGTTCACCTATTTTTTTTGAAATCAATGCCCAATGGCACGTAGAACGTGAGGTGGAAGGCGAAGGAGATATTAATGCATGAGCATCATGCAAAGACGAGCGCAACGGCTACGCCTACGGCTACTCGTTCCGATCTAAAAATTGCTAGTGATAAAAAGAATACACTCGCGCCTTCTCTCCGCCGACGAGGCAGGCTTTCTTCAACCACAAGCAGGAGACATCCAGGTCAACCGTAAAGGACTCCTGTTTCGCCAAATTCAATCCGAAAAGCTCCATTTTCTAGTACTTAAACTTATGCAATGAACGAAAATGCTATTCGGTGTAGTTAAAAAGCGAGCCCGTGAAAGAGAAAGTGGAAATGAAGGAAAAAAAATTTCGGGTGCAAGATGAAGGTATACAAATACAACCGTTGATGTAGGTACACTTCCTATAGAAAATCCTACTTATGCTGTGGTGAGGTGAGCACGACACGAACCTGGAAGAAATGGAATCCTGAGTGCCTTCTTTTACCGAATGTATGACCAGAAGTTCTTCAGCATTATCTTTTTCTTTTGTACATCAGACGATCTTGAACTTGATCTTGTAGTTGCGTTCTTTTGTTGATCGAATTATGACTTTGATCGCCGTCGAACCTCCACACGGCTCCGAAGGCGGGTACGATCGTTGTTGCTATTGCAGAGAGGAAGTGCTCATGATCAAGTAGATTTTGCAGAGCCTGTCCATCGGCCAACCTGGAGGAGCAGTGACGACCGCATTTTGAACTCGATGATCTTGTATCTCACAGCAGCCGTGCTTTTGGTTTTCGATGGAATGCGTGGTATGGCGCTATTTTCAAGACGATCTCATCACCAAGGGGTGCAGCAGTAAAACTTTCGGATCGTCGTCCACGTCTTGCTTCACTCTTATTTGTAGGATCTGCCGAGGAACGTTCATAAGGAACTCGCAGTTTTGTACTCAACATCTTCTTTACCGAAAAAAAAACTTTCGCAACAGCACGCCGTGCCGGTGCCGGCTACAACTAGCACGGAGATAGAGAAGATGCGCAAAATGCTTCTAACTTGAACGATGTAAGCTTCTAAACTTCAGAGTCGGAGGTGAACTGAGAGTCAGAAGTGTTCTTGTCGTCCCGTTTCTGCTTCGCTCTACTCGAGGAGGAGCTACTAGAAGATGAGTCGGAGGATGAACTGAGTGACACATGATCAACATCGACGTCGGCAGAAGCCATTGCAGAAGGGGCCGGCTTTCCCATGTTATAATTTCCACCATGATCATTTCCACGACGCGCACGATCGTCACCGGTTGTACTGACGACCATACCGGAAGAAAACAAATCCCGTTGCCGCGACGCTGCGCCCTCGGCCAAATAGTCTCCGAAGAGAGAAGACGAGGAAGATAACGTGTGCTCCTGGTTCGCGGATAAGAACCCTCGGTGGTTAGACGATGAAAAGAGAGTTCCTCCAAGAAGAGTACCAGTGGCTCGGTTATTTGTTGTAAAGTCATGAACTCGTAGATCAAAAACTTCCTCTCCAAGCACTTCCAAGGCAGAAAATCCGGGTGGGCGCAGCTGCGATATTACAGGGGATAGTGTTTGCTTCAGCTGCTCTTGTTCCGCAGCGCCGTTGGACAAAGTCAAAGGTTCTTGAGGTTCATGATCGTTGTGAGCACTAACATTGTTGACACTGTCTTTGTCAAACAAGCTGTGAAAGTGCGTTTCCGCCTTCCACCTGGTCCAGTCCCACACACTGTAATTTAGCGTCTGTTGCCGATACAGCATGTCCTGGTATTCGCGTGTCGCGCTCTTCGAGTCCACAAGCACATAGAAGCGCGGCTCGCGCAAGCCCCGGAACAAGGTGTGTTGAGCAGGTGGCGATGAAGGAGGTGATGGATTTGTCTCGTTGTTCTTCGCGACGTGGAGCTTGAGAAGTGCTGGCCGCGAAGAGCTGCTCGAGGAGGAGGAGCTCGAGGACGATAGTAAAACAGCCGCAGGCGTAGTTGAAGATGAGGCCGCTGCCCTAGTAGCGCCCTCAGGGAGCTCCTGCACGTCCGGACGACGGGATTCGGTTTCTATGTGGTTTCTTAGCCGGTCGAGTTTTTTCGGCGTAATCCGGCGGAGGCGTCCGATCCGCTGCTGCTGCTGCCGTCGCGAGCCGAAAAATCCGCTGAGCTGGATGACCACCTCCAAATTGGGTACGTCGCAGGATTCGTCCAGCAAGTGAACCGCAACGATGGCTCGGATTTTGCCTTCCCGGAACTGCTCCAGCACCTTGTCCTGGGTCGACTTCGGCACGCTCCCGTCCAAGCAGCAAATGCCGAAGACGATGGAGATCCGCCGCGCCAGCCTATCCAGGAAAAAACACCCATCCCCATCCATTTTTTGCATGACAAACAAAGGCATTTATGCCTGTTTTGCATTACAAGTTGGATGGGGATGGGTGTTTTTTCCTGGATACAGCTCGCGGGACTCGCACAACACCAGCACCACATCATTCTGGTGCAGGAGGAGCAGACCTTCGAGGGCCAGGATTTTTCGGTGATCCGCACTGGAATCGAAAAGACTGGTGGTCATGGTTGTACTCGCAGAGGACGTAGCGGGTGCTTGAGGTCGTGGCGGTTCTTGAGGTAGTTGTAGTTCTTCTCTATTTCCAGCAGTGGACACCTCCAAGGCGACATCGAGTTGGATGCATTCAACGGGCATGAGAAACCCCTGCGCTATCAGCGTTTCCGAGTCGACCGCGTGTACCACCTCACCAACCACGTTGCGCCACGGATCTTTGTTCGTCTTCGATTTTTTCTGCCGTTTTTTTATCATCTTACTGCGGGGCGGTTTCGCTGCAGCTGCACGCTCCAGATCTTCGATTCCGACTGCACCGTCCATCAAATCGTCGTTATCTTCCTCGTCAAGTAGGGGGCTTCGGCTTTGTGAGGAAGATGAAGGAGCTGAAGAGCTCGGACTTGTCAGCCAGCTTTTGTTCTTGTTTTCAATTTCAGCTGCATTTGATGTTGTGGCGTCCTTGGCGCGACCACCCCCAGCCTCGCTGTCTGGCGAAGACATGTGATAGTTCCGAAAGCCCACAGACTCGCGCAGCAGAGTGGCCGTGAGACTCAAAATCTTGAGGCCCTGGTTTTTGGTACGCAGTTCCTTCAGGAACTGACCTACCTGCTGTGCCGGTGCGATGTGACACTCGTCCAAAATTACCACACGGAGTGCGGACGGCGGTGGGTGATCCTTGGAGGCTGCGGAGGCGGTTGAAGCTGGGAGCAGCGCGCTGCTCGACGACTGGCCGGCCTGTGAGGCCGTGGACGACGCAGCCGCATTACCACTAGAAGGCTGGACGTCCTCCAATTTTCGTTCCTTTCTCACTGGCCGGTCGTCGGAGCTGCTGTCGCTCAGTTCGATTACCTCTGGAGCTCGAGAATTCTTCACCTGCGGAGTCGTGCTTGAGCCTGGTCTTGGTGCTTTAGCCTGTTGCAGTGATGCCGCAGGCGCACCGCTCCCCTGCGAAGCTCCTGCTGCGCCTTCGCCAAAGATCCCATGGTCAGGCTTTGCCCATTCCACCAACGCTTTTGCGTACGTCATGCACACAATCCGGCGTCCCGCATTTGCAGGGATTGCGGAACACTGCTTCCGCCACTGAATCACCGATGCGTGCCGGGCACTCAGTACAATGGCGTCGGGGGGCCGACTGCGTCCTATGTTGGACCTTGTCGCTACAGCCGCGTGTAGTTCTTGTTCAGCAGCCAAAAGACGGCGGCACACCTCGAAACCGACCAGCGTTTTGCCGGCTCCACAAGGCATAACGACGCAGGCCATCTGCAAATCTTTCCTTCCCAGCACAGCGGCGACGGCTTCTTCCTGGTACGGTCTGAGGGAAGATGACTGCGGTAGTGGGGCCGCAATAAGGGCTGAAGATCCTGCTGGAGGTCGCTCAGCACCACCGAGCTTTCGCCCGGACGCAGAACCTCCACTCAGAGCGTTCGCGAGTGACGAGGCCTTAGCCTTACCACCTTCCGCTTTGCTCGCAGCTTTGTGACTCCGCTTCGTGCCCTTTTGCACAACCAAAATTCCGTCCGCAGTTACGAAGCGCTGCTCTGCAGTTGAAGTGGATGAAGCGGCTTTATTTTCCACCTTTTTCGGGGCCTTTTGCTTTTTAGTTTTTTCCATCGAGAAAATTCCAGCGAATCCTATGGCAATCTTCTCTGCCTGGGCTTCTAAGCTGAGGGGCTGTTGTTCGGGTCGTGCCTCCTTCGCCGGCGGAGCTCCACTCAACCCTTCAGTTACAGATGGCAATTCCACGCCGTCAGTTATCACGCCAAGGGACCTCGTTCCTCCGTGTCTCATCACCTGAGAGGACGACCTTGATATCGCAGACGCAGTAGAAGTTGGCAGCACCACTGCCCGTTCGTTGAAAGACGGAAATAGAGCAGGAATTCTTTCCTTCAGCTGCTCCAGTCGGCGTTGCATCATTTCTTTTCCCGATGCACTAGCAGCTTCTTCATCGCCGGGCAAGGTAGTCGCGAGCAGGTTCTTCCCTTGTCGTGCGGCTTCGCGTAAGACCAATTCTCCGTTATTTTGGTCAGCCCCGTTGCCGCTGTGCCTCTTGCTGCTCCGCGACCGCGCACACTTGATGAATAACGTCCGTCGAGCTAGATTCAGCACCTGCTGCCACGTGTATCGGTGCAGTACACATAGATGCGCCAATATTCTGGCAAAGACTTTCGTGTCCTCGCGACCAACATCGTCCCCGCCCAGAAAGTCTGAAAACAGCTCTGCGATCCACTGTCGACTCTCAAAAGAGATGCCATCGTGCCGTGGGGTCGAAGCTTCCACTACCTCGGAATAGTACTCCGCTAGGGACGACACTGTGGCTCCTTGAAGGCTCCGGGCTATCGACGAGGCCGCTGCCATGGAGTCTAGTCTTGTTGTAGCTCCTTTTTCTTTAACTTTATGAGAAGCCAGTGCCGAGATAATTTCAACTTGTTTTTGATTGCAATTACTAGGAGGCGTATTTGTTTGTCATAGTCACTCGTAGAAGTTGTACTTCTTTCACCTGTTCCACATTCAATCGAAAAAGGTTAAAAAGCAAAAAATCCCCTGAGCGTAAACTTTCAACACAACACGACCTGAAATTGAAAAGAGCTAGATCAACTTAAAGTCATGTTGTATCCTGTGAACAATAACGTAGTTCCGGGTCCCGATGAGGTTTTGGAGGTTCCGGTTTGGCCACTATGGCTATCCGTATCGGTATGCGAGCGTCATCCTGTTGTTCAACAAGTGCAAGTTCATGATAAGCAAAAATAACCTGGAGGTCCAAGTCCATCTTCTTTGCATCATGGTCATATCTTCTTCAAGATTGAGATTCGTATATTCTAGGAACTCATCACAATCACAGTTGCTTCTGCGTATAGCTTTTCTGGACGTGGCAGACGCAAAATTAAATTTGAAAGGAAAATCCATGTCTTCTCGTCTCAAGTTGGTCGTGAGCAGGCGAAGATAATTGAAAAACTTTGTAAGAAAGCGACAGAAGACTAGAGCATGAGCTAAAAGGAATGAAGCTAAGCCGACCTACAAAATGACTCGACACTGCAGCTCGTGATTAGTCAGGTCGTGGATGACTTCGGGACCGAAGTATTCGTTCCCCGACAGATCCAGTGTGCGTAGCCCCTTCGCGTGCTCGAGTCGGGACGCGAAGGCTACCGCCCCATCGTTCGCGATGTTGTTGTCGCTCAGGCCTAAAACCTCGAGGGAAACGGACTGCACGAAGTCAGAGGAGAGACACTGTGCCAAGACTGACGCTCCGTCGTCTCGAATACCATTTTTACCCAGCCACAAATGCGTGACGCGACAACACGGAGCGGCCTCGACCCACAAGCAATCGCCGGAGGAGAGCGGCACTTCGGGCAGAAACTCCTGGTCCATTTCGAAAGTAGCCTCGTTTTCGCTGATGATGTTGATGTCGTTTTGATCTTGATCGTCTGGGGGCGAGACGAATAAATCCTTGCCAGTCAACATCTTCATCTCGCCCACCTCAGCGCTAGTTGTACCAGTGGTGCCGGCATTCCCCGTCGGCTCCTGAGGCTGCTCTACAACCTCCTCAGACGGCCCTGGTGGTGCCATATTTGCTTGTTCCGATGGATGTTGAAGTTGAGTAGAGACACCAAGCGTGCTACTGCCAGTCGCGTCTTCGCCTGCTGCTACGTCTGAACTAGTCGTTGGTACATCGCTCGTTTGAGGTGGTGCTGCAGCGACATCGTTGACAACATCTTCGGCCGCCGCTGGTGACGGGGCATCTGGTTGAAACGATGCTGCAGCATGGTCGTGTTGCACCAATTTCTTGCTTTCGCCAGCCACTGCAGTGCCTACGACAGAAGATTCATCTCGCGGTCCAACGAGGGTTCCTCGACTGCCTGAAGACTTTGACACGCCCTTCGTCCTCGCAGCACCACCGCCCTTGCCCGGAGAAGAAGTGTTGAAGAAGTCTTTTCCTACGCCGCCCAACGCGCCCGCCAAGTCCCGAATACCCTCGCACTTGAGTTGATTCCGCGATAAATCCAACTTCTTCAAAGAGATGTTGTTGTAGCGCAGTGCGTCCGCCAGCACAGGCACGGCGGAAATTTCGTTCCCGGCCAGGTACAGTTCCCGCAATTTCTCGTTCACCTGCAAAACCCGCCCGAGCAACTCCGCCCCGGCGTTCCCCAGATTGCAGTCGCTCAGCAGCAAGACCTCGAGGAATTTGTTCTTGTTCCGCATGGCGTCGCTGATGGCCTGCAGTCCTTTGCTTCCCATCTTGGTGTTCCCCGACAAATCGAGTTTGACCAGCGCCTTTTGCGACTTTTCCATGACCCCCGCGACCGCTTGCGCGCCGTGCCGCCCAAACTTGTTGTACGCGAGATCCACGGTGGTGATGAAGGGGTTCACCCGCAAGCCCGCACACACGATCGCGACGTCGCGACTCCGCAGGCGACAGCTCCTCAGCTCGAGGATGCGCAGCGTGCGACTGTAGATGAGCGCTTCGCGCAGGGCAAAAACAGTTGCGCGCGGCCCCGTGTAGTCCATGACCGGTCGGGTTGTCGCAGGGCTCTGATGGTGGTGGTCCATCATTCCGCCGACCGCACGACTCGGCTGCCACTTCGTCTGATTGGCGCCCGCAGCCACGAGAGGGGAAAGTAAGGAAGTAGAAGCAGTAGAACCCCCGCCGCCTGGACTACCGCGTTTATGTGGCGAAGACGAAGTCGCTCTGCCGGCGCTCACAGCACTCCCTCCATAATTGCTGTTGAACAAGCTCGACGAGGAACTTGTTAATTTCGACGCGGACGTCGAGGTTGTCCCACCACCGCCAGACATGAGCGCGCCAGACATGAGCTGCGTTCTTTCCGGTATTTGTCGGTGTGGTTCGAAAAGAACGCGACCGTCCGGCCGGATGGTCCGCAGTCGCCTCTGCGTCAGGGAGTTCAGGACGTGCCGGTCAAGCTCGTCGTCGAATTCTAGCCAGTCGCCGACGTCACACCCAGCACCACTCCCGTCGCTGCTCTCGTCGTCTGCTTTCGCCGGCCCGCTACAATAGTTCTGCGGAATGTTTTGCGGCGTCACAAAGTTCCCGGACAGAATCAAGGTGTGGAGCCCGCGGTCGCGCTGCAGCGACTGGCACAGCACGGTCAGCACGGGGTCGGGAAACGAACTCTGGTGGCAGTTGGTCAGATCCAGTGTTTGCAGCACCTCGGTCCTCGTCGGGTCGGTCATCATCTCCATAAAGCACTTTCCCAACGCGTTCAGCGTGTACGGCTCGAGGAGGTTCTTCGCCAGGTTCAGGGAAACCAATCCAAAAAGATGGTGGTCGAAGAACGTTTCGGGCAACGCCTCGATGGCGTTCCCCTCCAGATCCAAATGCTCCAAGACGGACGCGGGAGAATGGGACAAGCCAAGCAAAAAGTCCTCGCAACTCTGACCCGTGGTCTTTGCTTTCCAACGAAATTTCCGCTGCCGAATGTCTGATGAAGTAGTAGATGCAGAGGAAGCATGCGGTCTCCACCCTCCTGCAGCCGAAGTTTTTGTACTATCAACTTCTTGCCCGTCTCGTTCTGCCGTTTTACTATGTCCATCGGCCGAGGGGGAAAAAAAAGATTGTGACGTCGCAGCCGCGGTGGAGAGCCCGCGTCCTTGCAACAGTCCCCCTCGCGAGGATGAATCGGAATTGCTGCTAGAGCTTCGACTTTTTGGGCGCCTGTTAGACCACGAACTGCCGTCTGCTAAGTCCGACTTATTTTCCCCAGCACCGGGCGTGGTACAAATAGCCCGGTCTTCGCTGCTGGCCTGCAACAGGGGGGACGCCGCATGTTGCCTGCTGGTCCTGTTGGGCGTACCGACGGTCATGCGGCGGCTTGCACTGCCCCGTGACGGACTGCTCGTCATTTTGCTGGCAAACGCGCCTACGTCCTCTACGAAATCAAAATCGTCCCAAGCAGAACCAGCGCGAAAGCTCTTCAGCGAGTTTGTCTTTCTCGCAAGCCACTGCTTGGAGAGCGCCTCACCAATCGGAAACGCGTCACTGATGTTGTTGTGTCGCAGCTCCAGACGGCGCAGACGCGGATGAGCGAAGTGCACCGTTTCGACAAACAGCCGTTGCTGTTGCAGGTAGTTTTCGGTCGCTGTCGAGAATCCACCGCCGGGTTTATTTTGTGCGCTGCTCGTGGTGGAGGTGGCGGACGATGTTGATCCACCACCGAGGGACGTCCACCCAGCCGGAGCTATAGTTCGGTTCGCTGCGAAAGCAGAGCCCGCGGCCACTCCACCTGCTCCGGATAACGAGGACGATGCTGCCGGAGAAGTTATGGACACAGAGCTAGTTGCCCCGCCGCTCTGAGGCAATGGTGGTACTGCGAATCTGGAGCTGTTGTTCCTGAATGGCGAGGAGGAGGTGCTTGAAGAGAAACAGGAAGCTGCTGCCGTGCCAGTCGTCGTACTACTACTGCTCCTTTCCCCCGTGACGACCACCTGCTTGGGACAGAACACGCGTTCGAACAGTACACGACAACCGAGATCCGCGATTTCGTTGCAATTCAGGCGCAATTCGGTCAGCCCCCGATTTTGCTCCAACCCCTTGGTCAGGGTGACGACGCCCGCACACCAGAGCTCGTTGTTGGACAAATCCAGCAGTTGCAGGCTGTGGTTCGTCTTCAGTAGCTCCGCCAACTGCGCGCAGCTGTCGCCGTTCCGCAGGCTGGCGGGATCACTGGCCGTTGTGAAGCTGGTCGACTGAATTCCGCAGGACCGCAAATCGAGGGACAAAAGCGAGATATTGGCCTTTATCCCCTCGATCAGTAACTTGAAGGCGTTCAGGTCGCGAGACAACAGCGGGTTGTGGGCCAGGGAGAGGTGATGTAACTGCAGCTGAGCAGGCCGCGGGGCGCGAAGGATTTGCCGTATTTCAGTGCTCAGAATCCCTTCGTCCTTTGTCGTGCTAGAAGTTGATGCTGCACCTGTGCTAGTTGACCCGCCAGTATGCTGCGAATCCGAGCTGGTTGCGGGCTCAGAGCCCGCACTGGTGGAGGTCTCGATATCGCCGAAAAGGTCCACCTCTTTCACATTCAGGCTTACCTGCACAGCCCCGCATGTTGTCTTCTCGAGGACCTGCGGCTTGTCTTTTTGCCCTGCGTGGTCCTCCAGTACTTTGGAACAGCTCTTGTTCCCCGTCGTGGTCGCTTTATTCACTGCCGCTGTCGGCCTGCTACTTTTGTCTTTTTTGCTGGGTGGACTTGTTGTACTTGATACACTTCTCTTAGTACTGTTGCTCGACGCGGACGCGGCGCTCGTTTGATGGTGTGTGGTTCCCTTCTCTTTGTCGGTTGGAGTCCTCGATGAAGATGAAGAAACTGTTGGGGTTGTGCTTGTTCTACTAGATGCAATCGGAGCAGCAGGAGTTGCACTACTAGTTGTGATGTCACTTTCAACATCAGCGAGGGAGGTTAGGTCGTCCACCGAAGAGACACCAGCCAAGGCTGATGAAGCTTGGTCTACTTCGCTCTCTACCTCGACAGCGGAAGTTCGCAAACCGAGCGTCTTCAGAGCGTCCCGAAGGCGCGGAACAATCTGCGCAGGGTCTAGACGCTGCTGCTGAAGACGCCCCGTGCGGACACGATCAAGGTCGACGCTTGCCCCGGAAGCAGATGTTGGGGGACGCTTTTCTTCAACGACGTCGAAAGTAGAAGGAGCAGAGCTCGAACTACTAGAGCACGCCGCTTCCCCAGGACCTTGCTGCGGCACGGCAGCGAGCACGTCGGACAGATCAAACTCTTGCTCGAGGGAACAGTTTACCGCAAAACACGCCTGCGCAAGCTTCCCCGCATCCCCTCCTTGCAGGTCACATTTTTCGAAATGGAGCGTTTCGAGACAACTGTTCTGGCTGAGCCAGGGGACAACCTTCAAGACCTCGTCTCTGGGCATTTGGCGAAACTTCGCCTGCGTCACCACGAGGGACGCCTCGTCTCGCAAATACTTCCAGTCGAGTTCTTGTGACGGTGCAGAGCTGCTGGGCGGGGGTGCCGAGGCTGCTTGACCTTTACTCGAAGCTGGTGGAGGTGGAGGTCGTGCAGCAACACCAGAAGCAACATCACTTTCCGCTGCTCCTACTCCGTCTGTGGCGGTGGCGGAGACTTCTGCAACTGCACCCCCTGTACTAGATGCGGAAGAATCGTCAGACGTGCGTTGTTCTGCGGACCCATCCTGATGATCTGCCGACGGCTGTTCCTCAGTCTCACACACTACTGCCTCTTTCCCTCGATCATGTCGTATCTGCAACTGGTCACCTACATCGCGTGGTTTCTGAGCAGGATCATCGTCAGCATCTTCCTGGTTGTGGTTGCTACTCCTGGTCCTGCTTCCACACGAAATCTTCTTCAGCGCTTTGAAAGCCGCCACCGCGCCGTCGGTCGAGCCCATTTCGAGCCGGCATTCCCCAGGATTCTTCTCCGCCAGCCAGCGCTGAAAGTTGCCGATCCATTCAAAGTCCTGCACCGGAAACTCCGTGAGAAGAAATTTCAGCCGCCCGCAGTTGAAGCTCAGCAAGTCGGTCTTCCGCAGCCCGCAAAAGTTGTCCTCCAGTAGCTCGTCGTTCCACAGCAAAAGCATCCGCCACGAGTGGAAGGAAAGACGGTCAAGCAGGCGCTCCGCCCGCCAGAGACGGAACAGGGCCAGTCGCAGCTTCCGACAGTCGACCACGTCCGTCGTCGCGTAGCAAACGTCCTTGGTTTGCGCCGCGGGGAGGGCGAGCTCGTCCCCGGACAACCCAAAGGCGCGGATCATGGTGCAGATCTTCAAGATCTCATTTTTCTAAGTAGTAATCGAAAAAATTTTCCCAGCATCTGGCATCTCGTATTAACTTAGTTAACGTTCCAAAAATCACGCACTTTTGATCGCACAGGCTGCACCGGTGTCGCCAATTTTATTTTTCGATGTAGTTGCGCAGCGAAAGGGACAATAACTGAAGCTCCGATTCGAAAATCACATAGACTACCTTACGCTTCGCGTTCATGATTTTTACAGTGAAGAACTAGAAACGACACATCTTCACAGCGAGTCCCCTCGCTCGGCCGAACGCCACATGGACTGGTGCTCTCGTCGTCTCTTGTTGGATGCGCGCCAAATCGTATGATCCCACGACTTCGCAACATGCACATAATGGTTTCTCTGGAAAATATAAATATAAATCGGATTCGCTCGTCTGTACGTTGTTCTCGACGGACCACAGGTATCGACACGGACGGATCACGATCCTCGCGAATCGTGTCTACGACCCTCTTGCTTGTTCTAGGTACAGACACGAAGGGTGATGAAGTCAAAGCGACAAGTTCGAATTCACCTGTCACGACTGGCTATCGCCGTTCCTTCCTTCGTTGTCGTGAGTCCGAAATAAAAATGCTGTAAAAGATCATACATTCGTAAAAAGCGGGCTGATACTGCGAAAGAGAATCTTTGGGTCTCCATGGGTTTGCGATGGTTGTATGGTCTTTGATTTTTCTCACGATGAATGATGCTAATTCAAACGCTTTTGAAAGCTACACGGGAGTACGTAGCACAAGATTTGATACAAACTCGTCGAGGTGGTTTATCTACAATCCTAAGGAAGAGCGAAAATATTTATGCGCTTGTATTTGCCTCTGTGGTATTATTTGCTGTTCGTCTAGTTGTTTCACTGCTCTACTAGTTGATTCAAAATGGACGGAGTATCTGTACGTTTGGATGCTTTTTTTGGTAAGTAATAGGGGCGGGCTTATTCATTTTTTTGATTCTGCCGGAAAATGAAGGTGATATACGAAATCGATAGTCGCGGCGAGTCTCGTCCTCGCGACTCTTTTCAGTTTTGATGTCGAACTCGAAGTTGTTTACCTATTTACCCTCGTCGTGGCGCCGGATGCGGCTCTCCAACTACAAGAACTCGTCACTTCTTGACAAATCGTCCTCGCTGCTCTAGCTGCCTGATCCTTTGCTCCTGTGCTTTAGTCTCTGCGGCCAGCTGTTGTGCGTGCAGTCTCAGTTGTTCGTTCTCCGTGCGCAACTGCTTCTCCAATACACCATCTCCAGACAGGTGCAAGGCTGTTTGCGATGTCGCGTCGAGTGCAGACGTAGGGGGCTCCGAAGGTGCGGCAGCGGACGACGTCTGCTCGGCAACAAAGACGTGACCACCTGAAACCATTTTTATTTTGATTTTTTGAAGATACTTGCACCACGTAATGCAAAATCATTTGATGACTGTTCGTAACGTAACGATCTCGATCTACTTACATCATGAAAAATGAGTCGATAGCAGAGAGAGAGGCTGTATCACCTTGCTGGGAGCCGGCAAAGGAATTCCCGAGCGATGCCGATAAAGACCGCTGAATCGCACCTGGTGCAGCAAACCGCAAAGGAGAGGGGGATGTAGAAAGCAACCGAGTGCCGCTGGGGTTTCGCACAATCATTGTCTTAGGCGGTGGCTGAAAAGCGCTGGCAAGGGGCACGCCGCGGATGTTTCCGATGGGTGGTGGCGCGTAGCTGTGAGGTCGTGCGACACTTTGTTGGTGCTGGTCTCCTACAGAAGCTTGATCTGCCGGTAGTGGGGCGCGGCCGTCGCTTGCTGGAGGCGGTGATTGTTTGCTAATCACCTGCGCAGCAGGTGGCTTAACCGGAGGCGGCGGCGAAGACAAAACCCGGTGCACGACAACGCGTCCACTTCTACCGAGGCTCACGTTCGAAGTTGTCGATGCAGATAAATTCAAGGTCTGCTGCAGCTGCTCAGTCGAAGATGCGGTTATTTTTGGCTGCTCCCCCACCTGACCCTGCACCACAACCGCAGCCGATGCTGCGGGAACAGGCGCTGTCGCCGTAGTTGGCACGAAACTCGTGCCAGCAGGGTTCATCGAGGAAAAAGAAGGCGAACGGGTGATCAGGGGCGGAGAGGGCGAAACGAATACCCTCGGCGGCGGACGGTAGTAGATTTTTTGGGGAGCCGCAGCTAATGCCTGTGAGCTCCAGGATGAACCGAGGATGTTGACTTGTTGGCCTGTCGAATTCGTGATGCTGGACGATCTGGCCCGTAAAGGTAGTGGCACGACTTGGTGCGTCATCTGCTGCTGCTGAAACTGGTACGGTACCGCAGTGCTCGATAGAGCATGACCACCTCCAGCTGTTGAGTTGTGTGTGGCTGCAGGAGGAGCTGCTCCTGGAGAAACAAAACCTGCTCCTGCCGCAGCACTTGGACCAGCACCTCCCGCTGGAACTACCCAGCGCGGGGCGACGTGTCCTCCACTTGATGCAGACGTCGCATTCTTGTTCACGTCGGATATTACGATTACGTCGTTCAGTAGCTGCTGGGCCTGCGGCGGAGGCAAACTGGCAGTCTCCTGGTGCTGCACGGTAGCTGAAGAAATCCTGGTGCCGGATGTTTTGCTCGCGAAGAAATTTCCGGGTCGGTCTCGGTGACGTCGCGTTTTGTTTGCAGCATTGTTCGCAGGCCCCCCTGTTGCAGCAACTACTGTGGGAGATTGTGCAGCTGGCTTATGTGCTGGTGGTGGGCGCGGTATTCGGCTAATGTTCTTTGCGAATCCACCGACAGACGCTGGCTTCCTGTTCATCCCGGTCGATGACTGATGAAATCTGGTTCCCCCGGCACTAGTCCCTGGGGTAGCAGTGTGGCATTCTACTTTGTGAGCTAGTTGTGAATTATGTCCCTGGTGCACCAGCTGCTGCATCTCAGTTTTCATACGTGGGATGGAGCGCATTGATGACGCCTGCGACGATGCATGCTGCCCGAACAATGCCGCACGGGTTCCATTGCGGACAAGATATGGGTGTCGGGGCAGGGGCGCAATCGCGTTCGCTACCACCTGGTCTGTTATCGTCGCTTCAGGCGGTGGGCTTTGAGCTGCACCATTTGTGGACGAGACGCCGGCAGCTATTTTCGTGTGCTGCTGTGGACGAAAAACAGCTGTCCGAGTGTGTTCTAGTACCTTGGGTGGGCTGGTACTTCTCTTGTTTTGTTGCTGTTGTTCAATAGGTCCATTTTTTCTTGTCGCCCGTGCCGCACTGCCACTGCCCGTTGCAGACGGAGGCGACTTCTTCGCTACTAGAGCTGGAGATGTTTGTCGCGACCTCGCAAACGCGAGCTTTTGTTGGTCCCCTCCGGTGATGGGCGTGATAGCCGCACCGCCCGGCATGAAGGCCTTTACCTTTTTCGAGGAAACACCAGTGCGAAGCTGCTGGTCCCGGGTTGTTCGACGGGAAGCAGATTCGCTTCGCTTTGCTCCGGAACTGGCAGTGGATCTCGCCAGTCGCGCCACCACTTCCGTTTCTTCCTTGCTAGCTACCATCGGTGTACTTGCGACAGCTGCAACCGCCTGTTGAGCTGTCCGGCCGCACGGATCCACACTGGACTGACGCGAGCCGTTGGGAGAAGAAATGGAGCGAGGCTTGCTCGCGCTTCCCCGCAGCGACTGCCGCCGACCAGAATTCGGTGGTCGACTACCACGGCTTGAAACCTTCGCGCCACTGGAATTATTGCCCCTCCCGGAAACTGGAAGGCTATTCCGCCGCGGCGCAGGAGAACAAGTCCCTGCAGCAGCCTGAAGAGGACCTTGTTGCTGCCCCCCATTCACACGAGGTGGGGGTCGGTGACCTGCGCGCAGACGCGGCTTCAATCCAGTTGATGTTATCTCAACCAGTCCGTGCGAAGAATCTGCCTTGTTGCTGCTTGACGAAATTATATCCTCGGGACTTCTTGGAGGCATAGGAGGAGTGGGGCGCGGCGCAGTTAAGCGCGGCTGTTCCGTTGCAGTGGGAGTTTTCGCCGCCACAGCCTGCAGCTTCTTGTTCGCCTGCTTCTGTTCGATCAGGTGGTAATGTGCATTTGGGCTACTGCTCGGACTCGCGGCTGCTGCAGGTGATGAGGCCTGTTCGGCAACACCTGCGCTCTCGTCCGGCTTGTTCCCATTATCCAGCAGAGACGTAGCTGAGGAGGAGGAGGACGACTTTATTCTTAGAGGAACCGTTGTCACCATGGCGGCCGCTGCCGCAGTTGTTGCCTTCAGCGCGTTCAGCGGTTTGTTCGCTGCTGCTTTACTCGCCGCCGTCGCCCCTGTACTGGCACTTGGCCCCGTATGCAGTAGTGCCTTACTGCCACCTCCCAGCCACGAAGAAACAAAGTTCTTCAAAGAAGCCGCACTACTGCGCCTTTTCTGGGCGGAATTTGTGACGCGCTCAAAGCCGGCAATTCTGGGAACGTGCACGACCGCACGGGATGTTGGCGATGATTTGGCGCGTGGCCTGCCTTCTTGATCGCTGTGAAGTAGGTCCACGAAGTTGTCTAAGTCTACCTGCTCGTCGAGCGGCGGCGTCGACGGAGAAATCACACGGTTTCTCGCATCACTACGCGGCTTTGCGTGCAGGTTAGAAATGCCGCCGGCCGAGTGATCGGCTGCAATTCTTCTTTGCGCGGCCAGTTCCTCTTGCGATACGGTTTCGTCCATCTCGGCAGCTTCCGCCAAATCGATGTTCTCCTCGCACAATTGTACGTGGCCTTGCAGCGGCGACAAGAACCTTGAATCCGTGGGTCCTCGTGCAGCGGCCTGTGCTACTTCGGCTTGATCTCGCACGTCTATGTCTAGGTCGCGTTCATCTTCCGCCTCGTCCTGCAGGTCGTTGTCCGCAACGTAGACTTCTTCATCCACCAGGGTTCTTGATTCTTGTTCTACCAGAAAGGCGGGCACCTCCTCGGTTGGTGGTTGCAGTGCGATTCCGGCCATGGCCGTCGCGAGCTTTTCGTGCAACCGCGTTTGCGTGGACTCGATCTGCTCCAGAATCTTCTTGAAGCTCTCGTTTTCCTTCAGCTGCTCCGAAGGGTGCGCTTCAGCTTCTACAACATCCAGATCTTCATCTACGGCTCGCGAAGCATCACCAGAGTGTTCCGCTTCCGCTCGACCTCGGGCCGCCGAGCTACTCGTACTTCCAGGTGCAGCCACTGGCTGAACGTCAAGTGCCACCAGCTCGTCGGGAGTAAAGGTCAACGGCGTGTGAAACTTGGTTGATGACACCGGCATGCGTATTGCTGGCGGGCAACGCTTGTTCGGGCTTTGTTCCGTTATTTCCTCATCGTCAAAAGTCGTAGAACTTGGTACGATAGCGGAATAGGTCGGTGGTCGCTGTAGTAGTCGTGTTGTACGATATATTAATATGCCTCCGCAGCTAGTAACTGAAAGGGGGTCAACTATGCGCAATTTGAATTTTCAATTTTCCATCCAAAGACAAATATATGAAGTTGAACAGCGGGCGGGCAGACACTTCCCTGTATCATATAATTGAGAGCATCAAGAACCACAGTAACTTCCACTTCGGTACCGCTTCCGTATACAGCACTGACAACGACTGCTCCGGTGGGCGTCGACTTTCTCGGAGGTCGCTGGAGGATGGAAGAGCAGCAGGTGCAGCATCCGTCTCGGTCTCGTGTTCCCAGACTCCGCCGCTCGACGGCCGTACGCGTAGCCGGGAGGAGCCTGACCGTTGAGGCGTAGACGCCTGCTGGGCGGACTGCTTCTCTTGCGCCGCTCGCCCTGAAGATGAAGAAGCGAAAGTTCTTGTGTGCGCTGCGAGGACCTCATTTTGTTTGGAACTTGACGTGCTACTGGAGGCCCAGCCGCTCGAAAAAACCGAACCGCTTTCCGTTTTCCTTCCTCCTGCTCCCGTGTGCAGGTGCAGCTGTCCTCCCGTTCCCGTATTGACATCGAGAGCAACTACCGGCGCGGCGCTGCTCGTGCCACCAGCACTAGTACTTGAAGATGATGCGACGGTGGTTCCAGCCAGCCCGTGCCGATATGCAAAGGACGAAAAAGGCGCGGCGCCCCCACGGGTATTCGTCCTAAGCGCTCTGCTTTCCTCGAGCGATTTTTGCGATTGGTACATCATAGTACCATGATGGTGCTCTGCGTCCGAGACGTTGTTGCTGCTTGGGCAGGTGGTGCTGGGTTCGTTTGTGCTGCTAGACGCAGAGAGCTGCATGGTACCCGCAGTGATCGAAACCGGAATCAGGCTTGACTTTGCTACGATCGAATCTGGATCTTCTGTTTCAAAAACATCGTCATCGAGCCCATACGTTGCGGACAGGGAGTCGGTGGAAGTTGCGGCCGCTTGAGCGACCATGGCATCTTGATCTCCGACAAGAGCAACTGCACCTGCACCAGCCTGGCCCGAAGTAGAAATGTTGACAGGTCTTGGCACGACATCTTCGTTGTGCGCCTCTTTCGTTCCACCTGTCACAGCCGACGAATTCGCCAAAAGTTCCAGAAACTTGTTGTGCCGGCCAATTCCGTCGTCTAGGCTGTAGGTTTGGTGACTCTGCGGATCCATTTTGCTGTTCACACCCGCACCGGCACCCGGCGGGACGACGAAGTACGTTGCAGCATCGTTCGGACTGTGGCACACCTGTGTCACGATCGGAGCAAAGTCGCCAGACGACAGTTTAGTAGAGGACGTCGCGTTAGATGACGAGGCTGCGGCTTCGAGCGTACCGCGAGTTCTTCGTGGCTGCGGTTGCTGCCGCTCGACCGGAACCGAGTCGATGGGCGAAACAGGAGCTGCTGGCATAATGGTCGTAGAAGACCCGGGTGCTGACGACGTCACCAACTGGGGATGGGGTCCTTGTTCCGCGCTCTGCTCTACAACTTCATTTGCAGTACCTCCACCACCTCTGGCTGCGTTGATATCGCGTAGCTCCGTCAGAATCAAGTCCAGCTCCTGCACGTAATTGAAGCCCGGGGACGATGTACAGCCGGGGCTCTCGTGCGAATCTTCGAAGTTAAAGTTTTCATAGGTGGAGTGCAAATCTTCGATTTTTGCCATGATCTTTCTTGAAATGTCAACACTAGGCGGCGCGAAGAACTTTTGTCAACAACATGAAGATCAGCCCGGGCAACCTCGCTCAATCTGGTTAACCTTACAGAGCTAAGTACTTACATGTGTGGTCCATTTTTCAAAGAAACACTCTCGTCCGTGGCTTCCAACCCTCGTTTTCTGATCTATGATGTTATTCTCTTTCAGAATTCATTTTCGACCTTAAAGATGGCAGGCCGTGAATATTACCAGATGCGTCCGCCTAGAGTAACGCCGGGGACTACGCTTTCATCTTGTGAATACGTGTATTCGGCTCTTTAACTTTGACAAGTCAAAGTCATGTATCCTACGGCTACGTACGTACGCCCAGAACCCGCCCCACGTGTGAACAACTCTGTACGACAAAATAGGCGATACCAGCTTTCATTCTCTATCACAATAATCAACGTCCCACGTGTTTTGACGACCTCGATGATCCCGGAAGAGTTATTCCACATTCACGCAATCCAATCGGTATAACAACCGGAGAAACTTCTACCGACACAGTTTGTTCAGGGATTCAGTCATCATGAATAGACACGCACGACGACGAGATTCTTCGCAAAACTACCGATTATACCGACATTGCTGAACACGAAACATCCGATTTTCAATTTCAAATAGGAGGATGGCAAAGCACGACAGTGCTGGCGCAGCACGGCCACCATCACCAAGACGTAACACCTACTGATGCTATCGAGAGTGATTTCTTTGTACTCCAGAAGGAGATCGAGAACCTCCGTCGTGTGACGAATAAATTGCAATTGCTGATTCTGATTTTTAGTAGGTCCAGGTTCTTGTTCGTGTTCCAAACAAGCAGTAGCGGCTGGTCAGACAAAGTCAAAATCGCCTTCATCGACTGTGTTCCGATTCTGTCTATCGTAAGTGTAATTTGAGTTCCGCATGCGCGTTACATCCTCACTCCTTCGCGCGCTGTCCATGCCAAATCCGTCCTCCGGCATTATCGTCGCCAGCGGAACGTGCTGCGGTTCCCAATTTTGTGCCTGTGAAAGGCCGCTATTTGGTGCCTCTAATTCTGCGAATTGTCGCGCCAGCCGTACATCGTTGCGATGCTTGTGCTTATGCTGCAGCCCTGAAAGAAGTCCGGGATCGGTCGGAAGACGGTGCAAATCGAGGATGCTGTGCCTGTCCAAGTCCAGTGCCCGCTGCGTCGCGGCGTTCTGTTGGAGCCTCCGCTTGAGTTCAGGATTTTCTGGAAGCACTGCGGAATAGTCTGGGAAGTACAGTCGTGCGGCAGAGCTGCCTCCTGCGGGCGGCGGAGGACCACCAGTCTGGGGCCGGTGCGGGGCGGGCGAGAGCTGTGTGGCGCGTGGCATACTTCCCTCATGCAGCTGCCGCAGATACCGAATGGTGCCGGGCGCTGAGGTCGGGTCGACATCACGAACACGGCTGGTGGCCGTCATTATGTCAACACCAACTCCCGTAGTTCCACCATTTTGATTCTTCGACGAGTCGTCCCCTCCCAGCCTTCGGGGGCCCCAGGCCCAAAGCTCGTCCGTGCCATTTGCGAACGGACGCGGCGAATACATAGTCGGTCCCACGGTGTCTTTGCTCGTGCCTCCTGCTGCCCGGGCTTGCGCTTGATTCGCGAGTGCAAGCTCTAGATGTCGGTTAGAAACCATGTCAGCGGCCATGCCTGGCGGCGGTGTCGATATCTTGTATTTGTGTGACTGGTACGGAAACACGAGTGTGTGGTTAGCAGCATTGCCGAACGCGTCTTCTCCGCGCTCCGTTGTCCTTCCGGGCAACAGCGGCACGCGACCCGCCACTGCGGGCGGTGTGCGGCCGCCCGTTCTTATCACCTCTCCGAATGGGGCCAGCGGCGGCGTGAAGCGTCCTGCATTATTTCCCGCCCGTGGCGACCTGCTCGAACCACGGTAAAGTGGGGCACTTACGCCACTTCCTGTAGCTGCAGCGTGTGTCCGCTGTTGTGCCGATAGAAAGCCAGCAGCTTCTCGGGGCGTTGCGAGCATCCCCGTGGGACTCAAGGACGGGTCGCGGCGCCAGGCCGCCCCGCCGCCTCCCCGTCGGCTGTTGTAGTAGCTCCACTTCCACGGATCCCCGCCGATCCTCGACGCGTACACGTCGCTCAGCGCACTTGCGCAACTGCGAAGCGCGCGGTCCACGCGTCGGTTGACCGCGTCCAGCTTGCTGTCTCCTTCGTAGAACATTTTCACGCTCAACGGTCGCTCTCTACCTCCCGAACCGACCGGGCTTCGGCTCCCGCTTGCGGCCCGAGGGGAGGTCGTGCTCGCCTTGTTCATGGTATCGAGAATGTTGCTCAGCACCATTTCATCCGGCGGCCCCGTCAGTCCCTGAAATCGTTCGGGGGTCAACGAGCGCAAGTCGGGCAGCAGTCCACCGGGGGTCAGCGAATGCGAGGGGTCGACACCCAGAGCTGCGGCGCGAGCACTCAGCGTCTCCGGATCGACGGTTCCGTTACTCAGTGCTTGCTCACCGGCGGGCCCGGTACGATCGACCGACCGGACGCCACGTGCGAGGCCGCTCAACGCCAGACGCAGCTCCGAGCGCAGAATAGCCTCCACGTCGATGGGGGGCATTGGTGGAACAGCCTGGACGGGCGTAGCTGCACCTAAGTTGGAAGGACTGCGTGCTGTACCTTCTAGTACACGACTGCTTGCGTCTAACCCTGCTGCGACCTGACCCGTCCCCCCGGAAAATCCACTCAGGGCTGCTCCGAGGCCAGACGGCCCCAGAGCTGCAGTTTGCTGCGCGGCTGAAATAACACTGAAGCCAGGATTGTTCAGGAACGTCGGAAACACACCTCCTCCCCCTCCAAAGGGTGATGCGGTCGGCAGCGCCGCAATAATCCATGGGCCCGCGGCCATACCGGTGCCGTAACCTCCCGGTTGGCCCCCTCGAGGTGAAACAGATGGCCTTCGCGACGCCTGTGATTCGCGCCTGCTGGAGTGATGTCGCCGGCGGTGGTGGTGGTAGCGGGGCGTTCCGTCGTCGTCCACATACTCGCCACGTGTCTCTACTTCATTCGGCCCGGTCCGCACGGTACCAGTGTGTCGGTAGCTAGGCAGACGCGGAGAACGAGACGAAGCACGGCCACTCCGATGACTGCGCGGGCGGCTGGTGCTCCTGCTTGAGGCGGTTATTTGGGACGATCTCGAGGAGTCATCGCTACTGAGATCCTCGTCAGCGATCCCGCGGTCGCTGAGTCGGTGTAGTCTCCGTCGGTGAGAACGACCCCGGCGACTACTTCGTGAAGTAGACGAGCCGGCGGAAGACGTTGAGAGCGGCGTTGTCTGAATTATGTGTTGCGTCGTAAGCCGCGAAGCGCCGTCTCCGCGGGTGCTGGCGCCCGTCGTTCCCCGAGCTACAGCCGAATACAGCGACTTCGACGCCAGGTCGGGTATGTTCGGATACGTCGTTTGCATCGATGGCAATTGCATTGTCGTACGACGACCTCGGGTCGAAGTAGAAGCCGGCGTGTTTTGCGTGCTGCGCGAGGACGACAGTTGGGAGAAATCTGGAGTCTGCGAGCGCGAAGAATGAAGGCGGGCCTGCGAAGATGCAGCTGCTGCGGAAAAGTTTGGAATTGCTGGAACAACTACCCCCGATGCTGGGCGTGCTTGGGATCGAGTTGCGTTGTACATCCCGCCCCCCGCACCGTACGTACCCGGAGGGGCAATTGACGCCGATGTCCGGGATTGTATGTACCCGCCCCCAAACGTGGTATTCGCAAGACCGGCAGAGTCGCGCTCATACTGCGAGGACATCACCATACTGCCTCGATGAACTACCTGATCGGACGAAATCGTCTGGAAGGAGGTCGCGCGGCCGTTCGTGCTTGTCGTCGGCGCGAAGTCGTACTCCGCGCGAAAATTGTACGCCTTGCCATCGGGGGTGACCGTGTGTGAATGCATGGACGTCGTGGCGGCCGGGCCGACACTCTGTATCTTTCCGTCCGCACCGAGGTGGATCGATTGACCTCTGATGGGTGGCGCCAACTGCGTTCCGCCGTACACGGCTCCGTTTCCCATCATGGTACCTTTCACGGCTCCGTACCCCGGGTCGAAGATTGTCGCCACGGGCTTCTGTTGCTGTCGGAACATCTTGTTGAAGTCCAGGGCGCGCGAGGTGAAATGGTGTGCAGTAGCACCATAAGCCACCGCTTCGCCCTCAGGTATAGCGCCGGCTGGTGCTGCTCCGGCAGCGTACAGGTTATTCGCAACACGCATGGCAGCGTTGGCAAGGAAGTCTTCGTGCTCGTCGGTGCCATATTGATCCGGGTTCTTCGTGACTCGTTGGGCTGATTTTATTTCGACCTCTTTATTGTCTGCGTACGTCGACCGAGTTCTGTTGTTTTTAGTGTCATTCGGATGATCCGGGGGTCGTCGTGGCTGTGCGTCGCCTAAGTTCTTTGCCCCGCCTTCTACAACCTGCTCCGGTTGTTCAACCTCAGAAACCGCACGTTCGCCTTCCGCGAAACGCCCCTGCCTACTGTCCACCCCTGTGGCACTCACATGAACTACTGGATGTTTGTCACTTTTGTTGCTGAGGCGGAAACTGGCCCTGCTCTTCTTATTTTTTTCGTCGTCGCCGGCTGTTATTGCGGATTTCCGTATCTTATGCGACAAACGTCGGCCGCGTCCATTGTCGCGCTGTGCCGGTGTGTTGCTGGGGGGCGGCGCAGAAGGTCGGGGGTTCTTTTCCAGCAGCCTCGCAAAATCCTCCTCGTTGCGCCGGCGATCCTCCTTGTGCGCGCCCTCGTTCTCATGAATGACCTTAGACGCAGCCGCATAGAGTTCTCTGGTATTCATGTTCTCCTCTACGTGTCTTCTAATGGCGTCGTGTCTCTGTTCTGTGTAGGAGGTAGAAGCTCCCCTGCTTTGGTAAGAAGTCTTTTGGACGCTACTTGGGGCAGAGGACTCGGCCGTCGTAGTGCCTATGATCCTGTCGTCAGCTGCGGTAGTGGCCTCTACCGCAGCTGATGGGTAGTGGTCGTTTAGTACCTCACGACGACCTTCGGTTTCATCCTTATTCGCCACCTCCTCTCTTCCCGACAGGGACCTGACAAACGCAAAGGTGTCCTCTGCTTTGGCTCCCGGTGAAGAGGTCGTGCTAGTAGGTATGATCGTCTTGGAAGATGATGCTGCTCGTCTGCGACTAGTACTTTCCGACGGACTTCTCCGCAATTCCGGAGGCGGGCGAGAAAGGGAGCTGCCACCACCAGACGGCGAAGTGGATGATCTCCTGCTGCCCGGAAGTCCGATTTCGTGGCCGACGCGTGCTTCTCGATGTCTGCGTTGTTCGGCCTCGGATTCCTCGCGAAGCTCCTTCGCGCGGTAGAGTTTGTCGACCAGACCCGTGACATACTCGTAGCTGATGCCTGTCCGTTCCTCGATTTTTTTCTGCTTCTCCACCTCTGTCGCTTCCAAAGACTTTTCGCGAATCTCTCCGTCATCGACAACCAGACTCACTCTCCGCGCCTGACTTATTTGACGTCTTCGTTCCGCGCGCACCTCCGTTTTCTTGTTCAAAGTCTCGAACAGTTTGTCCACAGCGGAGTTGATGCTTGTTCCATTTTTGCCTTCATCATGTTGGCCCTCTTCCTCATCCTCCTCGCCTTCAGAAATCAAGTGCAACGGAGCAACAGGCGGGTGTTCCCCCTCTAGTGCTTCGCCTTCCGCAAGCACCCGATCCACCTTGGCCCGATGGTGGGCGGCGTTCGTCGCGGCGGCACGAAGCAGTCCATCCGGCGGTAGCACCAGCTCAACGCTGATTTTACTTCGTGAACATCCACTCGCTAGTACAGATGACGGCGAGAGAGCTCTGGGAGCTGCGGCCGGTCCAGGCGCCGTGCCACGGGTCGTCGTGGCACTAGGTGGGACAAGAAGCGCAGGTCGCCGGGGGAAATCGCCGAAGATAGGGTCTCCTTTCTTCTTCTGTATAATCTTCTTCGACGACCCTGAAGATGCTGCGCCTGCTGGGCTATTCGTCAAAGACACCCCCAACTTTGGTGACGTAATTATCTTCCCAATGGACAAGCGCCTTGTCGCAGCCCAGTCCGCGCCCCGTGTCGGGAGCGCAAACACTGAGCTCCTTCTACTCTGTGGTCCTGGTCGCTCAGCTCCATGGTCGTTTTTTTCTCCGCCCATCGAGCCGCTGGGATGTCAGCGGTCCCACATGGGCCGCGTCGGGACGAGGGATACTCCTTGAATACGCACCGGGTGGCGCTCGAGCTAGCCGGTACACAAGTATTAGGGTAGGGTAATAGCAACTAACGGGTTTGTTCGCTTTGTAGGGAACTAACGGCGTGTTCAGTATGGCTTTCTAAATCGCGACACACACAAATAACGAGTCAACAACATGGGTAATATATATATTTTCTTTCCCGAATTTTGGTCCTGTGAAGACGCGTAGGAAACACCAACACGATAAAGTACTCATAAAAAAGCGTGTCTGGAAGTATGACGGCGAGGTAAGTTAAGTAAAGTTTTTGTTTTTTACTTTGTAAGTATTGTTTTTCCATCATGGAACCACCGAAGCCACCGAGAGGATCGTGGAGCTGTACGGACCGAAGCAACGCTGGGCATGTCAATGACAGCACGGTTGATGAACGAAGGCAAACTCTGGACGAGGACAAGTAGGACGAAGACGAGCTGTACGATCGCGAGCAAGAAAGTAAATGATCAATCTCAATCCAAATGACCAGTGTTCCTAGAGGCACGTACCGATATTGATGAAACAAAACCGATATCAAAACAAGTAGACCAACCCTAGGGTTGAGAGTATCTATCTGTTTCCACAGAACTACGAAGGTTAACAAGCACAGCGCGGTCAGCAAGTAGAACTCAAGCGGACTGTTCTAGGTTCTAAGTCTAAACGTTCGAGTCCTCCGAAGATATCCTTCCTCGTGGATGAAAAATACGTGAGGAAAAACCTCCACAAAGTGGCGTCGCGACGTGCGCCACGTCGAGAAATAGAAATGAAAATACTAAACCACAAGGACGAGCTGGACTACTTCTACAGTTGTAGTCACGTCACAACATACTTACTGCTCTCGGGTACTTCCTCTACAGCCAGAACACGATACTCCATACATCAAAAAGACGCAAAAAACGAACAGAAACTGGAAGATCTGGCTCGTGGCCACGTGTAGAGAGCTGTTAATGTCAAGAACAGCAGCCTTTTCTACACCTTTTGCGACGCGAACAAGTTGCTGACTGGACGAACTGGAGCTTCTTGTTCGAAGGAGCGAACGTTTTCGTTTCTTTGCCTGTTGATGCGGAAACAATTATATGCACATGAACTCCAACTGCAACTCCTCGATGATGATGCGAGATGAAATAAATATTCATGCGTCGCTCAGCTTTTAGCTGCGGCAGGGTATGCTGCAGAAAAAACTTCTAAAATCAAAACGCGACGTCCACCATTATCAAAATAGCAAGACATACTCTCTTCACAACAATATACAGAAGAAACCTTGCGAGAGGGTCTAAAAGTCTGCTCTCGGGGTGCACCAGAAGCAGGATATGCTTTTCCGAATTTGAAGCGAGTATGAGCGCGAGAGCGTACTTGTAATGTGGGTAGCGACAGCGCCGGCGCAGGATATAATCTTCATAGTGATCATGGGGTCGCTTGTTTCGATCATAGCACCGTGCTGCAACTTTGTAGCTGCACTGTGCTGGCGCTTGCTGCTGAGATGAAAAAACGAGAATTACTAGTGCATACTTGTTGTTGGTGAAACTTCAAATTTTATTTTGTTGTTTGGTACTACATGTACAACTGTACCTTCAAAAATGGAGGTGCTGCTGGAGATGCGTCTTTTGTTTTTTTGTTGAACAATCGGGAAAATTGACTGTAGGCTAAGAAATGTCTTATGCTTTGGAAAAGATCAAGATACAGCACTCCGGCTTTGTGTCGCAGCATGATCTCGATTTTTTCTAGAACGCTGACGCAAGCCGTGCTTTTTTTCCACTCCTAGCACGTCAGTTCGGCGGGGTACTTGCTCAGGTCGGCCCCCGCAGCCTCCAAGCCAGCGCGCGAAGTGACATAGGCAGACTTGGCATCGGCGCAGGACATTTCTGCACCATCCGGGCTTGTGATTTTGCCGGCAGGACAGCAGCCACAGCAATGCGACTGGTAGTCTGATTTGAGGGCGGCAATAATCACGTCAGCACCAGCGTTTGCAGCATTGCCGGCGGCTTGTGCAACTGCCTCCAAGCCCGCGCCGGCACCAACTGGAATAATGCCCTCGACCTCCTTCGAAGCCTTGGCCGTGACTTGTTGCTTCGTCGCCTTCGCAGTTTTAACCTGCGCCGCAACCTTCACCTTCTTCGCCGTGTTGGTCGCAGTCTTCTTCTTCTTGTGCTCATTCAAGATCAACACCTGTCGTGATTGTTTGCGTTAGATTCATGATCTTGCGCATTTGCAATTCTGAGACACACGACGACAGGGAAAAGAAACTTTTCGAAAAATTACAAACAAGCGAGCCCAGCACTAATCGGATTCCTTATCATGGGGAATCTTCTCAGACAGCGTAGCACCGCGAGTCGAAGGAACGATGAACCGACAAAATGCACTCTGGAAGTAAAGAATGGAAGTCGCCATTTACATCGAACGGTGTCGCTATTCTTGACACGACTACAGGGGGGGCTGTTCTTCTTACTCTTCATTTTGAGTAAAGTGAATGTGAATGAGTAAGAAGAAGAACGACCCTTTCCCTTGAGCTTGACGCACCTCCTCAGTCTACTTGTAGTACCTGCGTAGCCCGGACCTCGGTCACCTGCTGGCCGACCATTCCGACGAGAACGGCGGCGAGCATATTTTTCGTGGCGGACATGATCGGTGAGGGAGGTTCAGGTTCTGTCGATCTAGTAGATCTTGGTCTACTACTTGTTTCGTTGGCGCGCTTCAAAATATGAAAACTGCGGCTTGGTCGATTTTTAGAGTTGCTCTAAGAACTACAAGACGGGGGAAGGTCAGAGTACTCTAAAAAGCACAAATAGCGATTTGTCGTTGGGAGAGTTCTAGTTTTGTCTTCCTAGTAGAGAACTGCGTCTCGTTTAGAGTAAGGGTTGAGGTTGACCGAAGTGCGGCTCTGTTGCAGTAGTTTGTTTTCTGAAAAAGAACAAAGTGAAAAAAAAGCACCAAACATGCTCCGGTAGGTTCGCGAATTCAAAAGAAATGAAAATCTATAGACGGTGAAGACAGAATAAAACCGAAAATCAAAATACGGAAGAAAGCAGCTTGCAGCGCAGTGACGACTTTTGAGCGACGGGACGAGACGGACGAAAGGACGAACGACAGAAATGACGCACACTTCACTTCTTACTTTTAAAATTACTTTCACAATTAGTACGCATCGGTTGCACGAACTACGACGAGAGGGAGAGACCGAGACCGTGACCGAGACGGACGAACCGATATCAATCTAAATCACGCGGACAGGTGAAATTTGCTTTACTATAGCTTGTTCGTCATCACACGTACGAATTTCTCAATAAACAAACAACTTCTGGTTCAGGTTCTACCAATCCAGAAGCAACTGAACTACGTCGATCTCGATGTTATCGGATTTTATCGTAGCTGCTTCATATTTCGTTTTCGATTGCATAATTTCTATTTTACAGCGGCAGCGTGTTAATGTTAGTGTTTCATTATATGAGCTCAGGGTGCAACAACATCTTCTTGCTCCATTCTCCCGCAGTACAACCTGCGCGGGGGGGTTTCATCCTTCATTCGTCATGGGACGACGCAGGTCCGTCGTCCTAACCCTGCGTGATAAAGAAGTCGCCGGCAACCGGGGACTTCGCTGCAGCCTCCACGTTCTCTATGGTTTCCGCTTTCACCTGATGTAAAGAAGTACGGTTTCAAATAAATGATGCAGTTCTTTGATATCTCCATGAGATGAAGAGAAAGAGTTCTTCATTATGCAGCATGCTGAAAGCACAATGAATCACAGTAGTAACAAGTATGTTGAAGTACGTAGCTCAGGTGCTCCTGCAGATTCTGAAGCTCCTCCATCACTTTTTCACCGAAGTTGCCCAGTTGCTGCAGCCTCTCTTGCTTCTGCACGTCATGCTCGCCGAGTTCTGTTGATTATGGTTTTTCATCGGCATGATGAAGGTTGATGACTACATTCCAAAGCAAGTGCACGATATGCCGTCATGCAAAAAACAGTCTGCGCATCCACACGACAGCACAGCGAAATTTTTCAATCGAAAACAAACACAAAGCTGAATCAATACCCTTCTTGAGTTTGTCGAATTCTCGGTAGTGCTTGTCCCGCACCTGCCTTATCATCTGCTGCCATATTTCCCGTTCCTTTTTTCTCTTTTCTTCGAGCTTTGCGTGCTTCTCCTTTATCAGCTTGGCGTGATCGAAGGCTTGTACCTGATGTTTTAGCAATTTACAGTAAGAAAGTTCCTTATAATAAATTGAAATTATTCATCTACATTTTCACGACGCAGAGAATGTACAAGAACTGTGTCTGTGTGAGGAGCATAGTACTAACTACGATTATGTCGCTTCTCGATTCCTTTTCTGCAGAACAAAAATCAAAATTATCTTCGTACCAATCTTTCCCGCATTTCCTTTTTTTCCGCTTTTTCCCTCTCCAGCTGGTTTTTGTAGACTCGGAGCTTCTCAAAGAGCGCGCCCTTCCCCACCTTGCTGAAGGCCAACGCGTCCTGGCGTGCCTTTTTCGCCTGGAGGAGCAGCGACGTGACCTCCTTGACCTTCTGCGCCTGCTGGTGGGACATCTGGTTCCCCAGCGACCAGGCCTGTGCCGTTTGAATGATGTCCAGCGAGTGCTCCAGGTCCTTTACCCGGTCCTCCAGGTCCCGTTTCTCCTGGTGCACCTTGCGGAACTTTTTTCGCACGAAATCCAGCAGCCGCGCGCCGTCGTCGTGGTTACCCAGCAGTTGATCGATCGCATCTGCCTCCCCGCCGACCTGGTCGGCGTGCTCCTCCAACGTGGCCAGTTGCTGCGACATGCTTCTACTCAGATGAAATGGGTGCTGAGGACGCTGCAAAAAGTGGTTGTACAGCTGGTAATTATGGCTGTCGTCGAAGCTTCAACGTCAGCTCGTACAGGTGCAGCAGGCTTGTTGTATTATTGACGCTCGGAAGTAGCTTTTTCTCCTGCAGCGACACACTACAGCAGAAACATGTCGTGGTACTAGGCGGAACCGCCGGTGTTGCAAGCTACTGAAGAAACTAAAGAACAGGTTCTTGAGAGTCACAATACTTTCGGTGGAGCGCTTCGTTCTCAAACGTGGTGATCGTGATGTGGTACGGTGCCAGTTGTATTTTTTTGACGAAAGCTGCACGAAGAGAAGCGGATCCGGAAGATGTCGTGGCACTTTACTAGCCTAGCCCAACTAGCTCACGCTCCCGCTCCGTTTCCTCGTATATTACTCGCCGAAAAATCAGGACGAGCTGCTGCACTCTTGGCCCGTGTTCGCGCGTAATTGGTAATGTGAAGGTGGGCGGATCATGAAGATGTAGTAGAAGTCCTATCCGGTCGCGGTGTGTCAGTTTGGTGCTCGAAGACGCACTCCTGTACCAACTCGGTCGCCGCGAAGGCCAACTCCACCACGGGAGAAAAAACAAATTGATGCAGCTGGTCTATCGCAAGATGATTGCTCCTGGAGTGCGAGTGGGTGATGAAGCTGAAGGCTCGCGCTCGTAAACTCCGAAATACTGTTTGCTTTGCCCGTCCTCGGTTTCTCGCGGCTTGGGAACTGTAGGTCTGATGAAGAGAAGATGAAGATCACCAGCAAATGATCAGGGAGGTCGGTCGGCGTTGCAGGTACGCGAAATGTGGTTTGATCACAAGCGCAAGCGAAGATACTACCGCCTATATCTGTTACGTTTCTATACTTTTTAGTGTCTACCTTTATTCTCTACCTTTGCAAAAAAAAGCTGTAATGTCCTGGTCTTCTACTCGGTGTCTTCAGAAAAATGAAAATCTGTATGAGCACCAAACGAATAAATGAAAAGTTCCCCATCAACGCAGTTTGTCCCCCAGACACAATAGACGAATTTGCATTCAACGTACTTAGCAAGAACATGCGACTGCAGCTGTCTATATCACTCGAAGACGACTACTTTCTCGAAGAAATACGTGTTGTGACGCTCTCACGAACGACCCCATTCTGTTCCGAGAAAGAAAAATTCTACTGGACGAAAAATTGTGTCACCGTAAGGAAAAAATCAAAACGGAACATCAACATCAACATCCTGGATAGTGATGCTGAAAAGAGCCAGAGTGCTTGTTGCACAAGCACGCAGCAACACGGACGAAAACCCGTTCATTGATTTTTTTTCCCCGTAAGTACTACCAATAAAAATTTTGGACCGCGTCAATATCAGGTAGCACTACCCTGCGGGCTTCGCCGCAGGTACAACAGAGCGCTTAGGCTCGGCCAAAGCGTGATGTGCGGTGTAGAGTAAACGTTAGTGTAGATGATACTCACATAGTGCTGTTTATGTAGTGGTCATATTCGTATATCGTATATGCTTGCGAAGGAAAAACCCATTGCTTGCTAACAAGCCGGCTGATGTTGTAATGCTGAGATTTATTCGATTGGTATGGAACTGAAACGCGGTGACAGGATGGTGGGAGTGGGTATATTCACACAAGTTGCTGCATCTCGTCGCAACGATCAAAATCGCAAATAGGGACTTCTTTGATTGGTGACCGCTCAAGATCAATGGCAAGAACTTCGTTGTATCACAAGAAAGTTGAAACTTCAAAATTCCGTTCGTACTCTTCTCGTCCCCGCGTACTTATAAGCACTCTACTTCTAGAAGAGTAGTACTTAGTGTCCAACATCATCCCGGCTCATCTTCGAGTCGTGCTAGAAGAAACACTTGGCGATGCGGAGCGGCAGCTTGACGCCCTGGTTCATGAGGCACTCCAGGATGCTGACGATGGAACCACCGGGCATGCAGCACTTGATGGGCATCAGCAGCACCCACACCACCAGGAACACGAGGGAGACCGCCAAGCCGACAAGGGTCAGGATCGACCCGATGAACCACAGGGGGATCTTGCACCACAAAGGCTTGCTGCTTTTTCCCTCGGCCATCGCGTGCTCACCCTCCGCCATCCACTCCTTCACGAAGCACTGGTCCGCCGGCTTCTCCGCGACGGCCAGCTGGTTCTCCACGTCAGCGGCCGGAGCCTTCTGCTCCATTTCGATCATTTCCGGTTTGCCCAACATGGTTGCTTTTTTGCAAACGCTTGCTGGATCTGGATGTTAGTTGCGTTCTTCAAAAAGTGTGTCTTATGATTGATGAGGAAGGGGGGCCGAACGGCTCTCTTGTAGTTCCTGGAAAAATAAATTGTTGAATGTCTGGGTCAAGTTAGCTTTTTCCGTCACTCACTATTTTTGAGTTCGTCTCTTCCAGTATGTGAGTAGCAGCGCCGTTTTCTCTTTCACTCGCTGTGTTCCCACTACATACAGAACGAAAACTACCGAGGATGGACGACAGGAGGGGCAACTCGTCGTACGTGATGGCCCTTTTGTGTACGTACGTTGTGGAGGCCCTACTTGTTCTGTTTTCTCTCAGCTTTATTCATTTCAAAACACTTGCTTGATGGACGTACCGACTTTATATGCGTGGCTGTGTTCTTCAGGTTAGTTTCACTTTCAAATGGAGCACCGATGCATTGTCTTGCTCTTGCGAACACCGCTAGGTACCGCAGTACATCTCCTTTGCACCCATAAAAGCTATAGAATTCGAAAAAGGCTGTTTCGATGAAGTCGACGAAGTCGAGAATGTTCGACCATAAACGTAGCTCGAGAAACAAGACATACCCATAGAAATTTTACTTTTTGCTAAAAATACTTATTTCCGCCCAATTCGGTAGAGCAGGCTCCTCGTGGTCTACTTTGAATTTAGCGCCTGGTATTAGTTGTACTTCTCGGAACCGACACTACAAATCACCAACAAGTGGCAGATATTCATAATGTTGATATCGTTAAATTTACAGAAGCTCACCAGAACTACAGGAGCAGTAACGAGGAGGGAGTCTTTCGGTCGTACTAATTCGCGCTACTCACTTCTTTGTACCACCTGAATAAAAATCCAGGAGCTGTAGTACTAACTTCATCTACACCGACCTGTATCTGGAAGATCTGCGGCTTTTCATTGGATATTTGGTGCTCCACGAAGGCGTACAATTCACTGCGTGCGCTGTTGAGAAAAGAAAAGCTCAAATCGACAAATATCAAGTTTTAAAGGGAACTCAAAGTGAAAGAGTAAGTCCAAGTCAATAATTTTCGGGTTGGAAATACGAACTGTCAGCACACCACGACGGACGCGGTATTAGACGTTCGTATCTCATTCATTTTGTGTCAAAGTAGTTCTAAAAAATCAACACCATCGTCCCTGGAGTAGTTGTTTGTTCTTCTTGGAAACGTCAAAATTTCTTTACTAGAAAGAGCGCTACCGCTAGACATCGATCTCACTAGTTCACGCAGAAGGAGAGTTTGCAGTTGCAATACAAAAAATCCATACAAAGCAGACGTCGGTGTACCTTGGGCACTTTAAAAGATTCCTTGGAGGGCGCCAACTTTGGGAGTTTTTGTTTTGCGACCGTGACGAAATTAGTCGACTAGGCTATCAAGTTCATCGTCGAAACAGAAATAACTTTCTCACAAGTATAAAAAACGTCAAAAACGTAGCTCATCGACAGATACGAATCAATGAATCAATACCTGGTGTAGGTTGGAACCTTTCTTGTTGAAATAAGACTGCTACAAGTTCATCTGAAGCACTAGTTTATTTGAGTTTTATTCTTTTGCTTTTGGAAACAATGAATTTATCTGGATTTTTCTACCTGGTTTTTCACCACAACATCTGGCTTAGTTCACTTTCGATTCAAGATTCGTCAATTTTTTTCGAAATCGGAAGCTGAAGCTGCTGTCCGTACCTCCCCCGATTGGCACCGTCACTCCATCTCGTCGAACAAGATCGCCAACGTGATCAACCCCATACCGCAGTACCTGAAAAGTCAAAGTTTTTGTTGTTCGTTTTTTGATAGATTGAACACCGTTGATACCATAGCCATTTTCGCAACCCGTCGCGTGAAACAAGTAAGTACAACAAGCTGCGGAAGAAAAGCCCATGCGGTGTGGAAAATGGAATTGCACGAATTGGAGTTGCATTTGGATTTACAGCAAGTGCGGCTGCAAGCAGCTCCAAAAAATTCCCAAATAAAGTACTTAGCGACGGTCCAGCCCCAATGCACTTCTTCCTCTTCTTCGTCATCCGAATCGTCGTCACTGTCATCGGAATGCTCGCTGTCGACCTGATAAATGAAAATGAGAAAGAAGTTGATGTAGATGTCGAGTCTCTATGAAATTCATCAATCATAATATGTGCACCACACAACTAGAGTAAAAAGTAGGTAGCACTAGCATACAGTACTAGTAGACATGGTGCAAACAATAAAACAAACGTCTCAACATTGCCATTGGGCATCTTGTTTACTCCTGTTCTTGAATATTACCGGGCTTTCCTTTTCTGGCTCACTTTCTGCGTCCGTCGTGCTGGCGTCTTCATGCAAAACGCCCCGCTTGTACGCTCTCATGGAGATGAACGGGCCCATGAACTCCTTGCGCGTCGTGGGTGCCGGCGCTTCCTTCGTCGTGGTGGTTATCGGTGTAGTGTTGGTCGTTTGGGCCCTCGACGGTGATTTTGATGAGAGCAGCGCTGGACCCGGCGCGGTTGAAGCGGTTGTCTTAGTTGTGGACGTAGAAGTAGAGATGAGTTCTTTCGGACTGCTTTTTGCGCTTGGTTTCGTACTAGTACCCGCAGCTGTAGTAGTCTTGTTCACTGTAGATGTAGTTGAAGCCTTCGTCGGTCCGACTGCACCAGTTGTTGTCCGTGCTGCAACTTTGGATTCATCCTTTCCCGAACAAGTGGCCATATTCTTCTTCCAACCGGCGGTGTCGGTGACCTCCTTATCTTCATCTTCGACGACTAGTTCGATTCCCTGCTGGTCCTGCACCGAATTGGCGCTGCTGGTCGTAGCCGTGGTGCTGGTCAGCGGGCTCCCGTCCTGGTGGAACGTCACCTTTGCCGGGGAGGTTGTACTGGAGGTGGAGACCGTGTTCTTCTTCGCCGCATGATCCGCATTCGTGATAGAAGTAGTACAACCAGAAGAGGCAGACGGCGCGGTATTTGTTGAGGATGGTTTTTTCGCTGCGACGTGGTCCATCATCTCTTTGGTGCTCTCGCCGTCGTCGACTCTGGTCCCTTTGCTCGCCGCAGCGGTTGTTTTGGTGGTTTGTTCCACCGCTCTTTTTGGTGCTGGATCGCTTGTTATTGCCGCGGACGCTGCTGTGTTGGACGACGTAGCTGCCGTTTGCTTCAGACTGCTCCACCCATCGGGACTCCGCAGCTTGGCACTGGTGTTACTTCCTGGCTGCGGGGAAGCAAGTTTGTCATCTTGGTCAACGTCCCGCTCTGCCGTCGTTGGGGTCTTGGTCGTTGTCGCTGCATCTTCCACGACGACCGCCTTGTGCTGGACTGCAGCCGGTGCTCCTGCTTCTCCGGCCCGGGTGTCGTTAGTTCTGGAAGACTGCTCGAGGGCAATAACCTGTAGTAATTTCATCTCTCTTGTTAATGTTATCTGCGAATTTGTTTTTGTCACAGTTGTGCTGTGCAAGGTGTCACCTCGGTGCTAGCACAAAAATATCAGAATAACCTGCTCACAAAAAAACGTCATTTTTTTTCGTACATCCTTCTCCTTGTCAGCAGCGGGTCCGGCGGGGGCAGCTTCCGCCCTCTTGTTCGGAGTGCCCTTTTCCAGTGCGGACGCGGCAAGTCGTGGCAGTGGCACTTCAGTCGTCATTTTTCTTGATCAGCTTTGCCTTTGTCGTGGTTCTATATCTCTTTCACTGAATCTGATGCAAACGAAGTATACGCTTCAAGAGGAGCACATGATGAAAAGCGGTGTCTCGAACGCACTCATTTGCTACTTTTGGTTTTGCCGCCGCGGGTCCCTTTGGTACGCGTACGTTTGATACTGCAGATAACATTCGACATTTTTCGGTACAATGCATTTGAAAGTCCAACGAAAATTGAGGGGGCGATTTTTAATTATTCGCCTCACGTCTCTCTCAGCGCAACACGATTTTTCGCTCTTGGTTTTTTTTCACTCCTTCAGAATGAAAGCGAATAGCACAACCACCACGACCACCACCTCCACCCCGACGATTTGCTTGCATAATGTGTGTAAAAGTGAAGCACCAGCTCGAATGGAGATTCTGATTGCGAACCCAAACACACAGAATCCTTCTAGCCTCCAATGGCCGTAAACTAGAAGTGCAAAACTATTTCTATTCTTCAATGGCACAATTATAATTGCGAGGACGTTCATCAAATAAATCCAAATATTGCCGTTTCCAATTAACGTTGCCAATCCTTTTCCGCTGAAACATGTTTTTCGATTTTGTACACGACAACGGCCGACAAAAGTGCGAAGTGTAGGTTTACTGCGTACAGAACTATAGCCCAAAAAGTAATGATACAACTATGATTGACCTCCTCTACCTCTTACACTGGAACTAGCGACCCCGACGGATAAAAACTAAAAATAAAATGTACAATTTTGGAAAACAAAAAAAGTAAACCTAACCAGGGCTGATAATATAAATCGTTTGTGTTTCGTTAAAAAATATCAAAAAACCGATGTGCATGCTGATATTTGAAAATGTTCTGCTTCTCTCTGGTGTTATGATGATGATGATGAAATATTGAAAAAATGGCCAAGCTATACTTTCTTTTATGTGAATATCATGATCATGATGAAACTATTCTGCAAAACTACTACCTAAAATTCGAAACTGAAACAAGTCAGATTGATGTACATTTACTTTTGTACAGCATTGTGAACCACGTCGCCAGCTGTATATTGATATTCAGTTGTATACCTCGCTGCAATCACGGCTTCGGCGGCATGACGAAGGCAGTCGTGTTGAGGACCGGCATCTGAATTCGCAGACCACTGTAGGGAGCAGACATTTGGCGCTGAACCAGCTGATTGTTCGCTGTCTGTCGCGACTGTTCTTGTAGTTGGCGCGATGCTCCTGGCGGCTCCCCCCTTGCGGAGAGCAAAGGTGCAGCTGCGAGCGGTTTCATCTGCGTCATTGTCGAGAAACCCGCTTGTCGCTGCTTGGCAAGCGTCTCTGCGAAGACTGCCGGGACGGCTACACCAGGAGGATGGTTCATTTGTTTCTGAACAATTTTTGGCGCAGCTGCTGCACCTCCGCTACTGCCACCTACTGCTCCCGCGACCACGTCGTGCTGTCCTCGAACTGCAGACATCAGTGTGCCAGTTGAATTCGGCCCGGCCTTGTTTATCGTTGTTCCCGGGGTCGAAGTCGTGCTAGAGCTACTACCTCCACTGGTCGATGCAGGCGCTAGAAGTTTCGCAGTAGCTGGGCCTCGTACAGCACTAGAAAAAGAAAATCTACCTTGCTGCATATTTGTAGCTGCAACACCTCCTGAAGCAGGTCCACTACTTCCACCTGCACTCATGTTTGCATTTGCTTTTGGAACCACAATCGTGGTCGAAGAGCCCCCGTGGGACGTGGTCGGCACTACAGCTGCGCTGGTCGTCGCAGGCACAGCAGCTGCAGCTGCTCTCCCATTCGGCTCAGGCGAGGTTTCCGGGACAGCTTTCTGCCATGATTTATTGCTCTGCGGCTGCAACTCGCTCGCCTGTGTCGTGGGGTGGTTCATCGTGCCTTCTCGTTCGCGTCGCGCTGCGAGCGCTGGAGATCGCCGCGTGGTCAGGGCGGGAGAAGAAAGACACTCGTCGTCGTCCACTTCGTCGATGACACTCAGCTGGTACGAGGTGTCCTCGTTCTTCATCATTTCTGGCTGCACTTCGCTCTCAGCCGCTAGCCGCTGGTGGACTCGTGGTTGCGATACTGCAGCCTGTTGCCTCCTGGTGTTTGTAGTTGTTTGTTTTGTTACTTGCCAAGGACTGTAAAGGGTTCCACAATATTTTTCATGTCATGACCGTCACCAGGTTCCATCTGCGCATCTGATGTTCGCAAGAGTCTACTAGCACCACTGGCAGTAGCATGTGCAGTCTCGACATCTAAACCATTCAGTCACCAGGTCGGCCTCATGCTGGACCACTCACACTCTATTGATTCAAAAAAATTAGAATATATACTTTTTCCTCTCCGAAGGTCCAGTGCGCAGCGACTTTTGAAACAGGTCCTGACTGTATCTTTGCACACCCTCCCCATAGGCTGGTGGTAGTTCGTCCGAAATAAATTGCGAAGATTCGAACTTCGTTGCTTCGGACGAGGAGAGGTGCTTTTCACCCGCGGACTTCCGCACCAGCACCCCGGGTTTATTGCCCGCGGTTGCGCTTGCATTTATTCTTGCGTCCTGCTCTGCCTGGCGCTCCATCTTGCGAACCACCTCGTGCGTGTACCTGTCCAACATCGTCAACGCAATGTATCCCTTCCGCTCGCCATGCGTGCGCTCGATCTGTATGTGTTGATTTACTGATCTTGACTTGATGCCGAACAAGAACGAGAACCATCATCAAGTTCAAGCCACCAAACTAAGGAAACTAGCAAAAAGAAAAATGCTGATTCAACTCCATCTCTTCTACCTACTAACCATATTAAAAACCCAGTAGTTTCATCATAACACAACCATGTTGCGCATCATCATGATGCGCCGCTTTATTTAATACCATCCGGAAAAGGCGGCTGCAGTTCCTCTTGTTTCCGAACATGTCCTCCAGCTGGAAAACGTCTAGCATGGCTTCTTCCAGGTGACGAGAGGAAAATCGGATCTCCGGCAGGCTCTCGCTGAGCTGCACCTCGGCATCCACTTCAACCTTGGCGGGGCCAAACTGGAGTTTTCGATCTTCATCGTGGTACCCGAAATCCAGCTCCTGCTCCACGGCCGACGAGGACAGCTGCTGGCCAAAAAACTGGTGATGGACGTCCACAGTGCCTCCAGATAACGATGATCCAGGCAAAATTGCTGTGCTTGTTCCGTGATGATCCATCGGCGAAGGGGCTGCTGACGTCGTGGACAGCTTTTTGGTGGAAGCCATGTACCTCTCGAGAGCGCGGGGGTCAATCAATTTCATCTCCATAGCAGCGTGCACTGCTGCAATTTGGAGGGTCCCGTACTCAGCCTTCAACTCGTCGCAAACCCGCATTGCCAAACGCGCGAGACCGGCTTCCTGTGTGTTTCATTTACGAATTTTCCACTTCTGCGATTCTACTTCTTCTTCTAGCTGTAGAGAAAGACGCTACTTCTACACGTGAACGACGAGACGAATTTCATTGATGCGTACAAAAACAAAGAAAATGAATCGCGTCGTCCGTGTCACGACTCCTCCATTGTGTCAAACAATTGCTAAGCCAGTGATCCTTTCACGATCTGACTGCCCGTGCCGCTCTTCTGCAGTTTTGCAAATACCAATCGCCTGGCAGCTATGACTTCATCTTCCATGATCATGATTTAAAACCAGGATCACGAATGTACGTAGATCATCAAAAAATACCCCGGCGGCACTCGGTGCTGCAGGTGACATCGCCGGCCCACCGACTCCTCGTGCCGACGCCATCACTTTGGCGCCCGCCCCCTGCTGTCCCGAAAATACTCCTGACACGGATCTAGTACTGGAATGTTGCCGACTTGACGACGCTCCCGACTTCTGTTCGTTCGGTGTTTGCTGTATGGTTTCAAAGCGCGGCTTGACATCATTGTAAACCGGATCCGACAACGTCGGGGCGACGCTGCTACGCGGAATCGTCTTCCCCGCCTCTAACACGCCCGGAACCTGGCGCAAACTTTCCCCAAACACGACTTCCGGAGCGTTTTTATACGGATTCGCAGAAGATTGACACGCGTTTTGGTCCGCCAGGCTCTTCTGCTGCGCGTATTTGCTGCGGTTGGACGCACTCGTCAAGCCGGACGCGGAGCAAACCCCGAGACTCTTACGGCTTAGCGTGGAATTCAGCAGGGTCATGCTCGATTGATGCTGGTTGTAGTACAGGCCACCTCCGCTTCGCCCGGACGCGTTGCTGCCCAAACTCTGGCGACTGGTGTTCAGACTGTTGGAACTGCGCTGCTCAAGCAACAGGTGGACGTGCCTCAGGTTCTGGTAGGGCCTATTGTCCACTTCAGCGCTACGCCGGGGGGTCTTGATGTTGTCGCGGCCGCTCGACATCCTCCGCGGGGTTTCGTTTCGCGACACAGGGTTAGAAGAAGAACTGTTCGCGGCGCTACTGCTGCACACGTTCGAGGTTGATCCGAGCACAACTCCCGTGGTCGTGAGCGTCGTCGTGCTGGCTTGGCCGTGGCCCGTGCTCCTTTTAGTAGTTGTGTTCTGCTGCGCGGTACTGCAGGTGGTGCTTAGCGACTGTTTGCTAGAAGAGCTCGAGGAGCCGCCGCGGGAGGTCTGGTTGCCACCACGTGCAGCGCTTGGTGTGCCGATAGTGCGGCGAAAATCCGGCTCGAAGGCATACTTTTTGCGCTTTTCAGCAGATGTTGACGGGTGTTGGTCCTTCAGCTCTGGTCTACGCGCTGAAGCTGGCGTTCCGCCCACGTATCTCGCCGGCGTTTTGGCCTTTCGCGCGGATGACGACATTGGGTTTGCGGGCACAGAACTCCGAGCTGAAACAGTCGTGGTGCCCCTGGCTGAGGCACCGGGCCCGGCATCCTTTTGTTTGTTTAGAAAAAAAGTTTTGACTGGGACTGCTGGAAGAAGTTTACTTGTTGTGCAGTGACGAAGGAAAGCGAGCTAGAACAAATAAAAACGTTTCGTAGATTTTCAAGTGGCGAAACTAGTATTGAAGCCGAACAAAATCGCATCATGTCTTCATGAGCTACTTATCAAAATCCACCATCGCCGTACCGTCCTCCCGCTCGCATCTTCGCGCACATTTCTTTCCAGAGCCACTAGCCCTTCGATCCTCTTTAACACGTGGGGTTTCCTGGCACGTGCCGTAGTCTTACTTACCGGGGCGCTTTGCTCCTCATGAAGATTCTCACTGACCCTACCAGCGGAAAATTGAGGTGCCGCTCCAACCACGTCTCCGTGATCTTGATCTTCCACAGCAGCGAGTTCCTGTTCTAGATTGCGCACCACCACGCTGCCTTGCTCTACCACGACACCGCCTGCTTCCTCGGAGGCAGACCCGCCGGTAACAAGGCTGTTTTCTTCGTCCACGTCCTGGAGCACCGATTGCACGGCGGCGGCGCCCAACAGACTCGGACGCGGCCGGTCCGGCGACCCCCGCGGGCGCTCCGGGGAGGCCGTGGCAACGGAGACAGAGTGGGACTGGTTGTTGGGGTTGTGGCCGAAGTCGAGCGTCTGCACAGAGTGATCGTCCGCAGAGAGAAACCGTCCATCCGACGCAGTCTGCGGGGCGGAGGATGAGCCGTTCGCAATTTCGGGTCGGTGCGTAGTTGTTCTAGTTGTAGTTGCTACTTGCCGAGGAAATTGTCCTCCCGATGATGCAGCGCCTTCTCCTACGGACACCGAAACCGAGGCGTAGGCATCTTCCTCCACGAGTGAATTATCCTTGTTGTGGTCCTCCACATTGCTATCGCGCTTGAAGTCCTCAGGCAGTACCTTTTTCTCGCCGGACGTCGGCACTGCGCTCTGTAGGTCTTCTGGCCCACAACCATCTTGTGGTGTAGTTCCAGAGAAAAACGTCCCAACTTGCGCCGCGGATGGCCATTGCTTCGACACCCGTTCGAATATCTGACCGAGCGTGGGACTGACGACCTGTTTCAACTGGTCGACCGTCTTTGACGCGCTGCTAGGCAAAGCAGAATTTACCGCTTCCTGATCCTGGTACGAACCCAGACCGAGACCAGCATGCGGTACCGGTAGTCGAGCGCCAACTTCGGGGGAGTAGTAGTAATCTTCCATGTGGTAAAGTGCAGGATTTTCATGTGGTTGTTCTACAAGAGGAGCAGCGGCATCTTCCGCCAGTCGTGATGTGCTCGTTGGGTTCATCCGCTTGGGCGACGGTGGCGGTCCCAGCTCGTCGTCGACATCTCGTTGTGGTCCCCGCGCGTCGCTGTCGCTCGAAGACGAAGCGGCTTGTTGGGTCGACGTGACGCCGCGCAGGTGCTGATTACTGTTCACCGTGGTCACATGTACGACGGGTGCGTCGGTGCGGGCGTCTAGTGGGACACCATCCGCCGCCGGTCGACCACCTCTCGCCGGGCTGCAACTGCTCCTGCTGGGGCTCTGCGCGTTATTCCTAGCATTTCGCAGAAGCCGGGTCGTGCTTCCCAAGACCGCCACGCGCTCCGGCTCTAGTACCTGCTGCGACGCTAGCAAGGGCCCGTTTGGGTTGTTGCCCAGGTAGGATTCTTTGCTCGACGTTGGCTCCTTTGACGGGCGAATCCGGTCCAATGTATCGTAGAAGGATCCCTCGCTCAACTTGTCATCCTGGGCTGCATCCGCGTTGTCCGACGGAGTGGCGATGTCAAACCTTTCGGCAGCAGCTGCGCCCTTTTTTGATTTTGTAGCTGCGAAAGTAGTAGAGCCATTTCGCTGCCGCTGGTGCTCTCGGCGCGGGGAGGTGGAGTGGGGGTTCATGGCTGCGAAGACGCCAGCGTGCGTTTCAAGATGTTCATCCAAAGCCAAAGGACGTCAAGACATTTTTTTTTTCAACGTAGAGAAATTGCGTCAACACCCCCTAGCCCTTCGTTGTTCTTCGTCCCCAACAAAAAAAAAAAACCGTCCTGATCCCGCCCTGAGAAAAATTGCGAAAAGGTTCAACTTTAGAGAACGCCGAATGGGAGAGCACGTCACAAAACAGAACTACGCAGTTAAGCTGGATGCCAATGCTGCAAGGTAAGTATCAGTTCCTCTGTATCTGTTTCTGTTGTTTTTTTGTCAATTTTAGCATTTTTTGTACGAGCACTGCTACGATTTTGTTACCGCAGCTCTGACGAATGATACAGCAACATGGGGCCCTTTCCCTTGATCTTTCTCCAGTTTTCACGAGCGATGACGATGAGGAACCGAAGTGTGCCTACGAAGGAATAGAAAAACTAAAAACAAAAGCAAAGAAATGTGCAATTCCACGACATTTTGATCTTTAATAGACAATGAGGCTGTAAATACGACTACTGCAGCTTAATTGAATGCACACTAAGGGTAAGGCTAAGGATTTCTATTTCATCAATTTTTCCCACATTTTTCTTTTTTGTAACACACAGCGACACAAGCACAACAAAGATATGATTACGAGCAAAAACACTGACTACACTACCCACCCCTCATCAATATTCAAGTGCCAATATTGTTCGCGCGGCTCTTTTCCAACTGAATATCGAAAACATGACGCGGAACACTGCCAACATCTTCAAATGCGCTCCTCTAAAAGCCACTGCCGGAGGAGCAGTAGCAGAGTCATTCTTCTACTAGGGAAATGGGAGAGCTCCGGCGGCTGTCCGCAGAATGCTGAAAAAGTGAAATGCTTTAGAGCTCTCCGTGGTGAGCGGGATTTCGATTTTTGCAAAAATCAGGGCTGCCTGCACGTTCGGGCGCGCCTGGTGCTCGCAGGCGCGCGCATCTGCTGCTGCTGATGCCTAGGCACTGGCGCTTGGGCGCGTGTATTGTTCTCGCCAGCGGACGATACCACAGGCGCGCCACCCAGCTCTATACGGCTCGCCGGAGAAATATACCACCGCCCCCCACTGAAAGACGGGCGGGTGGGGGCGCTCATCGGGGCGGCCCAGATAAACACCCTAGGCCTGCCGGGGAGGCGCGCGGCGTATGGGCCGCGGCCCCCGCAGAGGGGCGCGGCTTTACCGAGGGCGGGCGCGGGCGCCCGACCCGTCGCGCTCGCTCGTGTCTATCGCCCGCCGGCGGCCCGTCGGCACACGCTGCGCGATTTACAGAAAGAACGCACAAAGTTGCCGGGGGAACTCTTTGGTCGGCTCCTCTGGCAAGAATGCACTCGAGGACCCCCCGGCAGGCAACGCGGGGGCGTCACTTGGCGCCGGCATCTCGTCGCGACGTGGTGAGCCTCCATAGATTACGATCATCACGGCACGGGTAGCAAGATGCTCCAAACCTACAGCGGATTTTTTTCTCGTTCCTTTTAGTATGATTACTATTACACGCAACCAAATGTGCAAATAGCTTTTTCAACTTCTCGATAAGGTTTGATGTTGATGTGTTTGCTTCGTCTTCTTGCAAAACAAACATCCATCGCAAGTCGCTCCCGACACTGTCGCTTTCGCAGCTCGGCGCTTGGATTTCTTCTCCCTAGTTATGCTCCCCATCCGCTCCGCCATATTCGACATATGTCACCTCGCAGATCAATCCAACTCCAACAACATGTGTCTCAACATACTCACTCATATTCGTGGATGAGGAACACAGCCAAAATTCTAGGTTCTCGCTGAGAAGTGCTTGGCACAGAGAAATCATTCATGCGATGGTTGCGTTTAGCAGACACGGACAATCTCGAATTCGAAATACATAAATTCAACGAAAAACTACAAAACCAACTCCACCGTCGTTATTTGTTTACAATGGACATTTAGATACGCGTGAAACAAAGCACAAGGGAGCCGCTTGCACGAGAAGCGTGCAAAACTTCAATTGTTTGTATGCAGGCCCATGGACGCGGCAGTGGTCGTGGAGGTTTGCAGCAAGACCAAAAGAATGCGCTAGTATTGCTGCATCGCAACAGCCTTGTTGGTGATTTGACACTGATGCCAGGAGGAGGGCCGCGCCAGTCCGGATTTACAACTTGATCTCAAAAGGGAAAGGCAAAAACTAAACAAAATTTTGGAAAGCACTAACTTCTATGCTGGAATGACTGGTTGTTATCCTCAAGGATCAGGCAGCACATCTCTGCAGCCATGCTACCGTGATTCATCTTCTGCGCCCGAGGTTCGACTTCTTGTTCACGCTCCATCGTCCACATCCATTTTCGGGTCTCCGGCGCTGCCGATATCTTCCGGAGAATACATCTCTTTGTCCGTCTCACCGTCGTCATCCGCGCCTGTTTCAACTTCCAAGTGCAGCTCGCTGCCGCCACTGTCGCTTTCATAGCTCGGCACCTGGATTTCATCTTCCTCGCTCTGCTCCCCAGCATCGTCCGCTCCGCCGAATACGAAGTCTGATGAAGACGACGACTGGCGGCCAAGAACGGCGCTCGTCCCACCTGCAGTGGTGACCTCCGGTTGATGGCTTTCCACGTTTTTGTTGATTTCTCTCTGCGGTATGTCCTCTGCTGCAGCAGCTCCTGCAGTGTCAGAACTTCCTGCTGCCGCGCCATCTCCTACGAAATCACCTTCCTCCTGTTGCGCCGCGTGCGCGGCTGCGGCATCTTCCGGCACGGCCTCAAGGTCGGCCTCCTCGTCACGCGCCTCTGGAAAGGCCATTTCCAACAATTGCAGCACAAATTTGGTCACCGGCATAATGCCCCGCCGCGCCAGCGTCCACAGCACGTTGTACACGATTTGGATCGCGCGCTTCAAGTAGTACAAACCACGAGCGCGCAGACTGCATGCGGTGGAGGAAGCGGCGGGCGCACCAGCAGCCGGAGATGAACAATTCGGCCCCGAACCACTCGCACCGGAGGTCGTGCCGAAATTATTTCCCTCCAGTCCTCCCGCGGTGCTGGCCATCGTCCTGGCGAGATAAAGCAGACTTTCGTTGGACCCCGAGCAACAGGACCGGAAATCGAAAAAGTCGTCTGTCATTTCGTCCACGTCGCGACCACCCCCCTCGGCGGGACCATACGACCCCAAGCACGACCCGATGCCCCCGCCTTGCTGCTGGCTCAATACCGGTTCTCCAATCTCCACGGTCGTTTTCCGCTTTTTCTTCTGCTGCAGCAGATTGTTGCTTTTCGTGTAGCTGTTCTGGCCCGGTGAAGATCCCACGGCAGCTCCTACCGACGTATCTTCCGGATTGAAAGATTTCTGTTGTTCCCGACTTTCCAGGACTGCGCGGTCCAATTTTTTCGCGCAGGTCTGCTCCTCGAAGTCGGTGTCAATTTGTCGCCAGCGGGTGCGGATATCGGCCATGACACTGTCGTACACTGGCTGCAGGTGCTGTTCCCGGATTTCTTTCGCGAGCTGGTGCAGCCCGCCGCGTTTCTCCACCTCCTGCGTCAGGTCCTCCCATGCGAGCTTGCCCACGCCGAACGTGAGGCTCAGGCCCTGCGACAGCACCTGTTTCAGCGACACGTAGACCAGCTGGTCCCGGGTGGTGCCCGCGACGGCGAGCTCGTGCTCTATCAGGCCGGAGAGGAACGCCGTTTTGTCCATCAACAGCGAGGCCGAGGAGTACACCGTTCCCCGCATCAGGTTCGCGACGGTGTGTCTGCCGGCCTGCAACAGTCCCCCAAAGGAGCCACCCCTGGTCGTGGTGGTGGTGCCCGAAGCAGGTCCACCTCCAGGTCGACTGCTTGATGGGGCTGCGATGGCAAGTGAACCCTGGATTTGGAAAGGACCTGCCGCTGTAGACGTGCTTCTGCTGCTAGTTCGGTGATTCGAGTTCGCTGCTTGTGCTTCCCGAGCGGGACTATTGCCAGCGTATGAACCGTTGCCCACATGATACTCCTGGCACAGCTCCCCTGGTTCCACCTGCAACGCCGGGGGGAGGCCTGCGGGACGTTGCACGTAACTCTCCTGGCCTCGACCTGCCACACGAAGCGGACTTCCACAGCGTGATGGATGCGATGCTGCTTGTTGTAGCAATTCGTCATCTACTCCTCCATGCTGCGAGGCTCTTTCGCTTTCTGCTTCAACTCCTGATAAGGCATTTCTTGCCGGCTTGACACTTGTTGGTGGTATCGGAGGGGTGGCGGACGAAAGAGCTAGAGAATGCACGAAGTGGTTCTGCGGAGGTGAAAATGGGGAAAGACAAAAGAGGACGGCCAAAAAATAAAGCTGCATTTTCGCACAAGAATGTTGAGTACGATCTTCACCGCAGAAGGAGGGGCTGTCTGACTTTCTTTTCTTATTCACATAATGGTGCTGCATCTTTATTCCACCCTGAAAATTCTGGTAAACTCGTTACAAGATAAAGTGAAAACGTTTAGGTTTAGGTTTACTTCTTCTTAGCCAACAAGAGGCACTTGTTTACACAATTGTGTGTGCTCTTCCTGGCACTGGCGATGAACAAGAAGCTGTTCACAACGGTCTCATTTACATTTTTTACACCGAGCGCTTCGAGCTGCGGGTCTGGAGCCTCCTGGATTGATATTCAAAACGTTGTGAATGTATTTTGTCTTCGACAACGTCATCTATGTTACAGTCAGCGATGAAGCAGGAGGAGTCGCAGTAGGTAAATGTACCCATCATTCACATCTGCGGGCAATAAAAGGCATTTTCATTTTTGGTGCCACGGCACTTCTCTCCTGTCTATATTCTCGGGCAAATACCATAAAGCATTTTCAGAAAAAAATGGTGCGGCGAAACTGAACTCGCAAACTTAATTGTCCGGCCTACTTGTCGTCAAGGTTGTTTTGGGAGCGGCCGAAGGCGTATACCAATGCTTCATCTTTCCCGAAGCTATATGAAGCTCGGAGAGCACAATACAAAGGTGTAATTCTACAAGTTTGGTCAAAGCCATCGTCATGCTCAATATGCTAAAAAGCTAGATTTGAAACAACAGTGGATGAAGACAAATTTATGTACTTGAAATATTGGGATTGGGTCAACCATGACCATCAGATAGCGCTAGTACGACCGCGTGCGGCTGTAGTCACGGCGACTTGTTATACATGAAGTGTTCATTTTGAAATTTTAAGCCAGTTGTAAAAGCAAATGTAAGAATCGTCAAACTTGTCTAATTTCATTGATCATTAGGTGTAGTAAGTGTATAATGTTCATCGGAATACGAAAAAAAATATTCCCCCGTACAACTGCGGTCTTGATGTTACCTCCCGATAATTCCCGTCTCCTACCGTTCTTCTTTATTTCCTGGCATCATGCGCATAATCTTCACTAGTGGAGTAGTACCAGGGTGGAGTAGTACCAGGGAAAAAGACAGGAGTTAAAGAGCCGCAGTAGTTCGCGAAGATGCTTTTACTTCGAGTCGATCACCAGCCCGCCGGACTCGTCGGAATCCTTTTGCATCATGGCCATGAACTCCTCAAAATCGATCTCCCCGTCGCCATTTGCATCGGCGTCGGCCAGGATTTTGCTGATGATATCCTGGCTCACCATCGACTTCAGGTCACCGTCCGCCAGCACATCCGCCAGCTCCTGCTTATCGATCGTGCCGCTGCCGTCCCGGTCGAATACCTGGTGGATTTGGTTTAGAAAAAAATTGTATTTGCTTTCGTAGTACTACGTTTAGTTGCCGATTCTCTACAAATCAAAATCAAGAAATGTCAACAATCATCATCATGTCAATTTCATGAGCCGAACTACTTCCGATTTTACTTTTCGACGTTCTTTCCTTATCCTCACCTTGAAAGCTGCGTAGCAGGCAGATTCTTTCATGTAATGCCTCTTGTCCATGGTGGCTGCTAGGAACTCTGAGTAGTCGATCCGGCCACTCCCGTCACTGTCAATCTGCTGGATGAGCTCCGCTAGCTGTTCCTGGTTATCCTGGAGACCGGCCTTGGCTGTGCGTTTGATGTGTAAGTAGTTATATCTTTGGTCTACTTTTGGAAGGTTTATATCACGACGTAATTCTTATTCTAGTCCTTTCTGCAAAACCCCTAGCTACTAAAAGCAATGGAAAGCAAGAACCGGGGGTTGATGTACCATTAACGAAAACCAAAATGCAAAAAGATAGGATGCTGCTGGATGGCCGTCTCTATTTTTAACAACCGTCGCTGGAGGTGAAATCGAAAACCATATTATTCGTACCGAGTCCCTGTGTGATTTCGTCGATGGTGAGTGTGCCGTCGTTGTCGCTGTCCAGCTGGTAGAAGAGTTCCCTGAGCGACTTGACGGAGTCGTCGGAGATTTGGGTGGCGATCACGGTGAGGGCGGCCTTCTTCAGTTTGTTGCCATTGCGGAAAGAGGTCAGGGGGCCCACGAGGTTGCCGCTGAGCGAGATGGAGGCCGACTTGGGGGCCATCTGCGAGACCCAGACGTGGTCTAACGCCTGCCGCGCCGTGTACCGGTCCACCGGGGACTTTTTCAGCATCTTGGTGATCAATTCCGTTGCATCGTTCGTCACGTTCTTCCAGTCTGCCTGCACAAAGGTAAAACTCGCAAATCGCACCCGCGCCAGCACGTCCTTGTCGTTCTCCCCATAGAAGGGTGGGTAGCCACACAGCATGATATACCTGTGTTGTGTTGTTCGTGTTTCGTTGGCAAAAGGAGGAGCGCTCTTTTTGCATTGACATTTGTCGTTCTTAGGGCGACGAGTCGGTCGGCAGAAAAATCCAACAGAAGCAAATAAACATAAAGTAGTACATGATGACGCCACAACTCCAGATATCGCACGACTGGTCGTATTTTCCGTTCAGAACTTGTGGTGACACGTAATATGGTGTACCTAGTACCATTATATTCGATTTGTTTCAACATACGGTCGCACAGCCAGAAACGTACAGGAAGGCACGTTTTTCGTGCGAGAAAAAGTGAGCACGTCCCGATCCCGAAGGTATCCTCGCATGAAGAGGAATCGAATGGCATTGATTCATAGTACGCAACATGATCCACTTCCACCATAACATCATCAGCCAATTCCACCATTAGCTGCGCGTAGGTACGTGGTAAAAATGCATGTCACGTACATCTTCTTTACATCTTCTGTGCGATGAAAAAACCACATCTAAAACCGCACTTACCAGCCTTTGTTGACTTAAACTCTCCGGGCTTGAACCGGGTTGACAAACCAAAATCGATGATTTTCACCGTGTATCAAAAGTAAAAATGTCTGGGTCTGGAAACTTGTGACGCTGGGTGGCGTCTCATGATGAGGTTGAGGCTACAAGTGCTGGCTCAGCATGACAAGTTTCTAATCTCCTAGGTGTTGCCTATTCTGCATGACAAACTGCGCTTCTGCATCAGAGAAAAGCGGAGCTCTTGGGTAACGTGCATGACAGATTTAAGAGTCATGCCAGACAAGCATGACAAACATGAATTCTTCCAGACGCAGACCCAGACACTTTTACATTTGATACCGTGGAGTCGGCGATGGGCGCTCGGTCTTCCTTGAGCAGAAAGTTCTCGGGCTTGATGTCGCGGTGCATGATGCCCGCTTCGTGCATGTAGTGGACGATGGAGAGAATTTGCCGCATCAGTATCGCACACTCCTTCTCGTTGAACTTTTCACTATCGATGATTCGGTCAAAAAGCTCCCCGCCCTGGCACAGCTCCATTACCTGGAAATAGTGCATCAAGGAGAGAGAAGTCGCATCTCTTGTTGCACGTATCTTTTCACTGTAGTTTAAGTTTTTGCTATGCGATGTCGTAGTACCAAAAACAGAAAACCACCACGGTAACAGCGTGTGCTCCTTCATCCGAAGACTCATTCCGATTCATTTGCGCATGCACATGCAATAGTAGTCGTACGAAAACACAAGTGAAATTCAACATCAACGCTGTAATTGTAATTATACAACTTACCAGGTAGATATTTCTCTGGTCCTCGTAGGATTCGAAGAGTTTTACGATGTTGGGGTGGTCGAGAGACTTCATTATGCTGACCTCCTGCTTAAATCTGTCCAGGTTCTTCACTTGCTTGCTTCCCTTTGGTATGCACTTTACCGCCCGGATCTGGTTCGTCTCCTTATGTGTGCCGCGGACCACAGAACCTGCAATTATCATAATTATTTACATTTTCATGATTGACGAAATTTTTCCATATGGATATGTTGCACAGGGTGGAGAGCAGCGAGAGGGAATTGACATAATGATAATTCCTCGAGTTGTCTACTTCACGACAGAATGCAGATGCAAAAAGTCAAAAATGCGACGAGACGAGGCAGGAATTGGTAGTGGACGAAGATGAGAACGTCGCATGTTTTTCATCATCGAAATACTTACCATAGGTTCCCTGTCCGAGCTTTTTCTCCTCGAAGATGTAGGAGTCATGGATTTTGCCCTTGGATTCGAAAATGAAGTCGACCGCTGAAAAGTTCTGGGCGCCCTTCGGCTTCTTCACCTCCTCCTCAGCCGCTCCTGACGCGGCCGCGGCGGGATCTTTGCCTTTACTACCGCCACACCCCATCTTTAGCTTTACTTTCTTCTACGTCCACACTTTATTTTTTTCCAAACTTTTTTTCTCCGTCGAGGACCGTGTCAACAACAGCAAAGTCAAACGTGAACAAGAAGCGACAATCTCAATCACATACAAGCGTTCGTCCTCCAGCACCACCCAGCACTCTCTTCCACCTATGTAATTCTTTTTCTTCCATGCTCCTCAGGTCCTTTCTGCTCGCTCTCCTGCTGGGGTCCACACGTAAGAAGAAAGTAAGTCAAGCACTCAGGTTCAAATTTGGCAGCTTCTCTCAAAAGAATGAGTATTATTTTTGCACTATGTTTCTCTCCAAGAGCCTATTTTCATTTTGTATCTCAATGCTCATGCTGGCGATGCTGAAAAGAACAATAGCTGTGCGGAATCCCGAATCCGTCCTCTCTAATAGCGGTTAATAGTGACTGTCAATAATGGAGGCGGAGCACGGTTTCGTCTTTGTTCGTGCCCCCTCGTGCCGGTGTGGAGACGCCGTAAATGCACCTACTTTATTATCCCCATGCTATGTCCTAATCAATCGCGATATCAACGGGAATAGTGCCACCCGAAACAGTAACTGAGCGATTGAGTGCTGGAAGCTCACTGTCACTTGTTGTGGCTGATGTCATTTTTGGAGTATAATTGAATCCAGCACAAGCCTTTCATTTTCGTCGGGACCAGGTGGTACAAGAAGAAGAACTGTAGCCTAAAACAACATTACATTATGATATAGATATTTTTGCTCTTCATTGACGTTGCCTACCCGTCACATCATGCCCCGTGGTTGTCAAGCGCGCCTTTTTCTTTCTCCATAAAGCGCAGCAGTTGCCGCAAAGACAAGAATTTTTCTTCATCTACAAAGCGTTCATGAAGCTGTTGCCAATCTTGCCAGCTCCATCCTTCGCACTTTTCCGGCTCCAGGTTCTGGGGTGTCCGGTCCTCGCCAATCTTCGGCGTGTGCAGCATGAAGATCGTGACGTAGTGCTTTTCCTCCGTGTACACGTCGTTCGAGACGTAAAGAAAGCGAAAATTTTCGGGTTCCAACACTAGCCCAGTTTCTTCTCTAACTTCCCGTGCGGCGCAATCGGCCCACTCCTCACCCATCTCTAGGTGTCCACCGGGTAGGGCGTATTGCCCCGCACCGTGAGACTTTTTCCGCTTGCCGACCAAAATGTGTCCCGCGCGATTTACCAACACGCATCCCACACCGACACGCACGGTCGGCGGGGGGGCCTCTACTTTCGTCAACGGCGCATGATCTCCTCCAGAAGTGGCCGTCATTCAATCTTCGGCTCTTAATACGATAAAAGTGAAACGAAGCTCGATCATTCGCCTATCCATAAGAAGCAGTTGAGAAACCTAGCTTCGATTTTCGTGTAAGTGCAAGGGCAAGCAATAATATCATAATCTACCGGTCCTTGTTGACTTATTCTTCCAGAACCACCCCGCTCTGCACACGACCATATTGCTTATTCACTCCGCCTGCAGTGATGAGGAAAACGAAATTGAAAGCGAGGACATCGGCATTGAACAGGGGCGATATTCGCCAAACTACCTTGCAATTCAATGACTTCTTGCAAGTACGTCGTCAGCCTTCGACAGCAGCAGAAAATCATAAGTAATAAGCATGAGCATCTTAGGCTTTCAATTTTCGCAGAAAAACGTCGCTTCTTGGTTGTGCCGCCATTTATTTCTTTTCTAGAATTTTTGCTGTCGTATTTGTATATCATTCGTTCTTGGAATCCTTCTTTATCGTTTGGTGAGGGATTCGCTGTCCTTCTCTAAAAATGAATGTGAATCTAATCTAGCGTATAATCTATAAACTACAGCAGGATCATCGGTGACAGTGACTGACTATAAAAAACAAGTTGAAGTTTCCTCATCAGTGTGACATCATACCTTTTGCGAGTCACATTCTGAAAGAAGCACTGCGGCCACTATGTATTTATCGTTTGTAATCTCATCGCGCACTTTTCGTGACGACATAGCGGTGTGGCGCACTTCTTGTTTTCGTTTTCTACGTATTTGATTTTGATAAATTGATTTCGAATTCACACAATACTTCCAACTTTGCAGAAAGTCCTCTGCTCTTGTACCCCTCGTGATCGTCGCTCTTTCCCCGAATAACGAAGTTGACGCAGAGTGATCCTTACCACCGAAAAACGCATACAACTTCATCGATCTAGACAGAAGGCGCCGCGCACTTTCCATCTAGTTAAATGATTTAAACTCATCCACTGCTTTTGGTTTTATTCGTCCTCCTCCTGCTCCTCGTCCTCCTCCCAAATCACTTCAAGCCGCCTGCTCATCCTAGGTCGGCGGGTCTGATGTAATTCTTGTTTCCATGAAGTAGATCAAGATATGTGCACAATTGTAAATTATTGCGCTTCGTTTCCTCTTTAGTCTTGCTACATGTGCATGCCGTGCGGTTATTGGATTGGACTTAATAGGTTTGATGATGTATATAGATTTACCTACCTTAACTACCTGCGCCCTGTTGACCACGTGCCCCTGGGTTGTAACCGTGCTGCTGCTCCTTCCTGTTGAAATGTTGACCATGTTTTCCATCCCGTCCTCCGTAGCCCACTTCCCGACGCTTTGCTCGATTTCCTTGTGCGTTTTCTTCGCGGCCCGTATTTCTTCAGCAGGTGTGTCTTCAAAGGACAACGTCTCGAAGTACGTCTTTTGGTGAACCGTGGCCCAGAGGTGCAACTCTTGATACAGATGTGCACGGTAAGGAAATCTCGCTTTCCCCACGGTGTACATGTCAGCCCGAAGTTGTCCCGATATCTTCTTCGCAAATTGTGGATAGCCACAGCTGCATACCAACCGAATCAAAGCCACGTCGCAGAGCACCTCGCACTGCTCGGTCTCCGGCCTGGTCACGGTGCAAAAGCTCCTGTACAAGTTCAGCAGTGCTGGGTAGACCACATCTAACACTAGCTGCCGGAACGGCTTAGGTGTATGATGGTGCACAACTACTCGTCCCCTGCTCCTTCATTTTTGTCCTACCAACCTGACCCAATGCAGCCCTATCTTCAGACCCGAAGTTTCTTTGCGTTTAATGGCGCCCTGCTGGAATGATAAAACACAGGGGATGAATACAACAGGCGACGCAACTACCTGCCCACGCGGCAGAAACAGTGTCCGCCAATAAGACATTGCTGGAACAGTGTTCATGCGCCAGGCGACCCCGTTCGTTGCAAACCCAAACGCAGCCTGAAAATACTGTATGCAAAGAAAAAAATCAGACCTGGTTTATCGTCTTCGTCCTTTCGTGCCTTTTGTGTACTAGCAAGTTGCGGAAGTCGCAATTACAAAAAGAACAACTGCATCAGCGCAACAGCCCGCGGCGCATTGATTTTCTACGCGCAGGAAGCTGCGCTGCTGCGGTTTATTCATCTGTCGGAGTAGACATCACATCAGCGTCACGGAAAAACAAAATGAGGAAGGAGCAGGGGGCGAAACTACTCCACTCCCGTAATTTTCAGTATGCGGCCAATAGTACTGCTCTAGCTCCTGAGTAAGAGCGAGGAAGAGGGCAGGGCTGCAGGGTCTCTCCTGAATCCGTAGGCTCCGCAGTACCTGTAGCAATACTGCAAAAGCTTCTTGTTTTGAACACGGACTGCTCCGTAGCATGTTTAACGTGTTCCATGCCTCCGCGTGGTCGTAGGCATACGAGGAGGACGAGGACGCAGGTATTGCGTCGGACGCACTGGTCTCGGTTTGTCGAAGCGTATCGGGACACAGTTCCTCGCTCGCTTCAGCCATTGTGGGTGCGCTGCTCCTCCTAGAGCGAGAGCACAAAGTGATATTTTTAGGACGAGCGTAACAAAGTTAGAGTCAAATTTAGAAGACGATGCTCAACAAAGTAAAAAGCAAAGTGTTCACAGGTTGGGACATGGGAGATAAATTTAAATTATTCAATACAGACTACTAGGATAGAACGTATTCGTGTTGACCTCACTACATATTATGCACGAATACCTTGGCGCGATACAAAAAGCGAGTCAGCTGCAATCACCGTCTCGTATGTACTTAAATGTCGGACTCTTTTCCTGGGCTTGGTGGTTCTTTTTTGAAACGCCAACAAGCCACCTCCTTCCACAACCTACCTCAAGTCGCAGTCGGCAACACAAAGAAAAATAACACCAAACAAAAAAAAATGAACAAAAACTAACGAGGTGGAGGTGGTAGATCGAAAACCAGATCTGCCCTTCGCAAACACAACTCACTATACGCGGATGATCCATTGCAATTATCATTATTGGAACCAATATACACTCTCATGATCTGTCCGAAATTATAAATTAGGGAACAGCCACAGTTGTGAATCTGCAAAGATCACATTGCACTGCGGCGTAGTTCCTACACCTACTGCATGATCAGCGACAAACATTGACATTAAAAATGGCGGTGCCAGGGCCGACACATCGAATTCTGTAGCGTGCTTGACCTTGAGCGAGGAGAGCGCGAGCCTTCCTGCTACAGAAAATGCAAAGCGATATTGAACTCCTCCTCCCTTTATCTGGAGCTTAAAACGGGAGAAGTTTTTTGTAACGCACAACAGCTACATGAACTAGTAATATCAGTGATCGTAATCAGATCACGAGCAGACGCACTGACTCTACCCACCCGTCAATATTCAAGTTCTAATATTCTTCGCGCGGCTCTTTTACAACTGAATATCGAAAACATGACACGGAACGCTTCCAACATCAAATGCGCATCTTTAAAGCTACTGCCGGAGGAACAGAATCATTCTCGACAAAAGGGAGAGCTCCGGCTGTTCGGAGAATGCTGAAAATAAAGCGAAATGCTCTACAGCTCTCCGTGATGTTGAACGGGATTTTCGCCACAATCCGGGCTACAGCCTGAATGTTCGGATCGGGGGCGGCCCATTTGGCCACGCACAACGCTGCGAAAGCAGGCGCGCGCATGAGCATTTGCTGCTGCTGGCGCCTGGGCTAGGCGCTTGCGCTTGGGTGCGAGCGTGTACTATTCCCATCGGCCAGCGCCAGGGCGGGAGAGAGACCAAAGGCGCCCCACCCAGCTCTACCCGGGCCGTCGGAGAAATACACGACCGCCCCCGATGAGAAGACTGACGGGCGGGCGCCCGTCGGGGCGGCCCACATTAACGCCCCCGGCCTGCCGGGCGCGCGGCATATGGGCCGCGGCCTCCGCCGAAGGGCGTCGCCTTACCGAGGGCGGGCGCGATCGCCCGCCCTCACAACAAGAACAGCTAGCGGGGCCAAAACTTCCAGCGCTGTTCCAAAGGAGATGGCCGGAGTCGCCCCGCGGTTGCCGCCACATGTTCACGGACACACTGCAAGCCTGGAAAAAACTCCTCGACCTCCATTCTGACTCTCTTCTGGCCCTGGCTAGTAGTAGCGCATACTGTTCGCAAGCAAAAGCATAGGCATTCCAGACTCCGCCCAAAAAATAAATAAATAAACCTAACGCTGCATTGGTTCACTTTTCCCGAAATCGCTCACAGCAAGAGCTCGCAAATTCGTTGAGGAAGAAAAATACTCAATTACTTCCTGCTCCTGTAAGTAAAACGAATGAAAGATACACAAACGTCAGGAAGGCGCCTTGCAGAAAATTGCAATTGGCATTTCTCTCATCGCGGGCTTCGTGTGTGTGTTCCAGCTCGGTCGATATCGATGACACTCACCTGTGGAAGAGACGAAAGAGGAAAATCACAATGTTGCGGTGACCAAAGAGAAAAAAGAAAAATAATATAGCATTTTCACCGGCTCAACGACTCAAAATTAGTTGCGAAGAAAAACCACAAATCTGCCCCGGCCCCGGTGCGACCAAATCGGAAGCAAAGGGCCCCCAGGCAGCACGCTGTGCCCCGGCGCGACCAAATCGGAAGAAAAATCGGGCCCAATCTGGAGACCTTTTGGACCCTTCAAACAGGGCGGCGTGGGGTCGATTTTTTTTCCGAAGAAGTTGCCGCCACATCTGCCCCGGCCCCGGCGCGACCAAATCGGAAGAAAAATCGGGCCCAATCGGGAGACCTTTTGGACCCTTCAAACAGGGCGGCGTGGGGTCGATTTTTTTTCCGAAGAAGTTGCCGCCGCATCCATCTGCCCCGGCCCCGGCGCGACCAAATCGGAAGAAAAATCGGGCCCAATCTGGGGACCTTTTGGGCCCTTCAAACAGGGCGGCGTGGGGTCGATTTTTTTTCCGAAGAAGTTGCCGCCAAATCTGCCCCGTCCCCGGCGCGATCAAATCGGAAGAAAAATCAGGCCCAATCTGGAGACCTTTTGGAACCTTCAAACAGGGCGGCGTGGGGTCGATTTTTTTTCCGAAGAAATTGCCGCCAAATCTGCCCCGGCCCCGGCGCGACCAAATCGGAAGAAAAATCGGGCCCAATCTGGAGGCCTTTTGGACCCTTCAAACAGGGCGGCGCGGGGTCGATTTTTTTTCCGAAGAAGTTGCCGCCAAATCTGCCCCGGCCCCGGCGCGACCAAATCGAAAGAAAAAGCGGGCCCAATCTGGAGACCTTTTGGGCCCTCCAAACAGGGCGGTGTGGAGTCGATTTTTTTTCCGAAGAAGTTGCCGCCAAATCTGCCCCGGCCCCGGCGCGACCAAATCGGAGGAAAAATCTGGCCCAATCTGGAGACCTTTTGGACCCTCCAAACAGGGCGGTGTGGTGTCGATTTTTTTTCCGAAGAAGTTGCCGCCAAATCCGCCCCGGCCCCGGCGCGACCAAATCTATCGGAAGAAAAAGCGGGGCCAATCTGGAGGCTTTTTGGACCCTCCACAAAGGGCGGCGTGGGGTCGATTTTTTTTTCCGAAGAAGTTCCCGCCAAATCTGCCCCGGCCCCCCGGCGCGACCAAATCTATCGGAAGAAAAATCGGGCCCAATCTGGAGACCTTTTGGACCCTCCAAACAGGGCGGCGTGGGGTCGATTTTTTTTCCGAAGAAGTTGCCGCCAAATCTGCCCCGGCCCCGGCGCGACCAAATCTATCGGAAGAAAAAGCAGGCCCAATCTGGAGACCTTTTGGACCCTCCAAACAGGGCGGTGTGGGGTCGATTTTTTTTCCGAAGAAGTTGCCGCCAAATCTGCCCCGGCCCCGGCGCGACCAAATCTATCGGAAGAAAAAGCAGGCCCAATCTGGAGACCTTTTGGACCCTCCAAACAGGGCGGTGTGGGGTCGATTTTTTTTCCGAAGAAGTTGCCGCCAAATCTGCCCCGGCCCCGGCGCGACCAAATCTATCGGAAGAAAAAGCAGGCCCAATCTGGAGACCTTTTGGACCCTCCAAACAGGGCGGTGTGGGGTCGGTTCTTTTTCCGAAGAAGTTGCCGCCAAATCTGCCCCGGCCCCGGCGCGACCAAATCTATCGGAAGAAAAAGCAGGCCCAATCTGGAGACCTTTTGGACCCTCCAAACAGGGCGGTGTGGGGTCGATTCTTTTTCCGAAGAAGTTGCCGCCAAATCTGCCCCGGCCCCGGCGCGACCAAATCTATCGGAAGAAAAAGCAGGCCCAATCTGGAGACCTTTTGGACCCTCCAAACAGGGCGGTGTGGGGTCGATTCTTTTTCCGAAGAAGTTGCCGCCAAATCTGCCCCGGCCCCGGCGCGACCAAATCTATCGGAAGAAAAAGCAGGCCCAATCTGGAGACCTTTTGGACCCTCCAAACAGGGCGGTGTGGGGTCGATTCTTTTTCCGAAGAAGTTGCCGCCAAATCTGCCCCGGCCCCGGCGCGACCAAATCTATCGGAAGAAAAAGCAGGCCCAATCTGGAGACCTTTTGGACCCTCCAAACAGGGCGGTGTGGGGTCGATTCTTTTTCCGAAGAAGTTGCCGCCAAATCTGCCCCGGCCCCGGCGCGACCAAATCTATCGGAAGAAAAAGCAGGCCCAATCTGGAGACCTTTTGGACCCTCCAAACAGGGCGGTGTGGGGTCGATTCTTTTTCCGAAGAAGTTGCCGCCAAATCTGCCCCGGCCCCGGCGCGACCAAATCTATCGGAAGAAAAAGCAGGCCCAATCTGGAGACCTTTTGGACCCTCCAAACAGGGCGGTGTGGGGTCGATTCTTTTTCCGAAGAAGTTGCCGCCAAATCTGCCCCGGCCCCGGCGCGACCAAATCTATCGGAAGAAAAAGCAGGCCCAATCTGGAGACCTTTTGGACCCTCCAAACAGGGCGGTGTGGGGTCGATTCTTTTTCCGAAGAAGTTGCCGCCAAATCTGCCCCGGCCCCGGCGCGACCAAATCTATCGGAAGAAAAAGCAGGCCCAATCTGGAGACCTTTTGGACCCTCCAAACAGGGCGGTGTGGGGTCGATTCTTTTTCCGAAGAAGTTGCCGCCAAATCTGCCCCGGCCCCGGCGCGACCAAATCTATCGGAAGAAAAAGCAGGCCCAATCTGGAGACCTTTTGGACCCTCCAAACAGGGCGGTGTGGGGTCGGTTCTTTTTCCGAAGAAGTTGCCGCCAAATCTGCCCCGGCCCCGGCGCGACCAAATCTATCGGAAGAAAAAGCGGGCCCAATCTGGAGACCTTTTGGACCCTCCAAACAGGGCGGTGTGGGGTCGATTCTTTTTCCGAAGAAGTTGCCGCCAAATCTGCCCCGGCCCCGGCGCGACCAAATCTATCGGAAGAAAAAGCAGGCCCAATCTGGAGACCTTTTGGACCCTCCAAACAGGGCGGTGTGGGGTCGATTTTTTTTCCGAAGAAGTTGCCGCCAAATCTGCCCCGGCCCCGGCGCGGCCAAATCGCGAGAAAAATCGGGCCCAATCTGGAGACCTTTTGGACCCTCCAAACAGGGCGGCGTGGGGTCGATTTTTTTTCCGAAGAAGTTGCCGCCAAATCTGCCCCGGCCCCGGCGCGACCAAATCGATAGCCTTTCTGGGCCCCCAAGCAGCATGCTGCGGCTTGGTTTTTCCGGCAAAAAAATCAGGCCCAACCCGGCAACGGCAAGCACAACGACGACGACGCGTGCTGCTATGATCAGGACAATTGCGGTGCGGTATCTATTGATTCACAAAGCACGTTCGATCAGCGAGGAATTACGATGAACCGACATTACGTAGTTGTGCTTTCCGCCGGAACGAGAACAGGGGCACCTCCGGGAGTGGTAAAATAAATAGATAGATGATCAACCTCATTATATGAGCGAGGCGTCCTCTTGGTCAAAGAAAACCTCCATTGCGATTCCATTCCGCCTCTTGCATTTATTTCTCAGTTACAGTTCCCTTTTTTTGATGTCGGGCGGTGTACCAAATCGGTATTGGTTTGCCTCTGTCCGCCTCTTACTCGTGAAGCTAAAGCTGTAGCGCTCCACAAGAAATAATTACCTCGGTGGAGAAAGTCTGAATTTATCTTTAACTTTGCAACACCTGGGAGATTCTGAAACTACAACCGTGTCAAGCTGTCACAAACACGAAGAAAGAAAAGCGCCTTTTGGATTTCCCTTTTTCGACCCCACAAAGGAAGAGTTCTACTTTATAAATTCGATGCTCGCGGTATCACTAGTTGGCCTCGTTCTCAGTGCATGAGACATAGATGCGTCTGCGCCGAAGCTCTACCTCTAGATCGACGCGCTAGATAATTCTACAGTGCAGCTATCACAATGTGAATGCTGCAGCTATTCACAATGACAAGGAATAAGGTTTGTGAACTCATCACGAATTTATCGCAAGGACTTCCACCCTTTACCTTTAGTTTGCAACTTCAAGCTTAAGTTACACCTCGAGTTCGAGAAACTATAAATATATTTCATTCGTGGTCGCATTGTAGTGCAGATTCTTATTGACATCCATATCGGCGAAGAGTACTATACCTTGTTGTTGTTTACTGCAAAGAAAAAGCTTGACGAAAAGGCGTCGAAACAAATCCTTGAGTGCAGAATCCTTCCGCGTAGCAATACAGGTAGCACCTCGTCTACTATACATTCTAGAGGCCTCATCATGATTTAAGTATATCTATATATACTATTTGCGTTTATTTTTGTCTTCAATCATACAGTCTCACTTCGAGCTCTCTTTGGTCAATTGCCGCTCCACGCCGTCGTCGTCAAGACGACCAATCGCCCCAATGGTCTTGTTTAGTTCATAAATAGAGTAAATAAAAGCAGATCCTTCTGAAATGTGAATCCATTCGAGATCGAGTAAAATATTTCTTGGTGTACCGCTCCGTCGACGCTGCGCCTAACCATCTTCAGCAGGCTGCAACGTTGAGCCGCAAAGTCACAATCGACTTAGCAAAATCTAGGCGCCACCACAAGGAGGACGATCCTCTACACACACATTTGGTAACGTAAACTGTCCAAAAGTCAATTGGCTTTGGCACAAAAGCAAAAGTGAATAAGCGTATCAAATTTACAAAAAGCAAAAAGAAAGCGTTCTGGTTGTAGAACGGCGAGTCGTTTGAACGTAAACGTATTCTTTGTCTCTCTACTTCACCAGATCTACACTGCTCTTTGTTTTTTATTTACAGTTCTGAGATAATTACTGGAGACGAAAGCTGCACCGATGTACAGTTTTGGAAAATCTGCCTGCAGTTTTTCAATGCCAGCGGCTCCTGCTGTAAGGCAATACATAGATTCGTGGTTACTACACGCGAGGGGCGCTTCATTTGCTCGACTACTGTTTGTTCTTTATGTAATCTTCTGCGGCCAGTCCATTACCATTTACTTGTATTCAGTTGTGTCTGTCCTCACTGCAGATTGACGAGATTGCCGTCACGTCTGCAAATTGCTTCTGCTTCTGGGCCGCGTTTCGTATTACCATCCTGGCCGATTAGCAGCAGCGTGTCGGACGGAAGCAGCGCTTTCAGTTTTTCCCTCGCTTCTTTTCTCAGGACCGCCAGGGGTTTGCCTTCATCGGTGCTTCTCGTTCTGACGCCGAAAAGCTCCGCAAACTCGGTTTCCGTAGTCGGCTGAAGTACCGTGACACCGCGGGGGAGATCTCCCTCGAGGAGAGACGCCAGAAAATATGCCTGCGAAATCTAACTGCTGTTTTTTCAGAATCTGGAAGTCTTTTCAAACCTAAGCATTTTGTTCCTCTCGGCAAAGCTACAACGACTATTCTGCTTTATTTACCAACACAGTAGACAAGCTGCCAGCGATAGAAGCAAGTAGTCAGCACCTGAAAATTTTCCCTTGTCAGGTGGGCAGGAGCTAGGCAATTCGGAATGTAAAAATCCGCATTCTTACCTATTTTTATCTCTCAGACGTACGTCGTGATCGTGTCACGATAAAATCTGGATTGTTAGCTGCCACGATTTAGACTTACAGAGCCCAGTAGAATGTGATAGCAGTTTGATTTATTGGCGTAGAGCGTCACACACCTCCTGGATCAGTGCCGCCGATGTACCCGTGCTGTCGCCCGGGATACAATCGCGAATCTCATCGGCCGCCTTACGGCAAAAATCCGCAATCTGTTCGTCCGTAGCGTTCTTCTTCAGCTTTTCCCCGGTAGTGGCGGGACGCCGGATCTCATGGTTTCTGATCTTTCCAGCGGATTTTTGCCCACCTCGGCCACCTGCGCCGGCGGCAAGCTCCTTTGCGAGCCCTTCGAGCGTGGCGCGATGAACATCGTAGCCTTGCCCGCTATCCGTTTTGAAGTTGAACGCCTCATTCGCGAGCCGGCGCCCGGTGAGGTATTCGCATACTGCTAGGGAGAGCGCGGGGTAGTCGTTGCTTGCGGTAACGGGACGCGTCCGCACTACCGAAACCGGGCCAATCCTTGCTGCTGGGGCGAAGTCACTGTTCCCGTACGACTCTCCGTCCACCTTGGTAACGTGGTCTAGTAAGCGGAGCTTGCCATAGTCGAGCAGGCGGGCTTGCATCGTCTTCTTCCCGTTTATCTGGTGTAGTTTGAGGTACATCTACATACTTGTTCACGTTAAAGAACTTCTTCCTCGCAATCGCAGAGCAAATGGTGTTGCGTCATGAACTTCGAACTCCAAAAAAAACAACTATCGATATTGTTATTGAGGAGACAGTACATTAGAAGCATCCGCGAAAACATTCTGCATGCATTGTCTTGTATTCCCAAACCCAAAGGGGAAACACGAAGTCAAACAGCAAAAAAAAACGCAAATGAAAATTAAAAACCTGCTCTTTGTAGTGATCTGAAAAGAAGTTGTACCAGCTTCAAAACAGGCTTGAGATTGGTTTCCGAAACGTCAAAATGGATCACGGAGAAACGGTTGTTCAAGAAACCCAGTCCCTCTAGGCCGCTCGAAATGAGACTCAGCAGAGCTGCCGCAGCCGCGCCCTTGTTTTGCGTCTCGAGCTTGTTCAGCGTGATCCGGAATTTCCATCCAGCTGCGCCAGCGTCCTCTTCGTCATGCAGCAGGCCAGCCTTGCCGACAGCAGGCATCGTAATAGCCTAAATGTATATTTCAATTTAAATTCATTTTATATCTATTTCTGAGGGACTCAGATCCTGCTTCTACTTGCATGCAAGATCGAGATCCTATTTGGTCTCGATGAGACCTTTTCGTATCATCTTGAAACACGGTGCATCCCACCCAGCAATTACAATATTCCGAATTACTATAATATATAAGTACAAAACTTGGCCAGAGCCAAACAAAAACCACAATACCAGAACGGTCGTTGTGGTCTTGACGTTTTTCCCGCCAAAATAGCTCGTTACATCGACGACTCGGAAGCGGTCAATCGACACAGCGTGCAGAAGCTCATCTGGTCGGTCCTCCTCGCGGGCCAACCGCTGCAGCGCAACCACCTCGCGGTAGTTGTCGTCCAAGTCGTCGCTATGGCACAGTCCGACAGACTCTCCGTGAGAGTTCTTATAGTCGCCCGATTCTAGGATGAGCTTCACGGCCACGGGCTGTTTTGACGTTTTGCTGCAGCCGATAAATACTGCGCCGAAAGATCCGGGATCGCCGAGGGGCTGGGGTGGACTCACCGATGTATCGTAGAGCTCCCCCAGGACTGCCGAGAAAGCCCGCTGAATTGCTGTCTTTGCACCGCCGGTTCCTTTCACTGCCGGAATACTGCTGCTCCGTATTCGCTTGTCTTGGTCATCGCTTTTCGGGTGTGGCAGGTCCAATTCTTTTGGATTTTTGGCCTGATTTGCTCGTTCTCGTCGACTCGGAGGCACACTGCTGTGTCGTTTGCTCGCTTCTGGTTCATCTTCATCTTTGTGTAACGATTCGAGAACGACCTGCACCTTCTTGCCCCCCTCTTTGCTGGCAACGTCATTTATTTTGTCCTTCGCACTAGCCGCGGCAGTTTTTTTCGCAGCTCTTGTTGCCGGCTTGAAGCTGCTTGCTGCGCCCTGCTTCCGCTTCGTGGAGGTCTCCCGGGCTTTTCCTACTTGCTTCTCCTTGGCTGTTGTGGTAGCAGTGGAACTCGAGGACGAAGCTACAAAAGGCGAAGATGAAGAAGACCCGGGCAGCCCCGCCTGCTGCTCCGCTGCAATGGACAATTGGGCTGCCGAAACCTTTCCAGCAGCTGCTTTCATCTTTCCACCGCGATCTTTTCGGCTATTGGACCGCGCAGACGCATGTTCATTTGCAGCAGCTTTCCCGGCATCCGCAATTATCGGCTTTTGCGGGTCCTGGGAGCTACTTGACAACCCAGCGGGTTCTGCTGTGTTACGATCCACCTGTCCCGTTGCAGTAGAAATACTAGTTGTTGTACACGATTTCCGAGCGAAGATGTTGGAAGACCCTGCCGGTGCGATGCTAGAAGACCCTGCCGGAGCTAGTAGTTGTGCATGTGCGTTGTTGGAAGACCCTACCGGAGAAGTCGAGTTAAGCAGTGGGAGTGGCTCACCTTCCGGCACCAATGACGAGTTGTCGCATGAACATGATTCCAGGCGTTCTGCTCCTCGCGGCAGGATGGTCGTACTACTTTCGTTTTTGATGTTTGCAGCATGTACATTTGCGTGTATCTTCTTCTCATTCAACTGTGTTGAGAATCGCAACTTCGCGGAATTCAAAGGTGGTGGTGCTGAGAACGCGGAAAAAGTAGATGAAGATGCTGCTGTCGTGTCTACGGTGCCGCTTGTGACCACGCCTGCTACTGATCGACTTCCTTCGAAACTCGGCTTTTCCTTTTGCGGCTCATTCTCATTCACGAAATATTTTCTGGGAGCAATAATACGCCGCTTGCGCTGGGTCTTGTCCTGCACCTGCTGCCTACCTCTTGCAATATCCTCCTCACCAATAGAGTGGTCGAGGCAAGGTTCCGGCGAGAACGGGTCATCGGTCAGTCTCTTACCTGCGTATTTTATTTATTGTTGGCGTCCTCTCTTATGATATGGTACAAGGCTTGCGCACTCCAAGTACATGGACTTCAAACTGTGGATGTGCCCGGGATCCCAAAAAAATGCCGACTCTGTGTTTGTAGGGGAGGTCATCCGCCATCCCAAATGGCGTCTCTTAGTTTCCAGCTCTACTCATGCATGATACGAGGTTGCACTCACCACGATTGTTCATCGACTTCTAACACGTCTCTTCTGTAGAGACGAGTCTTTGAGTGTCGACACCACAAAAGTATTTTAGTTTTTGGCGGAACAGAACAACTAGTAGTGTCGCTGGTACCTCCTTGTCCTGCTGCTCCGCCCATAATATGCATATCATGCATCGGGGAGATGCTACTGCTCGAAGAGGGGGATGAAGAGGAAGAATCCACTTCCGCAATTGCTGGCGGTGGTGCTGCTGGCTCTGGCAAAACATTTTCCACGAGTGCTGGTGGTTGCTGAAACAAACCTGTTGCCGGGTTTTGTGATACAGGTGTCGCTGAAGCAACGTCAACGAAAAATGTAAAAATCGAGCATCTTCTACATTTTAATCTGCATTCATCACGAACGCCGCATGATAGATCGCGCTTGCGGACATTTAGAAAATTCGTATTGGTTTTAGTATTTTAAATGGAGACGCGGATGCACCAAAAAAACCGTGTATTGTAACCAACACATTCATGTGATACCAGTGGCACTAGCTGCCGCCGACGACGAAGTACTTGAAGACCCCGCTAGTAGCTGTCCACCGGTTCCGGTAGTAGCTGTTGTTTTTAAAATACGTTGGGCGTTTGGCTGCACCTGCCTAGAGGAAGATTCGCTGACGATTGTTTGCGCTATTGATTTCCAATGAAGTCTCAAGCTTGTGTTTTATCCTTTTTCCTCTGCCCTTGTGTGCATCGTGCAGCAGAATCAGATATTCATGACTAACAAGTCAACTTCTGAATTCACAGAAAGCGAAGAACTAAGGACCTCGAAGCTATGAACAAAATATCGCTGGTCCTCTGTCTATTCATTGTGAAACAGAAATAGTAAATTAATACAAGACGCTGGTGTTGTGTCCGGCCCGATAAGTAGCCCGTCAATTTTCGAGAGCAGCGCTCGAATTTGCTGGGTGTAGAGACGGACCTCTTCGATGACCTTATCCCGCGCGCCGCAGCCTGTGCAAGTGCTTGTTTCACTTTGCGCCATTCTTGTCTCCTTCTCCGGGGCTGGTGCAAACGGCGAATGCACGCGATTGGTCTGCGTTCGTTTTCTCTCCGTTTTGCGTAATTTTCTCACAGCTCTGCTTTTCAAACGCGAACAAGAAGAAAGAAAGCAAAGTGCTAGGCTCTGTTTTTCAAGTGCGTTGTGAAACTTCGGCCACTCTCACTGCTTCACCTACTATTTTCAATCGGATGTGTCTTGAGCCGGATGGGTGTAATTCTTGTGTAGGTAGAAGAGGTTGGGTTTACTTCAGAGGTGAAAGCGTCATGCTCATGATCGCCTTAGGCAATGTCAGTCCCAGGTGGACGACTTTTATCTCACTTACTCTCCATAACCTGCCCTATTTTTCACGATCGCAAATTCTTGTCAAACTGAAAGATTTATTTAATTCGTAGAGTGTCGACTCGTTGATTATGTGACACACTCACATCTTCATCTTCGAAATAAAAAGAAAAATAGCGTAGCATTTTCACCAGCTCAACGACTCAAAATTAGTTGATGCGAAGAAAAACTACTCGAAGACGAAAAAACGAACCGACGCAGAAGTGCAAACGGGAAATGGCATGTTGCTGTGTCTGCAAATCCAACTTTAAGTTTTTGCTTTTTATTTGTTCGCTCTTTTGGTCACTCTCTGTGTCTCGACGGCTCTTTTACATACTGAATATCGAAAACATGACGCGGAGCACTGCCAACATCAAATGCGTATGCGCAGCTTTAAAGCTACTGCCGGCGGAACAGAGCCACTCTCACCAAATCAATGGCAGAGCTCTGGCTGTTCGGAGAATGCTGAAGAAAAAGTGAAATACAGCTCTCCGTGATGTTGAGCGGGATTTTTGCAACAACCCGGGCTGCAGCCTGAGTGTTCGGGGGCGGCCGATTTGGCCACAACGCTGCGATAGCAGGCGCGCGCATGAGCATGCGCTTCTGCGGATGCAGCAGCGCCTGTGCTCGGCGCTTGCGCTTCCGCTGCTGCGATAGGCTAGGCGCTTGCGCTTGGGTGCGCGTACAATTCCCGCCGGCGAGGGGAAAGAGACCACACGCGCCCCACCCAGCACTATCACTATGTGGGCCGCCGGAGATGAAATACACCACCGCCCCCGATGGGAAGACGGGCGGGCGCCCATCGGGGCGGCCCACATGAACGCCCTGGGCCTGCAGGGCGCGCGGCATACGGACCGCGGCCCCCGCCGAAGGGGAAGGGCGTTTTCTCGATTGCCGCTTGCTTCGCCGGCGCATCGGTCCCCGGAACAAATTATATCGCTCTGCCCAGTGGAATCCCCTCTGACCACGTCGATAAGCGAGGTTTCCTGCAGCCCGAATTTGTTCTGTGTATCTGCGGATCTCTTCGATCTTCTTATCCCGCCCCCGCGCAAGGCAGCCTGCGCAAGCATCTTCATGATTTTGCACCATTGCGCACCTTCTTAGAAGGTCGACTCGTTGATTTATTATGTGACACACTCACATCGAAGAATCGAAGAGAAAAAAGAAAAATAGGATAGCATTTTCACCAACTCCGACTCAACGACTCAAAATTAGTTGCGAAGAAAAGCCACTCAACGACGAAAAACCGAACCGACGTAGTGCAAACGGGAAATGGCATGTTGCTGCGTCTGCAAATGCAAATCCAATTCTTTCTGTCCCCAACAGTAATTTTTTTCGCTCTTTTGGTCACAGTCACTCTCTGTGTCTCGACCGCGAATTGTGGCATTGTTTCCAAAAGACAAAATTGAAATATGCTTCGTGTTTGCTACACACCTCCATTTGAGCGGCTGCACGTGCTTAGGATACAGAAACGGCGTCATGCTTTTTGTGAACACGACCAGAAATAACACTATTTCTATTACTAGCGGAAGCGGTGTTCGTTTTTTGGTTGTGCCATGTCGGTGAAGATCACGCCACGAACACCCCGATTATGCAATTCATGCAGCACCTCCGCTTGCTGATGTTCTTCCAATATGAGCCTCGTCCACATGCATCCCATCATGCTCCGTATTTCTTCTCGTCGGGATATCTTAATCTTTCTGTTTTCGAAGTCTAGATCTATTCATACTACCCTACGCACAAAACAGCAAAAAAAATCGCTGAGGTAGACATCCTGGTAAATCTTTTCCAGTTTCCCCCGTCGTTTACAGAGGTTCCAAATTTTGAACTCCGACGCAGTTTTAAAAAAAAGTGTGTATGTCTTTTCTATTTACTAGCTAGAGGCGTGCTCCTTCACTTTCGCCGAATAAAACCTGAAAGTACTTTGGCACCGCAGACTTGCTTGGATCGTAGAAGAGCTGCCCCAAGTCTTCCCAAGTTGCTTTGACAAGACCACCGGATTGTAGCTTCTCGATTAAAGCCTCGACGCCAGCGCGCCGGAACACGGTTTCCTCACTTGTTCCTGCCTCAATTTTCTGTTGGGCTGAAAGGAGGATCCCTCGAAAGACGAGCAAAGGGTCCATCAGTTCCTTCACCTCCACGGCCTCCTTTATCTCGGGTCGGAAGCAGACGTCTTCCCCCATGATCTTCTCCGCCTCGGTAACGAACGAGATCGCTTTGAAGCTATCCTGTGCAAAAGTATCGTACTCGTACTAATTGCAGTTATGCATTACAAATCTAGGCTGTTAAGGTAAATCCGCATTACAAATTCAATTTGTAATGCTGAGATAATTTGTATTGCAATCTATACTAGGACGATGCTTTTGCAGTTCATAGAAACCTGCAAACGCCAACAACTGAGCTTCCGCACAGAAGGACCGCAGTATCGTGGGAAAAAAGTGTTACAGTTACACACTCTGATGGGAGACAAGCAAGACAGAGAAGCTCTGTCATGCAGGAAATGCTTGCCAATCTGATTTCACTCGTGTTTTCCCTTATAGTCTGCGCATCACAGCTTTTTTTTGCCATGTCGAGCAACTTTGTGATGCAGAAACTCCAACAAATGTGTAACTGTAACACTTTTTTCTTGTGATACGCAGGACAAAAAGCTCAATGGCCTTTCGATAATCTTCTTCCGTTACGGCAGTGTAGTTCTTGTCATCTTCTGTGCTGACCGAAAAAGTTCCACCGGCTCCAGTCTGCGACGTCGACGAAACAGCAGCAGGAGCACCGGCCACGACATCGTTTTTGGTCAGAAATAAAGCTGGCTCATTTGATGTGGTGCTGGAATTTATTTTGTGCGCAGAAGTGGACCTCCTAGGGGAAGATCCGTGTTCATTCTTCAGCGCCGTCGGGAGGTCGTCGTGCGGGGCCGCCGGAAGGCGGATCGCCTGAAGAATACAAGTGCCGAGTTCTCGAAAAAAAACAGCCGTCAGGCCTTTCGCCTCCATCCAGGAAAGCAGCGCCTTGAGGCATCCAGTCGGTGCCGTCGTTCGGGAGAAGCGACCTGGCACTCCCTCCACGCGCCGGAAGGTCCAGAAAACCAAATGAGCAAAGTCGCGAGCAGGAGAAAAGTTCGTGTTCACGTGCAAAGAACAGAAGGGAAGGACTACGCCCAAAAGAACGTTTCTAGCCGGCAGGTCCCTCAAAAGATCAGCAATGTGCTCGTCGCGATCTCGATCTTCTGGCCCTCGCCCTGGTGGCCCGATTAATATGTTGTGGTCCACGTTGTTCAGAATCGCGGGGACATTGTTCTCATCCCGTCGTTGTCGTCGGCGTTGCAGCTGCAGTGCCGCCAGGCGTTCTTCCCGCGGCGCCGGCAAGAAGCCGTTGCGGAACAATATCCTCGCGGCACCGGGGGCTCGTACAATATCCCCATTCTGGAGCATCTCGTCCCTGGTACGTCGCCGTGCCGCCTTATGACCTGCTCAAACGTTACAATCTCAAACGTTACGAATAGAATCTTGGATTTGTCTTGCATGATGAGCAAGACAGACTCGCAGAGCGTTCCTTCCACTTTCTGCAATACAAATTTCGCCAGATTGCAGTTCGGATTGGGACTCCAGAACTTGTCACGAGCAATCCTATGAGAGTTGGCTAGATGATGCACTTCTTGCAACACAAATTCCAGACTCTATTGCAACGTTTGAGATTGTAACACCTGAGCAGGTTATACGCCTCGTCCTCATCTTCTGAGTCAGGATCAGAAAGCTCTTCCAGTTGCAGTTGTTGCTCCTGCACCTGCTGCTCTTCCTCGTTTAATATTCCGTCTTGCTCGACGTCGACGCGGAGGTCTCGGTGTCGCGTCGTGGTAGTTGTATTAGAATTAGAAACTACATCATCTAGTACTTTGCACCGAGCGAACTCTGCCAGAAATAGCTCCACTACCCTGCGTGCACATTCCCAGCGCGAGGTGGCCGAAAATAAACGTAGATTGGAGCAGCAGGACGACGTGGACAACAAGGTGGAGCTGCGGGTTTCGCTTTCGCTTTTCCGCTTCATGTGATCTACCCAGGCGTTGTTGTGCTTCGCTAATTCCGACGCCGGTAGCTCCAGGATCGCATAGAGGATATGATTATGTCCGGTATAAAAGAGGAGTTTCGAATTCGATGTAGGAAAAAAATCCAAAAGCTTTTTCGCCCGGCGCAGATGGTGCGGCGCAAGGCGAACTCCTGCTACGTCGTCTTCGACTTCTCCCAACATCACAGGTCGTGGATCCGCAGTCGTTTCTCCGTGGTGGAGTCGCCCCGTCCGTCCCGCCACCGCGTCGTCGTCCCCGGCGTCGGCCAACAGAGGAGCCGGAGTCGGGCGAGGCAAGACGATGTTTGGGTTCCGCGCCAACATCTCCGCGTGAGTCATGAAAAACAGGGCCCAGGGGGCGTGGCCCGCAAAGGACTTTGCCTTCGTCGACAAAAAACGAATCCGGTTTTTCGTGGGTTGTTTCATCCCGTAGTACTCTTCGAACGCCTCGAGGAGGTCCAGGTAGCTTTGGTCGTAGAGAAAGCTGCGGGCCTCTAACAAGGTGCAGGAACTCAACAGGTTGGCCGTGCGCTTGAAGTAAGCCCTTCGCGTCTCCTCAAATTCGCCCGATTCGGTCGTCCTTTTTCGTTGCAGTTCCAAAACGTGTGTTTTGTTGTCGACGACAAACTGAAACACAACGTGGTCTAAATCATGGTCTGCGATGCGCCCTGTTGGGGGGAGGAAGCCTTGCTCGTCCTGGTGCGGCCCGTGATCTTTCGCTTGATGTTGTTGCCCGACGAGTGTAGTCGTTCCCCCGTCCTCGGTTCCGTTGTTTTGTCCTCCCGCATGGTCCAGATGTTGCTCGTCTACTTCGGAGGCAGCATCATCATTCGAAACCGACCTGCTTCTAGTACCTGTGATGCCGCTGCAGGTGGACATGTTATCATCGGAGAATTCGGAAGCAGCTTCTTCATCATCCTTCTCGGCATTTTTGTCGTCTTCATCCACCAGCCGCACCACAATCCACTGCAGTCGGTGCACGGGCGGCAACAACTGGTCTTCGTCGAAGAACTCAGCGACAATGTCCCAACTACATAGGTCAGCGACGGTTTTAGTTGTCCGCGTATCGATCTCTTTGACAATAGTTCTTCCCAACAAATTCCGGATACGAATCAGCCTTTTTGTTTTTTCGTGCTCCACAACGCCGTCTCCTGCGCGTCGTGCGGCTTCTCGTCCCTGATAGAGCATCATAAAAATGTTGAAGATTTTGTTTTTGATCTTGAGGTAGAAGTGGAGTACCTGCATACAAGAGAAAAGAATGAACGAAACACTTACATTGTAAGCATTTCGCGCATTCTGCATTGTAAGTATTTCGATCATGGCTTGGACTACAACCCTTGTTGACCAAGACGACTCAGATTCTTCAGAAGGCTTCTATAAAAAAATCAATGCGTAGTAGTACAACCGGAATGTCATACTATGAACCTAAAGTAGTGATTCCTATAGATGGCACATGCTTGAGCTTGATAGCTTCGACAGATCACACCAACGAGATGGAGATGATTTCATTTCCACCAACCTTGTCGTGTTCTACTATACATTTCAATGATCGCAAAAAAAAACGCTTACGTGTTAGTGCAGGCGTATGAGCATGAACAAGTAGGAACTTCTTCAGTTCCTCCTGAGCGTGCTGGTGAACGAATTATGCTAGTTACGTGTTAGTGAGCATGAGCAAGTTACTGAGAGAAAAACTGCGATACAGAAAAAAATTTGAAATTTTGACTCGCCGAGGCGAACAGTATTTGAGTGCGGTTGCCGCAACGACTTGCAGCCAAAGACCACACGCCGCAATGGGCGGCCAGAGCAGGTAAGTAGGTGGTCGAGGTGGCGACCGTGAGGCAGGGACTGGAATCAAGTCCAGCGAATATATCTCATTTTTTATATGCGAAGTGAGCACTTTTGGAAGACAGCTGAAGCGCAACACTTGGCCAGTTGGAAAACTGTGATACAGCAGATCGCGGTAGTGCTCGCACGAGTGCACTGCGCTGCTCCTGTATCACACTTTTACAAATCCACCATAGCACCGGCGTTAGCTTCCGCTTAGTGAAATTGTATTTGTAAAAGTGTGATACAGCAGCTCGACCGAGGTACTCGCCGGAGCACTCGACGGAAAAACTTCTCAGCGCCTTCGTTGGCGTCATGCAAAAAATACGATAACGCGTCGCAAATTCAATTTCATTCCTCATGGTGTGGTGGGTTTAGGTCTGCCCAATCTTGGTGGGCCGGTTTTCGTCGTCCGGAGCCTGCAACCAGCTGACGACTTTGCAATGTCGCTCTGTCGACCAAATGCAAAGTAGTTTAACCGTATCCGCAGCGTTGCTGCGAATCAAAATTTCAAATTTTTTTCTGTATCACAGTTTTTCTCTGAGTACAAGTAGGAACTTCTTCAGTTCCTCCTGAGTGTGCTGGTGAACGAATTATGCCAACAGACGCACTGACAGACGTACTTCTTGCGGGGCGAAGTCTGGTGTGGTTTGAAGTGGTTCGCGCGCGGCGCGCGAGCGAGTTTTTTCTTTTGACTCGTGGCGGCACATGCCGTAGGGGGCATTTACGCGCGCGCAGCGCGCAAAAATTTTTCTATGACCACCTGAAGAAACAGGGGCGTAGCAGAGGGCTCTCTAGGTCCCAGAAATGTTTGAGGATGTGTGTTGCGGAAGAGGGTTTTTGGCGATCCAGCGTGCCGTCGGATTTCGACGTTAAACACGACGACACTACAATTCAGAAGGGGGGAGTCGGGCGCCCGACTGGCGAGTTCGTGTAAGGCGATTTCGACTGACACGAACTCCGGAGATGGATTTTCTTTTAGGATGGTCGCGTGTCACTGACACGAGGAAGGTCGAAATCGCGTGTAAGTCGAAATCGACTTACACGAACTCGCCAGTCGGGCGCCCGACTGGCGAGTTCGTGTTCGTGTACCATGCGGCACGCGCGCAGCCCCGGGGGCACGGCAGCACACGAATGGCCAAAATTGGCCTTCTTTGCCTCTTTTGGACCCGCCCTACTGGCCGAATCCCGACGGTATGGTCCATTTTCCCGTGCCAAAGTCTGAGGCCCGGGGGCCTCGCCAAAGTCAGACAAAAGACTTCGAAAAGACTTTGAAAAGACTTTGGAAAAGACTTCGAAAAGACTTTGAAAAGACTTCGAAAAGACTTTGAAAAGACTTTGAAAAGCGCTCCCGTTTTTGCATGGCCAAAATTGGCCATACCATCGGGCGAAGCTTTCAAAAAGCGCGCTCTTCCGGGCGCTTTTCCCGAAGTCTTTCCAAAGTCTTTTCAAAGTCTTTTGAGCAGGAAAACTCGCGACTTTTCTGGCCACAGGCATGGAAATGCCTGCGTTTTTAACGCGTTCCCCGAGCGGATTCGGGCACTTTGGCCGTCCCGAACACCGCGCCATTTGGACGAAGCAACATCCACCGTGCCACCGGCGCGGGGTGCGTGCCGCTGCCGCATGGTATTCTCTACGAACTTTGTCCAACATCATGTCATTCATACAGGGCTGCCAAAGGCAGCCACTTACGAGCGGATCCCGCGATGCCGGTCGCTTCAGTTCCCCCTGAGCGTGCTGGTAAACACGAATTATGCAAGTTGCTAATGAAAAAATTCTAGCCGAATTACCAAGAGGAATTTTGTCTGCGGCTGAAAAATTCAAAAGTTCACTTTTGCGGCGGCGCGAGGCCGCCTCTATTCCTGCTACTGGGAACAAGACTGCTGCCCGAAACGTGGCAGAGTTGCGACTTCCCCTGTTAAATCAGGACACTTCATGCACGAGATGGCGGACACGGGGGAGTGCGTCATTGCGGGGGTGGCTCAAGAGTATTGAAGGCCTAACTCTCTTGCGTTTCTCATTCTTCGCTACCTTTCTCTGGGCCTCTGAAGGAGATCAAAAACGGCAGCCCTGGAGTCCGGGCCGGACCTTCCCGTCCGGGGCCAGGGCGGTCGCAATGGGGGGCAAATGGTGGGGGTGCAGACAAATTTCTGGGGAAGCCAAAACCGCATTGGCATTGGTAACTGCTCTCCAGAAATTTGTCTGCAGCTCCGGTAGGGGGGGCGTCCTGAACACCCTCTCTGGTGGGGGTGCAGACAAATTTCCGGAGAGCAGTCGACCCCCCCGTGGTCAGCCCGAATCCTCAACACTAACAGGCCAGAGCAGCTGGAGCAGCTGAGGGGTGGAGAGCCGGGCCTGCCGGGGCAGGAAGGTAGAAACGCGAGAAGCGGACCATTGCCAGCTACCGTAGGCGAGGTGCTTTCCTCTGGCGGCCTCCCTGCTCAGAACTCCTTCAGTTCCTCCTGAGCGTGCTGGTGAACGAATTATGCAAGTTGCTAATGAAAAAATTCTAGCCGAATCCTCAATTGATCAGTCGTTACTTGTGATCCTGCAGGTCTGGAACTTCAGCTTCTCGAACTTGACAGGTGCAGATCTAGGCCAAGAAGCAATGAAACAGATCATGAAGCTGCTTCGAAAGATGAAAGGCGACACCAGATTCGAAAGAAAAACACGATATGGCTTGTCTCGGGCGTAAAACTGTGAGGTTCGCAACAATTTTTTTTTTTCTTTCAAACCACTCACAGACGCGCTAACGCTCCTGCTTCTGTTGTTTCTTCTTCTCCATAAATTGGTAACTGTCATTTTCTGAGGGAAAAACTACTTCGGTACTATCTTCGCTATTGATATTCATATTCTCGAAAGCAAGACATTGCAGTTGGAATTTTATCGTTGCAAGGGCAAAAAAAAAAGAACTTCTAGAGGGTTGTCTACAAAAGACTATATTTTCTAGGCCAAAACTTGCAATAAATCGATGTGCTGTTTTTAGCACATAGTAAATCAAGACAAAAATCAAACTTAAAGTTGAAGACAAAGTCAAAGTGGTCTAGAGCATACGTCTGGCTCGGCAAGGGCCACCACCCTTCGTCCCCCTGGAAAAAGAAAAGCAAGAAGAATGAAAGTCTTAAGAAAATAAACCATCCTACATCTGCGCTCTCCGACCTTGAACAACGGGCACATGATCATTTGTCGTGGACCCCGGCCGGATACTGGTGCCAGCCGGATTTGCATTTGTAGTCGCTGCTGTCCCGCTGCCCCCGGGTTGCAACCTGGTAGGAGCAGGAGGTCGTCGAGCGGCAATGTGCCGCGCTGCTACCGTTCCGCGCTCCTGCGCCTGATATAATTATCGAGTCGCATAGTCTTTTTTGGATATGTTCAGATTCTGATTCATTTTCTTTTTCATCGCACCAAAGTACCAAAAAAATAAAAAAATCGCTATTCGTCCGCATGAGATTTTGATTTTATTTGAAAGCAAAACAATCACGATGTAGTAGCTGAAAATGAGGACATAAAGAATTCAAGCCAGTAAGATCATCACACACTTTTGTAGCAAGTAAAAGATAATCCAAGTACCCCAGGCGCTCGACGGTAGTGATCGGAGATATGCTGGTGCTGGTGCGATCCAGCAGCCGTCGGCGCAGCTGCGCCTCCTGGTCGCATTTGCGGTGGTGCGAGATTTGATGCCGCTACTGCTGGTGCTGGTGGTGGTGCCAACATGCGAGAAAAAGCTCCGGCGCTGGTGGTCGTCATACCTGAAGATGACGTCGGCGCGGCTGCGTTCTGCACTGCCGTTCTCGGCGCTCCGTTTGATGACACGCCATCTGCCACCACCTGCGACGGTCCTCGAGGAGTCGCTGTTCCACCAAAGTGAACATTCCGTGGTGGCGCCTTGGTAGGCGGCGGCACAGACGACACGCCCAGCTCCGACATTCTGGCTGCGATTCCGGGCATTATTGCGGTCTGGCGGGACGAAGCCGCGGCCCTCCCGGGAGGCCCCTGCCCTGCCGCGCCGACGGTTTCCAATATACCGGGCCATGCTGATAGTATTTCATCTCGGTATCGCATGCTGCGGGGGTCGTCTTCCAATAAAGCAGCCACGATTTCTTGTTCCTGTGCTGCTGGACCCGGTGGTTCCGGAGCAGGAGCGGTCGAAGACAAGTGCTGGATGTTGCCCATGCGGCTCATAGTGGCCGCTGTGAACAGGGTCTCCAAACCGGGGCCCCTATTTGCGAACAGCGGAGCGGTCTCACCAAACTGTCCACGGTCAAACTGTGATGAAGGTCCCGCCCCGGAAGCTCCCGTGGTCTGCTGAACAAAATCACGTTGTGCAGCAGCAGCTGCTCCTCCCGCGGCCCCTCCCTGGATCTGCGCACCACCGCCGCCTCTCGTCATACTACTACTAGAAGCAGACGTCGTTGCAGTTGGGGCCCCGGGGATACTTCGCCAGACTCGTTTGGCGGCAGATGTACTCGCTGCAGAAGTACTCGAAGTCGAAGCGCCGGTCGACGCGAACGGAACCGCCTGCTCAGTACGAGCAGCCGATGTTGGCTGGCCGCGTGAGTGTGCCTCCGAAGTAGTGGCCATCCTTCCATCTTGCGAAATTGGCGCCTGGTGCGCGACACTGCTCGTCCCAGACGTCGGCCAGGCACGACCCCAGGCCGTGTTTGCTGCGGAGGTACGCGGCAGTTGTTCTCGTCCTGCGGCACCACTTGCAGGAGCTCCACTTTGCATACGACTTGAGTCCGAGACGACGGGGTGATTGTGCGCGCGGTCAAGGTGGTCATACTGCGCATGATGGTGCTCTTGGTAGTCGTACTCGTAACCTGCTTGCGACCTCCCATAATCATACCCGGTCCAACCACCATCATGCGCCGATTCTTGTCCTCCCCCCGCTTGCGTCCATCCGCGCCATGCACGCCACGCACCGGAAGCTGTGACATTTTTTTTGAATTGCAACAACATGAATGTACATCAATGTAATCGTACGTATGAAGCTGTAACGCAACAAAGACAAATCCTGAGGTAAGACTTTGCTTCTCCGCTTGGTGGTCCACACACCGCCCTCTTCAATAATTATTCCAACTCGAGATGCACTCGAGATGCATCAAGTTGGATTTTAACGTTTCTATGAGCCGGCCAAAGAGCCAAGCCCCAAGAAAGAGAACCACAGTCAGACCGACAAAAAAAGTCCCAAGCAAAAGAACCACTTCTTCATTGCAGTCACGTGCACGGCTACTTCGAGCTATTCATTGGTCCGTCGGGAATAGAAAAGAGAACGGGGTAGGAGCCACGAGCAGAAAAAAAAGTAATCGTATAGAATTTAGCAAACGTCGTCCGTGCAAACGACAACGCGATCAAACAAGAAAAATATGAATGCAGAGCCGACCACAGTTTTGCTTTTGTAGAAACATTTCTCACGCATACTTGCGTATGATTCCCAGGTGTAGTCGGAGAAGCAGGTGCATCCGCACCGAGGAAAAGTGGTGCCTCTTCGATCACATTCGGGTCAATCGGTTTTCGTGTCCATCGATGAAATAGAAATTATGGATACACATATAGAAAGGTGGTCCTTCCTTCGATCTTCTGGTCTAACCGCACATCACGGTCGATGTGAATTCCCCCATGTCTGTGCACGACACTTGCTCGTTCTACTTTTGCTAGTACACATTAAGTGAGTGGAGATTACAACGAAATAAAGTAGAGGTTTTGCGTGGCGAGTGCTAGTTTTGAGATGCGCTGCAGATCCGTAGTAAATTGGTCACACACAACATGTTTCGCGATGTTCACGCATGAGGTCGAATGCTGAAAGACGACGATAATCTGTATTCTTGAACATGGTCCGATGCGACTAAAGTAAAAACGGCACGCTGCTGCCTCTTGAAGAGATTGAGAGATGAGGTGGCTCAAAATCAGGGGTACGGGTAGCGAAAAGCAAAAAGTTAAAGTTTAAGTTGCGCCAAGACCAAGAGCAAGAAAATTCATAATTTGAAACATCCTTGTTCTCATGGCGGTGGTGTTCGTACACATCGGTGCAAAGGCTATTGTGTAACTAAAAAAGAGGACCACCATGGTCGTTGACCTTCCAACTTATGTTGGCGATGAAAATAAAGAGTTCACAGTGCTGTGATCGACGTAAAAAATCACGATCAGGCCTAGGTCACGACTTTCACACTTTCTTACGAAATAGTACAGCAACGACGCAAAGACCTAATTTAAGATGAAGTACTAGTACCCTGTTGTTCTCCGTGCGCGACGCCGTCAGTGTCTTCGGTCCTTGGCTCGACGGGCTCGTCATGACTACCTCTACCTACCTCCCGTTCCGACGTCCACGCGGGCGCCGGTCGATAGCTGGACCCAGCACTACCGGAAGCAAGTGGTGGATGCTGAGTGGCAGTACTAGCACGCTCTCTTTCGTCTCGTCCTTCAGCACCGAAGCGCTCGTGTGCACTGTCCCGCCGCGCGATGCGACGCGGGCCATCATGATGTTGATCCTGGTGCTCTAGTCCTTGGGTATGATCAGCGTAGTCGGTGGTCGCAGATGAAGTCCAGCCTCTATGACGTTGGCGGTCGTCTTCGCCCTGATGATGATCGTAGTATCCACTCCAGCCCTGGTCGCGATCCCACCATCCTCGCTCCTGGTCCGCATGGTACTGCTCGTCTTCAATTCTATCCCACTCACGATGGTATTGGCCGTCGTCGTAGTCCTGGTGATCATATCCACCCCGCGCGCCTGCGGACGAATCTCGTGGCCCGTAGCCGCGACCATAGAAGTCGTCTTGTCTATGATCGTAGCCTTGGTCGTACCCGCCTCGCTGACGGTAATAGTCATCATAATCGTGGCCCTGCTCGTGGTCGTCGTGACCTCCCTGGTCGTTGTACCCCCGCCTCCGGCGATAGTACTCCTCCTCTTCGTCGTCGTAGTTGTAATAGGGACCGCCATAATCTTGATCTTCACGCGGATCATAATAATCACCCCCGCCCCGCCACCCGGCGCGGTGATCGCGATCCTCTGCTTCCATAGACCGGTCGCGCGCGGCGCTCGAGGCCGTTGTGGAACCCCCACCGCCGCGACGAGGTTCTGCTCCACCGCTCGCACTAGAGCTGCCGTGTTTGTACATCTCTAGCATGCGTCGCTGTGCCTCGATTTCTGCTGGGGACATGAAAGCCGACAAATCTTCGTCGTCGGCGGCGAAACTGAGGGCAACAAGGGCGTCCTCCCGGCGCGACTCTTCGGCCTGCGGGGAGTGTATGGACTTGTAGTACTCGGATTTTCCCAGCGGCAGCGCCCTGTCGTACAGTTCGCGGTCCCACTGGTCCAACAGCGGAATTACGCTGTCCATCTCTTCGCTTTCCAAGACCGCCCGGACGGGTTCAAACTTCGAGGTTGTACTAGACCCGCATAATTCGGTACTTGTCTTTGGCAGCGCGTAAACCGGGGTGAGGCCCTTCGCTTCCAGGTTTTCCAGTGCGAGCTTCCACACACTAATGGCGCCGCGCATGCTTTGTTCAAAGCCTTGTTGGTAGTCATCCGGGGTCGCGGGGGAACCTTGCGCGAGCGGTGTGGAGGACGAGAATTGCCTTCGCACGGCTTTTTTCGGCAGCAATTGCCCACCTGCCCGTGCGGCCGCGGCAGCAGACTTCGCTTTTGAAACCGCAGCTGCGGCTGTGGTGGTGTTGTGTGCGGAGGAACTTGCTATCCCAGCTGGAGCCGCTTTAGTACTCTTCGCGGCCCCGCTGGTGCCGGGGACAATGGAAGTGAGCATATTACTAGAACCTTTCATCTTCATTGGCGGCGGCGGTGGTGGGACCATGGCGCCGGCGTCTGAAGACCCGCTCGGAGATCGCGGACTGGTCGTGGCCTGCAGCTGCGTCACGGGAGACTTATTTTTCTCCGCATTGCAACAAACTTTGCTCACAACCTTGGCAATGGTGGAGGTTACTGCCGCCGACTTGTTCAACAGCGGGCCTCGTTGCTTTGGTGATTTCGGCGATGATGGGTCCACCTCGGAGCTGCTGTCGCGCGGGGCGGCCGCCGGAACCGGCGGTCGGCGAAGGGGAGGCCACTCTTCTTCCGATTGTAGTTGATAGGCTGTGCCAGCGTGTTGATCTGCCGCGGGCGAAGACAAAGCCGTCGGTGAGGCCGCTCCCGATACAGTGCCGGCGATTGGTGAACCAGGAACCACGACACCCTGCCCAAAGTAGTCGGAGGTCCCGGACGGGCTGGTTGCAGAGGTGCTGAGGCTCAGAGTTGTAGTGCCCGTGCCTGGTCTTGCTGCGTCTTCATGTGTCTGATGTGTGCCTGTTGTGCTACCGCTACTTGCGGACGGACGGTGCCCCATGATTTTCTCGCTGGACTGATGTTTGCTACTAGCCTCGTCTAGTTCGACGTCTTCGTCGTGATGATCTTCCTCGCCGAGCTCACCTTGCACTAGCCCCATCATGGGTGCCGCGCTACTTTCGGCGAGACGGGAAGAAAACTCAGCCTGGAAGCCGCGGTCGAAAGTATTTGCAAAGAAATGCAACATCGCGTTGCAATCCCGGCCCACGAGCTGTGCAAAGTTTTCTTGCGTCAGCTGGAGCTCTTCCTGAGCTTCCCGCGCACTCGGTGTTGTCAGGTTTACTGTGGACTTTTCTTCCAGGTGTTGTTCCTTCATCTTGTTGTGCAGCAGGAGCTTTCCCTTGGCTTTTACCCCCGGTTTGATGTTCACGACAGACTTCTGCTGCCCGCTCGACGTCCCGGCACTACCGGACGACGACCCCGAGGCTCCACCAGAGGACGGAGACGAGAGTGAAAATCCCGTGGCCTCCGCTAAGTGGTTGCAGATCTCGGAGGGGTTCTGCAGCTTGTGTTTCCGCGCGAAGGGCACTAATACGGTAACGTACCAGTACATTGCCATGGTCCACGCGACCAGGTTTTGGTGCATGCCGGACTTCAACTTCTTCAAAGCTTGACGCTGCGGGAGCGTCATCAGTCCCACACCCCGGTTCAGCGCCTCCAAGAAAAGTGCCTCCTGGTCGGCGTTCTTTTCTCCCAGGTCAGCTTGGCAGCGACAGCAGTTGCGCTTGGGGCTCGTGAAGTGATGGTCGTCGGCCTGTTGAATTGATGTGTATTTTATCTCTCAATCACGAAATAGTTCGAAGCCAGGAAGGAAAAAAAATCACCTTCATCAAGATGCGACGATCCTACCACACCCACTATATGAACTACGTAAAAATATCAAATTCAAATCAACATGAACATTATCTAAAATGAAATGATCTATGGCTCACCTGCATGAAATGCACGTCCTCCTCTTCCGTCAATTTTCCTTCCCGGGCAAGTGCTTCGACGTCGGAAGTGCTTTTGATGAGGCAATTGCCGCCTACGAAGCCCGGAATGCACATATTGGCATAGCAGGAACTGCAGTAGTGGCAACCGCACTTATTTCCCCCGGTAGGACCACAATTTGCTTTGCAGGTCGCGTAGGGTGCATGCATCGCTGGGCGGTCATCGTTGCCCAGCACTTCACACATGGTACACTTGAAGATTTCTGGTCTAGTACTTTTCGCCACATGTTGATCCAGCGGCACCTTGTTCCATTTCGATTGCGTACTAGCTCCGGAAGTACTAGACCTGGCAAGCGGGCGCTGGGAAGACGAAGCTCCTCCTCCCGGTCCAGGTCCGGACGATCGGGCGGCTGGCGCACCACGCTCAACCGAGGGAGACACACGTGCGGCATGAACGATGAAATTTTGTTCTCTGAGGAGATCCAAAAGCGACATGGTTGCCAGAGCCGCCGCATGCAAATGCGAAGACCTGAACAACATTCTTATACAATGGGGAGACAAAGCAATTCTTACGTTTATTTTCTCTTTACAAACACAAAATCAAAAAGAAGTCTTACTTTATCTTTATCAAAACTCGGAAAACACAACGCCAAAAAATGTTCCGTGAAAACATCAAAGTCCCAAATCATCCAAAGAACTGTCAAAACCAAAGGCCGCCTCGTCGGCAATCTGATTCTGTTTCGATATCGGTGCCGCGGTCATTTAAATGCAAAAAAAACGGTGAAAAGATGAAAAGGCTGCTGTTATTGCCGAGAAAAAAGATGAAGAAGTAGTAGGAGGCGCTTCACATTCACAAATGCAACTCGCCCTCACATACTACTACACATGACGCGTGCCGTTCCAAAAAGCTAAAGCCGCGGTCTATATCCCTAATAATCCTGGCGCGCTGCTGCTACAAGAAACGAGATCTTTTCGTTTTCCTCCGTGTTCGAACATTGCAATCGCCGCTGCGCTGTAGAAATTGAAATCGCTCTACGCGTGCAAATTACCGTCGCGCGCTGCTCGTGGCTATCGCCAGAGCACGCAGCACGATACAAAGCCACTTATTGGTATTGTTGTTATTGTGCTGCGTAACCGCAAACGCTTTTTATTTTCAACCTGCAACTACTATGTCGTGAAACTGGTTCCCGAGGTACAAAACCGTCGTGGGCAGTAGATCTCAGCAGGACGTCTATTAGAGAAGGAGATCCATTACTGCAGAAACAATGCGTTTTCTATGATGGAGTAGTTTGTTAGTTCGCATTCAGTGCTGGCGCTGTTGATCCGCAAAAAATTCTACACGCCCAGATTCAACTGCAGCTTGTACCATTTAGAAGCTCGAAACGGTCGCTCCACTCCGGCTACAACGACACTCGCTTCCGTGACTGCAATGCTACATGTTTTTATGCCTAGCATCTAAAATTTCGTTTTCCATACGTCCTCGCGTTTGAATTTCAACTTGCATTTACGTGCGACACGCGGAGAAGGAGAGGACCTACTTCCTTCTGCTTGCGCGATAGTCCCGGATAGCCTGCAGGAGGGCCATACGTTCCCAGGCGAGTACCTTGCAGCCGGCGTGCTCGAGAAAGAAAATCGCCGTCTCGTCAACATCTTCCAAATAGGCAAACGCCCGCGAAAGCACTCGGACGTATTTCGTTGCCTTTCATTGATTTAAGATTTAAGTAGCACGATGATGAATTCCTATTCCAGCAACATGATCATTTTCTTGCCATGATTTCAAATTGAGAAATGCAAAAGCAAAACTCTTTTGAAATGCACAACTACCAGCAGTGCCGAAAAAAATTGAAATTTTACAAAGTCATTCACAGGAACACATCCTCGTAAAAATTAAGTACCACTCGGTTATCGACGGACTCCAGGAACTCCTGTATCGGATTCGTCCGCAAGGTCGAGTTACCCCCCAGATACCGTCGCCCGACCTTCTGCGTCTTGCCCTGCGGGTTCCCGTATTTCAGCGTTTGCCGCTCTTCTATGTCATCCAGCTTTCGCTGTAACCGGATCCGGGTCGCCTCGCTGGCGAGCCCGTTTCTGCGGATTTGCTCAATGCCGTGGAGTATGCGGACCTTCGAGAATACATCCTCGGAAAGCTCCAACGTGGCCCACCCGTCAAAGTTCTCTTCTTGCAGCTTTTCGGGGTCCTCTTCAACCGCAAGCACGGCAGGAAACTCGTCCTGCAACAGAAATTCCATTTTGTTGTCGTATTGCTCTGCTGCCCGCTCTAACAACGCATCGTCGCCACCCAGGCCGATACCTGTCAAGCACAAGAAAGGGAAGATAGCGATAGAAAAAACAGGTACTAAATTCAATCGGGTGCTCGCTTCTTTAGGCGAGCGAGTAACTGTTTTTAAACGTACTATCTATGCTCCTGCTTGTAAATGGCTGGCGAATAGTGTTTCAACTTATCACCACCAGAGCTCGAAGAAACAAAACCCTTCTTAGCTGTGAACCAACGAGCTCGGGGAGTTGCTTGAGAGAAGGAAAGCCGAAGCCTTCAATCAACTCAGGCTTCAGAGAGGCGCAATACTACCTCCTCATCCGTACTGCACCAATCAACCTCCGCACAACCACAAGGTCCTAAACAAGCCGCCTCTGCTTGCCCTTCCTTGCGTCAGAACAGGCTCCATAAATATGACAGGTCCTAAGCAAGACGCTTCTTCTTGCCCTTCCTGCCTACATTACACGAGCCTAGGCTCTAGTAACGGTACGCCAAACGCCACCGGGAAACACAGGAAAACACGGAGTTATGCCCTGCATCGCCCAGTTGCCTCCCTAAAACCCTTAACCCTGCCCTGTAACCCTGCTTCTTCTCCGCTTTGCGATGTGCTCCAAAACTAGTAGGGGGGATTGTGCTATGCCGTTTGCTTCTCAGATTTGTTGCTGCCACTGTGGGATCGTCAAAACGGTTACTATTTCCCCTCGGCACCCAGTGGGCCGGAAAAAGTCCTTCCCGTAGAAGGAGAGCGAGCTTCTGCATTATTGTCATGTGGAAAAGCGGGATCGATAAAAAGGTTGCTTCTGGGTTATTATTTTGACAGGAACGGAGCTTCGGGATCTTCGAGCAACATCTTACTTCCAACTCTGGTCCAGCCGGGACAGTATGATCGGAAAAGAAAAATTTCTGGTAGATCTTGTGCATCTTGGCTGGTTGGAACAACATCACTAAATTCAATTTGCAACTTTGGCACATCAAGTCTTCTGTTGCGACATCAAGTCTCTTCTTTACCTTTGAGCCACTCGGTGACGCTAAGCTCCGGTTGCGTGTCGACCCACTTTTGCGTCATTTCCAGGACCATCTCTTTCCGGTATCCTTAGTAAAAACATCCCCACACCAGAGTCAAGATGGGAAATCTGCTAGGCAAATCAACCAACTTTGGTTGTTTCGCATGACAAATTTGGCCCCGTAGTGTAATCCTGTTTAGCTAGCTCCAGCAGCATCACAGATCTAGCCTATCATGCTGATTTGAGCATCACAAACTCCAAAACACGACCGGGAAATGCTTCGCATGGGGCTCCGCATGAGAAACATTTTTGGCATGCAGATTCGCATGACAACTCTGGGGTGGGGATGTTTTTACCCAGAATATCCGGACCGGCTGCGTCAGGGACTTTTGGTTTCGCAAAGCCTGCGTCAGCCGCTGTCGCCCGGTGGGACGGGCAACCAGGGTCTGGTAGAGCTTGTCATTCCACAAAGCCGTCGTCATTGTTGCCGTCATAATTCAAATTTTTGCACGTGGTACGTGTCTCTTTTTACATGTTTGCACTGCCACTGTAAATACAACTGGGCCTATCGAAAGCGTCTTACTTTTGCTTCAGCTTCACCAGGTTTGTACTTGTAGGCAACTGCAACATAAAAAGCTACAGCTGGTGCAAAAGAAACAGTCGCTTTTTAATATCATACTGAAACGACGAGAGGTGCCGAAGTCGAAACAGGGAGATAGGTAAATAGCAGCTCAGAAAAAGGGTCTCTCTACTCAGACTGCCGGTCGCTCCTTCTCAATCTTCATGCTAAAACTGTCCGTCAGCCTGAAGCTCTGACACGACGACGACGAAGAAGAAACTCAACATCAACTTGCCGAAAAAAACAATAATACTTATATTGGCACGAACACACCAAAAACAGCAAACGGTGACCACCTACAAGGCTGTTAGGAAAAGCAAAAACCACTCGGATCATACAGATTTGTTTCAAACTTGAATACTACACCGGCTAGAAACAAGCTTAAAACGCTGTTCATACTGATTGTCTCTGTCTTCTTCCCCTGGAGAATAAAAACGTGTGTACAATTTTAGGTGAGTAGTACTAGTATCGCCCTCGGATACTGTGGTCGCGACGAAAATAAAGTTTGCTTTTCAAAGTGAAAATTAGAAGAACAAAAGCTGTTGCAATAAAACGAAAAAGTGCCAATTGAATGAATAGATAAAGTGTGCCTTCAGATGAAACATGAGATGTACAGAAAAATATGCAAAAATGGATATTACGAAACGCAAAAATCATGTATAAGATAATTGGTATCATAATCATACACGAAACAATTAGAAATCGTCCTGCGATTGCGAGCCTGCTGCTGCATAATTTTTGTGCTATTAATGGTCAGAAAAACTAAACGTAAGCGAAAAAATGCAAATCAATGTAAAAACGGAATTTGAAATTGAATCGTAACTGCATATAACGTAACGCTCGAAAAATCTAGTGACTAAATTGTGAAGACTGCACGTGGCTACGGTCAGAAAAGTCGATCATTATGCGAGGAGTTGAAAATCTTGTGTCACTCTCTCTTTGTCTCTGTTCTGACAAGTTGTACTACGTTCGCTTTCTAAGTCATGGTCTGTGACAACATCAGCCACGACGTATTTAGGTCTACTTCTGCTCCTCTCTTTCTCTTCCTCGCCCAGAAATTTTGTACAGTTGTTGTCTACGTTTGTAGTCAAAGTTGAACCACACTTGCTTTTTAAGTACTTTGAAAAAATTTTCGAAGACGCTATATATATTGTTCGTTGCGACCTTCTTCCTGCGCCTATTACTCCTGTTCAAACTGCCCCATGGAGTCGTGCAAGGCGAGTTTTAAATGGTACTCGAAGGCTTGCCTTGTCGGGTAATCCGGGAGGAACAGCGTGTTTGCGCAGGCGCGGCTCCTGGGCAGAATCCTCCCTGGTTGCTCCGGGAGGATTTTCAGCCCCAGCGCCTTCAGCCCGCCGACGGGCAGTCGGGGGCAGGAGGTGCAGAACTCGATGAAAATAGACCGTTCCTTCTGGGTCATTTCCATCAGGCACTGGATTAACCACCGGCGCATCTTGAAATCCTCTTCCACATCCACCTGGTCGTCTTGCAGCCCCGCGAGGTTTTTCGGCGAGGGGAGAAAGCCGCGCGGGTTGTTTGTGCTCGGGTGGAACGACATGTGCGCGGTCGGGGAAAAGGTTTCCATCACCTCCCCGTCAGAGTCTACCTCACTACCAGTGCGGCTGTTCCCGTTGTACTCCGAGTCGTTGTTCATCAGGTTGGAGAGCAGGTTGTTTCCGTTGTTGTTGTTCCGGTTCGCACTGCGAGGCACCCGTGGGGATCCAAACCCACTGAATTGCTCTTCATCGTTGTTTCCGTCGTCCTTCTCGGGAGGAAGCAAAGAGCTCGTGTTTTTCAGCTGCTCATTGTCCGTATCGATCTCCAGGTTCCTGTTCGACCGACGGGAGCCGGTCAAAGGCTCTAGTGCTTGTTTATTGTCACCTCCGTCAGACGCAGCGTTGCCTTTAACAGCCGCCGTTTTGCTATTTGATTTTTTGTTTTCCGTGCCCTTATTCTCCCCGTTCTTGCCCTGATCCACGGCGTTGTAGTTGTTGGTGTTATTAGCATTGTCACCGTCTTCTACCAGAGCTCCTGCTGTGGCCTGATCCAGCTTTTCCAGATTTTCCACGGTCAGCGCAGAGGACGACGACGCGGCATTTGTTCTTTCCTTTTTCACCGGGGTAGCCTCCACAGCTACCGCGCTGCTGGAGGAGACAAACTGCTGCACCTGCAGGTCCATCAACTGGCGGCGCTCCAGTTCGATGGCCTCGTCCCAGCCATGGAAGCTGACGTACTTCCGCAGTTCCTCCTCCGTCCAGCTGATTTCGTTGTCGCCGCAGAACATGGAGCGCAGCTCCTTCGCGGTGAAAAACCGCAACCAGGTGGTCGGACAGGGATCTAAATTGCCCAACCCCTCCCACAGACCCTGGCACACCTCGTCGTACAGGTTCTTGGACTGGTGCACCCAGAACAGGTGGATCTTCTCCGCGAACTCCTGCAGATTCGCGGCGGTCAGGTCCACGTTCTCGCCGTTCTCCACCAGCATCGGACCGTGCGTGCCGTACGCGGTGAAGCACAGGCCGCCGGCGTCCACGCCGTCCTTGAACGAGTAGTGCGCACCACCGTCCTGGATGTACTTCGCGGACCAGTTGGAATCATTCTCGTCCAACGGCTGGGGGACATCGGCGGCGCTGGTATTAAGTGCAGCAGCCTGCAGCAAATTCGTGTTCCGTGTGTTAACTGTCGCTGTTGTTGTGTTTGCTGCAGCTACAACGGGTAGAACAGGCTTTACGACAGCTGGAGCTCCTGGCGCAGGAGATGATGAGATTACAGGTGCTGCAGCTACTACACCAGTACCACCGGGGGCTTGCTTAATCACTGCGTTTGTGTTCTGCTGTTGTTCTGGTGCCGTGTTGATCGCGTAACTATTGTTCCCGGGGGCTGTTGCGGGCGGCGGCGTGACGATCGGGAGCTGTTTCTGCTTGATTTCTTCGGCGCGCAACTTGGAAATGCTGGAATCCAGGGTTGCGGGGGCGGTCGGCGGGTTCTTCGTAGAGAATCTGGAGGATTTCTGATTCGGAAGGGTCATGAGGTTCTGACTCAGTTCCGCGGGTGAAGATTCGAGCGGGCGGTCGCCCTTGTTCGGCGTGCCCGGCGGATTGTTGGTCTGCTGCAACAGCTGCATCTTCGAATTCGGATCTACTACTGCACCCTCGCCGGCGCCGCGGACCGGGGCGTTGTAAAACCCTTTTTTGAGCATCTTTTGCTGGTTCAGGGTGCCCGCGACGTGGGTGACGCCGACCATTTCCGGTTCGTGGCACGAGTCATTCTCGTTGCCAAACGGCTCCCCGCACGAAAAATTATTGTTCGCACCTCCGCCATTCGTCGCAGCTGCGAGTGCAGCGAGCTCTTTCACCTTACACGCGTAGTTCTCCAGGTCGATCGCGTAGGAGTACAGCGCGCCCACGATCCGGCCGCTCCAGCCGTCGTTGTTCGGGCCGGGCAGGAACGCGAGGTTTCGCTTCTTCCGCCAGTCGGTCGGAATGTTGTTCTCGCCCGAGCTGCTGCCCTGCAGCATCGCGAAGAACGCCTCGCTCAGCGGGATGGGGAGCCGGTAGCCCTCGCGCAGACTGCGTCCGATCAATCGGCCGAGGAACCGCAGCAGCGACCGCTTTTCCTTTTCCTCGGCGGGGGTCAAGGGGGCCCCGGTGTTGGCGTTGAACAGCAAGTCGGGCTTCAGAATCAGGCCGTGGCGCCCACCCATGGTGAACTCGTCCTTCGTGCTGGCACCGTCGTCCGGCACGAAGAGGCCGTGCTTCACGTCGGTGAGTGCGAGCGCGACTTCGGAGTAGAAGGACTGCGTGACCGCCGGCCCGAAGCCAGATTCGTTCTTGAAAATGACTTCCAGCGACGCGTTGGGGTCGAGCTTGTCGGAGAACAGGGCGCGCGCCATCGGCATCAGCGAGTCGTGCTCGCGCTCGACGCGCACCAGCTCTTTCTTCATCTTCCCGATGTAGATTTCCCGGTCGCGGATGGACTCCTCCTCGATCTGCGCAATCTCGTCATGGGACCGCTGGATTCCCTCCAAATCGTTGGCCCACTCGGCCTCCTGCAACTTCCTCTCCGCCTCCTGCAGCCGGATGCCGAACCGGTTTTCGAAGCGGTCCTGCTGGAGCCAAAACACGCGAAAGGAAAGGGGGAAGCAGGAGGAAATCAGCAGGTTCTTCTTCAGCTCGACGCTGAACAGCTGCGGACAGATCTGCGGCAGCAGGAAAACCCACTTCGGCAACCCGGCCCGCGTCACGGACAGTAAGGGGACCGAGAGCTGTTCCTTCAGCTTGGCATCCAGCGCGTTGGTCGTGATGCTCAGTTCCTGTGCGTTCTTCGCGCCGTCCGTCGCGGCATTGTTTCTCTTCGTCGGACTCGCACTGCCACTAGCGGAAGAGTCCTGGTGGTTGACCGCCAACGTCGACTCTGCATTGAAATCGTCTGTCGGATCAAATTCGATTTTCCGCAGCAGCTCAATACTGTGGCAACAGCTGGCGGAGCTGATGCCCAGCTCCTCGGCCAAGAAGGTTGACACGTCGCTCATGGCCGGGTCCGCCATGTTGAACTGCGGCCAAGCCGGCTGCGCGTCTTCCTCGAAGAGAGTTGATGATCTTCGTGGTACGAGGACCCCGTTTCTTTGTTCTTCCACTGCTAGTTCAAGAACATCATCAACCTCTTGCTGCACGGAGTACACGATCTCGGCCGTGAGTTTCAACGGTCTGGCCGCGTCGTTACCGGTGGCAGGTTGGTGGGAGTAAATCATCTTCTTCCGTGGGCCCACCGGATACGGACTGTCCGACTTCCAGAGAGCCTGGCACAGACTGAAATTGCCCGGAATCACCGTGGAATCGTTCACGCGGAGCACTGCTTTCGCAACCGGAACCTTCAGCGGTCGGTACAGCACCTGCACAGGGTTCTGCTGCGTTGTTGTTGTGGTTCCTGCCTGTGGCGACGAATGTGTTAAGGTTGTTGTCTTGTCCACCAGGTCCTGTTGTTCGGGTGCCAAGGTAGACGTGTTCACAGTCCCCGTTCCGTCCGTTGTGGACGTCACTGTGGTGTCCTTCGTCGCGGAAACAGACGAACTGTTCTTCAAAAATCCGTCAATGGTGGTTGTCGATGCGACGTCGGCCGGAGCAACGATGCTGGAGGAACCAACTGATGGCAGCGTGACCAACGTGGTTGCGGTCGTGCTAGTGTTACTTGCAGCGGAGCTTGTGCGATGAATCATCGTGGACTTGTAGTTTGCTTGTTGAGAAGATGTTGACCCTACTAGTTGTTGGAGCGCTTTATTATTCGCGCTAGTTGTACAACTGTTGTCCAACGGCAGGAGCCTTCCTGTTTGCACGTCTCGGGAAGCGAAAATCACCGCTTCCAAATCTACCAACGCGGGGTTGTCGCAGCTCGCGAAGCCGCTCTGCAGCGCCATCGCGCGTCGCAACTCCATGGCGTTGGTGATGCCGTGCACGGGTGATATTTTCGTCTTGTTCGCAGCAACGTCGAGCTGCGAGCGCGTGAAGCCGTTCAGGATCTCGCCGGTGTACAGGTCACAGATGGTATACGTCACACTGCCAACCATCAGCATGTTCTTGCTCTTCGAAGAATTACGCGAACTGCTGCTGGAAATGCTGTTTTCGCCAGTTGCCCTGGACAACCGCATAGCAAACTCATCTTGGTGCAGCGGTAGGTGAGTAAGAGGACCACCAGTCGTCGTAGTTGTTCCTGTAGTCGCAGTTGTCCCTCCTGCCGCGACGAGGACACCGCCGGCGCTTGGAGCCGATATAATTGAGGTGCTGGTATTCGGCAACGGAGCTTCCTGAATCGTGTTGCTATTGGACGAATTGCTAATCACTCCGACTGCGTCGTCCGTTACTAGGGCCGTCGGCAATTGGTGCCCCCCGTGGTCTAGAAGTACGCCGGGACCACGCTGCATACTGGTACTGGAGGACATCATCGTGCGGTTGTTCATCCCCCCGTTGCTTGGCGCCATCGGGGAATAGGAGCCGGGTCCACCCGCCCCCGAAAACGCCGAGTAGTTCATTTCTCGATGCGCGGTGATGTCGACGATGAAGCCGAGGCCGCCACTGTACTGCACGAGCGATCGCAGCTTCAGCATGTTCGGGTTGGCGGACAACTTGGTCACGCCCCACTGCTTCGCCGCGACCGGATCGGGCTCCACGGAGCACGGAATCACTTCGGCCAGCTGCGTTGCGAGATTGTCGGCCATGCGCCGGGTAAGGCCGCCCCACACGGTGCCCTTGCCCCCGTTCGCAACCGTGACCTCCAAGCGCTTCAAACCCTCGGCGAACAGGTCGGAGGAGAAGATGCTCTTTCCCAGGCACGATCGACACTTGCCGTACACGAACTCACCCACGTCTTCCCAAATCAAGCTGAAGGGCACGCCGCTCGGAAATTCGGTAACCACCGACCACACGCGGTCAGTTGATTCGAACAGCCGCATGGGAGGGCTCCCACGAGTATCATCTTCGAGACCTCCACTGGTGCCCGAGTTGGAGTTCACCTCGCCTAACGGATCCTGGTCCTCGCGTAACAGCCTGCCATGATTCATCGTTGGGGAGTTTTGCAGCGACCCGGTTGTCGCGGACGTCGCGCTCTCTTCAATCACAGCGCGCTCGATGTCCTGCGCCGCGGCGCCGCGGTGGCGGTTCATCGGCGAGGTGCTCGGCGACCGGACGCCCACGACCGCAGGAGTGTCGAATTCGCTCCGGCCCGCACCGCCAATGGCCAAGTTGTTCTCCTTTTCGAACTGTAACTTTTCGTACACAGACTGCAGAAAATCCACCGTGCTAATCACCGTGGACTCCACCTTCTGCCAGCCGTCCACAATCTCCCCAACCTTCGTTTCGTAGTGCTCGTTGGAAAGCTGCGAATTCAGTTTGTTTGTTGTTATTTCCGGACCGACGAGTCCACCTCCCGCGGTTGTGGTGAACAATTCGTAGATGTCTTCGATGGCGTATTCTAACTCCACCTGGTTCAAGACCGTATTCGGGCGGTAGCCCAAGGCAAAGAGCGCCTCGGCGGTCCAGGGCTCCAGGTACTGTACGGGATCCTTCAGCATCGCCGCGGGGTTCGAGTTTGCGGGAATCCAGGTGGCACCGTTCGGGCCCACTTCCGGCAGCTGCATCGACGTGGAGTTCGACGTCTTGAGGAAGCTCGGGGTTGGGTTGGTATTTCCGGTCGGCGTGCTCGAGCTCGAGCGCGGGGCGCCGGCCTGTCCACCCTCGACCGTCATCACCTTCACACACTGGTTGAATTGGTCCGCCAAAGACTCCAGCTTCTTGTTGCCATGAAGATCTCCGGATGTAGTGGAAAAGCCGCCGGCGTCCGTGGTGCTTCCCGCTCCCACACTGCTCGTGTCCGCACCAGCCGACGTAGTTTCTGGGTCCAAGAGATGAACAACATCCTCCGCGGGGGCGGTTTGCGCCGCCTGCTTGTTCCTGCTTCCGGTTGTACTATTGGCCGTGTAGCCTTCCGGAGCCGGTTTGTTGCTCTGTCTGGATGCAATAGCCTTGCGCAGCAACGCGAGCGGGTTCAAAACTCGCCTTCGGCTACTGCTCTTCGGGCTCGTCGCACTACTCGTCGTCGATGCCGCGGCGTTATTCATCTTTGCTCCCTGCTGCTCGCCGGAAATAGTCACTTTCGTCGAGTACTCCGAGGGCGTCGGTGTGCTGTCGCTGACGCTGACCAAACCCATCATATTCCCGACGCTGGCACCGCCCGGGGTCGCGGTAGACGCGGTTTTCCCCGAGCCGCGGGTCGACGGCGCGGCGGAACATCCGGACAGACCACCGTTACTAGGATTCGCCAGACAGAAGCTGCGCTCCGCAACCCAGTTTCGCTTCGCGAGGCTCAGCAACAGGCCCACCTGCTCCAGCAGCTTACCTTTCGAGAACTGCTGGTGGGCAATGAGAAACCAAAGCTTCAAGCACTTCTCCTCCTTCGTGAGCGGAAAGATGTTCACCCCGTTCGGATTGATGGCGATGTGGTGCCCCTTCGCGTTCAACGCGCTGGCGTAGGTGACGAGAATCTCCTGGTTCCGCAAGTTATGAATTGCAAAAATGTCTGGGTCTGGAAGATTCTGAGACTTGTCATGCATGTTTTGCGTGACCCAGGATGTCTGTAATGCACGACCTACCATCACAGATTTTCAGAACCCTTCCTGATGCCTATTCCGCATGACAAATGCCCTCTCCACGTAGCACAGTCTGGGCTCCTCTTCCTGGTCATGCAATACAGATTTTTTTAGAGTCCAGAGATAGCATGACAAGTTTGGATCCTTCCAGAAATAGACATTTTTGCATTGGATACAGGTGGTCGTTGCACAATCGGGTCGCCACCTGCCACCCGTAGTTCTTCGACACGACAAATTGCCGGTACGGCACACCCAGCGGAATATTGCCAGTCGGCGCGGACGTCGCTCCGCTGGAACTCAGCGAGGGGTCGGTCGCCCAGCCGCTCGGGAGCATCACTGGCCCAGCCCCGGGAGCTGCTGCTGCAGTGCCGTTCGCGGATGGTCCTCCCCGAGGTGGGTTGATGTGGAAGGGAGGCATAGAAGTTGCGTTGTTCGACGCGGACGAGGCACTGCTAGTGCCGGATAAGCGCGGACCATTGTTATTTGCACCAGTTGCAGCTGCGCCCGGTCCTGATCCCTGGAACAAGGATCGCAACTGGTCCGACTCGGCAACCGGGGTTATGTCATGCGCATCCACCTCAAAGACTTTTTCATCCGCGACAACATTGTCGTCGACAAGCTGCGCGTTGACCACAGCTGTCGCGTTTAGCGACCCTTCCGCAGAAGTTGTGGCAACACCTCCTCTTGCTGCTTCGAGCAACGACTCCGATGACACGACGGGAACCGTCGGTACCACTGCGTTCGCGAAGGGCGCGGCAGGTTGCTGCAATTGATGCCCCCCGGACACCGGTGGTGGCAGGTTGAAGGTCGGGCTGGACACGGAGTGCGAGCTTTGGACCGAAGCCGAGTTGTTCTCGTTTTGCTGCAAACTCGGCACGAAAGCCTGGCCCGGAGGCCCCATGGGAGGGCTCATACTGGCCGGACTGTAGGTGCCGGAGCGTGCGCCCCCGGAGTTGCTGCTCCCTCCACCACCTCCCTGCGCGGAGGTGCCTCCGCCCGCCGCGGCGGCTCCGCTTTGACTGCGCGCCATGTTGCGCATGCGCTGACTGGGGCACAGTAAATGGACCGGATGGTGGACTTTGGTTTTCACCGTGAAGTCCAGCACGTCGTAGTACTCCAGGTTGACGGAAACCAATATGCTCCCCACAAGATCCAAGGCGTTCGCGAAGTACGTTCGGTTGAACTCTTTGCCATTCTTCTCCTGCAAAAGCTCCTCCACCGAGGGAGGCTTGGCAGCTCCTGTCGATGAGCTGTTGTTCGAAGATTTTCCTGCAATGCCACCGCCGCGCAGGGAAGTGGACGAACTATTGTTCGTCAAGGAAGTTGTTCCTCCACCGCGCTGCAGACTCAGGCTCGCGTTGCCCTTCGAAGCCGTCATATCCAACATCGGTGCAGGTGTTGTTCCATTTTTCTGCAGCTGCTGTCCGGACGAGGACACCAAAACGACCTCGCCCGTGACTTTGTCTAACATCTGCATTTTTGCCACCAAAATTCGCTGTGCCACCTCGCTCATGGGCACCCAGGGTTCCAATTGGAAGGTGTGGGTTTTGTTGATCTGGACGTGGATCGGGTCGGTGATCAGTTGCATCCCGTGCGGATTTCGCTTCTTCTCCGCGAGCACGACTAAGGGTAACGACTCGGTCATGGTCACCATGTTTTGCAGCAGGGAAACCAGTCTAGGTTCCACCAGATGCTTCGCCTCGGGTTGGTATAAGTGGAGCAACTTGTCCGCCACGTCGGCCTGCGCAAGCTCAAAAATCGTGTACAGCTTCTTCTCCCCGCTTTCCTCGTCGCGAAACAAGACCCCCGGCGGGCCGTCGAGATTCGAGTTGCTCAGCATCTGGGTCTGGTTCCTCCGGGGCGACGAAACCGAGGTCGGGGAGGACGGCTCTTGATTTTCGTCGAACTTCAGCTTATTGTTGTTCATCGCGGAAGTCGTTGTACTCGAATTCGTTGGTGATCCGAAGGCCATTTCCAGTACGATGCGCTGCGCTTCGTCCCAGCTGGTGGAGGATTTTAGTGGTTCCAAATCCACAACTTCTGGCTCGAACGTGATCGATTTGGTCAAAGTCACGCCCGGTGCGTCCCACTTGTGGCGCATGAGCGACTTGACCCCGGACCGCGCGAGTTCCTTCCCGAAGTTTTGCTTCACCAGTTGCTCCACAATCTGAAAGAAGCGGTGGGGCCTTAAACACATGCTGTTTGTCGTGGTCAGGGACAACCACTGGAACAAGGGGTTGCCTACGTTCTCGGGGTCTTGGCGGATCACCTCTGGGTAGTACTTGATCAGGAGCAGCAACAGGTCGTCGCACAACTTCTTGTTTGACGACGCCCGCGTGTTTTGCGAGTTGCCGCACGCCGCGGAGTAGTTCGTGTAGTAGATGAGCTTTTTAACCAAAATCGGCCACCACTTACGCAGGATGTGTTTTTTACAAATATCGAAGTCGTAGGGGTAGATGTCATCCAGTTCCGGAATACTGTCGTCCGTGTAGGTCAAGCACGGAAAGCACGTTGCCCCCGGGCCGGACAAGCCCGCGACCTGCGAGGGCAGGAAGACCGACTTGTTGCTCTGCTGCAGCATGGAATAAAGACTGGTCTCGGAGTAGTTTTGCGACAGCTTCTTCTCCACCTCCTGATCAGTGTCCGTGCCGGCGCCCCCTAATTGGGGAGGTCCACCTGGTGTTCCGTTAGCAATACTACCGACTTGATGTCCGAGCGTGCCTGCGCTCAAGCCGGGGCTCGCCCCGTGGACGAACAGGGAACTGTTTGTCTCCTCAATGTCCGACGCTGCACTATGTTCACGACTTCTACGCAATATGTCCATCGGATGCTCTGCAGGAAGATTGCTAGTAGCCGACGATGAACCGGTTGCCGCTGCATGATTTGGTGCTGTTGTACTACTGTTATCCGCGGTCTGCTTCAAGATTCCCTTCAATGGTCTCTGTTCGCTTTGCTCGGGTGTTTTCGGCAAGAGCGCTCCTGTGCCGGCAGCTGAGGCTTTATGAATCTCTGTAGTCGTACTAGAAGCTCCTGTTGCCCCGAGAACAGCTCCAGGCGGGGAGGTACTACCCCCACCGCTCTTCATAATTTCTTTGCTGTTGGTTCTGCTCTGCGAGGCCAGGATCTCCTGGTTCGTTTGCTCTTGCTTCTTTTGCGAGTCCTTACTGTTGCTTCTCGAGGGGTTGCTGTTATTCGACGCTTTCCGCACGGTGTTGTTGGTGATCTCCTCGGACATTTGATTAACCGAGTTCTGTTCTTGGTTCATCTCAAACATTGGATCTTCCACCGTCTCGCTCGGCGTATCGTCCATCCAAGACAATCCGTCTAACCTGTCTAGAATCGCTTGGTCCACGGTACTTTCGACGGTCGTCGTCGCTCCCGCGCCCAAGATCGGCATGAAGTTGTTGCTACTCTCGTCGTTGCCCGCCGCCTGGGCGGCGTCCTGCTTGTCCTCTTCCGATTGCTGCTGTCCAGAACCAGCATTGCTTGTTCCGTGGTGATCCTCGCCATTCATCTCTTGGGAAGATGTAGTTGGCGCTCCTGCTGCGCCACCTGCTCCATTACTCGCAGCCGCTGCGTCGGCGCCTGCCTGCTCGTTGGTCGTGGTGTTGTAGTCGATTTCCTCCACCGTGGCCATGTTCACATTAGTGTTCACGTTCGAGTCGTCCGATAATTCGGCACCAGAACCCACGATGTTCATCACATTCGGCGTTTGCATCGTAGTAACTCCCGGCGAACCGACCTGCTCGTGCTGTTCCTCTTCTCCACCACCTCCAGCGACTTTGAGATTTTCCTTCTCCAGATCCGTCATCACGTTTCCCTCGTTGGCCTTGTCGGTCTCCCGATCGGAGCCGTTGTTGTCGGCGTTTTTGTTCTGGCCCGCGAGGCCGTCGTCGCTGGCGAACGCCTTGCGGATGTTGTCCAGTGTGACGATGATGTCCTGCTGCGGGAGCAGATTCACCCCGTTCACCCCGAGGGAATTGAGGAAGAAATCGATGCTCTCGCTGTTCGCTCCGGGCGCCAGTTGCGAGTTGGTCGAGTTCTCCTGGTCGTCGTCCACCCAGGAAACGAGCACGACGGCCTTGGAGCTCCCCTGTAGGATGTTGCCGTCCTTCCGACCCTCGGTGTACTTGTTGGTTTGGATCGTGTACCGCTTGTTGCGCTGCGTCTGAATCGCCAGCACGGAATCGCTCCCACCACGACGAACGTCGAAGTTCCGCAGGCTCGGGTCGGTCAAGTCGTACTGTTCCTCCGGCAGAGGGACCACGCGGACTAGCGTGTCGCTCCACAGGTCGAACAGATCGTGGCCGAGGGACCGCAAGGGGGACAGCGTGTAGGTCCACGACTGCCGCTGAACGTATTTCCGCAGCTGCAGGCGGTTCGCGGTGGAGAAGTCCAACAAAGACTTCACACCCACGCTGCTGGCGGCTTGCAGCGACTGGAGTGGCAGGTTGTTCGTAGCTCCGGCCTGGTCGTGATCTGCTGTCGCTTTAATATTCGTTGAAGCCGAGGCCGCGGCGGTGTAGTTTTTGATGGAGTTAATGTTTCTATTTTCGAAAATAGGTCTGTTTTTGTTGAAAGCGATGTCGTCCTCTGAGACGCAGGGCCAGTGCACGAGCACGTTTGCGGAAACGGATGGGAGGTAGCGGTACCGCAAGGCTGCGCGGGACAAACTGTTCAACTTCTCAAAGCTCTTCTGTTTCGCGACAGACTCCAAAATCTCCGACGCCTTCTTACTCGAGTCTACGTCACCTGCCTGACCTGTTCCATCCCCAACCTCCCGCAGCGAAGCCAACATGTCCTTACTGACGTCGTCACAAACCACTTCTACTCCCGGAAGATGTTGACCACCCGTGGGCGTTTTATTGTTCATCTTTTTCTGTGCATTCCGCGGGGAAATCGGAGCTTCCGCGTCGCTGTCCTCCTGGTACGTGTACAGTACGGAGTCCAGCTTGACCAGCCAGGGCTCGCCCACTAGCGTTTCCCTCGGGCGTTTTTTCGAAAGACAGTTCTCGATCGCGAGCACGTTTGCGTCCTCTTGCGTGCAGCATCCGAAGGCGACGCCCCACAAGAACCGCTCCTTGACGCGGCACAGCGCGAAGGCCTTGTGGTGCGGCCGCTTCAGGAAATCACCCCAGGAAGAAACGTATGCACTGCAAATAAAGCATCGTACTAGTATAAATCGCAATACAAATTGGCTCAGCATTTACAAATGAAATTTGTAATGCGGATTTACCTAACTAACTAGATTTGTAATGCATAACTGCGAATACTACGAGTACGATACTTTTGCACAGGATAAAACGCGCTGCAGCCGGCGCATCAACCGCTTCCTCATTCGCCGCTCCCGCATCGCCGGAGAGAGCGAGCGCCGTGGGCTGGCGTCCGGTCCCAAACCAAGCACATTTCCTGCGCTGCGTCCCCGGCCACTCGGGCTGGGACTGCGGCTCGGGCTGCTGTCGTGCGCACTCAAGGGGATCAGCATGCTGGTAGTGTCCACGACCCCGGCGCCCGCACGTTGACTCATCTGCGCTGCACCACCATCTACTTCTTCGTCGTCCAGAGGACTGGCTTCCAAGGGCCGCAACCCTAGACTGCTGCTCGATGTGGTCTCGTTGAACAGGCTCTCAATGCTGTTGTCGTACCACTGCAGGGGGTAGCAGGCGAGCTCCATCGGCGCGATGCCGATCACCTTGCAGTCGATAAACGGCACGTTCCACTTACCCTTGTGAATGTCGTCGAACAACACTCTTGCGTACCCGCGACTGCACAACCCCCCGCTGGTGTCGCCCACGCGCAGGCCGCCGGAGCTGGACTTGTTCGCGGCGTCGTTGTACCGCCACCCCAGCACCGTGCCCTTGCCGTACAAGTGGTGCCGCACGCGCACGCCGATCTCGAGGTTGGCGTCGGACAGGGTTTCTTCGATCTGGCTCAGGAAGTTCACGTTCCGCGGCAGGCGCTCGAGCTGCCAGAAGAGCAGGTTTCGCGGAATCCCGCCCGGACCCTGGTGCCGCTCCCGCAACGACTCCTGCTCGGATTCCGACTCCGTGGTCAAGGAAACGCGCTCCAACTTCCGCTTGTCGCACACCTCCTCCTCGTCCGCGGGCAGCGGAAACGGGTCAAAGTTGTCTTTCAGCACCTTCTCGCCGTCGTAGCCCAAACCTAACCCCGCCACGTACTGCTTGCGGCTAGAATCGAACCGGGTGAGTCTAGAAGTAGTATTACAACTGGACGAGGGTGTCGAGGTGGAAACAACCGTACCGGCAAGCGCGGAGGCTGGCATTATGGTAGAAGTGGTGTTCTTCAAATTGTCAGTAGAACTGACTCCTCCACTTACAACTCCTGCAGCTACCGTAGTCTTCATCATTCCGGTTGGCAAGTAGTACCCAACCAAGCGCGTTTTGCTGTCCTTATTCGTGTACTCAATCTGGTCGAGGAACGCCAGATTTTCCATCCAGGACTTCTCCCCACTGCACACCTGTTTTTTCCGCAAGCAGTGCTTATCGAACATCTGGTGGAAGTCGTAGTCGATGTTTTTCGAGTTCAACAGCGATTTGTTCCTCTCTTTCATATTCATCCCCGTTTTACTGTCCTTGTTCTGCGGCGTCGTTGCAGCCCCCTTGAGCCTCTTGCAATTACTTCCCCACTGGCCCGCGAAGTTTGCGCGCAAATCCTCTTCCTCGTCTTCTCCGATCGGTGCACTACCTCCTCCCATGCGCTTCCGGTTCATCCCGGTTGGACTCGCGCCAGAGATGTGTTCCAGTTGAGAGTTTGATGTACTACCCGGGTACACCTGATTGTTGCTCGTATTCGTACTGGAGTTGTTGTTCCCATTGGATAAAGATTGCAACTGGTGCTGTGCGGTGACGTCGTCCGACGCGGACGCTCTGTGCTCCAGCAGCGGTACGTTGGTGCTCCGCATCTTCGCGTGGTCCATTTTCGTCAGGTCCAGCGTGCTGCGCACGTACGCGCCGTTCATCTGGCGAAAGGAACCGACCACGCAGACGGTTTCCTTGTTGGCCGCGGAGCGAATCACCCGCGACACCAAAGCGTCGTTCCACAAGACCCGCTTCGCACTTTGCTCCTCGCGCGCTTTCCGCTCCAGATCCGCCTGGATCAGGTGCTCCGGGCGGCCCGGGTAGTGCACGGCGTCCGCGATGGTGATCTTCTTTTTGCGGCTGGGCTTCAACACGGTCGTCGACCCGCTCGTCGGGACCAGGATGTGCTCCTGGATCTTCGGCGCGATCGCGATGTCCCCCGCCCGTACCTTGCCCCACGGCCGGGCGGACTTTTCCTCGTCCTCGGTCAGCCACGCGACCACCAAAATCGCGAAACTAAGCGACTCCTTCACCAGACGCTCGTCCTGTGGAAGTGAATACAACGCGGGGAAAAATCAGAATGAGAACAGAAGAAGATATTAATTACGTGATTTCACCTTGTGACTACATGAGGATGCATTTGCGAAAAATGCTGACGACTGGTTTATTTTCAAAAAGCTCGATCCAAAACACTACGAGTCCACTCAAGAACAAGAAGTAGTACTTACCTTATGCAGCATGCACACTCCCAATTTGTCGCCCAAGTCGAGTGCGATGTGCGTGAGTATCTCTGCCCAGTTGGTCTCCACGCTGCTGCGAAGACGGCCCAGACTGGCGAGTCGGATGTTGGGCGGTCCTACGGTGAGTTCGTCCAGATCGCGCTTCATCGCGGCATCCGTTTTCTCGCAGAGCTTCGGGTCGAACGCACAGGCCGCGCACAGCAAGATCTCGCACAGAGGGCAGTAGTAGGCCAAAGCCGCCTGGCTTTCCTCCACATCCCGCCTCTTCCAGGGACGTCGGCACCCGCCGGAAATATGCGTGGCCGCGCAGCCCCGGGGGCCCTGGCGGTGGTACACCTTGAATCCCTTCGGCAAAAAGCAAGCGTAGAGGTTGCTGCCGTAGCAGCGGTGGTACGGCAGATCTGAAATTTCCACCGGGAGGGGCAACGAGGAAATCACCTGCGTGCGACTGCTCCCGAGCGCCGAGTTGTAGTTCTTCGAGTTCGGGTTTACCAAAACGTACTTCGGAGCACCGGCGTCGCAGGGTTCGCACACCAGTTCCTCCGGCACTTGTGGTTGCAACCGCAACTCGTCCTCCGAAATGGACAGCGGCTTCTTTACGTACTGCTGGTCATGCAGATACCTCGTAAGTTTTTGTTGTTCAACAGTGACAGATCTGAAAAAAACGCCCACTGGTGGTGGCTCGTGCACATGAAGATCATGATCATCATCAATTAGAAGGGCTGCTACTGTTAGACTTAGGATCGATATGATCGAAAACCAAAAGAGAACCACGTGGTCACCCGTAGAGTACTTTATACCTGAAGGGGAAATGGTCAAACGCGAGCTTCTGTGGATTGACGTATCCTCGAATTGGGGACACTATCTCCCAGCGGGACTTCATTTTCTGCCGTCCCGCCTTGTTCTTCGAGCGCAACACCTGGGGGCGCACGAGAACCCGGAAGTCGGTTGGCAGTTTGCACAAAGTCAGGTGGTCCCCGTCGACAATGCGCGTCGTGATAATCGTTCGATACCACTTCCACTCGCTGTTTGCGACCTCCACCGGGGCCGGGTTAAACTCGTAAGGACGCGTGCAGTTGGCGCAAAACACGACGTTGCAGACGTCGCAGCCCCACTTGATATTCTTCCGGCTTCCGCACGCGTTACAGGAAGGCTGGTTGCGCCCGTGGTGGTACGTCAGAAGTGATTCTGGCTTCATCTGTAGTGTAGAGGAGTTTTGAACGTATCTTGGTTTTTCGGTCGACGTCGTCTCTAGCTCGACTACAAATAAAGACAAAGAGATGAGAAGAACAAAAACTGTACAGTACTAGTAGCATCATAAAATAATTTAGCAACTCAAATCCACCAAATCTAGTACATTAGGAAGTATTTTGATTCCAATTCCAATTCCTCTTTTAATACCTTAACAGGATAGAGCAAGCATCTGTGCAGGTCTAAGGCGATGATGTGTCCAGCCGTTTTGTCGAGGGTCCACAGATTACTGGAAGATCCGCCGTTCTGACTCGACGAGGAACCACCCCCTGCACCAGGCAGGGCCCAATCGAAGTCCCGGCCACTACTCCCCGCCGGCACTACCGCACTCCCGCCCGCGTTCGCACCGGCGACTGCGGCCGCACCACTCCCTGGCGTCACTGCGGAGGAAATTGCGGACATGCTGATTCTGCCGGTCGTCACTTCCGCGCCACTCACTCCGTGAATGTCCCCGGAGGATCGCTGCTGCCGGGAAAGCGAGGAGCTTGATGTGATGCAGCCGTCAGACGTATTTGTACCACCTCCGGCGACCGCGGACGTCGCACTAGTACCGCCCGCAGCTGCTGTCCCTCCGACAACCTCCTGCACCATGTCGTTGTGTTTCAAAGCCAAGTCTTCCAGCTCGCGCTCCATGTTTTCCAGTTGCCGTTCCATCTCCTCTATGCATTGCAAATATGTCTGGGTCTGGAAGAATGCCAGACTTGTCATGCAGGTTTTCCATGACCCATGAGGTCTGGTATGTAGGACATAGCATGACAGATTCTGTGAGCATTCTATCATGCCTATCCTGCATGAGAAACTGCCTCTCGATTAGGTCCAAAGTGGACAGGTTTCGGTAATCATGCAACACAGATTTTTACATGATTCAGATTTAGCATGACAAGTTGCTCTTTTCCAGACCCAGACACTTTTGCATTTGATATCCTCCAGCTCCCGCTGGCGCGTGGCCACGAACTGCTCTTCGTTCATGTGCTCCATCTGCTCGTCTATCAACTGTAAAAATGTCTGGGTCTGGAAGAATCCAACTTGTCATGCTGATTTTGGATTCTAAAAAAATCTGTATTGCATGAGCAGCCAATAGAGTCCAAGTCTTGCTACACGGAAAGAGCATTTGTCATGCGGTATAGGCATCAGGAAGCCCTCACAAAATCTGTGATGCTAGGGCATGCATCACAGACATCAGGAATCATGCAAAATGTACATGACAAACACGGCAATCTTCCAGACCCAGACATTTTTACATTTGATATCGTCCGACGTAAACTGATTGTAGCTCGCGTGCAGGTCCTCCGTGTCCGCGGCGTCCGACTGCAGACCCAAGGAGGCGGTGCGCTCGCTCCGGCGCTGCTGCTGATGATGTACTGCTCCTGGATTGATGATGCCCCCGCTGGACGAGACCACGCTGTTGCTATTGTGCTGGTGATGTTGTCCCCGTCCGAAGCTGCTGATGTTCATCCCACCTTCGTCGGACTGGGACTGGGACTCTTCTATGCGGGGTCCGTTCTCACCGACCGAGGACAGGTTGATATTCTCCCCGTCCTGGTCCGACGAAGAGGGGTTTTCTGTCCCTTCCGGCAGGTTGAATTCGTCCTGCTGCATAATTTCCTCCAGGTTGGGCGTGGAGATCAACAGCTCCATAGCGCTATGGATTGCAAATATCCCTCGTTGTTGTCTGGAAGGTTCTTGCATTTTGTGATGCATGTTGCGGATCGTACAAAAATCTGTGTTGCGTGACTTGCAAAAGGTCGTGCCCACTTCTGGCCATGCGGAGAGGGCATTTCTCATGCAAAACAGGCATCACCAAGGGGCTGCAGATCCTGTGATGCTAGACCCTGCATTCCAGACTTGGCGGAGCTCGGAAAAACTGCATGACAAGTCTCGGAATCTTCCAGACCCAGACATATTTGCGGTTGATAAGCGTCCTCGAAACTGCCGTTGGTCTGGTCGAAGGCCCAAAAGATGGCCTGCTATCCTGAGTAAAAACGTACCCACACCAGAGTTGTAATGCGGATTTGCAAAGACAGGAAGACTTGTAATGCGCATCCGCATGAGAGCCATTTCCAGTCGTGTTTTGGAATTTGTGATGCTGTGGACAGGATGAGCAGATGAATTTGTGATGCGGCTGCACTTGCTAACCTGCACTACACTGCAGAGTGCAACTTGTCATGCGTGACTCACAAAACTCCTAGGCTTGTGTTGCAAAATCCCCATCCTGACTCTGGTGTGGGTGCGTTTTTACTCAGGATACCTGCGCCGAAAACCCCATCGACCGCAACTGCTCCATTTCGGGCGTCAGTTGGTACTGAGGTTCCACTTCTTGCCCGGACATGATCTGCCCGTCTTGTTGCTGGCCGTCTTCACCGTTGATGTTCATCTCACGGTTAGGATCTTCCGCCATGGAACGTATCTAAGGTTCTAAAATTTGCCAATTGAAAAAGTAAAAGGTTTCATCTTCATCATCAACCTATTATGCTTTCAAATCCGGGTGACAACAAGATGAACAAAAGGGACAATATGTACAGTGAAAGGTTGTATGGCTGAAAATGAAAAAAACAAAAAAATCTTGTACAGAAACAGAATCAAAAAGCAAAAAAGAAGTAGACCGATTCACAAAAACTGGAAGCTATGAGAAAAACAAGCTTGGCAGTAAGAGCTTTAGCAACAAAGACTACAAACAGGACTTTTAAAAAATCGAGACAACTGTGCTGTTCAACAACATCTGACCCACTATAACTACTTATTCACCTCCTCCCCTTTTCGAGAAAAAAAAGAAGAGCTGCAACATTCAAGACGAGTCGATGAGTTGAAAGGTTGTGTCGTGCCAGAGTTTTTTTTGGAAGCATTTACGACCTACACGACGTGGTTGGGTTGCGCTTGCACTGCTGTGTTGACAATGCTCAAAAAAATCAATCAGGAGGCGCGAAATGAACGACAGAATTGCTTACGATTCAGTGAGCACGTACGAAAAAAGAAGCTGCACGAGGACCTTCTATCTTCAAGCACATGGTACCTACGACAAAGGTCATCATCAACGAGGTATGTTTATTTGTCGCCGTGAACGAAACATTGTCAATGTCATTGACATTGACGGTTGTCCAAACTTCTACGTACGACGATTGATTCCCAAGTCAGAAGCAGAACGTAACGCAAAATAACTCAATTATGGACGTCGTGATGAGGTGCAGCTGCCCATTCGGAGAAATACGAAGACCGTCAGGGAACGTCAAACGTCTAGAAGAGTGGAGCTTCGTTTTTGCGATGCCATATTCGATCACGACGAAATTGAAGTATCGTACAGACGAAGGAAACACAAACAGATTGAGAACCTGGATATTGAGCCACAGCCAGAGCCGCCTTCTGTAGTATTGGCAAAACAAAAATTAAAATATACAATCGGCGAGAAGCGTATAGTCCGATTGACGCTTATGAAGATACGTCTCTCCTTACATGGACGGGAGCACCATTCATGGTGCGCATGCGCACGTCCACGTACTTATTCGCGATTTTTCGATACATCATGGGTATTTTATTTCATACGTACTTTGTCGAGGCGAGATGGGTATGGGGGTGGCACGTGCGCGACAATGTTGTTTATTGGTGTCTCAGAGTCTCGTACTTGTTTCGATTTTTCGTGCTCTCTAGCACGGACGAGACCGGTTTTGATTCGACCGTTCTTAAAATGATAGCACTATATCGCTTGTCGCATTTTTGTTGTTCCTTAGGTCCTTGTTTGTTTGTTCCATCAATCGATCTATATCTTTAATATCTTCTTCCTTAGTTATCTATTAACCTTCGTTGTCGTTCACATATAGTGCCCTGGTCTTCTTCGTATATATGTCAGATATGATATCGAAACGAGCGCCCCTTCTTAAGGAGCTGGCATGGTACAACTTTGCCCAATCATACACAAGTCACCAGGTGGAACTTCATAGGAAGTGCTCTCTGGTCGTGCGCATCATTATGTTTGAGTTTGGACAGGTTTGGACACGTCATCCAGCTTGTGTCTCATTGTGAAATCATATAACAACAATATGCCACCAACGGGAAAATATCAATACTTTGTAAAAGAGTATGTAAGGGGCACACGCACGTAGTGATTACTGTTGGCCCTTAGCATTAATATTATTTTCTTATATCTTTTTTTTTTCCTGCACAATGATTATCCGCGCATGGCTCACACTGGCAGCGCCAGCGCTCGTTACGTGCAACTGCAACGCAGTGCTCGTTCTTCATCTATCAGGTCGGCGCTTGTTGTTCTTGTCATTTCCACTTGTGTTCTCTGTCAGAAGCAGGGCGAACATCACTGCGTGCGGCGCTGGCGAAGACTGGCAGGTCTTCCGTTGAACTTGAGTCCCCGATGTCAGTGGCTGCGCTAGAGAGTGCCGTTGTAGAGAAGTCCCGGGCGCTCCAGGCCGGTGGCAGAAGGAAAGAACCGAGCTCCAGCTCGATCTCTTCCGAGAAAAGCGGCGGACATGCGAGCAATCCGGTGGCAGAGCTATTAAGGTGGCCGTTGGCAGAGCTGACGCCGATTCCTAGTTCTCCATGCCCCTCCTGGTATGTAGTTCCGGCCACGCCAATCGGCGCAACCGGGATAAAGCTGCGATGTCCAAGAGTATGCAAGCCCACTTCGCTCTCCAACGGTCTGACCAAGCTTCCGAGGTCTGCGCACCGCTGTACCCTCCGCAGCGGCCGTGCGACAGCAGGGAGTAGAGGCTGGCCGTTGGCGGAAGGTCTCGTGCCTGCTTTGTAAAATGTTTTTATAAAATCCTGCAAACGAAAATCCTGCGAACAGAAACTGGTGAGACTTTGAGATGGATGTCCATTTGAACGTCTTTCTGCCCATGACTGAGAAAACGAAAAAAGAAAAACTGCACACCCCTCGTAACAAAACCGAGAAAGCATTATGATTTACACATAAATTCTAACTTCTATGTATACCAGTTTCGGAATGGGAGCTGGCCGTTGACGAGACCTGGTCGACGAAATCGAGATCCGCCCGGAGAGCGCCTGCTTTGGAAAAAGGAAGAAACCGCTCGTGCCTCCGTTGGCGGCGGGGAAGCGCTCTTCTACCGCGCGGCGCACTTCTCGCGTGAAAAGGCTGTAGCTGCCGCGTAGATGCCTCCCAACCTGGCTTTTCCCGGTCGGCGTCGCTCAAAAATATGGGCGTTGCAGCGGGACGCTGTTGGTGATGATTTGCCGGAGTTTTAGCGCCTGCTTTGGACTGAGAAAGGAACCGCCCGCGGCGCCCTCGTTGACGTCGACAAACATCTCCTCGCACCTCGCGAGGGCGAGCCCTCGCGAGATGAAAAAGCTGCTGCGACATTGCCTTGAAGCCCGGATTGTTCCGCTCGGCCTCTTCGTTTTTCCTCAACGTATTGGCGCTGCTTGTCGGCTCCCTCGCGGTTTCTAGGCCGCCGGCCTCGTACACTGAAGGCTGATGTTCGAGCATATGCGGAAGGCTCTGTTGGTGTTGTAGTACGTATGTCGCACCACTTCCAACACCATCACAGGCAGTCCAATTTGTTGCAAAAGCGGCTCCAAAGTTTTCTGACTGCAGCAAAGGTAGCTGGCGATCCTGGCTGTGCAAGTGCAGGTCTGCGAACGACGAAGAATTGTAGTAATAATACGGCATAGAGCTGATCGAGTTGGCGTCAGGGAAGCCTACGGCGTCGTGGGTGGTTACCAAAGTGGCAAAAACGTGGGAGACAGAAAAAAATACCCCGAGAAGTGAAGCGCCTTGTCCCGTGCGTCCGCGCACCCCCCCCCCCCCTCTGCGTAAAGCGGAGGCGCCACGATACGAAAGAAGGGCCAGGCGCGGGCGCGGCAGCGACAGATATTTCATTTGAAGATCTCTTAGAGAAGGATAGTGCATGTTTTATCGTTGTTGAAATAAAAGGGTAGTGCTTGTAGATCTGTAGTATTCGTTCGCTTTGTTCAGGCCTTGTTGTAACGGAGTCAGTGTGACTGAAAACCACGACCTACGTCATGTTCGAGATTTGACCTCTAGGGGAGGTACAGCTGCTACTGCGATAGAAATGCCACGGCTAATTCAATCAAAAGAATGGAGTGGAACGCATTCAATATATCATCTCCTTCGAACAATTTATTTGATAACTACTACCTTAACCTTTCAAAACTAGCACTTTTCCTTTAGCACGTACTAAAGTTCAGTTGCTTCTAATTCTCTGACAACTTTTTTAGCATACAAAATCTTCATATGAGAAAAATGCACCCTAGACGAGAAAAAGAATGAGACGGAGCAAAAAGAAAAACGGTGTAAATGAAAAAGGAAAGAGATCGACGGCGCACAATACGGAAAGATCGTTTGTTCACAAGATAGGAAAACCTGGCCAGCCCCGAGCTGGCGAAAAAATTGACAACAGCATCTCCCCAATTGTTCGATCGACGAACGAGTCTTCGTCGTCTAATTCATCCACAACAAAGTCGTGTTCTTTGCTGAAAGGTTTGTTCTGTTGACATGATCCTCGCTGAGAAAAGTTCATTCGTTTGATGTAGTTAACATCACTGTGCCACAGGTCATTGTGAGTCACTGAAAGTTTTTCTTGCGTCGCTATCATGCCTCTTGATTCTGATGTTGTGCAGCTGCTACTTGTAGGTCAGTACGTAGAATTCAAAAGTTGGTCTTGGTCACTTTTGCCGTCAGCCATGAAATCTATCTTCCTTTATCCATCGAGCTCGACGACGGCCCCGATCTCCACGGGAACACCCCGCGGAAGACTGGCACAGCCTACAGCGAATCGCGAGTGCGGTCCGACATCTGGGCCAAATAGGTCAACAAGCAGGTCGCTCGCCCCATTGATCACTTCTGGGTGCTCGGTAAACTCCGCACCGCACGACACGAATCCTTCCAGCTTCACTATTTTCTTCACCTGAGTTTTTCAGGAAAGGCGAAGGTAGCTGCTTTGATTCCTCTTTCATCTTCATCATCACCAATCTAAGAACAGCGATGTTGCCCGCCGCTGCTTCCTTCAGATGATAAAAGTAGTGATCCTATGAAAAGTCTACCTGTGCCAATTCCCCATCTTTGCAGGCTTCCTTTATCTGTGCTACGATGTTTAGGGCGCATACCCGTGCGGCTTCCTGTGCTCTCTCCACCGTGTACGAGTCTCCAACTTTCCCCTTGTGCATGGTTCCGTCGGGTAACTTTGGGATCTGGCCACTCACAAACACCAGAGGGCCAACTTTCGTGAACGGAATGTAGTTAGCGGCGGGTGCGGCGGGAGACGGCAGGGCCAGTCCCAGTACTAAACTGAAAAATGTCTGCAGCTAAAAAAATCAAAATTTTTGCATCCTACATTTTTGGGCACCTTCTTGGGTGTTTATTTTTTTTCACAATGAAACGAAATCAAGGAAATGGGTAGGCCAGGTATTCCGGCAAGGCCTCGGCCGACGAAGCAGAGGAGACAGCTCAGCCACCGAGGGACTCGGTGCGTCGGTATCGGTGGACGTCGTCCACCCGGGTTCGCAGTTGTAGTTCTTCAAGTTCCCACACTCCCTCCTGATTCCAGACGATTTACCTAGTGCCTGTCTTGTTTGAGAATGAGTTGAATTTGCTGAAGAAGAGGCTCTGCACCTCCACTTGGGGACCTCAGTGACGAGGTGCAGACGTTTTTGGCGGAGCCACGTTTTGCATCACAAATCTGAACCCTTACAGCACGGCATTCTGCTGATGCAGGGCCTCAGATTTGTGACCCGGCCCGGAAAGCTGACCCAGAACGAGTCACAAGAAAAGGCCATTTGTAATGCGAGACCCGCATTACAAATTGCCACTTTTGGCGGGAGGGGCTTTACGCCCAAGTACCTGGCTGAGGTTCGCGGCATGCTGGACAGGAGCATGACAAAAGCAACTACTTTCCAGAACGAGAAGTATGAGGACTAAGGCCTGGGCTGACTACTGGGGGACCTTCAAGCTCGCGCGGGAGCTTTGAGCACCGACGCAGGAAAAATGGAGCACAGCACCACGGCCAAGCTCCCCAGCATGGAGTCCACGGCGCTCGCCAGCGCGCTGCAGTCCGGGCGAGAAGAGAAGGGCACAAACTGCACTACCAATTTTGTTTTTTTTTGCTGCAGACATTTTTCCACTTAGTACCCAGGGCACGCAAGCTCGCTTCGATCTGAGACGTCGTCACACGCGGCATAATTTGTTTGTGCTATGTATCTAATATTACACAGGGACAGGAAGAGCTGCTATGTCATGTTTTATTTTATAACTCGAAACCGTCGGAGACAACAACGGGCCGAACGTGCGAACGTAGGTCGTCAGACCGCAAAAACCTGACAACCCACTCCCTTACCCCGCGGGATAAGGGGTTTGTACCGACAACAGTAACGAGAAATAAAGGGAGGGAAGGGCGGGAAAAATTTTTACTTGAAACTTGAACCGATTTGAATTCTTTGGGTCGAGTTTTAGGTCTTCCCGGGACCACAACAACAGCGACCGGTAGGAAGGGGGTGTCTCTTTATAAAAATCCGCTTTGTGTTCCGGCGTCGGCAACCCGGGCCGCTTCGCTAGGCCCGTTCCGCCTCCTTATCACACAAACCATAACTTTTATAACTCGAAACCGTCGGAGACAACAACGGGCCGAACGTGCGAACGTAGGTCGTCAGACCGCAAAAACCTGACAACCCCGCTGACGGAGGAAGAGAGGCCCCTCTGACAACCCATTCCCTTACCCCGCGGGATAAAGGTTTTGCCTCGACAACAGTAACGGTCAACGGAATGTAGTTAGCGGCGGGTGCGGCGGGCCACAGTCGACGCCCTGAGGTCCCATTAAGATCCTGGAAAGATCACCCTCGACACTCCAGGGGGAGGGGTCGGAAAGATTCGGAGCGCCCGCCCCTCTGTAGCCTCTGCCACAACTTGCAGACGAACGGGAAGCATAGACCGCTCGCGTAACGCGCGTTACACGATGGCATGGTGGATGTGAGAAAGGGCCAGACGCCCCACGGGCGGTGCCGCAGGTGCTAGCTTGCTGGCAGTGACGAATAACCACGCCCAACAAGGGCGAACGAGTGGTCGCGCGGTTGTAAAAGCCCTGGCGCCACGCGGAACAATCTGGGGCCCGGCAATGGACGGAATTGCATGCCCCCGTCCGCAGGGTCCATCCCGCTTCCATGGCCCAGAAATACCCGAGCCCGAGGGCAAGGCCAGGTCGGAAATGGTCCACCAAAAGACGGCGCATTAGCCCCAAAGCGAGTTTTTTTTTTGATTCAAAAACGAACCCGCTGAATTTGTTAAATCAAAGAAAAAGCACGGGCTTCAAGGGTAGAAAGGCCACTTCTGCAACCCCGAACAAAGGATCCGACTAAGGATCCGACCAAGGTTCAAAGTCTCCAATCACGGCGGTATGGCAAAAGCATCAGAGGCGAGAAAAAAGTTCCTAAAAAGTTCCGTTCAAGATCCGATAAAGTTCCGATCAAGTTCCGATCAAGATCCTGTCCAGAGGACACTTTTTTTGCCGCTTCTCCTGGCCTCTCCCCCGACTAGAATCTATGGATTTGGCGGCGCAAAAAAAGAGGCATGTGAGAGGACCTTGATCGGCATTTGATCGGAACTTTTGAAAATGGAGGCGGCGGCCATGAACTCCGGAAAGTGGCCCCATGCCCGGCCGAATTCCACTGGGAAATGCTCCTGAGTACGAAAATTGTGCCGCGGGGAGACAACTCCCACCCTTGCTTGACATGCTTTCTGCAGGGTTGGCCTGCCGATCCCCGCGACCCCAAGAAGCAAAACACTTGGCACCCACCGCATCGCGCCAAAGGCCATCGCCTCTCTGCGCGCTCCCGGATGCTGGGCAAACAGAATGCCTGCAGTCGAAACACCTCTGCGCCACCCCCTTCCCAATGGCCAAGACTACCACGAAAAAACTACAGAAGCACACCAGACAGGGGGGGCAAAAGGACATGCTGGCCGCGGCGGGCGGCGCGTTCCCTAACGGCTGGCCCGCGCCAAGTTTTGCGTGGCCGTAAAGTACCGACATACCCCCGCAAGAGGAAAAAGAATCGCGCTTCCCAAACAGGGCCGCTCTCGGGATAGGCTCGGCAGCTATGCGACACGCCCAGAAAAGGCCGCGCGAATTTGCTATACAAAGGAGGCAAAGCGAAGGCCAAAACATTGGGCCTGATTCGTAATTTCGGGGCGCGGAAGTAGCCCAGCGGCCAGGATCTTGATAGGATCTTTTTGGGATCTCAGACGAGCTGAAGTGGCCCGGCGTTCCGTGAGTAAGGAATGTAGTTAGCGGCGGGTGCGGCGGGAGACGGCAGGGCCAGTCCCAGGCCACGCAAGCTCGCTTCGATCTGAGACGTCGTCACACGAGGCATAATTTGTTCGTGCTGTGTGTCTATTATCACACAGGAGGTGGAGCAGCTATGTGTTTGCTTTTGCTTATTAGACACTCACACTTGGTTCTAGCGCATAAGCCTACAGTCGCTTGTAACATTCTTCTGCTCTCCTGATTTCGGTTTGCGCCAGCCACCCATCAATCATGGCGATCAGCAAAAGTGATGAAGTCTCTCCTATATTATCCCTCAATTGACATTTCCGTAAAACTACATTTCACCGGAGTCAAAGACCCTTCTTGATCCTCATCCTCGTGTATTTTTCGGCGCGAGCCACCACTGCATTCTCTTTAACATCACCATCAGCGCAAGCGACTAGCTCATTGAAAAGGTTCCCGCGTTGCATATGTTGCGTTTTGCAAAGAGAAAGAGTTTGGGTTAGCGCTGCGAAAATGCCACTGCATGTGCGAGCACTAGCACTTCTGTCGATTTTAATGCTGTCCGGAACAAGCAACAGCACGCGCAACGCTGTACTAGCTGCTAGCTAGCATATCAGCAGCTACACATTTTTCTTTTACAATCTCAATCGGCAAAAGGATTATTTCCGCGTCTTGCCGGGTTCTGTACTCCTACCAACATGACCAGCCCCGCCCGCGGCACTCGTTGTGTTGTATATTCTTCGGAAGACATGCAGGGTTTCCTGGAACCAGGGAAAGTTTGCGGCTGTGCGAAGCCTGCGACTCTCTTCCTCGTCGAAAAGAAAGCCGTGTGCGGTGAAGACGCTTCGAACTTCCCCCGATGCCTTGTTGTTGACGTGGCCGTGCCCCGGCTGGTTGCCCCAAGACAACACCAGCAGGTGTCCGCTGTGTCGCAGCAAATTCGCTACAAACGTCTGCTCGTACTCCGGGGGAATGTGTTCGGCCACTTCCAGGGACATCACCACGTCAAAGCGAAAGCCGAGGTCCAGCTTTTTCGACAAGTCGCCCACGGTGCACCGCCCGTCGGTAATCTCCACCGTATCGGGGTTGCCGTCCACGCCGAGCACGAGGTCCAATGGCGCCTGACTGGCGGACCTGTACTTGGTCCGGAAGTCGCGGACGTAGTAGCCCACACCGCAGCCCAGGTCCAGCACGGAACGGGCGTTGTATTTTTGCAGTAAAGGCATCAAATATGCAATGCAAAAGCACCGTACTCGTAGTAATTGCAATCACGCATGACAAATTTTTCTTCTGAAGCTAAATCCGCATTACAAATTTTATTTCTCATGCCGAGCAAATTTGTAATGCATTTATACGAGTACGATGCTTTTGCACAGGATATCAAACCGGTGTGCACCAAATCGACGTCGTGCATGTGGTACCCGACGCTGCTGCTCCCTTCCCACACGCCGGTGGCGGAATTCACGGACAGCTGCAGTTGCGGGATTTGGTGCTGCAGCTCTTCCGCCTCCGCGAATCGCTGTTGCAGACGCAGCAGCAAGACCAGGAAGAGCGCGCTACTGTGCGCACTCATGGTGCGGTTCTCCATATCCTGTGCAAAAGTATCGCACTAGTATAAATCGCAATACAAATTAGCTCAGCATTACAAACCTAAATTTGTAATGCTGATTTACCTTAACAGCTAGATTTGTCATGCATATCTGCAATTAGTACGAGTACGATACTTTTGCAATGCATACTCCACCACGGTCAGTGATTTCCGCAGGCTCTCCTCCATCTCCTCGTGCGACGTCTATCCTGAGTAAAAACGTACCCACACCAGAGTTGTAATGCAGATTTGCAAAGACAGGAAGACTTGTAATGCGCATCTCCATGAGAGCCATTTCCAATCGTGTTTTGAAATTTGTGATGCTGTGAACAGGATGAGCAGATGAATCTGTGACGCGGCTGCACTTGCTAACCTGCACTACACTGCATAGTGCAACTTGTCATGCGTGACTTACAAAGCTCCTAGGTTTGTGTTGCAAAATCCCCATCCTGACTCTGGTGTGGGTACGTTTTTACTCAGGATAACGTCGTCTTCAGATTCTGCAGCAGCTTCGGTCCCCACTCGTCCTCCAGACCCTGCATCTGGCGGTCGCAACATCGCTCGAACGTGAACTCCCCGGTCCAACACGCTTCGTTCCCGAACGCGCCACCCGTGTCGCAGCTATGAACTGCAAAAGTATCGTATTCGTATAAATGCATTACAAATTGGCTCAGCATTACAGATTAAGTTTGTAATGCGGATTTGCGTTTAGAAAAAGATTTGTAATGCATAAATGCGATTACTACGAGTACGATACTTTTGCACAGGATAGCAGCAGTCAGACCACGATACTCCTCCCACCCATATTCAGGGAAAATTTGTCACCGTCACCGTTTTGGCATATTCATTTTTTGAGCAAAAAAATTTGAATTTCTGCTGGCTTTGTATGCGTGTCCGTGTCTGCCACATGTTGCAACTGCGGCAAGCTAGCTACTGCGTTTCAAGCGCGCTGACCTAGCTCGCTGAAGGTAGTCCCGAAATATCCCAGAACGGCGCTGCCGTTATACAGGCCAAAGCCGCTGCTCCAGAAGGTCCTTGGCTGGGAGGCTGTCTACTGACACTAGAGCAACCAGATTTCCGTCCGCGGAGGATCGGAATACTGTGGCTGGTCTTGCTGGGTTGCCCCTTAGCATCTCGGGCACATCTTACTCCTTGACGAAAGACCTTCAGCAAAGGACCTCCACTACCCGTGAAAAAAAGGCAATTTTTTGAGCAAATTAACCGACGACCTGGTGACAAATCTCGAAAATCGTGCATTTTGCACGGTATGGTGGACTCTGGGAGCCCAAAATCGGAACTGGTGACAAATGCCAGAAATTTTGCATTTTGCGCGGTATGGTGGACGATTGCGCACTGATCAAAAATTCTTGCAGCTGCAAGAATTTTTGGTCCGTGCGCAATCGTCCACCATACCTTGCAAAATGCAAGAATTTGCTGATTTGTCACCAGTAACAAATCTGGCTCGGAAACGTCCACCATACCGTGCAAAATGTAAAATTTCTGGGATTTGTCACCAGGTGGTCGTTAAATTTGCTTAAAATTTTGCTGCTTTTTTCTGGGTTCTGGAGGTCCTTTGCCGGAGGCCTTTCGTCAAGGAGTGACAAGGGCCCGACATTCCCAGGAGCAACCCAACATCGCAAGCCGCACCATGGAGAAGGCCCCCCAGCAAGGGTCGAGCCCCTATGCGCCAGCAGCCAGCCTCCTCGCAACGGACCTTCTGGAGCCGCGTCTTTGGTCTGTACGACGGCAAAGCCATTCCGGGGCGCTTCTGGATTGCGTTCAACTACACGGGCCACCATGCTCGAAGTGTAATGCCTCGCGGGCCACATTTGCAACAACTGATCAATATGGGCATGTGTGGGATATCAGGAAAAAATCAATTTTTTTGGGTCGGAAAATGAATATGCCAAAACGGTGACGGTGACAAATTTTCCCTGAATAACCCAACAGAAATGCCCGTCCAGTGCCCGAGTTTCGGTAAATAAAACGCTGAAGTAGAAGAGTAGAGCAGCCAAAGCGGAGGTCCAGCTCGTCCAGGCCGAATTATATCGTGCTGCTGTTGCGCTCTTCAAAAAATTTCCACCAGAACCCCCCACCTCTGAAGCAACACGACCTGCAAGAAACGAGCAGGAGAGCCGAGTAGCTCCCATGATAGCTGCTTTCATTGGGCCTTACGACCCCCGGCAGCCCTTCATGAATATGCTGCTCGCCGCTCTCTCTACACAACACGAATCTACTCTCGGTACTAGATCAGCTGCAAAAGCACCGACGCTACTTCCTTCGAGTTCGAACTCGAAGAGTAACCCGAACCGTAAATGTTAAAAGACATCGAAAACGGAGAAAAATGGACACACATATATGTAACATATGTAGAATCAACCTTGAAGATAACAGTTGCCAGCAAATCAACAAAAAAAGAACATCAGCGACAAATAAAAAAGAACATCAGATGTCAGCAAATCTTAGGAGCACAGTTCTGCAAGCCAGAGCACGAGAGTGCTACTCGAGTTTGTGTTCTGATCTTGAAACACAGAAAAACCCGCACAGAATCATCTTACGAGGGGGTTTTGCAGAACTATGATCCCAGGTCTCGACGCGGCGAAAATCCCAGGGGCGCATTTCTTTATCTCCCCGACGTCGGATGATTTTGCGCGAGGTCTTCAGACCTACTGCCGGCCAGAGCACAAAGCCGACGTGGGGGCCTTGCCGAAATATGCTCCCAGGATTTCCGGCAAACCTTGGGAACGCATTTCCGAAAGGCTAGAGTGTGGCAGCTGCTGGGCGACCCCTTATATTGAAGGCGCATTGCTTTCAACGAGCTGGCGCTGAACACGAATTGCTTGCAATATACTAGCACAACAAAGAAAATACTTCCTATGCCAAGGCAATGCAAGTAATTCATTTCCAATAGCAGGGCACTTGAAAGCCACGCGCTTTCAACGAGCAGGAGCGTAAGGCCCACTCCTGGCAGCCCGGCAGGAGAAGCGCGGCAGCCCCGCCGAAGACGGCTGCCCGTTCTCCCCCAAGCTCGCGCGCTGGCTGCTTCCCAGCCACGCCCTTCATGGCCTTCGGCCATTCCAAGTCCCGAACGCGCCACCCGTGTCGCAGCAGTCGGACCACGATACTCCTCCCACCCAACAGAAATGCCCGTCCAGTGCCCGAGTTTCGGAAAATAAAACACTGAAGTAGAAGAGTAGAGCAGCCAAAGCGGACGAGGTCCAGCTCGTCCAGCACGAACAGGAGAGCCGAGTGGCTCCCATGATAATAAATTGGGCCTTTAATTGGGCCACACGGGCTCCAATTGGTATCGGGCCTTTAATTGGGCCTTACTACCCCCGGAAGCCCTTGATGAATATGCTGCTCGCCGGTCTCTCTACGCAACACGAATCTACTCTCGGTACGTGCTAGATCAGCTGCAAAAGTACCGACACTACTTCCTTCCAGTTCGAACTCGAACAGTAACCCGATTCCGAACCGTAAGTAGTTTTTTATAAAGACATCGAAAACAAAAAAAAATGCACTCAATATACCTATCGAGCACAGTAAATCATGTAAAATCAACCTGGAAGACAACAGCTACCAGCAAATCAACAACACAGGTCTACCTACCACAAGAACATCAGCGACGAAAGCATCGACGCACGCCCGACCGGCCGCGATTCGTTCGAGAAAAACAGCGGTCAACATCGGTGGCACAGATCGCCGCAGCCACTTATTCAATTTGATTTCTTTTTCTGGATTTTCTCTCTTTCACGGGCTTGTTTGCATCCCGGCACTTCTTCTAAACCGCCAACTTTTCCGTTTCGTTGAGACCACATTTCTTCATTTGCTTCTTTCCAGTCCCAGAAGTTCTACAAGATAAAGTAGGTCCTCGTGGCAAACAGTGGTAGGTATGAGAAGGCTAGCGGCAACATAGGCAGGACAAAGAGCGCAGAGTAGAAGATCCAAATGCCGTCTTCCAGCATCAGCTCCGGAAACAGGTTGTACATGAAGAATGTCATGCAGAGGGCCGTGATGTAAAACGTCAGCTCGGCGAACAAGTTCTCGAAGGCCGGGACGGGAAGAAAAGTTAGGGTAAACTGCATAAAGAAGGTAAAGACGCCAGCAACTGCTCCTCTGGAACAGTTCGAAAAGCAAAGACGATACACAGCTGGCACTGCCCAGGCCGCGGGGAGGATGACAAGAGCAGTAGGCAGAGCTTTCCAGGGCGCGACCAAAAGCGATAGACTACACTTTGAAAAGCCAGCGCTCAGGGTAGAAAGCGGCACGGCGCTGCTAGCGACAGCTGCACACGCATAGGGTCGCAGCGCCCAATCAAACAAGGTCCTTCGCTGGTGGTCGAACAGTGGGCTGGATTTCGACGAGATAGTGCTGGTTGCAGCAGCGCAGGACGACACAGCAGACAAATTCGGTCGTACTCGTAAGCCAGCGGAACAGGTTGCAGATCTGGAACCAAGAAACCCGCGGCCAAACGTGTTGCGGAACGCAATGGGCTGCTCTGGGATGAATCTTCCCCGTGGACAGGAGTGCTGCAGTGTACCTCTATGAGAGCGGCCCGTTGAAAAGCGCTTCGCACTGGCTTCACTGGGCGTGATCATTTTCCGCGCCAAGAGGCTCGGGTACATCCGCTGCGGAGCAAGGTGGGACAACATTTTTTCAATTTGAATTTCGGTAGAGAACTCAATGTTGATGAATATTCTTTTTCTTTTTCGTAATACAACCTAGCCGTAGGCGTAGTTATCAGCTTTTCTCTTTGTCTTTTTCCTAAAATAACAAGGCATCTGCGAGCGAAGCCATGCTTTTCGTCCACTGTCGTTCTTGTATCAGAATCTATCATACCCTCAAATAAACTGGGATCCACTTGAACAGAACGCAGGCGCTCAAGAAAAACGACAATGCCCCTGAACTTGGCTTGTGAACAACCCCGACCTTTTTCCTTGATTGCGAGCAGCAACACATCCTGGGGGACGGTCGATATTCGACATGCGTCGAAGACGTCGATACAGAATGCTGATGTTCATTTTTCCGACCGGTCTCGTGCATGCTCCTGTTGTTTCCTGAATAGAACAAAGATGTTTTCCGAGGCAGAGCTCTAAACGTTCACTCACGAAATACAGACACAGTTCGGATTTTCTTTTATTTGCAGAGATTCACGACAACTACACCAATCACTAAGTAAAAAGACTTGTAGCTCTGAATTCATGTACAGGTTAATTGTAGAATAAAAACGTCTTCGAATTGACTTTCTCTTTCACGTGAAGAAAGCCGTAATTTTCAGGACGAGGATACATTTTTGTATTTTAGATTTATTGTGTACTTGCACCTGCGAGATAGTTCTAGTCTTGTTCGCTGGGTGGAATTTCTGGCCATCCAGCCTGCGGCGACGCTGCGAAGTTCTTCTAGGTCTTGGGGGCCCGATTTATGTTGTCGTAGGCGTTACCGTACGGACGACACAATTTTGGCCGCGTGTCACAGTTCTAGTTCTTCGGTACCGCGATTTATCATGTCTCCAATCACAGCAGCTAGCACGACGTGCAACAACTCACGATTCCTTAATACCACCCAATATCGGATAAAATGACTGGATTTAGCTCTCCGTTCGTTTCGTAGTGATCCACTCTTCTTGGTTTCACGTAGTCAGGACTCAGCCTGCAACTGCATGACCTATCTGTATCTTGTTCATGGCTTGTGACACAAGCAGTTTTCTATCGACGGACGTCGTTTCTAATTGTAAATTGACCTCCACATTTTCACACAGTGTACGAAAAGCAAAGTAAGTAATTCTTGTTCTTCTGATACCGCGACGCTAAACGATCTGTATCTCAATCTCTTGGTAACAAACTTGGGATAAGGACAATCTAATCTCCTACTCGGCATATCCGCATCTTTCTACTGACTGTATTATTCAAACATTGTTGCTCTTGCAACAGGCTCTCGACTAACTTTACTCAAATCATTCGCTCTGGAATTTTTAATAAAGCGACTTCTTTTTCATCTTGCGTTTATTCTCACTAGCAAGACGTATAGGTATATAGACTAAACAACAACTGGCAGAAAAGTAACTTCCGGCCCCAACCTTCGCGGAGAAAAGCGAGCAAAGCGCTCTTGTTCTCAGACGCGGACGTCGGCAAGGAGCCGGTGCCTATGGAACTGTCAGGATTGAACTTGACAAAGTTGAAAATTTTCCCATGCATAAAACCGATACCAGTTGGAACTGGAAGCCCAATTTCTAAGCGGTGCATGACAAATTTCGGAATAGTCTTCTAAAACCAGTTTGTCATGCTGTTTAGCGAAAGAAGGCATCCTTTTTCGTGCTACTTTAGCAGTTCTATCCCAAACCCGAAACAGGCTCACAATCGGCCTTACTTGCGATCCCTGCAAGACAGTCTTTTCGTTTTCGTGCCTTGCATTTTATGCATCACAGATTATTTCAATTTTGTCGCTTTCAATCCTGACACTTCCATAATGGCAGATTTCTTTATACTGGGTCAGATCCCCGCCCGTGCGCCGAAACTTGACCATGTGCGAATCCACACCCTCCAGCCCGCCGGATATCTCCAGGTCAAATTTCACCTGAAGGAAAAGGAAAACGAAATGAAATGTTCTTTCTTCACGAGGAATTTTTAGTGCTTATGCCTGAAGTGGCTACAACCACGGAATAAGTCGAAGTGCAAGCAAAATCAAAAGTTAATGGTCAGTGTCAGCAAGGGTGTATTGGAGGAAAGGAGAGTCCTCCCTGAAGATGCCAGCAAGGATAGAACGATTTCTGACGAGTTTATTGAGCTATGGCATAATTTCAATGGGCAAGATTTATACGTATTGTTTTTGGCATTTGATCACAGTGCCGTTGTTGACGCCGGTGTGGCCGAGTTTGAACATGACCCGCTGCTGCGTCAGCGCCCGCTGCAGCTCCTGTGCGATTTGTCGGGCGCTCTTCGTCGACGTCTGCACCACATCGCAGTTGCTGTAGGCAACCGGGCGTCCATACCCCCGTGCGGAGAGCGGAGGCTGGCTCACGCCGGTCCGCACCGGATGCTCGGCGTGTGTGCGGGCCGACAGCGGCACCCGAACCTGGCTAGTGGGTCTCCACCCGGACGGCTGCAGTGGAACTCCGAGACTCGGCTGTACGACACTCACGTTTGCGGGCGTCGCGATCCGCGTTGAGGGCCGGATGTTGGTTACACCGCTACCGACCATTCGGTGGTCCATTGATGGTCCACCTCCCGCACTAGTACCCCGTGCGGTCTGGGAGCCGCTGGCGAAGGAGCTAGAGGTGGGCCCCCCGCCACCGCCCCCAGCAGCTGGACTTGGACTTGCACCTGGCGGGTGTCCTGCCGTGCCGGATTTGTTTATGTTGCCACCTCCACCCGCCGCAGTTGTTCCTATTCTGGGCCCGTTTGCCGACACCCCGCGCGACGTGTTGATGCGACCCGGATGCTCCCGGCCGCCGACGCCCCCACCCGCTCCAGCGGAAGCTCCGCGAGCTGAGTAGGTACCGCCGCGTCCGCCCGAGGACGACACGGGTCTTGTCGTCGGTGCGTAGTTTGGTTTCAAAACCACCGGGCTGGCGCCGTTCACTCCCGAGGACGAGCCTGGGCGAGGCCCGCGACTGCTCACCGCCCCCGGCTGCCGCGGCGTCACGTATCCACCGGTAGTTGATGTGCCGCCGGGTTGCTGTACTACTTTGCTGCGCGGGTCCTGACTGCTCGGCCGCGTGCTGTACTTGTTTCCCGATGCAGCATGATGCGTAGAACTTGTTGTACTACTTCCCGGCGCGACACCTGCAATCGGTCCACCTGGAGGTCCTCTGCTCGCACCGTTGTTATTGGCGGAATACTGCTCGTAGTGCTGTCGTCCTTGATGGTGTTGACCACCATTTGGACCAGGGCCTCGTGCGCTCATGGGCGGTGGTACCACTCCACCGAGGGCTGCTGCTGCCGGAACACCACCTGGTGGTCCGCGCGCGCTGGGTGGAGGGAAGCTAAACTGGTCCCATGGCGAGAAGTCCGGCGGCCGCGTGCTCGTGGTGGCGGCGCTGGTACCTATTTTTAACGCGGGGACCACCTTATTTGCTTGCGGGTTGGGGTTGATGTTGTAGATGGGAATGCCCTCCTGGATGTTGGGGTTATTTCTGGCACTACTACCGGGTGGTAGTTGTCCACCACTGGTCGTGTCCTGTAGCTCCTGCAGTGGTTGCAGATCGTCCTCCGATTGGATGGCGCGGAACTTTCGTCGGGCAAGCAGGTAGTAGGTCGTCGTCACATGATTGTGCTTATTCATCTCCAGGCACTTAACGGCGTATTCTGTTTTCGTTTTGATGTTTTCATGGTAAGTATTAGTATTTTCCTTCTGTTTTTTGTCGTATTTTTGGTGTGCGCTGTTTGAGTCGGTCGACGGACTGCTTTGCAACTCAAGTAAGTAAGAGTTTTAGTAAACATCACAATTACGAGCGGAACATCAAGTGCCACAACTCCGATTTCCCGAGCTCCACCAGAACCAGATGAATGAAATAAAAACAATATTACCCCTCGGGAACCCATAGCGATCGAGCGCGCTGAGGATGTCCTCCTCAATGACGATACTTCCGTCCTTGGAGTCTGCCTGCAAGCAGTAGGAACAGTCGGGCACTTCGCAACCCCTGCCGGTAAGAAAGTGAAGGTCTGATGGTCGCGTAGCCATGTCCGCCGTAGTTCCGAACAGTCCCCGATACCTAGCGGAGCAATCGCGTTCCTTGCTTTTGTACGAGTATAAAAATACGTGGGGTTATCCCTCTACAACATCTGTTTTATCATGTAAGCCACGTACATCACTTCACCACCGAAATGAAAATTCTAGTAGAGTGTGAGTGCGACCGGGAAGAGAAAGGGATACTCATACTAACTTCTATCTCAACGAAAAAATACAACTACAAATCTACACACGTAAAAATTGTAATTGGTTTCGTGTACCATGGGTGCTGCTTGATCTGCGCGGCGGTCATTCGTTTTGCTGGGTCGGTGGTCAGCATTCCGGAGATTAAATCATTGACGCTCTGCGAGATAAACTTGGGTGTCTGGTAGTCGGCCCCGAGGATTTTCTTGTACAGAGCCGCGGTGTTCTGGTCCTCAAACGGCAAGTAGCCACACACCAGGGCGAACAAAATCACCCCGCAACTCCAAATGTCGCACATCATCGGCGCATACTTTTTTCCGGCGATCTGCAGGTTTTGAGTGGTACGAGACAATCAACATATCATGCCTCCTTAATACCATCAGTCCACCCGCTTTCTTTGTAACAAGCATAGGAATCGTGTTCGATTTTTTTTATTGGTCCAAATTCAGTGAATTGCAGCGTACCATTTCCGGTGCGGCGTAACAGGGTGATCCACACGCGGTCTTGAGCAGCTGTCCCGGCTTGTAGGTGTTCGAGAGACCAAAGTCGACGATTTTTATGTTTTTGTGCGAATCCAAAAGTAAGTTCTCCGGCTTTAGGTCGCGGTGCACCACACGCATGCTGTGAATCTTCTCCACTCCGTTCAGAATCTGGTGGAAGAACTTCACCTGATGTGATATTGATGCATTAGAGTTAAGTATGTCCAATTTGTATTTTTCTTAAAGACATTATGCAAGAGTGCAAGAAAACCATCGGCACCCCCATAGTCACGCCTGAGTTTTCATCGCTCAGGAGCGAAGCCCAAACCAGCGTGGTCTTCGTCTTCGATCTCAAAACAACTGAACAATTATTTCTCTCTCTCTCTCCCTGGTACTACCGCTTCTCTTTCCTTGACCCGGCATTGCGCAACGATGTAGTCGAAGAGCTCGCCACCGGAGGCAAACTCCATGATGAGGTAGAGCTGTTTGGGCGTCTCGATGATTTCGTACAGTTGAATGATGTGCGGGTGCCGGATCAACTTCAAGATGTGGATCTCCCGTGCGACCCGCTCCACATCTGCCACATCCACTATTCGTTCCTTCTCCAGGATCTTCACGGCAACCTGTCAAGGTACGAATGTAAAAACTTTGTGCAAATGTACGACTTCACTTGGGCTTCAAAAAAAATTGCAGCTTTTTTTTATTTCGAATTTAGATTTACTAGAAGTAGAAGTAGAAGATGAGATTGAGAAGTTCAACAGGAAGAGCAAGAACCCATCGTTTTCGTTTAGAAGTATAGTACTTTCTCTCCTGTCAAAATGTGTGTGCCGAGCTTGACTTTTCCAAAGGTGCCTTCGCCAATGGTCTTCCCCAGGATGTAGTGACCGATAGACGCATTGCTGCACGCCCGCCGGGCACCCCCGTCACTCGATGCCATCCTGCTCCACCGGCGAGGACTGGCCGTCAAGGCAGAGGCGCGAGTAGCGGTCGCGCTCCCTTCTGTTTAGAAGTACTGGCAGTAGTTCTTGTACTGAGACGAGTTTGCAACCACGTCGATGAAAGGACCGCCTCGTCTCGTCAAACGCTACTTACAACACGACCTGGTCCTTCGAAGGTTAATTATCCAGATTGGGTCGACAACGGAGCAGATTCCGGCTACTTATCTCGCCCGGTGTCGTATTTTATGCGGAAAGATGATCGGGCTCCGTTGGAAAAAAATAGCTAGAGGACACGACGCCCTCTTTTCCTGTTTCAAAGGCAGCGAAAAGAACGACTCCACTCTCCTGTCGCTGTCGTCGCAAATTCTACCTTTTTTTAGGAAACTCGGATACTGTCGCCATAGTTGCTTCAAAAATTTCAAATCTGTATTCTTACTTTCAGTATCAAACGCATCGCACTTTCATCACGCGCCTAGGAGTAAAAAAAAGCGACGGTCCAACCATCATCCTTTATTTAAGAACGCTGCAGGTGCCACATTCTGTGAACCCACGTCGCGCCCCTCCGAGATTGGATTCACCGGCTCTTGCGTACTACATTACCTCTCTCTACTTTTAGCGTACTTCAAACAAAACTTGTAGCCGCACTAATCGCCACGTAAATCCGAGCGCGAGAACAAAATCTCTATGTTGATGTTCTCAACTCTATTCGTTCTTTTTGTTGCTGATATCTATCACAATCACCTCGACGCAAAGAACTACAACATGCGCGGCACGACAGAAGGACAATAGTCTGCATTTTCGTAGTCGCATGAAAAAACGAAAAAAGAAACGACGCCTCTTACTCTTCGATCCGGAGTCTTCACGCTTTTTTTGTTCATTCAGTGCGAATTCCTCGACGCTGCGATACGAAAAAAGAAGAACAGAGAAACATCCAATCACTTTCTACTCGACATCTCCGGTTTTCCATGTCCATCGACTCTACTAACGTTCTTGTCTTGATTGGCGAGCGCGAGCCACAAATAATACTGCTTGCATCAAAGCGCCTCGTTGCTGCAATAAAACACGATCGACGTGGCAAAGAGAAAGAACACTGACATTTCATCGCATTAATACACCAGCGATGTTATTCATGACGTTGATGAGCAGTTGATCTACAACAGCACAGGCCTTCTTTCTCGGTCGTCCGTTTGATACTGATATCAAAATGATTAAATTGATTTTGATATACTCGTTGATACGCGATGATGATGTTCATGTTGCCACAATAGCCCATGGATAAAAATGAAAGCAGTTAATACAACACAGCCTCCTGGTCCTCGCGTATGAAAGTGAGGGTCATTCCAGCTGTGATTTCATGCCAGGGCGGGGATTATGCATATCGTATCTTACACAACAGTTCTACCGTTATTCTTATTTCTCAGTCAACCTGCTGGCGGCGTGAAATTAAAAAGTACTAGGTCGAGACGGACCATGACGATATACATGATTTTCAGAAGTGCATGCAGGGCGCGGACGAATCATGGCAACGTAAGTAAAGTTACTTAGATGTTGATTGCTTTTGCCACATTTTCAGGACTACTTCTGGGGGCATTGATAGAAACAAAGACAAATGAACATGTACATGATGAAGAAGAAGAAACAATAAATGTCGGAGAAAAATTAAAATAGCGTCGTGACTCGGTAGGTCAATATGTCGTGCTAAAACGCTGCAACTACAAACGCTCCTGCTACAACTTCGAACACAGCTCTGCACATCGAGCCTACCACTTGTAATATTTATATTGCCGTCTGATTCTACTAGTGACAGTGTAACAAGAAAAAGAAATGTATGACAACTATGAGCCCGCTGAAACAATAGAAACATGAGACTTGTCTTCATTGACTCTAAGTACTTCTGTCCCAGTTAGCCTTAGCACACAAACTGGCAGACGTTACTGACGGCGATTTCCAGTGCCGCCTTCCAAGCTTGGTACCTTTTGTTCCGGCTGTTGTAGTCCGTGTTCGACGGATCGAACAAGACCTCTTTCTGGATGATGTGTTTCCCCTCCATTCCTTTCACGTCCACAAACTCGTTGGAGCAGAGTTTGACCGCGTAGGAGTAGAGGCTGTTGCCGCTCATCGCTTGCTCACTCCCACTCTTCGGAATCAGCGCGTAATCCGCGTAGGTGGTCTCAAAAATGGTGCTGTTGTCGAAGTGCCACTTTTCGCTCGCCTGCTGCAGCTTCGGCTTCACCTTCTGCTCCAGAAACTTGTGCGCGGCGGAGATGCGGTCCAGCGTCCACACCGAGTGTAGGTCGTACCCAGACACATCCTGCGGCTCGAACGGCTGCATTCCCACCTGGGTCATGCGCCACACCGCGTGACTCCGGTCCATTCCGTCGGGCTGGAACTCCGTCCACGCCCCGAAAATCACCGCGTGCGGCCACCGCGTCTTGGTGCCCAGCGTGTCGCGGAAGTGCGCCTGGTCCTGCAAAATGTACTCCAGGGCGAACGTCAGATCGTAATTGTGGTCGTAGAAGTGCGTCGCGCAGGAAACCACCGCGGGAGGCATACCTGTAATCGATGACAATATTATCAGACGTAGTGTCACCAGCGTCGTCACCAACAGACAATAAAAGGAAGATCGACATTTGAAGATTTTTCACAAAACCGACCGAACGTTTACTTCACCGAAGAAAAACAAATACCGATCGAGCTTAGGCTCATCCCGCTCATGCTATCCATGGAAGGCAGTACGCCAAACTCGTTGTACAGTTTCCAGCACAGGAACTGCGCGGCCGCCGGAGGCTCGTTGGCGGCAATTTTTTTGTCGAGGATCCGGTCCACCAACGCCTTCTGCTCGGCGTAGGTGAGGGTCCAGGGGATTTCCATTGGGTCCGAGAAGATCACGCCCGGCTGCATCAAGTCGAGATTCGCCGTCTCCGAGTCGTCCTTGCAGTTCATGAGCCCTTTGCTGAGCCGTTTCACGTCACCCTCGTTGTGCGCGCGCAGGCCCACCGTGATATCAAATGCAAAAGTGTCTGGGTCTGGAACATTCTGAGACTTGTCATGCTAAACAGAAGTGCGGCACACTTTGCCTCCCCCTTTGCAAACGGCCGCAGATGGCTGTCACGCAGGGAAGGTAGGTCAGGCGGACACCGAAGTGCCATCACCATCATCTCCCGGCCACGAATCCTTCATGCACGTTTTGCATGGGCCATGCACGTTTTGCATGTCCGTGCACGTCTGTCTGAGACTTGTCATGCACGTTTTGCATGGGCCATGATGTCTGTGATGCATGCCCTAGCATCACAGACTTTTTGAGGCCTTCGCGATGCCTATGTCGCATGACAAATGGTCTCTCCGCGTAGCCAAAATTGCATTCCCTTTGCTGGTCATGCAATACAGATTTTTTTGGAATCCAAATGCAGCATCACAAGTTCGGACTCTTCCAGACCCAGACATATTTGCATTTTATACGTGAACCGCTCAAACCACTCCCGGGCGAAGTTCTCGATCGGCGCGGTGCCGCACTCGACCTCTTCCAATTGGTCCAGCGACTTCCGCAGCGCCTTGTCGTTGAACATTTGTAACGCGAGCGTCCGGTAGTTCCCCAGACTGCCCCGCCACAGCGTCTCGTACTGCTTGTACATCAGCAAGTCGTCGTTCACCGCGGTTTTGGGCGTCGCGTAAAAGTTCAGGAAGAACCAGGTCATGCGCGCCCGGATTTGCCCCAGGGAGGTCGATGTGAAGTCCGCGAAGTAGCGGTCCTGCAGGTACTGGGCGATCTTTATCAAATGAAAAAATGTCTGGGTCTGGAAACTTGTGATGCTCGGTGGCGTCTCATGATGAGGCCACAGGTGCTGGCTCAGCATGACAAGTTTCTGAGCTTCTAGGTGTTGCCTATTCTGCATGACAAACTGCGCTTCTGCATCACAGAAAAATGGAGCTCTTGGGTAACGTGCGTGACAGATTTAAGAGTCATGCCAGACAAGCATGACAAACATGCATTCTTCCAGACCCAGACATTTTTACATTTGATAATCTTCAGTTTCAGCTGATTCGCGCGCTCGTGCTCGAAGGTCTTGCGATCGTCTATGGCGTCCTCAACTGTTACATTCTCAACTGTTACATGATTTGTCATGCAAATTTACCACCAAGATCGCCACGATTGAGCTACTTCGCATGACAAATATCCGAAGAGCTGAACAGCGTCTAAATCTGTGCCAAATCTGTAATGCAAAGGGCGCAATCTTCCCCCTTTCACTTTCGCCGTTCTTGCATTACAGATTCATGTAACAGTTGAGAATGTAACATTTGAGAACGCCATATCGTTGTCCGGCTTCGCACAGGTCTTCAGCTTGAACCAGGGCGCGGTCTGCTTCGTGCCGTCCGGGCCCTTCCAGATTTGGTAGTGCTCGGGCTTGAACATCGCCGTGGAATTGTTGTGGTAGATGTCCAGAAACTTGGTCAAGTCGCACTCGGGGTCGCAGGGGTCCGTCGCGGTGCCGCCGGTGCTGCACTTCCGGTCGTCGATCACCTTCTGCTATCAACTGCAAAAATGTCTGGGTCTGGAAACTTGTAATGCTGCGTTGGGAATAGTGAATGCTCTGTAATGCACAGGCAAGCATGAAAAATGCCTGCGCTTCCTTGTGTTGCGTGTTCCCCATGACAAAGTGCGTTTTGGCATGACAGGCAAAAGGGTCTCCTCTTGGACACGCATCACAAACTTTTTGGTCATGCCAGACAAGCATGACAAATCTCAAAATCTTCCAGACCCAGACATTTTTGCATTTGATATCTGCACGGTGAGCGCCGTGATCTCCTTCACGTCCGGCACCTGCATTACCGTTTGGTACCAGGCCACTTTGGTTTCGTCCTTCACCTTCCCGTCGTCGTCCAGCCAATTGTCTTTGGCCTTGCCCGTCGCCTTGCTCACCGGGAGCGCCATGTAGAAGATGGTCGCCTTTGTCTGCAGGTGCTGCAGCAGCAAGTGCCCCTTCCCAACGTAGTTCGCGTGCAGGTCGACGCGTCCGTCGTGCGGGTTGTTGGGGTTGATGTACAAAGAGCTCATGTCGAAGAACTGCGCCAGGTCCCAGCGCTGCACGCGGTTGTGAAAGGAATCTTGCGCCGGGTAGGGCAGCTGCAGGATCTCCTCCCAGTTATTCCGACGCATCTGCCGTTCCTTGCTCCACAGCGCGAGGGCGTTGAACTTGCGGATCTTCCATTTCAAAAAAAGCTGCGTGTCCGCCGCTGGGGTGGCGGTGTTCGCGGGCGCGAGCACCCGGGAAATCGCCTGCTGCAGGGTAACCGTGGTGTTGGCCGAGCCGTCCGGGTTGCGCGCGGTCGGTTGCTGCACCGCATTGGTCCGCGCGGTCGCGATATCCGTGTGGAAGTTCAGTGCCTGGGGCGCGAACCCGATCCGCCGCGAGAAGTGCAACAATTCCGTCGTGGTCAGGGCTTGCGTCAAGTGCGCCGTGCTCCCGGTGGTCGAGGTGGCACTTGACGCGGTCGTTGTGGTTTGCGCAGTGCTGGAACTGGCGGTGGTTGCACTACTAGCGCTGCTTTGCTTGTAGTATTGCTGCTCCTCGTAGTAGGGGATCTGCGCCAAGCCGTTGCGCAGCCGCAGCGGACAGCGCCCCAGCCGCGGGAGCGCGGGCAGGGCCAGTGCGTTCAGCAGGCACGCGTTCCAAGTCTGCACGGAGGTGATCAGCGGCAGGTCGCCCTTGGTCCCCTTCGATTCCACGTACGCGTCGCTGTGGCGCGGGATATGCATTGTAAATATGTCTGGGTCTGGGAGGATGCGAACTTGTCATGCTAAGTCTGGATCGTACAAAAATTTGTGTTGCGTGACTACCAAAAGCTGTGCAGTTTTGAACAAGTTTGCCATGCAGGATAGGCATAGTAGGGACGTCGCATAACCTGCCATGCTAGGCCCTGCTTTCCAAACCTCATGGGGCATGGAAAATATGCATGAGAAGTTTGCATTCTTCCAGACCCAGACACTTTTACAGTTGATACGGGATGATGCTGCCCAACTCCGCGCTCTGCTTCACGGGGTCGTACCCGAACACCTTGCGCTGCAGCCCCGTGTATCAAATGCAAAAATGTCTGGGTCTGGAAGGATGCAAGGTTTGTCATGCACATTTTGCATGACTCCTGATGTCTGCGATGCATGCCCTAGCATCACAGATCTTGTGAGGGCTTTCTGATGCCTATACCGCATGAGAAATGCCCTCTCGCCGTGGCCAAAATCATACCTCTTTTGCTGTTCATGCAATACAGATTTTTCGATAATGCAGACGCAGCATCACAAGTTGCATTCTTCCAGACCCAGACACTTTTACAATTGATACCGTGCCGAACACCGCGAAGTAGCTGCTCCACCCGTGGTCGGTGCCCTTCCGGTATCAACTGCAAATATGTCTGGGTCTGGAAACCTGTGATGCTAAATTGCAAACGATTGAAGCCCTTGCAATGGCAGCCAAGCATGACAAGTTTTCGAGACGCCTGCTTCGTTCTGAATGTGATGCCTAGCACGCATGACAAATTGCGTTTTTGCATAACAAAGGAAGCTGCTCTTTTGCTGCTCATGCAACACAGATTCTCCAGGAATGCAAGATATGCATTACAAGTGTCACTTTTATTCCAGACCCAGCCGTATTTGCAATGCATATCCGGCTGTTCTCCTCCAGCCGGCGCCCGAACTCGGAAAACGTTGTCACAAGCACGTCGTTGGCAAAGCCGCACGCCTCGGCCGCGCGCACAAACGTGTAAACGCCGGTCTTCAGGTCGGACAGCAGCGTCTGCAGGCGCGCGCCCTGGTTGGAGTGCGTGTCGTACTTCGTTTGCTGCAGCTGGAACACTTTCGGCCGCACGCCGTTCACCAGCAAAATGGCCACCGCGCGCAGCTGCATGCCGATCTGCGCGTCCGAGGAGCTGTCGGCCCACTCGGCGGTCGCCGGGAAGTTGGGGCAGAGGGTGGACAGATTGTCTCGGTACTGCGCCAGTTTTTCCTGCATCACGCCCACACCCTGGAAGATCGAGGCCTCCTTCGCGAGCAGCTCCTCCAGACCGAGGTTGCTCTTGGTTGTGCTCCACTCCTCCTCGTCCGTCATCTGCCGGAGCTCGATGCACTGCACCGTGTTTGCATGCTCAGTTGCGAGCAAATCATTGTAATGATCGCCAATATTACTGTTCTTCACCCCCCATGATCCACCTCCGATCGCGTGCTCGTACCGGGCGCCGCACTGCGGTTGCTCGGCATGATCCACGTAGTTGTTGCCTCCAGGTGGAATAATAATGTCCTCGGAAGTCGAACTGAGTAAAGCTGAGTCCTCTTCTGGCACGACCAGAGAATTTTTTGCGACTTGTTCAGCCGCTCCTTCCAAGGTTCTTTTTCTCAGAGACGAACCGGACCCGGCCATCATTTTTGCCGCGGTAAAGGGGTTCACGAAATCGAACTTGGAAGACGCGACCACCCCGTCGACCGACTTGACGCCGGAGATGTGCTGGAACGTCGTGTGGGAGATGGAGTCGTCCGACACCTCCAGCGCGTTCGGACCGGCGGCGGCATTTGCCAACGAGATCCCGTCGGGCAATGCGGGGTCTTTGGCTTTCGCGGAATCCGGCGGATGCGTGTACAGATTGTTGTACGCAAAGATGCTCTTGGCCAACCACCCGTGCGTGGTTTCCGCCTCCTTTGCTACGGACACGCCCTTTGCTGCGGCGTCCTTGACTTCGAAGTGCGAGCGGCCGTGGTCGTACCGGCCCACGCCCGCGACGATTGACATCTTGTTCTCGTTCCACAGTTGCATCCACCCCTTGGACCCGCCCCCCAAAACGTCCGTCATCGCCAGCTGCCCCGCCGTGCCGGCCATGTCGCTCACGTATCGGTCGTCCGCATTTCCGGTTGGCCCCCGGCGCAGCTGCCAGCTGGTGCAGTCCTGGGCCGCCGCGGTAGAACTGGGCGCCAGGCAGGTGCAGTAATTTTCACCGGACAAGGTTGGGCGCTTGCCGCACCAGAGGTTCACTTCCTCCGGGTTGTTTACGTTCACAAACATGGCCGCACCGTCCACGCCGCCCTTCAGTTCGATGTAAACCATGGTCTTCCACTCGGCGCCGCTGCCCGGGTGCGGCTGCTTTTGCACGTTCGAGAAATCGAACTCGATTTTTTTGCTTCCGCTGCTAGAGGAAGAGGACGTGGAGCTCGACGTAGAACCTGAACCTGTTTTCAGTGTCGCGACTTTTCCTAAATCCTTCACGTACTGCGATTGCTGCGCGATCCGGCGCTCCAGCGACTCCACCCCGCCGTGCTGGTTTTGGAATTTCTGCGTGTTGTCCTCCCCGCAGGTGAACGCGTCTTTGCCGCCCGGGTGTTCCTTGCGCCACTCCGTGACGTCCAGCACCTTGCCGTGTACCGCGATCCAGCACGAGGACTTGAAGTTGTGGCCCGCAACCTGGTCCATGGTGATTCCGGTGTGCAGCGCGACGCCTTCGCCCGCGGGAAACGAATTTGCGCCCGAGTTGTCCGCCGCGCCGGTGGCAACCACGTACGCCACGATCGCGCCGATGCCGCCGACGGCAGCGCCGATGCCAAAGACCGCGATCACGATCATCTTCCCCGACATTCCGGCCAGGAAACCGATGAAGCCGCCCCCGTTGGCCGCAGCTGCTGCGCCCCCGCCGGCAGAGCCTGCTCCCATGCCTGCTGTTCCGCCCTGGGTGGATCCGAAATTGGAAAATTCCCCATTATTGAACTTGTAATCCGTCAAAGGGTCTTCCATCATCGAGGAGGGGGCAGTCTTGTTGGCGGGGTTGGCGTATTGCTGCACATCCACCATGTTGGCCATGTCCGAGGGCGCAACGGAAGCCTTCGCCATTTTTTTTTGCGCGATCTAGAACTTTAGTTTTCAAAAAAGCAAAAGGTCTACTTCTCCGTGTAAGTATGTAAATTCGCCGTAACAAGTCGAACTGGTGGCACTGCCAACACTACACAACAAGAAACAAGAAAGTTCTAATTGAAGTTCGACGAGAGGCGTCCAGAAGAGCCAATAACTGTAAATGCAGTCGCGTGAAACTTCAGTTATAGCAATTACAGATTCAACTTGTTGAAGAAATTGGAATGTTCGTTGTTCCTCGAGCTCAATACGCAAACGAATACAATAAGCAACCCGATTGTGGTGCACAACTAGCCCGCCCTACAAGAGGAATTCAAGAAGTGAATGTGATAAGCCAGGCCGTGTAATTACTGACGTTCCAGTAGTAACGCACGCAAACGCCCCTAGAAACAAGCAGTCTGCTATTCTTGCATCAATCGTAGCCAGATTTTCTTGTCACAAAAAAGGATTTTTGTGCGCAAATCAACTTTGCAGGAGCGGGGTCGTGCAAAATCCTCCGCCTCAGGAGAGAGGCTCACCCTGGTTCGGTTTTGATTGGTTTCAGCGTTTTTGTTTGTGATGATCGATGAGGAGTATGATTACCGATGAGCTTCAGCAGTAGCGGCTGCATCTTCATCATGCCTTGACTTGTAAAGATAAAGAATCTAATATTCGTATTCTCAGTGCCGCAACCGATTCGAGACAAAAACACCAGAAGTTCAGATTCAGAAACCGAAGCCTTATGCTGTTCAAGTTCATTCGCTCCTCTGTTATATGTGGTCGTGCGTCCATTCGGCGCGCGCACCGATTTTTGCAGTACAAGTACTTCATGTTGATTAAAGAAACGCCACCGAGCATCCTGCAATGAAAGCTTCACACACACAGACAGTCTTACTGGAATCGCCATATCAAACCAGCGCATCATAACCGAAAGATTCAAGTTCACGTTCATCTGCTCGGTGTGGTCTATACAGTAATATGCACACGGATCACACAGCTTGAAAGTAGAACTCAGCGTGCACTAGATAAATGCGATCCTGCCGCGGACCGATTAGTTTTCCGTATACTCGGCCGGAGATCTCACCGGAGAAAGGAAGCCCAGCCTCAGAGACCACAACATCATCTGCGAATGAGCATGCTGTGTCGCCAGCAAACAACTTTACGCTCACCTGCACGTCCTTTGGACATCTGACCTTTTCAATTTCCAATTCTCCTTCTTCATCCACGAGGACCTGTGTTGAACAAACCTTTGAGGTTGTATTTCTGAAGTCGTTCCTTTTAATCAATATCCTTCTGTCAAGATCAGAGTCATCCTTTTGCAGCTCGTCTTCGGCCGCGGTGCTTCTTCCACCCTGTTCCTGCTCGGACCGCACCAGTAGGACCAGTCCCGCGAGTAAGATCGGCACGCCGAGCAGCGTCGAGACGGCCCATTTGGCAACCTCCCGCTCCGTCACGTCCAGGAGCATTCCGATCGCCGTGCCGAGGACCGGTTCCAGTAGCAAGGCGGTGGACACCACCATCGGCGACATCCACTTCAAGACAAAATTCAGCACCGTGTGTCCGCCAACGCCCGCGCCGGCGCCCAGAAAAATCGCGGCTCCCAGATAGTCCCCACGGTGGAAAAAGCCGAAGACGTTTCGACTCGGCGCGGGTAGGTTGAAGCCCGTGCCTTCGGTGGCGACGCTGAGCAAAGTGCAGACGACCGCGGAAACGAGGACCACCGGGGTGGTGTACAGGAAGAGGGGACACCAACTCCGCAAAACTTTCCCGATCAACAGGTAGAAGCACATGCAGATCGCGCTCACGCACGCGACGAGGTCGCCGACGAGAGAAGGCTGTTGCTGTTTGTCGTCCGTATTAGAGTTCTTGTCGTCGTCGTCCCTACTCCTGACCACTTCGGGACCAAGAAGTAAAACCGCTACGCCAAGAAGGCTCACAAAGATACCCACGGACTCTTGCCACGCGGGGGCTTTGCTCTCTCGCAGCAGCTGGCGCGCATGATCTCCCACTTCTAGCGACCTATCGTCTAAGAGTGAGGTGGAACAAGCATTGGACGGTCGATTCGATGCAACCTCAAGGCGGGAAGGAGACGCTGGTGTTACCGGCTCGTCCGCTGTTGCTGCCCCTTCAACACATGGGGTTGTGACAGTGGTAGCTTTGGTTCTACTGTGCGGGCTGTTTTCGAGATCCTCGCCCTCCCCGGCGACTTCACGACTGTCCGGGTTCTTTTGCTGCAGGCTTGGTCCGGAAGTCTCCTGTGTCTGGCGTGCCTCGCGCTCGTCGACGGCCGATCCTTGCGGAGGTCCGGCATGTTGCCTTCCTTCTCGACGATGCTGCAGCGAAAACAGTGCAAGTCCGCAGAAAAATAGCACCCACTTACCGGAGTGCAGAAACAGGGGGTAGCTCGTCACGCACATGAGGGAGTGCAGCAGTGTCGTGTGCTCGAGTGACCAAACCCAGAAAGCGAAGTGGCCGCCCAGAAAACACCCACTGAGGGCGATCCAGGGAAGCGAGCGGACCCACTTCGACAACACAGTGAGTTCTCGTTCGTCGAAAAAACGACAACCATCTTGGTCTTCTTTTGAAAGTTGTCGTGGCACGTGCGCATCCTCTTCCTCCCGAGTTGTACTTTCGCTTTCGCTGACATGCACATCAACGTCTTCTGAACCTCCTGATCGCGGCCCACGGTCACTCGTATCTGTCTTTTCTGCGGAGGTGGAGGTGCCCGATTCTTGCTGGCGGTAATATTCGACTCGAAGTTCGCTGATGAACGGGGCGAGCTGCACGAAAAACTGGCACCAAAGGCGCCAGGCCGCACGAAGAAACGGTGGAACTTCGGAAATCAACAAAAATACAGCGCCCGCCGAGCTGCACATGGTGACGGCGATCCAGAGCCATGCCCACAACGCAAACCGGGACGGAGAAGATGAGAGCGACATGGCCCAACGCTGTTCTTTTGTCGCGGAAGTTGTTGTCCGTGTTGTATGGCGTGGCGAAGAACCAACCCTTCTTGCTGCTTGAGGGCTGTATCCTTGTCCCGGTCAAGGACTCACTGGATAGCAGAATGAAAGCACACTCCGCGTCAGTCTTGCAGCTGTTGTCCCCCCACGTCTTCTGATTTTCCACACTGGCAACGTCGCCTGCTTTGGCGGTCTCTCGCTCTCCTGTTCTCTCACTCTCTCTGTCACCAACAAAAGCAGGACGGAGGGCGCGCCAGCCGCACGAAACGAACGCCCACAATACCCATAACGGCCAGCACCTCCGCGACCACGACCAAAGAACACTTCTACAAGATTACGCTATGTCGCGGCTCGCCCGTCGGTCGCTCTCGCACTCGCTGCGGACGGGGCGAGACGTTCAAGTTGAACATAAACAAAGTAATCAACGCCAGCCCCTGCGCACGGAAACGGCAAGGGCATGCCATCCAATGTCTGGGACAGGCACAGGCAGCCACGGCGGCCGGCCCTGCCAAGGAGCTCGCCCGCGCGGAGAAAGTCAAAGACCGCACGCCATTGCGCATCTACTGCGCCTCCACGGATTAAATTGAAGTGCGTGGGAGCGCGCGGAGGCGGGCGGGCCGGCGCGTGGTGCTGGTGGCAGCGGCTGGCCGCCGCCCACGACTTCCTAGCGCCGCCTGGGGCCGGGCAAGGTCGCATCGAACAAATGCACGCAGAGCCAGGGGCGCGGCCGAAATGGGGCGCCGGAGAAGGCTGCCCGGGAGGGCGGCGCGCGGGGAGGGGCCGCCGGCGGGCCAAGGAATAGAACAGGGCGGGGACAAACGCAACAAACGGCGCGGCGTCGCGGTTTTTTGCGTCTAAGTCGCAATAATCGCCGGCGCACGCCGATGCCACACAAACTCGCCCCGCACTCTGTTACCTCACACAAAAAAAGTGAGGGACCCAGTGCCGCCACAGCAGCCGCCTCAAAGGCGCCGGGCGCAAAAGGGCAAAACCAGCCCCGGCGGCAGATCAATGCGCCGGGGGGCCCTTGCGCCGGGGGCGCGGCCGGCGCGCGGGCCCCTTTGCTGGAGGCGGGCCCGACGGGCAAAACCCGCCGGCGCGCGACCGACGTCGTCCACATACCCGCAGCCGGCGCGCCTACCCTCCCGCCCTGCCATCGTCGCAATGGCCCAGGTCCCCGTGGTGGGCTCTTCGAACACGAGGCGCGCATCCTCATGAAGCAGATCTTGATACGGACTCGCGTCGTGGGTTCGAGATAAAGCGGACGCCCATGCGCAAGGTCATCGCCCTCCCTGGTCAATAGCGCGGCGAAACCGCAAGCCACCTCCAAGGCCATAACAGCCGCAGCACCAGACGCAAACGAACCAACTACAACGCACGCCACCATCTTGCTTCTGGATAACTATCGCCCGGTCTATTGCGCGCAGATCGCTGCGCTGAGCTGCCCCGCAATCTTGAAGAGGCGGGCCGCCCGCCCCTGCTCGCGTTCTTCTACAGAGGTATGCTATTCCTATTCCAATTGCACGTCTGAGTTTATTAATATTATGTTCGTCTTTTCTTTTGCAAGAAAAAGAAGTAAGAAGTGAAGCCGACGAAAAGAAAAGCCGTCAAGTAAAGTGATATGAGGAGCCCGGGTCTGAGAGTGAAGAAACAAAGATCTTTTTCAAGTTCAACGAAAAAGAAAATCTGACCAGGATCCTTCTTGTTCAGTAATTTTGGAATTGGAACTTCCTCTGATCCTTGAGAAACAAGAAGAGCAACACACAAGAATGAAACAACGACTTCAAACGTAAACACTTTTGAACAGAACCCGAGAAAACACTTGGCTTCCACCGGTGCCAGTGCCAGTGACAGGATGATCATCAAGCATGAAATTGCATAGGTGAATCCATCTGCACACCTCAATTTTTTTGAACTGATGGCAGCATCAACGCGTCCTCATCACTACTCGCGTCGTGCTGATTGATTTTTTTACGGCGATCTTTCAATGGCAGCGGCGGGCTACAAGCCTTGTGCCGCGTTCATCGTGGTGCATCCTGCACTCTAGCGAATGCTGCTGCCTCTTTCCGCGAGCAATATAGATATACAACATTCATAGGTCTATGTAAGATGCGATCTTTGGTATGGCACTGATTTCCCGACATGAAGCCTGGACTAAACCATAGTCATTATACACTAATCAAGAAAAAGAAAATCATACACGAGCACGACATAAAAAATTCAAATCGTACAACACTAATAAAAAATTATACACGACGGCAATTCTCATATGCTAGTTGTTGAGCGCTCTTTGTCAGTCTTTACTACTCTAGGTTTATGGTATTACAGTATGGCTGCTGCCAAATCAAGATCCCTTTTTCTGCCCCAGAATCTCCTGTCTTGGTGCCTGTATAAACGGGGGGGGGCGCAGGACGACACAGCAGTGCCGTATCCTACCCTGCCGTCGTGCGTTCCTGGGCGTGTAAGTATGCGCAGGCGCTTCCCGAGGACACCCGCTCCAAGCGGGCGGCCCCCCACTCTTTGTCTTTCACGAAATAAGTGGCGCAGTCACTGAAAGCACCCAAAAGTCCAAAACTTGTACTTCTAATTTGACGGTACTTTCAAAAACGGAAATCAACATTTCTAAACCTCATCACAATAAGTGCAAAAATAACACATGCATCCGATTTATGTTTATCAGATTTCCTTTCGAAATGAATAAAAGCGTACCACATGAATAAGTAAAAAAAAAACTCTTCATCTGTCGTGTCTTGGATTGTTCCTGAGATGCAGTTTGTCAAGATATTCAAATAATCAAAATCATAATGCAGAATTCCTGTGTGACCACAATCCTGATCGAGAATCATCTTTAAGTATTGAAATTGATCTGCGTGTGCCGGCTCCGCTTCCGGCGCTTGTGCTTCCGAAGAAAAGACGAACCCACGAGCACACTACGGAAGCAAGAAGCCCACGAGTCATTGCCATGAAGTAGTACTTAGATTAGAGCTCATCTTCATAGATTTTGCGATCCCAAAAAATCTGCTGATCATACATAGTCATACCTATAGTGTCGTGAACAAGGTCAAGATAATATCACCCTACAACATATGCAGCTTTCTCACTAGTTCTAGTGTGAACAAGCTGCTGCAGTTTCACGAGTGCGTGGCACCACGTTGACGTTTATTTGGCAGAAATCTTCCGACCAAGCCTTTGCGCGCCTGTCGAGCCCGTCCAATCGCGGCGATGAGGCGCTGGGCCACCACGCGGTGCCGGTGCCACGCCGGAACGCCGTGTTCGGTATCAACGCCCTTGTCCGTCATCAGGCCCCGCACCTTCTGCGAGAAAGCGGCATTCAGCGCACCCCACGCCCCCAGAACGTCCTTGTTCTGGTTCCACGGCACCATTTGCATTTTCAGAAAGGCCTCCAGAAACGGACTCTCCGGAAATCCAGAAACATGTTCAAGAGCCGGGATTTCCCTCTGAACAACCGCGGACGACGTGGAGGTGGACGTCGAGCTGTTGTTGGTCGTGGTCGTGCTAGTATGATCCGCAATCATCTCGTACAGCTTTCCTTTGATCGCTTGACGAACCGGATCCTCCGCGCCCGTGGCCCTTCTCGCCAAGGCTTTCACCCCGTCTCCCAATGCGTAACCCTGCGTTCGCCGCCCAAACAAGGTTCGGGTGACGTTTCCCAGCCGGTATCCTTCCGGCGCGAACAGATCTACCACGGCGTCGTCGATCGGGGCCGCGTGGCCGCTTTTGACCACTTCCTGGTACTTCTTCACGAATTTTTCCCGCAAGGGAGACTCCCGCTGCGCCAGCGCCCGCAATTTGGTCCGCCCGTCGTGGCGCAGACACATGATGGTGTGCCAGTGGATGTACAGGGCCAGGATGCGGTGAAACATGTAGGACCCCGGGGTGGCGCCGCCGACGATCGGCGTGAGTAATTTCGACCAAAACAGCGGCGCTTCCCGGAAGTTGCCAGTGACAAACGCAAGGTTCCAGGACTCGTACAGGCGCTGGAAGCTCGCCAGCGCGGCCCAGTTCACGTTCTGGCTTTCCACCATGTCCTGTCCCGCGATCACGTTCAGGTGGTTCTCGTTCACTTGGTCCTGCAACGTAGCCTCCAGGATGTTCAGACGCAGGGTCAAGTTCAAACTCTGTTTTGTGTTTATTATTATCTTCGGATTCGGAAAGAGCAGTAGATGAAGTGTGCTACGCCTACGTTTAGTTTGTGTAGGTGGTGTACATACAAGCGGAACGAGCGTCGATCACATTTCTACCGCATCGTACACATATTGCCCCTGCCACAAACATTTGCTTACCACCTACCCAATTGTTCTGTCAGGTGAAGAAATTGAAATAGAAATAGTTAGTACGAACAAAAGCATGAGCATTTTTATAAATACAAGTCCACGATAAACATTCTATTCTTGTTCATACCATGCCCTCGCGGAAGTCCTCAGTTTGTTCCGTGCCTTCATCTCCTCCCGCTTCTTCTGCTTCGACGGGCTTGGCACCCCACTCGAAGTTATGTTCCGCCCATGTCTTCATGGCCGGTTCCACGGACCAAAGTTTTACCGCCTCAAAGGCGCTTGGCGTGTCCATCAGATTCAGCGCTGGCCGCAGCTTCGTGAAATGGTCAACGACATCGCGCAGGAGGCCTCGGCCGCGACTCTTCGCACCGCCCAATTGCTCCCCAATGCTGTGCAGCACGAGAGCGTAGTGGAACATGGCGGAAGCGGCGGACGAGGTTCGCGCTTTATCGGCATTCAGAATCTTTTCCAGGCTGAAATCCTTCCATTCCGCCCGGAGCTGCTCGGCAAACGCAGCCCCTTCCACGTCCGCATCAGCGGTCAAAACATGAGGCTGAGTATCGAGCATCGTGTCAATCATCTCGGAATTTTCGAGTTGCTCAACATCTTCATCCTGTGCAGCTGGTTCAACATCTCCTGCCACGACCTTCGTGTAGTTGTCGACGATGCCCACGGCGAGCAAATCCGACACCATGTCGTTGCGTCGCAGAGAGGTCATCATACTTTGCAGCCACTCTGTTGGATCCAACTGGTTGATCCACTCCAGCAGTCCGTATTCTTCGTCGATTTTCTCAAACCGCAGGACGGCAAAAATGTCCTTCAGCAGCTTTTGGTCGAAGATCACCCCCGCCGAGCAGTCCCATTTTCCCGATGCCGCCAGCTGTTTTTTCTCCTCGACATGACCCATGCAAGTTTTGTACTCGTCCAAAGCAACGAGAACTTCATCTCCTGCGATTTTTTCCCGTTCGCTCTGCTCTTGATCTTCTTGTTCATCTTCGCTGGTGGAGATCGTTAGTGTACTGGTGCGGAGCAACGCATCAACGAGTTTCTTCTTGCAGGCGAATTCGTCGCTCTGCAGGTAGACACCGGCCTTCCACTCGGGGGAGAGAATCCCACGGCTCTTCAACATTTCCACGTTATCAAATGCAAAAATGTCTGGGTCTGGAAGAATGCAAGTTTGTCATGCTTGTCTGGCATGACTCGAGAATCTGCGTTGCATAGGCACGATGAGGCCCTCTTACCTGTCATGCAAAAACGCAGTTTGCCATGTGGAATACGTAAGACATGGGAGCCAAAAAATTTAATTTGTCATGCACAGCTGCGTATTGCAGTGCGTCTCCCATTCACTTTTAGCATTACAAGTTTCCAGACCCAGGCATTTTTGCAATCCATACACGTCGCCGGCGTGCAGTGCCGCCTCGAGCCAGCGCGCGGCGAAGTACGACACTGCGTATCAAGTGTAAAAATGTCTGGGTATGGAAGAATTCATGTCTGTCATGCTTGTCTGGCATGACTCTTAAATCTGTCATGCACGTCACCCAAGAGCTCCGCTTTTCTGTGATGCAGAAGCGCAGTTTGTCATGCAGAATAGGCAACACCTAGGAGCTCAGAAACTTGTCATGCTGAGCCAGCATTTGTAGCCTCATCATGAGACGCCACCCAGCATCACAAGTTTCCAGACCCAGACATTTTTACATTTGATACTGCGTGGTACCGCGCAATCTCGCGCGACAGGACGGCCAGCTGCTGTGTAGTAGTTTCTTGCGGTGTAGAAGAAGTTGTACTAGATGGATCACGAGGCCACGGAATCGAAGAGATCAGGTTGGAATGTTTGTGGCCGGTTTCTTTATCCTCGATGACGAGGTTTCGGATGGAGGGATACCATCCGTCGTCGTCGGGAACCGCACCTTGGTCCCAGAGCACCATCTTCGAGGGTGCTGTAGTTGTACTAGCATCTTGATCTTCGCTCGCTTGTTCAAGAAAGAAACCTTCGGCGGTACTAGTTTCGTCCCCGGTGCTCGCTTTCACGGCAGCGGCAATGTTGGTCGGATTTTGTTTTACGTGTTCCACGAAAGCGTCAACCTTGTCGCGAAATGCGTCAAAAATAAAGTCTTGGTGCTGTTGACCAGCATGGGCGACCCCGAGCAAAGCGAGGTGCTTCACCACCGGCATGATTTTGGCACTCATACTGTAGTTTGATGCAGTTTTGATATTTTCGGCGCCCTTGTTTTTTGTGTTGATGACAGTGACTCGAAAAATTGTACAAAAATTTTAGTCGTGCTGAATCGATTATCGAATAATTTTGCTACGAAAGAACAAAGTGAACAATTACAATACTAGATTGATGCTAGGCAAATCAATGCTGATGAAAAATACTAGATTGATACTAGGCAAAAATCAGCTGAGAAGTTAGTAGAAGTTTTTTCTGTCAAAAAAAGACTGCGTTTGGAGGTCTTCCGGCCGAATAAAGAGAGATCACGACATGCGACGTCAGCAACATCGATGATCATCATGATTTGGATTTTCCAAATCCAAATGGCATATCTTCTATACATAGATCATATACTTCCTTTTCCTTATCCTTTACATTTCGACATTTGATGATCTCTTAGTACCCCGCGATGGTACATGAATACTCATATTGGTCATATTCATACTCATACCAGCGACGTGAAATTCAAAAAATGCGATCGTAGTTGCCGCGCAGCGCCTCGAAAAAGCAAAAGGCGGTCGTGCTTGTGACAGGATCTTCAATGACGGCTAAGCATTTGTCTTTCACAAGGCTGCCAGTGCCAGCAGTGACAGGATCTTCAGGCATGAAAGTTTGCATCTTAAAAATATTTGAGGACTCCGTCACAGCTCAGTTTTTTTGGACTCTACATTTGAAATCCGATTGGCAAGCTCTTCGCAGTGCTTGAAGGTCTTAGTCTCTTCGATGCGCATCTTGTAAAGTTTCTGATCGATTACATCCTCTGAAACCTTGAAAGCTTCCAGAGTAGCACGGTCAATACCATTCCGGAGTCGAGCGCGCCGCCACTTGCAATGCTGTTTGTTTTTGTTAGAAAGAAAACTACCCTAGTTCGTAGTTTTATGGGGAGGAAGGCGAATGAAAATGATCAAGTAGAGAACTTTAACTTTGACATCATCTACCTCTACGTACGCGCGACATGATGACACGTAAATTTGTCACTCCTACTACTTTTCAACAGAAGCTCACAAAAACAACATACCTGCTTGAAAAGCGCATTGAGCTGGTTGTCAGCCTGGGTGAGGGCCAACCACATTATGGCGTTCTCAAACGTTACATTCTCAACTGTTACATGATTTGTCATGCAAAAATGCCATAAGCCGCCACACGATCAAGGTGTTTTGCATGACAAATCATCGAAGGGCTAAACAGGGACTAAATCTGTTCCAAATTTGTAATGCAAAGCGCGCAATCTTCCCGCGTTCACTTTTGGTGTTCTTGCATGACAAATTCATGTAACACTTGAGAATGTAACATTTGAGATGAACACCATACACATTTCCTCGTCCGTGTAGGCCGGGGGCGGGGGCCACTTGTCGAGCAGGTATAAGAAGAAAAAAGTTCGTCACGATCACTCATGGGCAATTTTTGCAATACAAAAAATGCCTGGCATGCGTAAAAATGCATCACAGCCAAACTTCATACGGGATTTCCCTTAGTGGTTCTGCAATACAAGGAAAAGTTGTGATGTTCAAAAAATTTGTAATGCAAAACCTCCAAGATAGTGACTGTGACAAACTTTTTTCTCTCCATAGCAGGTGCACTTTTTTCACTAAAGCCGGCGAATACCAGCCACTCTCCATGAAGTGGTTGACGCGCCAACAGCGGCAGAACTTGCGGTCCGGATAGCCCTTCGGCGAAAACCGCAGCTCAAAGTCCTCGGCCGTGCAGTTGTACTTTTCGAATTCCCGCCGCTGCTTGTTTTTGTTGGAACGCATGTTCCGCGTGTCGTCCCCGCTCATTGCCAGCGACCCCGGGATGGTGTATGCATTGCAAAAGTATTAATTGCAGATCTCCTTCTCCATGACAAATCGGCTTCGTCCTAAGCATAAGCTAAAACAGCATTACAAATTCTATTTGTCGTGCTGAGCAAATTTGTATTGCAGGCACCACTTAGAAGTACGATCAATAATACTTTTGCGAATGCATATGGTGGAGTTGTCGCCAATGCCGACGTGGTTCTTCTTGAACGTCAGGTTGTACCGCAGCAGCAGATCGGAATTCGACAGGCGTCCGGGGTACAAAAAGTTCTCCTCGCCCTTGCCCATGTCGCGCCGGGCGATCTGCAGCACCACATCCACGTCCTGATATGAAATAATGCAAAAGCATCGCACTAGTAGTAATCGCATTACAAATTTGCTCAGCATGACACATGGAATTTCTCATGCTGGTTTACCTTGAAAAAGAGATGTGTCATGCATAAATGCGATTACTACGAGTACGATACTTTTGCAGAGGATACCTGACCGTCAATCACGATGCGCTCCTCCTGGAAAGTGATGGCCGTGCCCCCGTCCGGATGGTAATTGGCGTACAGCAGCTCCGGAATGGGCACAAGGGACATTTTGATCTGATATAACGTAGTTCTAGTTTGCTTTTTACATCCTGAGCATGTTGCCGTAGTTTCCTCATTTGCGCAGCACTAGTAGTGCCAGAGGAAGGGGCCGCGTTGATGTAGGGAGATGTAGTTTACCCATGCTGCTTGCATATACGCCTAAGAAAAAGATTGAGTTTCATCTTTCTCACAACGTTCCACCAGCGCCTCCAGCGGCCCTTACAACAACTACAAATAAGATGATACCGAGTCCCCAGTGGCGGGGTCTTCCCCGTGGTCACTGGGTCGGTCTTCGGTTGGCGGCCAGATGGTAAGCGCCCGCGTGAGTATGGCCGACACCGCCCACTGTGCCTCCCGCCACGTCACTGGTTTTCCTAGCACCTCGCTGGCGTCCGAACCCGCCTGCGGTTCCAGCGTGAAGTTCCCGGCGGCGCTGTGGACCAGTTCCACCAGTGACGACAACTCCTCGGGGGTTTTCTCTTGCGTTGTGCCCTGGAGCATTTTGCGCTGGGTGTCGTTGAGCGTAAAAACCAGCATGTTCTCGGTCTGCAAAAGGTCCAAATACTTGCGAAAACGGGAATTCGGGTCTCGGTTCTCCGCGATCAGGGAGATCGAGGACTGCAACACGTGTCTCGCGTTCTCCGACGTGATGTTGTACTTGTCATACGCGAATTCCTCCAGCAGCTGCTTTCGTAGCGTCCCGTGCGCGGTTTGGTTCAGGTTCTGCACGCCCAGGAAGCCCTTGCTCCGGGGCACCTGGATGATCGCCCGGCCGTAGAAAACATCCTTGGTCAACGTGATGCCCTCCCTCAACGGGTCTGACAGTTCGCGGCTGTGCGCTGTAGGGCTGCTGCTCTTGGTGACCCAGTTCGATCGCGCCACGTTTATTTTCTCCACCTCCTGTCGCCGCTTGCGTGCGACCGCCGGGCGGGAAAGCAGATGAAAACACGCAGAAGCGAAGAAAAAAACAACGAGCCAAGAACTCCTAGCCCGCGGTGACGGCAGCAGCGCGGGATCTTGCGTAGTCAACATGTTCTGTCGAATCATGGAACTACTCGTGAGTATAAGCTTTTAGAAACAGGTCCTTCTTAAGCGGAACAGAAGACTCAAACTGAATAGCAGGTGGTCGTGCAGCCGATTTATTTATATAGCGAGACAGACAATAGCGAATGCTGGGGCACGTGACGGTGACCGACCGCAATTACCAAAAAAAGCAACATTGTGCTGGACCGACAAGTACACAGAGAGTACGAAAGAACAACAAGATCATGAAGATCACATTTCAGAGAGCATCTATCAATTCTTTCTTCGGAACATGACCTCCTGACTCCGAACATAACCTTTTTGAAACGCTCCTCGTATCTTCGACCAACGACGAAAACAAAGGAAAAGCGCTGTCTGGCTTCGCGTTCGCTGCGTCACCGAATAGGCAAACAAAAATCCACTTTTTGAAGCCCTTCATTCGCTTTGGTAGAAGCTGTATTTCAAGTTCAACCGCAATCAGCTGCTCCTGCTGGCGCAAATACAAGACGAAGGCTTTTCTGATTCTTACCACTTGCTGTAGGGGATACCGAGCGGGAAAGTGGGTAGCACTTCAGATGCAAGACGAGCAAGTTTTAAGGACTAGAAACTGAAACGGTGAGTGGTTAACACGAGTAGAAGCAATGTGAAGCATGTCGGCACAGGAGCCACAGGCATAGAAACTGAAACAGTAAAGTTTGGTTAATATGGTTTATCGCAATGGAGTCGTTGAAAACTTATTTTTCCCTCATTTCTTCCCCTTCGCATTGGTTTTAGAAGGCCCCAGGTTTTTTTTCAGCTGTTTGATGCTGTCCAGGATTTTCGAGGTGAGGGCGTGTCCGGCACCGAGCTCCGACAGACAGGCTTCGTACGCCTGGCCGTAGGCTTTCTTATCGGCAAGAAACGAAATTTTCACCAGCACAGTTCACAAAAAACTTGACGAAACTGAAATGACATGCAGCTCCTGCTGTCAAAGTTCTCCTAGTTGACCTTAATCAACATCGCAGGTGCTATCAATTTCCTTCTCCAGTACTGATACTGTCATGCATAGATAAGCACTACACATCGAGCCGACATTGCTTGATCCATTCGCGAATTTATTTGCACAAGAACCAGTGCTCTGACGAAACCTTTGATTTCTTGTCATAATCCAGCGCCTCGGTGTAGTACTTCAAGTGCTCGTATTCGGCTCCCATGTTGAAGTATGCCACGGGGGTGAGAGACTCGTCTTGCCGCGTCGCGGCCGCGGCTTGCACCGCGGCTTCGGTTTGTTGGTCCGAGGCGGCGGGACCGTCCTCCTCCTGCCGCCGCAGCAACTCCTTCCGCCGCGCCTCGTCCTGCTGCAGGAACTTAATCGCCTTCTGCGCGTGGTACAGCGCCTTCTCGTGCATGGTATGCATTGCAAACATGTCTGGGTCTGGAAGGATGCGAACTTGTGATGCGCATTTCACAACACAGACTCAGATACAAATTTCTCATGCATAGCAGGCAGCAAAAGATGTCCACTTCCTGTCACCAAAGTGGGGGACTTGTCATGTGGATTAAGCAATGCGGAAGCTTCTCGAAATCTGTGATGCTAGGGCTTCCATGACAGACATCCTGTGAAATGCAAAAACAGCATGACTCTTCCAGACCCAGATATGATATTTGTATTCGATACATGGACATCTGCGACAACAGCGCGCACAAGTTCAGGTGCGTAGCCGCTGGGTTCTGTGCCCCAGACGAAGAGCCGGATGTTGCGGGAGCAGCTGCTACACTCTCGTCCGGATCAGGGTTATCCTCTGCTGGTATTTCGATTTCCCGATTTATTTCAGATTGTGTGTAGTTAAGTATAGTTTCGTTTTCGTCCTACGGGGGATCAGAGGACCACTAGGTCTACCGCAATACCCCGTCATATCAAAGATTGACAAGATGCACACGGAATAGGAAAACGGAATCCAATCTCGTTTTCGAATAGCGACGTCCAAACAAGAAAAAATAAATGCATGTGGAACTCCCATGTTTGTACCATTTTCGTCCTCCATGTGTCTTCTCTCTGCCAAGCCGCGCTCTTCAATGACGAGGGCCTTTCGCAGGTAGTGCAGCGCGGTGTGCAATTTGTTCATACTTTTGTAGAAGCAGCCAAGGTTGTTGTACGTCACCGCACGTAGGACCAATCTGATTTTGCCGAGTTAGAAAAGGTGGCCGCGAGGTAGGTAAGCTTAGAAATATCATTCGAAAAAGGGCCCAGCGCTTGAAGCAGCATAGCATCAGAATAGACGTACCTTGTGTTCGTGTGGATGTGCAAGTTTGCGGGGTCTGTCACCACTTCGGACTTTTGGAAGTAGCGCAAGCTGAGGTCCGTCTTCCCGAGCTTCAGAAATTTCATGCCCAGCGTGTTGTAGCCGACGGCCAGTTTTTCGAACAGGGAACTGAGCAGCGTATCCTCCAGGTTCTGCACGAATTGCTTGTTTTGCCGCAGGACCGCCTCCAGAGCCTTCACAGCCTTCTCGTGATCCCCGGCCTGCTGGAAAGCGACGAACTTTCGCTCCGCCTCAATGAAACGCTCGATGTCGACCACCGGACCTCCGTCGCGGTTCAGCGACATGCTGCCGCCATACTGGTAGTGGTCCTCGCGCATCAGGGACTGCTGGTCTGAAACCATGTGGAGGGTTGAATGTAGTTGTGTAAGTAAGTGTATAATCTACCCTCTGCAAACTTGTTCTAGACGGTCAGTGTGAACAAGATCCAGGTATTAGCAATTCGACACGGTGTGCAGATTCAAAGAGATGCAGAGCTGTAGTGTTGTCGTATGGCAGATGAAGACAAGCCAGAAAAGATGAGTTTGAGTAGAAGGAACGCTATAATGCGCTCGTCCGAAGTAGAGACAACGCAGACACAACTATATTATGGTTCTTTTCATCTCCAAAGCGTAACTGTACAAGGAAAAATAAAGCTACGGATATTTTTCGGTGCAACGAACCGTAATTTTTTTCAGATTTGCAAGTGCTTCTAGCAGAACATCCTGCTGCGCAAAGGTCTGGCATTTATTTCTGCCAGGTTGTAGTACAGAAATCATCCCCGCCCCGACCCTGTCCGTTGCCCTATTTGACGTTCAGACGAAAACGAAAAGAAAAAACTTGGTAGAGAAGCGACCGAAATTTCGATGGCTGGGAGGTACACAAGAGCGCCCTGGACAAACTGACTTCTTTTCGAAGATGTACACGACCCGATTTTTAGAGTGCCACCACGTTCACGACAGGACAGTAAACAATTGTAGGAGTAGAGATGAATAAAGATAAACTTACGCAGAGAACATGCATTCTCTGCTTCCAAACAGCGAAGAGGATAATTGAAGAGTCACGTATCACATTGCAAAGGAGACGATGCCGTCGAACAGTCAGCAGAATGAATCCAAATCCCGTTTGGGTTTAGGTTTACCGTTTTTGAAATATGTCTATATGCTGCGGAGGCAGCTCGAGGAATCTTCACAGTCGCGATAACATTGAATAATGTCGTAGCCTGGATGAAACGAGCACTAACATCGTCGTGGAGGTCCTGGTTCCACACTCAATATACTCGATGTAGTCCTCACACATACCTTGTCTGGCACAGCAAGTCGCATGAAGAGAAATTTTAAGAGATGTGAAAGGTCGCGATCATATTTGAGTTCTTCAACGCTTTTTCTTAATTTTGGGTCGATCTAGCTTTTTGTTCTTCTGCTTTTTCCTCAACATCTTCTTCTTTTTGACTCGCTTTGCCGTTGCACTTTGATCTTGTGCTGGGGGCGGTTTCTTGGAGAGTAAGTTTCTTGCTGCAAGCAGGCGCGTGTCTCCGTACAGCATACGCTTGCCCGATTGTCGTTCGCGATTCTTTGCCTTCTCTCGCCGCCTTTTGTCAACTACGTGCTGAGGCTCTTCATCATCATCGTCCTCGTCGTCGTCTTGGTCTTCGCTCATTTCATTGTCTACTGCTCGGGCTGCGCCCGTGTCACTGCCTGCGACATCGCCGTCAGAATGATCCTGTTTCTCGCTATCTTCCTCTTCGCCACCTGCTGTGATTTTTCTGGCACAAAACTGTTTCATATGCATAAGATCAGCCCCCATTTCGTCATCTGAACTCTCGCTCGTCTCCGACAGCCCCTTATAGTGCGCCGAAGTAGAAGTCGTCGTGTTCAAGCTAGCAATTGCAATCGAAGTCGTGGCGCGCGAAGCTGCTGTTCTTGTGGTGGTAACATTCGAGGCTGAGCTTGATGACGAGCTTGAAGTAGTTGATGTGCCCGTCGTTCTATTCGAAGTTTTTGCTGCGGACGATAGATCCACCTGCGCCAGCGAAGTGGAATCACCAGCACACGACGGCGTTGTACTGTCTCGCCCTAGGAGATCCGCAGCCAGGGACGGTACAAAGCGAACCCACCAGTGACGAGCATGATCTTGCTGTCCTCTCGAGGGCGAAATCTTCGTAGTTGCCGCCCTACTGGAAATAGCAGTAGAAGCACTGCACGACCCATTTATTGTTCTCAGCCATCTTTGCATCTCGAGGCGCGCTGTCCTGACCGCAGGAACGATTTTTTTTTCCCACACCGCAGATGACAAACATCTGGCGGCATTTTCTCCAAACTCGGCGTGCGGGACTTGCAGGCGAAGCGGTGATGCATCGTGCAGATGCGAAGGTCCACGATTTCCATTTCTGTTGACCCCGCCTCTATTAAAATTGTGTTCCTCGCCCCCATTTTCATCATCTTCGTAAGAGGTCACAATCGTTCCAAGTACTGGGTCGTAAACGGATCGAGCTTTCGACGTCCTCTGTGCGGCCTGTGAAGAACTACATGACGACCGGTGGCGTGGCTTGTTTCCTGCGAAGAACGCGCTTCTTTCTAAATCAACGTCCACCACCAGCCATTTGTCGCTCGCAACGTAATCCTGCAGTGTGGAGCAGAACCAGTTCAAGAAATTGTCCCAAAGGTGCAGGATATCGGCGGAGTCAACGTTTTCACTGTTGTTCATCGGTGCTGAAGCTCCTACTGTGGCTTTGACATTTTGCAGAAAGTACATGCCGAGCAACACCCACGAGAAATTTGACAACCCTCGATCCCATGCCACGTTTAGCTCGCTTTCGGAAGCAAATGCTTTCAGGAACTTTAGAAAATCTCGCGAAGAACAGGAGGTGGACCCGGCGTGCTGTAATATCGCAGCAGACGTAAGCTTCTCGTGTAAAGACCTTCCGCCGTGAGCAAGAAGATCATTCTGTTTCAGCCCCGGGCTCTTTAGGATTACCTCCGCCTCCATGCAGGTCAACGTTCTGTCAATAGTTTCGTCAACCGTTCCACGCCGATCATCACCCGCTGATATGTCAATCTCCAAGTCCTCCAGGTAGTTCAGTTTCAAAATCGGAATCCTCGCACTGAAAATGCACTCGCAAAGTCGGAAGCCACATGTAGTCGTGGTTGCACTACCACTACTGGTGCTATCGTCCTCACCGTTGAAGATAATGTCGCTTCGATGGCCTTTCTTTTCGCTACTCTGCCGCTTTTTCGCCTGCTTCTTTCGTGCATTCCGAAAAAACGCAGCCAGTTGCTGCAGCCACTTGACGCTTTTCGTTCGGGACGCGACCTTTTCATCTGTGTGGCACAATACCAAATCCAGGTCGGAGTCCGGCAAAAGCAAATTCTGCGCGTAGGAGCCCTGCGGCTTCAGGTAGAAGTCCAGCCCCAGATGCCCGACCACCAAGGTCTGCAGCTGCTCCATGGCATCCTCAATTTTTCCTCGTCGCTCAGCCGTCGGCGTCAACAAACTGCGCAACAGATGATGTCCTTGACCGGCAGAAGATGTTGAGCGCGCAGGTGCAGCATTTTTGGAAAAGTCACGACACGAGGAAGATGATGAGGAGGAAGATGTTGTTGTAGTTGGGTGAGCACCAGCACTTACTGCGTAAGTTACATGAGAAGCTTCAGCACGTAATTCTCCCGTTGCAGCTGACGCAGCTGTCTTCGTAGTTTGACCCGGGGCAGTCGACCCGTTAGCGTTAATATGGAGAAATGGCCGTCCGATGTTAGCCTTCTTTTGGTTTCGTTTTTTGCCCTTGCTCGGCTTGTTTCTTCGCTTCTTTGGTTCCTCCGCCTCATGTCCGGTAGGTTTACGGACCGGAACTTGTAGTTTCCCTGCCCCGGCATTCTTGCCACTCAGAGCCTGATGGTGCTGCAATTTTGCGCTCATGGTTCAATTCTTACACCATATAGATACAGATACCGATCTAGACTTCATCATAAACAACCTCTAATGGATGCTTGCGCGCCGTTAGTGCGAGCCCACTATCGCCAAAGAAAAACACAACATCGCAAGAACTGATCTTACTTTATGCCTTCTTTGTCTTTCTTAACGCACAGAAATTTTCTAGTACCCTCCGCTCCCTCTGCAAGAACTACCTGAAATTCAAGTTGGTGCAGCAATACAACAAAAGTATAACAGATCAACATCATCGATGACACAGGAAGTCATGGTCAACGAGAAATTGATAGAGATGATTGCCGATTCTACGACCTTTCTTTGTATCCGGCGATTCAAACAGAACTAGAAGTGGATCAACATTTCATTCAAGGTGATCTTGATGACTTCGGTCGATTTGTAGCGAAGGAAGCGCTAGGCAAAGATCGATACACCTGATCCTGCTTGCAACATCGACATTCTGATATTTCATCCATTAATTATTTGAAGAACAAAAGGAGCTTTCTGCTCGAGGAACCATCACAACTCGGCGCACAGAATTTGATAGATCCGCTTGAGGTGCGACAGTTGCGCGCCGTGAGTCCTAGCGGATATTATGCAAGAACTACTGACAGTAGCTTTTGTTGTATTCGACTTTGATAGTTCGGGTCAATCTGGAATGCGGTCGTGATTCTAATGTACAAATGGACGACCTGGTGGGCGTGGGGATACAACATGTATAGCTCGAGTTGCTACAGAACCAGGGGAATACCTGGAACTGGCTAAGAGGACAACATGATCAGTGAGATTTCACAAAAACCCTGTGTCATTCCGTGTGCAGAAGAGGATTTTGATCTTCATCCTAAATTGTGGTTGTACTAAACCTTAACTTTTTTACAAACTATGTTTGTATAGCATCTTCATCATCTCCCGGTGCGTGCGGTCCCAAGACCGCGAGCCAGGTAGGCGGTCTCCGCTATCTCCGCAAGGGCCTGCGACCATTTCTTCTCCGCCGCGTTGCGAGACGGTAACAAGGGCTCTTGCAAAATTTGTAGACAGGATCCAATGCTCTTTTTCAGCAGCTGCACGAGAGGCGCAATCCGCCCCTGAGTTCGCTTCGACGGCCGCCCGGTCAGCCTCTCGAGGGCGGTCACCGTTCTTTCCGCCAACTCGTTCTTCAAAAACGGCACAACCGTCAGCTGTACGAGAGCGGACAGATCTTCGTCTAAAGCGAAAGCCGGCGCACCACCATCTGGCGGCGTAGTAGAACTAGAAGTTCTTGTAGAAAACAGTAACTGTATCAACAGTAACCCTCGCGCTTGTGCGGCCAGTGCGTGCTCGAAGACGCTGGGCTCCTCCTCGCTGACCATCTTCATGCTGCCCGGTCCTCTGGGAGACGAGTAGGCCCCACTCCCACTGTAGCCTAAAAGTCCACTGCTCTTCTGTCGCTGCTCGTCTACAAAAGCGCTTCCTCCGACCGAAAGTTGTTGCAACAGGAATAGCAAGATTTCCCCGCGCAGGTGTGGACAGGATCCAAAGTATGCACAGAGCGTGTAACCAGCTTTCTCCCGCAGCAACGTCTCTACCACGGCGGCAGACTCATCCGGGATCACTTGCAGTCGGTCTTCTACGGAAAAAACTGAGCCTTTAGAACCGTATTTCATTCCGCCGGCGTGATCTATCCAGTTCGATTCCCAGACGCCACAGAAGGTTGACACAAGTCCCTGCAGGGTCGGGATGACGTCGCTGAAACCCGTGTCGTTTGCCAATAACCGCGTCAAGGGTCCCTTGGTGCTAGACTGCATTGCCTGCGGACGATACCTAATTTTTTGTTTTTTGCTATGTAAAAATCGATAATATTTTCATTTTGCAGTAAAGGAATCACAATCTTCATATTGGTACGGACGCAGACGCACGAGAAAGAGATAGAAGAATTATCAGCATGTCAACAAACCAATCGAAATCGTACTGCAGCAGAAATGGCATCTGGTCCACACCTCCCACCGACGCGGCATAGAAGCGCGCCCACGGGGAGCAGGGCACGCAGGTGATTTTGCTTTCGAAGTCGTAATTGGCCAGGCTCATCATTTCCACTGCGTCGCGCGGGTCGGGATAGGCCAGTCCTTGGATGATCTGCTCCGTCAGCCGCTGCACGCCGCCCGCCCTCCGGTTATACCAATATTCCACCGTGGGCGGGAGCTCGTTCGCTTTCCTCCAGCGGATACTGGTGTTCGGCGAGTCGCAATCGAACAACGCGAAAATTTTCTGTTCGTTCTCGGGGTGAAGGATGAAGTGCGCGTCCGGAAGCACCGCAGAAAAGACGGGAATTCGCTGGTTGAAAACCGACAAAACCACCACCTCCTCGCCGTTGACCCAATTCGGCCGAACCCACAGGCTTAGAGTGCTCGATCGTATGTTACTGGTTTCGTCGTTTATACTTTTGTTTTCCACCTCGCCATCATGCGCTGGCTGGTTGTCGTCCCCTGTGCTACTTGTACTTCCAGTCCTGCTAACGAGGTCGAGGTCAAACTGAAAGTCCAGACACCGCAGGCCGCGCATCTTCAAGTAGTGCCGCGGACCCGTCTCAGTTCCCTCGTTTCCGCGAAGGTCCAGAGACACCGTGTAAGCTGTCTCCTCCAGGTCCTCATAACTTTGTGGCTCCGCTGCTGCATCGGTGAAATTTTCTTCGGTTTGTAGTTCTTTCGCGGCTGGTGCGCCATCCTCCTGTCCGGCTGGGGCTTTCTTGGCCCTCATGTCGAGGGCAAACCCGATGGAAATCCGCGGAAAAATGTTCCGCCTTCGTCCAAACGCACGCTTGTAGGACTTTCGCGGCGTGACTGCTGTTGTTCGGGGAGTCGTGACTGCGTCGCTGGTATTCTGGATTCGCACGTTCATACCCTTGCTGTTCGCTCGGGAGGAGGTGGGGCTGGGAGGAGCTTCAGAGGAATTTTGGTCTTGTTGCCCGTCGCTGTAGTAATTCCCGGCTGAGTTTATCGAGTTGCTATCTTCACCAGCAGTTCCTACTGGGGCGCTCGACTGGTGTGCTCCCTCGACGTAATCCAGATCATTTTCATCTTTTTGATGGTGCTCCTGCTCCTCGTTGTCATTCTCGGTTATCTCATGCAACTTGTTTTCGTCCTCGGAACGCGGGCTGCGGGGGCTGCTGCTCTGCACGTACGTGCCGGACACAGAGAAATCTACCTCAAGAAAATAGCCCCGAAACGCGGCGTGGTCGTTCTCCACCAGAGGTGCGACTGTACTGGGCAATGGCACAAGCGCATTCGCCGAAATGGCGACTGCGGTGCCAGTGAGAGAAGTCCCCTGTAGATCGAGTGCCTCGTCATCTTCGCTCTTGCCGGTTTTCTTCAGATCTTCCGCGTGTTCTCCTGCTTCGTCGTGCCGCCGGCGCAAGGGCGAAAGAATTGGCTTCTGTGCGTAGAACTCAGGTGCCGCGAGAAAGCTGGCCGCGAGATCTGCGGGCGTGGAGAAGTCTTCTCGGTAGAAGTTCTCTGCCTTCGTAGTCGGGTCGAGAGACTCGGTCGTGCTGGGCACCAGGCTGGCAGCTTCGTCTGGCTCTTCGTCTTCGTTCAGATGATCATCCACGTTCAGATAAATCTCGGCGTCATCATCGTCCGCTTTGGCGGTCTTGAACAATCGCTCGTCCTCAGCATCGTCGCCAGTAGCTAAACCAGCAGACGCTGTTGAAAACGGTTCCGCTTCGCCTTCTGCCGAAGGGATTTTTTCTAGCTCAATAGCACCGCGTCGATCGGCAACGGCAGCTACGGGAGTCCTCTCTTCATTGTGCGCTTCCGTTTCGGATTGTTCATCATTCGGGCTTCTTCCCTCATCATCGGAATAAACTGCTTCAGATTCTTCTTGCTCCTGCTCGTCTTCATAGTGCGCATCAGAATGCTCCACCTGCTCGTCTTCATCGTCATAGTCCTGGCTTTCCTCTTGAATCTGCCCGAGATCGTCCTGTGCGTTGTCTTCTTCGGACTGCATTTTCTTCAAGATCACGACCACGGGGGGTTTATTGGGGTTTGTAGAAGTAGATCAAGAACGAGATGAAGAAGAATATTAGTACACGGAACGAATAAACTTCAATGGCACAATGTATGAAGATCCACACTGTAGCTTAATCTTACACACGCGGTGGGGATGTGAAGTGTAAAAATGTACCGAGGAACGTCGGGAGTTGTCCCTGTTTGTTTTTTGACGCTGATACATCAAGAAAAAAGCATGCATTTTGAAAAAGGAGCACGAAGCACATATCTAAACGATGGAACGTCAACCTTTAACGCAGAATGCTGATGGACGAAGTCAATTACGGAACGCACGAATTATGAACAACACGATCACCGATCATAGTCATACCGAACGAGAAAGCTGCAAAGAATATTTTTAGTAAAGGAGTAGTAAAGTAGAACCGACTGTGACATCATGAATACGGAAGAGAGAAGGAGCACGAAACCGAGCAGAGAGAGCTACACGTGGGGGGCTAGGTGGGGAAGACGACCGGTCTGCATTTTTCTTGTAGATTTTCTGGTGACCATGAGCATCTTAGTACGAACGCACCAGTTGATTTCGTAGCAGGGCAATGTGGTCATGCGCACAGACATGATCATGCAGCTTCTAAATTTTCAAGTAATTTTGCTCCTACTCCTAGGAAATAACCTAAGAACCAACACTCCTCTGATTTTTTATTTTTGTAAGTATTTCATTTGTTTATCATTCGAAGAATGTCGCAGTGGTCTCGGTCACGATTACTTTCTTTCCAAACCTCGGACTTGTTCTCTTCCAGTCGTGCCAAATTTCCTTCCCCGTGACACCGAACGGCGGATCTCCCCGCCACGGCTGCTCCCCGATGCGGAGCCGGAAAAAGTTAATCTCGTACTGCGGCTCTCGCGTGAGCTCGAACTTCAGGCCGTGCTTCTCGTAGTACTCCCGAATCAGCAAGCGCTTCACTTTCTCGTACCCCCGCTGCTCTGCCCGCTGCAGGGGTTGGTAGCCTTCCAGGTCGGGTAGCCCCGCGTCGATGTTGTCAACACGGAGAAGCAGTTCCACCATGTCCGCCGCCACCTTCTTCGAGTCCCGCATGGCGTTCTCAAACGTTACATTCTCAACTGTTATACATCAATTTGATGTGACGCAAGAACGGCAACGGTGAAATCGTAATCGGCAAGCCCAAGCTCGCAACTCTCGCATCACAAATTGGGAACGGGTTTAGATGCTGCCTAGCCGCCCTTTCAGAATCTGTCACGCGAAGTAAGAACCTTGGTCGTCTGACCCTGGCGCGGCGGCTTATGGTAATTTTGCATGACAAATCATCTAACAGTTGAGAATGTAACGTTTGAGAATCCCATATCTCGCACAGTGTCCGTGGCGTCCCGGGACAAAAAAATCGCTGCTTCATAGACCGCAGAGCGTGCGTAGTCGTATGCATTGCAAAAGTATCGCACTCGTATAAATGCATGACAAATTTCCTTAGCATGAGAAACAAAATTTGTATATGCGGATTTGACTTAACAAGAAAATTTGTAATGCATGATTGCACTACGAGTACGATACTTTTGTACAGGATAAGTCGTCGAGCCGGTTGATCACGCGCGTCAATTTGTGCAATGAAAAAAGTGTTACTGTTACAGTCATACAATGTGTTCTTGCAGAACGCGCATGACAGACAACCTCTCTCATGCCGCAAAGGCATGCGAGCCTCGTTTGATACGTGTTTCCCCTTCGGACGATGAATCGACGCATTGCAAGTTGTATTTCTCATCTGTAAATGCAGAGCAAGTCTATTGTGTTGCTGAAGTTGCATACAGATGTCGTGTAAAAAAACTGTATACACTTTTTTCTTGGGATACACCTTCTCTGGCAGGCAGTGGGTGAGAAAAATCTCCACGAATACCACATTGCCCGAGCGACAGGCGGAGATGAGAGCGTTTTGCCCATGCGGGGGAGCCTCCATCACCGAACTACACCACGTGGGGATGCGCTTCGGCTTCGGCTGCTCAAAAATCTTCTCCCCGTCCAGTGGTGGGGGGGATTTCGATCTTCGAGTTTTCTTGTTCTTGTCCTCCTTGCTCTTGGCCGACGGCACAAGATCCGGCGAAATCAGCGGGTGCGCCACCAGCTTTGCCAAAAATTGCCGCTCCCCCTCCGCCTCAGGCTTCAGCAGCTCGCGCCACCGCTTGGAAAAATATCCCAACGGCCATCTCGTGCGAATCTTCGTATTTTTCTTCATGATCTTTGGCACAAGAATGATCTCCGCTTTCTTTACAACATCTTGGTCTACTAAATCGCCTCCGACGAGCGCAGCTTCCTGCGAACGTAAAGAAGATCCCTCCACCAGTGTTGAAGGCTCTACTGCTCCTTCTTCGCGGCCTTTATTTTCAACAGTAGTTCCAGCTGCTGTCCGTGCAGCTGGTACTTCCTGTTCCAAAATGCAGTTCACGTCGATGCGCTCGTTCTGCAAGAGCACGGCTGCGGTTTGCCATTTTGCCTTCTTGATCGCGAGCAGTAGGGGTGTGTAGCCGTCCGACCGGACTCCCTCGCGCACGTTCGGGTTCACATCGAAACCCTGATCCAGCAGGATTGCTACCACCTCCGCGGAGGAGGCGTCCGACGGGTTATAGCGAATAGCGGCTAAAAGCGGTGGAAGGTTTCGCCAACGCTGTCTGATTTTCATTTCGGGCGTGTCTTGATTCCGTTTGAGATTTGACGTCCGAGGTCTTTCTTGTGCGGGTGATTTCAAGAAGCCTTTCTCCCGTTCTTGTTCCACTTCTTCTTCTTCAATTGCATCCCCATCTGCAAAAATGGACGAACTACTACGCAAAAAACTACAGGTTTCCTCCACGCGAAGACTCAGATTTACCAGCTCGACGCTGGCCAGGGTTTCTAGCACGTACGTCAGCAATTTTGGCAGGCCCCGGGCACAAGCAAGTCCCATCAGCGTCCATCCATTCATGTCCGGCGCGTTGACCGAGGTCACTGTGAGCTCCTCTTTTTTTCTCCGCGCGGCTTCCTCTCTAGGGTTGCTCCTCATTCTCTGGTGCGGAAAATCACTTCTATCTTCAGTTGCCGTGGCACCGCGGCTCCCGGCACGAGCACTTCTGGTGTTCATCGTACGACCTTTCATAGAAGTAGAGTCGTTCCTTGTTCTGCTCGCACTCTTTTCATCTCGACCCATGGCGGCTAAGACCTGCGCGACATCGCCCTTCTCAGTTTCGGGAAACTATCAAATGCAAAAATGTCTGAGTCTGGAAGGATGCAACTTGTGATGCATGTTGCGCATCATACAAAAATCTGTGTTGCGTGACTTGCAATAAAAGGCGCTCATTTCTGGCCATGCTGAGGGGGCATTTCTCATGCAGAACAGGCATCACAAAGGGGCTGCAGATCCTGTGATGCTAGGACCTGCATTCCAGACTTGGTGGAGCTTGGAGAAACTGCATGACAAATATCGGAATCTTCCAGACCCAGACATTTTTACATTTGATAGAAACCACAGTGACGCGATGTAGCTCCACTCTGCGTATTACAGTGAAAAGTGCCCCCCACCCCTCAAATTGCAAAAATTTGTGATGCGAAGTTTCCAAATGAAACCTTTTTGTCATGCATGAAAGGAGTATGAATCTTTCTGATGCAGAGTCTAGGCGTTTATCGCATCGCTTGCATGACAAGCGCCGCTCTTGCTGGGGTCTTTTGCAATACAAATTTTCGCTATTCACGATTGGAAACCTGTGATGCTGATAGGTGCAAGAGGGCGAATGTTTCATTTGGAAAGGTTTGCAATACAAATGCTTTCAAGTTCGGGGGTGGGGGCATTTTTCATTCTGATACTGCGTCCTCCTGCTTTGCCGCAGCGGTCTCTGGGTCATCGGACACGACACTTGATGACGATGTCCCCCCGGAGCTGCTGCTTGAATAGTACCCCTCGTCTTGTTCCTCGTCACCGCCAGATGAAATCTCTTCATCGGCTGGCAGGTTCGCCAGCGTCCCGTCTGCCACCAGAAGTTGCTGCGTTTCTGTCAAAACGCTCACCCAGTCCGTCTTCTTCAAAACTTGCGTCAAGTGAAACTTGAGTTGTTTTCTACCTCGCGGCCCGGATGTTCTTGCTGTTCCATCTCCATCCACCTCATCACCAGTTGTACTAGTATTTCCTTTATCCGTATCCGAAGATGCATATTGCTTCGTTTGGCTGTAACGGGTGTCCAGCGGCAGAAGTTTCCAGGTGGTCTGTTCGTCTGTGTCATCGCCGTACCCAGGAGCAGTGAACGCGGTGAGCCGCAGAAACCGAACGGGCACGCCCGTCACTTTAGATACCTTCTTCAACAGCTCTTCGGTCAGGCCCTCTTCCCTGGCCTCCACGGTGACTTTCTGCCTACTCTCGCCCAAGAAAACTACGTGCTCCAGTTTTTCGTCCGAGCCCGAAGACTCCACGCTGCTGGGCGGAAACAGATCATCCAGGTTTACCAAGGGCATGGTGCTTGCTTCCTAAACAAGTTGTATCAGGTTGTGGTGGGAGGAAAATCGACGAGACAGAGACGCTTTGCTTACAGAGTCTGAAACTACTCGTCGACGGACGAGGGGGTTCGTCTAGTACTCACCCATTCTTGTCGTGACGAATAGAAGTAGTTGTAGGACTAGGTGGTGCGGTCGCGGACCGGGGGATGGTACATAGTACAAAAGATAGATCATGAAGATAAGCCTGCGAGATACTCCTCAGGACACGAGGTTGACGCACTGGTCGTGCTAGTGCAATCTACAAAACACGTCGTGCACGCCACCTACACGCTGGTACCCAAGAGAAAACACATTCGTCGTCACGTACGACAACCGACGCGTGACAACGACGCCACGAAGTGAGAACTACTGCAACCGAGGCACACGAATAAGAACCACTGCTGACCGAGAATTATAGTACTCGCAAAAATACCGACAAGAAAAATACAACACACGAAATAACAAGCAATAGTACGCTTGCTCAACAGACGCTGCACAGCAGGTCCTTTTCGGACCGTGACCGATTCCTTCAAAAAGTACTTTTGATATCATGATGCAACTGCTTCTTTAATATCTTCTTCTTCACGACGATGTTGAACAGACGCGTTGAAAGTGCGAACACACCCATGCAAAATATCGCCGTTTCAAATACTTATTCGGCCACGCGAAGGCGAATTTCTCTCGCATTATAATCTTAACTTTTTGGAAACTTTTTCAACTCCTGTTCGTTTTGCAGACTATAATTTCTTATCATCTGTCGAGATGTTTAAAAGATGCTGATCTTGGTGGTGAAGGTGGCTGCCGTTTTATCTCCCGTGCGCCGATGGGAACCTGCAGGGGTAGAAAATTGATGTTGACGTATTTCTGCTTTTTATCTATCATACGTACGTAGCGCTACTGCAACCACAACTACCATCCTCTATACACTTAAACCAAGAAACAGAAGGACAGAAGGACTGAAATCATTTCATACGGTGTTTGCTGCGGTGAAGTGGACCAGGGCGTTCCTGTCTGCAATGCATCTGTGCTGGCCCATGCTCTTGCGGTGCTCGGCCTGTTCCAACATGCCGCGGATGAGGTCCTCCGGAGGGGCTTGAGACTTTTCGAATGCTGGTTGGGAATCTGAAGGTTATTTTCATGGTTTTGCAAAGAAAAGGCTACGATTAATACCGTGTTGAACTGGACACTCTTGCCGCCCGACCTTCTGTAACAGAAGCAATAGCAAATGCAAATCGTTTTCTGAAGAAGCCATTCGATGAGAACAAAATGATCATGTTGTAAATGTACATAGAACGTACAGTTCTTAGCAAGATTAAGATACGGAGTTCCTCCAAGCTTTTGTTGCGTGCCTTTTTGCGTGGAAAGAAAATGCAGAACCACGTGCAGCAGGCAGAGGTCTTCATTGCAAGCCAAATGGCAGCTGCAACTCGCGTAGGCGTAGCGAAGAATCCAGTACTCCCTTACTGCCACTGGGAGGCGCACTTTTTCATCCGGTGCGAAAGACCGAATCGGTCGGGCTGCCGTTTCATCGGTTCGGTGTGGATGGTGTAGTTGACTAACGCTTTTCTTGCTCTCTGGAAGTACTCAAGCTCATGGTTTCTCTTTACGAAAAATTGGGCCCAGACGAGTCGTTCTCAAAATTAGTGATGTATACTGTTGTTTGTCTTTCTTCGACGAAAAAAATGCAGCCAGCGTTCACGTTTTATCTGGACAGCTCGTGGAAGTTAAGGTACGCTCCCTAGAGCATTCCACACTTAAGAACAAGTTGTGTTTGCTTTTCCTTTTCTGCTCTCTCTACTCCGACTCCCTTTTCTCGTCTGTCATTTGCAAAACCGGACGCAAGTGCATAATCACTGCCCTCCCCTTCTTGCCTTGCTCAGACGCTCTTGTACGTGGCCAGTTTTGCTCCATTTGCTTTTCACTCGATGGTCACTCGTTCCGCCCGTCAGTGGCTGACTCGAAAAAATACGCGCTGTTACGCAAAGACATCGAAGACCCTCACAACTTCGACGAGAACGAGTCGTCGTCAGCTACTTATATTAAAAAACCAGGTTAGAAGTGGAACCGTTACCGTTCGGTGAACTCGCTACATATAATTAAACTCAAAATTCACCAACTTGTCAATTCAATCAACAATCTGCTCGGCGCTCTGTCGCCCGGATTCAAGAAAAAAAACGTCCTAAATGCGTGATGATGATGATGATTATGATGATGATAAAGCATCTATAATCAGCTTTGTTCTGCCCCTCATCTCCTTTCGCCCGTAACCGTAAGATTTCCCTACTGCTCGTGGTCATCTTCCCGCCACCACTGCCGGAAGCGTGAAAACCGTCCGCCCGAGCTCGAGGAGCTTCCCGAGCCGGAAGAGCTTCCCGAGCTGGAGGACCTTGCCGAACCGGAGCTAGAGATTGCGTCTGCTGAATCAACATCTTCATGTTCTTGATCATCATCATCGGCGCAGAAGTCTTCTCGTAGGTTGTTGCACTCTTGTCCCGCGTGTCCTTTCTCCACACACGTCCACCTTGACAGATTTCCGTCTGGAACAAACAGCGCATCCACAGCAAGGTGCGCAAAGTCACTCTCGTGCTTGCTCTTGTATTCGCAACACGGGTGGGGAGGGTTTCTGTCGCATTTGTTCCTCGGCTTGGACGGGTTTGCTCGCATCCTTCTCGAGCTTTCTTGTCGATTTCTTGTGGCGGCTCGTCTTGTGGAAGCTTGCGCCGATGAGTGGGTGCGCTCGAGGAAGTCCGCTTCTGGATCCCGTCCTGCCGGGGATGCCCCGTCTTCCTCTTCACCCAGCGCGAACGCGGGTTTACTTCCTCGCGAGTAAGGACTACTCGCCCCGGCGGTGTCCAGCTCAAGCGCAACGCTCTTGGACGACGGAATGTCGCTTGCAGTCACATCATTTTCGTCCCCACCGCCAGAGGCTGTTGCCGTGTTTCCCGACTTGGCCGCCGCCTTGGAAGTTTGTAGTTGATGCCCATGCGCGGAAGCCGTAGCGGAAGTCGTCGCCAAGAAACTGGTCAAGGCTAGCAAGTTCTCTTTGAAGAAAAAGCTGCGACGCGGCATTTGCGACGTGTTTCTGCCGACTGTCCGTCGACCGACACCGACGGGAAGCCTACGAAATCAGAATCAATATCTACTTCTATATGCCTTGAGTTGTTCTAGTTCTACACTAATGAAAACTTGTTGCGAAATCATTCACACAAAAACGCGAATCCATCAAGAGAGCATTAGCATGCTTGGACCCAATAGCATTAGCATGCTCGGAACCAACAATCTGGTGGGCATCCGCTATACTCTAACAAACTCTCAGGCTCTCTTCAATTACATCAATTTCGCTTTTTCACTCCCTCGGGGTCCCTCGTAGAAAATGACCAACTAGTACTAAATGCCACGATTGTCCGTTTGGGTTTGGTACTGGTCACGAAATCGAAGAACATCAACTGTGCTACAAGCAGGACTCGCGCACAATCCATGTCTGCTTTTCTCATCTGTAGATAAGATATTGCGCGATCTGTACATCACCTTTGCTTCAATCATGATCGTGACGAGGATACTCGGCTGCACTCTTAAAGTTCCGACACGCCAAACCCCATGCTCAGCTATGCTATAGTGTTCCAATCCAATGGTAGGACGTTTTATTTATGTTCCAACTTTGTAAGGAGGCTCTTGCCCCGGCGTGTTCGAGGCTGAGATCCCAAGCCACGAATCGATGTGAGCGTTAATGTCATCGATTATTGCTCCACGCCCTGACGCGGCTTTTCCCATCGTGGTTCCCCTGGCTGCTTGCTCTTGCTCCCCGGCTGCTGCCGTTTATCCAGTGCAAATATGTCTTGGTCTGGAAGAGTGGGACTTGTAATGCTAGCTTTGCATACCTAGGAAATCTGATGTATTGCATAACCAACAAAACAAGTCGCAGCCTCTTTTGTACATGCAAAACCGCAGTTTCTCATGCGGATTGCCTATGAAAAGGCGTCTCGAAAAGTTGTCATGCTGTGTTGCATTCGCAACTGTTTCCATCATCCACATTTTAGCATCACAAGTTTCCAGACCCGGACATATTTGCATTTGGTACCGTGGCGGTTCTTGCGATTTCTTCCTCCTTGGGGAAAATGCGAAACTCCCCTGCTTCCGCCGTCGCCACGCTGTACTGCCGCATGAGGTAGCCGATCGTTTGCAGACACAGCATGGACGCAATAGACTGCGCCATGCACAGGGGACCCCAATACTGCGGTGCCAGTCCGCCGTGATGAAAATTCCAGAAGTCATACAACCAGAATTGCACCATGAACCTGTTTTTTTGAGCTTTTTTTGATCCAATGAACAAATTCAAAATTGCTTGTAGTTGAGATGTTCTTCTACAACTCAAATTTGCATCACATTCAGAATCCCAACCCTGCAGTATAAAATGAAAGAAAATGAAAATGTACGCCAGCAGAGTGAGTTGATTCGCGTCGCGCCAGTGGTCGTTGCTTTCGCACATGGTTAGAAGAGCTGTTCCGAGCAGGAAGAAGCCGATCGGCGGCAGCAGGCGGGACAGGAACAGGTTTCCCCCCCAGCTGCTCACGTTTGGCACAGCAAATTCCCCGAGCTGGAGCCCGTAGTGTATTGCCGACCTTCCGATCAACAGCATCCACGCGTACATCAGGGCCCAATTGCAAAGTACGCCCGGGTTTACCTGGAAAACCCGCGTGGTCCCGACGTCTTGGTGCTGTGCAGTAAGTGTAACTGCTGCTCCGGCAGGATAATTCTCTTTTTCTGTACTTGTTCCCTCGTCCTCTTCCGCGGAGGTGCCGGTCGATGTGGTCGACGACGTGTAGTAGAGGTGCATAGCCACCGCAGCTCCGGTGAGCGCAACGAGCGGGAAGGTGGCGACCATCATGAACCGGTACTCATTTCTTGGAACGGTGCGCTGCAGGGCCCAGATGGGCAGTATCCCGAGGGGCTTCAACTGGTACTTGAATTGCTGGCGAAAAAGCTCGTCCAGAAAGGCCGACCGCAATTCCCAGAACGACTGCCGCTGCAGAACTTCATGTGGCTGGTTCTTGCCGCTTGTTCGCGAAAACCTCGTCCCGGTTGGCAGGACTGTAGTAGCACTGATACTACTAGTCCCGCCGATGCTCGGAAGCGGGAGCGCGTTTCGGGTGGTCCACTGGTGCTGCAGCTCGCTCGTCCGTCCTGTCGTGCGTCCAGTAGAAGTAGTTCCGGCTGGTGCTCCACCTCCTCGAAGCAGTTCGTCTGCGGATGGGGTCGACGTCACGGCACTGCTCATTCTCCTTCGCCAAGAGATGAAGGCCTTGCTGCTCGACGAAGAGCTGGACGTGCCTCCATCACCTCCCGTCTTCAAATCGCAACGCAGAGCAGGGAAAAAAAGTTCCCTTTTCGTGCAAGAGCAGCAGCTGTCGCTGCCGGATATCAGGGAAGAACGACCCGTTTCGACGCATGAGGGTCGGCCACCCGAATGGAGCAACCGAGGTGGAACAATGCGCCGCATTTCACTGGCTTGCTCAGAGCAAGAAAAAACGATGAAGATCGGTTACATGCGTCTTCTTCGAAACCCTCAGCTGATCTTCAAGATCCTTCGATCGTTCTATTCATACATTTTTTCATGATGATCAAACGTAGTAAAGTAATTTTCGGACATGCACCAGGTTGTATCTTGGCGAACACGGGTCACCACTGGTGCTGCAGCACCTCCCAAAAACACCCACCCTGGCAAGACCTTCGTGTGAAGACGGTCGATTCCGCGAAGATGCGCGCCACCTAGATTCTTTGGCGAAGGAGCTTCTCCAGCGTACCCCTTCAAGTTCAGGTTCACAGCAAAGTAATAGATACAAATAAAGTAAGTTGAAGTATCAGGCATTTCTTAGACTTGCAAGGGCCACCTTCTGCAGGTGGTTTGCACGTGCGGCGTAGATGTGCGTGGACCAACCAGAGGTTGATTCCATGGCCTCAATATCGGCTCCGCGGGCGTCCAGCAGCGCCAACACATCTGGCTTGCCCGTGGTACAGGCAATCATGGCGGGCGTTCGCCGCTCCCGCAGATGTGACACCTGGTCGCGCAAAAAGTCCTCGCTGATGATGTCTTCCTGATCTGCTGCTTTCAGCAACGGACTCGTTTCCCGCTCTTTCGCCGGCGGTTCCCGGGGCATCTCCACGTGCGGCGGCAACCCGCGCACCAACTGGCTCTTCTCCTGCTGCTGCGCCAAAGCGTTACGGCCGCGACTGCTCGGAACGGACAGCACATTCGCGGCCGTTTTTTGCTGGTGCAAATTGAACCGCGGGTTGCGGATCATCTCCGTCGCGACCGCGGGATCCCACCGCGCCTCGGTTTCCTCGGTTGCGCGCCCCAGCCCAATCTGGGTCGTGTGCAGCGTGACCGCGTCGGAGTGCGTAACCGCGAAGATCGTGTCTTCGAATTCCCGCCGGTCCGTCAGCTCGTACTTCCCCAGGCCCTTCAGAAAAGCCTCCCTCTTCGGCTTGCCGCGAATGTTTTCCAGGATGGCAGCGGCGATCGCGTCGTGCACGTACATTTGCCCGTTCGGATCCGCCTTGTGTTCCACAAGGATACGCGCGCACTCCTCTATTGCGGCCAGAAAAAACTGTTTTTACACACTTGTTGCCCTTGTCGTATTAACCTCAGCAACACAAAGAACGTGCTCCTCGTCTTCATGACAGAGAAAACACGCAAGAATGCAGACATCGTGAGGGAAATCAACTATCAACGCGTATGAACAAACCAGGCTCGTCCCGAGTCTATCCAGCAAGATGACAGGCCTCTATTTCACGTATCTATCTTCTTGCCTGGTCTCCTGCAAGAACAGCACACTATGTGAAAACTGTAAAACACTGTCTTCTTCGCATATCTTGGTTGATGTTGGGCACGCAGAGCGCGGCCGTCAGATGGTCCGACGTGGGCGCACGATTCGGGTAGTCCGGCGAGGCCACGCCGGGTGGCGGTCGGTACTTGGAGAGAACTTCCAGCAGTTTGGCGTCGTTTTGCATGGCGGCATACACCGCGGAATTTTCGTCGGAGCCCGGGTCATTGTAGTAGTTGCGCACGTAGTATCCAAGAAAAAAACTGCGTGAGTGTAGGTGTCTTGGCGAGTGACAGCATGATAAATTTGCTCTGCATGACAGAGAAAGCCTGTCACTGCATGACAGAGAAAACCTGTCATGCGCAGCCTGTACGTGAAAAGGAAAACACATACGAAAACAGGAGTTGATGGCTGGCCAGCATGACAGCGGTAACTATGTTGTGTGTTTTGCATCACGGATTTAAGTACACTCACATATTTTTTTTTCTTCGCATACGTAGTAGGACACCGGGTCCTCAAAGTTGTCGTTCTCGCCGGGGAGCTCCTCGTCGTCGCGGAGGCCCAGTTCCTTGCGTTTCTTCTTTTGCTGCCGCTCCAGAGCCTTCGGATCCATTCCGGCCCGCTGCCGCTTCAGCTTCTCGGCCTCCTCGTGCTTCTGGATCAGCCGCATCAGCTCCGCGTCGTGCGCCAGGGTGTGCTATCAAATGCAAATATGTTGTCTGGGTCTGGAACAATATTGCAAAACTTGTCACGCGGGTTTTCCATGACCAATGAGGTCTGGATTCTGGAATGCAGGACCTTCTAGCGTGACAGATTGATTGTGTAAGATCTCTAGTGCAACCATGCCTATATCCTACATGAACATGAGAAACTCCCTCCAACTACTCCGTCAAACGCTGACAACTTTTCTGGGGAAAAATCACGCAACACATATATTTTTTGCAACGGATCCAGACTTTTTAGCATGACAAGTTCCAACTTTCCAGACCCAGACTACATATTTGCGATGCATATGTGCCCCTGCTCGACCACGGAGGGGAATAGCTCGGACCCAATCATCCGCAGATGGTCCACGATCTCCAGGCGGGCCCTGTCCCCCCGCGTCACCACGTCCGTCAGCCGGCACGCGACGCGAAGCGGCAACCCCGTCGAGAACGCGATCGAGGGCCAAAATTTCAAGAGGCACTTGACCCCCTCGACCCACCGTTTCAAAATGGCGTGGCACAGCGGCGAAACCCCCTGCTTGTCCAGCACGTCGACCCTAACCCGCGTCGTATCCTGTGCAAAAGTATCGCGCTCGTATTGCAATCATGCATTACAAACTTGAAGTATGTCCGCATATACAAATTTTTTTCATGCTGAGGAAATAATCTTTAATGCATTTATACGAGTGCGATTCTTTTGCAATGCATACGTCGGGTCGCGCAGCACCTTCCGTCCGGTTTTCGGGTCCTTGATCGTGGGCTTCCGCACTGCCGTCGGCCACCCGCTCACGGTTTTCCACAGTTTTGGCCCCAAATCGTTGAATTGCCGGATCTGCAGCTGCGAGTCCGCGAGCAGCTCCACCATGGCCTCGTCCTTCAAGTCGATGGCTTCGTAGATCGGCGTCCACCCGAGGAAGTCCGGGATGTTGCAATCCAGCTGTTCCGTCCGCTTGGACTGCAGCAAAATTTATGCAGTGCAAAAGTATCGCACTCGTATAAATGCATTACAAATTTCCTCAGCATGAGAAATGAAATTTGTCATGCTGATTTGCGTTAAGAAAAATATTTGTAATGCAAGACTTGCATTTATACGAATACGATACTTTTGCACAGGGTAAAATTGCCGTCAAGGCGATGTCACGCTGGCGGACCGCGTAGTGCAGAAGCGATTTCTGCTTGATGTCGTATGCATTGCAAAAGTATCGTACTCGTATAAAAGCATTACAAATGTCGATGTCCTCAGCATGAGAGATAAAATTTGTAATGCGGATTTACCTTAAGATAAAGTTAAAGATTTGTATATGCATGATTGCAATACGAGTACGATACTTTTGCACAGGATATGTCGTCACAATCCACCACGTTGCAGTCCACCTTCTTTTGCATCAGAATCGTCAGCAGCGTTTCCGGTGACCGGCGGCACTTCACCGCGATCGTCAGGGCCGACAGGTACTGCTCGTCGTCTAGAACCTTCCGCCGGTCTTTGTCCTCGGCGTCGTCCGGCGGTTTGTTGTTATCGGTTTCTTCCTCTTCGGGAGGTAGTTCCTCGTCCGGCTCGGTTTCGATGAGCGGGCGCTTGCGATACTGCACGTGCGCCTTGTAGTCCAGAAGCAGTTTCACCACCTCGCAGTTGTGGCCGTTGCGGATCGCCGTTACCACGGGCGTGTCGCCCCGCAGGTTCATGATGTTCACGTTGGCGCGGTGCGACAGAATGGACCGCACCAGCCAGGCAATCAGGTCGTTGTTGTTCGCGATGGGGCGCAGTTCCTTTTCCAGCTGGTAGTCCGGATTCCCGGTTTCGGCGTGGATATGAACTGCAGAACCAGAAGTATCGCACTCGTATAAATGCATTACAAATTTCCTCAGATTGAGAAATCAAATTTGCAATGCGGATTTGCCTTAGGGAAAAGATTTGTAATGCATGACTGCAGTGACTACGAGTACGATACCTTTGCACAGGATAGCGGAGCTCCGCGAGCAACTCGTCCTCGTCGATGGGCTTCTCGTTGTCGTTCCCCGCCCCCACGATGAACCAGTCCGCCTCGGGCTGCTTGGGTTCCGCCACGGCCCGGTGGAGCAGCGTGTTCCACGTTAAGTCGTTCTGAAAGCCGTGGGCGTGAAGCGCCACATCCAGTAAATCCCGCCTCTTCAGCCGGTACAGCAACTTGCGCCAGTCGACGTCCCACGCGCAGTCGTTCAACCCCGGCATCTGATCCACGTCCTGGCACGTACTGTCTACCACCTGCTGCACCATCCGGTGCCCGGACACGGCGAGAACGCGCGGCTCGTTCACATCGTCGAAGTTGGAAGGCAGTGCCCCCATGGTCGCTAGTAGTACCGCTAGACGAGAACAAGATTATAGTACCGTGTGCCGCTGCCCTTGATGTAATTCTATTTCTGTCGGCGTTTGTCGCTCTTCCGCTGCGCTGGTCTTCTGCTGCGCAGGTCAGTGGCCGTGGTCGTGTAGACATTTCTTATGCCGCCCAGCGTGGCGGGGGCCTCGGGCTTCATGATTTTGGTGCTGATGCCGGATATCTTTTGCCATTCCGCAGGCGTTCACAAAAGAACGCTGGTATTGATATTTTGATTTCGCTACGTGGCTGTGGCATCAGTCTAAGTCTTACCAGGCAATGCACGCTAGTACACTCCGCGCTTCCACCGCGTGACGCACCCACTCCATTTGTACGTCACATGCGTCCCCCCCAATACCTCCTGTCTTTCAGCTGCGACATTGCGGATGCTTGCAAAACGACCACGCCAGAACGGTTGGCTTCGTTTGTTTTCCCTTTGCTTTCTCGTTCAAAGCCAAAGGCTCTGACTCCTCGTCTGCATATAATCTACTATCACGATGGGACAGGAAAGGCTATCGCTGGAGACCGCCCGAGTCCTGGCGCGACATCCAAGCGTAACACCAGCAGCTGCCCGCCCCCAATAACTGGCACACTCAATCATGCGATGCCCGTTGCGCTTATTGGGGCAGACCACATAGTATAAACGTACCAGCTCTATGATGTAAATATCATGAATACCGATCCGAACAGTGGGTACATTGCGCGACGCGTCGGCGACAGGTGCCGCAAGCATCATCAAATCGACGCTGATATTAGCAGCGGCGGTCAATGTGGTGATGTTGGTAAGAGTAACGGGAACCTATCGGCTCACAACTCTGTTTGTTTCGAAGAAGAGTAGCTCTTGCCTCCTCCTTCTTTTGTACCCTCTTTTGCGTCGTGGGTGGTAGTTGTTCTTTCGTTTCTTACACGACGGGCGTGGATCCGAAAAGAACCCAAACCCATACGGAGAACTAATTGTATTTGCTTTTCCTGGTGTCATTATACGTTCAAAGAGACCTTTTTGAAAAATATCGATGAACAATAACAATTCTCCCGCCTGCTTGTGCTTCCTCCTAAAAATTTCCATCTCATCATTACTTTGCTGTATCTAGCTGTTATAGATACCCTCAAAAAAATCAGCAAAGTTTTGCGCTGTCTAAGTAGCAGCATATTTCGTTCATGACGCCGACTCTATTCTCATTTTCTTTGAAAGGAAAAATCTACGTACGAAAAGCTCGTCTAAGCCAATTTGTCCCACGGCTCGAGTCCTGCAGAAGTGCGCGCGCTCTAAAGAAGTATTTCGCTTTCTATTCTAAACTTATTTGCAAGCTGCAAACCAATATAGCGCGGTGGCTCGCTTAGTTGTCAAGCTTCACGCTTCTGGTAGTCTTCCGACCCTGCAAAGTATTCAAATTAGTAGAGGGCCGCGAATGAGCATCGCCATGCAGGACCTCCAGCGAATAGGAACCACAACCGTAGCCAGCCAGGCCCGCAATGCGCGTCGCAGACCGAAAAATTCCGGCCAGAGAATGACCGCGGCGATGGCGCACTGCTGGGCGAAGGAGGCGTAGAAGACTACCGCCCCCAAAGGGGACAACGGCTGTACTAAATGACCTAGTCCAAGCCCGCTCCAAATAAGCACCATAAACATGCAGCTCGCAGCACCCACGACCGCTATTTTCTTCTGCAGTTCCCGTTTACGTCTCAGTTTCATCTCGGCAATCGCGCGCTGTCGATTTTTATACATTAATATGTCACTTCAACAACTTCATCTTCACTCATTTTTCGCACATACATGGCAAAAATATTAATATTACTTCGACCCTACAACTTCTGTTCATCTTCATCATGATGATTGACGTGTTCTTTCTTGCGAGGACAAAATACGACCTGTCAAAACTGTTTACAGAAAACACGACCCGCTAGGGCTACAGTCAGTAGACTCAACGCAGGAAAAAATGAACATCAACATAGTGCATGACATAGATATTAGTACTTCCCGTCTCTGCTGGTTGCCCGCCAGCGCCCTTCCCTCCATCCCAATCGGGTGCAGATATTGGCAATTGGGATTCCTACATTTAGCGATTTTGTAGAAGTAGCAGATCGGTGGAACAATGCGTTGATTCGGAGCCGGCACGGCGATGACGTCAGCGTCCTGCATTTTCGCTCAAACTTTTGGGTTGATGTTTATTTGAAGATTTAGATTTTGTATTTAGCTTTATTGTTTTCGTTGTGTTCTACTTCTCCACCTTCTGCATCTGCTGCTGTCTTCTAATTTCTTGCCTTCTTAAAGTAGTTGCGCTAGTTCTCAAAACGTGAACGATGCATCGGGACTGAGGCTGAGTCGGAGACAAATTGAATACTTAGTGCAGCAGTTCTTGTTTGTATTAGTATTGCAGGGTGTGCTGTCAACACACCATCAACATCGCGAAGATGCTGGTTACAATAGAGGGATCTGATCAAACAGTGCTCCGAGGAGTCCGCCGTGACGCTACAACAGGAAAACGAACTCACAAGGGATCCCGCTCTAGCGCACAAAAACACGTGAAGATCAATAAGCGCCATTTGAACCAGCACCACGCGCACAGGCACAAGCACGAAGAGCAAAAGAATGATCACGAGGGGTTAAGAACAGGAGGGGATCCATCGTCAACAACAACAAAGCAAGAAACTGGCGTATCGAAAAAAACCTAACGGTGACACATCTTGCTACGCCGTGAAGGAGATGTGAAGGCATCATGGCCGTCACGAGATCATGAAGAACAAGAACATGATTACGACAACCACGCTGCGTCGGTTTATTAGCTTTAGGTTGGTGGTGCAGCTGCAGGCAATAAAGCAAAACCGGCCGCAGAAAAAGAACCGCTTCCTACTTTAGATTCTAAGACGCAGCTTTCACGCGTCCGTCTCACGTTCTACCTGTGGAAAAACTGAAACTGGATGCTCGTCTTCACTGTGTATTTGGCACGCATCTTCATCTTGTTCATCCAGTGGAAAAGAATAATTCGAAACCAAAACCTACCATCGAAGATCCTCGCGAGAAAATAGTCGTGTGCACGATCCACTCTTGTTCCGGTGTCATTTCATGCTTCAAAGCGGCCGCTCCGGCGGGAAAAATCACGAGCGAAATCCGATCGCGTTTTCATGTTGCGGTTTGTCAGGAAAACGAGGAAGCACCCGGCCACGAAAATGACGATGCCCCACCACCACACCAGCTGCGTAGGGGGCGGCTTCACGTGAACCTTCGTCTTATACGGCTTCCCGTATGTCGCAGTCCAATAATTCTTGCAAACCTGGAGGTGTTGCAGACACAGTTAATATGGTTGCAAGAACTACTGCTGCAACGAACAAAAAACATTTTCGGCGACTCGTTTACTCTGGAGATGACCTTCCGAGTCCAAAGCGATTTACTTCCACAAGCGGCAAAAAGCATCTGAACAAATAGGAATTGGAAAAACTTGATGAATGAACATGTATGCGAACGTCGATGCTAAAAAACACACACTTATCCAACGAAACCGTGATGTATCCGTCCGGCGAGTTCTGTTCCAGGAATTCCATCCGCGCTTTGAAAAGCTCGTCCGCGAAATGGTAACACGCCGCCGCCGTGCGGAACCCGTGCTCGTGCGTCAGGGGTTGCTCGTGCACGAGGGCGCACTCGTGCTCCAGCGCGTCGCGCACCATCACGTCGGTGTAGCTGTGGTCAATCTTTCCCGCCACCACTTTCAGGTGCTCAGTGCACTCCTTGACGAACGTCTGCGCGTCGGGGCCCCGTCCCGGTCCCTTCGGCAGGGGCGGCAGCAGACTGGACGAGCTACTGCTACTGCTCACAGTGCCGGAAAGAATTGGATTTTTGCGCGTTTTGGTCGTCGTCGTGTGAAGGTGCCCGAGAACGGTGGAAGAAAGTATACCGGAGATGAAGACCACATGCTGCAAAATAAGGACTCTCATTTTTATTTACGGAAAATCTCCACCGTGCGTAACTTTTTTCCGATGCCGCTCCAACGAATGCTCTTTCACCGGGCAGAGCAACAACCGTGCCCGAGGATCTCCCCGGGTGCACGCGTTCGGCAGACTGCTCGGGCTTTCTCACCACCACGTCTCATACCATGTTCCGCGAAACATCACAAGTAAAAATTCCCCTAGTATCTTAAAACATGTTCTGCTCAAACTAGTACTAGTAGCACGGACAACATAACAGCTTTCGTTTCGCCAAAATGTAACTTTGTACACCAACGTAGTGGTCTCAAGCAAGAACTGCGCTCTTTCTCATTCTCTCTGCCGCTCAATAAACTGGAAAACAAACTGATCTGATTGTGATTCTTGATCATCATATTATGCCTCGTGAATGTAGTTCCTTGCCTCAAAACAAGAGATTGGTCGCGCAGCAGGAAATGGAGCGAGACCATAAGAGCAAGAAAAGTCAGCTTTGCGCCGCTTACTTTTTCTGATCTGTGGAAATACGTTTTCATTGATTCATTGACAAAAGAAGTACTTCATGACAAAAATTGAGATGAAAATTCGAGCAGCATGCAGGCAAGTCAAAAATATTGGTTAAAGTGGACAAATCTCAAGAAGAAAAGCTCAAGAAGAACCCACCCCAAAAAGAAAATGCCTAATTTTCAAATTGCTTGACTTCTCAAAAATCTCAAGAAGAATGGTTACGGATTTTTCAGAGAACTTTATACACCATGGTATAGTTCACAGACAGGAAGTTTTCATTGAAAACTTCCTGCCTGTGGAAACGCATTGTTCTACGTTGGAATCGAATCGAGGAAGAGGGCAAAGAAAAGGCGAAAAGCAGATCGAAAGAAGACGGCAGAGAGAAGGCGAAAAGCAGACGGAAAGCAGAGGGCGGAGAGAAGGAGATGTTTTGGCGAGCGAGAACGTTATGCACGACGGTGTGCGGGGCCACGTCAAAGCTATTCGCGGGCATTCGGTTCTTCTGAATCTACTGTGTTTTTTTGCAAGCAACACTCCATCATGCATAACATGATGCACGACGGCATCCTGGCCTGGAAAAATACACAAGGACGCCCCGCGGCCCGTCCGCGGTCTCCCTGCGAGGGGGACCCTGGTGAGGGACCAAGCCGCCAAGTTCTGCGCGGCTGCGCTGTGTGCCCCAATCCCGAGGCCCGCCGGCCAAGGAGCTGGCCAGCGCCAGCCAGGAGAACCCCAAGGAAGCGACAGAACAACCACGAAGGCGGGCAGGGCGCGGGGCCGCCACCTTCCAAGAACGAGAAGAGAGAGTCGTCGGCCAGGGCAGCCGCCGCCGGCCGGCCGGCCGGCGGCGGCTGCCCTGGCCGACGACCAGAAACCCGAAACCCGAAACCCCAAACCCTAGACAAACCCTACCCAAGGTTCTTCTTGAGATTTGTCCATTTCTTCTTGAGATTTTGCTAGTCTTCTTGGGATTTGTCCTTTTTACCCAAAAATATTTCATCAACTACGCCGTTTCTTAATCTTATTCACATACCCCAGGCAAATCACACAACGTAGCATTGCTCGACGTGCATCGCATACAAAACGCCGAAAGCTGCATCGGTTTCGGTTGTTGTCAGCAATATTGCATTTCTGTAGAAACCACGACCACCCAGCTTCCACTTGTTCTTCGTAATAGAAGTACTTACTTTATTCTCTATTGTAACCAATCAAATTTTCGCAACAATGCAGAACAGTGGCCGGACGAGTAAAATACAAATATAAACAAGCTCGCTGGATAGAAATATATGCAGTCCCATCAACTTTGAGAAACACAAGACAATGTGAAGCACAACTTAAAATTACATCATATCACCTTGGTATGTACTGTAGTTCGCCAAAAACAGTAGTGTATACCAAGTGTGCTGTCAGAAACTTCGAGGCTCAAGGATCGTGGTGGCACGTGAAACTCAAAAAGCATCATGATCATCCTCGTTCGTTGGGATTCCGATTCCCTTTCTTTGAGCATACTTCATTTTTGAAATGAAACTTTATATTCGTAAAATTTTAGGGTCAGTGACCACTGCGGCATGCAGCAATGTGCTCTTCGTATAGCCACAACTGCAGACTCCTCATCTTCCCCCCCACTTTAATTCCGGGATGCGGGTCTCGCTGCAGGCTCCAAGGGAGCAGGAGTGAAAGCAGGCGCGCCAGTACGAGTAGGTGCAGCTGCAACAGTAGAGTCACCACTACTACTTCCAGCTCCACTGGCGCTCCGTGGACTCGGATCAACTGAGTTTGCACTACTCGATGACGTCGCTGCCATCTTACTCGTTCCCGCACAGGTGGATGCACTAGGCGTCGGCACGTGATCCTGCTGGTTCTCCGCAGCTCCACCTTCCGCCGTGGTCCCGGTTGTCGGATCCCCTGCCAGGCGGTCGTAAGCAAAGTTGAGACTGGCGGCAGCGAGGTAGAATAGGGAACAGATCTGGACGGTCACCTGCGTGGAGGCGTCTTCTCCGGAAAGGTGCAGAGCATCCTGATTCGCCGTCAGTGCACTGATCACCTGCGACGTCAAAAACGGGCCCAACACGTAGTTGCACACACAGTCCCCGGTCGAAAAGTGCGACAAGTACCGAATCTTCTGTTGCGTAGAGGAGGACGCCAAAGCTAGAAAAATTCCCACGGCCGTTTGCATCACAATCAACAAAGTCAGTGCCACAACACCGCTGAGCACCGGGGCGACGCTCTGTGCTGCCTTGGGAACAATATCGCCGAGCTCGGCAAAAGGCTTCAGAAGGTCCTCCAGAACTACTTTCAACCCGCCCAGGTGGTCCACCTGCTTGGTGTTCTTCTTTACCTGGAGCCGCCGCCTCGCTGCACGAGAGAGGAACATCTTCGGCGAAAGTTTGGATTTATTGTTCGTGGAGGACATTTGTTGACCACGCGACGTATTCATCATTTTTTCCTGCGACAGAAAACCACGCGGGCGGTTTTGCGCTTTCGAGGTAGACGACGCCCGGGGCCGGATCGTCCCAGTTGCTGTCGTCCTCTTGCCGCCGTTTTTCAACAAACCCGCTTTACTATCAGGTCTTGAATTGACTGCTGTCGGCGGTGCCGACCCACTTTGTTCTCCGCCGAGCCGCGGCACTGTGAAAAAGAACAAGTTGGTGGACACAAAGATCAACAGCTGCGGGAGTGCGCGGAACGCTACCGCTTCCAACTGCCGCCTTTTCCTGCACGCAACATCGTTTTCTCGCGTGGCGTGATCTCCCGTTCGTTCGAAATTATCCACTGGTTGTTCATCGTCGCCAGTGCCCCCGGTGGAGCAAAAAACCGCATTTGCTCTTCCTGTACCAGAGCTACATGAACTTACACCGCTGCGTAAACGTTCGTGTTCGCTCGCAATCGCTGTTTCTACGCGTGCCCGAATTTTTTTGAACAGCCACGGCTGGATGGTGGTACTCGCGAGCACGGCACCCGCCAGCGTCCCCAGGGTAATCACCAGGTCCGACACGATCGGCGGCAGCAAAGGGGCGCACAGTTTGCGGGACGCGACGGGCGACAGAAATTTGTGCGCCGACGTTCCTAGCTGACACGTCATCCACTGGGCAACCAAGAGACGCTGACTCTCGAAGTCGTTTTGCGAAAACGCGGCACTGGTCGTCGTCGTCCCGTTAATACGCCCAGCATTTGTGGCGCGATCGTGGACGAAAGAGGCATTCTCGTCACACGCATCAAGCTCCGGCGTCGAAGTCCGCGGTTCGGATCGGCTACTCGAGCTTGTACCAGAGGCAGCAGCTCCACCAACACCAGTACTTCTACACGGCTGCGTCACTGCTTGTTGACTATCTTCGCTTGCAGCGCGACGACCTCCAGAGAACAGGGACTCCCAACGCCGGCAGGCATTCGCCCCTTCTCCGCGGAGCTTTTGCGGCGGTCCACCGGCGAGCATGAGGCCAACGCCTGCCACGGCCGCCTGAGCAGCGACTAGATTTTGCGTCCACGCCGCCGGATCTTCGCGCGACGCGGCGATGTACATGCCAAGTCCCGGCACAGCGAAGATGGCCTGCACCATCCGCGCCAGGGCGGTCGCCTGATCTTGCGCGACTTCCTGTTGCGTCGAGGCGGTCGCGTTAGTACTTCTTGTTGCGCTAGTTCCACCTTGTTCTTGCTCTCGATGATTCCTTGACAAAGTAGGTGAGGATTCCGGAGGCAGTTGTCTGTGACCGCCCGCCCCGCCGCTACCAGAAGCAGGCTCGTTTTTCTCGTACAATTCCTTCACAACGTGCGCCAAAAGCGGAGTGAAGAAGCCCTGCATGCCATCCCAGATCCATGCGTTGGCCCAGTAGAAAAAAAGCAGTTTGCTTTGGTACAGTTCGGCAGCAGCATCCCCGGTCGTAGTACCTTCGGGGGTAGCTTTTCCGGCCGTGTCATGACTCGCCAGAAGATGCATTTCGCGCTCCAGATGCCGGAGCGCGATGGAAAACAGGATGCCGGAAACCCCGACGGTGGCCGCGAGCCGTCGCAGCATGCGGAACTGCTTCTTGGCGTCCAGCTTCTCCACCAGCCGGTTGTAGGCAAGCCCCCCGACGACACCGAGCGCTCCGGCCACGGAGTTTTTCCACCCGACCAGCAGGTCCGTGCTGGTTTCCACGCTGGAGGGCAGGCTCATGCGCTCGGCGATCGCTGGCATGAACAGCATGTTGATGGTGTTGTCTCCGAGGGGTAAGAGACCCTGCAGCAGAGCGATCATCAAAACCAGAGCCCGCTTCTGACGACGGACCAATTCTTGCTCTTCCGAGTCGTCGACGACATGGTCGTGGAGCGCTGAGCCAGATGAACGCGTTTCTTGTTCATTCACATCTACCTGCAGTGCTGAAGCTCTCTCGGCCGCGCGACCTGGAGGTGCTGCGTCGTCGGGCACAAAAGGCTCAACAACAGCCACAACCTCGCTAATGGCACGCTCGACACACTCCGCAGCGGCTGCGGTCGCAGATTCTGGAGGGTAAAAGTGGTGCAGCCCTGAGCTTTTCGTGGTCCCCGAGGAGGAGCCGCGGGCAAAAAATGACTCTCCATCCCCCTCCGCGCTGGTGTTCAGCAAAGCTTCCTTTAGTGTGTCGGAACAGCCACGCAACTGCTTTGCCGCAGCGATGACTTTTTCTTCTTCCTCCGGGGACAGAGGCTGCAAGGGAGAAGAACTCAGCAAGCCTTCTGCTGTCGGGGTTGAAGAAGAATTGCAGTAGTTCATTCCAGATGACCCGCTGCTGGTTCCACTCGCAACACGAGAAGAAGTAGACCGCAGGTCGGAGAAGTCTTCGACACGACCTTGCTCACACGATCCTACGTCAACCGACTCTCGAAAGCGAAAAACCAAATCGTCCATGGCCTGCTCGAAGTGCAATTCATCATCTTCCGGTTTATGTTTATTCCTTTCCGTGTCAACATCATCATCTGCGTGTCCAGTTGTAACCCTGCTGTGCTGCGAGGTTCTTGCGTAGCGGGAAGAACGAGCTTGAACTTGATGTGACTGCGTCGTATCTACTCCTTGTTCACCACCGATTGCGGACACCGGTGGCAGGTCTTGGCTGGAACAGGAAACAGACGGGCTTGTTAGGAAAAACGGAGATCGATTTGCGTTTGCTGCAGTCTCGGCGTCCGCAATTATGGTAGCCCAGGAACCGACCGAATGCATCGGTGTAGCCGTAGACACCGATGCCAGGCTGTCGCTGCTGTTCCTACACGCAAGTTTTTTGCTGTTGTGCGCGGCTGCCGAGGGGGTTGAAGCTGCTGCACTCCGACAACTCTCGGACGACCCCGTGTTTGACTTAGTACCACCCAATGCACGAGCTGCACTCGTACTGCTGTTGTCCTCGCGGACCTCCTGGGAGGTCGAGGGCCGGAGCCGTAGCCCGCGAAACAAATCGGAGACCTGCTCTGTGTCGACGTCCTCTTGAGATGTCGTCGCGTGCATCGCAGCTCTGGCCTGCTCTGCTCCGATAATAACGCTCGTTGATACCGGTAGTTGTACATGCGCAGTAGTTCCCGCCGAGAGGAGTGCTTCTTCAAGCGGCGCAAACTCGTTGACTTCCTCCGGAACATCAGCATCCACAAAACGCTCGTACGAGGTTACAGGACTCCCAGTCTGCGACCTCAGAATCCCAGAAACGAATAGACAGGAGTCTGATGTCGCCGCGAAGAGCGCGGCCGCACGGCGACCTGACATGATCAGCTGACGACCACACATTGTCTCGTAGCTTGCTGGTCTCGACAAGAACAAGTATCGCAACGTGTATAAAGTCGGAGGGCAAGAACTCTTCCTCTTGACACGGATCTGCAATGACTGTTTAGGTTTACTTTCGTAGTAGAACCAAACGCTCTACCATAGCTAAACCTGCTGAGTCAACAAAGTTATTGTTTCGCACACGAAAATTACGGTGCTTTTCGACATCGCACGCGTTTCGCAACTGATCTCGAAAGTAAGTATAAAAAAAACAGGAGCGAAAAAGGGATCTCTTTCCTTCAACGAAATCTATGATCGCAGATCCACAGGACGGAAAGATGATCCATGGAAATCGAACACAAATGTGAGCACCACAACCCCACATCCAATCCTCAACGCTAACAAACCGGACTTCTTCCTTCCATAATTTCCATGTTGAATTTGTTCGGTTCGCAGGACCGGAATCGAAACAATCTGATCATACATAGGTTTGCACATCGGTTTCTAGTGTTGTGCTGCCTTGTCAGTACAGAAATAAAGCTGGCAGCGAGAAGTTTTCGTACAGGGTTGTTGGTTCGGGATTTTTTTCAGTCTTAATCTTAATACGCTGGAATCTGTCTTGCTGTTACAACTGTTGCCGCTCAAAATCAAATCGTGGCACAGGTGCCAGAGTATACAAGATTTCGCATTTAGGTTATGCACGATTCATTGACTTGCTCTTCAAAAAAACGCAGACGTTCTGAACAAGGTTGGTACGGTGGCGTACAATTGGTCAACATCGAAACGCGGTTCGCAAAACGAATAAACCACAACAGCAGCTTCGTCAGATGAGCGTAAATTTCTTGAAGACGTCTGTCTTGTGCTCGAAGCGGAGGGCGTTGTCAACGGTGGGGATATCGAACCGCAGATCCGTTCGTCTCGGGAGGGGAGCCTTTCGCATCAAGGAGTTCAGCATCGCCCGGGCGGACGAACCGGCGCGGCACACTTCAAACGGAAATTTGCCGTCCTTGTTCCGGATGTTACCCTTCGCATGGTACCCCAGCAAAATCATGACGGCCTGCTCGAAGCCCGCAGCGTGGAGAGGCGTGTCCCCGTGGGAATTTTGCGGATTCATCACCCTGGACAAATTTTCAGCTTCAGGTAACTAAGGACAGAAAGCCTCTAGAAATACTAGAAGTAGAAATTACTTCTACTTACCAAAAAATGCAAAAGTCGAAATCAGAAGCACAACCCTTCAAGTACCACATCTGCTAGATTTGATCTACATGTTATTTTTCGTTCTACAACAAAACACGTACTTAATCGCCTCCTCCGTCTCGCCCTCTTCTTCCAATTTGAGCGATCGCTTGTAGAGGTGAAACATCAAGTCTTCGATGACTTGCTCCGACTCTGGCGGGTGCCGGTTCTCCCTTACCGCCATGTGCAAAGCCGTGTCCTCGCTCATGATGGGGTTGCGTTCCAGCGGGTCGGCTTTCAGCTCAATGAGCAACTTCAGGGTGTCCCGCTGGGCGGACAAAACCGCTAGGTGCAACGGGGTCAAGCCTGCGTTCGTTCTGGCGGAGATCATCGTGGGATCGCCGGTCACCTTGTTCGTCAGCAAGTGCAGCACCGCCAGTCGCTGCTTCTTCAGAACTATGAAATGCAAAAGCATCCCATCATAATAGTGGAAATCGCATCACAAATTTCCTCAGCATTACAATTTGTAATGCTGATTTGCCTTCAGAAAAAGATTTGTGATGCATAAATGCATTTACTACGAGCACAATACTTTTGCACAGCATAAGGACCGCGATGTGCAACGGTGTGTACCCGTCCGCGTCCGCCATCGAGGGCTTCGCGCCGCGCTCGAGCAGGTAGTTGGCCATGTCGATGTTGCCCGTGCGCGCGGCCATCCACAGCGGCGTCATGTACTTGTAGCCGATCTGGTTCACATCCTCCAGATCCTGCATCACCAAAGCGTTCGCCTGCTCCACTAGCGAGACGTGGTGGGGGTCCACGTACACGGTGCCCTTCGGAAAGGTCGACAGCATCAGCAAACTCGAATCCGGCTCGTACTGCCCCTTAAATCGCAGGTACTCCTCCTGGTAACGCTCAAATTTGGACCTGTGCGGAGAGGAATTTTGATTTTCGTCCTGTGATTAGGAAAAGAAGTCGAATTTTCATACCCAGCAACTAGAAAGAACCCCTCTGCAGATAGTTATTGCGTAATGACATGTACCTCGCGTCCGCATTTTCCTGTGTGTCCGCCGAGAGTCCACCTCCGCTAACTTGTCGACTTCCCGGGCCCGATGCCCCTGCTTTGCTCTTTGCCTTCGCTTTACCCTTGGGCTTCGCTCCTGCTTTCGCCTTTCCCTTCGGCGAGGGGGGCGGGGATTTGGACTTGCTGGCCGCTCCCGCCTTGCTTCCACCCTTCGGCGAGGGTGGCGCCGCCTTGCCCTTTGCTTTGGGCGGCATTTTTTTAGCTTTTGATCGCGAGGCTCAACTACGTGTAGTGTTGTAGAAGCGCGTCATCGTGCTTCTTCCCGGGTCACACGTTTTTAATTCCATACGTATCGTTAACGATCCTCTCAACCCGACTTAATTAATACCTATACCGTGCGACCGCATATTGATTCTAAAAAAAGACGCTTCGCGAGGAACAGCTACTTCAATCTGGTGCTGATCGAAATATGATTTACCTGCATCTGCAAACTTCAACAAATAAAAAAGAAAAACGAAATGATAAAAATGCGATAAAAACGGTGTTCTGCTGGGACCCACGATATGGATACCACTGTTTACAGAGAGAGTGAAAGAGAAAGGAGCGATATCCCACGTATAACCGACACGACCCTTGTTGCGCTTAGGAGTGCGACACTAGCTACTACTTCCTTTCACATGATAAAATCTGGATCGACCGAATTTAAAATTGCACGAAAAAGTGGTGGCGATCCAGGATCGCCATTGTTGAAAAGAAAGAAACTGCTTTCATCAGAGTCGCACACGTACAACAGAATGATCGTTCTTGCAACACGAAGATGGTGACCCCTGCGACACACAACAACTAGTCAACTAGTACATCGTGTTGAAGTGCCACCATGACCCCCAGACGAAGCGGGTCTTCGTTCTGGATAGAGGCTCCAACTGTATTCTTGAAATGTGTTATGCTTGAAATTGAATGAGAGTAGATACACCTAAACACACTGTAGCCTCATCTGCTTTTAAATTCTTCTTTTGAGACGCCTTTGCCTGTCTGCGCATCATCGTCTACAAGCTTTAAATTGAGTTTGTCCGCACCACACATATTGTAGGTCCCCGCTGTACACACGAAGTAGATACCTGTAAGGAAAATTTGTGATTGTGGAAGACCGACACCGAGTTCGCACTGAATAGTATTGCAGCAATGTTGGAAAAAAAAAATGCACACGACGCAATCAAATAAAAATGGAGCTGATGGGATGCTGCTTTTCAATTCAACGGAACTGCTGGCAGCTCTGTCACTTTTGGTGCGCTCGTATTCGTAAAGTAGGCAGAAGGCAAAAAAAAATAAGTACCTGTGTCGCCATTTGAACAGCTGGTGGCCTGCACCATTTTTTTCCCCTCGGGACTTCCGGGAACGTCACAGGTAACTTGGCTTACTGGCCTCAGGTGCTCGCAGGGAACCTTCTTTTTTGGTTCGCACGCCCCGCCGGTCTGGAAGAAGTAGCCACTAGCGAGGATCGTGATGATTCCAACCACGACCAGAGCGCCCAGAATCTCGAGGTACAGAAGCGGCTTCAGGTGACCCGTCTGCGGATTGACATAGCCCGGATCCTCCGTCGAAAAGTACGGCCCATCGTCCTCGTCGCTGTCGTCATCACTGCTCTTCCTCTTCTTGCCCTTACCGCCTTTGCCTTTCCCCATGTTCGTTTTGTAGGATAGTTTCGGAATCCGAACAACTAGGCTCGCTTGAAAAAACAGTATAGAAATATGCTGAATCGTATACGTATTGGTGTTTCTGTGCAGAATTACGAATCTGTGTGCGCGATACAGATACTACCGGTTTGAGCTAAAAGCTCCGCTCCAGCGACTCGTGTCTCTCTCACAAAACCAGTACTGGTAGTTGCCATTTTTATGGAAAGACAACTCTAACTCAATCCAATCGGACGCTTTTATGGCTTCCAAGAAAATTCCTGCTGTCGCGCAGTGAAAAGAACAAGCATCTCTTAACAGAGGCAAAGCCGCCTTTGAGAAAGCGTATGGAACTCAACACATTTGATGAGTTTTTCAATCCGCGCCATAGGCCGTTCCATCAATCACGCCTTGCAAAATCTTCCGGCTGAGCCCACCTTGCTGGGCCCGCTTTTTGACGTCGAGCCACCAGGAGGCAGAAAGGCCACTATCAACATCTGAGTGGTTTCCTCTACTTCGCTGCGCAGCAGCTTTCGCTGCAGCAGTGAGCGAGAAACCTGTACCTGCTCCGGCATTGTTGATCAATGCTAATTCCCTTTGCAGCTCGTCCTGCTCCTCCGCAGCGGTCACATTCCGCCACCCAGATCGCAGCAGCGCCAATATGCGGTCCGCGGTCTTCTGCGCGGAAATGTGGATGCGGTCGCGGAAGTGTTTTTTCGTGTACTGGCTGTGCATGCAGAGCAAGTTGCCCCAAATGAATGGCCCACCGCCGTCGTCGGCTGTGTGTCGGTGCGCCGGGTTGAAGAAGAAGGAGTCCACCTGCAAATACCCAGTCAGCCCGATGAGATAAAGTTCGTAACCAAACGACTGCAGCCTCCGTGCCGCGTACTCCTGCGTCCACAAAGTTTCGTTGCCGTGCCGCGCATCCCGCGCGGCCCAGGAGGGTCCCAGTTCGAACTGGAAAAGCGGAAACCGCGCTTGGTTCGCCGCCAATTCGAGTTTCATCCCTATGGGATTCTCAATTGTTACATTCTCAGCTGTTACATGGTTTGTCATGCAGATTTACAATCAGAGAGAATCGACACGATCAAGCTGCTTCGCATGACAAATTCTCGAAGAGCCAAACAGGCTGGGAATGAATCTGTGCCAAATCTGTCATGCAAGACACGCAAGTCCACCCCTTTCACTTTTGCAATTCTTGCATCACAAATTCATGTAACAGTTGAGAATGTAACAGTTGAGAGCGGCATAATCCCGCGCAGCACCTTCGGCTCGTAGCCCTCCACGTCAATCACCACGTAGGTCACTTGCGGATCCAGTTGTACCTCGATCCTGCGCTTGTCAGCCCGCTCCCTCGACTGGAGCTGCTCCGCCCACCAATCCGCGAGCGCCACCACGTTGACCACGTTCTTGACGGAGAAGTGGTCCTGGTTCCTCTTCGCCTTCTTCTCTTTCGCTTGTTGCACTGTTTTATTTTCTGTCGTGGTCGTGTACAGCCCGTTGACGAACTGCCCGTCGCTGGCGTACAACCCCGACAACTCGCCGTACCCTGCGACCTCCTTCCCCGTGGAGCTGGCTTCCCCCCAACCGAGGTGGTTATGACACCCTCAGAATGGAAATCCTCAAGGTGTAAATAATTTGTGATGCATGAAATGCGACACCAAAAAGACGGCATTGCAGAGAACGCAATGGAGGCCGACTATTGTGCTTCTACAGGTTCAGAATTGGGCTGCTGATTAGCATGAGAGAAGGGCACCCCTTTGCCTAACTACCATGACAGACACGTTTTGAGTGCCCGGGAAATTTGTCATGCGCCGACTATAAATGGTGCTCCAACTGGAGTCGTTTTTTTGCATTACAAATCATTTTCACTTTGAGGATTTCCAACCTCAGGCTTTCATAGTGGTGCACGGCGACGTAGGGAGAGTTCCGGTATTTCTCCTGCAGCCGTGCGTACGTCGAGGCGAGGACTTCGAAGCCGTGGATTTTTGAAGTAGATGGCATTTTTTTCTCGTTTCGATGCTCGTCGGTATTTTTGTCTCTCTTCTTCGCCTTCTCCGCGAAGAAATCCAGCAGGTCCCCCTCCGAGCAACCCGCAATCAGGACCGTGAGGGAAGTAGTAGATGAGGAACTCTTGTAGATCTCGATCTCGTCGTGTCTGGACTCTGTAAACATTCCTTTTCCACCTTCAGCAGGAGCTGCACTATCAGGCAGGTCGTACAACGAAGTACCTTCCTCGTCGAACAGATCCGCCAGGCGGTCGAAATCCGCCTTGTTGCCGAATTCGTATTCCCAGTAGTGCAGCGTGTCACTCTGTACCACTTTTTGCTTCGACAGCTTGTTCAGAATCCCATGCCCCCAAACCTGCAAAAAGACAGGCAACAACCGACTTGATGATGTGCCAGCGGTGATCGGAGTTTCGAAAGAGTTGTAGTTGTGCAGCTTGTTTTTTGTCCTTTCCTCAACGTCTCCCAGACCAAGCTCTGGCCCATTTCGCGCGATGGATTCATTTTCTACTCGGTCGAGGTGCTGTATATACCCGTTGTAGAGGGACGCGCTGCAAAACTGCGCCCGATTCTCCCGGACGTTCCAGTAGGCGCCGTGGGAAAAAAACCGGTACACGGACCCCGGTTCTGAAATGCCGCCCAGGACAAACCGCTGGCGGGGGATGCTCGTCCGCTGCAGGCAGAAATCCTCATTTTTCCGGTTCAAACTGCTGCTTTGGAGGTTCGGCCACTGCAACTGGCACAGAAGATCGACAGGTCGGGGTGACATCGCGGGACTAGGACTAGTCCTGGAGGTCCTGGAGGTCCTGGTGGTCTCGTGCGCGGAGCTTCTAATCCAATCTGCAGAACTTTTTATTTGGGCGTTTCTTGCAGCAGAGCCTTTCTTCTCCTTTTGCTCGCTCACAGAAACGCCCGCGGCGGATCGAAGCAGTGGGACAAAAGCACAAGTCTTCTGTTCTTCTTGACAAGAAACAACCTCCTGATCTTTGCCAGTAAAAGAACAATTACAATCTCGTTGGCCGCCCTCGAAGATCTGTAAATCGCGCACCCTGTTCCGATATCAAATGTAGAAATGTCTGGGTCTGGAAGAACGCATGTTTGTCATGCTTGTCTGGCATGAGTCTTAAATCTGTAATGCACGTGATCCAAGATCCCTGGTGTTTTTCTGTGATGCAGAAACGCAGTTTGTCATGCAGAATAGGCAACACCTAGAAGCTCAGAAACTTGTCATGCTAAGCCAGCATTTGTGGCCTCATCATGAGACGCCAGCCAGCATCACAAGTTTCCAGACCCAGACATTTTTGCAGTTGATATCCGAGCAAAGGCGGAGGACAGGAGATCTGCCAAAACCGCGGCCCGCACGCCTCCACACGCCGAGGTTGAGCGTACCCTGTTCCGAGCAAAGCCGGAGGACATATCAAATGTAAAAATGTCTGGGTCTGGAAGGGTGCAACTTGTGACGCTGTATTTAGATTCCAAAAAAATCTGTATTGCATGAGCAGCAAAGGGAATGCAATTTTTGCTACGCGGAGAGGGCATTTGTCATGCGGAATAGGCATCGCGGAGCCTTCAAAAAATCTGTGTTCCTAGGGCATGCATCACAGACATCATGGCCAATGCAAAACATGCATGACAAGTCTCAGAATCTTCCAGACCCAGACATTTTTACATTTGATAGGACAGCAGATCTGCCAAAACCGCTTCCCGCACGCCTCCGCACCACGCCGAGGTTGATGTAACTAGTGCTGATTCATCCGCGCTCTCCTGCGCAGTTCGAGCATGAGGAACAGCAGATGATGAAGTAGACCCCTCTAGGTACAGCGCAAGCGAAATGGATTTCTTGGCGGGTGTACTTGATTTATTCGCCGCCCGCAACCGTCTCCGCCGCTTCTCCGCTCCAGGGAAGATATTTTCATTTTGCTCTCGTTCCGCATCTAGTACCTGTTCCAAAATTCGGTGAAGCGAAACATCCTCGGTGCCACAGTTTTGCGAGCCATCTGGCTCACCCTGACGCCGTCCCTCGTTAGCCCAAACGCGCACCGCCAAATTCGTAGTCGGGATCTTCGCTTTGGTTGATGTGACAATAAACGCCTGCAACATAATTTGAAGAAGAACGACCAGTAACGCCCGAGTCTTCACGTGTATGTCCATGATTTTCACGCTCGCTTGTCGATAACAGGTGCCCAACCTGTAAGAGAGTTACAACAATAGAAGCATTTTGAGTAAACGAACCTAAAACTATCGAAAAACTAATAAATAGCCTGAGATAAATAATTGAGCTAGCATGCTTAAGGAGCTTGCAGTCGGGATTTATTTCCTGGCTTTTGGATTCGAAAAAGGAGCGATAAGCAGGAGTTGGCATTTCTGAGCGGAATTTCTATGCGCATTACAGATGCGAAAATGAAGGAAAGAGAAAGAAGAAACGAGCGGAGATTTTCATTTGTATGGAATTCTTGTGGTCTGCTGGTAGTGAAGGTCGTGAAGATCGTGAGGATCAGGGTATGACTCTCTTCGGGAAAATACACGTAAAGACACATACGCCACAACAGAACGTCTAGTACCTTTCCATCCTGATTGACGCGTATGATCTCGAGCGTGCAAAAATGGGGCAAACTGAAACTCTAGCTCTAGTGATTGTTTGAGTGGGCCTTTTGCGTTTCGTAACAATTCAGACGATCCTAAATGGATTCGGGTCACGGATCGATTCGCGGACACGAAAACACAAACGAAACACATCGACATCGCCGAATGCATGGATCACGGTCCTCGGCATTGGCGTGACTTCTTGTTTTCGCTTTCAGCTCCTAAATTCTTGTTTTCTCTTTCGACGGATACTTATGCGCTGATGAATGAGTTGTCCACCTTAACAGTAAAAGAGGTTCATGTCGGCACTGCGCTGAAACTCATTCAGCAAAAGACATGTCCATGTTGGCGGTGTCACTTTTAAATACATCACGAGTTTCGGATTGGACGCGACTGACGCAAGGACCTGCTACGGTGTTTGTTCTGTTGGAAGAAGAATTTTGGAAAATTCAAATTGCACTTGCTGTTACAGCGATCAAAATGCCATCTCACCAGCATCATCTTGTAAGTACTGCCTGTCCCTTTTTCAGACTAACAATAGTGAAATAGATCTCATTTCGCACACACGAAATTCTGCCCATGAACATCGAGTTCCGTCCACTGCCCAAAACAAACCTCGCGCGAAGTTGCGGAATTCACAACTGACGTAGTTGACGACTGAGATCATCAGGCGTCTGGTCAAACCGACGCAGACGCGGGCGCTGCCGTGCTGCAGGAGCGGCGGCGGGTTCGTCGTGCCCGGAAGATTGGGATTGCGCCGTGATCGAGGAATGAAGATTCATGAGCGATGCAGAATCAGCAGCCGGATTTACTTGTGGTCTGTCCGCGATAGTACCCGGAGCGAAGTTATTTGTGGCGTGCTGCATCATCGAGGCAACGGGCTGCTCCTGGTGCCGGGACATCGCGTTCGCAACGAGATTGGTACTGACGGGCTGCACCTCCTGCATCATGATCGAACTCGAAGGATACCCTGGTGGCTGCAGATGGCCACTAGTCGTGTAAAGCTGCGCGGCGGAGGAGGTCATTCCCGGAATCGGACCAAGTTGCTGGTACAGCGCGTTGTTCGCACCGACGTTGCTCATATTGAGGGGTGGCATCATATTCATGCTCATGGATGAGTTGTTTACGTTTACCGGCAGACCACCGGGCGGGTAATTATAAACCCCGGCGGAGGACGAGGTCGGAGCTGCTCCCTGAATAAAGTGAAACTGCGGGGGCAGCCCTTGCTGCTGGTACAGGAGAGTTGTGCTCGTCGTGCCGACACTGCTGTTGGGGTCAGGGTAATTCAACGGCTGCATGATCATGGGGCCACTCATCGGGGTTGGTATCATGCCATTGCTCGTCGGGTTATTTTCTAGAGGGAGATTGTGTCCCGCTCGTGAGGAACCGCCTGAAGAGAACATCACTGGTTGGGAGGCGACGCTGCCGAGCCCAGGTGTGCTACCTTGGAACGTTTGCGAATTGGAATTGGCAATGGGAAATGAGGTGTTCGGTCTCGGTCGTCCCTGGCCGACAGCAGGTGCAGGATGGCCCGGCATAGATTCTTGTTGCGGAGAGACACGATGAAAACCCTGTTTGTTTTTCAAAGCGACATAATAATGCAGTTTGGACAACACTTCAAAACTTTCTTTGGTTTGTTGTTGTGTGAATGAAACATCGAAAAAGAATAAAAAGGCGGAGAAGATGAACACGTCCGTGCTAAGCAGTATTGCCACCTCATCTCTGAAGCCCCGAGAGGTAGGGGCACGCTCCGTTCCAGCCCCGTTGCTGCCTGACGCCGAAGCAGTCAGAGAACTACTGCCGCTGCTGCTGCTGGGCCGGATTTCATTCGCGGAGCCACTGCTTGTGGTTGCGGAGGGTGCAGATTGTAACCTTGGACCAGCCGGCGGGGCCATCACAGGCCCCTCCACATCCGGGAAGAGTTCCTGTTTTGCACAAAGGGCGCTAAAAAAATCTTGAAACCCAGACCCTTCTTCAACATCAATAACAATTTCAATTTCAGCAACACAACAGCATACAAAAAAAATAAACATAAAGTACAAGAACGCATGCCGTTGTAAACGGCCTTGTTACAGATGAGGCCCACTTTCATACCTGTTCAGCGGCGAATTCATGGAAGGACGGATCTCGCGCGGCGGAAGACGATCGCCCTGCTGCATCATGCGCCGGCGACGAAAACGCGGCCGCGATATCAAAAGGAAAAATCCCCCCTCCCCATATCAAAAGGAAATTTCTGATGCTGGATGTGCGTACACAAATCAGCTTTGTATTGCAGAGAGGCACTGCGGGCAGATCTCCAGGCTACATAGGGGCGCACGTGTCTAGTTGTTCAGCATGGCGAGCGGCTCCCCTTTAGGCCCAACAGCATGACAAATCGCTTCCATAATGGGGCGAAAGCTCCTGCCCTTGTCTTCTTGCAAGACAAATATGATTTGTGACCTCAAATCAGCAACGCAAATTTTCGAAGTCACACCTTTTCAATATGGGGAGGGTGGATTTTTCCTTTCAATACGCGACCGCCGTTCTTCTCCGCTTACAACCGTCCACGGATTCGCCCCGTTTAGTGCCCCGGGCCCGCAGTGCCGCGCACACCTCTGCAAAGGCGCGTGGCCTCTCGATGATGATCGCGTCGCCGCCGTCGCTGAGGTACCTTGCGCAGGAGAGGCCGCAGTTCTGCAGGGACGCGCGGTCGTTCAGGAACACGCGCAACAAGGACAAACCAATTCCGGCCTCGGCCTCCGCCGCTTCCACGAAAGTGTCCACCGCCAAGAACTTCGCGGCGGCGCCGGCGGCGGGATCTTCGCTGGGCGCCAACATACGCGAAACCAGCAGAACAAAATCAACCCAAGCGGGGTGGTGTTCGGAAGGCCCCCGGGTGCGGCTGCTGTCGACTATCGACACGCCACAACCCCGGTGGCCGCCCGATTGCGCCGCCGTCGTCGTACCCCTCTCGCCGCCGCAAGCTTGCGCCTGCAGCGTCCGCAGCTTGTTCGTCAGCGCCGCTGTGGCATCCCGGTACATTTCTAAAGTCCGCTTCATCCCGCTCTCGCGCCGGGCCCATTCCTCCGCTCGGCTCCTCTCCCGCCGGGCCGACTCCTCCGCCCGGGCCCCGTGGTTGGCGATTGCCTTCCTCAAGCCAAAGTTTGTCGCAAGCGCCGTGCTCGCCAACCCGAGGCCCGTGGCCGGCGACGTAGTACGCCCCTCACTGAACCAGCGCGTGATGGCATGGCGGTCATATGAATGACCGTCAACGGTGCACACCGGGTCCTCCATCATGTCGAAGGTGATGGGGCACAAGAATTCTTCCGGTACGTGGTTTTCCATTTTGGTTTTCCTCGGAGGTTATCGTTATGCTTGCATCAAAAACAAAACGTACTTTCTTAAGTACGTTTATTCGGTCCGAAAAATGCAACACCAAATCCAAAATCGAAATCCTCAATAGAGAAGAAATCCAATCCAAATCGACTCGCACAAAAACGCTCTCTTCTCCGAGAGCGAGAGGTACGGTGGCCACGAACCTCCTTAACATAAAACTGCGTACGTGCAAAAGCAAAACATGCTGGAGCTGGTGCAGGTGCTGGATTGATCATAAGTACGTTGGCTGCAACTGACACGAGATCAAAGAGATATTTCCTGCGAGCAGCTTCTTTTCAACCAATAGTTTATGCTGTCAAGAAGTGAACCTCAAACGCAAACTGCACGCGGACGCACACTGGCCAAAACTAAATAACAAATAAAGAGTTGTTCTACACTGCCACTGGCGTAGCTGCATCGGTATTGCGAAACGAACAAAAACAAAGATTGACCCAACAAGATGTTCAAACAACGATCGATTGACGCAGATCTGTTGCTGTTTGTTGATCCTTCTTTTGCTCCAGCAGAGCAATGTTCCTGACTGGTGCAAGCCCAGGCACAATTCCGTCAAAGATCACATCGAGAACACTTGTTCTTTTGGGAGAGGCGGTCAAACATACTACTGTTCGCAAAAGTCGCGAAACACTGTTCCCTACCTCGCCGACGACGAGTTCACTCCCGGTTCGTCTTCGTATCTGCTCCAGGTTACTTAGTTTGGCACGAGGCGCGTGCGTGTGCTAGATCGCGTTTGTAAGTGCCCTGGTGTGATAAATGTAGTGGCGCGCATCATGTTCATGCTAGACAATTACTTAAAGCCTTTGCGAGTCTGTGTCATCTACCACTTCCAAACACACCTGAAACCAGTGCTCCCATCCGCTGAGACACCGACCCCTGTGGGTCGGTGGTAGGCGACGATCTACGCTGTTCGCTAAGCTTGTTGAGACCGGCAAGGGTCGTCAAGCCCCCGCCCGGTGCGCCGCCTCCACCACCCGGGGACGCTGTACTACTGACGTTCGTAGACGTAGGACCACGCCCTGCTACATTTGTTCCGCTGCCAGTGTAGCCATTGTGCTCGAGTTCGCGAATACGGTCGAACAGCTGCGTTTTTTCTTCGAGTGCCTGGTGCTCCACTGCAATCAACTTTGCCTGCAGCCGCGCGATGGTGGCCAGCTGACGCACGTTTCGGTTTTCCTCCCCCTCGTCCATAGAGCGCTGGCCCCGCAGTATCACCGCGGCCTCCTCGTCGCCCGTGGGCGCCGGCCCGTGTTGCGGCCTTTTGTTCTTCTGCCGCATAGAAGTACTAGCTTGCTTCTTGCTCCTTCTCTTCTTCGCGCCTAGTTGTTGTACAACCTCCCCCGCGTGATGATGATGATGATCCGGTGATTGGTTCGAGAATTGCTCCTCCTCGTCGCTGCTGGTACTACTCGAGGTTGAAGAAGACTCGTCGTCACTGGAGGTCACAGGACTGTTTTCCCGCCGGGGTTCTTCTACTTCTGCCCCCAGGCCGAAATGATCATCCTCCGCCCCATCGGGCTGAAACAGTTGCCGGCAGAGCGCGGCGTTGCTCTGGCGCAGCCGGGTCAGCTCCTGCAGCAAGGACGCGTTCTGGATCTCCAGCTGCGTCCTCGCCGCGGCCAGATCCTGCACGCGCGCGTCCTGGTTCACGATGCGCGCCAGCTGCTCCTGCGCTTTCCCGTACTCGCGTCGCAGCGTGGACAACTCCACCAAGAGATCCTCGCGTTTGGCGAATGCGTCGGTTTTCATCTCCTGCAGAACCTCGTTCTCCGATCGCAGGTCCCGGGTCCGCGTCTCCAGGATCACAACTTGCTGCCGGAGCTGCGCCGCCTCGCGTTCAAGGGTCTCCGCCGCCTCTTCCACCACCTGCAGTTTGTGCACCTCGGAGTGCGCGGTTTTTTGGAAGGACAAAATTTCCGTCAGGTCGTGCTCTAGCGTGTCCAGGGCCTGCTCCGTGCTCGCGGGCCGCGTCCGCTTCCACTCCTCCAGCTCAGATTGCGTGGCGCGCCACTTCTCCTGCAAAGCGCGACATTCTTCCTCGTTGCCCGCACGAAAATCCGCAAACTCGCGGTCGCGCCGCTCTAGCTCCTGGGCGTGGTGTTGCTTTGCTTCCTCCAGTTCTTGAGCTGCTGTTGCTTGTATGTCAGAAAGGGAACGGTCGTGACCTTTTTGCATATCATCCAATTGCGCCTCGTAAGCATTCTTCTGCTGATCAAGAGCTCTTTCTCTTGCCTCTTTCTCCTGAGATAATTCCAAAGAGAAGCGGCCTCCTTGCTCTTCCAGCGCACTCGCGTGCTCCTGTCTCATTTTCTCGAACTTCTCTTCAGTGTCCATTTGCAGCTCCTTCATCTTCGCGTCGGCGTCGGCGCGCGACTCCTCCAGTGCGCGCGAGCTCTCGGCACGCTGCGCTGCCAGCTCAGCGGTGAGGTCAGCGACAGCTTGCTTCTCCGCCTGCAGCATCTTTTCGAGCGTCCCATTTTTGGCCACCTGCTCCGACGCAAACTCCGCACTCCGGAGACTGATCTCCTGTTCGATTTTCGAGAATTCGGCCTCCAGGGATGCCAGCGCCGCCTTTTTCTCTTCCACTTCGCGATCCTTGGTCTGCGCTGCGCTCGTCATTTCCTTCAGGCTGCGTTCCGCGTCTTGCAAGAGCCGCTTCAACTCGCTGATCGCCGTGTCTTGCGCTTGAATCTCGTCCTGTTTCCGTTTGAACTCCTGCTCGCACCGCGCCTCCACTTCTGCAGCTATCGCGTGTTTCTCCCTTTCGGCGGTGTCTCTTGCCAGCTTTATTTCCTCGGTCAAGCTTTGGTTGGCCGCGCCCAAGTCTCGCACGCGCTTCTGCAGCTGCTCCGTCGCGGTCTTCAAGTTAATTCGCATGCGCTCCGAACGCGCCAGCTCCTCTTCCTTCTCTCGTAGCTTTTCTTCCAAGGACAGCGATATTGGTTGCTCCACCACGGCGTTTGCGCGGCCCCTGTCGCCGGCAGCAGTATCCTCGCGGCGTGGTCCATCTTTTGTCCCGGTGCCTTCCGGTGCCTCGGTAGCAGGTGCGGCAGTTGTGTGCGCGTCACCGTCCGGGGACCTCGCGCTGGCGTCCGCAGGTTGGGCGGAGGGGTGTTCCGTTGCTGCTCTCCCATCCCCCACTACTTCCTCGGTATTTTCGTGGTGGTCCATGATGATAATGGTAGTCCAAGATGAGTCCAGCAAACTGCCCGCGCTCGCCTGCACTCCCCACTGTTTCACACCGGATGCCACATTGTCACACGAAATTTCCACGGTTGATGAAGCAACATCTGGAAAATTTTTAGGATCGCAAATAAAGGAAATCAAGTGCTTGCAACTCCACGAAAAAGGTATTTCTTCTACCGTCGATATTGATTCACAACGAAAGACATGCACATATTGCACAAATCTGGAAAGCAGGGATCTTTGAATGAGATCTTATGTTCACGAGACGCTTCCTCTATCTCACCATAGCAGTACACCAAGACCGTAATGAAAAGTTTACGAAACGATCTGCGTCTGGATGAGCGGGAGGTAGAACTGTTCTACTGGTAGCGGAACGAAACATAAAGAATTGAAATTCATACATCACTACAACAGAGGGAAGAAACAGGTCGTTGGGGGCCTGGGCAAAATTGGTTGCAGCCTGACTCCATTGATGATCACTTAGATTTTGATTGGAATTGCCGAAAGCACGAAATGCGTTCATCATGTCGTGCAAAGAAATGGACAGCATCCAATCAGCAGGCTTGAAAAAGATACAAACAAAAAGGAGCAAACAGGCCGCACTCACATCAATCGGGGGGCACGGACGACGAGTTGTCTCTCGGTGTGAAGGTATTGCCTTTTTTTCTTGGAAACCTCGATTGACTGCGCTGCTGTCTCGTGAACACAAGATCCCAGAAGTCCTCTTCCATTTTTCCTTGTACTCACACAGAAAGAAAATCGCCATTGCGCAAGGGTTTCTCTACTTTCAAAAGTATCTACACTATTCTAACACACATCCCGCTGCTCTGCTCGTGCCATGCTGTAATGTATGGCGAAGTTAATTTCAATGACATTGAGGACGGACGCAAGGCTCCAGGTGGTCAACAAGCAGCATGATTATGGTAGAAAGCGTCAATGAAGAATCCAGTGACCAGGCCGAATCTCGTCCGTGGAAATGGAATCGCCCTCTGCCGGCGACGCGCTGTTCGACGAGCCAACATCTGTATGGGATAATCAAGTCTTTACATTTTCCACGCATTGTAAGTGACTCCACTGCGGCATTCCGCCTTCGAACAGACCCAGACGTACGCACGTCCAACAACATGAGTTCAAGCACTGTTAGTATAATCGGCCCCAACAACATGAAAATGAACAAATTCAAATTCTGATCAGCATCTTCGAAAAATATCAGTTGACTCAGTACCTGTTCCAAGGTTCGCGGAATCCTCCAGCTTTCCCTTATGCAGCCCGACCTGAGCGCCAGATGAAGACGGCGTTTTCACTTGCTGCAACTGGACAAGCTGGGCCTGCAGAGTCGCCAACTCTGCTCGCAACCCAACAATCGTTTTCGTGTTTGCCGCTTCCACCTCTTCCCGCTCCAGCAGCAGCCGTTCCTGTTCCAGTTTCATGTTGATAATCTCTTTGTCGCGCTCCTTCTGCAGCTCGCGTACACGTTCCAGCCATTTCGTGTGGCGTTCGACCTCCGTGGACACAACTTCCTCGCTGCAATCGAAATCTTCATCTGTCTCAGGTTCAACATCTATGTTTTTGTTGTCCGCTTCGTCTGCTAGTAGTTGTGCTCGGTCTCCTTTCTTATAGTTCCGATCCTCACTTCCGAGGTGCCGCACGTCTTCGTTTTCGTCGGACATGTTGTGGTTCTCGTCTTCGGGGCTGCGCAAGTCCTCCTCAGTGAGGAGAATATCTGCGGTCCAAGATTGCTCCGAGCTTGCAGCAGGAAAGCTGGCGCTGTCCCGAGTTTTCCGCTTGCCACGGTTGAGTTTGCGCATCAGCTTTCGCACGGTTTCCTCCGCTATTTCGAGTTTGCGCTTCTCTGCCTCCAGCTGTCCAAGAAGCTCGTGGGGCACGACGTCCTGTTTCGACGACGACAGGGCGCGGTCGTCGTCACCAGCGGAGGATAGTACATCGTGCCGACGATGAACCGGCACCTGCGCGGTTTCTTCCAAGAAAACACCGTGCTCCTCCTGCGGCTCTATGTCAATAACGAGGTGGTGTAACACGCTGCATTGCGCGTTCCTTGCTGCGTCCTTTTCATCTTCCATCCCCATTTCTACCGCTACTCCTTCATTATATTGGGACGCGGCGTCGAGGCACGCAACTTTTTCTTCCTCGCTTTGCACTTGGGCGTCGCACTGCAGCGTTTTGATAGCGCACTGCGTTTCTACATCAGACGTCTGTTGTGTCTCATACGCATCGCATTGCGTCTCGACGTCACTGCTCACTGCTACGTCTGGACCCCACTGTACCTCGGCGTCACTGCACTGCTTTACCCGAACAAAATCACACTGCACACTCGCCTCGGCGCATTCCCCCTGCATAGAAGACTGCGTGGCGGCGTCGCGGTGTCCCGTGCGTGTACATTGCGTTTCCGCATCCGTCTGTGGTGCCTGCAGAATTGTGCACTGCAACGCAGCATCGGCCTGCTCTGGGGGCGGGACAGCGCACTTCTGGGTTCCCACATCACATTGCTCGGCTCGCAGTGCACACTGGATTTCCGCGGCAACATGCTCCACTCGACGGCATTGCGTGCTGCTATCTATCACCTCTGGTCGCGAGCACTGCGTTTCTGCACTGTGGCTTTGCACCGAGTCGCACTGGGAGTGCGCTTCTACAGTCGTGGGTGGCGCGATCACGGCCTGCAACTCCTTGTGATCTACTTGTTCTTGCGGTTGCGGCGTTTCTACCCGAGGAAGAAATTCTTCCTCTGTTTGTACTTCTGCTTCCACAAGTGTGACAATGTCGTCGTCATCGAGTACACATGATGGAGCCTGGCTTGGTGGCTCCGCAGCAAACACCCTCGGCGTCGTGTCTGTTGCGTTTGCACTTGCACCAAGATCATGGCGTGCTCCCAAAGTGGATGAGCGACCATTTGGGATTGTTGCTGTCCACTTACAGTTTAGAACTTCCCCAAACGAAGGCTGTCTGTCGATGTCGATAATCGCACTAGATGCCCTAGACGTCGAAGAAGTTGTACTGGACCTACTTTTCTGCGCTGAGAAACTCGGCCCGACACCCGCGGCCGCGTTCCGAGAAGAGAAACTACAGTCTTGCAGAAACGCCGGCGCTCCAGACGGATTTCGATGCTGAGGCGTCACGGGCGCCGACCGCAATTGCAGACTTGTTGAGGTTGATGGCCCAAATACGTAGTCGGCCAGGGCATCCAAAAACCGTTCCCCAACTGGGCCGACGAGGCTCTGCTCCGTTTGCACTAATTGCTCAGCTTCCGAATGTTCAGGAACAAGTGGGAGGCTCGGAGGTGGAGGTGGGGGTCGTGAGAAACCTCCAGCACGAGCAGTGGAAGAACTGGACTCTGCGTCCGGAGAAGCCGACATTACGAAAGCACGAGTGTGAAGTGGAAAAAAAATGGTATCGCTATAATCAACCGACGGCACAACCTCTGCCCAGAGACATCAAAAAGTCACAGTCAGAAGCAAAACCTTACCCTGAAAAAAAAACTTTTGCGTTTGACTTCTTGAAGGGAACAAGTAACACCTTCAGATGAACCTGATACAATGTCTCAGACGCTGAGAAGAACAAGAAATCCATGCTGTAGCGCGAAAGAGTGCAGGTAACTTCGAACATATCGATAGCCTCGTCGATTCTGAACGTCTAGTACTACTACTACCAAACCCAAGCGACAATGCAGGTGGCGAATGAACCTCATTCCACGATCCAAGTAGATCGCTCGCTCTACCACCGTGGAGAACACCTCGCTGCTATCCAAAGCTGACACCTGTCCACCGTATTAACCGCGGCCATATTAATCGAAACACGGTCCAAAGTCAATGACCGTCACGTAGGACGCATCCAAATCAAGAACTTAGCAAGATTTTTTGTTGTCTTACTCAACAGCTATACCGAATTTTTCACGTCCAGCCTCTCATACTCGTCGTCGCGAGACCGTCTTCCCACACAGTAGACCCGCCGACTCTCGTCCAAACACACGCTTGAAAAACTCTCTCCGACTGAGAAGCTGGGTTCGAAAAATTGTTTCTCCACATCTAAATTTTTCATACAGGAGGTAGATGAAAAACAACTTCTTCATCAGGTCTTTTTCTTGTGTGTAACTTCAGCTTTGATGATGTAGAAAAGAATCAAACAAGTACTAAAAGTCAAAGTAGTAAGGAAAAATCATCAGGTATTTAGGAGTCCGTAATTGTTAGAATAAGATCAGTTACTAAAAGGGAGAAAGAATGTGACAAGAACCTCTCGAGGAGAGCGACTTTGTCCCTTCTCCACACGATGTTTTAGAAATTTTAGCACTGCACTAAAAAATCACGGTATTGAAACGCAAATGTTCTGCGCAAAGAATCTAAGTATTCGTGAATGAAACCGTTCGTGCGAGAACAAGAACGGGATGCGACTTTTCGAGAGATGAACTCTACGTACATGCTCGAGAAGTTGTAGTGGCAGAGCAGCACAGCGCTCCGCCCCGACTCTGCTTTCCAGGCGCCAAGACGGAGGCTGCGAGCTTTTTTCAAGACCGCTGTGTTCTAAAAAATTGTAAAAAGAACTTCACACTTTTAAATACAAAAGTCCTGCTCAAGAAGAAGCCTCTACTTCTCTCCACTGAAATCTACTCGCGCTTTGTCGAAGCTTAGATTTTCCTAGTTTCCTTTCATCTTAGTGAGAACTACGAATCAGCTTCTTGTTCACGCCTTAGCGGCCTTGGCAATCTCGCGGTCGCGGGCGTAGAACTCATCCTTGACCTTCTTTGGCAACTTCTTCAACATGTCCTCCGGGAAGATGCGCAGAAGCTCCCACGCCACGTCGAGGGAATCGAACACATCGCGCTTCTCGTACGGCCCCTGCTGCACGAATCGGGCCTCGAACTTGTCAATGAACTCCAAATACAGGTGATCCTCGTCGTTCAACGCCTCCTCACCGACAACCGCCTTGATCGCACGCGTGTCCTGTTTTGCATTTTGGATAAAATTCACAATCGTGCAGTCCTCTCACTTTATTCCCTTCCAAAGAACAAAAGCGCAATCAAATCGCTTCTTGTTGGTCACCTAATCTAAAATTCTAAAACAGAAGTAGTCCTAGTCGTTTTAGTGCTTGTTATGAGCATCTACAGTTGTCCTTACCTGCCCGATAGCGTAGTTGGCGTAGAGCTGATCGGACACGTTGCTGTGGTCGACGCGGGTCATGTATCCTGTGCAAAAGCATCGCACTCGTACAAATGCTAATGCAAGTCTTGCATTACAAATCTTGTTTCCAAGGCAAATCTCCATTACAAATCTTATTATTCATGCTGAGGAAATTTGTAATGCATTTATACGAGTACGATACTTTTGCAGAGCATATCATGCCCTTACCGATACCGGACTTCATCAACCGCGACAGGGAGGGCAGCACGTTGATTGGGGGGTAGATCTGTCGGTTGTGCAGACCTCGGTCCACAAACACCTGGCCCTCCGTGATGTATCCGGTCAAATCCGGGATCGGGTGGGTGATGTCATCGTTGGGCATCGTCAGGATGGGCAACTGCGTGATACCTGCATGTCGTGTTTCGTTTGGCTTTGGTCAAAGTGGAGGATTCAAATTACAACAATAATCGCTCATCTTCAAAGTTGCTTCATTTCAAGATTGAATTTGAAAAAAAAAATTCAATCATGTCTCTCGACAAAATCTCATGCGCTCAACCAACAAAAGTGAGGACTATCAGTGTACTTCCGTTCTTCCCCTCGACGCGACCGGCACGCTCGTACAGCTGGGCCAAATCTGTGTACATGTAACCCGGGTAACCACGTCGCCCCGGTACCTCCTCTCGCGCAGCAGATATCTCACGCAAGGCGTCGGCGTACGAGGACACATCGGTCAAGATGGCCAACACGTGCATCTCCCGCTCGTAGGCAAAGTACTCGGCGGTCGTCAAAGCCAATCTGAAGTTATTCTATGTAAGTCGTGTGCCGTGTAAATCTACACCTGACGCTAATCAAAATCTAGAAGCTGAGTATTAATTTGGATTTTCTACATCTCAAATCTAAAAAAATAAGTTATCTTCACGCATGCTTGTGTTCGTGTTCTCATGGTGCATTATTGGTTTTTCAAGAAATAGACTCAACCATCTATGAGAATCAAAATTTAAATTTCGACAAACAAGCACACCATAAATACCGGGGGGTGACGATACGCTCGATGGTGGGGTCGTTGGCCAAGTTCAAAAACAGCACGACATTCTCCATACTTCCGTTCTGCTCGAAGTCGTTCCTGTATAACAGTGCACAACTCCCCCGCCCCCTCATTTGTATAGCATGAACGGCAATACAAGCATCAGAAAGAATGTCGGTTTTGCATGACAAATCTACACTGGAGCATACTGCTATTTGAGCTACCAGAACTTGTCACGTCACGCAAACAGTGCCAAGAGGCAAAGGCAACGGGTGGATTGGGTATTTTGCGTGACAAATGAGGGGCAGGGGGAGTTGTGCCCTGTCATATCCTGAAGAAGCGTGCGGTCTCCATGTTCACACCCATGGCCGCGAACACGATGGAGAAGTTGTCCGTTGAGTGATCCATCACGTCCTTGCCCTTGACCAAACCGGCCTGGCGACAGATCTGCGCGGCAATCTCGTTGTGCGGCAAACCCGCGGCGGAGAACAACGGCAACTTCTGACCACGCACCTGATTCACGATTTTGGCGTTGAAGGTAAAAAATCTAAATTTCAAAAAAAGAAGCGCTCGTGTTCCGCGCGAAAGACATGTTGTGTCAAGGGGTGAGAGGAAGCAATTGACGAGCGACGGGCGTTTTCTAAATCACTTTAACTTTTTTAGAGTCCGAACTCAACTGTTCGTAGGTTCTTACTTACCAGAGAGTTCATAACATCGATGGTGGAGATACCGGTCTCGATCATCTCCTTCGGGTATACACGGGCCTTGGGGTTCATCGGATTCTATCCTGTGAAAAAACGTGCCCATACCAGAATGAAGATGGAAAATCTGCTATGCAAATCAGCCAGCTTTGGTTGCTTCGCATGACGAGTTTGTCCTCGGAGGACAAATCCTGTTTAGGTAGTTCAGCAGCGTCACGGATTTCGCATGTCATACTGATTCTAGCATCACAAATTCCACAACACGACTAGAAAACGCTTCTCATGGGACGGCGCATAATCAACTTTTTATTTTGGCACGCAGATTTGCATGACAACTATGGGGTGGGGACCCTTTTGCTCAGGATAGTTCTCCCTGGATGTTCAAGAACTCCTCTGCCAGGACCTGGTGGGGGTTCGGAATGTTTTAGGTTGCAACTGAAAAGTCGTACAATCTTTTGCCCTTAGACGAGCAAAACTCATGAAGAAAGAATTTAAATCCAGAATCTAAATCACATTCCACAGTACTATACTCCGACTGTAGTCTTCTTCTTACCGGCGGTCCCTTGTCAATGGGCTTTCCGGAACCGTTGAACGCGCGACCCATAAGGTCATCGGAGATCGGCATGCGCAGCACATCCCCGGTGAATTCGATGTGGGTGTTTTTGACATCGACGCCCGAGGTGCCCTCGAAGACCTGCACGACGGCCTTCTTCTTGTTGATTTCCAAGATCTGACCCTGGCGCACACGTCCATCGGACAAGCACACGTTGACAATCTCACCTAAATTTGTTTTGATCAGCTCCTAAGGACACCGCTCGCACTCATTACCGTTACATCATATACATTAGCATTACGATTCCAATGCGCGAGCAACAAAATGCGCAGGAGCCGTTTTTCATTTGGCCTAAAAATCACATACGACGGAGAAGCTAAATCAAAAACTCTAAATTCGAAAAGACTCAAAAGAATCCGTACCGTAGGTGGGGAACTTCACGTTGTCCATGATAACCAGCGGACCTTCCACACCCACGATGGTCTGGTAATCCAGACGCGGCTGCACAGAATACCCCATCTTGGCCGGGTTTTTTCCCAATGCCTGCAAGAATCTACGTAATGGACAACTGATCTACACCGGCTGAAGCTCTAGGACTAAACGTGTTGTCAAAAAAACTTTAATTACATGTCGAACCGGAGCACGAGGCCTTCGGCTGAAAGTGAAAAGCGGCCGCTTCGTTTAAAAATAAACACAACTGGTGGCTGATAGATTTGCATACAGTCGGTGGCTCATGTTGGTTGGCGCAATGGCAAAAAAAAAATCTACTAAAACGCTGTGCAATACTTGACCTAAATTTAGATTTCCTGCGGAAAGAAACCTGAACAAAAAATGAACAAACGTGGTGGAGACAAAGGTTCGCGCCCAAAAAAACCAAAACCGCACAGCGCCGGCGAGCTCAACATAAATTGAAGCAAATCGAAATTTCTTTCCATCCTACAGAAACCACGAGGAAACAGGTTCTTGAACAGGATCATCAAACTCTACAAGAGATGATGAACCAGCACGACAAAATTTTAACATCTGATGTGTTGCCCACTGTTTTAAAATTAAAATTACACTCCGGCAACCTTCTTTAGATCCAAACTCCGCCGCCCCAATAAAAGCCCGTGATGTGTCCGCGTCCGAAGACGATATTCCGCACGCGCACAGCGTCAGCGTCCTACGCGATTGTTTCTCAGAGTATCCGGTCTGCGCACCGCGACCCCTGCAGCTGAGTTGATTACTGCCCCAATACTATGCAGAATCGAAGGACGACGACGACGCAAATCAGTTCGGGAATAGCTTCCTGGCTGCGGCCGGCCTTCCAATGATTCCACACGTTGAGAAAACGGACCTTGCCTGTACCCCAGGTCGGAGCTCACGACGACTTGAGAAGGTGCAGCATGTTCTGCGCGCCTTTCATAATTTTCTGCGGCAGAGGTTCGTTGGAGTTGACTGCTGATTGAAGATCGCTAAAAAGCTTTTCCGGTTCTTTCTGTGCGTCCGACAAAAAATTTCTCAGGTTCGGCAGGTCTTGTTCTTTGTTTGCTTCCCTCCCGATGAATCCCGCGTAGTTGGTCATAAGCTGTTGTTTTTGTTAGTGTTACCAAATTTGCATGATTTGAAATTTTAAATATTTAAATTCTCGTCACTTTTTACTTCCTAGTATGTATTTCAATCCAGAACAAAACCAAAACGCACCCAGATTTAAATTCCGTATACAACTGGCACAAAGCTCATCCTCCAGGAAGATGCACCAGAGCCATCTTCTTCTAGGACCACACCAAAACACATGTAGTACCTTCTTCACGAGCAGATCCGCCTGCTGTCCTCCCATCAGCTTGCGCTGTTGGTGCATGGCCGGTGAGGCTTCCAGCAGGTCCGATATCGAGTGGTCATCGCCGTTCGCCAGAAAATCCGCGAACTCGTTGTACTTCTCAAATTGTTTGGCACTAAAGTGCGGAAACGACGCACTGCGTATCTTCAAAACTTCCTTCTTCTCGTCATCGTTCGAAAAGAACGGGCTTGTTCCCTCGCTGCTCCACGGCTTGCTACTATTCCGACCCAGTACGTGCGCAAATGACGTCTTGTTTCTCGAATTGTTTGACCTTCGGAAAATGGTCCTCAAATTGTTGTTGCTCGCCGATGGAAGCTGTTGTACTAGAAGACATGGCTCCTGCGCTATTTTTCCGGTTCCTGCTACGCCGCTCCTTGTCCAGCTTGTTTCGCTGGGATCTGGAAGATGATGCGAAGACTGTTGCTGGTGCGACAGCGTCGCAAGCGCTGACGCAAGATATCCCATCACTGTATAAGCGAATGCGATTGCGTGGTGGCTTGGTCAGTTGTGAAAAGACGTTTTGACAAACTGCTCTCACGCCGATGTTGGGAGCTCGAACTTTCTCTTCATCTTCTCTGCGCAGCTACTTTTGATGCGAAGTTGTTGTACCACCGTCCATTGATTCTTTGGTTTGTTGTGTTGTATTGAAGAATAAAAAGGGCAACTCTTGACACTAGGGTTCAGTATCTTAAGTTTCTACTTCTAGTACGTAGTTCTACTGTGTATTCAAACGAAACCAACCTGCAACCTCTCTGGCGTGAGCCTCAGTACCACACCGCGACAAACATAGACGGGGCCGTGGCTAGTGCCGAAAAGGTCGCTATGTGTGGCGGAGCGTACTATATAGCATCAGTCAAGGATTACGCAACAGTAGATAACACACGAACTAGACATCGTGCGTCAACGCTAGGCGCAGCAACAAAGGTGCGTGTTGCAAAACACAAAAAAAACAACTTGAACTCGTCGTCTATCGTGTTCAATCGTCGGAACACAAATTCGATCTTTTCTCGTGCGACGCTTCTTGCTTATCCAAGCAAACGAGATCGAGACACTCATGATCGATCGGCCTCAGCTCAGCATCGTGCGAAATAAGCAAGCGAATTTCCTGTAACTACTAGGCGTCAAAAATTCTTACCGAGACGTTTCGCGTGCGAATCCGAGACGACCGCCGGGGATGAGCATCAGCGTGCATGAAATAAGCTCATCTCATCCTTCTTGACGTTATTTGGCGCACAAACTACACACATTTCGACGTGCAATCGTACTTCAACACTACACGACCTATCACAACTCGTTTACTATCTATAACTCCCAGCACAGGAAAATCTCAAGAGGGGGTGCAGTTGCTGCGCGCCAGCCGAAGAGCCGTGTGACTCCACCAGCGACGAGCAGGATATCATCCCGCGGCCGGTTCATGCCGAGCTCGTTCTGCTTGCTGCAGGGGCACTCAAAACAAGAACTCAGCCACTCTCACTCAAGGTGAAAATTCAAATAACGTGAAGACGTCCCCCGCAGTACCCGCGACTGCGTAGGAATAAACGCCCGTTAGCACGCCGCCAGCGATGATGGCCAGCGGTTCAGGTACGCTAGCAACTTTCACAAGGGCCACCCCGCAAATGGCGATCGCCGGAACCAGGTAGACGGAGGCGGCCAGTGAAGGTGGTCTCTGCTGCTGCAATTGGCGGTACAGGACAAACAGCGAGGCCGCAATCAAGCCGGTGGCCGCGGCGTTCATGCCCGGCAGCATGCGCTGGTAGATTTGTGACCGCTGCCGCAGTGCCTTCCAGAAGGGAAAGAGGCCGAAGATCAGCACGACCCCCGGGGAGAACAGCCCGAGGCAGCCCTGCACCGCGCCGACGAACGGGTTCGCAGGTAGTGACAGTGCGCCGAGGTACGTCCCAAGGTTGAACATGGGCCCGGGGTATCCTGAGCAAAAACGTCCCCACTCCAGAGTCAAGATGGGGATCTCGCAACACAAATCGAGAGGTTTTGGGGGTAAAGCATGACAAGTTCGTCTCTGTATTGTAGTGCAGTTTAGCAAGTACAGCCGAAACACAAATCCATCTGCTCATCCTGTTTACAGCATCACAAAGTCCAAAACACGACTGGAATTGTCAGTCTCTCATGGGGATGCGCATGACAAATCTTTACTTTCTGTGACTGCAAATCTGCATGACAACTATGGGGTGGGGACGTTTTTACTCAGGATACGGGGATCGCTTGGCCTAGACTAAGCCCGGCGAGGAACTCCGGCGTCGTGATGCGGCCGGTACTCACGAGCTTTTTGTCCAGCAAGGGCAGCACCACGGGGCCACCCCCAAAAACGAGCGCGCCCGTCGTGTAGAACTGCGCGAAAACTGACTGTGAGAACATCGGCTGCCCAAAGATGCACAGAAGAAGAACCGTCACCCAACCGAGAAGCAGAAGGAGTGCCAGGCTGTTCTGGAGAAGAACCGCAGTGGCGGTGGGACCCTCTCCTGGTGGTGCGTTGCCACCGGTGTTCACCGGGTCTGTTGATAAAAATATGGTGATCGTGTCAACGGGGTGAACAACGCTATACACGAACAATGCTCTGATCACGGGGGTCAGTCCGTTTCGTTGGACTAAGTACTTCCGAATGGAACAGTATAGCTTAATCAATTGCAAGGCAGAATCTGCATTCAATCGAGATCAGAAGTACAAGAAGTGGAAGCGCTGTTGCTAGTTATAACATAAATTCTACATGTACATTGATTATGATTTGCGAACAAAAAAAGGTTCAGTACCTGCAACTTTTTCACCGGAAGTGCCTTGCGTCTCTGCGGAGCTAGCCACCAACGCGCAGCACCCGCCAAGCAGGATGAGAAAGGGAAACGCATAGTCCACATAGGACGTTGGGTACACTAACAGGGTAACAACGCACGAGCCCGCACAGACGAGTAGCTTCCAGTTGCTGGCGCCACACGTACCGGCCACCATACCCCGCGCTGCCGCAGCCACCATGCCCCAACCGACCGCCGCAAGGCCGATCAGCACGCAGCCGACAAATTCCGACTTCTCCAGCGTTTGCTGGTACGTGACCGTGAAGTAACCCAGCAAGGACATGAGCGCGAATCCGGGAAGGATGAAGAGCCCTCCAGAAACCAATCCCGGGTAGTACCAGGGATACGTCTTACTTCCGGAAGTATTATTTGGTCCCCCGCCTCCTGGACTTGCGAGCAGCGCCGTTCGCAGAATGCTGGAATTCGGCCCCGTGCCTGCAGCTGCACCCCCCGGCTTCAGTTGTGCTGGTTGTGTCTGCATTTCGCCGGAAATAACAGCGAGGCCGATGAGAAATGCCACCTGCGTGGAAGTCGGACCGGGCAGCACGTGCGCGAACGCCATCAGCTCGGCGAACAGAGCCGCTGAAAACCACTTGCCCACAAACATCTGCTGAAAAACAGCCAGATGCACGGACGGGCCCCCGAAACACGTGCATCCCAAAACGAAGAACCGCGACGCCAATTCTCCGATCCCAGGCGGCGTGAACTTTGTCATGACGCCTTCTTGATCCGCCGCTGCTATACTCGTTCCCGCAGCCATTATATGTGGTCTCGCTTTGTGCACTCTCTCGTCCCTGCGCTCCGCCAAAGAAGTGGGTCAAGCTCAAGAGTCTAAAGACGTAAGGGTCAGATTCATAAAACACTCCTGCTCACCACACGCATTTATTGGCATAGAGTGGCTGTTTGTCGTTACTGGTCTCTCTCGCGACGTGATGCAAATCTCTCCAAAGCAAACACAAATAAGGGAAACAGAAACTGAAAGGACTGAACAACACCGAACCAAAACTGTTGACAGGCTCGGCACTACATCACAAAGGTCTACCTTGTAGCACTGCGAAGAAGATTTTTCAACCAAGATGGCATGCGTATGCGTAAGCGTAATTCAAATTCTTTTTATAAAATCTCATGTGAAGATGAAAGCGGACGCCTCGATTAGAGTCCGTTGAAGATGCAGTTCTTCTTCTTTATTCGATGACTTGAATCTTCTCGGTTTTGAGCCGTAGTTCGTCATTTGATTAACCCAGGTTATAATTTTCCCGCACCTCCACTACGACTTACTTATTTCCCGCTCACTGTTCATCCTCGTCCTCCAGCCCCACCGTTTCGAAATGGTGTAGGATCATACTCGCAGCATTGTGCACGTTAAAGGAGTCGCACCCCGGCGCCATGCGGATCTTCAGCTGCACGTCGCACAGTCCGCGGACTCGGTCGCTCACGCCGTCGTATTCGGCGCCCATCACCAAAAAGTAGCCCCCGCTGAGCTGCGTCCCGAAGTCGACCTGGTGCAGCCACTGCGTGTGGTTCTGCACGACGGCCGCAAACTTGGTCACCTTTTGCTTGCGGTTCATGTCGTCCTGCGTGTTGAACAGCTTTTCGAAGGGCCACTCGTCGGTTTCCTGAAAGATCGGGATGCGGAAGCAGTGTCCCATGCAGACCCGGATGGCGCGGCGGGACCAGCAATTGCAGCAATTTTTGGACAACAAAATCCCTTCGATCCCGAAGCAGCTCGCGGTGCGCACGAGCGAACCCACGTTGTCCGCGTTCGTGAGTCCGTCCAGCACGAGTACCTTTTTCATCTGACCATTCAAAAACGGAGTCACGTCGTTTTTCGGTTTCTCCGCCATCGCCAGCACCGTGCAGGGACCGAGAGTTTTCGTTTCCAGGATCAGTTTCAACACCTCGGTCGTGGCGATCACGACTTTCAATCTGAAAACTTTTCCGTTTTTCTGCTGCTCCGCGGCTTTTTTCAAAATTTTGTCCATGTGCGTGATGAACTGACATTTTTTCATCAACATACTCCGAACAACGGTGGGCGGGACGGCGATCTTCGGAGTTCTACTAGAATGTGGTTCGGTCTCAACATCATCTCGTCGGGGCGGTGTTGAGACGGATGCTGTAGTACTAGACGTCGTCGTGGTGGGGGAAGGCGTGCTCTCCTCGTCGAACGTCACGGCGGTACAAGCTGCAGTGGGGGAATTTACAGCTTCGATTTCGATAGTTTTCTTTTCATGCTCAATACAACATTGCAAGACCTGCTCGATGGTACTGCCGCCCTCGGCGTAGACCAAGTGCTGGTTGTCGATATCTTGGACCACAAAGTTGTTGTCCCGCTTGCGCAAGTCCCGAAACTCGTCCAGCGCCGCGTCGGCTAAAGTGGCCACACAACAAATTTCCAACTTGTCCCGGTGCTCCTCTTGCAACGCTTTTAGGTAGGGGTCGTCCGCGAGAGCAATGGGCGTTGTCAGCCACGGTTTGTGGTTCATCTGCGTGTCGTCGTTCAACATCTCGGTAGTAACATTGACATCATGATCTTCGCCTTGTTTCACTTTATTTTTTCCGGCCTTCTTCTTCAACATCTTTTTTTCCTTCTTCTTGGAGAGGTTGCTGCTGGCTTGTTCCTTTTGTAATGTTTGCGTCAACTCTGTTTCGCCGTTGTTGCTGCCCTCGTCGTCCACCTCCACGGTGCTAGGCGCAAAATAAATGCAGTGGGTGAGACACGACAGAGGAACAAGTGAGTCACCGCCCGAGTTGTGTCGAAAAGCGATCCCCGTGCGCTGCTCCCGTACGAGACCGCGGTCTGGCGCGTAGCGCCATTCTGGTTGCGGTAGGTTGATAGCGGTCGAAATTAACTCCTGACACAACTCGTTCTGCAACACCTCGACCGAACTGGCAAGGACGGTCTCCGTCGGGCTGACCTGCAGCGAAACACCGATATTGGCGTGTCCGTACTGCTCGGGCTGCAAGAACACCCAGGGAATGGTTCGCTCTGCCCACAGATGAGGGGTGCGATCGCGATCCCCATTATTTTCGACGCCACTGTTCAACATGAGAAACTGCTCCCGCTCGTGCCACTGCGAAGGGGGCGGCTGGTCATTTGCGTCCAGCTGGACAACTCCCTGTGTACAACTCACCAGCCACTTCATCCTCCCGTACCCCGAGTTATATCCTTTGTGCGGGTACGGGGGCGGTACGACACCCTGGCTGCTGGGAAACAGGCGGGCAACCTTCTCGGCGCGGCAGGTTCGGAGCTTTTGCTTTCTCGGGTCGAGGTGCAACAACGTCAGCAACCAGGGGTTCAAATCGTCCAAGAATTCGCGGTCTAGTACCGCTGGGTCCGCCATCCACGGAACCACGAGACACACGAAACGTCCGTGGTCCGGCGCGCCGGTAATCGGGTGGGGGGTCTTCAGGCTGCGCCATTTTCCTTGTTTCTTCTCCACCACCTCGCACAGCATCGTTTTGAACTCGACGAAGGCCTCGTAGGGGACGAAAGTTTTTTTTGTCTCATCTGCCTCTCCTTCTCCAGGAACTATGTCGTTGTGGATCTCTGTGAACGCTGGAATCCTTCCGGTGACGTAACCTTTCTTCCTCAGGTAGCTCAGCACCGTCCCGTCTTTCGCGTTGAATAAACGGCACCTTTCCGCAAAACTCAGGTTTTCCGCGTGCTGCGAGACAAAACACAGTCGTGTTGGGGTGTTTATTTGCGCTCCCTCTCGTACCACAGAGTCGAAATGACTCACTACTAGTGGTTCATCTTCACCAGGGTCATCTTCCAGTTCATCTTGTTCTGCTTCCCAGTCGCCTTGCCGCCGCGTGTTGTTCGTCAGGTCGTCGTCGTCGCTAGGCAGATCGCCAAAAGCCAGACACGACCTCTGCTCGTCATGATCAGACAATTCCGATTGGCTGCGCGTACTTTCGAACTCGTCTCGCTCGGAGGGGAGGGGTTGTAGCTGATTCAAATCAGCACCATTTTGATCTTCGTTGTCTCCTGCCAAGCCGTTTGTCCCATCCATCACGCTGGTGGCCGCTGTTATTTCCGGTTCCTGTCCGGTGTCGACGGTGGACGAATCGTCGGCGTTCTTCGGTGCCGCGTGGTCGCCGTTGAGTGTGGGCCTGGCCACATCAACCACGCTGTCGTGACTCAAACCGTTTCGGTTGTCGTATTCTTCCATGTTTTCGTCGCGTCAAATGCTTAATCGGAGGACATTCGAATGTAAATCACTTTTAGTATGTAGGGGTCTGCTTTATCTACTCACCTTCTCAAACAACGTAATCTGGTCGCAAAGATGTATCTTGGTTTCTGTTGCTCAATAACCCTGATGGGTTTGTGTTACTTAGACAAGGATACAAACTCCACGATAAAATTCGAATTTCCGTTCAGAGCCACTGTACGAACTTTCTCATATAAGAAACTAACAACTGTTCGCTGTTTCGGTGAAATCGTGAGACAAAGTTTCATGAACCATGATCGTGATCGTGTTTTTACCAGGCAAAACATTATTCAACAAATTTTCTTGATCTCATGCTATTTACTTCTGATCAATGACAGTTGCTGGTATTTTCATTTTCTTTTTTTATCGAGCATGCTTCTGTGACGAATCACTTTGCAGTCGCCTGGCCGTCATCAAAGAACCTCTTTTATATCACATCCAATGCTATAGCTATTCCTATTGCGATCGCGCCACATTTCGATGAGGATCAAGATCCTGGCACAGGTTCATGAGGCTCCCCTTCAATTATCGTCCTGCTGATCTATAAAAAACATGAAGACCAAGACCATCGTGAACGTTATCCAAACTTGTGCTCCACCAAAAGTAGAAATCGATCAGCGACAGTTTCGATCAAAGCAAATAGAGCGAAACCAGAAAATTATGTGCAGCAACTTACTAGTACTTTGCAATGGCATCCAACGCCGTGGTGTCGTCCACCTAGGGACAAGTAGAACAAAAACATGCGAAAGCTTCCCACGGCTCTTCGTCGGCAACCGCTGCTGGTTTTGCAGGATGTTCGCGGAGACCGCCTCTAGCAACCAAACATCATGATCGTTTATTGTTGTATTCCCAAAAGCGAAGTACTTGTGTTGCTATCTGTCAATCCCCGATAGGAGAAGCATCATGGCGGGGGGGGCACAGCTAGAAACTTCTAGATGTTGACAGAACAACAACAAAGAGAAACGTAGGAAGTACTACATATTATATCGTACATGATAATCAAAAATCCCCCACCGCTGAAACCCGTGCGGCCTCTTGCTACTGCTACTCTCCCCGTCAAATTCAAAAAAATGCAGCATCTTTTTCTTCGTACCCGAGTGGCTAAGAGTTCTGCTATTCAAGTTGCCATAAATTTCCGTCCCTTCATCTAAGAGCGGCAGGCACGGAAATGCGATGAAATACAAATAGTCGCGACGTTTGCCGGCGTATAGATACAACATCATAGCAGGGATCATGGGACTTAATATGCTACGTGACCCATTCAGGATCGAGAGGAGTAGCACCAGTAGCTCTGCTACAATGACAAAAATGTTTATAGACGTCGTCGTTAGTTTTAGATTTTGCACCAAATAAAGTTGACATAAATACCATCGCGCGTTTCGCAAACGCCGAGGTGCATCGCGAGGCAATGGCCGTTGATTGTAAAGTTTTGATGTTGTTTCGATTTCTTTGCTTTCACTTTCAGGGATAATGGTTTAAAAATTTCACACGAGCCAGCAGCACAACCTTTTGCTGCAAGAACCTACCTTGCCGAGGTACGTCGCTGCTCTTTCGTCAGCTCAATGCGGGGGCCTGTACCAACACGGAGCCTAAACTTGCAGCTGTGTTACGGCTCATCTCGTCCCGTCGTTCAGCTGGCCCCCCAGGACGAGGCATCGCGATGACGGTGTATCCTGTGCAAAAGTATCGTATTCGTAGTCGTAGCAATGTTGGCAGGCATGCATTACAAATCTAACTTTCTACCTTGTCCAGCATGACATAAACAGACTGTGCTACTGCGGGAATGGCATTGTGTTTCGGGTGAGTTGATCAACCCAAAGACGCCTTGTCCAGCATGACAAATTGAAATTGCATTTTCGTTCCTGGAAAAATTATTTGTGATGCGATTTATACTAGTACGATACTTTTGCAATGCATACGGTGGTTTTCCCGACGATTTCGTGTTCGACGTTGCGATTGAAGGTAAACAAGTCGCTGTCGTCGTCCGCCGGACTGCGTTCGTCCTCGTGTTCGTCCACGAACTGCACGTACGGAAGGATGAGCAGCGGCAAACACAGCGTCCCGCCACAGAAAAAGATCAGGCTGGTCAGGTGCGTGTAGTTTTCCGCCGAAACCCCGAAGGCGTAAATCGTGCCCGCGGAACTCATATCCTGTGCAAAAGTATCGCACTCGTATAAATGCAAGCCTTGCATTACAAATCTTGTTTTTTTTATGTCTCATGGTGAGGAAGTTTGTATTTGTAATGCATTTATACGAGTGCGATACTTTTGCAATTCATAACTCAGCCGTTGCACCGCGCGCCCGGCGTTTCCCAGCGCCGTTACGACCGAAAAAACAGTACCTGGTGTCGTGGTGGAATATCAAGTAGACCATTACAGAACAAGCGGTGTTCGGAGACGAGGTCCTGCTTCAGGTTGAGGTTTGGCTCGATAGACGAGCAACAAAATGGCGACGAAAATACAACATAAGCTTGAAACACTTTCACTCCTGATCCTGTGTCTCAATCAAGTACGACCGCGGCTTGCATCAACTACAACTGTCAGTCTTGTTTAATGCAGCCAGGCATTCGTCGTGGTCCATCACGGGATAGGAAAACAAAATCACGTATACTTTCCATTCCGGCGGGTCCGACCTTTGCCGCAGCCGCAAGGGCGGGCATGAGCTGGACGTAGAGGAAGGAGTCGCGTATGATCTCCCCGCCCAGGGCGAGCAGTTTCGGGTTCCAACCGAGACTCTGGTAGGCGCCCGAGGTGATCAGGCTGGGTGTGACGTAGAACGGGATGGACACGAGGGTAGCGGTGGCTAGTACTTGCCGGGAAGTCAGGTTTTGCCCGAGGCAGTAGCGGTAGAGGGCCAACCCCATCAGCTTCGCGCCCGAGTGGATCAGGGAGACCCGGCCCATGAACTCCGGCGAGAAGTGCAGCTGGTTCACGTAAAAATAGTACAAGGCGTCGTCGTAATTGGGCCCGCACGAGTAACTGGGAGAATTGATTTGAAGGAGGGAGTAACTCACTGTTGCAAAAGATGAGATGTAAGCTACGGAGAAAAGGTTAAGGTTGTTCGAAAGCCGTACAAAAAAGATCACGTGTCAAAGATGGTTTTTGCATGGCGGATAACGACAAGTACAGACTTCAATGTCACAACTTCTCTGTACCACAGTAGGTAGATCAGCGGTCCCAAGAAAACGGGTTTCTGCATCGCGTACTTCAAATTATCCCAATTTTCGCGCAACGACCGCGTCTTGTGCAGGCTTGCCGGAAGTTCCAGAAAAGGCGAACTGAGTTGGCTGGTTCGGCTGCGCTGCTGCTCAATCATGAACCGCGCGGCGACGGCGGCGGCGAGTGTGGGCGCTACCGCAAGACACGACAGTAGATAGCCGGGGTCGTTGCCATGACCGATGAGAACGCCAGAGAAATACGAGGCCACCAAGCCGCCCACCGCGCGCATCCAGAAGAATTCCGACACGGGACCATTCGCGGCGCTGCGTTCCGAGTTTTCTACGATGAAACCCTGAATCGCTGCCAGTCCAAACGCGCGGCCTACACCCGCCGTCGCAAGGCACAGCAGGGATACGGGGAAGGAATGCGTGACGCCTGCGGTCATAGTAAGTAATAAAATGCAAACAAAAAAAAATACAGCTACAGGTGGCAGCACGCATTGTTGGTGACATGCACGTCATTGGCTCCATCTTATCGACTGACTAGAGCAAAGAGAAGTATTAACCAAACGAAATTCGTAAATCATACCGATCCCCAGGTAGGCCGCGGCTGCGAGCAGGTTGGCAAGCACGACATACGGCTTGCGGCGCTGGTCGTTTATGAAGACGGTATCCGTGGTGTAAGCCATGATGGGTTTGATAATCCACGGTAAATTCGTGATGCCGAAACTGATGCTCATCATGACGGGCGACAGGTGAAAGGTGTTCTTCAGGAAGTAGAAAATGAGCAGGGAAGCCCCGTCCTGGATGCCCTCGAGCAGGGTGCAGAAGTTTAACACTGCTTCCTGGCCCTCGCGGTCCGACAGCAGCGGCACGTGGGCGTAGGGGCCGTAATACTCGTAATCGAAGGCCAGTTTGCTCAGCTTCTCTTGCTCTGTCAGTTCCTCGTCGTCGTGGCGCGAGGACAATGTAGCCCGAGCGGTGTTCGGAACGCCAACGCCCCCGTGGGACGAGGAGATCGAGTTTCTGGACGCCGTGCTGCGCACCGTGTGGAAGAGTCGGGAAAGCAGCAAGCCGGTGGTGGAAGTGGCCGCGTCGCGCAAATGCGGTGGCTGCAGGTGCGGAGGCGCGGTGCTCGAAAGGGAGCCGCCCTTTACCGTGGTCCCGCGCTGGTGGTCCAGCAGGTTGTCAATACGCCTGGCGTAATCTGCGGTCTGGTGCGCACAGAAGTCAGCGTCTTCAAAGCCCTCCTCACCACGCGCCTCAGTTCGGCGAGACGGACTGGACCGGCTGCGCCCGACCGGGTGGCCGCTACTACTTTGTCCTCCGCCGGGTGCATCAATTATTCGAGCAGTTCCTGATTGGCGGGGCGAGATCATGCCGCGGTCGTTTTCCAGCAGAAAGCTGGAGGACGCGGAGTTGAGCGTCTCGGGTTCCCAGTGGTAGGAGAGATCGCGGCCGTCCGCCAGGAGGAAGTAGCTTCGTTGTCGCAAATGCGCGAGAAACTCCGATGGAGCAAACAGCGAAGCGGGCTGTGGTCGAATCGATCTGTCGGCGCGCGGCCCAAAAAGGTCCTCTTTTTGGGCTTCGTTAGTAGAAATGGTGCCCGCAAGGTGCTTTTGCGTCCGCCGCTTGTTCCTTCGTCCGCCGGGGTGCGAGGAGTGTCGCGGACGCATGCGGTCTACCGCTGAGGAAAATCGCGCTTCGCCCTCGCTCTTCCGCCGCCAACGGGCCCGCTCCACGGATTTCTTCGCAGCCTTGTGCCACTGGTCGCGCCCGAAGAACAGAGACCCGCAAAACCCGCCGCGCGCGGACCAGTCGTAGCAATTCCGCGCCCAGGATGAGGATGAGCTACTACCTCCAGGGCCATCGCCTGCAGCACCTTTGCTCGACGTTGAACTAGAGCCATGCGACGCGGCCGCTTGTTCGAGGATGCGAAACGGATGTGTCAAGAGCGCGAGTGCGTCGGACAGGCATGCACAAGAAATGAAACCACCTGAAGAAGCTCCTGCACTCCCTGCAGGCTCGCTTGCGCACCGGCGGTCGCGCTCGCGCTTGGACCCCCGCGACTGCTTGAGTACATAGGAGGATGAGGAAGATGACGCCTCCGAGTTTACGCTTGTCCTCCTTCGAGTGTTGTTCGAATCCGAATTCGTCGTCGCACCGCCCGACTGACGACTGTTCCTCTCGTGCTCGGAAACCACGACGTAGCTGTCTTTGATGTAGTTGATGTCCTTGCTCTCCTGTTTATTCGGCAGCTGCTGCTGCGCGGAGCTCTTCGGCTTTTCATGTACTTCTGGTTCTTCGTCCCGGTGCTCTTCCGGTGCAGCCCGCATGATACTGGCGGACAACGAAGTCCGGGCAAACAAAACTTCGTTCGAGCAGAAACGTTGTACACCAGCGAGGTTCTAGTACTCTTGCACCTCCACAACAGCTCCTTGTCCTTGAAGATTCCGCGCATAACCAGGAGATTCTTAGCGCCGGCTTCTCAACAAGCAGAAGCCGCTCCGTGCTTACGATATTTTTTCCCTGTACTATCTGCGCGTGCGCTCTTTTCTATGCTGCAGAAGGAGAATAAATGTACTGCATTTGGATCGATATATACAAACGATAATCGTATCGTCGGCTTTCAACATCAACGACGCGCGGGTACTCTAATCCAAGCAAACGCTGTTCTTCTTCTTGGCCAAATGCAAATCGTTCCGTCGACAATAAACTAACCCCCTCTCCTCGATTTTCGCTCCGTGTTTCCGCCAGCCAAAAATGCTCTCTGTCAAAAGTACTTCTGATTCCACTTGTACAAAACTAACACTTCTTGTTGTTGACGTGGTAGTTCCGCTGAACAATAGCACAAGAACTCCATCAAGGGCCCACACGATCCCGCAACATTGGGTACTTATTCAATTTTTCTGTCCAGTTACCGTTCTTTCGCAGCCAGCGGTCACCAAATGTGACGACAATCTGGAAGTGAAACAGGGCATTCTCGGTGCAAAACATGATGAAGCAGCAGCTACAGAAGAGCAGCCACAACCCATCTCTAGTGTACATTGTTCAACAAGTAGGCGGCATTGCAACTAGGCGTAGCTCTAGCTCCATCCGCAACGTTGTACTAATTGACAAGTCTAAGTATCATACAAGAAACTAAAGGTACAGCAAGTTGTTGTAAACAAGTAGAAGAAGAATAGAAGTCAGTCCTGCAGGAGGTTCCGCTGTTTGTCTCCGTCAGCGCATCTGGTCCGCAAGGATGGTGTCGTTGAAGACCGACCCGAGACGGTACTCTTCGGCAGGCACAATTCCGAATTCGTCGTGCAGCTGTTGTTCCAGCAGGGCCGCGTTTCCCGCGGACGTCGGCGCGCCGCTGCGGGCCCCCGCGATGGAACCACCTGCACCGGATGAAGAAGCGGACATCAGGCCCCCGCCGGTGCTCATGCTTCTGCGCGCGCCCCGGTGGTTCGTGTAGTGCTGGTTGAGTCTGCCGTCCCAACTGAGCGAGTCCGAGAGCCAGGACGTTTTCGGCATGAACCGCTTGGACCGCCGCGTGCGCCGCTGCGCGGCGAGGTCCTGAATGGCGGCCGGCTTCGGGATGCCGTACGACCCCGGACCGCCGTAGCCGAGCGACTGCTCGTACGCTTCTTGGGTGACCGTCTGGGGACGAAAGATCGCCCCCGAGTACACCGTGCGACGGCACGACAGGTTCTTCATCAGCCGCTCGATCGAATCCTTCTGCGAGTCGTTGAAGATTTTCGCTTGGGGAATGCCCACCGCCGCGTCCATGCGGTTGTAATCAGTCAAGACCTGAAGATGATGTTCTTGGTGGCAACAGAACAAGTTTTTAGAACGGAATCGAAATCCGCATCCATGCAGTTGAAGTACCAACAAGTATTGTATGGAATCGGATTGCGCATCCAATACGGAGGAAAAAAACCAACAATCATAATCCTGATCATGAAGACGCACAGTTGTACGAGAGTCAACATGATTCCGTATACGTGCTAAAAATTACTCATCATCATGATGAACAAGAACACTTATACCGGCGTTTTCCTGCACCAAAAGGGTGTTTTCTTTTTCTTTTTCTTGGGTGCCATGACGCCCGGCTGCGTGTGCACCTCCTGGGTGGGCACCCACTCCATGTGCGGTACGCTGGCTTCCGGCATCTGGCCGCCCTCCAAGCCGTGCCCGGGGTGCAGAATGCCGCCCAGCCGAAAATGGTCGGCCATGGCGTTGAAGCCGCGCTCGCCGAACGTGTACCGCTCAAACTTGTCGAACCGGCCGCCCGCAATGTGGTGGTTCTGCGAGTCGCTGTCGCTTGAGAAGGAGAACGCGGTGCCCGTGGTCGTCATAAAAGGGTGCTGTCCGTGCGTCGCGGTCGTCGCCGTGGTGGTGCCCTGGTGGTGCGGCTGGTGGATCACCAGCTGTCCCGTGGTGGTGTTGAATCCCCCGTTGGTGTTCGTAGTTCCGGCGGACGTCCTCGTGCCGCGGTAGAAGGAATCCAGCATGTCGCGCACTTTCTGTGCGCGCGGGGACAGCGGCTTCTTCACGTCCTTGCGGCGCACCGAACCGAAGAGGCGGTCCTCCGTTTGCGGCCGGTACGCCGTCTTGTACTGCTCGATTTCCGCCTGCGTTTTGATGCTGTCCTGCTGCGTCTCGCGCAGCTCGTGCAGCCTGGCGGGGAGCTTCTGTTGCAAGTCCTGCTCCTGGTCCTCGGCGAGGAGTTCCGCGGCCACTTCCTGCACCTGTGGGCTCGGTAGCTCTAGCGGGGAAGAGCCGCCCATTAGGGATGAAATTCGAGTCATGCTGCGCCGCGGTGTGGAGAGGCCGCCCGCCGCTTTATTGGTACTGTTCATCTCGCCGTGCATTGGGCTCTTGGCGTGCTGCCCGCCCGGCGACATCACGCCGGGCGATGGTGAGAGGACCATCTTAAAACTATCGACAGTCTGCGGGCTGAGGCGCAGACGAACTTTTGTCCTTTTGGTTTCTCATCGGTTCGCATACTCATAATATTTTCTTACTACGATGCAAGGACCTACGATCTCAAGCGAAGCTAAGCAACAGAAGCGAAAGCGTTTCAACACTTTTATGGCGATTAATGAATCTACTTAAGTGCGACAAGACAATTTGGCTCGAATAGAAACAAGCTTTAGCTCGTCGAAAATAGGCGTGGCTCCACGATGATTTTCGCAGCTCTTGTGCTACTACTTTGGACTACATCGCCTCTGTATGCCATGATGCGCGATATTGATGTCGACTAGACCCATCTCTTTGTTCACTCCGAGCAGCTCTGTCAGACGCGTCTGCCCTCATGAGCAACAGACTCCCCGTCGCAAGAAACCCACAAGGCATGCGGTTGATGCGCAGCCACCGCCAGCAGCTGCGCGCTGTAGAAATCGCTGGACAACTCACAGAAGTCGCGTAGCGTACCTACGAACATTGACCCAGCGCAAGAGTCCGCTGATAAAAAACATTCATCACAGGACTTTAGCTACAAACCGCCGTGGAGTTGACACCACAGCAGGAGCGTCCTGGCGTTGGCGTTGCCTCTTACCCAATCACCTGCAACGGAAGGGCCACGCGCACGGCCACCTTTTCTTTGGCGCTGGCTCTGGCTTGGCCGGTGGCTTTGGCACGGCCTCCAAACTGCGATACCACCCGCACGCCACGCCGTGGTTGGTCTCAGGGCCCTCCGTCCACAAACTGGCCCAGCAAACGCCCTCACCGTGTGGCTTAACACATGTCGCCTTGGTCTGTTCTTCATAGTTGCCCGGTTTGCAATAACACGGAGGAGTGTGAAAAGCGCGCGTACGTGGGGCACAAAAGAAACAACCAGCGCTGGTCCATCTCCGGCTGCATGAACGCGCTCGCCGTCCTGCCGGCTTCGTTATTTCCCATCGGAGCGGAGCCGTCAGCGGATTGGGAGCCGCGCAAACTGCCGGACTTGGAGTCCCCGTTCGCCAGGGTTTCCACCTCCGTGGTGCCCGCCACGCTGGAGGGATCAATCGCCTTCACCAAGGCGATCGCCCCCTCCCCTGCCACAAACAAGCAGGTCCGCTTCGTCATCTGCGTCATTTTGGTACGATAGAATGGAGCGTGGTAAGTACACAAGCAGCTGCCCTACGGTTCGGAATGGAACGAAAAGTTTGAAAAATAGCACACAATGTCAATTGCTACTTCACGGGGTAACAATGCCAAAGTTTGTTGCTCATAGTCTATGAATATCTTCTGCTCGTCTACACTCCACTCCAACACAAGAAACTCTAACAAACTCATGATCTCAATGCTCTCGGTGAATTATCCTTGTAGCAGGGGCGCAATGACGTAGTAAACAACAGGCAGAAGTCATCAAGTTTCAGCTTCAAACTTCAATATCAAGCCCATGCGTCGAGGAAAGCCCAGGAGTGGCGAGCCTATGCCGGGGCAGCCGCTGCCCGCCAACCCCAAAACCTAGACCCTAAGCACTCAACCCACACGGTGCTGAAGTTGAGACGTCGGGGTCAACGCTCGGGCGTTCTTTCGTCAAAACGTTGAGACGAATGGTTTACAGTGTACAGTATTCGCGCGCTGCGCGAGACTTCTACTCAAAATGAGGAGTCTACCAGAATCCCAACTACGCCCCAAACGCGCGTAATTGAGATTTTGGTTTGTCAACCGAGATACGCCCTATTGATGTCGACTAGCACTAGTGGTAGCAGTGGTTCGAGGAGGTACGAGTCGATCTTCAAGTTTTGTCCTACGAGCTGTCAATCTGTTTTCGACGACGACACGAGAGCGAGCGACCGGCCCACACGAAACATTTGGTGAACACGAGACATGGCAGATTCTCGAATTCCATCCATATAAAGAAAGTAGATTCCCGAAATCCGCCTCTGTGTGACGCACCACACAAATATTCATGGCTTTTTTCTGCTTTCATTTGTCGCAAGATATGCCATTCATGGAGATAAACTCGTCTCATGAAGAAAGTTAGATTTTGATTTTCATTTTTCTAGAGGCCCAAAATAATCGACACGAGCACGGAGTGTTCGCGAAGAGATCTGTGTCGATAAAATACAGGTCGCTAAATCCCAGGAAAATGCTTTTTAGGAGCAAAAGTCCTTCCTCGGTTGGTTGAACTTGAATCTCTTCGTGACAATGAATAAACGTATGTCAATCATCCACAGCACTCGATGTGCTGCGGCGCGGCTTAAGCTGAATGTAGCCATTTGCCCTTGTGAGTTTAATTGAAGTCGCTGGTAAAAAAAACAGGAGGATCATGATGAAGTGCGCACAGAACGTGCGACAAGTTTCACATCCTCCTATAATCAGAAATACTTCGTTGTGAGAACCAAATGTAGCGTACAACGAAGACGAACTGCTTCTTGTTGCATCACTACAAACATTGTTTCGTCCTCCTCGTCTTCTATCCAAAAGTGGTATGAGCACTGGAGCATCAGCAGGGACCACTGAAGCTGCAGCATCATATTCAGTCTCAGTACCGGATGTCGGCGTTTACTTCGAATTTGTCGACAAATAGCCGAATTTCCTCGCCATGGAATAATCGTCCGTGTTCGTTCAACACCAGCTCGTAGCACCCCGACACGGCCCGTTCCCGGTCTTGATCCTCATCGGAAGCTGGTTTTGCTTCCTCCTCCTGGTCGTAGCAGGCCGTACCGGAGGCGGCAGACAGTTCCGCGTTATGATCGCCGCCTTTGGTGGACGTGGAAGAACTACTACTTGACGTGGCGCCGTTTGTCTTGCCACCTGCAAGAGAAGATGAGGTGAAGCCCCGGATCGGGTAGGTGTTGTTCAGCATGTGTTTTCTCTTCTCCTGGAACTCCGGCTCAAAGCTCCAGTTGTCCAGAAATTTCACCATGGCGAAGTTCGCCTGCTGCCGCGAACTGTACACACCAAGGCAGTCTTCGTGGTCGGTGCCATCGTGCGTGTTCAGGTACTGGAGGGAAACCGTGAACATCATCGGCTGATCTAGTGCTCCTGTGCCGGCGGCAAACGGCGCGGCAAATGCAGTAGTAGCTCCGGAAGTAGCTCCTGCTCCGGAAGCGTCCTGCTGTGTAGTTCTTTCTCGTCGCTCAGATGGAAATGTCCCCTCCGGCGCAGCTGCTGTTGCGGAAGCCGAGTTGGAGGAAGAGGAGCTGGAAGACGACTTGGACGCCTGGTGTAATCCTTGTACTACCTGACCGCTTTTCATATTCTGATTAATTTCTGGTCGTTCGTCGCTTACACTTGGTTCTACTCCGGCTGGTCCTTTACGGTTCTCGGATAAAAATGTTGAAGATTCTCCGCCGGCGATCGTTTGTTCCAGCTCCACGGAGCCGTCGGAGAGAATTTTGAACGAAGGCAGATGCGGATGATCGCGCACCACCTTCACCACGCTGCGGGCGGAGTCGCGGTCCTTAACGACGAAAACGCTGCTCCGGCTCGAGTGCGTGCTGGACATGAGTTTGCGTTTCCCGGAGGAATTTATCCTGAGTAAAAACGTATCCACACCAGAGTTGTAATGCAGATTTGCAAAGACAGGAAGACTTGTAATGCGCATCCCCGTGAGAGCCATTTCCAATCGTGTTTTGGAATTTGTGATGCTGTGAACAGGATGAGCAGATGAATCTGTGATGCGGCTGCACTTGCTAACCTGCACTACACTGCATAGCGCAACTTGTCATGCGTGACTCACAAAACTCCTAGGTTTGTGTTGCAAAATCTTCATCCTGACTCTGGTGTGGGTACGTTTTTACTCAGGATAGAATTATCGAGTTGTTCACTACGATTCAGTTCCTCGAACAGGTTCGCCGCCTTCTGGTTGGCCTTTTTGCCGCGGTTCCCCACCCCGCGCGGTATCAAATGTAAAAATGTCTGGGTCTGGAACAATGCAACTTGTCATGCCAAATCTAAATGATGCAAAAATCTGTGTTGCGTGAGTGCCAAAAGCTGTCCGCTTTTGACCTAGTTGAGAGGGAGTTTCTCATGCAGGAAAGGCGTGATAGAAACCTCAAAGAATCTGTCATGCTGGGTCTCGCATTTCAGACCTCATGGGTCATGGAAAACCTGCATCACAAATCTTGCATTCTTCCAGACCCAGACATTTTTACATTTGATACGCGGCGTCATGTTAGAATTATCCAGCAGGCCCCCGTCGTCGTCGGAAAAGAGATCCCCGTACATTTGCTCTGGGGATTGCTTCGCGTTGGCCCCGTCTTGTGAATCCTCCTCGTCGTCTCCGCTGGAACCAAAACCATTGTTGCTGCCGCTGCTACTCCCGTCCTCCTCGTCCTCCGAGTCATCTTCAGCGCGAAGGGGGTCGTCTTCATCGTGCCCCGCCTCGTCGTGGTCGCCGTTCTCGCTGGGGCTGCTGGACCAGTCGCGCTCCGTGTGCGCGTCTGCTTGGGAGAGGTTCTCGTCGCAGAAGTCGTTCCTGGGTCGCTTCTCACGGAGCTCTTCCGCCTCCTGCCGTTCCCGTCTGCGCTTGTTCCGTTTGCGCAGCTTCCTCCGCCGCAACTCTGCGGCCGCCGCAGCAGCACTTTCCGCAGCGGTTGGCGCGGTGGGAAAAATATGCAGGTTGGTGGTAGAGGCCGCCTGCAAAACAAACTCCCGCTTCCGAAGTTTTCCCGTCACCTTCAACGCGGTGAGGGAGCGCGAGGACTCGCGCGGCACGGCTGTTGTTTTTACCGCTTCTTTGGATCCTGTGAGCACAACTGACGTTGCTGGTTTTTCATTTTGTGCGGTAGACGGCGCCGCAACGGCAAGATCTGGAGCTGCGTCTATTTTTATCACATCGGCTGGCGGTTTTACTGCATTCTTCGCGGTCTTGTTCAAATCGCTTTCGTTGACCAACCCAAGCGAAGACGCGAACGGAGCCGTGTCACGCTGCGCCGGTCCGGGAGCGGCTGCAGCGGCCTTCGGACTCTTTTTCTTTTTCTTGACTTTCATTGCTTTTGCCGCCTTCGCGTCCAGGGCCTGCTGCACTTCCTTCTCGTCATCCTGGGAGGGGGATTGCAGTTTAGCCTCTGGTACAGGTACTTTCGGAAGATGATTCTCTTTCACGTAGGACGTCGCGTGGTCCACATTTTTACGACTCGCCTCTTGATTTCCCTTGCCGTCTGTCGCCACATCCTTCGTTGGTGCTAATGCCGGCGCTTCTGCTGCACCTGAAGAGAACATGATGGGTGTACATGACTATTGGCATTAAAATTGAATGTGCTGTCTCTACAGGGTTTATTGAGCAAGGAGCCCTTTTCCGGCGGGCCGAGGAGCGTCAATGCATCAGCATCTTCAACATCATGTCGGAAAATAAATGGAAATCAGAATACAGCAACCAACAAATACCTCCTGATGTTGGGGCTTTCTGGGTAGTTGTCGTTTGGTTCTTCATGCCGGAAGACGAGCAGGCCGACGAACTGGATGCTCCTTCAACACGACCTTGTTTCGCTCTATCCTTATCCTGGTGCTGCGCTCCCGCGAGTGGATTCTTTTCGCTGGGGTAGACATTTGCGGTCGCGTTGTCCTCTTGTGGATCGAGATCAGACGTCGCTTGAGCAACAGCCTTCATCGTTTTGGCCCCGGGCGGCCGACCGGGGCCACGCTTCGTCTTCTTCGCTGGAACAGCGTCCTCTTGTTCTACTCCGACTTCTGCTACAGCTTGCACAGTGGTGCCTTTGTGCAGTTCCTGCTGCACCGCCTTAGAAGAACTAGAGCTCGCCGATGGAACAACATGAGAGACCACCTGCGCAGCCGAAAAGCTCATTTTTCCAGGTTTTTTTTCAAACGTATCATTTCTTTTCGTGTCTTTGGTATCGGTCCTGCAGCTTTTGCTTGTTGTACATGTTGTACTCTTGTTCGTTTTACTACTCGATTTCCTACTGTTCTGCCGCTTCTCATCTGCCGCCTCGCCCGCCACCATTTTCTCCGCGGCGACTGCTGGCTTTGCGTCCACCTTTGAGGTTATCTTCACGTGTTTTTTTTTCTCACCGGATTTCTTTGTCGCCGAGTTGATCTTTGCCGCGGATTTATTTTTTGACGCCGAGAAGTTCTTGGTACTACTGCCGCCTGGTCGACCTGCGAGCTTGTTATTTCGCGTTCCGACCGAGGTTGTTCCTGAGCTTTGCTCGGCACCAGCATTGCTACTTTTCTTGACGAGCGCGGCAGATGAAGACGATGACGAAGAGGAACTACCATTGCTTCTCGACTCTTCCGCTTTGCCCTGTGCGACCTTTGCTTTCGACTTCTTCGCGGACGAATGTAAAGGCTCCTTCGGTGCCGCAGCAGAACTACTGCTCGACGAGGACCCGGCTCCGACCGTACCTCCGGTCGAATTGATTCTCGTTTTTTTGCCCTTGGTCGACGACGACGACGCTCCTTTATTTGCCGCATTGTTGATTACGTAGAACGACTTTTCGACCTTCAGCCGCTTTTCCCGCAGACCAGAGGTTTTCTTTGGAGCTGCTGGTGGAGGTGCAACGGCAGTAGTTGCAGCTGCTGCCTGCTTCTCCTTCTTCGCGCCGGCGCCGCTTTTCATCGTTTTATTTTTCGCCGCCTTGTTGCCAGCATTTTTACTGGCTTTGTCGCTGTCCTTCCGCACACTGCTTTTTTTCTTGCTTCCTTTTGCAGCAGCTGTTGACGCGGGCTGGCTGCTGTTCTTTTTTGCTCCTCCTCGGGGCATCTTGTTCCGTTGACTTTTTCTAGAGGGAGGTCAGTGATTGTTTGTAAGTCGTTGCTATACCCTTACGCTCATTTGAGAAAACACATTATAATTACATGGGCTAATTGTACTACGGACGGGGCCAATGTGATACCTCCGAATGGACGACAAGTAGTGTGTGGATCTTGATCAGCAGCACCATGTCCATGTACAGCGAATTTTCGACGTGAAAAAATATTATATGTGAATCAATGTCACGAAGAGGCACAACCTGTGGCTGTGAGGGTGAAGCATGCTGGGCTACTTGCCGCGGCGCACTGTAGCGCAACAAGTAGAAGGCAAAAGATGATGAAAAAGGAACTTTTTGTTTTTTGGCTCAACAAAGAGTAAGAGACCTAATAATTCGCATGTGAAGGCAAGACCAAATTCTAGTAAATGTGCTTAATATGTCCAGGTTTGTTCAGTATAATGAGTTTTTTAATTTCCTATGAGGCTATATCGACAAGTATGTAAAAGTATGTCTATGTGCCCGTCAAAAATCAAAGTGTCGATGTCGCTGAAAAATTTCGAATGGAGCTTGGATCGTCATCATTGATGGTGCTGGTGGCAAAAGCTCCTTGTTAAAAAACCAACGGATTCGGTGCCTCTTCGCACTATTGAGCTAGAGGGAACAACGGAAAGCTTTTTGTGTTGCGTTTGAATGAAGATGAACTTATTTATATTTCGTCACTGTAGGAAGGAGATGTAAAAAACTTTAATGACCATGACGCTTGTTGCTCTTGCTTCTGCACGCGAGGTGTGTGTGTGTTCTGATCCTTGCGCATACGCGCTCCTTGTTGCTGGTTAATATGAGTTGTGTTGAATAAAAGCAGTGATATGGACGGAACACAGAGTGGGCCTGCGCGTAGACGCGCAAGCGCAAACCCGTAGCAGATGCAGATCGATATTCTGAGAAAATTCAATATTCATGGGCGTCTTGATGCGGTTGCGAATATGTTGATCTATGCGCAATGTGAGGGTCTGTTTTTCCATCCCCGCTAGCATTACCACCTACATCAGATCTATTCGCGGTAGTGCCAGAATCTCTTCCGTTCTTTTCCTTCTGACTCTTGTTTTCCTGGCCAACAGCTGCAGCGGAAGAATAGGGCCTCCCGGCAGCATCAAGATTTCTTTGTCCTCCATGATTCACGACGTCCACAACTTTCTCCGCCCTCACTAACACGTTCGGACACGAGGGGATTATCTCCGTCGTGACCTTCTGGAATCTTTTTTTCAATTTTTCCACCGCCTTGCGCGGCGGCATCGTGTTCAGCGTGTTTTGCAGCATCACTCCCTTCGGTTTCAACACGTTGTAAACCGCTGTAGTGAAGCGGTCGGACACGCAGCTCGGGGAAGGCACGTGGCCCAGCGGATCAAAGCAGTCGACGATCACCAAGTCGTACTTGTTGACATGATGTGCCGTGGCATTTTTCGTGGTGTACATCAATGATCCTCGGACGGAGGCGTGAAGATTCGCAGTAGTTGCGGCTGTTCTTGCGGTCTCCGTCTCGTCTCTTGTGACTGCACTTGATGTCAAAACACGGTCGTTTTCTTTGGAGGCTGCCTTGCTTGTCATTCCAGGAGATAATCTGTCTCCCTCGCCGAGGAGGAGCCGGCGCGCTTCCTTTTCCAGGAATGCGAGGCCGTCGGACACCACTACACGATTGCGTCCGACATACTGGGTCAGTTCTTGCGGCGCCCCCTGTTCTTCGAATTCTTTCTTGATTCGGTCAAAGTCCGCGTCGGTTTTCCAGCCGAGCTCCATCGTCCGCCCGAGGCCGAAAAAACTTTTGGCGGTCTGCAGCATGTGTGCGTCCAGCTCCACCGTGAGGATGTCAAACGCGGGGTGCAGGCGCGTCAACGTCTGCTGGATCCAACCAACGCCGAGGCCGATAGCCAAAACCCGGATCCGCCCGTCCGAGGGCACACCGGAAATCGTGGTCTTGGGGCCCGGGAAGATTTTTCTTGTTTCCGTCGCAACAGCTCCCGGCTGAGGGGGCGCAGAGGACTTCTGGAAGAGGTACTTCTTGTAAAGGCTATGAAAGGAGGTGGGGAGCGACAAACCACAGCAAGTCGTAAGACGATTGCGTAAAAAAGTCCGATCGACAGAGCTGGAAATACAGTCATATTAGATACGGGTCAAATGCATATCAGCGACGTGCTAGTGCTGGTGGTGGCGCTCGGTACTATCAATCTTGAATAACCCGCAGATGTATCATATTCCCAATCCCACCCTGGAAAAAACATTGAACAAGTCAAACGTGATGAAGAGGAGCCCCTCACATCACCACGCACCAGTCTAGTAGTACGTCTATCTACACAAACCAAAGCGGTGACTGTCGTCGTGACACTTCCGTATAAGTTGTCGAACACGCGGCGTTTCACGAAGTTGAAGTAGGCGAAAATACCAGACGCCGGCACGGGATCAAATTCGCAGGTGCACGAGGAGCAGGACCCGCAGGATTGCTGGTCATCTTTCGCTTCGCCGAACCAGCGAACCAGGTCTGCCTGCCGTTGCTGCTTCTGGTTCTCGTCAGTAAATGTTCGAGCGGCCGCTTTATTCGCGGGTGTAGTGGCGCCGCTAGCGGTAGTACTGCTGCTAGTAGGCGGCACAGCAGGGGCAGATTGCTGCGCATTCAATGTCGGAAACAGCACCTCCGCATCCGCTGCACAGGTGGCCAAGTCGGGTTTGGCTTGAATCGTAGCGGGGAGCCCCCAGAACGGCCGGCCCGCGTGACAGGAGCACGGAGGCTTTCGCGGGGACAGGAGTCTTGCGTGCTGATTGCTGCTTTTGCACTTGACCTCGCCAACGATAATGGAGCAGACAGTCGGGTCCGTGCGAAGCCATCTGCGTCCGTCCGGCGTTTCGGAAATCAGTGTCTCGCGATCTTGGCACACTGCCGGGATGTGGCACTGGTTCAGCTGCTGTCGCGCCAGGTACTTCCGGATGTTGTTTCGCACCGTCTTGGCCTGAGACAGAGCCTCGGAAGAAGTTAATGGTCGTGGAGGGGACGCGAATCTCTGCTGAGAAGCGAGGGCACCGCTTACCGTTCTTTCCCGATTAGCGGTCGCGGCTCCCCTGCTCACGCGAAGGTTCTTCCCTGCTAGATTGCTCCGCCGAAAACGCACTAGATCCGGAATCACACGCAGCCACGTGGCAAGAATTAGGCAAAAAACAAAAGAACGCCCTGCGAACGACACGCTCGACATTTTTGCAGGATATGAGGGGTCACGAATGAATATCAAATCGAAGCATCAGTATCTTGCGAAGAAGTTTTATTTTCGACTGGTTCTTTGTGAAACATCTGCGAAAGGCGGCGAGCTACTCGCTCCATCATCTGTTTGCTCTCCACTAAATTATGTCGAAAGAATCGCGATCGCGTCAGAACATCAGTTGGCGGTTTACATGCTTACTAGCTTGAGCTTTCCAGATTACGTTCACTCGCTTGGGGCTGCAATTCCGGCGCGTCTTTAGACATGCCTCGCATGGTGTGAGCGCGACAAACAATGCGCCAGCTCGTGCCGCTCGGCGCCGCGCTACTGCCACTGATTGGAAAGAAAAAAGGGCGCCAGCCTGCACCCATATCGCCACGCCATGCGCCGGCTTTTGCTCTCTTCATGCTCCAACTGCTCGGCGCCGCGCCCCAGCCAGTCAATGCATGAGGAGAAAATAAAGGGGCGCGACCCCGGCTCCTGTCTCCGCACGGCGCGCGCCGACTTTTGTGCTCCGGCTACGTTCATCTCGGCACCGCACTGCGTCCGCTCGCCGGGAGGAAAAGAGGCGCAGACCCGTCCGTGGGGCGTGCGCCGGCTTTCATGCATCGCCCAGCTGCCCCCCCGGCGCCACGCCCCGGCCTGTGAGTCAATGAATTGGAAGAACAAAGGGCGCGAGCCCGGCACCCGTATCCGCGCGGCGTGCGCCGCCTTTTGGCTGCGTGCGCTCAGCCAAAAGGCGGCGTGCGCTCCGCCTCCCCGGCGCCGCGCTCGCTCTTGTCAGGAGTCAGCGGCAAGAAAAAGGACCACAAGCCCGGCACGCATATCCGCAGGGTGTGCGCCGACTTTTGTGCCCCAGCTGCTCGGCGCCGCGCTCCTGCCGCTCGTTTGAAAGGGAACGCGAGAGGCGCGAAGCCGCAGGCCATATCCGCATGGCGCGCGCAGACTTTTGCGCCCCGGCCTGCCGGCGCCGCGCCCCGGCCCGTGAATTGGGACAAGAAGAGGCACGAACCTGGCCAGCACCCATATCCGCACGGTGTGCGCAGGCTTTTGCGTTCCGGCTTCTCGAGCCGCCGGCGCGCCCCGGCCGATCAGTCAATCAGCGGGAAGAAAATGAGACGCGAACCCGGCACCCCAATCCGCATGCTCTGCGCAGACTTTTGCACTCCGGCTTCTCGGCGCCGCGCTCCTGCCCGTCAAGCAATGAATGGGGGAAAAAGGGGCGCGAACCCGGCAACCATATCCGCATGCTGTGCGCAGACTTTTGCACTCCGGCTTCTCGAGTCGCCACCGCGCTCCTGCCGATCAAGAACGCAAGAAGAAACAAAAGAGAGGACACGGCCCGGCACCCCAGTCCGCATTTTCTGCGCAGGCTTTTGCGCTCCGGCTACTCGGCGCCGCGCTCCTGCCCGTCAAGCAATGAACGGGGGAAAAAGGGGCGCGAACCCAGCACGCACCCAAATTCGCACGGTGTGCGCAGACTCTTACCCTCCGGCTTCTCGAGTCGCCACCGCGCTCCTGCCGATCAAGAACGCAAGAGGAAGCAAAAGAGACGCGGCCCGGCACCCCGATCCGCATGCTCCACGCAGACTTTTGCGCCCCGGCTTCCCGGCGCCGCGGTCCTGCCCGTCACGCAATGAACGGGGGAAACAGGGGCGCGAACCCGGCGCCCAGATCCGCATGGTGTGCGCAGGCTTTTGCGCTCCGGCTTCTCGAGTCGCCACCGCACTCCTGCCGATCAAGAACGCAAGAAGAAGAGAAAGAGACGCGGCCCGGCACCCCAATCCGCATGCTCTGCGCAGACTTTTGCGCCCCGGCTTCTCGACGCCGCGCTCCTGCCCGTCAGGCAATGAATGGGGGAAAAAGGGGCGCGAACCCGGCCCCCATATCCGCATGGTGTGCGCAGACTTTTGCGCTCCGACTTCTCGAGTCGCCACCGCGCTGCTGCCGATCAAGAACGCAAGAAGAAGCAAAAGAGACGCGGCCCGGCACCCCCATCCGCATGCTCTGCGCAGACTTTTGCGCCCCGGCTTCTCGGCCCCGCGCTCCTGCCCGTCAAGCAATGAATGGGGGAAAAAGGGGCGCGAACCTGGCACCCATATCCGCATGGTGTGCGCAGACTTTTGCACTCCGGCCTCTCGAGTCGCAACCGCGCTCCTGCCGATCAAGAACGAAAGAAGATAGAACCAAAAGACACGCGGCCCGGCACCCCAATCCGCATGCTCTGCGCAGACTTTTGCGCTCCGGCTTCTCGGCGCCGCGCTCCTGCCCGTCAAGCAATGAATGGGGGAAAAAGGGGCGCGAACCCGGC